ACACCAGTCTTGAAAGACCTGCATTGGCTCCCAACACATTTCCCAGCACAATTCAGAGTGTTGTGTTGACCTTGAAAGCCCTAAACGGCCTCGGTCCAGTATACCTGAAGGAGCGTCTCCACCCCCATCGTTCTGCCCGGACCCTGAGGTCCAGCTCCGAGGGCCTTCTGGTGGTTCCCTCATTGCGAGGTGAGGTTACAGGGAACCAGGCAGAGGGCCTTCCCGGTGGTGGCGCCTGCCCTGTGGAACGCCCTCCCACCAGATGTCAAAGAGAACAACTACCAGACTTTTAGAAGACATCTGGAGGCAGCCCTGTTTAGGGAAGCTTTTAATGTTTAATAGGTTACTGTATTTTAGCGTTTTGTTGGAAGCCACCCAGAGTGGCTGGGGAAACCCAGCCAGATGGGCAGGGTATAAATTAATTAATTTATTATTATTATTATTATTATTATTATTATTATTATTATTATTCTAGTGGTTTGATTTCACCCCCCTGAGGCACACTTCGTTTTTCTCAAGACAGATAGATGCCAGCAACTGCCCCCAACCATGTAGCCTTGCAGCTAGTAGCCATCAGTGGCTATTTATCCTCCCTGAAACCACCCAGTCCTTTTTTCAAACCATCCTGTGGCAATGAGTTCCGCAGACTAACTGAAAAGAGTCATTTTTTGATAGGTCCCAAATCGCCCAACATTCAGCTGCACTGGATGTCTCAGAGCTCCACAGAGTAGCCACTGTGGGAACAGAATATTATTTAAAATTCCCTATACGTATAGTTCAAGCTATGGTTTTCCCAGTAGTGATGTATGGAAGTGAGAGCTGGACCATAAAGAAGGCTCATCGCCGAAGAATGGATGCTTTTGAATTCTGGTGCTGGAGGAGACTCTTGAGAGTCCCATGGACTGCAAGATCCAACCTCTCCATTCTGAAGGAAATCAGCCCTGAGTGCTCACTGGAAGGACAGAACCTGAAGCTGAGGCTCCAATGCTTTGGCCACCTCATGAGAAGAGAAGACTCCCTGGAAAAGACCCTGATGTTGGGGAAGATGGAGGGCGCAAGGAGAAGGGAACGACAGAGGACGAGATGGTGGGACAATGTTCTCGAAGCTACCAGCATGAGTTTGACCAAACTGCGGGAGGCAGTGGAAGACAGGAGTGCCTGGCGTGCTCTGGTCCAGGGGGGTCACGAAGAGGCGGACACGACTGAATGACTAAACACCAACATACGTCGTATATTGATTGAAAACAAAGTGATGGTGAATCTCTGATTGGCGCACGCTCTCCCTAGGGCCCAGGGGGAGCAAAGCTTGGATTGTAGAGGAACCAAAATATTAATTATGGAATATATCCCATGGCATTGCTTCTACGGGAGACTTTTGGACTTGGAAATACCAGTTCGCTAAAAGACCTGAAACTTCATTAAACAAACTTTAAACGTCATTAAACGAGAGAAAGCTGGAAGACAGCTGAGAATGTTAGAGATATGACTGTGGGGGGCCCCAGTTGGGGGGACTGTACTGAAAAACAATTGAAGATTAACAACAAGAAGAATAAAATTTCCTCTTGCAGGCCAACATAATATGGATTCGTTAAGCACGATGGAAAAGACCCATACCAGGGACTGTGACAATAAGAAGGGGTTAACATCGGAACGATGATATTGAGAATAAACAACGGAGAAAATGCAGGAACCAAAATAAAAGACTTTTTCCAGACCAGCCAGAACATGGGAAGTTCCATTAAATTAATTAATTCAGAATGTATAATTGGCTTCTTCTTTTTTCTTTGGATAGGATGTTGATATTTTATTAACTGGAACGTTATGAATGAAAAATTAATAAAAATTATTTATAAAAAAGCATATTATTTAAATTTCAACAACAACAACGGATCCAGCAGGCTCTTCCTTTGCAAGACAGGCTTGTTGTAAACAAAAATTTGCCCTTTTCCCCTTGTGGGGTATCCAAGAGCCCATATAGAGTCCTCACATAGGTTCCCTATTGGTAGGAGAAAATAACAGAGGCCAACCAGAGAATATTGAGAAGCAAAGCAGCTAGGAATCCTGGTCTTTATTGATCTGTTGCAACAGGGTGCTCCCCTAACCACACGCAGGAGGGAGGAGGAACCCAGAACAATGGTGTGTCCACCCTTATATAGACATTTTAAATTGCCTGCCCTGGAGCTCAAGACCACCCCTCCATACATCATACACAGAAGGGGTGTAACCTAAGACCACCCCCCAGATACACCATACCTACATCACAGAAGAGGCGATTTACAGCAGAAATCTGAGTGTGTTGTTTACCTCCTGTCTGGCAGGTTACCTGTTAATGCTCGCTTGATTGGATACCCTGGGGAGCCTGGCCAGTCTTTTGCAATGATAAATACTTAGTTCCTGAGCCAGGTCACAGGCTCACCCTATTCATACACAGACATACCCTTAAGACAGGATTTGTGAAGGAAAAGACAATGGGGAGGCTTTTCCATTTTCCTTTGACCTTGCAGAGAAAGCATTTGGTCAGTTTGGGAATCAAAAATGGTTCCAGATTGGTCCTCCGGTGCTGATCCATGTACATGCTTGGTTGGTACATTTATTATATATCTAAGACCTTAAAATTCTTATCACATGCTCACATCTCTCACCTGTCTGCAGAAAGGTGAGCAAGGGACACAGATTCATTGCATCCACTTTGAGAAACAGCAAAAGTTGGTCACTTTCAAAAAAACAACCACCACCCCATAATTCTATTAGAAGTATATTTAAACAAGCACATTCACAATCCAGGAAATGGTCCTTACAGTTGATCTTGCTTTTTTAAAAAAGGGACTTCCCTACCCCCCAAAAGTCCCTTCTTGCCAGCACACACGGAAATTGAGAGCTTTTCAGCATCCAAGTTTGTTGGCACATTTTGATAGGCTTCTGGGAACTCCCCTCTGGAATATCCCTCAGTCCGGGAAGGCATACGAGGACGACGGGAGGGCAAGGGAGAGGAGGAGGAACAATATTTCGGAGAAAGTTAAGAGCATGTGGCTGTCAACAGCCAAATCCCATGGCAGCCGAGAATCCAGTTTCAATCAGGAATAGAAGCACGACGTTGGTTTCTATTGCATTTCATGGCAATTCCACACCGTACTTGTGTCTTCCTCCACAAAGAATCTGTAGTTCAGGGCACTGAGAAGGGTCAAGAAATGCCCTCCCTCCTCCTTGCTCCCCTCAGGGAACTGCAATCCCCAGAGTTCCCTAGGAAGAAGGATTAGCTGTTAAACCGGGAACCGCAGTTCCGAGAAGGGGAATAGGGATCTCCGAACAACTCTCAACATCAAAAAAAACGAAGATCATGGCCACTGGTCCCATCACCTCCTGGCAAACAGAAGGGGAAGAAATGGAGGCAGTGAGAGGTTTTACTTTCTTGGGCTCCATGATCACTGCAGATGGTGACAGCAGTCACGAAATTAAAAGACGCCTGCTCCTTGGGAGAAAGGCGATGGCAAACCTAGACAGCATCTTAAAAAGCAGAGACATCACCTTGCCAACAAAGGTCCGTATAGTTGAAGCTCTGGTTTTCCCAGTAGTGAGAGCTGGACCATAAAGAAGGCAGATCGACGAAGAATGGATGCTTTTGAATTCTGGTGCTGGAGGAGACTCTTGAGAGTCCCATGGACTGCAAGAAGATCAAACCTCTCCATTCTGAAGGAAATCAGCTCTGAGTGCTCACTAGAAGGACAGATCCTGAAGCTGAGGCTCCAAGACTTTGGCCACCTCATGAGAAGAGAAGACTCCCTGGAAAAGGCTGAAGATGGAGGACGCAAGGAGAAGGGGATGACAGAGGACGAGATGGTGGGACAGTGTTCTTGAAGTGACAAGCATGAGTTTGAACAAACCGCGGGAGGCAGTGGAAGACAGGAGTGCCTGGCGTGCTCTGGTCCAGGGTGTCACAAAGAGGCGGACACAACTAAGCGACTAAACAACAACAAACAACAACTCTCAGCGCCCGCAACAAACTACAGTTCCCCAGGATGCTTTGGGGAGGAACCCCAGACTTTTCAAAGCAGAGCAATACTGCTTTAAATGCACAGTGGAGAAGGGGCTTGATTCACAGCTGCCAGAACCGTTCTCTTTGGGCGTTCCCACTTCTCCGAATTTTGCGAACCATCTCTCCCACGAAAGGTTGTGTCCATAAAAACAGGTGTTTAGGGCATGGGTAGGCAAACTAAGGCTCAGGGGCTGGATCTGGCCCAATCGCCTTCTCAATCTGGCCCATGGACGGTCTAGGAATCAGTGTGTTTTTACTTGAGTAGAGTGTGTCGTTTTATTTAAAATGCATCTCTGGGTTATTTGTAGGGCATAGGAATTCGTTCACCCCCCCCAATATAGTCTGGCCCCCCACAAGGTCTGAGGGACAGTGGACCGGCCCCCTGCTGAAAAAGTTTGCTAACCCCTGATTTAGGGTAATGTATGCATACAGATCACATATTCATGTTATTATTAATTTCATTTATGAATTGCTTCCTCTGAAGCGATTTCACAACACGGACAAAAACTTTTGCATTACAACCTGTACGGTCATGCAGGCAAAAATGTATTTGAGGAATGTACATAAAATTTGTTAAAACACAAGAAATGGCTTGCAATAAATATGTTAAACGGGCATATGAAGATATTTGCATTAAACATATGGGGAAGGTTTTTAATGTTTGGTGTCTTACTGTGTTTTAATTTGTGGGGGGAAAGGGAGTGTGGCCTGAGAAGTGTTCTGAGGGCCAGACCGGGGGCTCTGAGGGCCACATCCGAGGTTCCCTTGCCAACGCAGCCAATCCAAGAGGACATGCTTCAGAAGTCTTGGGACAGCACTCGTTGTGTCCCAAAATTGCTAAAAAATAATAATAAAATCCCACCAGGATACCTTCAAATTCACAACACTTTACGGTGGGAGAGTAGATTATCAAACGCTAGAAAAGTTTATTATTATTATTTTCTTTAAAAAATACATGTATTTCCAGCTAGTGGTTTGAACAGAGTTCTGCACGTAAAAGTACAGGCAGATTTCGCCCAAGCGAAATATTTCCCCATAGGATCCAGTCCCCAAACCACTTACAAAAAACCCCACAGAGGTTTAATGGCAGGCAGAGACTCCTTTCAACCCTACCCCCCCCCCCCAAATCACAAGTCCGAGAGAGTCCTAAAAACTGATTAAAACTCACATCGGCTTCTGAAGCAAGAATTTTTTTAGCAGGAGCTGGAAGGGTAGGGCGGCGGCGCATGCCCAATATCAAGTGGCAGGGAGTTCCAAAGTGCGAGCTCGGGACCGATTTCTTACAATTATTGGGCAGCACCTGTGGCAGTGCCAGTTCCGCTGGCCAAAGTGGAGGGGATCCCATGGGTGGGCCAATTTTTGCGCACACTCAAACGGGTGCTCTTCTCTTGGGCAAGGGAAAGGAAGGACCAGCCAGGAAGAAACACCCCAGTCAAGTGGCGTCTGTGAGGGCCGTGGCCTGAAGTTCAACACAGAATCCTAGAATCAGAAGGGATCCCTGAGGGTCATCCAGTCCAACCCGCTGCAATGCAGGGATCTCAGTTCAAGCATCCATGGCAGATGGCCATCCAACCTCTGCTTAAAAACCTTCAAGGAAGGAGAGGCCACAACCTTCTTCTTGTGGGATGTGAAACATAAGAGCAGTCAAGTACAACATTTCTAGAGTGAACATGTTTACACATGGGGAGGAATGTTTGTCCAGCCAGCAGGTCAACTTCCTGTTTCCTTCTGGGCTGGGACAGACTTCCTCTGCATGTGACTAGAGGTGGGCGTGGCCTCACCTGTGCAGGTAATGACAAAAGCACAGGGCAGGGCAGCCATCTCTCTCTTTTTTGACTACATGCATCAAAGAAGCAACATCTGCTTAGCCAAAGATGCTCTGTGTCTCCTTATGAGATAGTTTCCAGGTGTATGTTACTTTTCTAAGCTAAGTCTGCCTTTTGGGATCCGATTGTGAACAGAATGATGTGTGAGTAAACTCTTTTTATACTTTTACAGAAGACTGGTCGTGTCTTATCGTTTATGAGGGAATAAGGGGAAAATACCAGAATAGTTATTATAGAGGCTTTAGGGAGCCTGAGCAAACATATCCGCTGCGAGTTTAAAAGGGGGAATGTTACTCTGCTAAAATTTTAAGCTTGTTAACACAAGTTGGAAAGGCTATAATAAAACAATATATCCTCTCCTGCATCCCTAAACATTCCCACACTTCTGAGGGAGTCCCTTCCGCTGTGGAACAGCTCTCACTGTCAGAAAGCACTTCCTGATGTTGAGTCGGAATCTCCTTTCTTGCAACTTGAAGCCATGGGTTCGAGTCCTGCCCTCCAGAGCAGGAGAAAACATGTTTGCTCCCTCTTCCATGTGACAGCCCTTGAGATATTTGAAGATGGCTATCATGTCTCCTCTCATTCTCCTCTCTCCTAGGCTAAACGTCCCCAGCTCCTTCAACCGTTCCTCATCAGGCTTCCTTTCCAGACCCTTGATGATTCTGGTCACCCTCCTCTGCAAATGTTCCAGCTTGTCAACATCCTTCTTAAATTGTGGCACCCAGAACTGGACACAGGACTCCAGATGTGGTCTGACCAAAGCAGAATAGCGCAACACTATGACTTTCCCTGATCTGGACACTAGATCACTCGTTTTTCTAAATGCTCACAGAAACCACCTGTTGAATTATCTGTTCTAGGACCTTTCCTGGTATCGACGCCAAGCTCACCGGTCAGTAGTTACCTGGGTCTTCTCCCCCCCCCCCCTTTTTAAAAGATAGGGACAACATGAGAGTCATGTTGTGGGTTCGAATCCCACATTGGGCAAAAAGAGTCTTGCATTGCAGAGGGTTGGACTAGATGACCCTCAGTATTCTCGGGTTCTATGATTCTATCCCTGATTATAATACATACAGGCACACACACAACATACACACACTCTCTCTAACAAGGAAAATCATTGTATAAAACAGTTTTTAGTAGTCGTCATAGGATAACTCTCTTTCTCTCTCCCCCTCCCCCTTCTTTGGCTTTGTTTTATAAAACAATATATTATTTTCTTTAAAGAGGGAAGGAAGGCGCTCCAGATTCCCCTTGCCCTCCCTAGTGGAGGAGAGTTCCGCAGTCCCAGGAGAGGCTCGTATCTGGCGGGGGGAATCGCTCCCTGCAGGGCGTCAGTGGCAAATCCTCGAGGTCATTTCCTTCTGTCGAATAAAAGAGGGTGGGGAAAAGAACTGAGTGCTTTTCTGCCGTTCGAAACTGTGAGAAAGAATGAATATCTATCTATATCTATATCAGCTTGGCTGCATTTTAATGTTTCAATGTTTTAATGTTGTATTTTAATCTTCTTTTTAAGTTGTATTCATTCAACTTGTTTTTATTATTGCTTGTTAGCCGCCCTGAGCCCGGCCTTGGCTGGGGAGGGCGGGGTATAAATAAAATTTATTATTATTATTATTATTATTATTATTATTATTAACATTGCACAGCAAAAAGGTAAAATAAGGTTCAGGGCACCACAATTATTTTTTTTTAAAAAGCAGCAAGCTGCTAGACCTTATGAAGGTCTTTTAGGCAAGGTAGGTTAACAGCATATAAATATAATATTAATAACAGTACCAGTAATAATGAAGATGATGGTAATAATAAAAACGATTTCCAAATATTACTTGGCGTTGCCATTTCCTTTTTCAAATCATCTTATTATGTCTTATGGGAATGACTTTGGAATTTTGCACACCAGGCAGTATATGAATGCTACAAAAATGATGATGATCATAATAATAATACGTGGGGTAGCTCAGTCGGTAGAGCATGAAGCTTTTAATCTCAAGGTCGTGGGTTCAAGTCCCATGTTGAGCAAAAAGATTCCTGCATGGCAGGGGGTTGGGCTAGATGACCCTTGTGGTCCCTTCTCGCTCGACGGTTCCAATATTACTAATGACAATTTCCAAATGAGGCTTAGCCTTGGGCCTTCCTCTTCTTTTCCAAAATGACCTCAGTGCAAGCCGCTTAGTGATTCTGCACATCGAGCGGTATATAAATATCACTGAAAGCCACAGGCTCATAGAACTGTGGCGCTGGAAGGGAACACCAAAGATCATCCAGCTCAACCCCTGACAATGCAGGAGGGCTGTATTTTATGCCATCACCTCAGTGGTTTTGTACATATAAATACCGTCATACCTCGGGTTACAGATGCTTCAGGTTGAGTGTTTTCGGGTTAAGGATGCGCTGAAACCCAGAAGTACTGGAATGGGTTACTTCCGGGTTTTAACGCTCATGCATGCGCAGAAGCGCTAAATCACGCTTTGCGCATGCGCAGAAGCGCCAAATTGCAACCCGTGCGTGTGCAGATGAGGCGCTGCGGGTTGCGAACCCTGCGGGTTGCAAATGTGCCTCTTCCACGGATCACGTTCACAACCCGAGTGTCCACTGTATAATAATAATAATAATAATAATAATAATAATAAATAATAATAAGTAATAATTATGAAAAGATTGGCAACCCTTTTCCCCAGAGGAGGCCTGGTCCCAGGCCAAGGGGCTCAGCGCGGCTGGGGACTCACCAGGGGCTCCAGCTCCTTGGTGTCAATGAGGCCAAACTCTGTCACAAAATAGTAAAAGTGCTTGTAGCAGGTGTTGACGTGGGCTTCGGAGCCCATCTGGGCGATGCGGTCAAAGTGGTGGATGTAGACGTGGACGAAGACTCGGAAGAGTCGCGAGAGGATCTTCTTGACGGACTTGAGGAAGTTCTTCTGGAACGGGGTACCTGGTGCGAGAAACGCACATGATGCCCAGGTCACGACGGGCGGCGGAGATGCCCAACACACAAACACACCGCCCCTGTCTAAGGTCAATACTGTCCACACTGGCTGGCAGCAGCCCTTCAGCAGCCTTTTGGACCTCTACGGCTGAGCTATGGCCTTCCCTCTAATAAAAAAGTATCTAGTCCTCCTCGTTCCAAATACCGTATTTTTTGCTCTATAAGACTCACTTTTTCCCTCCTAAAAAGGAAGGGGAAATGTGTGTGCGTCTTATGGAGTGAATGCAGGCTGCGCAGCTATCCCAGAAGCCAGAACAGCAAGAGGGATTGCTGCTTTCACTGCGCAGTGATCCCTCTTGCTGTTCTTGCTTCTGAGATTCAGAATATATTTTTTCTTGTTTTCCTCCTCCAAAAACTAGGTGCGTCGTGTGGTCTGGTGCGTCTTATAGAGCGAAAAATACGGTATACAGCTGATTTAAGTAGCAAGCTTGCTTCCTATCAAGTCAGACTGATGGGTCCATCCAGCCCCCTACTGATCAGCCTTCTTGCTCCTGATGTGAACCAGCTGACTCCAGTTTCTTAAGCAGGGCTTCCAGCCTCAGTGAGTTGCTGGAAACAAACATTTGTCCTTCCTGACCAGACCTTGCTGCTTCTTGAGACTCACGGCTTTCTTGACCCCCGGATCGTCCAACTACGTGAACTGAGATACACCTGACCTTAGGACTGGACTGGACCTTGTATACAGACTCTGCCCTGAGACTTGGCTGGTTTCTCCAATGGATCAGTTGCCAAGACTGGAAGTCCCTGCCTTCCTACAGCCGTCTCAACCCCCTCCTCCCCAGGGCTTTCTCCAAACAATCGGAGACTGCTCCTGTGTGTAGCCAACCTCTCCTCCGCCCTTTTCATGCCTCTCCTGGTTCTGGGAGACCAGCGGAGAGGGGAGCTTGTCACAGCGGGAGGGGGAGACCTCCATGGCTCTTCCCCAGCTGGACTCATCTCTGCCTCTCTCCTCTCCTGCTTCAGTTTCCACCTCTGATTCCGGACTTCCCTTGGGGGTTCCCCCAGCAGGTTCCTCCCACCACTCTTCTGCATCCAGTCAGTCCATGACAGCTGCCTAGGTCTCCTCCCCTCATGGGTTTTCCCCAAGGAATCGGAGACTGCGCCTGCGCAAAACCAACCTCTCCTCCGCCCTTTTCATGCCTCTCCTGGTTCTGGGAGACTAGCAGGGAGGGGAGCTGGTTGCAACAGGAGGGGGAGACCCCCGTGACTCTTCACCACCCGGACTCATCTCTGCCTCCTGGCCTCCCTCCTCTCCTGCTTTAGCTCTTGCCTCCAATTCTGGACTGCTCTCTGCCACAGACTCTCCCCGCTCACTAAACCCTGTTACCTCTTCAGCCTCCGACACCTCCACCTCCCAGTCCTCTTCCTCTTCTCCCTCTGACCACTCATTGCCATTCCACCACCCCTCCACGGGCTCTGAGCCTTCTTCCCGTGGGGGTTCCCCAGCTGGTCCTCCCCCCACTTCCTCTGGGTCCAAAGCACCCCACGACAGAGGATCTGTCCAGCACAGGGCAAAAACTGAACCATCACCTTCCCGTGACTTGGGAATGCAAGGTTGTTATAATAATAATAATAATAATAATAATAATAATAATAATAATAATAAATTTATTATTTATACCCCGCCCATCTGGCTGGGTTTCCCCAGCCACTCTGGGCGGCATCCAACAAAGTATTAAAGTACACTAGTCTGTTAAACATTAAAAGCTTCCCTAAAAAGGGCTGCCTTCAGATGTCTTCTAAAAGCCTGGTAGTTGTTTTTCTCTTTGACATCTGGTGGGAGGGCGTTCCACAGGGCGGGTGCCACCACCGAGAAGGCCCTCTGCCTGGTTCCCTGTAACTTTGCTTCTCGCAATGAGGGAACCGCCAGAAGGCCCTCAGCACTGGACCTCAGTTTCCGGGCAGAACAATGGGGTTGGAGACGCTCCTTCAGGTATACTGGGCCATTTAGGGCTTTCAAGGTCAACACCAACACTTTGAATTGTGCTCGGAAACGTCCTGGGAGCCAATGTAGGTCTTTCAAGACAGGTGTTATGTGGTCTTGGCGGCCGCTCCCAGTCACCAGTCTAGCTGCCGCATTCTGGATTAATGCAGCCTAGAATCACATTCGCCTTTTTGTGCAGCCGCATCACGCTGCTGCCCCCCCCCGCCCCCCGCAGCAAATCCCGGAAATGGACTCACCAACGTTGGTGGGGAAAAGGTCCTCGTTGTTGATCTGCACTTCGATCCAGTCCATCAGCAGGTCCATGTATTGTGGGGCCGAGAGGGCAGTGGGCTTGCGGGATTTCTCGTCTTGCCACCGGTACTCATATTTCGGACCCCCGGACATGACAGGGCAGCTCTGCTCCGTGCAGGAGTCAGCGATGGTCCCATAGATGAGGTTGATGCGGTTGAAGAAGTCCACCACGTGGACGGCCACCCAGTCGTTCAACTCCTCGCCCGGCGGCAGCTGCACAGCCACCTTCAAGTCCAGCCCGGCGTTGAGAGACGCCTGCGCCATTTTGTGCAGCTCGAAGCGCTGCGTTCCGGGTTCAAATTTCTTCTTGGGGCGGAACGTGCGGTCCTTGTTGAAAACTTGCCGCAGAGGGTTAGACATCTCCTGCTCGACTCGGCTGCCCCCCAAAAGTTACTGATAGCAGAGAGATTTGCCACTGCGACAGAGGAGTTTTTCGGACAACCGAATTTTAAAGTGTCAAGGAGTTCCGCCGGTCGTACAGAGGCTCTTCAACCTGCAGCAAAAGATAGACATGGCTTTTATAAAATGCCTTTTCTTTTTAAAACAGAGGGTTTTTTTGGGGGGGGATACTTGTGACTCTTGGGGTCCCTTCCAACTGTACAATTCTATAATCCTGTGATCCAGTCCAAGCCTGGAATTAGAGGTGATTGTGTTATTGTAGTAATAATAATAATAATAATAAATATTTATTTGTACCCTGCCCTCCCCAGCCAGAGCCGGGCTCAGGGTGGCTAACATCACAAAACTAACACAGTATACAAAAACATAAGAACATAAAGAACAAGCAATCAATTAATTAAATATATCTTAAAATTAGTTTAGAGCAAATTAAAATCCAGACAGATGGCAGTGCGCAGGTAAAATTGAGAGAGGTTAATATTCTCCAAGGGATGCGAGTGGCGCTGTGGGTTAAGTCCAAGCGCCTAGGACTTGCTGATCAGAAGGTCGGCGGTTCGAATCCCCGCAATGACGGGGTGAGCTCCCGTTGCTCGGTCCCAGCTCCTGCCAACCTAGCAGTTCGAAAGCACGTCAAAGTGCAAGTAGATAAATAGGTACCGCTCCGGTGGGAAGGTAAACGGCGTTTCCATGTGCTGCTCTGGTTCGCCAGAAGCGGCTTAGTCTTGCTGGCCACATGACCTGGAAGCTGTACGCCGGCTCCCTCGGCCAATAAAGCGAGATGAGCGCCGCAACCCCAGAGTCGTCCGCGACTGGACCTAATGGTCAGGGGTCCCTTTACCTTTTTAATATTCTCCAGGGCCAACTGTTACCACTGGTCTTTTAAAGGACCCGTGAATGGGCTAGATAGCCTCTTTAATGCTTATTCTTATACAGAAAGAAAAGAATCAGACTGAACCCTGACTAAAGGCCTGGCGGAAAGATGTCAAATCCCACAGGGTCCTAGTCTCTTATGATAGAGCGTTCCACCAGGCCGGGGCCACGGCCAAAAAGGCCCTGGCTCTGGTCAAGGCCAGTCTAATCTCCCTGGGGCCTGGGATCTCTAATGTTATAAGAGAGAGAAAATAGGGTGCAGCAAAGGGGAGAAATTTAAAAAAAAAACACCACAGAAAGTGGAGTGGGAAGAAATAATTAATATGTATTGGAATGCATGTGTGAAATTTCTGGAAATTTAATAAAATATAACTGGGGGGAAATGAAGGCGCCTCCTACTGAATTAACTGCCTCCTTGTTCACGGTTAAAAACATGCAATGTGTGTGTGTGTATGATAAATGGTTCTTGAAGGACAGGAATCGAGGCCCCTGGGGTGTCCCTAAAAGACGAGAGGTGTGCTGTGAAGGGAAGCTGAGAGAGGAAGTCGAGGGCGGGGAGAGAGGGAGGGCAGGATCCGACCGTCCTCCTGCAGTGGTGCAAGCCCCATTTATGAAGAAGCGAGTTTGAGCTTCGCTGAAAAGCCACATCCTGTGTGCAGACACATGTCAGTTTTGGTGAAGAAAGCAGGAAGTGCAGAAAGAGAGCGAGAGAGAAGCTGCGTCTCGAAAAAACACAAAAGCGCCCACGAGAAGATATTGCTTCAACGCTTTGGAATCGTAGAGTCAGAAGGGACCCAAGGGTCATCTAGTCCAACCCCCCATGCAATGCAGGAATCTCAAGTAAAGCATATAGAATTTTTTGGACCACCCTGGAGAGAGGGGGTTTTCCTGTAAAAAAAGGGGGGGGGATCTGCTTGGAATAAGCTGGTTGCTAGTTGCCATCGACAGCCCACTCCTCCTCCACAAATTTCCCCATTCCTCTTTTAAACCCTGTGGGAGGGAGTTCCACAGTTTATCGGGAAAAGTCTGCCTGGAATCTTCCCATGATCAGCTTCCTTGGATGTCTGCAAGATCCAATGTTAGAAGAGGGAGAGAGGAGGCCTTTTTCTCAATCCACTTCCTCCAAGTCAGGCATCTACCCCCTCTTACGCCGCCTCCCAAACTCTCCTTGCCTGACGCAGACCCAGAGGCCCATTGAACCCAGGATCCTGTTTCTGACAAGGGTCAGCAAGAGGCCTGCAGGGAAGCCCACCACAAATGCACCAGCCTTTCCCTGTCCGCTTAGTTTAGTCGTTTAGTCATGTCTGCCTCTTCGTGACTCCCTGGACCAGAGCACGCCAGGCCCTCCTGTCTTCCACTGCCTCCCGCAGTTTGGTCAGACTCATGCTGGTCGCTTCGAGAACACTGTCCCACCATCTCGTCCTCCGTCGTCCCCTTCTCCTTGTGCCCTCAATCTTTCCCAGCATCAGGGTCTTTTCCAGGGAGTCTTCTCCTCTCATGAGGTAGCCAAAGTCTTGGAGCCTCAGCTTCAGGATCTGTCCTTCCAGTGAGCACTCAGGGCTGATTTCCTTCAGAATGGAGAGGTTTGATCTTCTTGCAGTCCATGGGACTCTCAAGAGTCTCCTCCAGCACCAGAATTCAAAAGCATCCATTCTTCGGTGATCAGCCTTCTTGATGGTCCAGCTCTCACTTCCATCCATCACTACTGGGAAAACCATAGCTTTAACTATACGGACCTTTGTTGGCAAGGTGATGTCTCTGCTTTTTAAGATGCTGTCTAGGTTTGTCATTGCTTTTCTCCCAAGAAGCAGGCGTCTTTTAATTTCGTGACTGCTGTCACCATCTGCAGTGATCATGGAGCCCAAGAAAGTAAAATCTCTCCCTGCCTCCATTTCTTCCCCTTCTATTTGCCAGGAGGTGATGGGACCAGTGGCCATGATCTTCGTTTTTTGGATGTTGAGCTTCAGACCATATTTTGTGCTCTCCTCTTTCACCCTCATTAAAAGGTTCTTTAATTCCTCCTCACTTTCTGCCATCAAGGTTGTGTCATCAGCATATCTGCAGCAGTTGCTAATTCAGAGGTAGACTGCCCCTGTGTGGGGAGGTTCAGATTATTAAATACAGGGAAACGTCTTCCTCTTTGGCAAGGCTTTATCATCAAACTTTTTAGAAGGCAGACAGAAGGAAACAGTATACACTGTGCTTGTAATAAAAAAGGTAGAATTAATTTTACAGGTCTGGAATCCAGGCCTGATGAGGAACGGTTGAAGGAGCTGGGCATGTTTAGGCTGGAAAAGAGGAGACTGAGAGCAGATATGAGAGCCACCTTCAAATATCTCAAAGGCTGTGACAAGGAAGGTGGAACAAGCTGGTTTTCTCCTGCTCCGGAGGGTAGGACTCGAACCTGTGGCTTCAAGTTATAGAATGGAGACTCCGACTAAACATATGGTAGAAACTTTCTGACAATAAGAGCTGTTCAACAGGGGAAGGTTTCTAAGCAGAGGTTGGGTGGACATCTGCCATGAATGCTTTAGCTGAGATTCCTGCATTGCAGGGGGTTGGGCTGGATGACCCCTGGGGTTCCCTTGCAACTCCACAATTCTATGATTCTATGACTCAATGAAATGCATATTTTTATTTTTAAAAAGTCAGGGAGCTAGAAAACAATGCTGAACTATCCTTTTCACAGTCCTTCTCAAGTCATTTTACTGGAGGACAGTGTTTCATTTTTTGTTGCACAATATTCATGTAAGTCTGCTTTTGGAATCCACATGGACAAGACCAACTTTGACCCTCTATACACTATAAAATGAAATATAAAGTCTTTACAAAAAGGGGGAAAGTCTAACTTTTGTCCCTGCTTAAAACTTTTTTGTTTAGCCAAGTAGAAGTTACATGTGTTTATTTCCACCATCCTTTGAATATTTCCACATAAAGTGCTTTTAACTGCCCCCCCCCTTAAAAAATGACAAATTCAAACATTTCCTATTGTCATTAAACTTCTTAGAGGTTCTTAAGTGGTATACAAATTTTGTGAAATAATACACAGATCCATTTATTTCAACGGGTCTACTCTGAGGAGTATTAACAACAAGAACAATAGTTCTGTTTATATACCGCCCTTTATAAAAGATCCCAGAAACAAATCAATAAATCAATATTTATTTATTGTATTCACAGCCCCACCCCCCAAAAAAATCTCAATTTAATCCCCACAACACGAGGAAGTTGAGAGGCAGCCAGGAAGCAACGGATCAAAAAAACCCTCTTTATTCTACCCATACATATCCCATCGATAGGTACTCAGCCACGATTCCCGCATTTCAAGGAATCTTTGCTTTGTTATTTATAAATAACATTATTATTATTTATTAAACCCAGGTTCATGTTCTTACCGGCACCACTTTCCGACCGGAACAAAATGCAGAGCCTCTGGCGGAACTGGCGATGGGTCTGCTCGTCGTTGCCTGCTTTTTTGAATTATAAGAAGAAGGGAGAGGGAAAAAGACAGAAAAAGGTGGATATTTTAAGAAAACGCACCGGAATGGGATCCTGAGGTCACCCTACGGAGCTTGGATTGCAAGTCGCTCACTCGGATCCTGACCCAAAACACGGGAAACCTCTCCGCTTGAGGAAGATTCAGAACCCCGATGAGTAACGCCTGCTGAACTCACTTCCTTTTAGGGAAAGCGATGCTCGTGCAAGAGGTTTTTTTCTTTTCTTTTCTTCTTCTTTTTAAAAAACCCAAGGACAACATTATTTATACGAAAATGACGTTTTTTGGAGGGGAGCCAGGAGAACGCCACCCTCCCTTGGTTCAACTGATCTGGGCTTTCCAAAGTGGTTGGAACTGACACTCTCAGGGGTCGGTGGAAATGATTCTGGGGTGAATTTTTTTATGTTTTGTAAAAATCTATGCACTTCTAAGAACAAGACCTAGACTGAATGATACGTTCATGTTTTATTATAATATTTTATATGTTGAGAGTCGGCCAGAGTGGCTGGGACAGCCCAGTCAGATGGGTGCTGTAATAATAATAATAATAATAATAATAATAATAATAATAATTTATTATCTATACCCTGCCCATCTGGCTGGGTTTCCCCAGCCACTCTGGGTGGCTTCCAACAGAATATTAAAATACAAGAGTCTATTAAACATTAAAAGCTTCCCTAAACAGGGCTGCCTTCAGATGTCTTCTAAAAGTCTGGTAGTTATTATTATTAAAAAGGACATCCGTCTTTTCACTGGAGAAATGTTGAAGCATATGGTGCTTTAATAGTAAAAAAAAAAAGGCTGCAATAATACATTGGGTTAAAGATACATTTGTCTCTTTTATCGCTTTATTTTTGCTGTCAATTTTGCCATTTCCGCATAGTCCATTAACTTATGAATCGGCCGAGGGTGTGTGTGTGTGTGTCTATCTATCTACCTACCTATCTCAGGGGTCAGCAAACTTTTTCAGCAGGGGGCCAGTCCACTGTCCCTCAGGCCTTTTGGGGGGCCAGACTATATTTTGAAGGGGGGGAAATGAACGAATTTCTATGCCCTGCAAATAACCCAGGGATGCATTTTAAATAAAAGCACACATGTTTTGCCTACCCTTCATTTTGACGCCAATAAATAATATAAAGGGGGGGGAGAGAAAACCCCCTAAACTTCCAAATGAAAAAGACTCACTGATGATTTAAAAAAATAAAAACCCCAGGACTTTCAGGAAGCCAGAATCCCAATTATTCATAGTTCTTTGAAATGAGGAATTCCCCCTGGCAGGAAATTCTTTCTGCATGCTTACAACGGGAAGATTGCCAGGAAAATCCATTTCCTGCATCTTTCCAGCAACTGGGCTCCAAATGCTGGTTTTGATCTACCAGTTCCTCGTTTCGAGTTTCCAGATTGTGAATATTTTCGGCTGAAATATTCCCCCCACCGAACCGCAGCCCCCCACCCTGAGACACAGCTGCAAAGCAGGAAGCCCAGAGTTCGAATGCCGCCTCTGACATGAGGCATGCGAAAGGCAAGCCACACCAACCGCCCTGCTCTCGGCCTCAGTCTTCCCCATCTGCAGAATGGGCTGAAGAACACGGGCAAACTTTGCAGCTCTGTCATAAGGGACAAGATACCCTGTGCGGAGTTCTTTGAACCCCATTTGGAGAGTCCCATAGGAAGAGAGAATTTAGTTTTTCCTGTTTGATTTTTTTTATCATTATTCTCTTTAGTTTAGCTTGAATTTTATGGTATATTAGGTTGAAAACTTTTAATAACATTGATTTTTTTTTAAAGTTCTCATAGTCCCCTGCAATTCACATTTTGCTGCATTGGTAAGATTTTGAAATAACAATTACAAGGTGAGCCCGGCTTGGCTGGGGAGGGCGGGATATAAATAAAATTTAATTATTATTATTAATAATAATAATCCAGATCAAATGGGGGGAAGGGGTGGAATTCAAATGAATCTGACAAGCTTCTGAAAAAAATTAAGATGCCCTCAAGTCCCTAACCGGCACTTTACCGGGGGGGGGGGAGTTTTATTTTTGATTTATATTTTGATATTGTTTTGCAAATAACAGTTATCAAAGAGGGTGGGAATTGCTTGGAGCAGAAAGTCTCTGGAATTGCCGTCTTTTCCCGTGTATAAAACAATGTTTTCTGAAAAGGAAGGGACCTTTTATCATATGTGGTGGGAATGTAAAGAAATTTTTAAAAAAATTGGGAAATGATATATAATGAATTGAAGAAAATGTTTAAAATGACATTTGTAAAAAAAACCAGAAGCATTCTTGTTAGGGATTGTAGGAAAAGACCTGCCAAGGAAATTAAAGAACTTATTTATGTATGCAACAACGACAGCAAGAGTCTTGATAGCACAAGGATGGAAGAACGAGAAATTGATGGATTATGCAGAACTGGCGAAACTGACATATAAACTGTGAGATAAGGACAACTGTGACTTCAAAGAAGAATGGGAACTTTTTACAAAGTATTTAAAAAGACAACAAAATGAATTGGACTCTTTGGCGGGTTTTTAATAAACATACACAAACCTATTGATTGCTAACATAGTAAACAGATAATATAAGGATTTATACAATTTTACAGAACGCAGAGAACAAGAGGTGTTGAGAAATCAGAGAGAGGAGCTGGGGAGGGGGAAGGGGGAAAATAATGAATATAATATGTTTTGATATTGTGTTATGTTGAAATTGCTAATAAAAAATAAAAATAAAACGATGTTTTCTGCTAACTTTATTTAGTCAAAAATTGGGGGTTGTCTTAAATGTTCCTCCTCCCCGTTAGTTGGCAACCCACCGTGGGAAAAACAGAAGGAGAGGATCGCTGGGGGGCGGGGAGGAAAGTTAATCGCCCCCAAACCTCTTGATCTTACAAGGTAGAGGTCACTACTCGCGAGTAAGAGAGGAAGCAGGCTTTTCCGGGGCGCGGAACACCGGAAATCCGCAGTGCATTGCAACATCAGACAGACTTTTATTTTTGCAAAGGGGAAGAAAGCTGCAATGCAAATTCGACCGCCGATTTTAAAAGGGGAGCCGGACGCGCATCCCCGCATCCTCACGTGCGCCTTACCTGCTTTCCGGAGGGGGGCACCCCAAAACGCGTGTCAAGGTCAGTCTCCCCCCGGCCACGTTCTCGGATCGCTGGAAAAGAGGGAAACTCTCCGCACGTTACTCCACCCTGGAGGCAGGATCGGGACTGAGCGGCACCACCCCTTCCGGGTCCCCATCCAGGCAGTGCCCCGGCGTGGTCCTACTCGAGAGTAAACCCGTTGAAATTGCAGGGCATCCCCATCTTAATAATAATTTATGGCCCGCGCATCTGGCTGGATTTCCCCAGCTGCTCTGGGTGGCTTCCAGCACGTACAAAAACATAATATTTATTTATAAATATTATTTTAAAAACCATAATATTATTTTTGGGTGGGGAAGTTTTTCAAGCTGAAAAGTCTTGGCCGTCCTCTGCAATTGCTTCATCTCCATATTTGCAGGAAGGGAAGGCTGGTGGCTGTAGAAGCAACACCTCCTCACCTGGTTCACCTGCGGAACTCACCGCAACAAGAGCATCCTTTTTTGTCATATGTGGTGGAAGTATATAAAAGCTAAAGGTTTTGGGGGAAAAGATAGATAACGAGTTGAAGAAAATGTTCCAGTGAGTTGTTCCCAAAAGTCCTGCAGCTTTTCTCCTAGGGTGGTAGTTCCCAACAAAAGATGATTCAACTAATTATGTCTGCAACAACAGCAGCCAGAATAATTAGTTACTAAGGAGGAGGAATTGCTTCAGAAGTTAGGGAACGAAAATATCCTGGAAGTAAGGGTGGGGAGTCAGATTTTTAAGAAAAACGTATGTTGAAATGTAAGTAAACTGGCCAATCTGTGAAAAATCAATTTAAAATATCTCTAATAATAATATTAATAAAAACAAGTGTCCTGGCAGATCCTAGTGGAAAAGGACTAAGGCAAATTCACAAAAAAGGATACAATCTACCAAGGGTAACCAGCAACTATGGTCAGTGCAAAGCATCCCAACCGGGGGCAGTCTATCTGCATGTTTCTTGTTTCTTTTTAATTTTTTATTAACAATTTCAACATAAAAAATTATCAAAACCTATCATATTCATTATTTGCCCCCCCCTTCAAACCCTGTCTCCCCCCCCCGAGACTTCCCTCAGCTCCTCTCTCTGATTTCCCAGCACATATTATTCTCTGCATGTTATAAAACTATACATTTCCTTACATTATCTATCTACCATGTTATCAACCAATAAATTTGCCTGCCAAGGAGTCCCGTTCATTTGGTTGTCTTTTTAAATAAATTGTAAAAAGCTCCCATCCCATCCTGCATGTTTATTTATTTATTTGAAACTTTTACAAACCGCACTTTCATTGGAAAATAGCTGTCCCCTCTCTTTTCCCCCAATTGTACCTTTCCCTGCTTATTTGTCTGTTTCGTAACACAAGGAAATATTTAATAATATTTTGTTTGTTTTTTTAAAAAGAGGAAAGTTAGCCAGACTAACTTGTGGAACTCCCTGCCACAGGAGCGCTTAAGAGCAGCGGGGAGAGGGGAGAGTTGGCAACGCTGCCCTCAGAAGAGACCTCCCTCAGGAGAACCGGAACGTGCTCCGGAACGATCTAGAACCATCGGGGCTGTTCTGGAACGTTCCCTAGAAGCCAGAATGCCCCATTGTCTGACGCCCTGGAGATGCCAGGAATGGGAGATGGGTTGGCGGACCCCATGCCTGGCCTTGGTGGCGGTTCTGATCCTGGGGCCGGGCCCCTCCTGGCTCTGCCTGCAGTGCGACCCCAATTTCGCCCTCCGCTTCGCCTCCTACGCCCCCCACCTGAGCCGCAAGTCCTGGGGGCTGGGGGACGTCCCGGCTGCCGGGCGGAGGCTGCGGGGCTGGGCCCAGGACACCTTGGCGGAACTCAAGCTGGGGGTCCCGGCCGAGATCCGTGAGTCGACTCCCAGGGTGCCGGATGTGGCCCTCCAAACCTCCCGATGTGGCCCTCGGGTCAGAGCACCTCCTAAGCAATAACACCCCCTCTCTCCCCATGGACGGGCCCCATGTCAAATATGGGGAAATTCAGGCTTGTGTGCCAGTGTGGCCCTCGAGACCTCTCCACCTGGCCCCTGGAAATCTCCACAGGCCACTCCCCCTGGCGCCGGGCCCCGGCCCCCGTGCCCTCATTTGCCCAGCTGGGTCTGCAGCCTTCTTACATCCCTTGCACCGCCCACTGTTGCCCCTGAAATGCGGCCCTGGGAAGGCCAGCTTGAAGGAAACGTGGCCCTTGAGCTGAAACAAATAGGTTTCTCCCCACCTGCCACTTAGACAAAGGAAGACAAGGCTTTCCTGCACCGGGTTCACCTGTGGAACTCCCTTCCACAAGGTGTGGCGGTGACTAAAAACCAGGTTATTCTTTTTTATAAAATCGAAATGTCCCTTTGCCAAAATTCGTGACCTGTTAGGAGCGCAGCCTTGCATTTAAGGTCCATGTGGACTGCAGCTTCCGGGGGGGCTTATAATTTTTTGTATGCTCTCTCCCCACATCCTGTCTTTTCCCCATCTCTCCCCATCTTGCACAGCGATGGAGAAACTCCAGGCAATAGCTACAGTCGTCTACGGGAAGCTGGACACCCTCTTCAAAGGCAACACTTACAAGCCAGGTAAATAGATATAAATATAGATATATAGAAAGGGTCTGCCTTTATCTGTTTGCCCGGATTAGGATGACCATTTATGGCAACTAGAATCGCCCGGGGCTGCGATTCCTCTGCAAAAGTCTGCAGATGTTCCTCATCACAGAACTGTAGAGTCGGAAGGGACCCCCAGAGGCATCTAGTCCAACCCCCTACGATGCACGAATCTTTTGCCCAATGTGGGGCTCGAATTCACAACCCTGAGGTTAAGATTCATGCTCTACCAAGTTTAAAGACACACACACACATGCTGCCGGGCCTCTCTCTCTCTTCTCCCCCCCAAAAGGTGGCCTTCCGGAAATCCTGCGTTCCATTTTCGAGGAACAAGTCAAATTGCTACGGAATGCCATCATCGAAAGTGAGTGTTCCCTCCTTCCGTCGTTTGGAGTTTATTTCCTGGATTATACATACCTGTGTTTTGTAGCAGGGCTTAGTTAAAAAGAGGCATATTAAGAAAGCAGGATGGCTCTTTCACGCAGAAGCCCCTCTCTCAGGCCGGCTTGTGGGAATGCCTCTTTCAAAATGGTGGCCAACGGGAATGCATCGCCTCTGGATAAAAAGCTAAAGCGTGTTAATTCTATTTTTGAAAGCAGTTGGTACCGTATTAAGCAGTTGGTCCCTTCCCTTTCCCGCCCCGCCCTGGCCATGGTGATCCATGCGACGGTCACCTCCAGGCTTGACTACTGTAATTCGCTCTATGCGGGGCTGCCCTTGAAGCTGACCCAGAAACTCCAGTGGGTGCAGAATGCTGCAGCGAGGCTCCTCAGGGGGTCTCTGCCATGGGAGCATATTCACCCAGTGCTTTACCAGTTGCACTGGCGCCTGGTGGAGTACAGGGTCAGGTTCAAGGTGCTGGTTTTTACCTTTAAAGCCCTTCATGGCCTAGGACCCTCGTACCTACGGGACCGCCTCTCCCGGTATGCCCCACAGAGAGCCTCAAGGTCCATAAATAGCAACACCCTAGAGTCCCAAGTCACAAGATTGGTCTCAACTAGGGCCAGGGCCTTTTCAGCACTGGCCCCGACTTGGTGGAACGCTCTGTCCCAAGAGACTAGGGCCCTGCGGGACTTGAGATCTTTCCGCAGGGCCTGCAAGACAGAGCTTTTCCGCCTGGCCTTTGGTCTGGACTCAGTCTGACCCTTATGTTTCCCTCCCCTTATGGTTTTGATCTATGGGCTACTTTTAAAATGAGGCTGCATTTTAAATTACATTTTAACCTGTATTCTAAATTGGTTCCCCCCCCCTATTATGTTTTTACTGTAATTTTATTGGTGTTAGCCGCCCTGAGCCCGGCTCTGGCCAGGGAGGGCGGGGTATAAATAAAATTTATTATTATTATTATTATTACTTTGGAAATGCATGTAATATTGAGCAGCAAATAAGGCTGGGTAGGGAAACATCAAGGCCGTGGGAGTCGGTGTGTAAATTTGTATTAAATTATAATCAATTTGATGTTCGGTTGTTAAAATTTTTGAAGAGCAATAGCAAGTGAATTGGCAAAACAAAGAGGGATGCCACCTTGAACAGGCAGCCGATGGAAGTGCGGGAATGTCTCATCGAAAAGTTCAGCTCTTGGGAATCCCTCTTCTAATACGGCAGCCAGTGATAGATAGATAGATAGATAGATAGATAGATAGATAGATAATTTATTACAATCAAAGACCAGCTCACATAACATAACACAATAAAAACAGCGTTCATAAAGATAAAATATACAGTTGGAGCAGATTGCAGCAATAGCTCATGACTTAAAATTGAGATATATACATATACCTGTACAACTGAGATTTGGGCTACCACAAAAAATTGACCCTGAGGCGCCCCAAAGGGCGACTTCAGCATTTCCCCAGTAAGCTATTTTATTCTAGAGGATGATCTGTGCCTACAAATCTGGGCGCAGAATCTGGCTACCAGCCAGGTCGTCTTGTGATCTTTGCCTAAGAGGAGAGAATGATGTTTAGACATGTCTGAAAGATCGGCGAGCCCCTTCAGCAAAGGATCAATGGTGTCTCTGCGAATCTCAACATATATCTAAAAAATATATGTTCGAGGCTTCCTATTTCCCCTAATGGGCAGGCGCAAAGTCTCTGTGCGTACGGGACTCTTCTATAGGAGCCTTCCAGAACCGGTGAGGGCAAGGCTGAGCTTCTAGCAAGAGTGAAAGCCCTTCTTGCATTTCTGGATGTGAGGCAATAGAGATATGTTGCTGGAGGGGCTACGTATCTCCCGTTTTCTATGAATTTATAATCGGGGACCCTTGTACAGTCTTGTTGTCTCTCTATGTCCAGGATTCTTTGCCTAACCACGGATCTAGCTTGGCCCAAGCCCATAGTTATGAGGGTTTGGGGAGCAGGGTCCAGTTTCTGAAGAGTGTTTAAGATTGCTGTCTGCCAGCCAGACTGAAACTGGTCGCTAAGAATCGATGGGGCTATTCCTCGGGAGAGCAGTTTCAGAGTTAGCCACTTACCGTATTTTTCGCTCTATAGGACGCACTTTTTCCCCTCCAAAAATTAAGGGGAAATGTGTGTGTGTCCTATAGAGTGAATGCAGGCTCCTTGGCTTCAGCGATAGCAACACGAAGCCCCCGAAGCGCAGAGGGAGCGCTCCCTCTGCGCTCCGGAGGCTTCGCATTGCTTTCGCTGAAGCCTGGAGAGCGAGAGGGGTCGGGGCACACAGACCCCACTCGCTCGCCAGGCTTCAGGGATAGCCGTCTGAAGCCTTCAGAGTGCAGCGCAAGTTCCCGCTGCGCTCCAAAGGCTTCAGGTTCCTTTCGCTGAAGCCAAGAGAGCAAGACTCTCCCGGCTTCAGCAGAGAGGGAGAGCTGCTCAGCGCCCCTTCAGCCAAGCGGGAGGAGAAATGGAAGGGGCTCCGTTTCTCCTGCCGCTTTGTTGAAGGGGCGCTGAGCAGAGAGGGGGAGAATTTTTTCCCCCTTGTTCTCCCCCTCTAAAACAAGGTGCGTCCTACGGTCCGGTGTGTCCTATAGAGCGAAAAATACGGTATATATTGATGTTAGACTGATATGAGCTTTGATTTTCATCATGCCTGTTTCTAGTCTGACATGGCAGCTAGTGGGAAGAACCCTTCTCAACTGACAGCTTGTGGGAAACTTTTTTCTTTTTGTATAACTTTTATTAATTTTCCAAATTTTAACAATTACTGCATACAATGCCGTTACATAACAACCATTGTATCATTTGCTCTTGCAGAGCTTTCGACTTCCCTCCGTCCTTTTTCTGGTTTCCTTCTGCTACATTTTATTTTGCACATTTATAACATCTCCATCCTATATTTATCTTGTCTTAACATTCACTTTTGTCTTAAATAGAATGTTGATTCTTCTTACGAAGCGAGTCTTATCTCGGTCCTGCTAGTGTCTTTATATGTGTACAATGAGTCTCTATGTATAGTATAAATTTAGTCCATTCTTTCTGGAACACTTGATCACCCTGGTTCTGGATACGTCCCATCAGCCTTGCCATTTCCGCATACTCCATTGCCTTCGTCTGCCATTCTTCTATTGTTGGTCGCTCCTGCCGTTTCCACTTTTGGGCTAGTAAAATTCTTGCCGCTGTTGCAGCATACATAAACAGTTTTTGATCTATTTTTGGTATTTCCAGTCCAACCATTCCTAATAGAAATGCTTCAGGTCTCTTTGGAAAGGTGTACCTGAACATTTTTTTTTAACTTGTTATATATATAATTCCAGAAGACTTTAACCTTGTCACAAGTCCGCTTGTGGGAATGCATTTCGGCATAGTTTCATAATAAGCCATTACTCCTTCGTTGGTAACACTGATCCCATCCATTCATGCAAATAATTAGGAGGAATAAATTTGTGTCAGGGGGTTATTACTGAATTTGCTTTTCAGTAGTTTCCTTTTGGGGGGTGGGTTTTGAGTAGTTTCTGCATTTCTCTTTGGTTTGGGGTGGTTTGCTTGCTTTTCGAAATTATCAATGACAAAAAACACAATACCATTGGAAGTGCAGAAATTGAGATCAACAGGGGATGCATAACTTCTGGGAACGCCTTGCAGAAAATGAATCATAGCACTGAAGAGTTGGAAAGGGACCCCACTGGTCATCTAGTCCAACCCGCTGCGAGGCAGGAATCTCAGCTCCAGCACTGTTAAGTTGGTTGAATGCAACCAGTTAATCAACTGCATGGCCGTGGCCCAAATTTCAATTATTCTTGAGAGGGAACCCTACTGCCTAAAAACCGACTCACTTTCTCTCTCTCTCGCCTTTCCTTAGGTAGAGTGAAGTGTGAACGCCATTGTGGTAAGTGGGCTTTTGTGGGGAGGTGCCATCTTGAATCACGGCAGTGCCTTTTGTGTGCCTGAACGGAGAGAGGGGAGCGTGTGTCGAGACCCTCTGACTTTTGTGGGGTCAAGATGTGAGCCTGTGGGTTTGCCAGCATCCATGATTGAAGGGTTAGCTGCAGGTATGAGTGGTTTATATAGGGACGTGGGTGGCGCTGTGGGTTAAACCACAGAGCCTAGGACTTGCCGATCAGAAGGTCGATGGTTCGAATTCCCGCGATGGGGTGAGCTCCCGTTGCTCGGTCCCTGCTCCTGCCAACCTAGCAGTTCAAAAGCACATCAAAGTGCAAGTAGATAAATAGGTACCGCTCCGGCGGAAAGGTAAACGGCGTTTCCGTGCGCTGCTCTGGTTCGCCAGAAGCGGCTTAGTCCTGCTGGCCACATGACACGGAAGCTGTACGCCGGCTCCCTCGGCCAGTAGAACGAGATGAGCACCGCAACCCCAGAGTCGGTCATGACTGGACCTAATGGACAAGGGTCCCTTTACCTTTTATGAAGAAGAAGAAGAAGAGTTTGGATTTGATATCCCACCTTTCACTCCCTTTAAGGAGTCTCAAAGCGGCTAACATTCTCCTTTCCCTTCCTCCCCCACAACAAACACTCTGTGAGGTGAGTGGGGCTGAGAGACTTCAGAGAAGTGTGACTAGCCCAAGGTCACCCAGCAGCTGCATGTGGAGGAGCGGAGACGCAAACCCGGTTCCCCAGATTACGAGACTACCGCTCTTAACCACTACACCACACTGGCGGTTTGGCAGTGGTTTGGCAGCGAGGCGTGGGTGCTCGTGTGGTGGTTAGGCATTGGTTCAATGTGGAGTGGAGGAGAGGTTGTCACACCTGCCCCTCCAATGCGCAAAGGTATTCCATTAAAGGAATTCAGGGATTTGCCATGCTTTTGTCGACCCCTTTTGAGGGCTAGGGCCATGCAAGAGTCCCTGGGAGCATTTGGGATGAGGTTGAGTCTCATCCTGGTTCTTTGCTCCCCCACGATGTTTACCTGTACTGACAATATGGTGGGGTCCAGTCGTCAGTGCTACCCTTCTCAGGTCAGGTGCAGCTAGTTGGGAACCAATGCCTAGACAAACTACGCACTATCGGTAATCAATACAGTTGTGGCCAAAATTATGCCAATAACCTAAACGGTAGTTAAGAGGGTTGTTGAATTGGGTGGCTTTGTGATTTCACATCCAAATATTACCTTCAAAGCCGTGGCCCTTTATCGGGATGCTGGGGTGCATCTCTCCTCATTGGGGAATGACATCTGGTTGGATACGGTTACGTGGAAATTGAAGGTTTGGTTGGGTATGTGAGTGCTTTGGTGGCGAGTGTAAGGGCTTGATTGGCGGTTAAAGGTAAAGGGACCCCTGACCATTAGGTCCAGTCGTGTCCAACTACTATTTATCTACTTGCACTTTGACGTGCTTTCGAACTGCTAGGCTGGCAGGAGCAGGGACCGAGCAACGGGAACTCACCCCGTCGCGGGGATTCGAACCGCTGACCTTCTGATCGGCAAGTCCTAGGCTCTGTGGTTTAACCCACAGCGCCACCCACGTCCCCGATTGGCGGTTAGGCATTGGTTAAAACTAAAGGCTAGTGGCCCCTGGGTAATGGCCTGCAAAGGAAAGCGGCCCCTCGGCTGAAAAAAAAACTGCCCCACCCTTCAAAACATGGGTTTGGACTTTGCATCGCAAATGATGCTCTGGTGTTTTAATCTCTGATGCAGAGGAAATGGGTCTATCTGTGGCACTGGAAGATTCTGCACCACCAGCCTCAGCCAGCCCGCCACCTGCCTCCCATCTTCCTCCTCCAGTCTCAGTGTTGCCCTCCTAGAACAGCAGGGAGGGAGAAGGAGAACAGGAAGGAAAGCAAACAGAGCCCTCTCTGCTTGTCATTGGCTCTGGCGCCACCTGCTGTCAGGCTCCTGTCCTGATCTACCTGCCTGAAGGAGGGCTTGCGGGAGTGGCTGGCACAGGGATACCAAAGGAGGATGTCAAAGACGTCCGCATGGCCGTCTTTATTTTATTTATTACAACTAATCCAGAATGCGGCTGCCAGACGGGTGATGGGGAGGGGCCGCTGGGACCATGCAACGCCATCTGGGACCATGCACTCCACCCATCAGGATGGGTTTCCCCAGCCACTCTGGGCAGTTTCCAACACATATAAAAACATAAAACGTCAAGCATTTAAAACTTCCCGATACAGGGCTGCCTTCAGATGTCCCCTAAAATTTTATAGTTGCTTATCTCCTTGACATCTGATGGAAGGACATTCCACAGGGAGGGTGCCATCACCGAGAAGGCCCTCTGCCTGGTTCTCCGTAATCTCACTTCTCACAGGGAGGGAACCACCAGAAGGCCCTTGGAGCTGGACCTCAGTGTCTGGGCTGAGTGATGGAGGTAGAGACGCTCCTTCAGGTCTACTGGGCCGAGGCCATTTAGGGCTTTGAAGGTCAGCACCAACACTATGAATCATGCCCAGAAATGCACTGGGAGCCAATGTAGGTCTTTCACAGGCATAGGCAAACTCGGCCCTCCAGATGTTTTGGGACTACAACTCCCATCATCTCTGACCACTGGTCCTGTTAGTTAGGGATGATGGGAGTTGTAGTCCCAAAACATCTGGAGGGCCGAGTTTGCCTATGCCTGGTCTTTCAGGACTGGTGTTATATGGTCCCAGCAGCCGCTTCCAGTCACCAATCTGGCTGCCATATTTGACGTCTTCTGTTTTTGTTTTACAGGAATAAAGCAATACGAAGCCGTTTCTTGCGTAACCTGCAATGCCACCAAACCAGCTTGCTTTGGATATAATTGCGAGTAAGAAGTCTCTCTCTCATTTCCATGTTAGAAAAAATACAATTACAAATGGCATATCGGGGAGGCTGATTCCCATAGCAGAAAAGCTTCCAGGCCCTTTCCTGCAATTATTCTCCACTGTGTGAAATCTAAGCCAGAGGTTCCCAAACATTATTTTTTTTGCGGGAGTGTGGGGAGTACGTCCCCTTGGTTCCACCAACTCATTCCCGGGGGGAAAGCAGTATTCAAAATAGCAGTTTGCAAGGAAGATAATAACACAATGAAACTCTAAATCAGAAACAATTAAATTGCACATTTATTCAAAATCCAATTGGAACAATTGAGTTTGATTAATTCAACAAAACTGATTTCCTTATCCATTCTTCTTTGGCGGGAGCTTTTTCCTTCAATTTTTGTGCATTAAGAAATCCTAGCTGCTCTCTTTACTTACATAAACAGCTTAATCATCCTTTTTGAAACTTCTGTCCCTATAATCCCTAAGAGCAAAGCTTCACTTTTTTTGTATATCACTTTGAGCATCTTTTTTATCTCATCATATATCCTACCCCAAAATACCCTTGGCTTTCTTACAAGTCCAGCATCTACATATGGGGGGGAAAGCCCAATTTGCTTGTTTACACTTCCAGCAGTTAGAACACCGTCCCACCATCTCGTCCTCTGTCGTCCCCTTCTCCTTGGGCCCTCCATCTTTCCCAACATCAGGGTCTTTTCCAGGGAGTCTTCTCTTCTCATGAGGTGGCCAAAGTCTTGGAGCCTCTGCTTCACGATCTGTCCTTCCAGTGAGCACTCAGGACTGATTTCCTTAAGAATGGATACGCTTGATCTTCTTGCAGTCCATGGGACTCTCAAGAGTCTCCTCCAGCACCAGAATTCAAAAGCATCAATTCTTTGGCGATCAGCCTTCTTTATGGTCCAGCTCTCACTTCCATACATCACTACTGGGAAAACCATGGCTTTAACTATACGGACCTTTGTCGGCAAGGTGATGTCTCTGCTTTTTAAGATGCTGTCCAGGTTTGTCATCACTTTTCTCCCAAGAAGCAGGCGTCTTTTAATTTCGTGACTGCTGTCACCATCTGCAGTGATCATGGAGCCCAAGAAAGTAAAATCTCTCACTGCCTCCATTTCTTCCCCTTCTATTTGCCAGGAGGTGATGGGACCAGTGGCCATGATCTTAGTTTGATCTTCCATTAAAAACTGCAAAAAAAGACGATGAATTGAAAGTGCAGACGATGGACGTACCTTTCCCTCATCTGTTTGTTTCATAACACAAAATAAGGGCAAGGTAACTGCAGCCAGACAGGTTATAGCGAGTAATTGGAAAAAATCCAGAAGAGCTAGAGGTGAACCAATGAAGGAAAAAAGTGAAGAATATTATAATTTTAGAATATCTAACTGTGAAGATACACAGAATGAAAGGGTTTGAGGTCAGTGAGAAAGAGGAAGATTGGTTTGAGAAGATATTGAATTATTTGGGTAGGTCTGAACAATGTGGGGCAATTAAAATGTTAAAAGTTCAATAAACCTTGTGGATGGAGGAGTGTTAACATATATAAAATTGTACATATGGTTGATTTGAATATGTTGTTATTGATTATGTATACCCAATGTATCAGCCGCCTGGGGGGTTTCACTGTTTGTGTTTGGTTGTTGGTAAAAAATTAAAATTAAAATAAATAATATAAACTAATAATCATATTAAAAAACAGGGGAGACTGGTTCATTATGGCAAGTGGCTTCAGTCTGGCCCTGACACCCAGGAAGTCTCTCCAGCCACAACCCCACATTCTGACCCCGAGTTTCTGTCCCCTGTTTCCGCCCCCCAGGTCCTCTGAAGACTGGGAAGACGCCTTGAAGGGCCTGTACGAGTACATGTGAGTTCTCCAGGGGCTGTACAGGGTTAGGGGTGATGGGCAGGCATTTGGGAGGCAAGAAAGGGGAGCAAGCAGTCCCTGGTGAAGTTTCTAGTCCCTGTGTTCCTGGAGACAGGGTGAACGAAGCGAGACGGGGAGAGGGGCCACCTGGGACCCCCCCCCAAGTTGTTGGACTCATCCCTGGCTTGGGGCCAGTGGGAATTGGAGTTGCAACATCGGGTGGGTCACAGGTTTGCCGTGGTCTAAGAAGATGCATTCTCTAGTGCATGCAAGCGATGGAAGAATCCTTCTGTTCAGGACAGGCGCTTCCTCCTGGGAATGGAGAATGCCCCTCCTTGCAGCAGGGGCAGGGGGAATTTGCATCCCTCCATAGATCATTGGCGGAAGGCCTCTATTCGCAAGATGCATTCCCTCCTGAGGAAGGAGAATGCCCCTTGGAAGATATCTTCATGCTTGCTGGGAATGCAAAATCATAGATATATTTTGGACCGGGCTCTTCGATTTTCTCTCCGAAATTATTAAACATCCTCCTTTGCCAGTACCAGCCTTAGCTTTCACTAAACCCAGATTCTGACCCCACCACCCAGCATAAAGATTTACCGTATTTTTTGCTCTATAAGACTCACTTTTTCCCTCCTGCAAAAGTAAAAAGGGGAAATGTGTGTGAGTCTTATGGAGCAAATGCAGGCTGCGCAGCTATCCCAGAAGCCACAACAGCAAGAGGGATTGCTGCTTTCACTGCGCAGCGATCCCTCTTGCTGTTCTGGCTTCTGAGATTCAGAATATTTTTTTTCTTGTTTTCCTCCTCCAAAAACTAGGTGCGTCTTGTGGTCTGGTGCATCTTATAGAGCAAAAAATACGGTATATATTTTGGAAACCGGCTCTTCGGTTTTCTCTCCGAAATTATTAAACAACCTCTCTTGCCAAGCCCAGCCTTAGCCCTGCTTTCACAAAACCCAGATTCCGATCCTACCACCCAGCATAAAGATTTACCGTAATTCTTTTTCTACTGGTAGCTGCACACTTAGTGATAGCAGATCCCTGGAAATCCCAGGTGTTACAACTTCTTGAGATGTGGTTCAATAATATTAGTTCGGAACGACGAACTGGGCTTGGAAGAGTTGCAAATGGGGTTATAAAGGAAAATAAAACCTGGTCTCCCTTCTTTTCATATGAAAGGAGGTGGGGCGAGAAAATAAAGCTCTCCCACCAGCCTCACAAACCTGTCTGTGGAGGACCTAAAATGACCATGTAAAATGACATTAGCCTGACACCTGCTTCATAGAATACAGGCAGGCAGTTGGAAAACTTTTGTAATGTCTCAGGTTTTAATCAAGACATTGTGGCTGGGGTTTTTTGGAACCGCTTTGGAAATGCTCTTGTTACTGCTCTGTGTGTTGCTTTGTGCTGCAGTCTCTGCTTTATTGAATTTAATAAAAACAAAATTAAGGGAAGGAAGGAAGGAAGGAAGGAAGGAAGGAAGGAAGGAAGGAAGGAAGGAAATGCCTCTTCTTAGATCAAGGATCAGTGGCACTCTCATTTTTGCAGAGCTCCAACTCCTGCCATTCCCAGCTCCCGGCCATGTGGGCTTCTGGGGCTACTGGAAGTTGCAGTCCCTGCAATATAATGAGGGCCACAGGGCCCCACCTTGGCCCTTCGGACATTGCAGAGGTCAACAATGCCACGTCCACACACAGGCGACAAGCCCCAGGCAGTTTGGGGGAAGCAGAACGCAGCAGTCCTGCCCCCCTTTAGAAAGAACTGGCTGGTGGGGGCTCTACAGGATTCCCATTAGGTGGTGGCACCAAGACTTTGGAACTCACTGCCACTTGATATCAGGCAGGAACATCCGCGGTACTCTTTGCGGTGCCTACTTAAAACATATTTGTTTAGGGAGGAGTATCCCAACACATATTATTATTATTATTATTATTATTATTATTATTATTATTATTCCACCCATCTGGCTGGGTTGCCCCATAAACATTGATGTGTTTTGATCTCCTTTTAGTGCTGTCGCTCATATTTTTCGCTCTATAAGACGCACCAGACCACAAGACGCACCTGGTTTTTGGAGGAGGAAAACAAGAAAAAACATATTCTGAATCTCAGAAGCCAGAACAGCAAGAGGGATCGCTGCGCAGTGAAAGCAGCAATTCCTCTTCCTGTTCTGGCTTCTGGGATAGCTGCGCAGCCTGCATTCGCCCCATAAGACGCACACACATTTCCCCTTACTTTTTAGGAGGGAAAAGGTGAGTCTTATAGAGCAAAAAATTCAGTACCTTTCAAATGCTTTTAGCCATTTTCAAAACTGTTTCTACCAGTAAAATTTAATGTTTCTTGCACACCACTTAGAGGTTTTTGTTACAACCCAGCGATATAAGAATTTGGTTGAAGAAATATAAAGAAATAAAGAAGCCTGTTATATCCTCTGTTTTTTCCTCTTCCCCCCTCTCTCTCTCTCTCACACACACAGATACAGTTTGACAACGTAAGTCAGGCGTTTTCACGAATGTTTTGGAGCAAAGTTTTCTGCAGCGACGAAAATTTGAGCGCGGGAAATGGAAGATTTTGCCCCCTTCTGCAAGGCCCCCTTGGCTGCGCCCCGTGCAACACTCTTGCGAGGAAGGCAGTGGCAGGAGTCCCCCTGACGGACAGCAGAGGGGCAGCAGTTTCCCAAAAAGACCAGCTGGGGGGCTCTGGGTTGGCCCCCGAGGTGGGAAAAAACAACACCACACCACTTTTGTCCAGGTTGCCAAAAGTGAAACAATGAGCAGCTGAATCCACGTAAGGGAGACCCACCTGGAGGTGCAAGATGAGCTGGGGTAGCTCAGTGGGCAGAAGACGAGTCTCTTAATCTTAGGGTTGTGGGTTCAAGTCCCACACTGGGCAAAAGATTACTGCATCGCAGAGGGTTGGACTAGATGACCCACATTGTCATGTGTGTTTGTTTGTGTGTATGTATGCAGAATATGTGTGTGTGTGCGCATTAAGATCCTCAGAAATTATTTTGCTAGGAACTCTTTTTTTTACTTAAGATTTTTTAATTAATTTTTCAAAACTTTAACCAATTAATTTCAATTTTCTATTTTGTTATACATTTCTCTTTTGATTTGACTTTCCGCCTTTTATTCCATGCTGTTTTTCATACCAATCCCTTTCACAAATATAGTATCACACATTTCATCTAAGACAGATTCCTCCATTTCATCTATTATCATTTTCTTCCCGTTGCTCAAATTTTAAATCCTGTTTGTGATATCATTTGGTTATGATATCCCCCCCCCTTCAAATAATCCAAAATTTCAGTGTGGTTTTTTTTATTAGCTGGGAACTCTTCCAGGTGATTTTTTAAACACCTGGCTGCTGTCTTCACAGGAACCCAGGCGAGTGGTCAATGGCACTGAAGCAACTCCCGGGATTTAGGTAGGCGCCCGTTTCCTTGAAAGCCATTGGAAAAACTAAGGTACTCCCCCACAAAACATAGAGCAACAGTTGCGGGTGGGGAAATAGCGGCCGGGAGAATCAGTTTGTGGGAGAGGGGGAGGCTTATAGATTAAATTAACGAATAGCTGCCGAGATGATATAGCAGGGACTCAGTCCTAGAAAGGAGTGGCCCCTTTTTGGGATAATTGTTCCGTTCCAGGAAGCGGCGCCAGAGCTGAAGTGAAGACAGGACGGCCATCCTGTCAGGGATGTTGTGCTTTCCAGGATTTTTCTCTGTGCTTTACAGATTTACTCTGGGATTTTATGTTGCATCCTGCATTCAACAAGGGGGCTGGGTTACCCCTTGAGGTGCCTTTCAACGCCTATCGATTCCTGCTAATGCAGGATTGCAGCAGCTAAGGAGGTGTAAACCTGGAATAATAATAATGGTTTTTATTATTATTATTTATACCCCGCCTATCGGGCTGGGTTTCCCTAGCCGCTCTGGGCGGCTTACAGCACCTACAGGGTCCACAAGAGGGAGGCAGATACAGGGGGAAGGGAAGGAATTGGGACCCACAGCATCAATGTGTTCAAGAAACCACCAAGAACATTTTTAGAGCATTGCAGTGGGGGTCTCTTCCAACTGTACAATTCTGTATTTCTCTCCCCCTCCCCCTTATCTTTCAGCCACTGCACATCTACAAGGTAAACAAGCAGCCGCGAGGAAAGATGGACGGGATTTGCTGAGCTGAAAGTTGTTGTTTGTGGCTGTGCATGCACACGACATTTTCAAAAATGGATTCCCTCAGAGAGAGTCCCAAAGACAGCTGTAGTTTGCCCCTTGCAAAGCAAAGATTCCCAGCGCCCTTATCCTAATGCCATAATGCTGCAAGTCTACGGTGTGGCCACGTTTTGAATGCCCTGTTCCGTTCTGGTCACCTCTCCTTGAAAAGGAGATTGTAGAGCAGGGGAAAGTTCAGAAAAGGGGCAACCTGAAGGATCGATGGGATGGAGAAAGGTTGCAGCATTTGGTGCTTTTTAGTGCAGAAAGGGGACGCGGGTGGCGCTGTGGGTTAAACCACAGAGCCTAGGACTTGCCAATCAGAAGGTCTGCGGTTCGAATCCCCACAACGGGGTGAGCTCCTGTTGCTCGGTCCCTGCTCCTGCCAACCTAGCAGCTCAAAAGCACGTCAAAGTGCAAGTAGATAAATAGGTACCGCTCCGGCGGGAAGGTAAATGGCGTTTCCGTGCGCTGCTCTGGTTCGCCAGAAGCGGCTTAGTCAGAAGCTGTACGCCGGCTCCCTCGGCCAGTAAAGCAAGATGAGCGCTGCAACCCCAGAGTCGGCCACGACTGGACCTAACGGTCAGGGGTCCTTTACCTTTACCTTTAGTGCAGAAAGGGGTTACGTGAGAGTTCACGCATCATTTGGAGAAAGCAGATAGAGGGAAGTTTTTCTCTGCCTCTCAGAACACTTGAACTTTTAGATATCTGACAAAGCTTGGAGGATTCAGGACTGATGAAAGTCCTTTGTCACACGGCACAGTTGAACTGTGGAACTCACTGCCACTGGAAGGCTTTAAAGGAGGATTAGACAAATTCATGGCCATCGATGGCTACTAGCCAAGGTGGCTATGCTCTGCCCGCCATGATTGGAGGCAGTAATGCTTCGAATAACACAAGAGAGGGGAGGGCTCTTGTGTTCAAATCACGCCTTTGGGTTTCCCAAACGCATCTGGTTGGGCACTGCAAGAAGAGGGTGTTGGACTAGACAGGCCATCTACTATTCCAGCACGCTCAGGCAGAAAATCGTGCTCTTCCTTATTCAGTTCACTAATGAATTGCTTCCCACGAAGCATCTGGAAGTGAGTCGCAATGCAATGATTGTTAACGTACATAAAAACAGCTTAAAACAATCACACTTTGAAACTATGATAAATATTGTTACACGCCACTCCAATCTCTTGAGCAGCGAGAGATTCCAGGGGTTCCTGCATCTACCCAGGGCTCAGTTTCCCTGGAAAGGAGGTCAGTAGAATCCCACTTCTGACACCAGTGTTGCACACACCCAAATCTCCAAGTGCTGAGAGACTCCAGGGGTTCTGGGCACTAACTCAGGGTTTGGCCTCCTTGAAATAAAGGCCAGGGGAGACAGTGGTGTCTTTAGCAGTTTTGTTTTTTGTCGACACATGTATACAACCGGCACATGGCGTTGAACTTAACTCCGTGTCTTCCTCTGTTTCCGCAGACCAGAGAACCTGAACTTTACGAGTAAGTTTCCAAAACTTTTGTCTTGGGTGCTGGAGGGGGCATGGCTTCACGACTTATGGGCTGATGTGAAATAGAGGTATTCTCTTCCATTAGCAAGGAAGACCTCTTCTTAGATCAAGAAGGATAAAACATCTCTGGCCCATCCAAAGTTGCTGGAATCTCACCTCCTGTCCTCCCAGACCACGTGTGAGATGGGAGTAATGGTTCCATCTTAAAGAGGCATTCCCTTTCGAGGGATTGTGCCTCTTCTTCAAAAAGGGACATAGGAACCCCTGTGGCTGCCGACTCCTGGCAAACAGCCACCATCCAGCGAGCCCAAAAATCAGGAATGGTCCTCCAACACCTAGGGAGGCCATAGGTTCCTAATCTGTTATGCCACCATGTTACAGAGATGGAAAGGTGGAGTCAGAAGGGCGCTGCACGCCGGTTTTAGGGACAGCAGCTACAAGGGGGGTCTCTAATGCCTGCTTTGTGTCCCCTAGGTATAGAAAGCACCCTCTCCAAAAACTGGCTCAACTTGATGGCGCTGAAGGAGCTTGAGGGAGAGACCCCCGTTCTCCAGCTCCTCGCTCCGATCTGCTGAATTATTTTCTTTTCCACAATGTTCTATGGAGAGCCCACTTTGATGTAATAAAATTATGGAATAGAGAGACCCCTGCAGTTTGGTGATGTGGAGCCTGGTTGTATCAGAAAGATGGTCTCATTGGTTTTACACACAGCCAGGAATCTGGTAGATCCCTCCCAACTACATATGAAATGGTCTGGGTCTTTTGAAAGGGAAAATGGGATCAACTGAAAAAGGGGTTTGATGGCTCAAGAAAAAACGAAATGGCTCAAGAAAAAACGAAATGGTGAATTAATGGGTAAGTAACCAAAACCGACGTGGGTGGTGCTGTGGGTTAAACCGCTGAGCATAGGACTTGCCGATCAGAAGGTCGGCAGTTCGAATCCCCGCGACGGGGTGAGCTCCCGTTGCTCAGTCCCTGCTCCTGCCAACCTAGCAGTTCAAAAGCACGTCAAAGTGCAAGTAGATAAATAGGTACCGCTCCGGCGGGAAGGTAAACGGCGTTTCCGTGCGCTGCTCTGGTTCGCCAGAAGCGGCTTAGTCATGCTGGCCACATGACCCGGAAGCTGTACGCCGGCTCCCTCGGCCAATAAAGCGAGATGAGCGCCGCAACCCCAGAGTCGGCCACGACTGGACCTAACGGTCAGGGGTCCCTTTACCTTTACCCAAAACCGAAGCTTTTCCAAAGCATGGGGAAAGATGAAAGACCTTTCAAGAGTCAGCTGGTTTTGTAATTTTATTGGATCATCTCAACATACACACACGCACACACAAAAATTGGTACAGCAGCTTTGTGGCGTTTTTCTCTTTCAGGGATTTCAGGGGAAAGGGGGGAATGTCGATAGCAAATAAGTTTGATTTTGTTCTTCCTCCCCCCCCCAAAAAAAAACATAACACATCATACAGTTTTTTAAAGGTTCTAGAATCACCAAAAGGTTTCTGCAAGAGAACATAATCTACATGCTAAAGTGAGGGTTGTTTTTTTCATCCAGGAATATATGTACACATATATAGATATATATATACTTCTTTTTTTTAATCCACTAATTCCAAGGAACCTTTGTCCTTTTTAAGACAAATTTAAAAGACGCCGTGCAGTCTCCCTCCCAACGCGTACGCAAAAATCCGGACTAAGCCACGGAAGGTTGACCAGGAGCTTCTCCCCGCCCCAAAGAACTTTTTTAATACTTTTCTCAAGCAACATGGGCCCCGACGATAATGTGGGAGAGGGGAGACCTGGATCCATCTGATAAATCAAGTTCTGCCAGAGCAAAACGAGCCCCTCTTTCCCCAAGCCGGCAAGCGTTTTGCAAGTGGTTTTGGATTTTAAAAAACCCAAACCTATCCCTAAATGGGGAGGGGGGGAAAAGGTTGAGGCACCCGTGTCTTGAAACAAGCAGTACATCAAAAAGCAAGCCAGAGACCAGGGTTTTCATGCTTGTTTCTGTGCTCTCTCTGCATCCCACAAAATATACTTTATTTGGGGGTGGGGGGGGGAGGTTGAAAAATGGTATTTTGCGAAACAGGTGGGTTCTTTTTAAAAAATTGCTAAGTGCCATATTCCTCAACAGTGATCAAGCTGATTTCAAAATAAATAAGTCGCCGGCTCACTTCCGTCTTACGGGACAGGAGCTTGGGGAAAGGTTTGTCAAAACTAGAGGGAAGAAGTCTTGATTCCAGCCAAGAATCTCCAAAAAACACAAGGAAGCCGTCCCACAAGCTGTGCGGTCTGCCAGTTTCTCGGACCAATGTCACGCGGCTGATCGATTAGAGTCTTGAGCTGGGAGTTCAGAAGCCCAAGGCAGTTTATGGGAGCAGGTGGAATATGGGGTGAAAAGGAGTAATTGGGGTCATGGTGGGAGGACCATGGCCAGTGCAGCAGCCAAAGGGGTCAACCTAACATGGTAAGCCAAATAAAAATGTCAAAAATAAAGTGGGGGGGGGATCCACACACAAAACCAAGAGACAATGAACCTTTGGATTTCCAGTTTTCTTTTTGCTACATTCTAAACAAAATAAAAACTTCAGGAATGTGATATTTTGCTCTCTCTCTCTCTCTCTCTCTCTAAGTGGACATCACAAAGACCCACGGGAAGGGGAAGGGGAGTTGATCTATCTCGCAGAACGGGAATGAATCCCATCCTCGGAAGGCAGGAGGAGAGGCAAACACAACTGGCTTATGGTGGGAGGTGGGAGGGAAGCCAGGGCTTAAAAAAAAACAAACCCAACAACAGCAACAACAAAACTAATTACAGATACAGTCAGCCTGGATGTGGACCACCACGCTATTGAGGGTGGTGACCCAGAAGAGCAACCGTGAAATTGGAGCTGATTTAAAGAGATGCGGTGCCTGCGATTTCTTGGGTCGCTCAGCACCACGCCTCATGGGGCCATCGACTGTGGCAAGGATCTCTTGGGCGGCTGCGTCAACGATGGCAGGGCGCTTCTCTGGTACAGAAGAAGTTCCCCACCACGGCTGGTCGAAAAGTTCAAAATGGAATGTGAGGGAAGGGGGGAGAGAGAGAAAAGACTACAGCTTCGGGATGTGTAAACCGCCAGAACCGAAAAACAACACCACCCACGCGCCCCAGGGCGGAGTGGGAAAATGCCCGCCCCCAGGAGGGGCAGGTAGGGGAGGACCGTACGTGTGCATGGGGAGAGAGAGGGGAGGGGAGAGGAATCTTTATCGCTCGGCCGGATTCAGTCTGTGTGAGCCTCACGACACTCCTCTCTCGGGGGGAGGCGGGGGGAGGAGAACGGATCGCACCAATTTCTCGGGAGCAACTCAGCACTTCGACAAGGTCTCCTTGAGTTCAGACAGCAGGTTGCCCAGCAAGGTCGGCTCGTTGCACTTGGCATCGACGGAGACGGAGTTCTCTCCCTTTGGAAAGAGAGCGGTTTTTCATTTGTGGGTGCGGACAGAGAGAAATCAGACAGCAAACACGGATTTTGGCCAACCAACACAATCAAAGGAGGTGGAGCGACTCCCCTAGGATGCGATCATCATCCCACTGTGTCTGCCCCCCCCACTTACCTTTTTAACTAACAGACAGACATGATGGCCCTGGATAGAACGGCTATACATTGACGCGCAGGACCCCACTCGCTCGACAACTGAAGGGGAAGGAAAGAGAAGGCGTTTGAGATGGGGCATCTTCGTCCTCTCCCTCAAAAACAAGACTAAGCTTTCAGGAGTGTGGTGAAGAAGAAGGAGGAGGAGGAGGAGGAGGAGGAGGAGGAGGAGGGCCTTCAGAAGAGCTTACTCCCTCTGCCCATATCAACAAGAGGCACTGGTTAGATCTCCTGGGGGGAAGAAGCAGAGCTCAAAGCAGGGACTCATGCTGAGAAGCGACGGAAGGCCTCCTCAGAGAGTGGGCAAGTCTCCTTGGATTGCTCACTCCTGATGCATCCAAACCCGATGCAGAGAGAGACGACGGGTAAAGGCAGCAAAAAAAAAAGCCCAACCCCCCTTACCTGCCAGTCATAAGGACTTAAGCAGGATGTGGAAACCCTCAAATTTGTACCCAAACAAATGCCAACAGCTGGGGGGAGAAATCACGTCTGGCAGCCAATCTATTGACATTATTTTCAGCTCACCAACCCCACTGTGACAGTCTATTCTGGGTTGTTGCTGTTGTTTTGAGGAGGGGGAACCTACTGCAGCAGGAACTCACCTGAGAAGTGATGGTGGAAGCAGATTTTCGCCAGGAGGTGGTGGAAAGGCATGGTGATGCTGTCGACTTTGAAGGATCTGGCGTGCAGGTCCCCCGACTCCAGCAGCTTGGCGTAAGCATCACTTGGGGGAGGAGAAATCAAGGTGAATTGAGCGGCCAGGGAAGCTGGGGGAAGAGGAGTGGGCCGGGACACCATCTCTGGCTTGCCCACTTCTGTGGGCCGGAAAAGCTTTTTAATGTTTATTATGATCTTGGGGCCCACCAGGTCTAGCGAGCAAACACACACTCATACCGACACACAAAGAAGGGGGGAAAAGCATCAAAGTACAGTGGCGCCCCGCAAGACGAATGCCTCGCAAGACGAAAAACTCGCTAGACGAAAGGGTTTTGCGTTTTTTGAGTCGTTCCGCAAGACGAATTTCCCTATGGGCTTGCTTCGCAAGGCGAAACGTCTTGCGAGTTCTTGCGAGTTTGTTTCCTTTTTCTTAAAGCCGCTAAGAGCCGTGCTTCGCAAGATGGAAAAACCGCAAGACGAAGAGACTCGCGGAACGGATTAATTTCGTCTTGCGAGGCACCACTGTACCGTATTTTTTGCCCCATAGGGCGCACCGGCCCATAGGGTGCATCTAGTTTTTTTGGGGGGAAATAAAGAAAAAAAATCCCCCCCCCAGGCGCGGGGCTGGGGCGGGGGAAGGCCGAGCTTCCCCCGACCCCTGCCCCCAGAACAGGCTGCTATCCGCAAGCCGTGGGAGAGCTGTGTGAAGCCCGAAGCCTGGGGGGGGACACTGAGCTCAGCGCGCCCCAGGCTTCTGGGTGCAGGCAGCTCTCCGCAAGCCGTGGGAGAGCTGCGCGAAGTCGCACAGCTCTCCCACAGCTTGCGGATAGCAGCCTGAAGCCTGGAGAGCGAGAGGGGTTGGTGCGCACCGACCCCTCTCGCTCTCCAGGCTTCAGCGAAAGCCTGCATTCGCCCCATAGGACACACACACATTTCCCCTTCATTTTTGTGCGTCCTATAGGGCGAAAAATAAGTACATTCAAATGACATTGCAAAGAAATACGGTTCATAAATAAGCCTGTTTCCCCCTGCTCTGGAGGGTAGGACTCGAACCCGTGGCTTCAAGTTACGAGAAAGGAGATTCCGATTAAACATCAGGAAGAAGTTTCTGACAGTGAGAGCTGTGTGATAGTGGAAAGGGTTCACTCCGGAGGCTCTGGGCTCTCCTTCCTTGGTGATTTTTAAGCAAGAGGTTGGATGCCCACCTGTCATGGATGCTTAAGCAACTCCACAATTTATGATTCTACAAACGTTTTCTCAAAAGCAGGGCAAGGGAAAAGCATGTCAGGTCGATCTCTGCATCCAACAGTGGAAGTTCATTTGTCCGCTCCCAGAGTCTCAAGAATATTGCTTAGGCGCTACGTTCCCAGTGACGTGGCGACTTAGGAAGCCTTGTAAAGACAGCGGTCTGCCCTTCTCTGCGAGAGACAGAGGACAGTGGCAGCTGGAAGGGGCTCACCTGTAACAGGGCGTCGTGATAAGGTAGGAGGCGCAGCTGAAATGCAACTTGAAGTCCAGCTTTTCGTGTGTTGAGCCTTCCTCGTCCTGCCAGAAAACAACAGAGGATGGGAAGTGGGGGCAAAGGAAGCAGACCCCCCCCCCGCTCAACGCATCCCTGAAACAGCCTCTTCTCATGGGGAGCGGGGAAGGAGGCAGAAAAAGCCCCCCAACGGACCCTCCCGCATGCTCCATTTTTCACTCCAGCCACCCGCCTAGCTGTTCCTCTCCGAGGCTTTGAAAAAAAAATCTGGCTTTTCAGTCCCTTCTACTCTTAAGAGTCCCAAGGATGGGAAAAAGCCGCATCCAATATATTAATATAAAATCACCATTTATGGAACGCTCTGTCACAAGAGACTAGGGCCCTGCGGGACCTGACATCTTTCCGCAGGGCCTGCAAGACAGAGTTGTTCCACCAGGCCTTTGGTCAGGGCACAGCCTGACTCCCTCCTCTGGCAACCTGCACAGAATTTTGCCTAACGGTTGCCATTAATTTGATTTTAATTAATTTTTATAATGAAATGTTTTTAGAATGTTGGATTATTTGATTGTTTGATTATTTGATTGCTGTTAGCTGCCTTGAGCCCGGCTTCGGCTGGGGAGGGCGGGATATAAATAAAATTTATTATTATTATTATTATTATTACTTTTATGTACTGCCCTTCATCCGAGGATCCCAGGGCGGTTTTCTGGCATAAAAACACAAAAATACACAACGGAAAAGCAATAACCCCTCCAGGCCACAGATTTAGTTAGTGCAGCTGCACAATGGATTTTTATATATCAAGCTGCTGGCCAGCTTTGTCTGCCTCCTGCACTCAACCTGGGCTGGAGAAGTAATAAACACATGTTTGTGGAGGACAGAGGGGCCGAGGAGGAGAAAAATGAGGTCTCTGTAGCTGCCGCCTTCTCCCCAGAGAGGACGGTGCCTTCACCCCCCCTCAGATGCCCACATATTGGCAGGATGCCCTGCGGGTGCTGCTAAACTCTGTCATGAGCCCTTGTGGCCAGCAAGACCAATGGCCAGCGATGAAGGTGGGGGTTGGGTGTTCACCATGGTCTTGAAGTCCCCTGACTTATTTATTTAGGAAATTGGTTCAGGGCTCTTTCATCATTAATCTGTTTCAAACTTTTTTAAAAAATATACTGTGCAAAACTGAGTTTTAATGTTAACGGTGTGCTTTATTTATTCTTATTTTACTTATGAGATTTATAGGCCGCCCTTCATCACAAGATCTTGGGGCGGTTCACGGAGTAAAAAAATACAGGTTAAAAACTTGAAAGTAAGTAAAATTTAATTGTAACAGCCTGCCATAGGACCTTGGGGTGAAGGGCAGGCAATAAATTGTAATAATAATAATAATAATAATAATAATAATAGTAGAATTCAAGCGTTGGGAAAGTGGAAGAGGCCCTTACTTTGACGATAAATGCGAGGGTTCCTTTTAGTTTCTGCGCCATGACAATACTTTGCAAGGTGAAGACAAACTGGGCTTCGTTGGACACCCCTAAATTGGGAGAAGGGAGTGGGGGCAGGGGAAAGAGAAAATTTTTTAAAAAGAAATAAATTGACAAATATTCACTCTCTTCCATTTTGGCTGAAGCTTGATTGATTGGTGGGGGCGGCGGGAGCCCTACCAAACCAACACAGAGGCAGACTAAGAACACATAGTTTGGAAGTGTATGAAAATGAAAAGCATCAAAGACCCTCAGCAAAGTCACACAGCTACAGAGAAGACTGCCCCCTGCAACTACTATCAAATTCTGTCATTTGTATTAATGTAAACTTCCAGTAAACCTCCAGAACATATTCCCCAGTATATTTTATCTTATTGATATAGCTGGTGGCTCAAACATATGAAGTTTCTATCTATCTATTATGTGAAAATATAATAATAATAATAATAATAATAATAATCAAATATCCTTTATTACGCATAGCAAAACCACACATTATCAAATAGAAACTGTATACAAATTATGCAAAATACAAGCTCAGCATAACAAGGTTTGTCCCAGTCAGATCTTTAACTCCAAAGAAAATCAATTTGCATAAATAATACAACCACTAAATCTCTTTATAATGGCCCAGTCTTTCTACATGGACAGCACTTAAAAATTCAGTCACTATTAAAATAATTTGATCATTACTGTCCGAAAGCAGGTTCTGAACTGTTGGTAGAGTAGAAGTCAGCCTATTGAGTTGTAAGGCCTCTAATAATTGTCTTCTGGCATAATAATAATAATAATAATAATTTGAAAGGTTGCCCCTGGGCTTAATCTAGATATGACCCCTTTGATGCCGTTAAACATTTCGTGGAAAGGGAGGCTTTCTTGACGCCTCTGGCCAACCCTGGACCCCCCCACCCCAGCAAAGACAGGACATACCAGGGGGCAGCTGGAAAGGGACAGGAATTCCGTCATGTATCGAGGAGCCTTCTGGCCGGAACATTTTAGTGTTGAGTGAGTCCAGGACGTTCAGCTCCATGCTCTTCAGGAAGCTGCTGCTTTTGTTCTCGAAGATGATGGAGACGGTCACCTGGCTGTCGTTCTGCAGGTTCCCCTGGATGTCGTAGGTCTGCGGGAAAAGGCATTTGTGAAGAGGGAGCAGCAGCAGAGCTGGAGACCATCCCTCCACCACGGCACATTTAAGGCGCTTGCACTCCACGGAGGCGCAGACCCAACCCCACTCACCATTTTGATGTACGCGTTTTCGGCAAGGAGGGCGTAACTTGACATCGGCTGGAAGGCAGAAAGAAAATTGAAATTGAAATTAAAATACTTTATTGTCACTTGTATACAGTGAGATTACACGAGCACGCCCCACTCAGCTCTCTTAGTCTTAATTCTCCTCGTTTACTGACGCACACCCACCAAACCCCAAAGTCCGTTGCCCTGTTGTTATCTTTTCATTCAGCAGCCTAACAGCCCACGGATAGAAGCTGTTCTTTACCCTGTTGGTGCGACTAATCCTGCTTCTATATCTTCTGCCTGAGGGCAAGAGATCAAGAAAGTGCCGGCCAGGGTGTGAATCATCCCTGAGGATTTCCCTCACTCTCCTGAGGCAACGTTCTTCCGCTATTTCATCCAGCGGATTCACGGACAGCCCATAATATCTTGTGCTGTATCCACCACCCTCTGTAGGCACTTCCTATCAGTTGATGTCAAACCAGCGTCCCACACCGTGATGCAGTAGGAAAGGACACTTTCTACTGTGGAGGAGGAGATCATCAAATGTTGATTGACATCGTTCTTCCGCAATACTCTGAGGAGATGGAGTCTCTTTTGGGCTTTCTTAACAACCTGGGCTGTATTGATTTTCCAAGTAAGGTCTTCACTGAGATAAACTCCTAGAAATTGAAAGGAAGAGACTCTCTCCACACAGCCCTCCCTGATGTTCAGTGGGGCTAGTTCTCCTCTCTTCCTCCCAAAGTCCAACACCATCTCCTTTGTCTTGCTGATATTAAGGTGCAAGCTGTTATTAAGGGCGTCATTCCTGAGCTGCGGCCAATTATGTGTGGAGAGCCAGCGTGGTTAGAGCACCGGAACAGGACTTGGAAGACCAGGTTCGAATCCCCACTCAGCTAAGACACTGTCTGGGTGGCCTCGGGCCAGTCCCTCACTCTCAGCCTAACCTGCCTCGCAGGGTTTTTGTACGGACTAAATGTATGCCACCTTGAGTTTGTTATAGAAAAAGGCAAGGTTATAAATGCAGTAAATATATATAAAGTTCTGCTCGGGGTAAACCCACTGAAATTAAGAGAAGTTAGCAATGCCTATTAATTTCGGTGGGTCTACTTTGGGCAGGGCCAACACTGGCTATGATTAAAAGAAATCTCTATACAGGAGTGTTTCCCAAACTTGGGTCTCTAGCTGGTTTTTGGGACTACAATTCCCATCATCCTAACCACTGGTGTCCTGCTAGCTAGGGATGATGGGAGTTGTAGTCCAAAATTAGCTGGAGACCTGAGTTCGGGAAATCCTGCAGAAGACCTCTCAAGTGGTTTGCCAGATGGCCTAAAATATTCATTTAAAATACCAATAAAAAACAAGTTAATAATAATAACAAGGGAAAAAACCCAAAAGATGCAATTATAAGACCCTTGCTCACCGGTAACGGTTCATCCTCCAGCGTCCCGTTCTGCACCGATTCTGCAGGGAGCTCCTCTCCACTGTTGCCCTGGTGTTTCTTCGACTTCTTATCCTTGGACTTCTCCTCTTTCTTGTGCTTCTTCTTCTTGTGCTTGGAGGATTTCGACTGGGCCAGGGGGAAATCCAGGGGTCAGACACCTTCCTCCCATATCGCCCATTAAAAGCCAAGGTGTGAACCTTGGCGATCTCCGCCAAGCCCTGCCCTGTGCAACTCCCTGCCCATAGAGGGAACTGCCCCTGCCTTCCTTCCAAAGTCTCTCAAAAACTGCTTTTGGGACAGGCGCTTCACAATACAAATGTTTCTCCTTAACCAAGCAGCATCTGCTGCTGTCTTATTGTGGTTTTTAATTAATAATAACAAATAATAATCATATTATTTATATGCTCCCCAGCCACTCTGGGCAGCTACCAACAAAATATTAAAAACACAATAAAACACTGAACATTAAAAACTTCCCTATCTGGGGCTGCTTTCAGGTGTCTTTCAAGTTGTGTAGTTGTTTATCTCCCTGACATCTGACGGGAGAGCGTTACACAGGGAGGGTGCCACCACCGAGAAGGCCCTCTGCCTGGTTCCCTGTAACTTCACTTCTCGCAGGGAGGGAACTGCCAGAAGGACCTCCATGTCCAGACTGGACGATTGGTTATATTGTATTCCATATTGCAAGCTGCCTTGACATATCTTATGAAAGCATGGGTTGCAAATATTCAAGTAAACGATAAAAGAAGCCGACTGACACCCCCCTAACCCCCCTGTCGGGGACAGGGACTTGGCCACTCACCTTTCCTTCCTCTTCCTCCTCCAGCTCTTCTTCTCGCACTTCCTTCTGGGCCCCCACTGGCTCCCCTGCCCCTGCGAGGTTCACGCTCAGCTCAGAAGGGCTCTAAAGGGAGGCGGCAAGATTGAAATTATTTATACCCTGCCCATCTGGCTGAGTTGCCCCAGCCACTGTGGGCAGCTTTCAACAAATTAAAACACAGTTAGGCATCAAACATTAAAAACTTCCCCATACAGGGCCACCTTCAGATGTCTTCTAAAAAGTTCTAGTTTATCTCATTGATGTCTGGTGCAAAATGCTCAAAAAGCAAGCCAAGGGGCTAAGGGACATCTAGGAGGCTCTCCCAGAGGGGCAAGGAGGGGTCTTACTTTACAATGGGTCATGCACTCAAACTGCGGGCAGCTCCCTGCCTGCATCCCTCCCCCCAGCCCACTGGCTGCCTGTTTACCGGGCCAGGCTCAGGGTTCTTGCGTTAATTTACAAGGCCCTTAACAACATGGCTCCAGGAGATCTTAAGATACTGCCTGATACCTTATATCCCAGTCTTATCGCTGAGATACCGGGGGCGGGGAGAGAAAACATGGGAGAAACAGGTCCCAAGGTCTTCGCCTAAACCAGCTGTTTTCGACCTTTTTGAGTCCACAGCTTTTTGACCAACTCCATTCTTCCTGCGGCACCCCTGTGGGGCTCAGGAGCCCAGTTATGTCCCCCCTTGCCTGCAGAGCTGGCAGCCTCTCACCCTTTTTTGAATACCCTCCTTTGTGGAGTGTTCCCTCAGCCTCCTCTCTTCTCCTGTCTCCCTGGGAGTCCTCTGGGCAGTTGCTGCCCTTGGTTTCTGAACTGCCCGCCCCAAAGAGAGGTGCCTCCTCACACTGCCCCACAGGAGCCTGGGAAGCACCCCCTGATCAGCCCTAGAGGCACCATTTGCCTGGGGAGCCTGTAGCTGGGGCTGCTGCAATGAACAGTCATGCAAGCCTTTGAGAGGAAGACGCAAGAGGGCATCAGAGGAGGGAGGGAGGGAGGGAAGAAAGGAAGGAAGGAAGGAAGGAAGGAAAGAAAGAAAGAAAGAGGCCAGCATTGCCTGCAGCACCCCTGACCACCATTCAGTGCACCCCAGGGTGCCACAGTGCACTGGTTGAAAACCACTGGTTTAAGGAGTCCTTTGGCGCCTGGCTTACTGTCTTTTTCACCCCATAAGACGCACCTGACTATAAGACGCACCTAGTTTTTAGAGAAGGAAAGGGGGAAAGCCCTGGGGTTTTTTGGGATCAGCTCACAGTTGTGCAGCTTCTTTTGCAAAGGGGAAAAGCCCCAGTTTTTTGAGGATCAGCTCAAAGTTGTTGAGCTTACTTTGCAAAGGGAAAAAAATCCTGTTTTTATGGGGTTCAGCTCAAAGTTCTGCAGCTTCTTTAGGAAAGGAAAGGGAGCAGTTTCTACAGTTTCCAGACAGATAATCTAATCAGCTAGTCACATGTCACTGGGGAAACAAACAGTCTCAGTCTGCAGAACATTCAACAATGGAGGCCTGGGCAAGGGGCTGGGGCTGGAAAGGGAGCCAGCGATTGACCACACATTCGCTCCATAAGATGCACAGACATTTCCCCTTACTTTTTAGGAGGAAAAAAGTGCGTCTTACGGTGCAGAAAATAAGTATATATCTGAGTTTGCAACACTTGCATGCGTGCACACACACACACACACACACACACACATCATTTCAAAGCTCAGCAATGGAGATTAACCTTTGCTTCCGTAGCAGCTGCAGGTGGCGGACCGTCAGAAAGCCAGAAGTCCATGTCTTCCTGCTGGAATGAGAGAGAAGGGGAGCAAAAAAGGACCGTGGGTTACCTGTAGTGAACTTTATTTTACAACATATTCAAATCTTACAAATAATAATAATAATAATAATCACCACCCCATCCCGATACACAAAGTGTGTATGAAAACAGCAAACCCTGTGCCTATTTCTGGGTGCTTTCGAACTATAACTCCCACTATCACCTGCGACTGATGAGCCCTGCTGGAATGCAGCAGCTGAACTATAACTCCCACCAGACCTGGGTGCTGGGAATCAGAGTGCAATGGCCGGACCCTCCATGGGGCTCCCCGTCCCTGCTCTGAACGGAAGAGGCCAGACTCGAGAAGAGCACAGGTGTGCTTCCAGGTGCAAAACGAGTTGCGTTCCTTAAAAGGAAAAAATTGGGATAACGCACATGCTTCAAGAGAGGCAGGAGGTTTTTATCTGCTAACAATTTTACCACTGAAAGGAAGAAGACTGAGATGGAAGATTACATCAAAGCACTACAAATATGGTATGTGGATTGGAATGCCGGAACTAAGGGGGGGGGGGACGACTTTTTATTTCTTTTGCTCTCTGTGATTACTAATAACCCTCCCTCTGAAGATCTGCCACAGAAATTAATTGCAAATGGGACTAAAAATGAATTGTGTGGGAATAATTATGAACTTAAAGGTTTTACTCTGTGAAGGATTTGGAAAGAAGAAGGGCTCTCTCTTGTGACGCAGTAAGAATGGAAACTTGATAAGAGACCTGTGTTGCTGGAGTTGGTCTTGGGGAGGGCGAGCCGAAGATATATTATTTTCGAGGAGATTGCGAACTGGAAGGGGCAGCCCTCCTGGAAAAAGACTAATTTACGATGCAACAGGTCAGAAAAGCTAAAGAGCGAGTTTCTAGACTGTATTTCATCGGAACGACAAAAATGGCGATTACTCGCTCGAGCGGAAAGGACTGTTGGAGGAGAGTGATTTACGAGAGAGCAGCACAAAGCCCACACAGAAATACAAATAAGACTGTCTTTTTCAACCCACTTGCGGAGCATATCGGAGGAAAATGGAAAGGAAAATGAGTAATGACAAGTATTGAGAAGAGGAGACTGGAAACATCATTCTTAATATGGAAGCAGAACAAATATTCGAGGATTGGACTCCTGCCAATCAAGAAGCATGGGTACCCCCCACAAAAATTTATAATTTGGAAAACAATTGGATTATATGATATGTATTGTTATAATTTGGACTAATTGATTTGATGTGTTTAATTTGGAAATATGAAACTTAATAAAAATTATTCAAAAAAAAAGAAGAAGAGAAGAGCACAGGTGTGTGGGTGTGTTACCTTCTTCTCCTCTTCCCCTTGCTCCTCCTCCACCTCCTCCTCGATCTTCCTCTCCCTCTCCTTCCTCTTCTCTTTCTCCCGCTCCTTGTCTTTGTGCTTCTTCTCCTTCTTCTTTGGTCGCTTGCTCTTCTTCTCTGCGGAGAGCACTTCCGCCTCCTGGGGCGACTTGAGGTCGTCGGCGTTCCTGTGTCTCTGCACCGGAAGCTTCTCGCTGTCCGCCAAAGGCCTTTTTAGTGGGAAGGAAGGACAGGGGAGGTTTGTTTGCTTTTAATTACGCGTTTTGCATTTGCATCTCATTTTGCATTTTTACGTCGTGAACCGCCTTGTGATCTTCAGGTGAAGGGTAAACAAATATACAAATTCAACCCAGGCTGCAAAAAACACCATCTCAAGATTCAGCCTCCTGTTTTCCAACCCAAAAGCAAGATTCTAGCAGGGCCGGTAATATGGCGCCCATTGCAAGGCCAGAATTAACACCACACACACTCTCATGCATTGTACACAGCTACACTCCCAGGAAGCTGTGATTGACCGCAGCTCCGTCGCTGAATGAACCCTCTGAAATGGCCTGAGGGTGACCAGAAGTTCCCCAACACCAGTCTTTGCCCATCTGGTGCCCTCCAGCGGCTCGGGACCACAACTCCTAGCAGCCCCCATGCTGGCTGTTGGGGAGACATGATGGCGGAAATTCCAGAACATCTGAAGGGCACCTGGGCTGCGGAAGGCTGCCCTCGAGTAAGTTTCAGGAGCACTGCAACAGGTTAACAGCGAGGTGGATTGCATATAGCTGCTTTCCTGGTCGCCTATGGCGAACGGAAGATTGGCTCCAAGCAAGCAAGCGACCAAACACCATTCAGAGCACGGAACTCCCTGTCACTATAAATCAGGCAGGCACCAGATGCAAGGCTGAAACAGGTTTATCCCAGGAGGCCGTTGCACCATAAATGCTCTTCTGGGATTTTCAGTTTTGCATACTGCATGTTTTTTATTTTGTAAGTTGCTTTAGTGAAAACTAGGATTTTTTTAAACGTTTCTTTTGTTCCAGGCCACAAACATGCAAATTTAGGTCTATGCTGGTGGAAGAGAGAGAGAATTGATCCCCCCCCCACTAGACTCTCAAAATATGGAGTCTCTTTTTTCTGCTGCAATTTGGGGTGGGGTGAGTGGGTGGGTCAGCAGCTCTCTTGGCCGTGTTGGGGTTTTACGACGTCAGAAAGGGAGCAGCCAACTTGCAGTTTTTGCATTGTAATTTTATGTTTTGAACTGCCCTGAGATCTATGGATAAAGGGGCAGTACGCAAATTTAATAGATAATAAAAAGAACAACTTCCCATACACTGGAGAGAGAGAGAAATAGGGAGAGGGTAGCGCTTACCTCGCCGATTTCCCTGAAACCAGACTGTGTGTGAAAGACAGAGAAAGAGAGGGAGACAGGAAAAAAATAAAATAAAATACACATGACGACAGAATACAGCAACTGTGCGAATGGAAGAAGCAGGAGGGAAAGAGACAGAGAGTGAGAAATGCAAAATAATTCTGGTGATGCCTCACAGAACATACAAACGGAAGAGCTGGAAGAACCTGAGGAGCAAACCCAGCCTTTTAAAAGACGCAATGGAAGTGTCCAAATCGATGGCTTCATCCCTTAAACTAAGCTAAGCCCACAAGGTGAAGACTGGGGGTGGGGTGTACCTGTGACCCCTGGGTCTAATCTGGCCCACAAGGTCAGTGCCTGTCCCAAACCAAGCTCACCCCAGAGGTCGCATGTGACATAAAGGAGGGCTTGCCATACTAGCAAGTGGTCTATATTTGAATCGTTCTCATTCTCAAGTACTGATTTTCTTTTAAAAAAAAACAAACACCCACAATTCATGCGCATGGCTTAGAAATCTGAATATTAAGCCATCTCCATCTCTCCACCTAAATACCTGAAACAAATGAATGAAATATTGCTGAACTAGAACCAAGAGTAGGGAAACTTTGCCCCCCCCCAGCCACTGCTGAAATACAACTCCCACCAGCCCCCAGAAGCATGGCCGATGGTTGGGGGTGATGGGAGTTGTAGTTTAGCAAACGCCCGGCTGGCCAAAGGCTCCTTGCACTCTGATGCTGTTTTCTGTTGCATCAATTAAGTGTTTTAAATTTGTTGTTAGCTGCCCTGAGCCCAGTTTTCTGAACCGGGAAAGGTGGGATATAAAGAAAAATTATTATTTATCATCATCATCATCATCATCCCACAGAGAGTGGCAAAGCAACAGGCCTCAGCTGAAGTCAGGAAGGTTTAACACTAGCCAGGAAAGCAGAAGAACGCCAGCCCAGCTTTTTCCTTACTTGTCGAGGTCGATGTCCAGGGCCTTGTAGGGGTCATTGGGGTCCTTGTCATCCTCGTCGCTGGGCAGAGCATTCTGGGGAAAAAGCCACAAGAGAAGAAAGAGGGAGTGGGTCAAAGAGGTGCTGGTCTCCAAGGGGCAGGGGAAAGAGGGGTTGGTGACCTACCCTCCATTGCCACAGCGACAGAATTTTTTTGAAGTCAGAAATATGTTTCCACCACCCTGAACCAAGAGATAATGACTGTGCCACCTTCTACAGTCCAGCCACCTGCTCTCATAGTGGCCCTCCCGCCAGGGCTTACTTCTGGCATCTCCTCTGTGATGATGTCCACATGTTGTGCGGGCGCAATGTCCTCGTCGCTCTCGGTGTGCAGCGAGTTGTGGCGCCGGTGGTGCTTTCCCCGCTTCTCCTTCTCCTGCTTCTTCTGCTTCTTCTTCTTCTTGTCCTTCTCCAGCTTCTGCTGGTGCCGACGCTCCTCTTCCAACTTCACATACTGGTCAGAAACCGGCAAGCCTGCGTTGATGGGCGGAGAGGGACAGAGCGAGTTCTCAAGAGGGGCAGTGGGCTGAGCACCAGCCTTGAAAGGAAACGCTGGCCACGGTACACAGCCTGGGAGCCTTTTTGGACTCACAGCTGCCCATGGAGTAGCAGGTCAATTCTGCGTCCAGGGTGGCTGTCTACCAGCTCCATCTGAGACCCTGCCTGCCTGCGCACCATCTCGCCAGAGTGGTGCACGCTCTGGTCCCGCTTGGACTACTGCAATGCATTCTCTGTGGGGCTACCTTTGAAGGTGACTTGGAAACGACAACTAATCCAGAATGCAGCAGCCAGACTGGTGACTGGGACCATATTAACACCAGTCCTGAAAGACCTACATTGGCTCCCAGTGCGTTTCCGAGAACAATTCAAAGTGTTGGTGCTGACATTTAAAGCCCTAAACGGCCTTGACCCAGTATACCTGAAGGAGCGTCTCCACCCTCAACGTCCAGTCTGGATACTGAGGCCCAGCTCCGAGGGCCTTCTGGCAGTTCCTTCATTGTGAGAAGTGAGGTTGCAGGGAACCAGGCGGAGGGCCTTCTTGGTGGTGGTGCCCTCCCTGTGGAACGCCCTCCTCTCATAAAGTCAAGGAGATTAAGAACTACACAACTTTCAGAAGACACCTGAAGGCAGCCCTCTATTGGGAAGCTTTCAATGCTTAATGATTTTACTCAGAGCAGACCCCTTGAAACTAATGGACTTCAAAAGGCAGCCATGCCCTCTTTGTGTGGCTATTCCAACTTCAGCAGCTGGAGAAATGGAAGCCAGGCGTACTCGCCCTTTCAGGATCCCAGCATCTGACGTGGGAAGCAGAGACCAGGGCATAGAAAACTTGATTTGGAAGCACTGAGAATCAAGGCTGCTCATCTGAATAGCTCCGGGCCCCGTTCATTGGTGTGGAATGCTGGGAAACTGGCAGAACTCTTACCAGGAACTTTCAGAGGAACGGAGAGGTCAATTTGCACCACAGGTATGTGCTCGACGCCGGGGCTATCTTGGTACCTCTGGACAAGGTGGGGGTGGAGGGAAGAAGATCAGGTGGGGAAACAAGATTTGTCATGTGCCAACATTGGCCCTGTGTGGCTTATCAAAAGTAACAGCAGGATCCCTGCCATTAAAAGAGGGGCCCACCACCACCCTAGAGTGGGTCCCTTGCGATTACCAGACAAGGATCCGGGCTTACCTTCTGTGGGGAAGGAGAACTTTTGATGTAGAACGGGTTGTTCGCCTGTTCTTGCTTCCGGACTTCTCGGCGCTTTAGGGAGAGACAAGGGGCACGGCGATGGGTTTAAAAATCTAATATATTGAGGATTATTGGAACATTTTTCTTGGCTTCATTTATTTAAAAAAGGAGAATCCAAATGGCCTCCCCAACCCTGCTCCACAACAGCTTTGGTTGGGGGCAAGCTGTGTGTCTATCCTGACAGGGCCAGCCTAACTTGTCTAGGCTCTGGGAACTTCCAGGTTAGATTACTGCAGCATGTTATACGTGGGGCTGCCTCTGAAGACAGTGCGGAAACGTCAGCTTCCATGGTGCAGGCCAGGTTGCTCGCTGGGACAAAACAGTTTGATCACATTGCATTGCTCCTGGCCCGACTGCACTGGCTGCCAATCAGTTTCCGGGCCCACTTAAAAGTGCTGGCTTCTCACGTGAGCCAGAGGGGCACGATGCCTACATGATGGGCATAATAAATTCCTGCATTGCAGGGGGTTGGCCTGGTCCCTTCCAACTCTACAGTTCTTTCACTCTATGATGCGACCAGCCTACCCTCTTCAGTTCCTCCTCATCCATTTCAGGCTGCCGGTGCCTTGTGTGCCTCTGTTCCTCCTCGTGGAAGATGGTCCGCGGCTTCTCGTCCTCAGACTCGCTGTCCGAGGGAGGCTCGTTGATCCAAGCGTCAAGGTCCAAGCTGGGAAAGGAGAGAGCCTCCGCATCACTACCAAGCTGTCCTTGCTTTGATTACTCAAAAAGTTACTAATTCTAGTTAGATTTATATAGCTTCTCGTCAACAGAATAGACTCTTAAATCTCAGGGCCACGGGTTCAAGCCCCATGTTGGGCAAAGATTCTTGCATTGCAGGGGGCAGGACTAGATGACACCTGTGGTCTTTTCCAAGTCTGCGATTCTATAACTCCATCTTATTTCTGTGGTTTTAGGTTGTTCTGAGCAATTTTCTTAATTGTTGCAACCTGCTTTGGGTTCTTAGAGTGAAGGGTGGGCAAATCACCATCACCATCACCACACCCAGTCTCAAGTCAACATTATCATTTCTCCAGGGCTGCAGAAACTCAAGGCGGTGTTTTCAATGTCAAAATATATCACCAGCTATATATATATCAAAAATTTCAAAACTGCTATCACGATACAGACTTCAAAACTGTTTTGGACGATATATCATCCAGCCCTACTCAGGTCCCTCCCACAGGGCTACTCTGCACCCTCCTGAAGCGCTTTTGCATAGCTGGAATGTTTCCTTGTGCCATTAATGTGCCTCTTTGCTCAGCTGGATGGGGAACAGAGAGGTGTTTATGGAGCCAACGAGAGGCGAGTGTACACACCTTTTGCGCAACTGGAATGTAACCTTCTGTACAAAAGGTAAGAATTGCATCTGTTGCGCCCCCCTATCACTGTCCCTTTCCTTTTCCTCTGCCCCTCCCCATGACTTCTCCATGAGAGAATGCAGCACCCAGGTTCAAAAGACTCCCCCCACCCGCTTGGAACTAAACATAGTTTCTGGACCACCTTAAAAGGCAGCCCCATGCACAGTGCACTGCAGCAGTTCTGACCCTGCTGCGAACACAGAAATCGCACGGCCCCTCCTTGCCCTTTCTAAGACCCCTTGCTCTGCCTTCCCCCGATTTCACTCCTCTCAGACTGGCTGGGAGGCAGGTGAGGCTGCAGGCCCAGAACCCTGAGATCCAATGCCGTCACCCGGGCGGAGAGAATCTTACCCTTCTGGAATGGGCACTTTCTTCTGGGCTTTGGGGGCGACGGGGTTGAGCTCCCCAGCGAACAAGGCGATCACTTCCTCAGCTACGGGGACCTCTTTGATCTGAAGCTTGTGGATGTATTTCATGAGCTGGAGGATGCAAGAGGCCTGGCGAGAGGAAAGAAATTTATTAAAGTTAAGAGAGAAAAAGAGAGAGGGAGACTCTCGTTGATTTAGCCCACTGTTTCCCAGACTTGGGTCTCTGGCTGGTTTTGGACTACAACTCCCATCATTCCTAGCTAGCAAGACCAGTGGTCAGGAATGGTGAGAATTCTGGTCTGAAAACAACTGGAGATCCAAGTTTGGGAAACACTGATTTTAGCCAGAGGGTTAAAATGTTGCGCAGGTGGTACCTAATGTCAAATAAATGAGCCAAAATGTATAAAAATGTGCCAGGTAAGTGCTGGGAACAGTAAGTAGACAGAAGGGTCATTCTTGCATATGTGGTGGACATGCAAAAAAGTTAAAGGCTATTGGGAAATGATATACAGTGAAATGAAGATGATATTTAAATGGATTATTCTGAAAAGATGAGAAGCATAATGGGGACAGACATTTTGAAGAAGATGACCAAACTATTTACGTATGTGACAACAAAATCTGGAATATTATTTGCATAGAAATGAATAGAAGAAAAGGTTCCATCGAAGGAAGAGTGGTTTTTAAGCTATGCAAAAATGGCAAAGCTGATAGCAATATTAAGAGATCAAAATGACGAGCTTTTTACAGAAGAATGGAGGCCTTTCTTGCACTATTTGAAAAAGTATTGTAGTCAAATGAAATTGCGGGCAAGATTCTAGATAGGAGCAGCAGCAGCAGAAAAACTATACAGTAATTGTATTAGTGGGATTCTGCAATAGATGAGAGTTTGATATAGCACAGTAGAAAAGGGTATGAAAAGGGCTGCGTTTTTCTCTTTCCTTTTCGATATTTCTGACTTCATTTGTTCTAGATATGATCTTATTTTATTGTGAAAACTTTAATTTGAGCAAAAAGGAAAAAGGTTTGAACAGAAACACTGTGAAGTTGGGGGATGGGAAGCCAATTTATGAATCGATGCAATTATTCGATTTGAAGTCTGTGAAATTTTAGAAATTTAATAGAAAATGATAATGTAAAAAGAGAGAGATGGGATCTTGGGAGGATTTTTGCTTACCCTTTCCTGGACCTCGAGGTCCGCACTCTGCACGAACTGCGGCAGGCGCTCTATCATCATCTGCGTCGCCTCCTGCGCCACCTCCTTCTCGCCAGCCTGCTCCTTCTGCTGCAGGATTGCGGCGTACAATTTCACCATGTTTTGGACGTACACAGCCTGGATGTGACCGGGCAGCGTGGTGACCTTGGGCCGCAGCATGGCTTCCAGAGTCTGGTGAGGCTCCTCGAGGTGCCTGAGGAGGAGGAGGGGGAGAAGAAGGTGCTTAGAGGCGGGGTGTCCCAAATCCTCCTCCCAGGAGGGAAAGCGAGGAAACCACAAGAGGCAGCAAGGGGAGAACTCGGCCCTCTCCCAGCTGCGAGGCCTCCCTGGTGGTTCGTGAGACAGCCTTTGTGGTGGTGGCCCCAAGGGCAAGGAACTGTTGGGATACTGCCAGGGAGACAAAGTCCATCATGACTCCACGTCGCCTCCGGACGATCCATCGATCTCCCGTAGATACAGTATCAGCAATTAGCGACACAAGCTCCAGAAATAGTTTGCCACATTCCAGAGCTCATGCACGCTCTAACAGCAGAATTCACACAGCGAAAGATGCACGCAGGAGAGCATTATTTACAAGTTTATTCAACGCTGGTCAGAACAAAGAGAAAACATGACTGCCTGCTTCAGTGTCTCAGACACAGAGAGAGAACGAAAGCATAGACGCAACAGAAACATCCTGTGAACAGGAAATACGCAGGCTGTGACACAAACATCCTGCTCCCTTTTAAGGTGGAACGGAAATATCCTAACAGGAACTGCCTCCCCACACAGGTGATACCGGCACCATGTCTTTACAGATGTTGGCAACCGGTCATGTTGGTTGTTGGAGACTAGCAACATCTGGGAGGGCCCTGACAGATGTTCCCCATCCCTGGTCTAAGAAGAGGCATTCCCCACTGAGGAGGGAATGCCTCTTCTCAATAGAGACACTCCTCCATCTCAAGCATCCCATAGCAGACACTGCTTCTTAGAAAAGGGCTGGGGAACCTGTCGCTCTCTTGACTCCCATCTTGCAGGCCCACTGGTTGTCTGCAGGCTACAGCTTGGGAGCTCCTGCGTGACAGATGCCACAGCGCAGCTGGGAACTTACTCGGAGAACTCCCCGCAGATCCAGGCGGCGGCGTACAAGACCTCGCAGATCCCGTTGCGCTGGGTGTTGCTGGCCAGGAGGTGGGCGTTGTCCAACAGCATGGCCATCTGGGAGACGGCGAACTTGCGGATGGCCTTGACGCGAATGGCCACGTCAAGCATCTGGGAAGCGATGAGGTGGCCGTGGCGGGTCCCCTCCAGGCGGGTCAGCTCCACCAGGATGCTGATGTACCTGGATCACGGGAACACAGGAAGGGGCCTTAGACCCAGTCAGACTTATTGGGTCCCTCAAGCTCAGGACTGTCTACGGCAGGGTTTCCCAAACTTGGTTCTTCGGCTAGGGATGATGGGAGTTGCAGTCTAAAAACAGCTGGAGAACGCAAGTTTGGGAAGCCCTGGTCTACAGTGAATGAAAGTGGCTCTCCAGGGTTTCTAGTTCAGACCTAACGGGAGTTGCTGGGGAAGGGACCCAAGACCTGCTGCACGCAAGGTGGACTGCTCTACTGCTGAGCTATGGTCTTTTCCTTAAAAAACAAAGTAATAAAAACAAAACGAAATGAAAAAGATATTTAAACTGGTTATTCCCCCACCACCACCAACCTGAAGCTTTTCTCCTCGGGGTAATTGGGTCAGAGGCCACAAAGATGATTTTATGCATGCAAGAAACAACAGACAGAACCTTATACAGTGGTACCTCAGGTTACATATGCTTCAGGTTACATACGCTTCAGGTTACAGACTCCGCTAACCCAGAAATAGTGCTTCAGGTTAAGAACTTTGCTTCAGGTTGAGAACAGAAATCGTGCTCCGGCGGCATGGCGGCAGCGGGAGGCCCCATTAGCTAAAGTGGTGCTTCAGGTTAAGAACAGTTTCAGGTTAAGTACAGACCTCCGGAACGAATTAAGTACTTAACCCGAGGTACCACTGTACAAGCAGAACTGGAAAGAAAAGTCCAGAGAAAGAAGAACGGCTCTTAAAATTAACAGACTATGTGGACCTGGCAAAGCTAACAGTGAAAATAAGAGGTCGATACAATGGGCAATTTATGGAAGAATATCATAATCAAATCGCCGGCAGGATTTAAAACTTGAGCAAAGAGAAGAAAATGGTAATATATGAAACAGAGGAACATGTATTAGATGAAATGTGTGAAGCCCTGTAGGTAAACAGAAATACTGACCATTCGAAATTGGTGATGTATTGGTAATTGGACTGGCTACATATGTCAATGATTTTGGTCAGCAGCTCGTCCCTGTAGGTTGTCCCTTCCGCTTTGTCCACGTGGATCATCAGCTTCTTCACAATCTCCATCAAGTTCTTCTTGGACACCTGAAGTTATAGAGGCCAGTTGGTGGGGAGGGAGGGGCAAGTCATTAAAGAGGATATTGACAAGCTGGAGCGTGTTAAGATGAGGGCGACCAACAGCGGAGTGAAGTTTTTTGTCGGGGAACAATGGTGCCAGCTTGTGAGGGCGATTTTGGGGGGGGGACGTCATGTTGTGATGTCCCAACATGTTGATGTTGTGTGCATGACCATCGCGCCTCCCTAAGTCAGGCAGAAGCATCCCGGGCTTTAATACATGAACAATTAACTGGGAACATAGCCTAGTTCCCCTAATCTGCACATCACTGGCAACCAAGATGATGAAGGGCCTGGAAGCCAAACCTTTTGAGGAGCAGCTGAAGGAGTTGGGGATGTTTTGGCTAAAGAAGAGGAGAAGTGAGAGGTGGGAAGATGGCCACCTTCAAATATCTCAATGGAAGATGGAGCCACCTTCAAATATCTCAATGGAAGGTAGAGCCACCTTCAAATATCTCAATGGAAGATGGAGCCACCTTCAAATATCTCAATGGAAGATGGAGCCACCTTCAAATATCTCAATGGAAGATGGAGCCACCTTCAAATATCTCAATGGAAGGTGGAGCCAGCTTGTCTTCTACTGCTCTGGTGGGGAGGACCCCAGACAATGGATTCAGATGGCAAGAAAAGAGAATCTAATGAAACATCAAGAAGTTCAACAGTATAAAGGGGGTGGACGCTCCTTCCTTGGAGGCGTTTAAGCAGAGGCTGGGTGGTCATCTGCCAGGGGTTCTTGAGCCGTGATTCCTGCATTGCAGGGGGCTGGGCTGGAGGAAGTTGCAGGTCCCTTCCAACTCTACGACTGCCTTCTACTGCTTTTGAGAGTGTTCTGGATGCAACATTTGTCGCCCCACGAAGCACGGTTTGCTTTAGGAATGCAGGAAGCTGCCCTACGCTGAGTCAGACTGTTGGCCCCATCTAACTCAGTATGGTTGACACTGACTGGCAGCAGCTCTCTGGGGTTTCAGAAGGGACTCTTGCCCAGTCCTACCTGGGAGTGGTCAGAAATTGAGCCAGGGACCTTCTGCATGCAAAGCAGGCACCTTACCAATGAGCCATGGACCTTCCCCAGCTGTCTCCAAGGATTGTGTTCTTGCTGCAGTGCTCCTAAGGGTTTTCGGGTATGCTCTCTATATTTCTAAAAGTTAAGACCTCCGTGATGTTGCGGCGGCAGGTGAACATACCATCCCGTAGAGAAGATCCAAGGCCCGGAGGCGGATGGACTCGTCTTTATCATCCAAGCACTGCAGGATGAGATCCTTGTGGGACTGGACCGATTTGGGGTGGGTTTTCAGGATCTTGGACATCGCCAGCAGCCCCAGATATTTCACTACGTGGGGAGGAGGAGACACAAACACACACAAGGGCCAAATAAGATTTCCAGGGGCAGCGGTGGAGGCCCGGGAAGCTGAGCTGCACTCAAGAGTAGATTCTGCGAAATCAACGGACTCAAGTTGGGAAAGCCCAGTGGATTTCAACAGACCTATAAAGCCTTAAATGGCTCAGGACTGCAATACCTCAAGGACTGCCTCTTTCCTTATGAACCTACCAGGACCCTGAGATCATCTTCTGAGGTCCTCCTTCGTGTGCCCCCTCGAGAGGCCCGGAGGGTGGCAACACGAGAACAGGGCCTTCTCTGCATTGGCTCCCCATCTGCTCTCCCCAGGGATGTTCGCCTGGTGCCTTCATTACACACATTTAGGCGCCAGGCAAAAACATTCCTTTTTAACCAGACCTTTGGTTGATTTGATTGACATCCTATGCCCTTTTTAAATGTGGGGGTGGGGGTGGGGAGGTTATTGGGTTGTTGTTTATATTCTGATTATGTATTTTGTGGTTTTATATTTTGATTTTATTTTGTGAGCTTCCCTGAGACCTCTGGGTACAGGGTGGTATATAAATTCAACCAATCAATCATAATCATAAAATGACTAAGCCAATGCAACTGCTCACTCATATTAGTATTTAGCAGGATTTAAAGGGTGCCCCCTCCCTTGCCCCTGGTGCCAAGGACTTCCCCCCCACCCCACAGGCCCGAGACTTACAGTTCTGGTCCGAATCTTCTATCAGTATCCTCAGCTTCTGAACGCAGAGCTGTAAAGAAATGACGCACAAGTTTTTTGCAAGCGGCAGAGAGGATGACACCTTCCACCTCCCTCTGCAATCAAGGAAAGCCCTCTGCGCTCCAGCAAAATTTCAGCTGCTGCCGCGAGGGCTGGCAGGCCAAGATGGGACTTTACCTGGATGCTGGCACTGTGGTTGGGCATCCCCGAGGAGAGAGAGATCAACACTGGAGGAAGGAGGGGGGAGAAAAGGGAGTTTAAATTGGTACGGTGCAAAACACGCAAGTCAGGAGGGGTAAACAATAATGGCGTGCTTGGCAATGTCTTTACTTACCTGCAATCACTGTGTTCACACATTCGTAAAGCAGCGACATGGCGGAAGTGCTGAGAGGGGGGAAAGAGAGAGTTATTGCACTCTGGAAAGCTCGCAGGAAAGTACAGCAGCATTGCACATTTATGGAGGAGAAAGGCTATGGGTGTCCACTAGCCGGCTGACCGGGTTTTACCTCTGTTTTTGGAGGCAGCGCGAGACTTTAGGACCATCAAGGCAATGGCTTTTTCCACCCACACTCCAGTCCTAGCAGCCTTCAGAAAGGAGTTGCTGCCACGAGCATTAAGTACCGTATTTTTCGCCCTATAGGACGCACTTTTTCCCCTCCAAAAATGAAGGGGAAATGTGTGTGCGTCCTATGGGGCGAATGCAGGCTTTCGCTGAAGCCTGGAGAGCGAGAGGGTCGGCCCCTCTCACTCTCCAGGCTTCAGGAAGCTATCCGCAAGCCTTGGGAGCCCGCGGGAGTTCCCGCGGGCTCCCAAGGCTTGCGGAGAGCTGCCTGCATCCCGAAGCCTGGGGCGTGCTGAGAAGTGCGCTCCGGGCAGCTCTCCACAAGCCGCGGGAGCCCGGCGTGACTTCGCCCGAAGCAGCCTGTTCTGGGGGCTGGGGTCGGGGAAAGCTCGGGCTTCCCCCGCCCCAGCCCCGTGCCGGTGTGTGTGGGGGGAATAATTTTTTCCCTTTATTTCCCCCCCAAAAAACTAGGTGCGCCCTATGGGCCGGTGCACCCTATGGGGCGAAAAATACGGTACATGTGATAAATGAAGTGGAAGGTCACGAGTCATGGGAGTGCGCAAATTCAGCAGGGCTTAGTGTGATTTTGGCTGCTGGTTTGCTAATGCTGTTAGCATTGTTTTGCGGATTATGAGTGCTGCAGTGCTTTGTGAATCATATATTACGACTTTTTTGTTGTGGCTGTGCTGTTTAGCTTTTTAAAAAAGTTCTTTTGTTAATAGTGATTGTTTTGCTGATGATCTGTTAAGTATTCCACACGATTTATGTTGCATTCGTGTTGTTCTATTATTCATCTGACTGGCATACCGCCCTTCATCGTAAGATCTCAGGGCAGGTCACAGAATAAAATACAGGATAAAAACATGAAAATATGTAAAACAAAACAACAAAACAGTAATGCCCTCCCCCTTCTCACAAACACATTTAAAAGGCTGTAGAATATTAATCAGCCAAAAGAAGAGAAGAGGAGCGTTTTTGCCTGGCGCCTAAAGGTGTATAATGAAGGGACCAGGCAAACCTCCCTGGGGAGAGCATTCCACATACGGGGAGCCACTCAGAAAAGGCCTGTTCTTGTGAATGGGTTGTTTTATATAGGGAGAGGCAGTACTCAATGTACAGTATTGCGGTCCTGTGCCAGTTATTGTTTTTTATTGTGAGCCACTTTGTGAAACTGCCATCTTGACCGTTGGACCTGCCCTTGGTCTCGTCCGATCCCTTCACTGGAGCCTATCTTCACACGGAGGGGAAGTTCCTAACTCACCAAGGGTTTGAGACCCATCGGCTCCCCTCGCCTGGCTCAGCTGGCCAGCCAAAGCCATTTCCAGGATTGCACCCGCTGTTGCATTTCTGACAGCTTCCAGGAGCCACAGGTGAGAGCAGAGTACAGGGTGTGGACCAAAGGTGGACCTAGCACCCCAGAAGGAACATGACGTGTCCCCCACTAGAGGTGCAACCCCTCCTGTGAACACCCCATACTCCCCAGCTTCCAATATTACAGGTTCATTATTTAGAAAAACACGTACCATATTTTTTCGTGTATAAGACTAGGCTTTTTCCCTTTAAAATGTCCCATGTTATACAAGGGACCATCTCCCCCCCATTTTCTTAAATCTGAGTCCCCCAAAATAGGGGGTGTATTATACACAGAAAAATACGGCACACTACTATAAAATCCACAGACATGATAAAACTAGCAAAATATAAAGGAAGAATGTAAACAGTTTCAAAAGCCAAGATGCGTAATGACTGCATGTCAGGATGAAACATTTTTAAGCATGATAGAATGAAGGCAGAGAGCAGATGCCGTCTTGCTAAAAGATTGGAACGTGGAACAAACATGGTGCTGCCCTGGAAAAAAAAGAGTCAGTTCTGCAGACCAAAGCAGTGGGAACACGATGGGGCAAGGCCAGTCCTTCTGATGAAGTAGCCCCGAGCTGTGGATGGGTTTCATGTGCCCCCTTGAATCTGCCCCACTAACAAGTCACCAGACAGCGCAGATCTTTGCAGGTCTATATTACTGGAAGCCAAACGGTTGCTATTTTGTTGGGGACCAACACTTTTCAAATTCGCACAAGCAATCAGCCTGCGTGCCTGTTCAGGTTTAAATATCATGATTTAGAAATCAAAATGCCCCGTGTTTTGTCAACCAGGTCGAACAAAAACCCTGGCTGAAGGTCAGTTGCTTCCCCAGGTCAGCACATGGACTGGCTGTTTCAGGAAGCGCAAAGCTGTTCTGACAGCTGGATTTGCAAGACCCACAGCACAGACAACCCGCCCCAAACCATAGAGAGGTGAGGGAGAACGCAAGGGATGAAGAGCCACAACACGCTTTCCACAAAGCTAAGGAGAAAGGCCTAGAGCGACACACAAACAGAGGCAGAGCGCCCTCTTCTGGTTCCTGCTGGAAGGCAGCTATTTTAATGGGGTGGGATCATAGTGCTGATAGGGGAGGAGCCAATCTACCCTAGAGGAGTGGGGGGGGGGAGGGAGATGGGCAAGCTCCATAGGCCTGGTACCAATCACCACCCAAACTGGCCGCATCTAAGGAGAATCCAGAAGTGGGGACCACGTGGGGATTTATGCAGCTTTGCACGCTTGAGAGAGGAATGGGATCGCCGTGAGGTGCGAGAAGTGGGAGGAGCACAAAAGCAAAAACGGAACAAACCCAAAAAACCCACACCCCTCCACTGCTGCTGCTGCGTCAACATCCCAGGTGGCAACTCTCCCCCCTCTTCCAGGACCACATCCCACACAGCAGCCCCCAGGCTGAGGTCCACCCAGAGAAAATGGCGCTAGCTAGAGATACGCACTTCTCCTTTTTAAAAAAATAGACAACAGCAGCACCACCTAAGCAAGTGGTTCCCAAACTCCCTGCCCCACTTGAAAAGGATCGAGGGGGCTTGCTGGACTGCAGAATGATTTGTCAGCTGTGCTAGATGCTGGTCTGGTCTTTAATTGCTTCTTTCACATTTTGGAACCCCTGATCTAATCCATGTTGCAGAACTGGCACCCATTTCCGACGCCGTTCTGCAGGCAGAAGTTAACAGCTCTGGGAAGCAGAGATTAGGTTTACGCAACATAGAGAAGGCTGAGCCATTAAATTGTCCATGGTATAAAACCATGTCTTGATTCCCACCTAATGCTAAACCATGGTTTGTGCAGCTACAGTTTAGTAAAATATGGCTTGGCGTGCGTTCATGTGCTTAACTATGGTGTTTCTGCCGCCAACAAACTACAATCTGAAACCATGTTCTATTGTTGGGTTATGCACCTTGCTCTGTTTTAACTTCTAGGGCAGGGGTGGGAAACTGGATCCTTACCCCAGCACTTGTGGGCAGAGTTTGACAGGTGGGTGGGGCTGCTCAACCGCCAATCCCCTGACCTCCCAATAAAGCCAGGTGACCTTTTTTTCTCTGCACAGGTGAGAGCTGGCAGCCACTTGCAAAGCTCCTTTCAAAGGGCTATTTCTGCAAGGAGTTGCGGGGCTTAGCGGACACTCCCTGTCAGCAGGGCCCTCAAACGTCCTCCCAGCTTGCTAAATGGTTAGATCACCTGTTTTGTGGGCAGGTCGTCCAGGTTCAATCTCTTCCAGCATCTCCAAGTAGGACTGGGAACTGTCCCCTCTGGGGAGCCTGTGCCAACCAGAGCAGGCAGAGCAGGCAGATGGAGGGATTAATGGTCTGGCTTCATATATAGCAGGTTCCTGTGTCCCTCACTCCCTGGCAAGCTAGCACAGCATAACAGTTAAAGGGTTACTAGGACCTGGGAGAGACCAGGGCTCAAATCCCCCACTCAGCCCCCAAGCTCATTTTGGGGAGCATTCACCGTCTTAGCCTAACCTACTTACAGGGTTGCTGTGAGGATAAAATGGGAAGGGATTTGAGAACCACACTGGAGAAAAAGGTGGTATAGGAATAAAATATGGTGTGTTTTTAATAATAAAAAATTGAGCCAGAGTTTTCTCTGCTCCACACTTAACATTGCATATGGTGCCCGGTGCGAGGTGGGTGGCTGTGGCTTGGGCAAAATGGCTTTACTGGCCAAATTGGGGCAAAGGGGTGGGCCGCGGGACAGAGCCACAGCCCCTTCTCTAAACCACTGGGTACTCACTACTGGCCTAATCTAAGGTGGGTTGCAGCAGCAGCAGCACCCTGACCATATGACATACATGGCCAGAGAGACAGAGAGAGAGAGAGAGAGAGAGAAAGAAAGAAAGATAATAAAATAAAAAATTACTATTATTATTATTATTTATATGCCGCCCACCTGACTGGGTTGCCGCAACCACTCTGGGTGGCTTCCAACAAATTAAACACATTAATAATAATAAATTGGTCTCAAAACAGGTCTGGGTTAAAAGGCAAGTCTGGGTCTGAAAAAGTTGAAGGCTGCTCATTCCAGACCAACCCCTGCCACCACCATCTTCAAAGTCGGCTGGCTCTGCTCCCGTTAACACAGAATCAAAGAACGGTCAGGGTTCGAGCATCAACTTGGGACCTCGCAGGTTTTCTCGGCCAGTAGCCCCCCACCCGACCCCCACCCCTGGCCCCAACAGCTACTCAACTACAGCAGAATTAGGGTGAAGAAGAGAGGGAGGAGACCAGAGCACGGGGGTGGTGGAGTTTTGGGGGGGTGGGTTTGTGTTTGCTTTGAAGTATACATACTGTCCACTTGGGCGCATTTCTTGGAAGAGGACTAGTTTTTTATCTTTGGAGGGGCTGCCATGAACTCTACCCTCTTTGGGGAATTGGAAGAGGGCGCGCTGGCTGTTTGGGGAGAGAAAGGAGGGTTAAGTGGAACACTTCGCACGGGATCTACGTGTCCTTTTAAAAAACGGATGGGGGTGCTCCCTTGACAAAGGTGGAGAGGGTGTGCTGCACTTTTTACAAGACCCCGCCCCCCCAAGGGTGACAGGAGGCTGGCTAAGGGGTGAAGAGTGTCCTGGCAACCCTGTCCCAGAGGCAGAAGTGTGTGCTTGAGTGGAAACACAAAGGCAAGGGGCTGGGATTCTTGGGTATCAGCAGCTGAGGCGCGAGAGGTGCTTTGCGCAAACAGCGTAAGGACTAGCATCGCCAAAGAACTGACTCACTCACCTGTGGATGAGGTTGGTGAGGGGCTCAATGAGCTTCTTCCCTAGCCTGGGTTCCAAAGGAGTAAGAGCACCAAACTGCAGGAAGAAAGGAGAGAGAATGTTTGAATGGCCGGATGACGACAGCTGTCCTGCAGGGCCTGAAGGAGCGTCTCCACCCCCATTGTTCAGCCCGGATGCTGAGGTCCAGCTCCGAGGGCCTTCTAGCGGTTCCCTCACTGCAAGACGTGAGGATGCATGAACCCAGGCAGAGGGCCTTCTTTGTAGTTGCACCCTGCCGTTAGATGTCAAGGAAATAAACAACTATCTGGCTTTTGGAAGACACTTGAAGGCAGCCTTGTATAGGGAAGTTTTTCATGTTTGATGCGTTACTGCGCTTGAGGTTTTCAATTTGTTGGAAGCCGCCCAGAGTGGCTGGGGCAATCCAGTTAGATGGGAAGCAATTAACTAACTAATCCAGCCAGCCCACCAGCCCTGGGGGGTGGTGCTTCTCCCCAGACCACACCCTCCTTGAGTTCTTCTTGCCCCGTCGGAATGCGTGAAATTGAATGTAGCCCAATTTACACTGGTGAGAGTTGTGTCCGCTTTCCCTTCTGCTTTTGACAGCCTTCTCCTCCATTAATTTTCCTGATCCCTTTTGAAAATTGAACATAGGAGCAGTCCTGCTGGATGAGGCCCAAAGGGGCCCATGTAGTCAGGCGTCCTGCCCTCACAGGGGCTGAACAGATGCCCCAATGGGAAGCCTCAACAAAGCCCTGCTGCTCCTCCGGATCACGAGGAGACCCTCTCCAGAGCCTGAAGAGGATGCCCAGGTGCTCCAAACCCGTAATGCAACTGGAGTCACCTGTAAATAAATAAAATCCGGGCCGCAACAGAGTATACGGCAGCTTCCCTGCACACTCTTGCTCACATTTCAGCCTCTCCCAGAATCCTTTGCAGCCTGAGAATCAGAAGACACTTCGCCACCACCTCCCCGCACAAACCAATTAAGCAGGCTGCTTGCTGTGTCTGCTCCTTTCCTCTCTGTTTCACATCAACTCTTCACCTCTTAAGTGACAGAGTGTGTGTCTTCACACTGCAAGCGAAGGAAGCCGCCTGTACTTGCCAGCTTGATAATTTTAATGAGGACCCAGTTGTTGGTGGACGACGTCATCAGCTTAAAAAAGAGCGGAGCAAGGGAAAGGTAGTTTTTCGGGTTGCGCCTGGCCAGCTCGCAGATGACGTTCACGGCGGCTGACTGGACACCTGGGGGAGAGGGGAGGAATAAAGGGAAGAGGGGGTCCGAGTGAGTTGTGGAGCAAAACGGCTGACGGATTTAAGACACATCTTCTCCATAAACTTAAAGCACCAGGGTATCACTTTAAAGAGACATGGCTTCCCGCAAGGAGTCATAGAATCAGAGTTGGAAGGGACCCTGTGGATCATCTGGTCCAGATCTTTGTGTCATGGCTCCTTAGCGTGTTGGCTGCAGTGTGTAGGTATGTCATGTGAACACGCCTTGTGCTCCTCCCGGACAGGGGTTGGCTTAACCTCCAGGTTGCTAGTAAAACTGATGCATGTCTGAAAAGTGTGTCACCAACATTTAAAGTTTGGAAAGCTCTGATCTAGTTCAACCTCCAGCAATGCAGGAACGTGCAGCTGTCCCATACAGAGATCGAACCTGCAACCTTGGCGTGATCAGCACCATGCTCTGATCAACTGAGCTATCCTGGGGAGAGTAGCTTGTTCGGGGTGCTGGGAGTACTTAGGAGAGCCCTGTGCCCCTCGATTTATGTGCCACCACAGGGTTTTTAAAAATTATTTTAAAATTTGTATACCGCCCTATACCTGCAGGTCTCAGGGTGGTTACAGCACAAAAGCACAATATAAATACACAACATTACATGATAAAAAGAAAAACAACCCAATGAAAGGCTACCTGGAGCCACTCTCTTCCCCTTCCCACCCCCAAAACACACAGTCTTTGCAATCTTCTGGATCCTGTTTCATCCAGCTTACTAACCGGGATCTGGGTCTTCCAACTTCTCCTTAAGGCGGGGGAACGCAGGGCGAAGGGACTCCGGGTATTTCAAGAACACTTTGTACATGATTAACACTGCCTTCTTCCTGATGTAAGGCTTTGTGTGAGACATCTGTTGGGGAGGGCAGGGAGAGGAAGAAGGGAGAGGAGAATAAGCGCACATTTTTTCCACAACAAGGGCATCAAGGTCTCTTCTTTTGCACCACAGCAAACCAGCAGCACTGGGAAGGGCTGTAGCTCAGCAATTGAGCTGAGCTGCATGCAGAAGGTCCCAGGTTCAAGCCCTGACAACATCTCCAGGTAGGGATGCAAATGCCCCCTGCCTAAAAACGTAGAGAGCTTTTGCCAGCCAGTGTGGGCAATATTATTAAATCACAATACTATTAAATCAGGAGCTGGATTCAGGCACCAGGCCCATTGGCAGACCAACGCTGCATTACAAAGATGTCTGCAAACATGACCTGAAGGCTGGCAACATTAACCCCGCCATGTGGGAATCGCTTGCAGATGGCTACAGTGCCTGGAGGCAGGAAGTGAAGTGGTGCATCCATGGCAGTGACCAGAGGAGGAATGACCGCTGGCTGCCCTCCTCTGCACATCTTCCAGCTTGTCCACATCCTTCTTAAACTGTGGTGCCCAGAATTGGACACAGTATTCCAAGTGTGGTCTGACTAAGGCAGAACAGAGGGGTTCTATTACTACCCTTGATATGGACACTAGTCTTCTGTTGATGCAGCCTAGAAAGTGTTAGCTTTTTTTGCTGCTGCATCACACGCTTGACACATGTTTAGCTTGTGGCCGACCAACCTTTTCACAGGTACTGCTAGTAAGCAAAGAATGAGATTGCAGTTCTCTCCAGCAGTTTCCAGAAACTGCTATCCAGAAGAATCTGGGGGCAGAGCATAACCATTGTGGCTACTGGACGTTGATGATCTTCTCCGGGGATTTGTCCAATTGTTGCCATCTACAGTTGCAATCAAAATTATTCAACTCCCACTGCAAATCAGGTTTATTATCAGACTTTCAGCTGTTTGCAATGAGCAAATAAAACAAAAGCAATTGAAATAGCTCAGAACAATGGTTCCCCCAAATTCAGCTGAAAATGCAACTTATACTGGCTTCTCCAGTCTCACTATTATTCGGTCCCCTGAATGGAACCCCTCACAACAGCACAAATACAACAGGTGTTGTCTCAAGCACACCTGATGTGCTTGAGCTGGAACACATGAAATACCTGAACTGGCTGGGGTTTGCTGAGTGTCAAATTTGGCTGCATGTTAGAAATATCAGTAAGTCAAGAGAATAGTCCAAAAAGGTAAGAGATGAGAGCCCTTCACAAACAAGGAGTCTGTAAATTTTGATAATAAACCAGATTTGCAATGGGGGTTGAATAATTTCGATTGAAACCGTATGCTTTCGCGATGGTTCTTACGCACTCGAGGAGCAAAGCACAGAGCTCAGTTGTGGGACAAGGACTTCTGAACAGCTTTTAAAACCCCAATGGCTTGGCAGAAGAAAGAGCGGACAATGCAACAATTGTAGACCAGACCCCCGCCCCCGCAGCCCAACTCACCAGGGTCATGATGTCGTTGGCCAAGTCTCTGGCCAGATCAGGAGTCACAAAGCAGGACAAACCAGTCAGTGCAACGCCGGTGTCATACTGGTTGGGGCTACTCAGGTCCTAGAATAGGAGGGGAGACGGAAAGGAGTGTTGGGGGTGAGGAGGGGAAAGAGGTGTGGGAAGAGGAGGGAGAAGAGTCCTTAGTTGAGTTCAACCTAGAAAGACGAAGTCTTTATATCCCACTTTTCCTCCAAGGAGTGGAGAACACAGCTCTCCCCTAACCTTTTTATCCTCACAACAGCTCAGTGCAATAGGCTAGGCTGAGAGTGAGTAACTGGCCCAAGGTCACCCAGTGAGCTTCATGGTTGAGTGGGGATTCAGACCCTAGTCTCTCCCAGGTCATAGCTCTATGCTCTGACCCAGTGTTTCTGAAACTTGGGTCTCCAGATGTTTTGGGGCAACTCCCATCATCCCTAGCTAGCAGGACCATGTGGGGAGACCTGTATTCTAATGCAAGTACAGTGGTACCTTGGTTTACGAACTTAATCCATTCTGGAAGTCTGCTCTTAAACCAAAACCGTTCTTAAACTGAGGCACACTTTCCCTAATGAGGCCTCCCACCACCGGTGCCCTTCCACCGTTCAGATTCCGTTCTTAGACCGAGGTAAAGTTCTCAAACCAAGACACTATTTGCGGTTTTGCGGAGTTTGTAAACCAAATTGTTCTGAAACTGGACTGCTCTTAAACCGAGATACCACTGTGGTAGCTAAAGACTGCTACTGTTAAGATTTTTAAAAGCTGTTGTTTAAAATTGTTTTTACATGTTAATTTTGATTTTTGTTATTTGTAATTTGTGGGCTGGAGGGCTGGTTAGGGGCTTTTGTTGGGGAGCGTAATTTCTGTAAGTTTGCACACATTAGTACAGTGGTACCTCGGGTTACATACGCTTCAGGTTACAGACTGCGCTAACCCAGAAATAGTACCTCAGGCTAAGAACTTTGCTTCAGGATGAGAACAGAAATCGTGCTCCTGCAGCGCAGCGGCAGCAGGAGGCCCCATTAGCTAAAGTGGTGCTTCAGGTTAAGAACAGTTTCAGGTTAAGAACGGACCTCCGGAACGAATTAAGTACTTAACCCGAGGTACCACTGTATTAGTAATTATTTTCATTATGTATTTCGTGCTTTCGTATTGTAACTTTCAGTTGTGAACTGCCCTAAGAGCTACGGGTATAGGATGGTGTAAATTTTAACCAATCAATCAAATTGAAGGGCATGACCTACATTTCTTAAGTCATAAGGAAGAAAACAGGCCGGTGGTCTCGCAGGAGGAGACACTAGTAACAGGCAGCAGCTCTTCTGGAATGGCGACACTCACCTTTCGGATCTGGTTCGTTGTCAGCATGATGACGTCGGTCCCTTCGTGAAAGCACTGCGAGGCTGCCAGGTACCCGATCCTCTGCAGGGTTAGGAAAGAGGGAAAGCGAGTCAGTATCAAAGGCTGAAAGGGAATCATTGCCACTGCGTACAGGAATGGTCAAAAAACATATTCTTAAAAATTGATGTAATCAGTCCTTCACAGACTATTTTTAATGTTATTTGTAATTTTTATTTTAATGTCATCCTTCATTATCTTAATTTTACAGGTATGTGTGTAACGCGAACGTTGCTATGTTTGGTTTTAATAAATAATTGTATAATTTCAAGCTTTCAAGGTGTCTTGTTTACAACGTCTTCCTTCGCTATGTTATAGGGGATAGGTAGAAATATACATACAGTGGTACCTTGGGTTAAGCACTTAATTCATTCTGGAGGTCCATTCTTAGTCTGCCGCGCAATTTCTGTTCTCATCCTGAAACAAAGTTCTTCACCCGAGGTACTATTTCTGGGTTAGCAGAGTCTGTAACCTGAAGCGTCTGTAACCCGAGGTACCACTGTACATCGAAGAACACAAATTTGTCACTGCATCTTTCTCTTTCTTCGCTTAAAGGCAGTAGGTTTCCAGAGGGGCGCTGAGTATATATATTTTTTCATTTTCTGAATGAATTTGGCAGGCCAAATAGGATTGGGAACCTCTATTTTAGAGGAAATATGTTTCCACGGCAGCTGCCAGGAACCCCCTGACGCCTTTCCCCCCGGCAGCCCAGGTTCCCACGCAGGCCACTTACTTTGAAGGTGTACTTTGAGGCGCTCATGACTTCGATGATGTTGAAGGCTGCCCAGCTGATGTCGTAGCCCAGCATTTGCAACTGTGAGGGGAGGAGGAACAAAGGCCAGAGTGTGAGTCTTGGGACAGCAAGGATGGGACATTATAATGATTAGCAGGAGAAAAGGCGTCTTGCCTTTTTATGTGGCACCCAAGATGCTTTTGCCCTAGGTCAAAAGTAGTTGATGGTACAGGATCACGGGATCGTAGAACTGTAGAGTTGGAAGGGACCCCAAGGGTCATCTAGTCCAACCCCCTGCAATGCAGGAATTTTTTCCTCCCACCAATCCTCTGCATCCAGACGCCTATGGACAGCCAGATGGAGAGGACTGCAGGGCCGTATTCAGCCTGCGTGCACACAGGCCTGAGGTTTCTTACACCTGCCCAATTTGACACCCCTTCCAAGCTCAATGCCACGCCCAAGGGATACAGAGAGATAAATAAAAAACTTGACAATTCTGTATTTAGTTTACGCAAATTCATTAACAGTAACGTGCGGCATTTCAACAATCTCTAATACATGAAATCTTAATTGGCATATTTAAGACCCTGATGTTGGGAAAGATGGAGGGCACAAGGAGAAGGGGACAACAGAGGACGAGATGGTTGGATAGTGTTCTCGAAGCTGCCAGCATGAGTTTGACTAAACTGTGGGAGGCAGTGGAAGACAGGAGTGCCTGGTGTGCTCTGGTCCATGGGGTCACAAAGAGTCGGACACGACTAAACGACTAAACAACAACAACAATGCGCCATCCATCGAATCTAATGTGCACCTTAATTTTCACAACGTAATTTGGCCAAAAAAGGTGAGCATTAGGTTTGAGTAAATACGGTAATACATACAATGACAAAATGAAAATGACAAGTGCAACAATGAGATACCCGGATTTCGATCTGTTTCATGGTTGGCCCGAAAAGGAACTCTTAAGTTATATATAACATGCTTGTAATGACCTCATTCAATGCAAATCTCATACAATGTCATTTTTATTTTGGCACTGTATATATTAAGATTTTAAAGAGTTGTGAAGTTTGCAATCTGACACCACCTCACGTTCCATGGAAGTAACACTGATACAGGAACACAATGTATGTTCCGCAGCTGGAGGCAGCAGATACCACTTGCTGGAGGGGAAAGTGCTGCTGTGTTCAGTTCCTGCTTGTGAGCATCTGGTTGGCTTCTTTTGAGAACCAGAAGGGCCACTGGCCTGATCCAACTGGGAAATTCTGAACTTCTTCTGTTTACTCCCCACCTCTACTATGGGGAGACAGAATTATGGGATGCAGTCGGAAACGAAGAGGGCCGCCTCGCCTTGGGAGGCTCCTCGCGGAAGAGGCTCACTTGCCTGCCCTGCAGGCCGCATGGCAGAAACCTGACCCACAGGTGAGGGAGACACTTACGTAGGTGAGCTTGCAGACGGCATTGGCTTTCACGGCAATGTTATCCTGCTTCAGTTCCTGCTTGATCTCATCGATGCACTGAGAGATGTACTTTGCCTGGAGGGATGGAGAGGAAGGAATTGTGGGTTAAGTCACTGGAAATCTCCTGCTCAGTCAAGATTGTCCCCAAAGATCCAGTACCCAGCACACATTTCGTTCTTAGGCGCAGAAGGTTTTGTCTGGCCTCCCCAAGCGCGCATGTCAAACAAACGGGTCAATCCGTCATAGTACTGTCTGCACTGACCGGCAGCAGCTATCCAGGGCTTCAAGAGGACACACCTAGCTCTACCTGGAGCTGGGGATAGGCAGGTCACACCGCTGACATGATATAAATGTTAGGCACCCCTCCCCTTTGTGGGTCACTAGCAGATCTGGATGCAAAAGGCAATTAACGTTCCCTCTCCAAAGGTGTTGCACAGTTACTGATTTAGACTTCGTTAATTAAGCTTGCTAAAAGCCAGCTTCGCATGTTAAAGCAAAGTGCGATTTGGGAGGGGAGGGAATGGGAGACAGAAGAGAAGCGGAAATAATTTAGGGAGTCAAAATATCGCCCTCTGTGTATATGGATCCTGCCATGATGCTGAAGTCCGCACCGCAAGGGAAGGTTTTGTGGGGTCCTGATTTCATCATCAACATCATTTTATTACTTGTATCCCGCCCATCCGGCTGTTGGAAGCCCTACTCTGGGCAGCTTCCAACATATATAAAAACGTACTAAAACATCAAACATTGAAAAAACTTCCCTATACAGGGCTGCCTTCTGATGTCTTCTAGAAGTCAGATACAGTCGTACCTTGGTTTTCGAACGGAATCTGTCCCAGAAGTCTGTTTGACTTCCAAAAATGTTCGACAAGCAAGGCACGGCTTCTGATTGGCTGCAGGATGTTCCTGCACTCAAATCGAAAGCTGCGTAAGCCGCGGTGGACACTCGGCTTCCAAAAACTCACTTCCAGGTTTGCGGCGTTCAGGAGCCAAAATGGAAGAGTACCAAGGCATTTGACAACCAAGGTATGACTGTAGTTATTTATTTCCTTGACATCTGATGGGAGGGCGTTCCACAGGGCGGGTGCCACCACCGAGAAGGCCCTCTGTCTGGTTCCCTGTAACCTCACTTCTCACAGGGAGGGAACTGCCGTAAGACCCTCAGAAGAGGACCTCACTGTCCAGGCTGAACAATGGGGTGGAGATACTCCTTCAGGTATACAGGGCCCAGGCTGTTTAGGGTTTTAAAGGTCAGCACCAACACTTTGAATTGTGCTCGGAAATGTACTGGGAGCCAATGCAGGTCTTTCGGGACCAGTGTTATATGGTCCCGGCAGCCACTCCCAGTCCCCAGTCTAGCTGTCACACTCTGCATTAGTTGTAGTTTCTGAGTCACCTTCAAAGGCAGCCCCACACAGAGAACATTGCAGTAGTCCAAGCGGGAAACAACCAGGACATCATGTGAATGTGGGCTCTGTATCCTTCTGGTGTCCTCAATTTCTTTTTCCCCTTGATTAAAAAGACCCAAGTTTGACGACCTCATTTGCATGACCAACGCTACTAAAAGTGGGCGGGGCAACTGATGTAAATTCTATCCATATGCTTTTGTCCAGTTTCATAACACACACACACACACACACACTGGTTCTTTATCCTTCATCCAGTCAAGCGAGAAGCATCATCATATTTCAATGAAACATCCCAGCCGGGGGGGGGGGGCATCTGGGGTGTAAAGGAACAGCCCATGAAATGTATGAAATGTACTGTGGCTTTTAATAAACATTGCGAGACGATTGGTTTCTCCTGTCTCTTGTCTTCAGCAGTTACCAAATTTTTAACCTGCCACATTTTTGTCCCTAGGTACCTTGGATGACGGACACTTCCCACTCTGCTCCCCACAAGTGAGCAGTGGGGCCTGGGAAATTAGATACGTGCCAGATGGATTCCATGACATCTGTCTTTTCCTGCCGCGACATGGCCATCAAATATTTAGTGCAAGTTAACAATGTGTTCAGAGATCCATTGCACAGCTGACAAGCGATTGGTGGGGGGGGCAGGGGGGAGAGAATAATTCAGCTCTGACTTATGGGACCCTGACAGCTCAATGGAAGAGTTATCGCCTTAGTTGCATCTTAACTGGGTTTTCTGCTCCATTATCCAGACTTTTTAAAAATTGTGCATAAAGCAGTAGGTCAATCTGTTGCTGCTTTTGGTATCTGTTACCTGACCATGGGGCCACGGTGGCCGCTTGGGCTGATGGGAGTTGGGGGACTGCCTTGCCACATGGAGGGCAGAGATAACTAATTCAGACCCTCTTCTGTGCCCCTGCTTGCTCTGCTCACCAACCAACTTGCCATCCTCCACATCCACCTTCCAGAGCTTCCCCTTCTTGCACCATGCAACTACAAAGCTCATTTTTCACCTTCCAAAGCCGCATTTCTTCAGGCAAATCCAGAGTTATGATGTGGCACTACAAGTCCTCCCAAGGCGGGTCGCGTGATGGACATCCTTACGTTTTAATGTATATAAAAATGGAAGCTTTGAATGCAAAACCCTGAAAGCAGTTGCTCCCACACACAATGCCATGTGGAATTGGATTCCCCCCCAAAAAACCCTGAGGCTGCCTGCTGCACTTCTGTATGATTTACTGGTCTGGCCATACAGCCTCCCTGGGGCTGGGGCAGGTAACTCCTGCTCTGTCTCTGATTCAAACAAGATCTCTCCCCATGCAGAGATTAAGAAGCTGTCAAGTGAGCATGCTGTTTCCTACAGAGGATCAGTGGGTGGGCATCTCTGATTGTAGGCAGTATATTATATCAGTGCCCCTCCAGACATGGATTGAATACAAGCCCCACAGCCAACGGTCAGGGATGATGGGTGTAGAGGGCGTGAGGTCAGTCAACTCCTGCTTCAGTCCTTCTGGGTGTAAGGTGGCCAAACTGAAATGGGAAAAGCAGAAAAGAAGGGGGGGAGCGTGTTTCTGGGAAGCGGCTGTATTTATACCAGGTTCATCTAGCTCATAATTCTCTATTCTGACCAGCAGCAGCTCTCCAGGGACTCAGGCAGGAGACCATTTTTTACCCCACTGACCTCAACCGAAGCTGTTGGGGGTCTGAGTCTCAGATGCGCCATATTCAGAGTATGTGTTCAGCGGGTCCAGCACTCCTTTTCCAGAATTCTGAAATGTGTTGGCTTAACATGGGGATTCTCTACCTTTCCCTTGACATTTAGCAACTCCTTGAAGGCGGCTGACCTCGGTGCTGCTTGCCTCGAGCAGCCGTTTTCAATAATGGCCTCGCCTGGCTCCCACGATGGGACAAAATCCTGTGACTGGGAGCATGTTGGGCTTGCATCAAATCTTTGCAAGGAGAGGCTGCTAAAAGAGCTCCGTGGGTGTGGACAGGAGGCAAATCTCAAGCCGGCTAGCGGAGGAGCATAAACCACAGAATGGAGCAAGAACATTTTAGAGGCTACCAGGCCAACCTCCTGCCAGCACTTTCAACAGGAATCAGAGACAGGGAAGTCTATTCTTGCTCTTTGCACAGGGCGCGGTCGACGGCCCTCTTTAATCTTGTGTCCTAATTGCAATGAGTGGATTGTGGGTATCTGGACTGTCCCTGGATCAAGTGACTTTCCTTCTTTCAAGTTCTCAAAGCTCTTAACCGAGCTCAAGGTTGTCCTCTGAACTAGCCAGATATATATTTTTAAAAAAATAATATTTATTGATAATTTCAGGATTACAAGAAAAACAAAAAACAACACTACAATACAAAAAAAGAAAATAAAAGAGAAAAGCACAAAATATAAAAACCAATACGACAATACAGCAAAAGAAAGTAAAAAAGAAGAAAAAAGGAAAAAAAACACAAATCCCAAATTGCATATCCATAATTTCCATTTGCTTGTTTCATTGACCTCCTCACACCTCCCTTTTTGTATTCTAGTTTAGTAATTATTTCAGCAAATTCTTTCCATCTTTCTCAATTTTTGTTATAAAATTTATCTTAACAATTTAACCTAATAATTAACTCAACAAATCCTTTCCATCTTTCCCCATGTTCTGTTATTCAAATTACCTTAATTTATTTAACCTTATCTTACCCCTAAGTACCTTAAGACTTAAATCTTAGTTTTCAAATATACATAGCTCCTGATATCATTTCTGCTAGAGTCGTATAGTTTCATTCCCACATTTTCCCTAATATTCATTAAGCTGATTCTAAAATAAAAAATTCCCACATTATAAATTCTCTTCCAATTATCATCCAGCGTCTCTTCTTCCTGGTCTCGGGTCGTGTCAGTCCTTACTGTCCATTCCATCTAGTCCATCAACCTGGAAGCCTTATGTCCGAGGCCCTTAAGTCTCTTCCATGTCCCTTCTGCAATTCTTCTTCATCTTGTTTGTGCTTGCCCTTTTCCTTGCCTTTTGTTGGTCTCTGTCTTAGTTTCTTTCCTTTCTCATTGAGGAGTAGGTCTCTGGGGGATTCCAACCCAAAATTGTCTCCACCACCCTTCATCCAGCTCGCCCATTCCCCACAGTCCCACTCCCCACAGTCCTCGATATAATCCAAAATGCATTTAAAATCAAATTTCAAGATCTCTCCAAAGCTAGGAACCTCCTCATCTCCAGACTCCCCTTGGCCCACTCCAACTTCAATCTTCAATAACAGCGGCTTATGCTCCTGTAGGGCCTCGGGTCTCTCCATTTGTACTATTTGAGGTGCATCCGCATCCTCCTCCATTGTCATCTGCACTTGCCCAGTCAGTACAGATTCATAGGTTAGTTCCTGAATGATTTCTGTATCACTGTTCCCTGTTTGTCCACAGTTATTAACCACAACAGTCAAATCCATTTTCTCATTCATCAAGTCCATCTTCTCATGCATCTGTTCCAGCAAAGCATTTGTCTTGCATAAAGCAAGCACCCAGTCTTCCTCCCAGCTCATCTTTGTTCAAGGTCAGAAAAGACTGTTCCCACAGTCTTAATCTCACAGATGTTGGGTCTCAAATATACTACAGCAACAATTTAGCAAGCTCCCTCTAGAGGAGACAATCTATTTGTATCCTCTTTTTTTTTTTTGAAGACAAAGGAAAGTTACTTTCATTTTTCAGATATTTCAGATGTTTTTCAGGTATTTTGTTTCTTTAAAATGCAAAAGGCAACATTAGAATCAACTTGTTTCTCTTCATTAGCTATCTGTCAAAGTATTACGTTCACAGTCAATGAACCTCTCCAACAGTTTCTGTCTCTGACACCCCGTTCCCAGGTTAGAGACGGTGGAAACTTATCCTTCTTCACTCCCTCTCCTGCTAGGGTTAAACAGAGTCCCCCCCCCTTTCTCCTGCTTCCAAGGGGGGTTTCAGTGATTCTGAATGAAGGAATTTTAGTCTTTTTTGACAGCTTCCCGGCTTTAGCTTGCAAAATTTTTGCTTTAGTCTATATACAAAAAGCGGAAGGCGGACTTCCTGTTTGCACCTTCCCGCTTCGATACCAAATTAAACAATTTCTTGATCCAATTTTCCGTTTCTACTCACGGGTACTTGTTTTAAGTCCAATTGTCCACAGGAAAAAGTCAGCGCTCTCTGGCAATGGCTGTGCGGCTTCACTCCGTGAAAGTAGCAGTCAGTTCGTAGCACCGCGCTCTCACCCCACTTCGCTCCGGAGCCCCTAGATGGGATTCCCCGCGAGTAGGGGGGCGCTCTGGTGCCCTGCCGAACCCCACGTTCCCAGGCTTCCTCCGCCTGGGATTTCTAGCGGGTCCCCACCTTCGCCGCGGCGGGAAGACCCAGTTTCCACGGAGCCCGTTCCTCCGGTCGGAGGAACTCCGCCATTCACCAATGGCGCTGACCCGGAAGTTTCTGAACTAGCCAGATATTTAGCTGAGAATCAATCACAGTCAGTCTGTCATTTGAAAAATAAGACTTTAGATCTGTCTTGCTCTCAAATGGCAACTAGACATTCTGTTTTGGTGACTGTAACCTTGGTTTAAGGAGCTGTTTGGCACCTAGCTGATATATTGGGATGGTTGGCCAACCCAAGATGGTTGACAGTGAAGGCTACATGCACCTAAGGCATGAAGTGCTGTGATGACCACCATGACCCCAAAGGAACACAAGCCTACATAGAATCATAAGAGTGTTGGAAGGACCTCCAAGGGCCATCAAGTCCAGCCCCCTGCAATGCAGGAATCACAGCTTTAAAATCCCTGACGGACAGGCATCCAACCAACCTCTGTTTAAAGCCTCCAAGGAAGGAGAGTTCACTTTCCAAGGGAGTGCGTGCCACTGCCAAACAGCTCTTACTGCCAGAAAGTGCTTCCTAGCATTGAGTCAGAATCTCCATTGGTTCAGGTAAGCTAGACATACACTGCAAGGGAAGACTACACTGGGCACACAGCTTGAGCATGGGAACATGTCTTAGAACTATAGAATTGTAGAGTTGGAAGGGACCCCAAGGGTCATCCCTGCAATGCAGGAATAATGTATAGCCATTTTCATAATGCTACGTTTCTGCAACTATAAGAGGTTTCACATAAGGTGCACTTTGTGATTGGTCAATCCTACAGGGGGCCTCCAACACACCCCATTCTGCAGCTTCAAACTGCTAGAGTCAAGCTTATTTTTCCCCCCCGGAGGCTAGCTTCTGCATCCAGAACCCACTTGTCCCATTGGCCAGCACAGCAAAGTCCTTCCTGGCGTTTCTGCTATGAAACTGAGCCAGCGGCTGCTCTTCATTGGCAGGAATTTGGGAGATGGGGGGAGAGAGGAGCAACAAACCATTTCGGGAGGCTTCCCAATGGACTAGCGTGACGTGTCCAGAAGTTAAAAGCTCACAAGAGAGCAGGCCTTCTGCTATCTGCCACTGGGAACCAATCCTTCGGTCAACATGAACACTTTTATTTTTTTTAAAGGAGGGGATGACTAATTTCCTGAGCAGAAGCACTCGGGTGGCTCAGCACCATGAGAAGTGCCATATCATCCCTGGAGTCCTTAAAAGCGCTCCCCAAACAGACACCTCACCCTTTCGCCAGGCTCCCAATATTGTTGATTTTTTAACACCAGCAGACTGCTTTCCCCACATGCAAGGAGATGCAACGATGCGTGTCCTTTTGTAGGTGCTGCTTTTCCCGATTTCACTCTGAACCCCCCCCCCCGCAAATGAGCAATGTTAGAAACACAGATATTTGTATAAGCTAGGTACCAAATGGCTCCTTAGACCAGGGTTACAGTCACCAAAATTCAATGCCTAGCTGCCATTTTGGTGCCAGATGGCTCAAAAGTTGTGTATATGACTTTTTGGTTCCTGCTTCATTCCGATTGTGTAGATAAAATATAATGGATAGAATTCTGAAGGATGCATTCCTAGTGTGGGAAAACAGTCAAATTCCAAGGATCCCCAGGTGTGCACCTCCAGATGGTGGAGACGTCAGGCGCCATCCTGGCAGCTTCAGTTGGTTGCAAGTGGCCATCAGCAGGTGCAGAATGCACCTGGCAAATTCTGAACGCTGTGCTGGACTAGTTGGGCCACTTGCCCAATCCAACATCTTATGTTCTTTATATAGCCTACCCCAGACCTGGACACACAAGTACCCTAGTGCAGGCCATACCAATGTTTGGCCATTCATGGCCTGAAAAAACCACACACCCTCTTTCTATCTGCAGATGTGTAATAAAAATTCCTCCAATATTTAGCACCCAAGCACCGTAAACAAAGTTAAAATGGCACATGCTGCTCTGGAGCTCACAATCTCATTTCAGGAATGAGGAAAGGAGAACTAAGCGAAAGGCGCGGAGGTTCTTGGTTACTTCCCTGAATCTCTCCCCCAGCCACACATACCAATTTGCAGTAAGTGCATGTTTATTTACAAGCGAGCTGGGCTGCTCAGGCTACGAACTGCATTCAAAATTGTATGTTGATAGCAAAGGTATGCTTCTTAAGGGGTTGCGGACCAGCTCCCCACCCACCACCCGATCTAGTCAAGGGCAGCTAAAAGAAGAAAAAGCAATATATTTACAGACCGCCACCTCCTTCCTAATAAAAAACCATCTGTTATCTCTGTGCCTTCACACAATGGACACTTGTTTTAACTCTCTGACCACATCACAAACACTTCAAGGCCAGCGCCACAAAGCTCTCCAAAGAAACACAATGAGATTTCCAGAAAGGCTCTCTTATAGCGAGTGGCTTCCTCTTCTGAGACAGAGAGCTCCCCAAATGGGTCTAGATAGGACGAAACTGGTATGATCAAAAGGGAGGGTTGAAAGTGGGAGACTCTCTCAGTTGAGGAGCAGCCTGGAACTTTTATCAGGCATTGACCAGGGTTTCACCTGAAAGTTAGTCAGCAAATGGGATCTCAAGGTAAGGGGGAGAGAAAAGATGTTGCAATCCAAGAATCACTTTGAAAACTAAAATTTATTTCATCATGGCAGAGTCCTCGGAGACAACGCTGTTTTGCTACAATTCTGAAAACGGGTGGCACTCTTTCAGCTTCCCCGCTTGCAAATATTCTTACATAAGTCCCTTGCCCTGGTGTCTCCCCTTCCGTATGTGAATCTCTTCCAGGCCTTGCTGCAACTCATTGCCCAGTCTGCCACCCCGAGTCCTTTGACAAGCTGGACCCGTGTCTAGAGGCAGGTGAGAAGGGGGCCAGTCGCCCCACTGTGGCTCTGCCTGATGCTGCCCTTATGAGGAACAGTTGAAGGAGCTGGGGATGTTTAGCCTGGAAGAGAGGAGACTGAGAGGAGATATGATAGACATCTTCAAATATCTTAAGGGCTGTCACATGGAAGATAGAGCCAGCTTGTTTTCTCCTGCTCTGGAGGGTAAGACCTGAACTCATGGCTTCAAGTTACAAGAAAGGAGATTCCAACTAAACTCCCTTTCCTTGGGGGTTTTTAAACAGAAGCTAAATGGCCATTTGTCATGGATGCTTTAGCTGAGATTCCTGCATTGCAGGGGGGTTGGACTGGATGACCATTGGGATCCCTTCCAATTCTACATCTCTACAGTTCTGTGATTCCTGCAACTTCCTTCACCCAACCCACCCATTTTCTTGCAGATATTCTGTGGCAGTTCCTCTTTCAGGTCTGCAATCGAAAGGCATTTGCTTGGTTCTTACTCTCATCAGCTGACAGACATGCCAAGCTTTCTTGCAAAGTGAAAGTATGGCGAGATCGGTCACGGGGAAAGGGCGGTGCTTCAGTGGTAGAGCACATGCTTTGATTGCAGAAGGTCCTGGGGGGTCCTCTGCCATCTTTAGTTTGGGTGGGTATGGGGAGCCTGCAGCCAACCAGGTTTGCCAAGATTCCCGGCACCCCTCTGCCACAATGGCCAAGGATCATGGAAGTTATAGTCCTACAAAACTTGGACCCAGCTTCCCCATCTAAAACCCTGAAAAGCAGCAGTCGGTATAACTGTAGATAACTGGGACACTGGGAGATCTTCCAGATGTACATAAGCATTCATAATTGCCTCTCTATTCTTAGGTTCTGGCAGAGGAATGGGGAACTTGCGTTCCTTCAGATGCTGTTGTCTGACTCCAACTCCCATCAACCCTGACCATAATGGCTGATGGGAGTTGAACAGCTCCTGGAAGGCCACAGGTCTTCCAGGCCTGCCTTAAGCCCTGGACTGAAGGGGGAACCTATATCGCTCCAGATCATTTTTGCCCAGAGCTCCCACTGTCTCTGAATACTGGCTGCAGCTGACTGCAACTGATAGGTGTTGGAGTCCAGCAACATCTGGAGGGCCAGAGGTTCTCCATCACTGACATATTGCTTCAGGGTCTTTACAATGGTGTATAAATATTGATGGTGATAAACAGAGACACACCCCATGAACAGTTCTGTCCCCCTCAAACTTGTTTCCTTGGGGGACCCGATTTCTTACAGCGTACATGCAAAATTTGTTTTTCCCCCACCACCATGAACCATCTCGTTGAGAGCGATTTTGAAGCTTGGAGACACCCCCCTCCACAAAGGACTAGAACCTTAACACCAACCTCAGCTCAGCCTCCTGGTGGCTGAGGATACCTCCAACTTTTGAAATTCGCCAGGCACCAGGCGCATTTTGCACCTGGCTATTGTCTACTTGCAACCAAGTTAAGACGCTGACGTCTCCGCCATCTGGAGGTGGATGCCTGGGGATCCTTGGGTCCGGACTGTTTTCGCACATTAGCAACACATCCTATAGAATTCTATCTATCTGCTCAATCAGAATGAATTTCAGGAACCAAAAAGTCGCATTGAAAAATATACGACTTCTGAGCTGTCTGGTCCAAAAATGGCAACTAGGCATTCCATTTTGGTGACTGTAACCCTGGTCGAAGGAGCCATTTGGTGCTTGGATTATATATCTAAGTTTCTAGTACTGGATGCCCTGCCCCAGGTGTTCCTATTCCCCACTTATGTGGTCTTTGCGGAAACTGAGAGTGCCCCCTGCTGAAAGCTAGAGAAAGGAAATTCCGCTTTGCTCTTCAGAACACTTGGATGCGGTGCAGTGAACACCTATGCACTCCTGTGGATCACAAATCCTGAAGAGCTCCTGTCAGTCAGGTAGACCTATGTATCACCAAGCTGCCTAGGTTCAGTGTTAGAAACTGAGATATATAAGCTAGGCGCCCAATGATAAGTTGAATTTATGTTGCAGTCGCTACAACAGAATGTCTTGTTTGCCAGGGAGTTGGGGCTAAATGATCCTTGGGATCTCTTCCAACCCTACAATTCTACAATCTCAGCTACATTGCTTGGCTTCTAGCTTGCTCTTACAACAATTCACTTGTCCCAGTATGCAAGGAAGAGAAACGCACAGAGTAGAAATGAAAATAGCTATGGACTAAAGCAGAGGTTTTTAAACTGTGGTTTTGCCCAGAAACCTCCGCGTTGTCATAACTGGACCCTGCGCCAGTAGCAAAAAGAGCCTGGCAAAACCAGGCTAATTTCGAACACTGCCCTAAAATTCATGTTCCAAGCAGCCTTTTTGTCTGCAACTCTTGAGGGCTGGACGCCTTTAGGGGCAGGGCCCCAGCTCAGTGGCAGCGCAGATGCTCTGCTTGCAGGAGGTCCTGGGTTCGATTCCCGGCCACGCCAGGTAGGGCTGGGCGAGAGAGGCCTGTCTCCCAAACCCTGCAGGGACACCCTCATTCCACCCCAACGGAGGAGAGCTCCCAACCCAGGAATCACGAGGACTAGCGCCTTGAGCGTCCCTCCCAACTTGCGCCCGCAGACTACAACTCCCACCGCCCCTAGTCAGCAGTGGTGGGAGTTGTAGTTTCGAGGACCCACCCGATTCGTTCCCACCAACCTCTTCTTCCCCTTGTGCGGGAATCACGAGGACTAGCGCCTCGAAGGGAAGCATCACGAGGGGCTGACGGGGAGCCTGAGCATCCGGGCTTCCTCCATGAGGACTAGCGCCCGCCTCACCTCGTCCTCCTTGTGGTTGCGGATGCCGCGCACCAGGTCCTGGAGGTTCTTGTCGAACATGCGGTCGATGCTGCCTTTCACCATCTTCAGCGCCATGGCGGCGGCGGTGAGGGGCGAGCGGGGGGCGGCGGGGGGGGGGGAGAGGCGGAGGTAGGCGAAGGCGGCGGGCGAAGGCGCCTCACATGCCTCCTTCCCGCCCCTGGCGCTCGCTCTCCCTGGCGGGCCCCGCCGGCGCTGCTCTGAGGGGGCTTCGCGGGGCGGCGGCGGCGGCGGCGGCGGGAAAGAGCCGGAGCGGCGACAAAATGGCCGGCGGTCAGCTGAGGGAGCGCTCGCGCCACGCCCCCTTTCTCCTCCGGCGCGCTGGCGTCACCACGCCGCGCCACGTCCTTCTATAGCTCCGCGAGTTGAGGCGGCGGGTCCTCCTTGCCCATAGAGAGCGAGGGAAGGAGACGGAGCGGACGTCACGTCCGGTTGGGCGTTTCTAAGCCCACCCCCGCGCAGGGGCATTCTCCCCCGAGACGAGCCGCCTCTATGGTTCGCCCGCTCGGCTTCCGCCCTGGCGCTCCCGAAGGGGATTCCGAGGCGTCGCTTGGAGCCACGCCCTCTCGCCTTTTGGCTCCGCCCAGGAGAAGATATAGCCACGCCCCCAACCTTCCTATGTCTAGCTGTATTGCCCTATAAAGGATAATGATTATGTAATAATAATAATAACAATAACAACAGCAACAGAACAACAATATAGTTTTATTTTATAAATTTTTATTTTATAAATAATAATAATAATAATAAGCATGTTTTAAGAGAAGCATGTTTTACTATTTGCGGTACGGCTGATGGATCAGTAATTACATGGATAGAGTATTTTTATTTTATAAAAATATCAGTGGTTCACAACGATCAACACACAAAAAAGAGAGTAAGTTCGCCTCCCATCCGACTAATTAAACAATCTATAGCCTTTTAAACTCTGGACTGGGTGTTGTTTTTGCTATTATGGTATGTATTTGTGTGTTTTCATATTGCAAAATACCCTGTGATCTTCAGATGAAGGTCGGTATAGAAATTCAATTATAAATAAAAATAAATAAGCTTGTAAAAATATTAATAGGATTTTTTTAGACAGCAATATAACAATAAGAACAACCTGTGAAGACTGAACACATGATCAACACTTTACTATAACGTACCATTGCTGATTTTATATTTATTATTTTTTAATACATAATGACATTTATCTGGGGAGCAGCAAACTGTAATGCTGAAAATATATTTTTTTAATATTAATCATATAACCAAATCATTTACTGCTAATGCCAAGCTGTTATAGCACTATTAATATTAGATCTATTATTCATTTTTAAAAAATATTTTATCTTCTTTTTTTATGATGTTCTACTTAGATCTACCTTTCTACTTTCTTTTGTGTTTTTATTTCATAACTGGTCAGCTTGAGTGTCTCCAGTGGAAAAGTGGGATGAAAAAACGATTGTGGTGAATCAGAAATGGTTTGGCTTCTTTTGAGTGACAATAACAGCTACATGGCATGGAGAGTGATTCTCTGTGCACCAGCAGGGGAAAAAAACCCTGGAAAAAGTAGTTAGATAAAATCACAATTAATTGTTTTAGTAATGTGGAGGTTTAATCTGAAATTGAGATGGATTGTTGCCTCTGGGGGAAACCCAGCCAGATGGGCGAGGTATAAATAATAAAATTATTATTATTCTCATTTACATCATGAATGTCACCTTATTTTGTGGATGCATGTTGTGTATTACTTTATTAATACTGTTGCTATAAGTTTGCTATTGCCTTTGGCTGGAACAATAAACGGAAGAACTAAACTCTCTCTCTCTCTAAACACACACATATTTAGATCTGGGATCCTTTTCAGGGAAAACCGTAAGTGTTTAAAGTGGTATGATAACTGCTACAAGTTCATAGTGTGGATTGGGCCTCTGTGTCTGTTCTGCATTGAAAGCTGGGTGGGTTTTTTTGGTTTTCAGCGTATGGAATTGTTCTTCATTGTCTTGAATACACATAATCACTTTTACATCTTTAATTATTTCTCCATGAGATCGCTTTGAGGCCTTTCATGGGCCACCACTCATCACCAGAGTTGAATCAAAACAAATAAATACCTATTTTATATGCCCACATGCCACGTTGGCAAGACTGATTGATTTGAAACGTTTGTTGTCTTGCCTTTCCAATTACAAATGAGAATGTCCAGAATGCCTTGCAACAGTAATTCAGAATAACAGGTCTGGAAAATTAACCCAATGGAGGTTTGGGGAGGAGGGGAAGAATTTGAGATGGAAAAACTTTATTCGGAGAACTAAACTTCCTTTGCTGTTTGGCATCTCCTCCAGCAGAGGGCAGGCCAACACAACCTTTCATCCCAGGTGGTACAGCCCTTGAAATTAATGGACATTGCAAACTTCACAGCCATTCTTTTGGATTGGTCTACTCTTGAGTAGAACTGAGCTGGTTGCAACCTTACGCCTGTCTCCAGGACCCATGGGCATGCATTCAATGAAGCCCAAAGTCGGAAGATTCATACAGATACAAGAAAGGACTTGTATATGTTTGAATGATGGAATTTCCCCCCTTCCCCCCGGAGGCAGCGCTGGTTGGCAGCTTAAAAAGTGGATCCGATATATTCATGGGCACGAGGGAAATCAGTATGTAGTACAGTAGCTACAATTGCTCTGTCTTGGCTATGTCTTGCCTGTGGAGGCAGCAGGAGATGGAGTGTCTCCCCATGAGGAAATATGGCAGAATTTAGGTCCTTTTAGTTTAGAGAAAGGGACGCGGGTGGCGCTGTGGGTTAAACCACAAAGCCCAGGGCTTGCCGATCAGAAGGTCGGCGGTTCGAATCCCCACGACGGGGTGAGTTTCTGTTGCTCAGTCCCAGCTCCTGCCAACCTAGCAGTTCGAAAGCACGTCAAAGTGCAAGTAGATAAATAGGTACTGCTCCGGCAGGAAAGTAAACGGCGTTTCCATGCGCTGCTCTGGTTCACCGGAAGCGGCTTAGTCCTGCTGGCCACATGACCCGGAAGCTGCACGCCGGCTCCCTCGGCCAGTAAAGCGAGATGAGCGCCGCAACCCCAGAGTCGGCCACGACTGGACCTAATGGTCAGGGGTCCCTTTACCCTTTACCTTTTAGTTTAGAGAAATGGAGAATAAGAGACATGGCAGAAGTTTATAAAATGACAAAGGGCATTGAGAAAGTAGATAGAGGAAAGTTTTTACCCACCTGTCATAACTCTAGAACTCGTGGGCATCCAATGAAGCTGAATAATAATAATAATAATTTATTATTTGTACCCCACCCATCTGGCTGGGTTTCCCCAGCCACTCTGGGTGGCTTCCAAAAAAGACCAAAAATACACTAAAATGTCACACATTAAAAGCTTCCCTGAACAGGGCTGCCTTCAGATGTCTTCTGAATGTCAGGTAGTCGTTTATCTCTCTGACATCTGATGGGAGGGTGTTCCACAGGGCGGGTGCCACTACCAAGAAGGCCCTCTGCCTGGTTCTCTGTAACTTGGCTTATCACAGGGAGGGAACCACCAGAAGGCCCTCGGCGCTGGACCTCAGTGTCCGGGCAGAACGATGGAGGTGGAGACGCTCCTTCAGGTATACTGGACGGAGGCCATTTAGGGCTTTAAAGGTCAGCACCAACCCTCTGAATTGTGCTTAGAAACATACAGTACTGGGAGCCAATGTAGGTCTTTACAGACTGGTGTTATGTGGTCTCGGCGGCCGCTCCCAGTCACCAGTCTGGCTGCCACATTCTGGATTAGTTGTAGTTTCCGGGTCACTTTCAAAGGGAGCCGCATGTAGAGCGCATGGCAGTAGTCCAAGTGGGAATGTTGGGAGAAGATTCAGGACAGATAAAGGACAGTGCATAAACTGTGGAACTCCCTGTCGCAGGAAGCAGCAATGGCCACCAACTTGGATGGATATAAAAGGGGACTGGACAGATTCATGGAGGATGAGAAGGCTCTCAGGGGCTACTAGCCATGGTGGCTATGCTCTGCTTTCACAGCTGGAGTCAGCAGTGCTTCTCAATACCAGTTTCTGGAAACCAGAGGAGCGGAGTGTGGCTCCTGCCCTCGGGTCTTGCTTGCGGGTTTGTCATTGGGGCATCTGTGCGGACAGGAAGCTGGGCTAGATGGGCCGTTGTCCTGATCCAAAAGTATGCTGGAAATGCAAAGAAAAAGAAGGGACTTTTATCATATGTGGTGGGAATGTAGAGAAATTTAAAAAAAATTGGGAAATGATATATAATGAGTTGAAGAAAATGTTTAAACGAACATTTGTAAAAAAAACCAGAATCATTCTTGTTAGGGATTGTAGGAAAAGACCTGCCAAGGAAATTAAAGAACTTATTTATGTATGCAACAACGGCGGCAAGAGTCTTGATAGCACAAGGATGGAAGAACAAGGAAATCCCAACGAAAGATTAATGGCAAGAGAAATTGATGGACTATGCAGAACTGGCGAAACTGACATATAAACTGCAATGCAAGGACAACTGTGGCTTTAAAGAAGAATGGGAACTTTTTACAAATTACTTTAAATTACTTTAAAAAAAACCACAAAATTTTGTGGACTCCTTGGCAGGTTTTGAATAAACATACACAAATTTATTATTGTTAACATAATAGACAATTCAAGGATTTTTACAATTTTATAATATGCAGAGAATAATATGTGTTGAAAAACCAGAGAGAGGAGCTGAGGGAAGTCTGGGGGTGGGGGTGGGGGGGGGAGGGAGGGTTTTTCTTGGGGAGGGAGGAAAATGAAGATGATATGTCTTTGATAATTTATGATGTTGAAATTCTTAATAAAAACTATTTTTAAAAAACAAAAAAACAAAACAAAGGTGTCACACTGTGTTCTAAGCTAGGGTGGGATGGTGAAGCAGTAAAATATATATATAATGTTCTGGAGAGATGGAATGAAATGCCTGTGGCAAAAGGGGGGAAAGGCAGTCTTGGAAACATGATCAAAAGAAAAGAGTTTGCTTTCAACTATCTGTTAGTGTAGGAATTGCCCAGCAGAAGCAGAGAACCTTTCAAAGACAGCCGAGGGGCGAATTTATTACGTAGATGCACAATTGGGTGCCTACCTGCTTTGGGGTGCATTCCAAATCCCCCCCACAGCTTTCAAAGCAAAAGGGGGGCCTCAGGAGTCCAGGTCTCCTTGACTGCTCCTCATCTTCTCAGCCCATCGCCTGAGGTGTCTGTGTCAGAATTGCAAAAGGCTTCTTAAAGGCTTTTTAATATCCCTGGGGCCACCTAGGTCTTTGGATCTGAGGCTGCTATTATGGTAACAGATTGTGGGGTTCTGCTCGGTGGGCTTTCCTCCTCGCGTAGGGGAGCGGGGGCTGGACTGGCAACGTTGTGCTGCTTGTTGGGAATCTTTTCCCCAAAATCCTTTTTTTTTTTTTTTAAATGAACCTAAGAAGAGCCATGTAGCAGGATCAGGCCAGAGGGGACCCTCCGGCTGGAGGCAGGAATGCTTTCTGAGTAGGTTCAGAAAAGGACAGACAAAATGGCCAAGGGGTGGAGCAAATTCATCATCATCATCATTATTAAAATTTATATACCACCCTATACCCACAGGTCTCTTTATAAGAAAGGTTTCAGCCTTTGTGTCTTTTTCACTGAGAGAGAAGGAGAGCAAGAGGCCACATGATAGTTTATAAAACTGTGCATGGCATGGAGAGAGGATCGCTTTTCTCGCTCTCTCCTAACACTGAACTTCTGGGCATCAAGTGAAATTGCGGAATGAAGACTGGCTCTTGAGGCTGAATTTGAAGATGGTGGTTCCACCGTCTGCAGAATTTGGGGCTGCAGTGTCCAAGCTGGTGTCAAGTCAGAATAACTCACACGGTGTCTGTGAGGTTGACCCTTTACTCGGCGATTGCAACTGTGAAGTTGACCCTTTGTGATCGCAGCAACTTTCCCCCGGAGGTCTTGCCCCAAGGAGACAGATGTGAGGACTGAAGGTCTCCGCCTTCCCAAAGTTTCCTAAGTTGCCTCCTCCCCCAGGTCCTTCCCAAGCAATCTGAGACTGACACCTTGCTTGTGTTTGTTCCACCCTTTTCATACCTCTCCTGGTCCTGGGAGATAAGCAGGGAGGGGAAATGGTTGCAGCAGGAGGGGGAGACACCCGTGACTCTTCACCATCTCTGTCTCTTGGCCTCCCCTCCTCTCCTGCTTCAGCTCCTGCCTCTGATTCTGGACTGCTCTCTGGCACAGACTCTCCCTGCTCACTAAACCCTGTTACCCCTTCAGCTTCCAACACCTCCACCTCCGTGTCTTCTTCCTCTTCTCGCTCTGACCACTCATTGTCGTCCTGCCACCAACCTCCGGGATCTGAGCCTTCTTCCCTTGATGGTTCCTCCTGCCATTCCCCTGCCTCCAACCAGTCCATGACACCCAGTCTCTTGGGTCCCTTTCTCACAACATGAGAACTCATGGGTGTCCAGTAGAACTGGAAGGTTAAGGAGACCTAAAGGAAAGGACTTCTTCCTACAGTATAGAGTTAACGTATTTTTCGCTCCATAAGACGCACTTTTTTCTTCCTAAAAAGTAAGGGGAAATGTCTGTGCATCTTATGGAGCGAATGCGTGGTCCCTGGAGCCAAATTGCCCACGGGCAAAAAGCAGATCATGTGTTGTTGTTTTTTGAAAGAGGGAAGTGGGTGTTGAAACAAAGATCGGGGAGAGAGATAAGGGACGCTACAGATAAAGAAGGCTGCCTGGGAGGGGGGAGGTAAAGACAGCAAACTTGCAAAGGGGGGAAACAGGAAGACTAAAGCAATAAGGAGAGAAATTAGAAGAAACGGAGGAGCAAAAAACTGCTCCAGCTAAGGAAAAGACACTAAGGCAAACAAGAGGGAAAGGAGTGTTGAAAGGAAACAGCTGATTGGTGGGATCGGAAGAGGGATAAGGGACGCTAGTGGAGGCTGCCTGGGAGGGGGGAGGTAAAAGCCCATGGATCCTCAGGATTTTTACATTGGGTCACCCCAAATTCACCATCAGATCACATAGCATGTCCATGGCTACAGCCTGCACCAAAAAAATCACATATCCGCTGTTTCCTGGGGCTACAATGGTGCAAAAATGTGGTTACAAAGCACGGATCAACATGGATCCTCAGGATTTTTACACTGGGTCACCCCAAATTCACCATCAGATCACATGTCTGTGGCCACAGCATGAACCACAAAAACCATACATCCACTGTTTCGTTCAGAATATTCTTTTTATTGTTTTCCTCATCTAAAAACTAGGTGCGTCTTTTGGAGTGAAAAATACAGTAACTTGTGGAACTCACTTCCGCAGGAGGTAAGGACAGCCACCAACTTGCCATTAAAAGAGGACTGGACAAATTCAGGGAAAGTAAGGCTTGTCAATGGCTTCTAGCCAGAACAACTATGTTCCAGCTGCACGGTCAGAGCGTCTGAGCGCCACTGTTTTCCAGGGAACCTTCTGAGGGTCACATGTGTGCAGTTGGAGACACAGCTTTCAAATGGATAACATAGAATTGTAGGGTTGGAAGGGACCACAAGGGTCATCTAGTCCAACCCCCTGCAATGCAGGAGTCTTTTGCCCAACGCTGGGCTCAAACCCACAACCTTGAGATTAAGAGTTTCATGCTCTGCCAGCTGAGCTATATGAGAGCCAACCGGTTGGAGACAGAGGTGGGCAGAGCGCTGAGTGTAAATGTCGCCCTTTGTACTGTAGGCTGTGTAATCTGTATGCACACACACCTCTCTCCATATTTCATCCAGGAAAGCGAAGCACTTAACAGACCACAGATAGTAAAAGGTCCAGTCAATCGTGTCAGGGTGGTCTAGTTAATTTTCCTGCCACGGGAAAGCCACGTGTTGCTGCCCTGTTAAAACAGACCAGGGGATGCGATAGGACAGGGGTAGGCAACCTAAGGCCCGTGGGCCGGATGTGGCTCAATCGCCTTCTAAATCTGGCCCGTGGATGGTTTGGGAATCAGCATGGTTTTGACATGAGTAGAATGTGTCCTTTTATTTAAAATGCATCTCTGGGTTACTTGTGGGGCATAGGAATTCATTCATTTCCCCCCTCAAAATATAGTCTGGCCCACTACATGGTCTGAGGGACGGTGGACCGGCCCACGGCTGGAAAAGGTTGCTGACCCCTGCAATAGGATGTTCAACTGGGAGGGAACCACATTTCAGCCTTTGTGGCTCTCCACAGCAGCTTGAAAGGCGGCGGCGAGGCGGCAGGGGGTGTTTCGATAACATGCCTGCCAACCAGGCGAGGCGGGCCAGGAGTAGCTGTTGGCATCACTTCCCTGGAGACAAGCCAGAAAAGCTTTTGTGGGCGGAGGTAGACATGTGTGGGGACATGCCTCACGGCTGCCAGTCCAATTGTGCAGCCGCGGGCAGGGAAGGAATCCGCAAGAGGCGAGAAAGAGGCGGGGGAGAAATAAATTTTGATTTGCATTCTGGGTTGCCCTAATCGGTGACCTAGATTACTCCAGAGCATAGCTGTCAACTTTCAGATTTGAAAATAAGGGATCGGCAGCCTCACCTGTCCCGGGGACGGTCTACGGGATATCTAACAATCCGGGATAGCAGCAGGAAGCAGCGGGAAACCGCGCTGGAATAAGGGAATTTCCCGCAAAAAAAGGGAAGGTTGACAGCTATGCTCCAGAGAGGGCTTTCCTTGACTGAGGACTTCCCCCCTTCAGAGAGCTTGCCTGGCAACCAGTTGCTGACTGATGCTGCATGTGAAAATATGTGCACATAAAATATGTATGCATGTGAATATTCCCAGAAATTCACCCTCCGTACACTGTCTGGAAATGGCAAGGACTGAATTTAGGATCCTTTGCTCTAAATGAATGAATTTATTATTATTATTATTATTATTATTAAGGGACGCGGGTGGTGCTGTGGGTTAAACCACAGAGCCTAGGACTTGCTGATCAGAAGGTCGGCGGTTCGAATCCCCGCAATGACGGGGTGAGCTCCCGTTGCTCGGTCCCTGCTCCTGCCAACCTAGCAGTTCGAAAGCACGTCAAAGTGCAAGTAGATAAGTAGGTACTGCTCCGGCGGGAAGCTAAACGGCGTTTCCGTGCGCTGCTCTGGTTCGCCAGAAGCTGTACGCCGGCTCCCTTGGCCAATTAAGTGAGACAAGCGCTGCAACCCCAGAGTCGGCCATGACTGGACCTAATGGTCAGGGGTCCCTTTACATTATTGTTGTTGTTGTTGTTATATCACCCTATAGATGAAGGTCTCAGGGCAGTTCACAGGATGAAATCACAATATAAAAACCCAAAATTCACAATCAAGATAAAACAAAAACAACCCAATAATGTCCCCCACAACACATTTTAAAAGGGCACCAGATGTTAATCAACCAAAGGCCTGGCTAAAGAGGAACCTAGGAAGTGGCCTCCTATAGGCTCAGACCACTGGTCCACCGTGTTCAGTATTTCCTGCTCTGGCGGCCGTGAGGCATGTCCCCACACATGTCTCCTTCCGCCCACAAAAGCTTTTCTGGCTTGTCTCCAGGGAAGGGATGCCAACAGCTGCTCCTGCCCTGCAAATCTCAGCGTGGTTCACAACTTAAAATTACGATGGAAAAACCCTATTTTGGTACAGGGAGCGGTGTTTGCAACGCTGCAGAATGGACTTTTGCAAAAGAAAAGAAACAAACCAGTCGCCTTTGTGTTTTCAAAGTGAAAGGTGCGATGCACAGGTCTGTTCCACACCTGCAGCCGATTCCTGGATCTGGAAACTCACATTTCTCTTATCCTCACCCCCCACCTCGCAGTTTTCCTTTGCAGACCTTGGAAGCACTGAGGACCAGATTTCCTCCCCCTGCTGGACTAGAGCTGCCGAGACAATCTGAGCTGCTATTTCTCCTTCCCTTCCAAAGACGCCCCCCTTGCAATGTTCTGTTCCAGCAGCTGCAGACGGAGCATCTGCCGCACGTCCAAAACGTTGCTCTCAAACCCTCCTCTTTAAACCGTGCGCCTGCACTCCACCAGCCCCACAAAATTTAACAAATCTGCCTGCAAAGAAATACGGAAGGACCAGAAAAATCTGCTTGTTTGACAGATAACATTGATTTGATAACATATTGATTATGACGGATGGGGAAGCTTTTCCAGCCTGGGGGCCGAATTCCTTTCTGGGGAAGTTTCTGGGGGCCACATGCAATGTGGATTTGACCTTTGTACAGCAGTGGCGTAGCGTGGGTTGTCAGCACCCGGGGCAAGGCAAGTAATTTGCGCCCCCTAACCCAGTAGGGGCAGAGAGCTGCGAGTGCGAGCGCGCCCCCCCAGATGTTGCGCCCGGCCCCCCCTGCACCCCCCACGCTACGCCACTGTTGTACGGTGGGATGTCACCCAGAGGCATTAGTAGAAGCCAAGGTCATCCCAGCCAAGCAGGAAACATTCAAGGAGGGTGTGGTGCCAGATCAGCGAGGGGTGTGGCTTACAGAGAGTTCCAAGGGCCAGATAGAGAGGCCTGGGGGGCCACACTTCCCCACCTCCTGATGTTATATAACTGGGCTATATTCATGATCAGACCTGCTTAAATTAACTGACCTAAATTAGCATATAAATATAAGTTTATACTTGCTTATAATTCATATACCACCATCTTTATATTTATATTTATATACAGGGTGAGTCTTTTAAAAGAGGCCCTGTGGAACATGTGCACCCTGTATCTATGGGGCCTTTTTTAAAGGACTCACCCTCTACTAACTTATTCATATACTAAGTTAGTATATAAATGGAACTATAAGCGAGCTGGTATATAAATGTTTAAAATAAAATGAAATAGATAAATAGTAGTGAGGACTAGTAACTTGAATTAAAAAAAATGAAAATGAAATGAGATCCTAGAAGGTTTGCACTCAGGGGGCACATTCTGGGTTGTATGCAGTTAAATTATACCCTGGAGGACACCCACTGGAATAAATACATTAATATCATTTTATATATATGCATCCTAACCACTTCAGGCATTTTTTTTTTATCAGCCTGTTTTCCTCAGAGGTTGCGTGGAGGGTTTTTGTTCGTTTGAACCCGACCCGCATCTCCGTCCGTCTCGTGTGAACCCGCCTCTGAGGAAGAAACGCGTGTCTCCGCCTCTGCGAGACCCTCTGGACTCGGAGCGCGCCCCCGCGCGCGCGCCCTCCCGGCGTGTGAGTGAGACACCTTGAGCGAGGCGCGCTCCCGACGCCTCAACCGCCGCCTCCTGACAGGCAGCGCCGTCGCTGAGGGCAACTGAGGACAAGGCACGCACGCGCAGAGGCGAGCGCGCGCGCGCGCGGGGGGGGAGGTTTCGCTCGCGCACGCGCGCTGTCACTCTCTCCTCAGAAGCGCGCTCTCTCTCTTCGGCCGCCCGCGCCCCTTCAGCGGGCCTCCCCTCAGCGCGCACGCGCGACCCCTCACATTTTCCCGCGCGCCGCGCTTGTCATTACTATTTTATTGGGCGTGTCGAGGGAGAGAGAAGGCAAGCCCCGCCCACTCTCGTGGGTGGCCCCGCCCACCTCCTGGGCACCCGCCTGCCTACTTTTTTTTTAATTTTGGGGGTAAGCTGAGAAGCCCCGCCCACTCTCGTGGTTGGTCCCGCCCCCCGCCCGTGCGCGCCCCCTCCGCGCATTGTCGTGCGTTCGCGCTTTCTCTCCCTCGTCCGCCCGCCCGCGCGTGCGTCCTGGCCTTCCCTGCGCGCGCTCCCGCCCGCCCGCCCGCGACCTATCCCACCCCCACGATAGTAGCGAAACAACCTCTGGAAATAACATTGGTTGGCATCTCCCGCCCGCCTGCTTTCCCTTGGCGCCCCTGTTAGCTTGGCCGCCCTTGCCCTCCTCCGCGGCCCCTCCCTTTCCTGACGCCGCCGGGCGTGCGAGGGAGGGGGGGGCGAGCGGCCCAAAATGGCGGCCGCGTCGCTCTTGGTGCGGCTGACGAGGCGCCCGGCCCGGCGCGAGCGACGACAATAGAGAGCAGGGGAAGGAGCGGCCTCCCCTCTCTCCCTCCCGCCCCCTCCTTCCTCGCCTCTCGCTGGTGCTCCTCCTCAGCCGCCGCCGCCGGTCTAGCATGGTGCGGGTCCGCCGCCGCTGGGCCCCCTCCGCCGCCCCGACCTGACCTCGCCTGCTCCCTCGCCGCCGCCGCCGCCGCCGCCGGGGTCCCTTCGGCCGCCAACATGGGCGAGAGGCTGGAGCTGCGGCTCAAGTCGCCCGTGGGAGCCGAGCCGGCCGTCTACCCGTGGCCCCTGCCCGTCTACGTGAGTGGGGGGGGGAGGCCCAGGGAGGGGAGCCCCCCCCGCGAAGGGGGCAGGGTTGGGGGGCTCGAGGGAGCGGACGGGGGGGGGCTGTGTCTTATCTCCTGCATTTTTATGGGGGGATTCGAGCGGCTGTTGTGTCACCTGGGGGGGTTATAGGAGGCTTTTGGTCGTGTGGGGTTTTTTTTTTGGGGGGGGGAAGGTTGCTAGTTGTGGGGAGGGGTATTTGGGGGGGTTGCCATTGGGGGGAGTCTGTTGGGGTGGGGGATTTGATGGGCTGCTGTGTCACCTGAGTTTTTCTGCTTTTCTTTTGATGTATGCGGGGAGGGGTACGGGGGGGTTGCCATATGGGGTATTTGGGGATTTGAGTGCATTGGGGGGCAGTTGTGCTGATGGGGTGGGGTTGCTCTATGTAGGGAGAGATTTTGGGGGAGTTGTCATCTGGAGGATGTGTAAGTTCAGGGGGGTTGCCGTCGGGGGGAGTTGGGGAGTTGGGTTGTTATATGTGGGGAGGAGCGTTTAGGGAGTTGCCATATGGGGTATTTGGGGGATGTGTAAGTTTTTTTGGGGGTGACAAATGGGGGAGTTGGGGGGACGGATTTTGAGGGGTTGCTATATTGGGAAGGGGGGTGTATAAGGTTCAGGGGTTGCCGTATGGGGGGGGTTGGGGTTGCAGTGTCAGTTTGTAGGATTATGTGGGGACGAGTTGGGGAGTGAGATGGTTGCTATATTGGGCGTTCGGGAGGGAGATTTTGGGGGCTGCTGTGATATTGGGGTTATTATTTGGGGGGGACATGGAGAGTGCAGCTTAGTTGGTTATAAGGAGGAAACAGGCTTCATAGAGGCTTATTCTATAGGGGTGGTTTCTGTATCCTCTCTGGGGGCTACAATTGGGGATGTTTTGTGGTAATAAATGGGTGTCTAGGGGTACCCCATTAGGGGGGAAATCATATGTTGTGTGGAATAATTTGCTGCCTATGTGGCTAGGGGGGTAGAGAGCAATTGGAAGTGTTAAGAAGCGGCGGGGGGGGGGGAGAAGGAATGTGACAAAATTATGTCAGGAACTCCACTGTGCAAAAACATGGGGGGTGGGGGGCTATGTGAATGGGGAGCGCTTTGCCTCTTGAGTGGGTTGCATGGGGGGGCTGTTATATGGGGGAAGTTTGGCTGCTTGGAAATGGAACTTCCATGGGGGGAACTTCTCTGGGTGAATTTGGGTTGGGGTTATTACACAATGGGGCTATCCAGAAACTGTGTGTGTTAAGTTGGTGGTGGTGGGGCCTTCCTGCCAGGGCAGGTAATATGTTGGGGGGGGAACGGATGTGGGATGCAACTGGATGTTTCTTAGTGAGGAAACAGAGAATGTTATGCAAAGGGCAAGGAGGTCATACATGCAGTGTTTTTCTCTGAAGGTCGCCCTTCACACCAAACGCTTCACACTCTTTATACAGACATGTGCATTAGAAATTGGTTCAGCTCCCCAGAGCTACTCATCCACATGATGTCTCACTTGGACTGCATCAGCTCCTCACTCCTGCAGAACTCTGTCTCAGCATTCTATGTGTTCCCCTGTTAAAATTTGACCCCCTTATAATGCCAGGTGGAGTGGTGAACTGTTTGCACCCCGAGGGCCATGTTACCTTCCCTGTAATCTGCCGAGGGCCACATACCAGGGGTGGGTGGGGGCAGAGGTGAAAGTAAGAGGAGCAATGGATGCAAATTTTGCCTTTTGTGCAGGACATGAGGCACACACACTGCCACACAAGCACCCCTGCTCTAATATTTAAACTTTCCCGTTCTCAAAACCTTTTCCTGGAAATGATCCTGATGTGAAATTAAGCCAGTCTGACTACAGGGCTCAGGGGTGTCTTTGCCACACTTGTCCTTTATCCTTGAGTGCTTTCCTCTGTTCTGTGTGCTTTTATGTCTTCCCCCAGTGTTTTGATCTTGACATTTCCCCCTTCAGAAATCCTCCACAAGGAAACCTCTTCCATTTGAATCTCCTGCGCAGAACAGCTTCTCTGGGGCTGAACACACACCACCCTCCCCTTTTCTGCTTCTCAACTCCTGACAAACTGATCTCTACTTCCTTGCACCCACTTGCTGTCATCCCTTCCCCTTCCGGGCTTGCCTTCCACGCACAGCTTGGTACATCTTCCTGTGCGTGCTCCTTGCTTCCTGACTTGCTTGCAGTTTGCCAGGGACATCTAGCTTAGATGGCTTTTAAGTGGAAAATTAGACACGTTTCTGGAGGGAAACGCATCTTGGCTGCTAGTCATTATGCTTACCATGGACTGACTCTGTAAACATGTGAGGGTTTCATATCTCTGCACTCCAGTTGTAGGGGAGCAGTGATGAGATACGGCTTGTGTGGCGCCTTCCTTGCCTGGTTCTGGCATGAAAGCTTCCCCCTTTCTCCTATGCTTTTGGCCCTCAAGCTTTAAAGTATTTGTGGCCTCCTTTGCTGAGGCAGCATCGCCTGCTAGACCTGCCTTTCATTTGTATAGATGTGGGGGTGTTTGTGTGTGTTGCAATTGGCTTAAATGTTTCTGTTATGTTTGTAAGTTTGAGTCATTTGCCTGAGTAAAGTTGCTGATAAATACATAATACATCAGGGCTGGGGAACCTTGAGATGTCCCCCACCCCACCCCCTGGTAAAATTTACATTCATTGTCCCAACTGCTTTTATCTCTGCCCACCACTGGCAGGAGGAGGAGGGATGGCTTGGGCAGTTGCCCAAAAGATAAAGAGATCCTCCTGCTCAGCCACCTCTAGTGTAAATAGAAACTCCTCCCTGCCCTTTATCATCTTTGATAAGATACTTTTGTATGTGTAGATTGTTTGGAAACTTCCCCCTTGCTTCTCATTAATCCCTCCCGTTTGTGGTCAGATGCTATCTTGGTGTGGTGTGTTCATTACTTAGTGTAACCAAAACATTTATTATTATTATTTTGCACCCAGTAATCTCCTTGCTTTAACCTCCCAAATCCTCAGTTGACCCACTGAATGCAACTGTCACTGGCCTTGCTCTCTCTGTCCTGACCCCATTGCTCAGGACACAGAGCTGTTGCCTGCTTGGTCCTTTGCCAACCTTTTCTGTTCAGCTCTCCCCACCCTATCTTGCTCCCCCACATACACACTCTTTTGAGTCCCAGACATTCTTTGCATCCCAGGCCAGCCATTTCAAAGTAATCCTACTTTTCCTGTTTGTGGATGACTCACCCACTTGCAGATACTCCTCTAGGTCCACACCCCAAACATCTTTCTTGCCTCCTATTCCTCCCTCTTGACACTTCCACACCTCGCAATCCTTTGCCTGCTGTAATGTGTGCTCTTGGAGAGGCATATTTCATCTGTTTCCCAAGAGCATTAAATTATTACGGGATAATTAAGGGTTTCCCCTTCCAGACTTCTTCTTCGAAACCCAAATCCAGTGTTACATACCTCCTTTCCCCCAACATTTGGACTCAGTCACTCATTTTGGATAAGCTGCTGCAAGGAACAATTAATACTCTGTGGCTGCATGGATTGTGCAAAACTGATATAAAGGATTAGGTTCCTTTTTTGTTTCTTCAGCGCTAGGTAACAGGGCCCTGCTGTTTTAGGGAGGTGATAAAGTACAGAAAAACAAATTAATAGAATTAATTAGCTGTGTTTTCTGGAGTGGCTTTGGATTGAGAGATGAATTGTAGAGTTGGAAAGGGATCACAAGAGTCATCTAGTCCAACCCCCTGCAATGCAGGAACCTTTTTGCCCAATGAGGGGCTCAAACCCACAACCCTGAGATTAAGGGTCTCCTGCTCTACTGACGGGGCTATCCCACAGGATATATGGAAATGCTTGTAACTTTCTCATGATGTTGTTGTTGTTGAATAAAAAGCAACCCTAAGGTCACTTTCTACCTGTGGGTTTTCCACTGGTTGGAAGAAGATGTACAGTGGGGACGAGGAGCGAAACGAGGGACGCCGACTTAAGTAAAGAATGTTCTTCAGTTCCTGTTCCTTCATGGAAGAGACATGCCTGCAAATTTCTCCCCGCTGTGATCCATGTTTGGTTATTTTGGAGCCCGCTGGCGATGACGCCTCATTTCATTTTTGCAATGGTGCGTCTGTGTAGCATTCTAAACATCTCACGAATGTGGCTGCCCCCTCCCTCCCTCTTATGAATAATAGTGTTTGGGGAGGATCTAACCCCAGAGAAATAACATTTTTGGAAGTATAATATGGTGGGCGTGAAAGAGAGAACCGCTTCTCAAAAGGCTGCTGTGCTCAGCATCTCAGCTGGGTCAGAGGACTTGCATTCTCTTGCCAGAGAATGGGCCTCTTCTTCTTCCTCCTCCTCCTCCTCCTCCTCCTCCTCCTCCTCTTCTTCCTCCTCCTCCTCCTAGCTGGCACGGAGCTTATTTGAGTACTGTATTTCTGTGGCCTACGGCATTTCCGTCAGTTGTGTTTCCATGCCTCTCAGCTGTTAAAATGAGGCAGGGTCCCACATGCCTTGTGGAGACCCGAGTGGCTGTAAGAGATCCGCACTGCACAGGTCAGCTGTTAAGTGTGTGAGTGGTTGAGGAATGACAGTTTGTTTGTTTTTAAGGAGAGAAGGGCAAGCCCCGCTGCACGCTGATGTTAGCCTTGGCTTTCTGTCATCTTGGTGCTGTGGATACTCCGGTTTCCAAAACATCCTGCCCGTTTAGGAGGGCGCGCTATTTTTGATCGTCTTGTTAGGCTGTTCCCAGGGAGCAGTGCATGGTGGTTAATGTCCTCTTTCCTGTTTGGGCAGCTCTGTGTGTTCGTGTGTGTTCCTAACGCTTTCACAGAAATCGAAAGTGCAGTTGCCTCTCTGCTTAGTTTCTTTTCATCACTGGGTTTTTTCAAGCTTGGTTTGCACAGAGTAATAAATCTCATTTCAAAAGACCATCTCAGTTTGTTGACATTCCAACCCGATGCATTTTTTATAATTGAAACTTTTATTTTAGAGCAAAATCTGGCTGTGGGGTGGAATTAAGAATCTGTAAAGCTCTTTTTGTTAAAGATTTTTTTTTAAAGTGTGTGTAAGTCCCCTAGAACAGGCACCCCCAAACTCGGCCCTCCAGCTGTTTTGAGACTACAACTCCCATCATCCCTAGCTAACAGGACCAGTGGTCAGGGATGATGGGAATTGTAGTCCCAAAACAGCTGGAGGGCCAAGTTTGGGGATGCCTGCCCTAGAAAAATTATATAGAATAAATTTTGGGTTGTATGCATTTAATCAGACTAGGCACATTGGAATTAATAGGTCTAAGTTAATCATGCCTATTAATTTCAATGGGCCTTCTCTGAGTATGACTAATATTGGAAACAATCTTCTATTAATGATATTTTAAATTAATGTATAGAATAAATATTATTACTGAGGATGATATTGGGTTGTAGTACCCAATGACTCCAAGTAGATACCCTGAAATAAATGGGCATGCCGAATTTAGGCCCATAAATTCCATTGTGTCTGCTCCGAGTATAACTTAATTGGAGACACCCAACTGAAACATCCAGAACAAAGTGAAATTATGGTACGCCCTGAAAATCCACATCAAACAAACCACAGCATCTAGTGTGTATATTTCCCATCGCCTGGAAAAGTCTCCCAGGGCATTCAGGAATCAGATCCTGCAAATCTGGGGGGTGGGGCCCTTCATAGTCGGTCCCCCCAACCCTGCATGCAGTCGGGTCGGCTGCCAGTCCAAACCTTACCAGGAAATGGCCTGACCGCGACAATGGGGTAGTCCCAGTCAGCAGCACCACCCCGCTTTCTGCATCCGTGCCAAATCCAAAGCCCTACAGTATGCATAGGTGACCTTTGAGAGAGCCCCAGGTTTCCATGGTGCCTGTCAGGTCCTGTTAAGGTGATCCCAGTATGGACCTCAAAGCACTGTCCTTGTGTTCTCTATCCCACCTGTGCAACCTCCTCCTCTGGTTCGAGTAGAGAGATGGGTGGATAGTAAACAAGCCGTCTCCCTGTGCTGCCTCTGTGGCCTCCAGCATCAGATTCAAGTCCCAAAGTGGAAGTGTTACCTGGTGGGGGCAACAGGACCATAGTGAGCCCCTCCCCTGCATCCCAACCTCGGCTGCTCCTGCGCCAAGTACTCAGGCAAACAGAGCTGAGTCAAGACTCGCTCCGCCCGGCTCACCCACTCAGGTTTCAGTCATGCCGGTTTGGCCCCCTTGTCGAAGTTTCAGTCAGACCAACCCTTGTTCCACGGCCTCCGGAATCTGGCACTAGGAAGGCATTTTCCGCTTGACCTTGGTGGTGAACGCTGCTCCGTTAGACCTGCTTTCCACGGCTTGTTCCGTCCAGTCCCCTCTTAAAGCCCATTACCATATCCCGTGATGGTGTCTTCCACATATAAGTCATGCATTGGGCGCATGTGTGCATAAGTGCCTTCTTCTCGCCTGTCTCTGTATCTGTCGCCCTGACCTGCAGCGTTTCCCCCGCTGTGCATCCAAAGCCGTTACCGAGATGAGGGACGTTGCAGGGATTCCGCAAGGCTTTTTAGAAATCAATCCACTTTGGACAGCACTGTTAGCTAGCCTGCTGACATATAGTCAGCTGTAAAAAATAGATAAAAATAAAATTCTCTCCTCCCTGGGCTTAGAAGCTTTCTGGCACCAAAGGAAAGAAGGGTGCCCTTGTGGTTTCAGAGCTGAGGTCTCTGACGTCAGCAGACTGTCTCTTAGTTTCACTGCTCTGTTTCCTTTGCTGGAGGTTCAAGTAGCAAGGTGGGAATTGGTTCTGTTCGAGTGAAGCAGAGCTTTTGGGATTGTGGTATGGATGGAGTGCTGGATTTTCGGTCAGAGGAGACCTACTCAGCAATTGAGGGGTGTGTGTGTGTGTGTGTTGGTAGAGTATGAGACTCTTAATCGCAGGGTTGTGGGTTCGAGCCCCATTGCAGAGAACAAGATTCCTGCATCGCAGGGACCCTTGTGGTCCCGTTCAGTTCTACAGTTCTATGATTCTAGGTATTTGGGTGTTCTCAGTTAGGGGGGTCTTTAAATAAACCAGACATTAATTTTATTTATTGCATTTATTTGGATATCACCTTTTTATCCCAAGTTGCTCAAGGGTGTACATTGGTGTTCTTCAACTGTGGGCCCCATGATGTTGTAGGACTGCAACTCCCATCCTCCACTTCTAGCTTAGCCAATAGTCAGGGATGATGGGATTTGTAGTCCTACAAAACCCAGGGAACCAAGGTTGAGTAACACCAGTGTCCAGGGTTTTCTTCAAGTCCTTATAATCCGCACAGTGACCCTATAAGGTACCTTAGGCTGAGAGAGGCAGTGACTGGCCCCCAAGGTCACTAGTGAGCCTTGTGGCTGAGTGAGTCTGGCACTCTGACCACCACATCACAGGGGTGACTCTTTCAGCAGCTCTTAAACAGAGGAGCAGAGAATCAGTCCTTGAACTTTGTCCCTGATATGTTTGCGTTCTGCCAGAAAGTTATCATTAGGGGTGTGTGCGCGTGTGCATGCTAGAATTTATCAAATGCAGACATGGGGAGGAGGGGTCATAAGTTCTGCAAGGCACACTCAGTTCCCCTGTCCAAGGCTACCCAACCAGAATACACTGAAGAAGAAAAAAAGCGCAAATGCTGGATATGCAAAATAAGGTTATGCATGCTCAGCCTATTTGCGAAATTTCCTGGGGTTGCAGCATTTCAGCTTCCCCCCAGTGCAGAAGTTGTGGTTTTCAACGTAACACACCTTGCATTCAGCTTGCTCTGATGTTTAACATTGGACTTACTTAGCTATATAACTGCAGTGAAATTTCAAAGAAGGAAACAGCAGCGCGCCACAACAGTGTAATTTTGCTTATGAAGTGTGCATCTGCCCACCCTTGTTAAAGAGGCTCAGCCACTCCTACAAGCAGAGTTTGGGGGATACTTTATTGCACCTTTCAAGGCTCTTACTTGTGTCGGTGGCCCCCACCTTGTTGCTGAAATTAGGCCTGAAAAGGGGTGCCTGTTGCAGCTGATAGCTTCCCCTTCCCACAAGCCAGCGTTCGAAATTTGCCAGGCACATTTTGCTCCTGGTTATCAGCCAGGGACGTGGGTGGCGCTGTGGGTTAAACCACAGAGCCTAGGACTTGCCGATCAGAAGGTTGACGGTTCGAATCCCCGTGACAGGGTGAGCTCCCGTTGCTCAGTCCCTGCTCCTGCCAACCTAGCAGTTCGAAAGCATGTCAAAGTGCAAGTAGATAAATAGGTGGGAAGGTAAACAGCGTTTCCGTGCGCTGCTCTGGTTCGCCAGAAGCGGCTTAGTCATGCTGGCCACATGACCCGGAAGCATGACACATGTACGCCGGCTCCCTCGGCCAATAAAGCGAGATGAGCGCCGCAACCCCAGAGTCGGCCACGACTGGACCTAATGGTCAGGGGTCCCTTTACCTTTACCTATCAGCCACTTGCGACCAAGTGAATATGCCAGGATGGCGCCTGAGGTCTCCCCCATCTGGGGATCATTGGACCTGAACTGTTTTGGAATTTAAATTAAAAGCATTTGCAGATGATTTAGTAATAACAGTAGAAGAGCCAATGACATCTCTCCCAATACTCCCAATACTTTTAGAGAAAATAAAGGAATTTGGGCGGGTGGCTGGATTTAAGATAAATAAAGGGAAAACTAAGATGATAGTTAAAAATATGACTGAGTTGGAAAAAAGAGAGTTAGGAGTAATGACGTACATGGAGATTTATAAGAAAGTCAAATATCTAGGAATTTGGCTTCCAAATAAAAACCTGAATTTATATAAAGATAATTATGAGAATGGAAGACAGGAGTGCCTGGTCCATGGGGTCACCAAGAGTCGGACTCAACTAAACGACTAAACAACAACAATTGTGAGAAAGTGTGGATTGAGATAAAAAAGAACTTGGAAGTTTGGAATAGAATGAACCTTTCCCTTTTAGGTAGGATAGCAGCAATGATGAATGTCTTGCCAAAGGTGTTGTATTTATTTCAATCAATCCCGATAATAGGCAATGTTATATGCCCAAGAAGTTACAAAAAGATATATCAAAATTTGTCTGGAGTGAATTGTTGTCATTTGTCTTTAGTTCCCCCACTGCCCTGCTCAGAGTTGGGAAGAATATTCCTAGGTTATGAATGGTCTGAGTCACCATTACGAAAAAGAGGTTGGAATAGGCCAATAGAGATGTGGACTGTCCTGGGATTGAGTGACTTTTCTTCTTTCAGTTCTCAAAGTTCTTAACCTGGCTCAAGGTTTTCCTCTGAACTTGCCAGATGTTTAACTGAGAATCCATCACAGTCAGTCCATCATTTGGAAAATAAGACTTTAGAGCCATCTTGCCCCAAAAGGGCAACTAGGCATTATGTTTTGGCGCCTAGCTTATAATAATAATAATAATAATAATATATAATATATAATATATAATATATAATATATAATAATAATTATATATCTGAGTTTCTAACACCACCCCCAGCCTGAGATTTTCCTCCAGGTTGAATGGTATAGAGATGGGCTCTCTGGCCTGAATAGCTCATTGGCCAGAGTTACCTGTCATGGCTGGGGCCAGTTTAAAATTGAAACATGTCTGCGTGTTTGTACGTTTATACCCATGTACTTTGGGATGATAAATCTAGAACTGCTGCCTTCACAGCTGGATTTGCCTAATTGCTCAGCTGCTGGTGGTGTCACGATGTTCAGAGCTCAGAGGGTGACGTGAAAGCATGTATTCCTCCCTCCCCCCCGCTACATATTGCTAATTAAGGCATTGGGAGGACAGAGCCTTTGGTGTTCTAGATGCCCCCTCCCACTGGCTTTCATGTAACACTGAACGTGTGACTCCCTCTTCTCCCCACCTCCCTGTTTCCTGAAAGGGAACATGAAGGGTTTTTTCCTCTCTAATGAATCAACAGTGCGTAGTTCTTCTTATCTGGGTAAGATGAATCGTGCAGAGTTTGAATAATCCTCCCTAATTTCCCCACCCCCTCAATGACTCAGAAAGTGGTTTTTCTGAAGCTGACCTCCCCTCCCCACCCTTTGCATTTGTGGCTACAGCCCTTATAACAGCAGTAGTTTTTCTTTATTTTCAACTTGCTAGGAGTCCTCGACTTCACTTTGCAAACACTCTCATTGCTCCCTCCTTACATACACACACTCACACACACACAGCAAAGGTGAGCTAGGAAACAGGAATGTAAACTCCTAGAGATCAAAAAATGCATTTTTGGAACAGGGAGGTCTTCATAATCATTTGAGCGGAAGGTCAGTTTTAAGCAGCATCCAAGATCTGCTGGGGTCCTCAGGAGCAGAATTGGTTCTGGAGGATGGAGGTGGCTTAGGACCGCAGGAAGTTGTCTTGCACTGAGTCAGAGACCGTTCCTCTTCCTTGCTCGGTGCTGTTTACACTGACCAGCAATGGCTCTACAGCAGGGGTGCCCAAACTTTTTTCAATGAGGGCCAGATCAGATGAAGTGAACATGCATGAGGGCCGACCAAAGTTGTTGACCTCTTTTTAGGATTGAAGTTCTTATCTCAGCCCTACCTGGAGATGCTGCCTCAGACCTTCTGCATTCCAAGCAAGTGCTCTCCCACTGGGCTGTGGCTTTTCCCATCTTAGAATTGCCAGAAAGGTGCCCATGTGCTTCCCTCCCTCCCGGCCCCGTAAACTCCACTTGCCCTGGGCTGACGCTGCGTGAGGGCAACAACTTCTCTGGCTCAGCAGATGTTGGGTGTCAGCCTTCCCCAAACCAGCATTCTCCAGGTGTCTTGAACTACAACCAGTGTCAGAAACTCAGACGCACAGTATAGTCCAGGCATATCCAACTCCCAAGAGACTGTGATCTACTCCCAGTATAAAAAATCTGGCAGTGATCTACCCATTGTCATTGGAGGGGGGAGGAACGTGCGTGGGGTGGGTGGGTGGATTGTCCAGAGTTTTTGAGCTTTTTTCGGAGAGGATTGTGTGAACAATTGCACAGAGATTTTTGCTTTCCCCCTGTAACTTTTTGTACATGATAAGGATCTTGCGATTTACCAGGATCAGCCAGGGGTCTACCGGTAGATCACGATCTACTGGTCGGACGTCCCTGCTATAGTCCAATTGCCAAATGGCACCTTAAACCTCTGGTTGCGGTCACTGTGACGATATGTCTAGTTGTCACTCTACCCATCTGAAAAGCGATGCTGCTTTTGTTGCCCAAGGATCAAAATTGTTGCAAAATAAACAAAACAATTGCTAACATACCATTGAGTGTGTGTGTGTTTTATACTTTAGCAGAGCAGTTTGTAAAAGTCTTGAACGACCTGTGAATTGAACTGGAATCGAATTAGTTCCTTTTCAGGGGCAGGGGAGGAGCGGAGTCAAATTCCTTTTTTGAACTGAGTGTTCCAAGTTTGGTGTGTCGCTTTTTGGGTGGGTGTTCCTCCCCTCCAGGCAAGTGAGTGAGCAGCCTTGCTTCTTAACATTTTCATTAAAGGTTAACCACAGAGATGAGTAAGGCCCGGTGTTAATGACACCCTTCCATGTAAAACCCCACAAGAGAGCGAGCGTGGGCAGGCGTCCCAGTTGCCCTGAGTTAGTCACTCAGTGGCTCATGGTCGGCCTGGAATCAGGGGGCCGTGAGGGGGAGAGCCGACTAACTCACTTTTTAATTCCACCTTTAGACGTTTCTTAAAACTCCTGCCTGTCTAACCGTGGTTATCACCCAGATCTTGCCAGTTTGATATCAGTTTGTATCTGCCCTGGCCTCTGGCGGTGTTCCCAGGCACTACTGGTTTTTTACATTTGGAAAGAAGAAAAGGCCTTGGCCTGCTCCAGGGGTCGGCAAGGTTTACCTCACCTGGGCTGGTTCACTTCATTGGAGATCCCCCTGTGGGCTGGATCGCGCGCGCACCTGCAATTTCCAGCATCTGCGCGTGCGCAGACGCAATTTCTGGTGTCTGCGCAGACGTGATTTTTGGCACCGTGGAAGCGAGTCGTTGTGCTGCGCTGGTTTAGCGCAGCGTGCTGGGACTCACCGAGTGGGTGGCTCGGTTCGGGGACTGCTTGTGAGCCAGTTAAACGACCCCCGTGGGGCGCTTGTGGCCCATGGGCCTTAGGTTGCCAATCCCTGGCCTACTCAGCCCCAGGGGATCCTGCCTAACTCTACATTATGTTCACCTGCAGACATCCAGAAGGGGGGGGCGGCTACTCGAGACCGGGGGATGGGGTGCCTCTTTGGTTGTGGGGCACCCAGGCAGTGTTATAAACTCAGATATATAATAAGCTAGGCGCCAAATGGCTCCTTGATCCAGGGTTACAGTCGCCAAAATGGAATGTCTTGTTGTCCCTTTGGGGCAAGACGGCTGTAAAGTCTTAATTTCTATATGATGGGCTGAGACTGATTGATTCTCAGTTAAACATCTGGCTAATTCAGAGGACAACCTTGAGCTCGCTTAATAGCTTTGAGAACTTTAAAGAGGAAAAGTCAGCTTGATCCAGTGATAGTCCGCATATATATTGGCCTATTCCAATCTTTTTTTCTTAATGGTGACACAGACCATTCATAACATTGGGGTATTCTTCACAGCTGCGAGCAGGGCAGTGGGTTGGGGTAAGTGAAGAAACAATAATTCACTATCTCGTTGTTTACCACTCCTGCTCAGGCTGCACAGAAAAAGCATTTTGGTTCCAGAAATTCATTCCAGTTTTGCAGATAATATATAAATGACAGAATTTTGCAGGATGGAGCCTTAGTGTGTGAAAACAGTTCAGATCCAAGGATCCCCCGATGGGGGAGAGGCCGCATCCATCCTGGCTCCCAGGCATCTTCACTTGGTCACGAGTGACCAATAGCCAGGTGCGAATTTCAAACACAGCCAGTCACTATTGGTTTTTGACTTTTAATAACAAGAAAAGGCATTTGCCTACTCAGTCCCAGGAGATCCTGCCTGAATATAAATTAAGTTCACCTGGAGGTATCCTGCCCTGGGTATTCTACCTTCAGAAGGGAGGTGAGTGGCTGGCAACTCAAGACCGTGGGTAAGGGTGGCTTTTTGGTTGTGGACACCCAGGCCTTGGAACACCTTCCCCAGTGAATATTGAAAGGTGCTCATGCAAGTGATCAGTGGGAGACAACTGTTCCTCCCACCTGCTGGGAGGGGAAAGAGGGTAGAGAAAGTGTGTGTGAACCCCCATTGTTCAGCCTGGAAACTGAGGTCCAGCACTGAGGGCCCTCTGGCGGTTCCCTCACTGCGAGAAGTGAGAATACAGGGAACCAGGCAAGAGGGCCTTCTTGGTGGTGGTGCCCACCCTGTAGAACACCCTCCTGTCAGATGTCAAGGAAATAAACATTTGACTTTTAGAAGACATATGAAGGCAGTCCTGCATAGAGAAGTTTGCAGTGTTTGATGTTTTACTGTGACAAATGTTTTTAATTTGTTGGAACCTGCCCAGTGTGGTTTGGCCAATCCAGTCAGATGGGAGGCATATAAATAAATAATTGTTGTTGTTGTTGTTGGAGAGGTGCATGTGTTTGTGAGAGAAAAGAAGCGCAGCTCTGCCCACGAATGGAGTGCAATTTCCCAGCTGATTAGCCCCAAGGCCCTTGACAAAGCGAAAAAGGGACTCCACCCTGCCTTAAACTTAAAAAAAATAAAAACATTAAAGATTTCTTAGTTTACAAAAATCCGTGCATTGTCTTTTTTTCCAGTTGTGTTTTCTACAGATCAGTTACATTCGTTGTGAGACATTAGTGTTGCATGCACTATTAGGTTGGGAAGGAAAGAGGGGGAAACCGTGAGGAGGGTGCATGGGGTCGTCTGCCTTACACTTTTGACGCCTGGTTATTTAAGATGTGAAATGTATGATCTAGCTGTAAGTTTGAACTGTTTCACTGTTGCTTGAGTTTTGTCATTACTATTATTTGTGTGTCTTTCGATAAATAAATACTGGGCCGTGTATTATGTCGTAAGCCACCTTGGAAACCCTGGAAGTCAGGAGATAAATATTTGGATAAATAAACGAGGTTTCCCCCTAGCGTACTGGTTAATTTGTAAGCCTAGTTTACAACCTCCTCCTTGGCTCTAAGCCAGGAGGCGGTGGCTGCACTTGGCCAAACTGCAGAGCCTGCTTTGCAAGCAGAAATGTTTTGTGTGAATGGTCGCCACTCTTACTTTGTGTGGATTTTACTTGGCAATTGTTGCGGCCTAGGCCTCCTTGCTTTCCACAGCCTTTTGTGCAATTCTCTCCTCCCCTACTTGCGTACAACAGTCATACCTTGGGTTACAGACGCTTCAGGTTGTGTTTTTTTGGGTTACGGACGCGCCGAAACCCGGAAGTACCAGAACCGGTTACTTCTGGGTTTCGGCGGTCATGCATGTGCAGAAGCGCTAAATCACGCTATGCACAGAAGCACCGAATCGCAACCTGCACATGCGGTGCTGCAGGTTGAGAACGTGCTTCCCGCACAGATCACGTTCGCAACCTGAGCGTCCACTGTACTGGGATAGCCAATGAAGTGCCCTCTAGCAGCTGTTTCTAACAAAAACGTTAGAAACTCAGATATGTAAGATAGGGACCAAAGGGATCCTTAAACCAAGGCTGCGGTTGCCAAAACGGAATGCCTAGTTGCCATTTTTGGGCAAGGCGGCTCTAAAGACTTACTTTTCAAATGATGGACCGACTGTGATTGATTATCTGGCTAGTTCAGAGGACAACCTTGAGCCGGGTTAAGAGCTTTGAGATCTTAAAGAAAAACAGTCACTTGATCCAGGGACGGTCCACATATATATTGGCCCATTCCGACCTCTTTTTCTTTAGGCTGACTGCTCCTGCTCAGGCTACACAGAGAAAGCATTTTGGTTCCTGAAATTCATTCTGATAGTGCAGATTGATGGATTGAATTCTACAGGATGGGGTATTAGTGTGTGAAAACAGTCCAGATCTGAGGATCTCCAGGAATGCACCTTCAGATGGTGGAGACGTCAGGCGCCACCCTGGCGCCCAGGCATCTTCACTTTGTTGCAAGTGTTTGAAATCCAGGTGCAAAATGCGCCTGGCTAATTCCAAACACTTCAGCAGCATCCAAGGATCCACAGGTTCCCCATCTCTGCAAGGAGAAAGTTTTTGGAAATGGGTCCTCTTTGGGCACAGGGAAGTTAGATAGCATAAAGCTAGCCTTTTAAAATAACAGCCGCAACACATGCATCTACTAGGAAACATTACTTTTGCTCACTCCCCTGGCCCAGTTTTCATTTATCCGTATTTGCAAATAATGAGGGGTTTGTAGAAGCCAACGAGCCTTGGTGATCTGCCAGCCAACGTGGGTGATCTCTCCTTCCAGACAGTTCCTGAAACCACCTTCTTTTCTTTGTTGTTGTTTCAGGACAAACACCACGATGCTGCTCACGAAATCATTGAGACAATTCGGTAGGTGCTAAGCAGCAGCTGATCTGCATTGCAACCAGATATTTTCACCCCCCACCCCTGGGAAACCCATCTCCCAATAGTGATAGTGACACTGTTCTTGCTAGGATTTTCCTTTTTATAGCCTTGCTCTGTAATCACAGCTTCCTGCAACATGGTGCATGTTTCACCCTGCATTAAAATGAAAACCCGGTTTTGCCTAAAACACTGGAGGGTTGCCTTATAACCAGGTCAGGACCATACCAGGGTTACCAGACCAGTATCAGCCAGTGTGGAGCAAGCAAGTGCCTTTCATTCCCCAACTGGGAATAAGGCTATGAGGCTATATCTGTCTTGAAAAGGGCACATGCTTTCGTAAATAGTCTGAATCAAAGCTGCCATTGACAGCTTTGGCTAAGTAGGAGTACAGTATGTTGCATTGATTAGCTGGTCTGGAGAAGGGACGTCACATGCCTTCTTTTCAAACGTGACAGGGAGCTGTCATGTTTCTGCGCAGCCTTAGTATGAAGGAATTGGTTCATTTCTTTTAGAGTCACATTTGCCTCCCCTAGAAAAGGATTGAAGGTGTTGGGCGGTCAAAGCATTTTCTGCCCTTGAGCTTTGACCAGGGTTTCCCAACGTGGGTCCTCCAGGTGATTTTGGACTACAATTCCCATCATCCCTGACCACTGGTCCTGCTGGCTAGGGATGATAGGAGTTGTTTCCCAAAAACAGCTGGAGACCAAGTTTGGGAAACCCTGGCTTTTACCCTTCCCTTAAAAACCAAGTGAGATCCTACTCAGAAATCTCAGTAAAAGGTCTGGTTTAAACAAGAACCTAGCATGCTGTCTTCTACTGAGCCAGACCACTGTTCCATATCACACCTTGGGAGAGGGACCAGTCATATCTGTTCTTTATAAATCACAATGCACATAGATGGAGATGCGGGTGGTGCTATGTTCTAAACCACCGACCCTCTTGGACTTGCCAATTGTAAGGTCGGCAGTTCGAATCCACGCCATGGGGTGAGATCCCGTTGCTTTGTCCCAGCTCCTGCCAACCTAGCATTTCGAAAGCATACCAGTACAAGTAGATAAATAGGTCCCTCTGCGGCGGGAAGGTAAACTGTGTTTCTGTGTGCTCCGGCACTTGTCATGGTGTTCCCTGTGCCAGAAGCAGTTTAGTCATGCTGGCCACAAGACCCGAAAAACCTGTCAGCAGACAAACTCTGGCTCCCTTGGCCTGAAAACAGAGATGAGCACCGCACCCCATAGTTGAATTCAACTGGACTTCACCGTCCAGGGTTCCTTTACCTTTTACCTGCATAGATGGCAGTATACTTTATTATTGAATTTATATACCGCCCCATACCTGCAGGTCTCAGGGTGGTTCACAGGATAAAATCAGAATATAAAACCACAAAAGACACAATCAGACGAGACAAACCTAACAGTTATAGCCACCTTTGGCCTTTTGGGCTGCCAGTGAGCCCCTAACCATTTATGGCTTGGGACCAGGCTGTCTTAAAGATATTAAAAATGTCACTATGCAAAGCTTCCCTGGGGTCCTAAGATCCTCCGGTGCGCACCTCCACACTGTCCTTTGGAAGGATAATATTAAGATTTTCCTTTGGAAACAGAGGTGCAGGCCGTGCTGACCACAGGGTTGCTGTCAGGGCAAACTGGATTTGAACTGCTGGCTCTGCGTATGCTGTGATGTATTTTAAGGATTCTTGTCAACCGGGTTTGTTGTTACTGCTTTGTGTGTTGGGAGCCGCCCCGGATCCCAACTTGGGAGAAAGGCAGGATATAGAAACAAGCAAACGTGACAAAATTATCGGTGTGTTTGGGGCAGAGGTGGACTTGCCAAAAGGAGGAGGAAATGATCTACTGATTGGGGGGCGTGGCATTATTTGCATATTTATTTTACCTACACCCTCTTTTCCTTTCAGGTGGGTCTGCGAAGAAATTCCAGACCTGAAGCTTGCTATGGAAAACTATGTTTTAATTGACTATGATACTAAAAGGTAAGGTTAAGAGTCTCCTTACTTTTCATTCCTTTCCTCCCCCATGGCTGCCCCTAGAAGTCATCGCTGGACTCACAGCGCCAGTCAGCCCCAACCAGCACGGCAAATAGGGGTGATGGGAACTGTCGTCTTGGACAGTGTGGGGCTGGGCTAGATGACCTCTGGGGGTTCCTTCCAACTCAACAATTCTTTGATTCAGTGGCTCTTTCTTCTATTTTAAACCAGCTCCAAATTCTCAGGGGGGGGGGGCTGCTGTCGAGTCGCTTTTGTTGTAGATTCACTCTGGAAGTTGGAAGCTTTTGGCAAGGGGATTCTTCAGCTGTTCCATGTTTGAGAGAGCTTGATAAAGACAGCCTTTCTGATAAGGGCTCCTTTCCTGTCCTGCCCTTCACCCCCCCCCTTCCCTTGCCTCTCCCCTGCCCTTTAGTCCTTTGAACGGTTAATTTGTCCTGTTCACAAATGTAAACAGGAGGAGATTTTCCTGCTGCTTCCATGTCCTCCTTGCAAGGATGTGAAGGGAGGGGTCCTTCCCACCCCCTGGGGTCTTTCCAAACAGGCCAGGGAGTGTCCTGGGTTACCCCCCCACACAAAGTGCACGTGAAAATAGAAATGAAAAACTGCCGTGGGCGGAGGAACCCACCTGGGGTAGAGGGGGAAAAAACCCCCTTGGGTGGTTCACTGCAGGAGTTGATGAAGAGGCTGAAATAGCTGAGCAGCCCTGATTTTTGCTCTCCACTCTCTCCCCCTCCCCCCCTTGATGTTTGAAATCTGATTATGCAATGGGGCACGTGACTTCCCGTGCTGCCCCTCCTTTCCCTATCTCCTGTCCTGAGTTGATTCTTTAATCCTGGTTTTAAAAAAAAAAGAAAAAGAAGGGATTTTCAGACCAGCCAGGCAGCCCTGTTCAGCAAGTCTCTTTAGAGCCCAAGGAGCTGACTTGCAGCAAGGCTCAGTATCGCTTGCACTGACTGGCAGCGGTTCTCCAGGGTTTCGGGGACTGGAACATTCTCATCCCTACGTGGGGGGTGGGGGTGGGTTGGGGCTGAACCTGAGACCTTCTGTGTGTAAAAGGAAATGCTCTGTTGCTCTGCTGCAGGCCTTCCCCTTAATTTTCCCGTCCTCTGGACTCCAAATAGCCTCACATCCTTACTCCATTTAGCCCAGTATCGTCCACACTGACTGGCAGCGGCTCTCTAGGGTTGTAGACGGGTTAAAGTATGTAAAGATGCCGCTCAGGATTGAGCCTGGGAGAACAGAGCAGGTGCTCTCCTATTGAGTTATAGCCCCTCCCCATTAAGCAGGAAGCAAGAGTCCAGTCCTCAACGTTCAGAAGGAAGGGCTGATTTAACAACAACAACAACAAATTTTATTTATACCCCACCCTCCCCAGCCAAGGCCGGGCTCAGGGCGGCTAACAACCAATAATAAAAACAAGTTGTTTGAATACAATTTAAAAATAAGATTAAAATACAACATTAAAACATTAAAATGCAGCCTCATCACAGGAGGAGAAAGGGAAAAAAGAAAGAGGGGGAGGGAATCAAATTGGCTCCAAGCCAAAGGCCAGGCGGAACAACTCTGTCTTACAGGCCCTGCGGAAGGAAATCAGATCCTGCAGGGCCCTGGTCTCTTGAGGCAGAGCGTTCCACCGGGCCGGAGCCAGTGATGAGAAGGCCCTGGCTCTAGTTGAAGCCAATCTAACTTCCTTAAGGCCCAGGACCACTAGGGTGTTGCTATTTATGGACCTTAAGGTCCTCCTTGGGGCGGTCCCGTAGGTATGAGGGTCCTAGGCCGTGAAGGGCTTTAAAAGTCAAAACCAGCACTTTAAATCTGACCCTATACTCCACCGGGAGCCAGTGCAGCTGGAAAAGCACTGGGTGAATATGCTCCCATGGCAGGGACCCCTTAAGGAGCCTCGCTGCAGCACTTTGCACCCACTGGAGTTTCTGGGACAGCTTCAAGGGCAGCCCCGCATAGAGCGAATTACAGTAGTCAAGCCTGGAGGTGACTGTCGCATGGATCACTGTGGCCAGGTAGGGGCGGGAAAGGTAAGGGACCAACTGCTTGATGCGGCGAAGGTGGAAAAATGTCGCCTTGGCTGTTGCTGTAACTTGCGCCTCCATGGAAAGGGAGGTGTCAAGGATTACACCCAAACTCTTAACGGAAGGCAATGGCACTAATTGGGCCCCTGCAAGAGAAGGGAGTTGGTCCCTCATCCCCATACCATCCCGGTGCATATTAATTCAGAGTGCTGGTTTTGACCTATAAAACCTTGAACGGCTCAGGACCGCAACACCCCAAGGATCGCCTCTCTCTCTGTGAACGTACCTGGACCCTGAGATCATCCTTGAAGACCCTTCTTTGTGCCTGTACCATGAAAGGTCTGGAGGGTGGCAACAGGAGAATAGGGCCTTCTCTGTAGTGGCTCTCTGTTTATGGAACACTCTCCCCAGGGAGGTCCGCCTTCATTATACACTTTGAGGCGCCAGGCAAAAACATTCCTTTTTAACCAGGCCTTTGGCTGATAGACATCCAGTGCCCTTTTAAAATGTGTTGGGGAACGGGGAGGATTATTGAGTTGTTCTTGTTTTTCATTTTATTACATACTTTTGTGTTTTTGTATTGCCATTTCGTCTTGTGAGCCGCCCCTGAGAACTGAGGATATAGGGCGGTATACTAATTCAATAAAGAAAACAAATAAGCAATAAAAATAATAAGCTCTCTTGCATCAAGCCATGCCACATGTGCTGTCTGCAGAGACTGACATAGGCTCTCCAGGTTTTAGAGGTGGGGGGAGAGTCTTTCCTAGCCCTCCAAACCCCCATCCCAATCCCAGAAATGATGGGGAACTGGAGCTGCATAGCGCAAAGCATTTCAGTAAAAAATATTTCTAAACTAGGCTTGCAAACTTTTCTGGCTGGAACTCTTAAAGCGGCTGGGAGGCTGCAGTCCTGTTCCATGTACTTAAAGGGAACTCGGTGGGACTTAAACTGAGTGGATGAATGCAATGGGGAGGGTGGGGTGGAGAGCTGGATCCGGCTGGTGGGCCAGATCCCAAAGATGCTAGCCTTCCAAGGGTCATTTTGATGGGCAGGGTGGACAGTTGGCCACCTATCATCGGAGATTGAAGCGCAGAGCCTTCGCTGGGAAGGAAGACTGGAAAACCAAATACAAACCCAACACGCTCGTCCCAATAATCCTTGTTGATTTGGGGCAGCCACCCTAAGCCTGGTGCCTTCCAGACATCCGTTGGTCTCCCAGCGGCTAGTACAGGGGGTGGTGATGATGGGATTTATGTCTTGCAACATCTGGATGGCCCCAGGCTACAGAAGGTGCTGGGTTTTTTTTAAAGAAGACTTTGCAGACAAAACATTCCTTTTGGGAGTGGCACAGGATTACAACTACAAGGAGGATGTTGGCATCTGTGTAGCATGGATTATTTTTTAGGGAGACACGCCTAGAAAGCTTAGGCCCATCTTAATTTGTCTGACTGCCATAACTTTTTTTCTTTTCTCCTTCCGCCCTCCTCTCTTCTGATCTTCAGCTTTGAAAGCATGCAGAGGCTTTGTGACAAATACAACCGCGCCATCGATAGCATTCACCAGCTGGTATGTATGTGCCCTGCCCATCCGCGCTGCTTGGCTTCTGGGTTGTTGTTGTTTTGATGGGGGGCGGGTAGCCTGATTTTGTTATGTATAATTTTTTATTAAATTTTCTGTTTTACAATTTCAAATATACATTTTACAGTGGTACCTCAGGTTACATACGCTTCAGGTTACAGACTCCACTAACCCAGAAATAGTACCTCGGGTTAAGAACTTTGCTTCAGGATGAGAACAGAAATTGTGCTCTGGCGGCGCGGCAGCAGCAGGAGGCCCCATTAGCTAAAGTGGTGCTTCAGGTTAAGAACAGTTTCAGGTTGGGACTTCCGGGGTGGCGCCATCGGCAATGGCGGACTCCCTCTGAATTGGAGGGACTAGCTCCGTGCGAAATGAGTCCTTTCCGCTACGGCGAAGCGGGGACCCTTTTAAAAATCACAGGCGGATGAAGCCTGTGACCATGGGACTCGGCGGGCACCCTTAGCGCCCCCCCAACCCGCAAAGGAACCCACTAACGGGCTCCGAAGCGAAGAGGGGGAAGTGGCACGGTGCTGTGAGTCAACTGCTATTTCCGTGGAGCGAAGCCGCACAGCTGTTGCCGGAGAGCGCTGCCTTTTTCCTGGGACAATTTGGCTTCTAAAATAAGCACCCGTGAGTACTTAAACTTTGAACAATTGGACTTTAAACTTGCGAGCAGAAAGGAATTGGACTTAAAAATTTCACTTTAATTTGGTACTGAAACGGGAAGGTCTAAACAGGAAGTCAGCCTTCCGTTTCTTTGTAGACAGAATAAAGCAAAGACAACGTAAACTAGAGCTCAGAAAATCGCCTCTAAAGGATTGGCTTTCATCATTTAAAATTGTTGAACCCCCCTTCGGCAGCAGGAGAAGAAGGGGGATCTTTTCTGGACTGTTTAAACCTGCAGAAGTGAGTTTAAAGTAAAGTAACTTTCCACCGTCCTGATCCTGGAGCGGGGTGTCAGGACTGACGTTTGAAGCTCATTGACCAGAGACAAACGCTTTTGACAGATAGCTAAAAGAAGAGAAACATAGTGATTCCATTGTTTCCTTTTGCACCTTAAAGGAACAAATATTGACAAAATATCTGAAAAAAGGAAACTCTGTTGCTAGACTTGTCTTTAAAAGAAAGATCAAATAGAAGTTTTCCCCCTAGAGGGAGTCTGTGAAACTGTAACCAACTCCTGGGAGCTGGCAGCTGTTACAGATTACAGTCGTGGGAATAGACATCTGACCTTCAGGACAATGTATTCAGAAGCTCTGTTGTGTGCTTTCTATAAAACAAATGCCCTACTGGAACAGCTACATGAGAAGACGAATTTGATGGCTGATTCGATTAGAAATTTTGGACAGGCAGTGGGAAATTTTGAACAGGCAGTGGGAAAATATGTGGAGCCCACCCAGGAATTAAATCAGGAGTGTGCCCTGACAGAACAGGCCCAACAGGAATATGAGCTTTCAGATTTGACAAATGAACTTGGAAAAAGCCAGATTTGGAAAGAAAAAGTTTGGTTTGGAAATGGGGGGATGGATAGACCCCCCCTATGCTGGGATGTTTGGACTTTTCAAGTCTCGCAATGGGCCGTGAGATGTTTGGGATTGTGGAGGCTCTCAATTTTGGAGGGATTTTGAAACATGTTTTTAAATACCACATGGAATTTAGTGTCGATTATGGAAAAGGGGCTGATCTGTCGAGAAGGGTCAAAAATATTGCTAAGCTGGAGTTCCCACGAGTGAAGCAGAGCAGGAGACAAGGGAAAATACAGTTACAAATATGAAGAAGAGCTGCGGAAGGGACATGGAAGAGACTTAAGGGCCTCGGATATAAGGTTACCAGGTTAATGCGCCAGATCAATGGGATAATAAGGACTGACAAAACCCGGGACCAGGAGGAAGGGACGCTGGATGAAGATTGGATTTGTTTTTATTTCTTTTTTTCACTACTAGGACTGTTTTATAAAATTGATGAATGTTAGAAAAATGTTGGAATGAAATTACTTGGCTTTAGTAAAAATGTTTAAAGAATTATGCAAGAATATTATGGTTATGAGAAGTTGGTAAAAATAGGATCTAAGTTTTAAGTTTCAAGGTTTTTTATAGTAAGATAAGATTAAAATAGTTTAAGGTAATGTAATGACAGAATATTATGAAATATGGAAAGGATTTGCTGTGACAATTAACAACCAGGACACAAGGAAGGGGAGGAGGAGGAGGTCAAGGAAAGAGGGTAATGACAGTTGAGAATAATGGATTTGTTTGTAAATGTTTTTAAATGTTTGTGGTGTCTTTTTGTTTTTTTCTCTCTTACTTTGAATTTGTATATGTATGGTTGGAAGTGGCTTGTTTTTCTCTTTTTCTACTTTGTTTTTCTTTTGTAATTTAAAAAAAAAAATTCCCCCCAATAAATATCATTAAAAAAAAAAAGAAGAAGAACAGTTTCAGGTTAAGAACAGACCTCCAGAACAAATTAAGTACTTAACCCGAGGTACCACTGTACAGACTTTAAAATGACTTCCCTTCTTCTCTTTCCATGGTTCGTTTTGCATGTCTTACATCCCTGCATATTTTACAAAAACTATTCCAATTGGTTTTCCACCATTACATCCATCACAGTTATTTTCCGTATACTCAATATACGTTTTCCAATCTTCTTTAAACATATGTTCTTGTTGCTCTCTTATTCTGTATTTTAAATCAGCAAGTTGTGCATATTCTGTCAATTTAAGTTGCCTGTCTTTCCAAGATTTTTGAGGCCAGTTAGTCCTGCTCATTCTCTGCTTGCTCCCGTGGGCAGGCATAGTGCTCTGACATGCTGGGTATAGTGCCTCCTCCCCGGGTTTTCTCAATTTAGCCTGGATTACTTAGAATTGTAGGGACGCGGGTGGTGCTGTGGTCTAAACCACAGAGCCTAGGGCTTGCTGATCAGAAGGTCGGTGGTTCGAATCCCCACGACGGAGTGAGCTCCCGTTGTTCGGTGCCTGCTCCTGCCAACCTAGCAGTTTGAAAGCACGTCATAGTGCAAGTAGATAAATAGGTACCACTCTGGCGGGAAGGTAAACGGCGTTTCCGTGCTCTGATTCACCAGAAGTGGCTTAGTCCTGCTGGCCACATGATCCGGAAGCTAGCTGTGGACAAACGCCGGCTCCCTTGGCCTATAGAGTGAGATGAGCGCCGCAATCGCAGAGTTGTCCGCAACTGGACCTAATGGTCAGGGGTACCTTTACCTTTACTTAGAATTGTAGAGTAGGGACCGACCCCCAAGGGTCACTAGTTCAACCCCCAGCAATGCAGGAATTACTTATTTAAAGCAATTCTAACCCCGATTCTTTAGCCCGGGGTGGGGGTTTGGGACCTGCCCCACCCCAGCCTAAGGGTCGCATTCTGTTATGGGCAGCTTTACATTGCAGTGGTGGGAGGAGGCAGAAGGGGAAGTGGGTGGAGCAATAGATGGGACACTTTTCTGCATGAGGCTACATTTTAACCGCTCAGAGTTGGAATATTCCACACGGCACAGTATAGTCAGTAGGGTTGCCACCTGTGCTGCATAAAACAGGATTGTCCTGTGTTTCAATGCAAAATGCTACGCTCTGTATTGATTCAATACAAGATGCAGTTAGTCCTATATTTCCCCTATTCCACACACCCCCCTGCCAAGTTAAGGATCCTCTCCTCCGCCCCTACAGGGATGTCATCCCTGGCTTGGCAGGAGAAACTGCCTCTCACTTCTTTCCTCCTTTCTTCCTGCTCCTGCTTCTTGACAGCGGAGGCAGAGCAGTAGCCATCACAACAGCCTTATCTTCCTCCCTGAATTTGTCTCCCCCTCTCTTAAAGCCCCCACTTCATCTTGTGCAAGTGAATTCCACGGTTCTAAGTATGCATTGGGACGCGGGTGGCGCTGTGGGTAAATCCTCAGTGCCTAGGGCTTGCTGATCGCATGGTCGGCGGTTCGAATCCCCGCGGCGGGGTGCGCTCCCGTCTTCGGTCCCAGCTCCTGCCCACCTAGCAGTTCGAAAGCACCCTTAAGTGGAAGTAGATAAATAGGTACCGCTTTATAGTGGGAAGGTAAACGGCGTTTCCGTGTGCTGTGCTGGTGCTGGCTCGCCAGAGCAGCTTTGTCACGCTGGCCACGTGACCCGGAAGTGTCTCCGGACAGCGCTGGCCCCCGGCCTCTTAAGTGAGATGGGCGCACAACCCTAGAGTCGGACACGACTGGCCCGTACGGGCAGGGGTACCTTTACCTTTTAAGTATGCATTGTATGTAGAAGTTGTTCCTTTCGTCTGCTGGCTTCACTGGGCACCCCAGGTTCTAATGTTTTATGAGAGGCACAGAAGCGCCTTCCTGTTGCATGTGGCAAAGTGTGTATATGTGTGTCTCTCTCCCCTCACCCTCCTGCCTCTCCCATTTTGTTCTCCAGTGGAAAGGAACCACGCAGCCCATGAAACTGAACACCCGCCCCACCAATGGGCTCCTGCGCCACATCCTGCAGCAAGTCTATAACCACTCGGTGACCGACCCCGAAAAACTCAACAACTATGAACCCTTTTCCCCGGAGGTGTATGGCGAAACTTCCTTTGACCTGGTTGCTCAGATGATCGATGAGATAAAAATGACCGAGGATGACCTGTTTGTAGACTTGGGCAGCGGTGAGTGTTGCCGTACACTGTCTCTGCCCTCTCCTGTCTCTGCCATGAAACCTATCTTTACCCGAAACTGTTTCATTTCTTCTGTAGAACATTCAGCACATAGCTGTCAACCGTCCCTTATTTGGCAGGAAAGTCCCTTATTCCAGCGCCGTGTCCCGCTGCTGTCCCTTATTGATGATGTCCCTTAAATTTCCCGGGTTTCAAAGGAAGCAGCTCCTCTCCCTCCATCCCTGCCGGTCAGGGAGGAGGGAGGCTCCAACTGTGTTGCTCACCCAGTAAGGAGTTTTAAGAACGACTGGGGGGTGGAGCTTGCATGCCTTGTCCAATCAAATTGGCCGCATTGCCTGGGGACTCGCCTTTGCTTCCCAGCAGAGAGGTGACGGTGGTTTTCCTTGCTGCATCCCCTTTGCCGGGTTGCTGCGCTGTGGGAACCACCGCTTGAGGCTTCGTTTGGCTGCTGGCTGGGCTTTCTGCCTTTGGCTTGGAGGGGCTCGGAAGTTGAACATACCTGTGCCCTGAAAATCCCTTATTTTGGCTGCTGAACCCTTATTTTTGAGGCTGCTGGTCCCTTATTTTCAAATCTGTAAGTTGACAGCTATAATTCAGCAGCGTGTACCAGTTTGCTTAGGAAGCAGCTGAGCTGTGTAAATAATGGCCCACTTTGGATGTGATGGCCAAACCACGGTTTCTTTAGCAGGGCTATGCTTTTGGTCCCCTTTTGCTTTCCTCATGTCCTGGAGCAGGGGTCGGCAACCTGCAACCCATGGGCCACAAGCGGCCCATGGGGGTCGTTTAAATGGCCCCCAAGCCGTCCCCGAACCGAGCTTGTCGTTTTCCACTAATGACCAGCAGAATTGGGAGGGAGAAGTGGGCGTATTTAGCATTCACTCTGGAAGGGATGTGGGTGGTGCTGTGGGTTAAACCACAGAGCCTAGGACTTACCGATCAGAAGGTCAGCGGTTCAAATCCCTGCGACAGAGTGAGCTCCCATTGCTCAGTCCCTGCTCCTGCCAACCTAGCAGTTCGAAAGCACGTTAAAGTGCAAGTAGATAAATGGGTACCACTCTGTCGGGAAGATAAACGGCATTTCCGTGCGCTGCTCTGGTTCGCCAGAAGCAGCTTAGTCATGCTGGCCACATGACCCGGAAGCTGTACGCTGGCTCCCTTGGCCAATAAAGCCAGATGAGTGTCGCAGCCCAAGAGTCGGTCACAACTGGACCTAATGGTCAGGGGTCCCTTTACCTTTACTGGAATGGTATAGTCGATTCTGCTCCGTTTCTACCTGTCTCCTCTCCTCTTCTCCGTTTCTACCTGTCTCCTCTCCTCTCAGGTGTGGGCCAAGTCGTTCTTCAGGTAGCAGCAGCCACAAACTGCAAGCATCACTATGGCGTGGAGAAAGCAGATATTCCGGCCAAATATGCGGAGGTACGTAGCTCGTGTGTGTTTGTGTGGTTAGAAAGGGGGAGCATCCTGTGACCTACATTAGAAGCATAGCTGTCAACTTTCCCCTTTTTTTAAGGCTGATTCCCTTATTCCGAATAGGATCCCTCACAAGAAAAGGGAAAAGTTGACAGCTATGATTAGAAGCCAAGTGCAACGTAGAGAAATCTAGACTTGAGGGGTGTGCAGGCTCGTTTTAAAGAATCTGAAAGAAATCTGCACAGGGAGAACATGACTTCTTTCCTTTTACAGCCTGTAGAAATGGTGCTACTTCAGCAATTGGGTGCACATGTAGATACCCCAAGCCTGCAATCTTGTGCTTTAAATTCTGCCTTGATACAATAGGGCGTCCAGCAGCAGCTTCTGTGAATTGATAAAAATATGTATTCAGATTTCTTTCCATTGTGTAAAATATCTGGGCCGTGTGCCACAAGCAGTACAGGTGAAAACAGAGCACTAAATGCAGTCAATACAACACAGGATAATTATAAAAAAAATGTTCTCTGCTGGTGCAAGTCCTTGGTGGTTAATGATCTCTGCCGCAGTTGCTGTGTTCCCCCAGGTTGCTGGAAACGGGTCACTATCCAATTTACTACTAACAGCACACCTGCTTTCTCCTCCCCTCTTCTCTCCTCCCGGCTGCCTGCCTTTCCAGACGATGGACAAAGAATTCAGAAAGTGGATGAAATGGTATGGGAAAAAACATGCAGATTACACAGTGAGTTGAAACGGAACCGCAAACGTTACCGCCCACCAAACCCTGTTGCAAATCACCCTCCTTCCCCCTCTGTTTTGGTGTGGGGTTTTCAGAGGCTACACCTTTGTGTAGGGGCAGAGAACCTTTTCTGGTCTTGGGGGGGGGGGAGGAGGGCACATGCCAATTGTGGGTGAGCCAGAACGGGCGGACAACCACGATGTGACACCTATGAGTCTTTTTCTGTGGAAGGTTACACCTAGGCCACACGCCCACAGTACATTAAAGTGCTATGATATCTCTGTAAACAGTCATGGCTTCTTCCCTCAAAGAATTTTGGGAACTGTAGTTTGCTAAGGGGGCTTGAGGGACGCAGGTGGTGCTGTGGGTTAAACCACAGAGCCTAGGACTTGCCAATAGGAAGGACAGCAGTTCGAATCCCCGCGGCGGGGTGAGCTCCCGTCGTTCGGTCCCAGCTCCTGCCCACCTAGCAGTTCGAAAGCACCCCTAAGTGCAAGTAGATAAATAGGTACCGCTTTATAGCGGGAAGGTAAACGGCGTTTCCGTGTGCGGCGCTGGTGCTGGCTCGCCAGTTGCAGCTTTGTCACGCTGGCCACGTGACCCGGAAGTGTCTTCAGACGGCGACGGCTCCCGGCCTCTTGAGCAAGATGAGCACGCAACCCTAGAGTCGGTCACGACTGGCCCGCACGGGCAGGGGTACCTTTACCTTTTACCTTTACGGGGGCTTGAAGTGGCTTGGCGATCCCTTTTCCCCTCCCAGAGTTTCGTGGGAAGAGGCATTGATTGCTAAAGCGCTTTTGGCAGACCCTCCAAGTGTCCCTACTTTCCAGGGACAGTCCTGGATTTATAGAAGCCGTCCCGGTTTCTGATTTGATTCCGGAATGTCTCACTTTTACTTTGGACGTCCCTATTTTCATCGGAGAAAAGTTGGAGGGTATGGAGTTAATGTGACCCCTGAACTATCTGAAGGCAGCCCTGCATAGGGAAGTTTTTTTTTTTAAGTTTGATGTTTTAATATGTTTTTATTTTATTTATATACGTCAGAAGCTGCCCCAGAGTGTCTGGGGCAACCAGGTCAGATGGGAGGGGTATAAATAGCAAAATGATAATAATAATAATAATAATAATAATAATAATAATAATAATAATAATAAATAGAATAGAACTTTCTTATTTTCATCAGAGAAATGTTGGAGGGTTTGGTTCTTGGGGGGTGGGGAATGCAGTGACTGTTTAAAGTGGTATTACAGTGCTTGAAAAATGTACGGTGTGGACAGAGCCCTAGTCCATGCAGCTGCCATAGGTCCTGCACATGCATCTCTCCCTTCAGGCAAGCAAGAGGAAGGCAAAAGCACTCGGGGGGGGTGGCAGAGGGTCAGAGAGAGGACATGAGTCCTGAGGGCCAGGTAGAGAGGGCTTGGGGGACCCCATCCAGCCCACAGACTGGAGGTTTCCCACTTCACACACGGGGTGTCACTAGAACCCTTGCACCCATCGTCAATGGGGAATTCTAAGAAACAAACCAGTGCAGTTATTCAAGGTCCAGCTGGCCGTTGTGATTCAAAGTGGCATCCAGTCATATCCTAGCAAAGGTGGAAACTCTACCACCAGCATCTCAGGAGCCACCATGCAAAATGTGGTTGTAGTAGTAGTAGTAGGTTTATTATTTATACCCCGCCTATGTGGCTGCGATTCCTTAGAGGTTTCCACATGCAGAGGGAAGAGAAAAGGCAAATGGCTTTGCGAAATGTATAGTAGGTGATGGCATCAATAAAATCCATTTAGAAAACGAAAAGAAATGGGGTTCTGATTCTCATGCTGGGGAAGGAAGCCCTCCCTGCAAGATTGGCTCAGCCTCTGGATTCCTGCTTGTCCAAGAGAGGCTTTTCCTTTAAGTTCCAGATCCTCAGATGATTATTGTTATTGTTATTGTTATTATAATTATTATTATATTGTATGCTGCCCATCTGACTAGGTTGCTCCCAGCCACTCTGGGCGGCTCCCAACAGAGTATTAAAAGCACAATAAAACATCAAACATTATAAAGTTCCCTAAACAGGGCTTCCCGAATTCAGCTCCTTTCTTAAAGGCAAGCAGCCTCTGCCTAGACCCTGAACAACTCCTCCCTAGAAATTCCTAGGGAATTTCTGCTCCCATTTCCATTATTGAGTTAAGGCTTGAAAGCTTCCCGTTGGCAATTAATGCTGACAGATGGTGCTTCCCCCCCACTTCTTGGCGGTTCCTACTCGGAAGTATCCCCTCCTGAATGCTGGCCAGGTATCTGGGGGGAGCTTAATGACGCAGAGCCTATGGGATGTTGGAGCGCTTGAGTGGTTGTTTCCTGGATAGCTCCTGCAATGAGGTCGTTCTGCCTCTCCTTCCTTCCCCTGCCCTTTCTCCTCTGAAATGCTCCCCACCTATCACTCCCCCCCCCCCGGTTTCTCTAATGACCAAATATGGTGTGTGTGTGTGTTTATATGCATTAGATGGCACATCTTGCAAGAGGAAATTAAATCGGCTGCTTAGCTTAATGACTTTGACGGTGTGGGAGGGAGAACTTGCGGGATAATTCAGGAGGAGGAGAGGGACATCATCTCAGCCCATCAGCAGCAGCAGCAGCAACAACAGCAGCAAATATAGCACATCTATTCTCCCAATTCCCCGGGACGCGGATGGTGCTGTGGTCTAAACCACAGAGCCTAGGACTTGCTGATCAGAAGGTCTGCAGTTCGAATCCCTGCGACGGGGTGAGCTCTCGTTGCTCGGTCCCTGCTCCTGCCAACCTAGCAGTTCGAAAGCACGTCAAAGTGCAAGTAGATAAATTGGTACCATTCCGGCGGGAAGGTAAACGGCGTTTTCGTGCGCTGCTCTGGTTCGCCACATGACTGGCCACATGACCCAGAAGCTGTACGCCGGCTCCCTCGGTCAGTAGAGTGAGATGAGCACCGCAACCCCAGAGTTGTCCGCAACTGGACCTAATGGTCAGGGGTCCCTTTACCTATCTCCCAATTGCTCAAGGTGGTTGCGTACTTCTCCCCAGTTTCTCTTCCTGCCTTTGACATGTTAGGATGTGGCAGGTCGCTCACCACCACTTAGGTCAGCAAGGTTTATGTTGCCTGGGCCGGATCGCATGTGCTCCCGTGATTTTTGGCACGTGCGTAAACACAATTTTCGGCATCTGTGCAGACGCGATTTTCGGCGCCGCAGAAGCAAGTTCCCGCACTGCGCTGTACCACTTTAGCGCAGCACGTGAGCGGGAACCTTGGTTTGTGGGCGGCTTGTGGGCCGGTCAAACGACGTCCGCGTGCCGCTTCTGGCCCATGGGCCTTAGGTTGCTGACCCCTGACTTAGGGTCTTCAAACCTCCCAAATTGGTACAGCTTTTTCTTAGAGGGGGAAATCCAAGCTGAAGCTGGCATTCTTTTGTGGAATGTGCAGATAATTTGTTGTTAGTTTCCGCATGGGAATTGGGAGTCACTTGCACCCCCCCCAAAAAAAACTTGGTGGGTTTTGGGGTGTGAGTCCAGTGCTTTTTTCCTTGGGGCACTCAAGGGTACACAGTACCATTTGTCTCTCCCCTCCTTGCAAAAAAGAGAGGTAATTTTAACCGTCTGCTCCTTTTGCAGCAAAAGGAAAAAAGAAAAGGTCTGCCAGGTATTAAGCCATTCCGGATTTAACGCTTCTTTTTTCCTCCTAAGCGGGAACTTTTTACCGCTCAGATATTTGAAAAAAAAAAAAAAAGAGAGGAGGAACAAAATACCCAAGCCCTCCTCCAACGGCTTCCATAGCTTTGAAACAGAGCCACGTTCCGTAGCTTTGGGTTCCTGCCGCTCTTGAGTGTGTGTCTAAGAAATATTATTATTATTTCAAAAATAGCTGTGTGTGCTTTTCCAGGCAGAACAAACAGGTCTTTGTGAGCCAAGTGTCGTGCTCAGAGAGGACTCTCGGAATGCAGGATTTTTCTCCCTTCCATGTCTGCGTTACGTTACAGCCAGCTATCCTGGCCACACTTCCCCCCTGCTGCAAACGGAGGGTTTTCTTTTCAGATTTATTTTGGAGCCCAGATTAATTTTGGAGTCCAAAACTCCCTCCCCTGCAACCCCCACCTCCATAGGACCTCCACAGACCGCTGGAAATCTGCCCTTGCTCCTTCTTAATGTCTTTTGCACAGACCCCACTTTCTCTTGGCAGAGTCACACCCCCTGCCTGCTATGAAACGTGATTTCCTTCTGCGGTCTCTGCTGGGTAGACCCTGTGTTGTGGGGAGGTAGGGTGTGTGCAAGGGAACTTGCTTCCTGGCTATGTTTGGAAAATTCCAGCTGAATTGAAAATCTCCACTGAAACAGGAGTTTGGGGAGAATGGTGTCACCTGGAAAAGTTCATTGGCTTGTGCAGGATTCTGGTTTGATTCCAAGCCCCAGTTCAAAGCGTTGCTTCTTAATTCTTTTTCTCCCGCTTGCGAAAGATGGAGGGATCCCTCTGTCTAGAAGAGGCATTCTCTCCTGAGAGCAAGGGATGCTTCATATTTAGCTGAGATTCCTGCATTGCAGGGGGTTGGACTAGATGACCCTTGGGTCCCTTCCAACTTTACAATTCTATGATTATTATTTTTCTAGACCCCAGGGATGGGCAACTTCCCTGCAGGGGCTGCTAGACCACTAGCATGGCTGGTGGTCAGGGACAAGGGCTTAGGACTTCATATGTAAAGCGTCTGGAAAGTCTGATTTTCAAATTATGTGCAATTTTCTCCCGTTATAGCTCTGCTCCAGAGTAAGCAGCACCAAGCACCTAATGTGAGGTTTACAGTCAGTTTCCGACTTGAGTTGAAATTACTATTCATGCTGCCAATACCATGTTTATTATTAAATTGTATTTTTTAAAAAAATTAAATTTGTATACCACCCTATATGCCTGCAGGTCTCAGTGTGGTTCACAAGATAAAATCACAATACAGTGGTGCCTCGCAAGACGAAATTAATCCGTTCCGCGAGTCTCTTCGTCTAGCGAGTTTTTCGTCTTGCGAGTTTTTCGTCTTGCGGGGCACCACTGTATATATATATATAAAACAGAACAAGAACAACCTAATAACGCCCCCCCAACCCCCACATTTTAAAAGGGCATTGGATGTCAATCAGCCAAAGGCCTCATTAAAGAGGAACATTTTTGCCTGGGATCTAAAGTTGTAAAATGAAGGCGCCAGGTGAGCCTCCCTGGGGAGAGCGTTCCACAAAAGGGGAGCCACCACAGAAAAGGCCCTGTTCTCGTGTTGCCATCCTCTGGATCTCTCATGGAGGAGGAACACAAAGAAGGGCCTCAGAAGATGATCTCAGGGTCCAGGCAGGTTCCTATGGAAAGAGGCAGTCCTAGTGGTCCTGTGGTCTTGAGCCGTTTAATACCAATTCTTTTGACCATATATCTACAATTTGTATCACCAAAAATAATCAGTAGCTATAATGTTGGACAGCAAGTTGCAGTTTCTTTAGTAATATTATTTCTTCCAACATTAAGTTCCAGCAATCTTGCACCAAAATACATTCCCACATTGAATGATAACATGTGCCAAGTTTATCGCGACCCCTCCAACAAATAGCCGATATGGGAGAGAACATTTTCTTTGATTATTGCACATGGATTTGTGGTTTTTTTAACGGAAGAGTCAGCCGCCTTGAACATTCCTCTGCAGAGGCACAGATTTATTCTCATGGATTTGCATAAACAGAGAGCTTTGAGGTGGATATCCTCCAAGCCAGTTGCTGTCTTTTGGCTCCCTCCTTGCCTTGGGAAGATGGAAATATCTGGTGCAGATGGTGCCTCTCCTTTGCTGCTCGCTAAGCAGATTATGTTTCCACCATTGCGACCAGAGAAACAAGACGGGGAAGGTTGGGTGGAGGGGAGGAGACACACAGCAGTTTAATAGGAGCCAGTGTACGTGATGCCTTCTGTTCTGATCTCTCTATTCCCCCTGCACCAAAAAGTAGGAAAAAGTAAGAGGGGTGTGACTTTTCCTTTCGGTCTCCTTATTTCAGTGCCTTGTCAGTAGCCCAAATATATTCAGAAATCTGTATTGCGGGCTGGTCTTAGGAAGATGTTCCCTCTGCCTCCCTCTTTCGGCACGGTAGCAAGCGCAGCTGCATTTTGCCAGAGATGTAAAAGTTGGCTGAGTTAAAACAAGAAAGTCAAACTCCATTTTCTCTCTCTTTCTCTCCTCTTCTTAGCTGGAAAGAGGCGACTTCCTCTCGGAAGAATGGCGGGAGAGGATCGCAAACACAAGGTATGGCACTCTGTCTTTTAACACAGACCCCCCCCCCCGGCGCAGAATGGGGTTCACCTGCTTTTCCTGCCCCCACGTCTTATTCATTGGATGCTAGATATTGCCCCCGTCTCATTTCTTTGCGAGGAGAGAGTGCTGGGTTGCTTAGGGCATCCTGCTCAGGGGCTCACCTGGCTAGTGGTGGCTGCTATTTAACTGTCCTTCACCCTAAGATCCCAGGGCAGGTTACAGCAGTTAAAACGGTTTGGAACAACTCGGGGGCCACAAAGAGATGTGGGTCCTAAAAATATGGACTTCGGGTGTCAAAGGCCTGGGGCAAAAACCTGTGATTCCTCCAGAAGCTGTGTGCTGAAGGTTCCAATAATAATAATAATAATAATAATAATAATAATAGTAATTTTATACCTCGTGCACCTGGCTGGGTTTCCCCAGGCACTCTCAGTGGCTTCCATATGAAAACATAATAAAACATTGAACATTAAACATTTCCCAATACAGGACTGTCTTCAGGTGTCTTTTAAAAGTTGTGTAGTCATTTGTCTCATTGACATCTGATGGGAGCGCATTGCACAGAGTGGGTGCCACCACTGGGAAGGCCCTCTGCCTGGTAGCTTGGAACTTCACTTCTCGCCTAGGGTTAGGGAACTGCCAGAAGGCCCTTGCAGCTGGACCTCAGTGTCCAGGCTAATGCACCTCTTTGGGGAAGGAGTTCCACGGCTTCGGGGCCACCACTGAAAAGCCCTCTCCGCCGAGGCAGCCACCACCCCTGAACTTCTGAGGGAGGTGGAGCTGCCAAGAGGGCCTCTTCTGCTATCTCGGCACCTGAGAGGGTCTGTAGAGAAGGAAGTGGGCTTTCGGGTACTAAAACCAGGGGGATGGGAAGTGTCAGGCTTGGATTGGTGTGACCGGGACGTATTTAATGCTTTTAAAAAACCCAGACCATGTTGCTTGGAGCACCGCTGAATTGCATTAGCATTTCCATGTGGCTGGTCTTTTCTTCTAAGTTATTTTACAAATGTGAAACACATTCCCCTGTATTTTCTGAGGTGGCTTTAGTGAAACACATGTGAGAGTTGAAAGCTATGTTATGCCTTGCCTTGCCAACAAAGTGCATGTGTGTGCACGCGCATGTGTGTGTACGCACACACACATACACACACACATGCACCCTTCCCCCCACCCCTGGCAGCAAAAGCAAGACAGTATGTGTCCATGTTTTACTAAAACTCCTCTTACCTTCCAGTGTTATTTTTGTGAATAACTTTGCCTTTGGACCTGAGGTGGATCATCAGCTGAAGGAGCGATTCGCAAACATGAAGGAAGGTAATGAGTTGCGTCCTCTCCACTGGCCTCACCACTGTTGGGATGACAGTTGGGCTTTTTCAGTTGTGTGGTGGCAGCAATGAGTATGTTCTTTGTATGTTGGAGGTGGCTGTTCTGCCCGCAGTAAACGGGCTTCCTAGAATGGATATCGGCAGGGGCAACTGATGTCGTGTTTCTAGATGTTCCTGCACGCTGGCTCCCTTCAGCCAGCGCAGCCGAAGCTCAGGGAGCTGTAGCTCATAGATATATGAACGGAGATCCTTGCAATCTGGGAATCACAGCTAAAGAATCCCACTCAAGCTCTGTTTAAAATCCTCCATTGTAGGAGAGTTTGCTACCTTCCAAGGGAGTCCGTTCTACTGTCAAGCAGTTGTTAACACCAGGAAGTTGTTTAGCTGGAATCTCGTTTCTTGCAATCTGTATCTGTTGGTTTGGCAGCAGAAAGCAAGCTTATTCCACCTTCAGATGTTTGAAGGTGACCATCCTATCCCCTCTCAGTCTCTTCTTTTTCCAGGCTAAATGTATCAACTCCTTCAACTGTTCTTCATAAGGCTTGGTTTCCAGACCCTTGATCATCTTGGTCTCCCTCCTCTGCCCACCTTCTAGCTTGTCAACATCCTTCTCAGCCTCTCATCCTGTTCCCACAGTGGCCAGCCACTTCCTCTCACCCTCTCTTAAAACAGCCACTATCAGTCCTTGTCTTTGTCCTTCAACAGAAAACTGGCTCAGGTTGATCTCACCTTGTAAAAATTATAACAGCCCACAAATGATGACTTGACACCTGCTCTTGAAATGCGATCTGGTGGCCTCGATGAGTCTTGTGGCTGTGAAACTCCCTCCCAGGCGCTTTTGTTTCAGCCTGCCAGGCTTCTTTGATCTCATGGGTGTTGTCACAGGGAGCAGTTCTCTTCCACAGGTGTCAGGCAAAAGCTTTGTTCTCTTCTCACCCTTTGTCTTGGGGTTTTCCTTCCACCCCAGTTGGGTGATTTGGGCCCAATTCTTTGTGTGTGCATGTGCAATTTCTAACTGAATTTTATACAGGGTGAGTCCTTTAAAAGAGGCCTTGTGGGTACAGAGTACACATGTTCCATGGGGCCTCTTTTAAAAGACTCACCCTGTATTAAAACCAAAAATGCCAATTTCTAAGTACATATATCACAATATTACACATTCTGGCAGATCTGTGACAATGTTTTTCTCTCTAGTGATATGACCGAGTAATAGAAAAATACCATAGCTATACAACTAAAAAACCCAAGATGACTATTAACCCATCTGGCAGAATAGTATAGGAAGATTGCTGTAACAAAAAGCAGAAGGCTGCATTTGGCTGGCATTTTTTTTATATACAGATAGGCATCCAGAATAAATCTCCCTCTGACGCAGTGTTGAAAACTCTGATAAATGAGCTAGGTGCCAAGTGGCTCCTGAAACCAAGATTACAGTTGCCAAAATTCAATGCCTAGTTACCCCTTTCGGGGCAAAATGGCTCTAAAGTCTTATTCTCCGAATGAAGGACTGACTGTGATGGATTATCAGTTAAGCACCTGGCTAGTTCAGAGGACAACCTTGAGCCAGGTTAAGAGCTCTGAGAATTTGAAGAAGAAAAGTCACTTGATCCAGGGACGGTCCACATATCTATTGGCCTGTTCCATCCTCTTTCTCTTAGCGGTGGCTACTCCAGCTCAGGCTACACAGAGAAAGCATTTTGGTTCCAGAAATTATTTCTGATTGCGCAGATGAAATACAACGGCTAGAATTCTACAGGATGGGGAATTACAATCCTGATCCAGTGATCCCCAGGCATGCACCTCCAGACGGTGGAGATACCAGGCACCGTTGTGGCGCCCAGGCATGTTCACTTGGTTGCAGGTGGTCAAAAGCCAGGGGCAAAAGGCGCCTGGCGCCTGGCTAATTTCAAACACAGCTCTCACGTCAGTGAGATTTTGCCAGAAGCCGCTGCAGCTAGGGCTGGGCCCAGTTTACTAGGGCTGATCTGAATGTTCATGTGTGTGCCTGTGTGTGCCTGTGGTTCGGCTGCTCCAATATTTATTGCTTAAACGCTTTCACACATGTTTTTTTGTTCCTCTTTTTTGCTCTTCCTCTCCCTCATTCAGCTCTTCAGACAAAAGGTCTAGCTTTAGATGTGGCAAGTGTTCATGTCCTCTGTATTGCTGTATTTACCCTGTGCTGTTGTTGTTTTTAAAAAAGACCGCAAGTACACTTAATTGGTGAATATGGTTCACTAGGCTGAGGGGGCGCTGCTGCAGAACGCCACCGGTCTCTGCCCACCCTTCTCTGCCCTCCGTATAAAGAGCAATTAACCTGTGACCTAAAAGGAAACAATTTATATGCAGCCATTAGGGAAGCTTTCTTGAGCCCTGTAAATCACTTCAGGTGTTATTTGGGGTGGGTAGGGGATCCCTTATCTTCAGATGTCAAGGCCAAACTCCTAATGCCCGCAGTTCATATAAAACCATCTGTTCAACTTGGTGAGTCGGGGGGGGGGGGGGAGAGAGTTAAGACAGTTTACGTGCAGCACCCGTGAACCTCCCTGATGGTAAGATTGTCAAAATGGTTATTAACACGAAGTCAAAAGTGCAGGCGGAAAAGAAAGAGGGAAAACATGATTAGAGGTGTAGAGCGCAGTAGCAATACCGTGTTTCCGAAATTTAACAGAGAGCAGATAATGTAGAAAAATCAAAGCAGCACGAAAAGCCTTTTTTGTTTTGCAATTTAGCCGGGGAAGAGAGTGTGGCACATATCTGAAATTGACCCGTAAGGAGTGGAATCCCTCCCGATGGCAGGGAAATGTTTCAGGTCCTGGAAATGTGTCATTGCGAGTTCTTTCCTCTGCAATAGCCAGAGTCCACCTATTCCTGCACCACAGGGAGAGAGGGCCAACTCTTCAGTTTCTTGGCCAAATGTATTCTCTCTGTGGTTTGTTTACTTTTGATTTCTGTTCCCTGCCTTTTGTTTGCCTGTGCTTTTTGATTTTACGTTAGCAAGGAACAATGATCGGGGGAAAGGAGAGATTCCGAAAGCCTTGCCTTTTTGACATAAGAATGCACAAATTTGACCTGTGCCCTTTCCACTGCTTTAGGGTAACTAACGAGGGGGCTCTGCTCCTGCTTTTTCCCCTGACAGGTGGCCAGATTGTATCCTCGAAACCTTTTGCACCATTGAACTTTAGAATAAACAGTCGAAACTTGAGTGGTAAGACCTCTCTCTATTTTAAAAGTGTGTTAGGTTTTGAACTGAGCGTGAGCAGCTGGGTGTGCATCCTTTGTGCCTTCTCCCTCGGATGTCCCTGGGCTTGAACTTGTTGGGAGATAACGCCGAGGCCTTGTGCCTTCCCCCAATGCAGCGTCGCCCGGGATTCATCACTCCGGTCTCCCGTCACACTGATGCGACCCATATCCTCCTGGGACACGAGCGCACGACTAGCAGAGTCCAAAATAGAAGCGTTAGCTTTGGGGTGTAACATCTAATCCTTATTTATTGCAACGAAATCAAACACAACAGTACAAAGTAAACATGGCTCCTCTTTCTCTCTCTTCCTCGGAGAGAACGCTGAAACGAAACATCGCTGTGAGAGAACAGTGGGAGGAAGGGAACAAACAGTGTATCTCCCTTTCCTCTTATATAGCTCTAACAATCAGCAGCTGAAATGTATTACATACAGACACATGATCCAACAATCCTATAACTGCAGCGTAGGGAGGGGTGAAATCCTAACAGAACTCCCATCATCTAAGAAGAGGCATCTCTACCACCCAGGAAGGGATGCCTGTTCTAAATAGAGACATTCCTAGAATGACAGTACTTGGAGGGATGTAGGTTCCCCATCTCTGCTCTAAGAAAAGGCATTCCGTCTTCTCAAGAGGGAATGATACCGCAACGAATGCTAATTCTTAGGTCAGGACAGGAAATTTCTGTGTGTCTCTGATCCCTCTGCCAGATGTTGTCAGAGCCTCCAGTTGTTTTGGGACTACAACTCCCATCATCCCTAGCTAGCAAGACCAGTGGTCAGGGATGATGGGAATTGTAGTCCCAAAACAACTGGAGACCCTCGTTTGGGAAGCCCTATGTTAAGAGTCTCAAATCGCAGCACCCCTGACCACCTACTCAGCCACACCTAGAGATGACCGATCTTTGGTGTATGGAAACAGGCTTTTGTTTTTTTTAAAGAACCTAAGAAGAGCTTGCGGGATCAGGCCAATTCTGGTCCAGCATCCTGTTATTGCAGCGAGACGCCTGTGGGAATCCTGCAATCAGGACCCCAGCCCAAGAGCTCTCTCGCCTTCCACCGCAGCTGGTATTCAGAAGCACTTACTGCTTCTGGCCATTGTGGCTTGGCAGCCTTCTCCCCCTCCGTCAATTTGCCCAGTCCTCTTTGAAAGCCGTCTAAGTTGCTGTCCACCCCTGGCTCCTGCGGGAATGAGTTCCCTAGTGAAACAGCACGAAGGGTGGGGTGTCACTCTGAAATGTGCTCCGCAGCTGGCGCTCCTGTTTCCTCTTTAACCCTCTCCCATCTTTCTCCTCCCCCAAAAGATATCGGCACTATTATGAGAGTCGTAGAACTGTCACCACTCAAAGGGTCTGTCTCATGGACTGGGAAACCTGTTTCTTACTACCTGCATACTATCGATCGGACCATAGTGAGTAGCTGCACACAGGGCGGTGGGTGGGGGGCTGTCCGTGAGGGGGTGTGTGTGAATAAGTTTGTGTATTAATTTATTAGCAAATGGCAGTGGTGAGCATCATCAGCCTAATTTTATTGTGCATTTTTTTTTAAAAAAAGGTTTATTTATTTTCATGGTACAGTAAGCTGGGAAAGTAGCTGTTACAACAGTAAACAACAAATAACATGTCCTGATAAAATTGCAGACTTTCAGCATGCCCACGTGTTAAAAGTTTCATTTGATTACTCTTTAAGAGATCACACCACATTTTCCCATGAGTGCTGGGTGGATTCCTGCCACAGTCTGAACAATTTATGTATTCAGTAAACCTTTGCCATATATTATAAAAGGAATATGGATTGTGTTCGCCCTTTGCACCTTTCACCTGGCATGTTAGTTTCTCAGCCAATGCTATTGACCCTACTCTGTTATACCAAGAATCAATGTCCAGCCCAACACCGGTTTTCATGTTGTGCATTTGTGTTCCTGGTGGGGTCAGGAAAGGGTGTGTTACTGTTTTGTTGTTTTGGTTTAATTATTTACTTGTGTTTTATTTTGTATTTCATTCTGTGAACCGCCCAGAGATCTTTGATGAAGGGCAGCATATAAATTTAATAAATATATACAATAAAAATAAAAGGGGTGGGGGGGCAGCAGCAAGCGAAATCCACAAACCACCTTCCGCAGAGAATTAGAATTATGGAATTGTCAAGCTGGAAGGGACCCCAAAGTTCCTGGGTGCTCTGCGTTAGGACCCTGACGCCTCTCTTTTGCATTTATTTATTTAATTGGACTGCAACCTTTTATCTTTGGTGATTTTAGGTGGCGAGTCCCCCGTCCCCGTCCCCCCGCCACCGCCCTGACTGTTTGTCGCTTGCGGTTCCCAAGAACAGTGTCTGCAGTTTCCCGTTGTTCAGTCATTGCACTATGATTGGGGTCCATCAACACAAGTTCTGTCCGCTTCTTAGACGCTGCTTTCTGTAAACTATTTTGAGAGTGGTGGGGGGTTTTTTTTGCTTTTGCTTTTTTACAATCAAGTCCTACATAAATTTCGTAGGAAAAAATAAACAAGACTTCTCATTTTGTTGGTCCCATGTCGCTAAAAGAGCCAATGCTGGTGTGATGATATTTTAAGGGTGAGTTCTTGGTGTACTTTTTAGGGAGACGGTGCCTGAATGCTCCTTTGAAACACCTGGGACATCTGAGGTGGTTTATTCGTTTATTTATTATACTGATCTATTTTTCTTGTCGTTGCTATTTAGCTTGAAAACTACTTCTCTAGTCTCAAAAATCCAAAACTCAGGGTAAGTGGCATAACAATAGCCGTTTTACTTTTTAAGTCTAATTGCAGTCGTGGAAGCTTCAGAATAGCGCAGCTTCTCCGAGACACGTAACGTGGGTGCAAAAGCACTCTTTGAGCGCTCTTCTCCCATGGCTGGTATGCATGGAATCATGGAGCTGGAGGAGACCCTAAGGAATCATCTGGGCCATTGTTTCCCACACTCGGGTCTCCAGCTGTTGTTGGACCACGACTCCCACCATCCCTAGCTAGCAGGACCAGTGGTCAGGGGTGATGGGAACTGTAGTTCCAAAACAGCTGGAGAACCAAGTGTGGAAATCTCTGATCCAGTCCAACTCCTCTGATGCAGGAATCACAGTTAAATAATTCCTGATGGGTCGACTATCCAACGTCTGTTTCAAATCCTCCAGTGCCCTATGTTGGAAAGGCTGCGGGGAGATAGGCTCACATTTTCACGCACGGTGGAGTTGCCCGTTTTCAAGAGGAGAAATAACACACTCTTCCTGTGTGTCCTCCACCTCTTATTGTTTGGAAGGAGGGGGGCGTTTTCCTGTCTTTTCTCTCCCCCCCAACCCCCAGCCTTCTCCGTGCTCACGCTCTCAATGTTTACACTCCGCAGGAGGAACAAGAGGCAGCTAGACGTCGCCAGCAACGAGAAAGCAAGAGCAACACCACCACGCCAACAAAGGCCCAAGAGACCAAGGTCTGATCCCACAAATAATCCGCTGTGTGTGGACAGTTGCAGTTTCCTAAAAGCCAGGCTCAGGCACACATCAGAGGGGCAGCATGCTTCTGGGTGGTGTTGGGGGGATCCCAACATCTACAACATGACATTTCTTTAAACAAACCTTCCCACCCCCCAATTATATTTTATTAAGTTTCAACATTCGTAACATATACAATCAAAGCTTTTCTCTTATTTTTGTTCCCACCCCGTTTTCCATGTTGTTGTTTCTCCCCTTCTGCTGCTCCTTCTATCTATCAAATCACAACCACAATATTATAATCTATTTACTTCTGTTGCTCATAGCTCAAATCTGGCCGTGAGTCCATCATACTGTAATATTTCTTTAAATAGTCTTTTCAAACAAGGTTGTTTTTTTAAAAAAAAATTGAAATTGGAAGTACAGGCAAACAAGCACCTCCCCCCAGTAATCAGCCCTTCCCATAAGTATAACACATAAGTATAACACAAGATTCTAGTCCTCATGCCTCTGGGAGCAACAGAGAGCCCTTGGGCAGCTTCTTGAGGAAGGGCTTCTGCTTTTCTTGGGTTTCGTGTCCTCTTATTTATCTGTTTGTTGCACAAAGGACTATGGTGCTGAAGAAGAGGCGGCCCCCGGGGCCAACGCCATCAAAAAGCCATCTCCGTCCAAAGCCCGCAAGAAGAAGCTGAGCAAGAAGGGGAGGAAAATGGCCGGCAGGAAGCGCGGGCGCCCCAAGAAGATGAACATTGTGAGCTCAGAGCGGAAGCCCAAGAGGAACCAGACCGCCCTGGAGCTCCTCCACGCTCAGACCGTTTCGCAGGCCTGCTCGTCTTCTCCTCAGGGTGAGCTGCCAAGTTGCTTGGTGTTAGCTGGCCACCCTTCACGTTGTGGCGTGGGCCATTATTAATTAATTAATTAATTAATTAATTAATTGAATTTATATACCGCCCTGTACCTGGAGGTCTCAGGGCGGTTTACAGAATAAAGCTACCGTATTTTTCACTCTATAAGACGCACTTTTCCCCTCCTAAAAAGGGGAAATGTGTGTGTGTGTGTTATGGAACGAATGTAGGCTGTGCGGCTATCCCAGAAGCCAGAACAGGAAGAGGGAGCGCTGCGCAGTGCTCTCTCTCGCTGTTCTAGCTTCTGGCTTAGCCTCTTCCAGGCAGGGAGAGCCTTCACCCCGCTGCCCTTCGGAGGCTTCGTATGGCTATCCTATCCCTGGCTTTTGCAGGAGGTGGGGGGAAAGCCAGGAGGCTTGCTTTTGCTGAAGCCAGGAGGGCAAGGGGGATCGGTGCGCCACTTTCAGGGATAGCCCCGGAAAGCCTCCTGAGCGAAGAGAGAGGAGCACTTCCTCTTCGCTCAGGAGGCTTTGCGTTGCTTTCTTATTTCTTGTTTTCCTCCCCTAAAAACTAGGTGTGTCTTATGGTTGGGTGCATCTAATAGAGCGAAAAATACGGTAATTTAAAAGGTGTTACTTTCCTTAAATCTGCACTTGGATTTTGCTCCTACTAGGGCTGGGCAGTATCTGGCCTTCAGCACCGCGATATATCACCAGCTAAACATCACAATATTCTGATACATCATGATGTCTGGACTAAGGATATAGCTGGTTTTCAGCATTGTGATATACTGATGCAGTGTCTGAAATAAGGGTGGAGCTAGGTAGAGGCATTGGCTGGCTTCACGGATTCCCCACACCCTGATCTTGTGATTCGCTGCCCCCTTCAGGAGTCAGGGGAGAGCTGAGCTGGCAGAGTTAATGGGGGGCTGCAGGAATCTAGAGTCGCATTGGCTACTTCATGTTCTCCCCCCACACACATTGTGTGTGTGTGTCCTGTTCCCTGAGAGGCTAGCAGTCCTGAGCCATTTACGGCTTCATAGGTAGGCTTGGTGATGAGCCCTCACCAGTGTTTGATTGTATTCAACCACATCTTTCCTCCACTTGTGGTTCAAGCCATCTCCCAGCCTGTTTCCTCGCCACAAATCCACAACCTCCTGTTTTCCTTGGGTGGGGCTTCTAAAGCAAAGTGAGAAACTGAATGCCTTGCGTCATCTCCCTTCCAGATGCTTACAGGTCACCTCGTAGTCCGTATTACCAACTACCTCCTAAAGTGCAGCGGCATTCGTCAAACCAGCTGTTGGTGACCCCCACCCCGCCTGCACTCCAGAAGCTGCTAGGTAAGCGGTCTTCCCGCCCCCCTCGATGAGCAGGCCAACCCGCATGGTCGGTGTGGGAGGGTGTGGGTGTGTTCAGGTTTGTGCAAATAGGGAAGTGGGAGACTTCATCAGCACCCTGGACAGCTCCGTGGAGGCTTCAGGCTAGACGCTCCATATGAGCGGAGCTCAAATATTGTTTCAGCACCAGCCCTTGGGGGACTTGAATAGGACCTGTGACTCTATCTTCAGTAGCACCATGGACAGCTCATATAGGGCTCAGGCTAGAGATTCCATGTAAAGGGAGCTCAGATATTGTTTCAGCACCAGCGGTCCTCGGACTGAGCCCTTAAATAGGAGCTGCAGCTGGCTCTGAGTCGCCAGCTCATTTAAAGGAGTCTGGACCGCTGTTCTACTGAGACAGGGATGGGGGAGGCTGGTCCTGAATGCAAGGCTGTCGTTGACGAGGTCCTTCTGTTCTCCATCTCCTCTGGTCTTAACACAGATTCGTTCAAGATCCAGTACATGCAGTTCATGACGTACATGAAGACTCCTCAGTATAAAGCGAACCTTCAGCAGTTACTGGAACAGGAAAAGGTAAGGAGACAAACTTCCTTTCGGCAGCTGTGTAGGATCTTCCTCTTAAGCCTGATCAGGGAGTTTTTCTGAGTAGAAATGTAATCGCCCCTTTTGGAATTTTGAAACTCAACCCTTGGCCCTGAGAAGTGACAAAGCTCTGTTGATTTAAGCTCTTGCGGAATGATATAATTAGCACAGTTTTGAAAAGTCAAGCGAGAGGCTGTAATGGAATCTATAGCTGCCGCCTTGCAGCAGTTCTCAGTTTTCTTACCACTGAAGCTTGAAACAGAATGCAAAAGAAGGAACGTAAATAATTTGAGATGTTTGGAGAAACTGTAATTGTCATACAACAGTGCCTTACAACTCACGTTTGTAAAAAGGTTCATTACACATGCAGTTTTGTTTTATCTACTTACAAATTCCTTTTTTACCATTTCTTTACACTGGATAATGCGCCTGTTAACCTTGCTGTGTCCCCACCCTCTCCTGTCCCTGCTTCTGTTCTAGGAGAAGAATACTCAACTTCTGGGGAAGGCCCAACAGTTGTTTACTCACTGCCAAGCTCAGAAGGAAGAAATCAAGCGGTTGTTCCAGCAGAAACTGGATGAGGTAGGAGTGGGGAGTGGTCTGGCCGGCGGGGCAGAGGGGGGAGAGAGACAGAGACAGAGAATGCCCTCTGCACAGCATGTGTTGTTGTTGTTGTTATTTATTTACAGTGGTACCTCTGGTTACGAACTTAATTCATTCTGGAGGTCCGTTCTTAACCTGAAACTGTTCTTAACCTGAGACACCACTTTAGCTAATGGGACCTCCCACCGCCGTTGCACCACCGCACAGTTTCTGTTCTCATTCTGAAGCAAAGTTCTTAACCCAAGGTACTACTTCCGGGTTAGTGGAGTCTGTAACCCGAAGTGTTTGTAACCCGAGGTACCACTGTAATAATATTTATTCTACCCCAGCCACTCTGGGCGGCTTCCAGCCTATATAAAAAGATAATAAAACATCAAACATTAAAAAGCTTCCCTATACACAGCTGCCTTTAGATGTCTCCAGAAAGTTGTGTAGGTGTTTATTTCCTTGATATCTGAAGGAAGGGCATTCCACAGGGAGGGTGCCACCACCGAGAAGACCCTCTGCCTTGTTCCCTGTATCCTTACTTCTCACGGTGAGGGAACTGCCAGAAGGCCCTTGGAGGAGGACTTCCATGTTATAGTTTGATTGTAACATCACATGACTATCCAGTCATTACTATCCTCCATAGTCTTACATTCAGACATTAACTGATGTATCTCTCGTCACCATGGATGTGCTTTCTGCTCCTGACTATTTATTAATCTGGCATATCATGTGCATAAAACCCTCTGTCTCGCTTTTCCCAAGGCCTCTGGCAGTCAGGTCTGGACCGTTCTACATTCCATCTCCACTTTCCCCACTTTTTCCAAGTCCTCTGCTTAATGGGTTAATTGCCCTCTTACCCATGCCTATAGCACAGCTGATCTTCCTTGCAGCTGGTATTTTTTATTTCTCTTTCCCTTCAGGCCACATCTAGATTGCACACACCAATCCCATGTCTAGCCTGGAGTCACAGTGCAGTGGTCTTTGCGCAAGCTCTGCAGGGGCCCCCACATCCCAGATCGTTATCCCCTATCTCTGTGCGAAAAGTTCAGATCTGAAGAGCGCCCTGCCCCATGCATTGGTCCTGATATCAATCAGGACAGGACAATTTTAGACACATCACCGTATTTTTCGCTCTATAAGACGCACCCGACCATAGTTTTGAGAGGTGCTATGATGCTCATGTACTTCTTGTGGGCTTCCCACAGGCATCAAGCTGGCCACAGTGCTGGCCACTGTCTCTGCGCAGCGCCTCTCCTGCGAAGCGGGAGGAGGACCAGAAGGGAGGAACATAGGAGGAACAGAGAGGGAGAGCTGCGCAGCGCCCCTTCAGCGAAGCGGGAGGAGGAACAGAATGGGCTCCGTTCCTCCTCCCGCTTCACAGGCGAGGCGCTTCGCTGAAGGGGCACTGCGCAGCTCTCCCTCTCTGCGCAGCGCCATTCGCTCCATAAGACGCACTCAACATTTCCCCTTACTTTTTAGGAGGAAAAAAGTGCGTCTTATGGAGCGAAAAATACAGTAAATCTGTCTGGGTCAGATTTAGTGTCTTTCACTGGACAGTCCCAGGGCAGCTTGCAACAACGAAGGATACGGTTACCAAACAAAGGGACAGTTGCCACCACGAAGCAATAAAGATGTAATCCTGAGTCCCTCCAGGCAAGCCCCCCAAGGGTATGCTCAGGACCATCAGCTCAGAAGAGGGGAGACTGTAACACAGTGGGCTGGGTGGTCTCTGCAGCAGCTGCAGCAACTGGGTCATGGCTTCCTGAGTTGGCATGGGAAGGGGCACGAGGAGAAGACAAGCCGTTCGTTTTTTGTTTTCCTGAACTTCCTCCCTGCTCCCAAACTGATGCTCCCTGTTTTATGTCGCCGGGATGATGCTGGGTGGGGGTCTAACCATGTTCTGTCCCCCCACCAACCTAGCTGGGTGTTAAGGCACTGACGTACAACGACCTTATCCAGGCCCAGAAGGAGATCTCTGCTCACAACCAGCAGCTGAAGGAGCAGACCAAGCAGCTGGAGAAAGACAATGGCGAGCTCAGGAACCAGAGTTTGCAGCTGGTGCGTCCTCCCCAACGGGAGTCCCAGCGTCTTGGGGCTGGGGGCTGGGGTGGCTCACGTCCAAACTCACCCTCCTTGTCTGTCTCCCCCATATCCTAGCTGAAGGCCAGGTGCGAAGAACTGAAGCTGGACTGGTCGACGCTGTCGCTGGAGAATCTGCTCAAGGAAAAGCAAGCACTGAAAAACCAGATCTCTGAGAAACAGAAGCATTGCTTGGAGCTGCAGGTAGGGTTTCGTGGAATCATAGGACCAGAGTGTTGGAAGACGCCCCAACCCAGGCGTAACCAATTTGTGCATTGCACATAAACTTCCTGATTTCCACCCTCCCCATTTTTTCTTTTTAAAGATCAGCATCGTGGAGCTTGAGAAGAGTCAGCGGCAGCAGGAGCTGCTGCAGCTGAAGTCCTACATGCCTCCCGACGACTCGCTCGCCCACCCACGCCACAAGCGCCACCCGAGCCGAGAGGTGGAGCCCGATCACAGCACCTTCCACCCCGAGCTGGAGTGCTCCAAGTTCCCCGCGGGCCCCCACCTGAACGGCATGAGCCCTGAGCTGTCCATGAACGGCCATGCCACGCCCTACGAGATCCACACCGCTCTTGGCCGCCCGGCCTCCTCGTCGTCCTCGTCCTCCTCCTCCAAGCAGGGCACCCCCCAGTACCCGGCTTCCCACCTGGACCAAGACATAGTACCCTGCACGCCCAGCCACAGCGGCAGGCAGAAGCCGGACAAGGCCTCTAGCTTGTCCTTGCCAGACTACACCCGCTTCTCCCCGGCCAAGATCGCCCTCCGCAGACATCTGAACCAGGACCACGTGGGCAGTGGGAAAGCAGCCCCTGCTGAGAACCACCAGAGGTGAGATAGGGGTTGGCAGCAGAGGGGCTTGGGGGAAGCGAGGGGTCCTTTGGGGGCAGCTCCCTCCTCCCACTTGCTCCACGCAGACTGCACTTTGCCAAGTACCACGGACAGAAGGAGGTGCTCTCTCTCACTTGCCAGTTCATAGAATCATAGAACTGTAGAGCTGGAAGGGACCCCAAGGGTCATCTAGGCCCACCCCCTGCACTGCTAAAGCATCCCTGGCAGGTGGCCATCTGACCTCTGCTTAAAAGCCCCCAAGGAAGCAGAGTCAGCAACATCCCGAGGGAAACCGTTCCCCTGTTGAGAATGTCTCTTCCTGATGTTGAGTCGCAATCTCCTTCCTTGTAACCTGAAGCCATGGGTTCGAGTCCTACCCTCCAGAGCAGGAGGAAACAAGCTGGCCCCCTCTTCCATGTCCTGAGTTCTGGCAGCCTTCTTTGATGCAACCAGGGCTTTGGAGGAAGGGTTTGTGTTTCCCCATCAAATACTGCTGAATACTGATATGCCACGGTTGGTGTGGAGCCTGCCTGCTCAAAACCCAGATGGCACTAGGCGCCAACATCCCTTCATCCCTGGCCATTGGCCACGCTGGCTGCTAGGAGTCCAGGAACATCTGGAGGGCTCCAGGTTTCCCCATATCTAATCTAGTAGTAGTAGTAAATAATAATGATGATGATAATAACAATTAATAATAATATTTGTACCCCGCCCATCTGACCGGGTTGCCCCAGCCACTCTGGATGGCTTCCAACACATATGAAAACATAATACATACAAGCCAGGCACCAAATGGCTACTTAAACCAAGGTTACAGTCGCCAAAACACAATGCCTATTTGCCATTTGGGGGCAAGACGACTAGAAAGTCTTATTTTTCAAAGGGTGGACTGACTGCGATGGATTCTCAGTTAAACATCTGTCTAGTTCAGAGGACAACCTTGAGCCAGGCTAAGAACTTTGAGAACTTAAAGAAGAAAGGTCCCTTGATCCAGGGATAGTTTGCATATCTACTAGCCTTTTCTGACCTCTTTTTTTCTTAATGGTGACATGGACCATTCATAACACAAGAATATCCTTCACAACTCTGAGCAGGGCAGTGGGGGAAGCAAAGACAAACGACAACTATAACGCTCTTCACTGCTCCTTCTCAGGCTGCATTGAAAAAGCATTTTGGTTCCAGAAATTCATTCCAATTGTGCAGATAAAATATAACTGATGGAATTCTACAGGATGGGTCCTTAGTGTGTGAAAACAGTCCAGATGCAAGGATCCCCGGATGATGGAGACATCAGGCGCCATCCTGGCACCCAGGCATCTTCACTTGGTCACGAGTGACCGATAGCCAGGTGCAAAATGTGCCTGGCACCTGTTGAATTTTGAACACTGCTTGGGATATATCGTGATGAAAGGCAGGATGTCTCTCTTAACAAACGATGAACGCTTTCCATTGGCAATGGGGAAACCTCCAGAACTCTTGCACCCTGTTTATTTTATTTTCCAAGCACTATTCAAAGTGTTGGTGCTGACCTTTAAAGCCCTAAACGGCCTCAGTCCAGTATACTTGAGGGAGCGTCTCCACCCCCATCATTCTGCCCGGACACTGAGGTCCAGCGCCGAGGGCTTTCTGCCGGTTCCCTCATTGTGAGAAGTGAGGTTACAGAGAACCATGCAGAGGGTCTTCTTGGTGGTGGCACCCGCCCTGTGGAACTCCCTCACACCAGATGTCAAAGAGAACAATAACTACCAGACTTTTAGAAGACATCTGAAGGCAGCCCTGTTTAGAGAAGCTTTTAATGTTTAATAGATTATTCTGTTTTAATATTCTGTTGGAAGCCGCCCAGAGTGGCTGGGGAAACCCAGCCAAATGGGCGGGGTATAAATAATAAATAATAATTATTATTATTTCCTTTTGGCAGGACTGAGCACATGAAAGAGAACGGCCTCACCTTTTCAAGCCCTGCGATGCCAAACGGCCTGAAGATGAGCCCTCAGGAACCCCAGCCCCCTTCTCCAGCAGCCTTGTCCGTAGCCAATGAGAAGGTAAGGAAGCCGCAAGGGGGGCTGTCTCTGAGTCTCCAGGCGCAGCTTCCATAAGGTTGACTTCCCGGGAGTATTCAACTGTGTGGTGTGGGGTTTTTTTTGGGGGGGGGGGGAACTGAGCTGTACCAAATGTTAAATGAACCTTAGTCAATGCTAAGTGAACTATGGGTTGTCTCCAGTGCAATATATATAATTACTAATGTGAAGATCCAAATTTGGAGCAAGTACTCTTTGGTGAGAGATTATTATGATTACCGTATTTTTCGCTCTATAAGACACACCAGACCACAAGACGCACCTAGTTTTTGGAGGAGGAAAACAAGAAAAAATATATTCTGAATCTCAGAAGCCAGAACAACAAGAGGGATTGCTGCACAGCGAAAGCAGTGATCCCTCTTGCTGTTCTGGCTTCTGGGATAGCTGCGCAGCCTGCATTCACTCCATAAGATGCACACACATTTCCCCTTACTTTTTAGGAGGGGAAAAGTGAGTCTTATAGAGCAAAAAATACAGTATTTATTGAATTTATATACCGTCCTATACCCGGAGGTCGTAGGGCAAGAACCCCAGTAGAGATTTAAAGTCACAGAATATGCAGAAGAGTGAAGGGTGCAAATATATGCTGTTAGACCTTTAAAATACGCCCTTCCAAAATTTCCCTGTTCCCCCAGCATAGATGAAAAAGCCACAGGTTTGGTAAGTTAAAGATTGGTTTACTTACAAATGCTTCAAAGCTCCGGTTCATGCGCTTTCCCATACATTGGTCAGAAACATTGCACAGGCGTAGTAAAACTTAGCTTAGTTATAAAGCAGTAAAAGCTCCAAGATTATTGGTATAGGAACTCCAGAGTGGCTGGTGAGAGCCATGCGCTTGAGCTGGAGCAACCAGCTCAAGCTTCATCACATGCTGAGCTTCTCAGGTAGACTGGAGTTGGGAGAAACAATAGGCTTGAATTACCTGTTTCCTCCCAAGGTAAGGGAAGTGACATAGCTAAGCCTGGCAGGATAGATTGCTTTTTAGTATTAACCCCTTCATGCATTCATTAGACTTAAGCATGTTGGGTTACTTGTGGCTAGTTATCCCACATATCCAACGCCAAGTAAGTTGTGGGCTGTATCCAATGCTAAGTAAATCTCCCTTCAGTGCAGGGATTTCTGCTTGTGCGAAGGGACTCTTCCCCCACCCCCTGTGTGCCCTCTAATTCAGTTCTGGGGTTTCCCCCAACCCTTTAGAGCAGATTTGAAGTAACTCCACAGGATGGAATTGGGGGGGGGGGGTTCCCATTGCACAAGAGGAAATCTCTGTGCCAACGGGAGACATTGATCGGTTATGCTCAGAGCATACTGATGGGGAAATGCAGGTTGTGTCCCGAGCCAAAGAGAATTCTTCAGGACCCGAAAAACCCACACTGCATAATAAAGTGCCCAGACTGAGAGTGCTGTATGTTAAAATACATTTTACACGACTCTGGAGGTTAGACTTGGGTCTGTTTGATGCAGCGTTTTCTCTCTTGCAGTGTCACAAGTATGTGCCTGTACTGTTGTCTGGTCTCAGTGGGGTGTGGAATGCATTTCTCTCTCTCCCCCCCCCCCCCCCAGAACTGTCCCTTTCTTAAATGTGTCAGAAGCGCCAAGCTGCAATCAGCCCTGGTTTCCAAAGTCCGGCCTCAAACAATTGTGAATGGGTGAACCAAAATGACATTGCTGGCGCTCGTCTGTTTATCTTAGCAAAAACCGGCACGGGTGTAATATTCCCCATCTCCAAGGCCACTGTGGTTAAATGGACCCCTGTTTGTACTCTGACCGAAACGGCAAACACTGTGTGTGTGTGTGTGTGTGTGTGTGTATGTTGGCTGGCTGATGCAGTTGACCTCTTGTTCGTGTCTTTTTAAGAATATTTGTTGGGGTGGGGAATTGCTTGCAAGCGCTCCATGCTCTCCTTCCGCTAAGCGTCCTTTTGAGAGCTTCTTGGCTCGGAAGGCGAAAGGGGGGGCGCTGCATTATTTTGGCCTTCTCTGCTTTTTTGTGTGTCTGCAGGCTTTGCGAGAGAGGACGTCCGCGAGTAACGGGGAGACCATCACCAGCCTTCCCATCAGCATCCCCCTGAGCACAGTGCAGCCCAATAAACTCCCCGTTAGTATCCCCCTGGCCAGCGTAGTCCTACCTAGCCGTATTGAGAAGGTGGTGAGTAAGGGTGCTTTCCCCTCCTCCTCCTCTTCCTCTTCCTCCTCCTCCTCCTCACCCCTTGCTATAAAAAAGCCAATCTGACGGGCCTTGGGGGCAGCTCCCAACATTATCTTTTAAGTTGCGAACCCTACGGATAGCTCCAGCTCTTAGCTGCTTTCATTCTCTCTTCCCGCCCTACTCCTCTGGCATCTGAAAATCAGGAATCCGATGCAGTTGATTGATTGTTATGCTGTCGCAGACCCGTCGAAAACGGAATAGGAATGCTGAGGATCATAACGTGTGCTTGTTAGAAATAACAGCATGATGAAACGCAGGCGTGCTTATGGTACAATAGATGAAAGCGTGAGATACAACTTGGATTTGGGATTATCCTCTTAGAATCATAGAATTGCAGAGTTGGAAGGGGCCCTGAAGATCATCCAGTCCAACCCCCTGCAATGCAGGAATATGAAGGTGCCCCATACAGGGATTGAACCTGCAACCTTGGCGTTATCAGCACCATGGTCTAACCAACTCAGCTATCCAGATGCTACAAAGTCTTTGAACACAGGAGAGGATCTTGGCTGCTAACTCGCTTATTGACTTGCTTGTCAATATTTATATCTATATATTTTTTCCAGGTGCTTTTCCTTTGACCTTTCCCCGTAAAGGAGCAAAGTAGTCTAGGATGGTCCTCTCTGTGCAGGTTGCACTCAAAGAAGTCATGACCCAAAGTTTTGACTCCTTGAGAACTCCCTCCCAGTATTGCAGAAGGGAGACCAATTCATCAGATGCGTGGCACAGATTCCTGAGAAATTTCCTTCCCTTTTCTTACCCCAACCCCCTTCTTAAAAAAAACAAAAAAATGCTACTCTGTTAGTCCTCATGGGTCCCAGAGATCTGCCTCTGTGTTCTGCTACCTGGCTTCATCTAGAACAGGGGTTCTCCAGCTGTTTTTTGGACTGCAATTCCCATCATCCCTGACCATGGATCCTGCTAGATAGGTTTGATGGGAGTTGTAGTAGTTCAAAAACAGCTGGAGACCCGAGTTTGGGAAACTACAGTTCCCATCATCCCTGACCACTGGTCTTTCTTAGCTAGGGATGATGGGAACTGTAGTCCAACAAGTATGGGAAACCCTGGTCTAGAAAGCAGAACGCAGGGCTTGGAAGTGGAAGAATTCTGATCCTTGTTCTACTGTTAAAACTGGCCAAGCGGCTTTTGGACTAGGTGTCTGGTTTTGCTGCTGTTTTCGTTCCCCTGTCTTCTCTTGGAGAGTGTTTGTTTGAATATATTTTATTTTTTAAGAAAGGGTTGCGGGCAAGGAACATCTGTCATCCACCCCTGACATTGTTGGACTTGTAACTCTCCTCACCGTTGGCCGTGCTGGCTGATGGGAGTTGTGGTCCCTTGGCAGCCAGTCTCCTTCACCCCGATCTAAGAAGCTGAGTTTTCTGCTCTCAGGAGGGGATTTTATTGTTTATAGCCAATGTCCATTACAATACAGTCATACCTCAGGTTGAATGCGCTTTGGGTTGAGCGCATTCAAGTTGCGCTCTGCGGTAACCCGGAAGTAACGGAGTGCGTTACTTCCAGGCTTCGCCGCTTGCACATGTGCAGACGCTCAAAATGACATCATGTGCATGCGCAGAAGCGGCGAAAAGCGACACACGTGTGCACAGATGTGCCATTGCTAGTTACGTTTGCTTCTAGATGCGAACGGGGCTCCGGAACGGATCCCGTTCATATCCAGAGGAAACACATATAAGCACAGATAACACAACTACAGAACGAAAGACATTACATGCACCAGACCAGGACAAATCTAAAATGTCCAGAATTTTAAAAGCTTTCCTTCTGGTCAGCATCCCTGGGGTTGGCACTTGTGCTATCCAGAAAGGTTGCCCTTATCTTTCTCGACGCTGGTGTGAATGGTGCCACCCCTATAACTGATGCGCTTATCAACATGCGCCAACAGCCATTTAATTTTCAAGTCGTCCAGTTGACCTTCTAAGGCAATCTGAAAAGGGAAGATAAATTTAGCTCTGGGTGAATCATACAATGGACAATATAGAATATAATGTGCAAGATCCTCAACAGGCCCTGATCCACGTGTACAGAGGCTGTCTGTCTCCCAGCCAGATATTCAGTAGGCATCGTTTGAAATCTGAGCTGAGTGAAGGCATATCTAACCGGGGGGGATGCATACTACATGGAGCAATGTGCCCCCCCCCCCAAGAAGAGTTGGAGGCCGCCCAGAGTGGCTGGTGTGTTGGTGACACACAAACATGGTACCCTCTAGAAAGCGGACCACAACTCCTGTCCTTCCTAACTTTGGCCACGCTGCCTGGAGCCGAATGGAGTTGTGCGTCCAACAAACTCCGCAGGGCTGCAGGTTCACCGCCATAGTTTGTACAGTGAAAAGTACCTTGTTAAATTATGGGTGACTGGGTTGATAACAGCTCAGTTGGCGGAAGGTGACGGGTTCAATGGCCGCAGTCTTCGAGGCTTCAGTTGGCAGGAAGGTGAGCGGTGGGATCACTGCAATCTCCAGAGTTTTGTTTCTTTAAATTTCTTTTGAAATGCAGACCCTACCTGTGCTTGGGATACGTGGGGTGTTGCTGCCAGTCAGAGCAGGAGCCACTGAGCTGAACTGGCCCATCCCTTGGGGTGAAAGCAGCTCCTTCAATTGGTGTTGATTAGCGGCGTCTCTCCTAACCCCTTTGGACGAGAATTCATGTGCGGCAGGGGGGCTGGACTAGATGACCGTTGGGGATCCCTTCCAACTCTGTGATTTGGTGACTAACGCTTTTTGCGGTCGCTTGCTTGCCTGCCCAGCGGTCCAGCCACTTTTAACAGGAGCAGCAGTCTAAAGTCTGTTTCCTCCGCAGAAGCTCAACCAACCCTTCTCCCTCTCTTTTTTCTCTCTCTCTCTTTCCCGTTTCCCCCCTCGTCCCTCCAGAGAAGCACCCCCAGCCCCGTCCACCAGATCCGAGACTCCTTTTCAACACTTGAAAAACAATATGGTGCTAGTTCTCATAATGGCATTAGCAGTGCCGCCGGTGGAAAGATGCCACCTTTGGCTACCTCAGGTGAGTTGTTCCCCATCTCCCTTCTCAACCCCAGCTTCCCCGATGGGGTGGATTTCAGCTCTTCCAGGTGCCTAGGGATGTTAAAGCAGCTGTTTTGGTGCCTGCTGAAAATATTCCTGTTTAGACAAGCCTACCCAGATTCTGAGAAAGGTGGGGTGATTTTAATCTCTCTTAGTATTTTTCTCTAAAAAAATTTTTGGTTTATTTAGTTTTCAAATATTTTCATACTTTACCATCAACAATAAGTTTCGTTTATCCATTGGCTCCCAATCACCCCTCCCCGATGTTCTGTGTTAATCCTTTGACACTGCATATTTTACCTCCACATCCTAAATTATTAGCCTTAACGTCTTTCTGCCATTGCTCATATGTCAAATCCTGCTTGCGTTTTCATGCAATCGCAATACTTCTTCAGATATTCTGCAAAAAGTTTTCCAGTCCTCAAAGAACAATTCCTCGTTTTGATCTCTTAATTTTTGTTATTAGCTTTGCCATCATTTTCAGTAAGCCCTTCTTCCTTCTTTGAGACCTCATCCTCTTTCCATTTTTGAACATGAAACATTCTTCATGCTATCATTGCATACATAAAGAAATTAACCAACTTTTGTCTGCGCTTCAAATTTTTTAATTTTTTTTTAAAACCCCAAAAAACAAATGAATATAACATTTTCCAGTTAGTCAATTAACACTGGACTTCCCCTTTATCCCTCCAAATTTTCAAATATTGCTGCATATTACAGTTGCACCTTACAGTTGCACCTTATCTTCACCAGAATTTTCTCAAATACTATCTTAACTGCTGTTCTTATTCAGGGCCTACTTGCGTTTCAGCATGTTTACAGCAGTTTTTTAAAATGATCTACGAATGTTTCCCAGTCCTCCTAAAAGTGTATCTCACCCTGATATTTAATTTTCCCTGCTAAACTTGCCAATTCGGCATAGTCCAATTCAATTGCAGCTGCCAAGAGATTAAACCAACATTTTTTGGTATATATCTGTTTCAACCTCGCAGGTTTTTCTTACATGTCTGGCTCCATGGCGATGAACGGGGCGTTCCCAAGCAGCCCCGCCCCGCTGAACCCCACCATCGACCACGCGGCCCTGGAGGACGCCTCCAGCTCGGGGAGCCTGTTCAACTCGGTGGCGGGGTCCCGGAGCTCCACCCCACAGCAGCCCTCGTTCCTGGCCATGCCCTCCCGGGCCTCGGCCCAGAGCTCACCCGCCCACCAGCACTCAGCCAGCCCCAGGCTCAACGGTGCGCCCCAGGGCCTGGCTGGCGTCCTGCAGTACGTGGACTCCCAGAAGGCACTGGCCGAGGGCGGCGGCGGCACCAGGGGCGACCCACAAGGGATGGAGCCAGCCTTCTCCGACCCCGAGAGCGAGGGGAAGAGGAGGTTCATCTTCACCATCTCACCTGCCACTGGGACCGTCAAGCACTGCCCACCCAGCAAGCACAGCGCCCACACGGCGAGCATCCGGGCAGAGTGCGGCCAGGATGGGAAGAAGCGCGGACGGAGGAAGCGCTCCTCCACGGGGGCACCGGGCACCAACTCCGGTGTGTCGCCCAAGCGCAAACCGCTGCCTGCGGTGGCTGGGCTCTTCGCTCAGCCGTCGGGGTCTCCCCTCAATATCAACTCCATGGTGAGAACCAAGGTGGTTTGCTTGCTTGCTTGCTTGCTTGTTTTGGGTGGTTTCAGGTGGGGTGATTTATGCAGCCACTAGCCTATGCAAGCCAGAGTCGCCTCCAGGTGATCAGACAGGGAGAGAGCGAGAGCCCTCTGTGGATTGGTGAGATCACCTCACCTGACAGGTGCCCACCTGATCGCATCATTCGGTGGAATCGGCCCTTCTGCGGGCGCCACATAATGTCTGTTCCACATCTGTAAGAACTCAATTGGTTAGCTCTTTCACTTTGTAACTCCCTGCTTATTGATATCAGGCCTTCAGTTTGCTCGTTTTGGTGCCTGCTAAAAACATTCCTGTTTAGGCAAATCTAGATGCAGGTAGCGCTGTGGGTTAAACCACTGAACCTAGGGCTTGCCGATCAGAAGGTCGGCAGTTCAAATCCCCGCCACGGGGTGAGCTCCCTGCTCCTGCCAACCTAGCAGTTCAAAAGCACGTCAAAGTGCAAGTAGATAAATAGGTACCGCTCCGGCGGGAAGGTAAACGGCGTTTCCGTGCGCTGCTCTGGTTCGCCTGAAGCGGCTTAGTCATGCTGGCCACATGACCCGGCTCCCTCGGCCAGTAAAGTGAGATGAGTGCCACAACCCCAGAGTCGTCCACGACTGGACCTAATGGTCAGGGGTCCCTTTACCTTTACCCAGATGCTTAGAAAGGTGAGGTCATTTTAATCTCTTTTAGCATCTCAACTTCGCATGTTTTAAAGTAGGGTTGCGATTCCCCCCCCCCTTGATTTTTACTGTTCTGTCTTTAGCAAACCGCTTTGAGGTGTTTCTTTTTCTTTTTTCAAATAAGCAGTGCGTAGATTTTAAAAAATCAATAATAAATAAATTGTGCAGTCCCCTTTCAGTGGGGCCCTTTGCAGTTTGCATTCCTACCTGCAGAAGCCCCATAAATATCAACCTGTAGCCCCTCATAGCTAGTGCAGTTAGGGTGCTCTATGAGTCTTTGATCCTAAAACAGGGGTGTCAAACTCACATTCATCGGGGGCCGCATCAGCAGTTTGGCACCGCTAGAGGGCAGACGTTCTCTGGCTTGTAGGCTGCCGCACATGCGCTGAAGAGGCGGCTTTCTTGTGTAAAAAAAAAAAAGCGAGAATAAAAGGTGAAGGCTGGCAGCGGCGGCTACACAGGCCACATGACGAGGTCTGGCGGGCCGGATTTGGTCCGCGGGCCTTGTGTTTGACACCCGTGTCCTATAATCTTCTCCTTTGCCACAGACAGTGAAATGTTGGTCAGCAGAATATGTCATCTTTGAAGTAAAGCATTTGTCCTACTCCCCTGGAACAGAGAAGCTGGACAAGCTTTTCTTCAGCCTTCCCTCTCCCTTCCCTGCCCGTTTCTCTTTTTGCTATGCCTAGATAGATAGATAGAATAGACAGACAAAAAACCCCACAAAACCAAAGTTACAAAACATAGGAATGATGCAGAAGCTGCAGTTTCTTTTAATATATGTCTATTCGTTTCTAAGAACATGGTATTTGTTTTCCAAACAAACAGGGAGCAGACACTGTAGAAAAAAACGAAAGCAACAAAACAGATCACAAATGCTAAATGTTGTGATTTGGTGGAGTGAAAGTGAGTTTTGTATTTCTGGATCTGATACAAATTTTTGCCGTGTCCCTTAAATGTAAAGCTCTAAGGCCCAGGGGATGGTCACCTATTAACCAATTGGAAAAAGGTGCTCCTGGGGTCCTTTTTGGCTGCAGTTTGGGGTAGATAAACACTATAAATAGCGAGAAAATAAGAGCGCAAAACCCCCACGAAACATGCCGTAACGTTAGGAGTGCTTCCCTAATCCTTAAATGCTTCTCTTCTTCTTCTTCTTCTGTCTTTCCTCCTCAGGTCAGTAACATTAACCAGCCTTTAGAAATAACAGCCATTTCTTCCCCTGAAAACTCCCTGAAGAACTCTCCTGTTCCCTACCAGGACAGCGACCAGCCCCCCGTGCTGAAAAAGGAGAAGCCCCTGACCCAGAGCAATGGCATCCATTACTCGCCGCTGACTTCTGATGAGGAGCAGGGCTCGGAGGATGACCACAACAGCACCAGGTGAGTGTGGACCTCGCCTTGTAGCGGGGAACACCCCTGCGGGGGCCCTGGTCTTGCGTCGGAAAGACCTCACTGCCGGAGGAAACTGCCTTCAAATGAGTCAAGCCTGTTGGCCTTCCTGGCTCAGTACTTTAATAATAAAAATTATTATTATTATTATCATCGTCAATTCTGTATCCAGGGCAGCTGTCTACCAGCTCCATCTGGTACGCAGGCTGAGACCCTACCTGCCCGCAGACTGTCTTGCCAGAGTGGTGCATGCTCTAGCTTGGACTACTGCAATGCGCTCAATGTGGGGCTACCTTTGAAGGTGACCTGGAAACTGCAATTAATCCAGAATGCGGCAGCTAGACTGGTGACTGGGGGTGGCCGCCGAGACCATATAACACCGGTCTTGAAAGACCTACATTGGCTCTCAGTACATTTCAGAGCACAATTCAAAGTATTGGTGTTGACCTTTAAATCCCTAAACGGCCCAGTATACCTGAAGGAGCGTCTCCACCCCCATCATTCTGCCCAAACGCTGAGGTCCAGTGCCTAGGGTCTTCTGATGGTTCCCTCACTGCAAGAAGCAAAGCTACAGGCAGAGGGCCTTCTCGGTAGTGGCGCCCACCCTGTGGAACGCCCTCCCACCAGATGTCAAAGAGATAAACAACTACCTGACATTTAGAAGACATCTGAAGGCAGCCCTGTTCAGGGAAGTGTTTAATGTGTGACATTTTAATGTATTTTTTAATCTTTGTTGGAAGTTGCCCAGAGTGGCTGGGGAAATCCAGCCAGATGGGCAGGGTACAAAAAAAATATTATCATCATCATTAGAAGAGTGACTAGTGGGGTGCCACAGGGTTCTGTCTTGGGCCCGGTCTTATTCAACATCTTTATCAACGACTTGGATGATGGACTCAAAGGCATCCTGATCAAATTTGCAGATGACACCAAACTGGGAGGGGTGGCTAACACCCCAGAGGACAGGATCACACTTCAAAATGACCTTGACAGATTAGAGAACTGGGCAAAAACAAACAAGATGAATTTTGACAGGGAGAAATGTAAAGTATTGCACGTGGGCAAAAAAATGAGAGGCACAAATACAAGATGGGTGACACCTGGCTTGAGAGCAGTACATGTGAAAAGGATCTCGGAGTCTTGGTTGACCACAAACTTGACATGAGCCAACAGTGTGATGCGGCAGCTAAAAAAGCCAATGCAATTCTGGGCTGCATCAGTAGGAGTATAGCATCTAGATCAAGGGAAGTAATAGTGCCACTGTATTCTGCTCTGGTCAGACCTCACCTGGAGTACTGTGTCCAGTTCTGGGCACCACCGTTCAAGAAGGACACTGACAAACTGGAACGGGTCCAGAGGAGGGCAACCAAAATGGTCAAAGGCCTGGAAACGATGCCTTATGAGGAACGGCTAAGGGAGCTGGGCATGTTTAGCCTGGAGAAGAGGAGGTTAAGGGGTGATATGATAGCCATGTTCAAATATATAAAAGGATGTCACATAGAGGAGGGAGAAAGGTTGTTTTCTGCTGCTCCAGAGAAGCGGACACGGAGCAATGGATCCAAACTACAAGAAAGAAGATTCCACCTAAACATTAGGAAGAACTTCCTGACAGTAAGAGCTGTTTGACAGTGGAATTTGCTGCCAAGGAGTGTGGTGGAGTCTCCTTCTTTGGAGGTCTTTAAGCAGAGGCTTGACAACCATATGTCAGGAGTGCTCTGATGGTGTTTCCTGCTTGGCAGGGGGTTGGACTCGGTGGCCCTTGTGGTCTCTTCCAACTCTATGAGTCTATGATTCTATGATGATGATGATCATCATCATATACCCCACCCATCTGGCTGGGTTTTCCCAAGCCTACACTAGCCATCAGTTGCTGTCCAGGATTTTGGGAAGGGAGTCTGGAGGTGCCCCGGTTTGGATCCTACAACCAAGAAGCAGGGGGTTGGCTCATTGTGTCCTCTCTCTTCTGTGTTCCAAAGCTATCGAGTGACTGTCTGATCTGCCTTGTTGGTGGCTTTTTCATTCCCCCGTTTTGTCCTCAAGGCTTACATGGCAGGCGAGGATTTTTAACAGCCTAAATGAAAGGCTGTTGACCTCTGGCGATCTGCCAGCTCTGTTCAGGTGGTCCACAGCATGTCCCTGTTAAAAATGCATCTTGATTTTTCAATTCTACTTTAATTGCTGCTTTTGTTTAATCATAATCATAATAATTATACCCACCTATCTGGCCTGGGTTTCCCCAGCCACTCTGGGTGGTTTCCAGTACATATGAAAACATAATACAACGTCAAACATAAAAAAATTCCCAGTATAACAGTTTATAACAATAAAGACTTGCACACTTCAGGAACTCAATACCTTAAGCTTCTCCCCGTATGAACTGATCCAGACCCTGTGTGTCCCCTCCCAGAGGGGTTCGGAAGGTGGCAACAAGAGAACAGGCCTTTTCTGCAGTGGCTCCCTAATTGTGGGATGCTCTCCCCAGAGAGATTTGCCTGTTGCCATCACTACATGCCTTTAGGTGCCAGGCAAAAACATTCCTCTTTACCCAGGCCTATGCCTATTAAATAATCGGTGGCCTATGAAAGTGTGGGAGAGAGGACTGTTATTACAATGACTATTTTACTATTAGTTTAGTATGCTTTCTGTTACGTTTTTATCATTGATAAGTGATATTTAATAATAATAATAATAATAATAATAATAATAATAATAATAATAATATCTTTATTGTCATTGCCCCCTTCGGGGACAACGAAATTACTTGACTGCTCCATAAAAACACTAATTAATCAATACAGTATAATACAGCAAGGGAGATTAGATGACTTTCAAAGTCCGGGCTTCCCATTCAGGGCCGAGATCGCTCTGGAGAAGAAGCTGTTCTTAAGACGGCTCGTTCTTGTCTTCATCGTCCTGTATCTCCGTCCCGACGGCAAGAGCTCGAAGAGACAGTGACCAGGATGCGATGGATCTTTTACTATGTCCAGTGCCTTCCTATGGCACCTTGTGGCATAAATCTGCTCTAAGGTGGAGAGTGGGCAGCCAACAATGCTCTCTGCTGCCTTAACAACCCTGCACAACCCCATCCTGTCCTGGGTAGTACAGCTTCCGTACCACACACATTTATCACATTTACCACATTCTATAATGCGTTTTTAATGTTGTGAAGCACCCTGGGATCTTTTGATGAAGGGTGGTGTATAAATTGAATAAATAATAATAAATAAATAATGATGATTATGGTGGTGGTGATGATAAATTGTTCCCCAACTCTTCACACTAAAGTTCCAGGGAGGGTTACATAAATCAAAACACGTTAAAATCGATCTTGAACAACTTATGATCCCAGAAATGATGCAGGTTCTAGGACCTCCATATGTTTTGAGACTACAATTCCCATCATCCCTGACCATTGGTCAGCCCTCCATATGTTTTGAGACTACAATTCCCATCATCCCTGACCATTGGTTCTGTTAGCTAGGGATGATGGGAGTTGTAGTCCCAAAGCATCTGGAGGACTGAGTTTGCCTATGCCTGTTCTAGAAATACGGAGCTCAGGTGTTAAAGGCCGGGGTGCAGTGGTGCATTTTCAGCATTTGTCCAAAGCTGTATAGTGCCAGTCGTGCCTCTGAAAAATACAATAAAAAAACATCTAGCAGAGGGTATTTTAATTGTCAGGACAGGCAGAAGAATCATGTAAGCCTGGGTTTCCCTAACCACTAGGGGTGACGGGAGTTGTAGCCCCAAAACAGTTGGAGACCCAAGTTTGGGAAACCCTAATGTAAGCGGTCTACTAAAACCGCAAGCAGTTTTCTCGTGACCCATGGGGTGGGGAGATGTTTGGGAACCTCTGGCTTAAGGTAAACGGCTTTTCTTTTCTTCTTCCTCCCTTCCTAGAATTGAGAGAAAAATCGCGACGATATCACTGGAAAGCAAATCTCCGCAGAAGGCGATGGAGAACAGTAAGTGTGGAGGCCGCTGGTGTGGGTCAGGGGGGAAAGCTGTTTTAGACTGCCTGCTTAGGGTGGTGCTGGGTGTTTGTAACAGGTGCATGTAAAATAAGTGCAGTTCCATACGGATTAGGTAACCGAGCACAAAAGCTGTCTTCACCTGCAAAAAGAATATTAGCTATGTTTGATTGTCAAATGCCGTTCTAGATTCGCCAGGCTGGTCTTGAAAATGATGCTTCTTCTGTATATAATGAAGGAATGTCAAGGCATATCGAAAGTGTTGGGAGGTTCTGCTTCCAGGGAGCCAGTGTGGTGTAGTGGTTAAGAGCGGTTGCCTCGTAATCTGGTGAACCGGGTTCGATTCCCTGCTCCTCCAGCTGCAGCTGCTGGGTGACCTTGGGCTAGTCATACTTCTCTGAAGTCTCTCAGCCCCACTCATCTCACAGAGTGTTTGTTGTGGGGGAGGAAGGGAAAGGAGATTGTTAGCCGCTTTGAGACTCCTTAGGGTAGTGATAAAGCGGGATATCAAATCCAAACTCTTCTTCTTCTTCCTTGGTTGCTATTTGGTGCTGACGGTGCTCTCTTTTGCTCCCCATCCGTCTCTGTCTCTTCTCCTATTGCCTCTCTCACTCCTGCTCCATTTGTCTGTCTGCGTCTCTTTGCCCCTTCCTCGCCCCATCCGCCTCTCTCTCTCTCGCCTTCTCCTTGTGTGTGTCTCTCTCACACACGTTCCTTCCCCTGCCTCCCCAAATCCCAGGCATGAGCTTAGCCGGGAGGAAGCAGGCCAGCGAAAACATGAACAGCAGCAAGTGGAAGTCGACCTTCTCTCCCATTTCTGACATCAACCTGACCAAAGCAGTGGACAGTCCTCTGCAGGCCCCGTCGCTGAGCCAGAACTCCCTTTTCGCCTTCCGACCGCCCTCTGAGGACGGCTCGGGGGGCGACAACAAGGTCTCGGCCCACCCAAGGAAGCACGGGGCCTCGGCCGCCCTCGACAGACTCGGCCAGACCATGAATGGATTTTCTTACAACAGCGGGCTGCCGGCCGACCTCGGTTTACATAGCTTTATTGACGGTGCTCCTCTCCCGCACAAGGCCGCGGCGGACGTGGCTGCGGCGCTGGCGGGCAGCTCGCCCCTGAGCTTCCTGGCGCAGCGCAGCAAGGAGGGCGGTGGGGTCTCTGAGACGAACCCCTTCCTGAGCAAAAGGCAGCTGGAGGGCCTAGGAGCCCTCGCAAAAGGGGAAGACTCCAACTGGCCCAGCGGCCTAAAGGGCAAAGACCCCGGCGAGTTGAGCGCCCGCCTGGGAGCCGCTTTGGACAAGTCCTCGGTGCTACACGGCAGCAAAGCCGGGAAGGGCAGGGAAAGGGAGGCCGTCGAGCTGAAGAACGGCCACAACCTCTTCATCGCTGCTGCCACCGCCACCCCTCCTGGCGGCCTGCTCAACGGCAAAGGCCTGTCGGTGGCCCCCACGGGCAGCTCTCCTTCCTCTGTGCCCTCCTCCTCCTCCTCCTCCATGGTGGCTCACCCGTTCTTGAACTCGCTAACCACTGGCTCGCAGTTCTCCCTGGGCCCTATGGTGACGAACTCTTCGGTACTGCAGTCCCTGTTCAGCTCCATGCCAGCCGCCAGTCTGGTTCATGTCTCGTCGGCTGCCACCCGACTGACCAACTCTCACACGATGGGCAGCTTCTCCCCCGGGGTGACAGGTGGAACAGTTGGAGGTAAGGCGGAGCTTCGGGGTTCTTCCTTCCCTGGGGGCACAGCTGAGAAGGGGGGCAGGGACAGCTTTTTTCACACCCTCTCTGCAGCCCCACTCCACAGTTAGGTGGGTTTTATTTCTATATGCATCTTTATTGAAGTTATATACTGCGCTTCATCAGGACACCCCAGGGCAGTTCATAGAGTAAAATACAAGACAAAACACCAGTAAATAATTAAAGCAAAACAGCAAAACACTACTCCCCTTCTCACAGATACATTTCAAAGGCTGCAGGGTATTTATCAGCCCAAGGCCTGGTTGAAGAGGAATGTTTTTGCCTGGTGCCTAAAAGTATATAATGAAGGCACCAGGCTCTCCCTGGGAAGAGCATTCCACAAGTGGGGAGCCACTGCAGAAAAGGCCCTGTTCTCGTGTTGCTAACCTCTAGACCTTTCATGGGACAGGCACCCAAAGAAGGGTCTTGGAGGATCTCAGGGTCCGGGTACGTTCATATGGAGAGAGGCGATCCTTGAGGTATTGCGGTCCTGAGCCATTTAAGGCTTTATAGGTCGAAAACAGGTTTTCAAGCGCTCTTTTCTGGGAGATCCCCCACTCCACTTGTGCTGAGCTGTGTTCCACAAAGAAGGGGGGCGGGCTGGGGATACACAGACCATCCTTAGCCTACCTGGTGCCTTCCCCAAATGTTGCCTGGTGTCTTCCCCCAGCCAGCAAGGGGAACCAAGGAGGAAACATGCCAGTTCCCCACAAACATGCGTGCCTGAAGGTCTCCTCCTCCTAAGAGCCTCTCTTTTTGGGAGAAGTCGTGTTTCCGGGGCAGAGTGGCTGCAGCAGCCTTGAGACTAGCTTGCTGTCGCCAAAAAGAGGGCCTTAGAAATGGGTGCGTTGTTGGGTCTCTGAGTTCAGCCAAAGTCCCTTCCCCCTGGCGCATAAAAGGAGACAGGTAAGTGAGCAAGCCTCTACCCCCCCGCTCAGCTTCTGCACCATCGCTGCTCATCGCTTGCCGCTGCGGCTGTCGTTCATTTTCTCCATGCTGCGCATTTGTCTGTCAAGCTGCGGCTGCTGCAATCTTTTTTAAGTTTGCTTGCTTGCTTTAAAAAAAATAATTTATTTTCCCCCCGGTTGTGTTGCGTCACGTTGTCGTTGTTGTTTTTGCTTCTCTCGCTGTGAGCCGTGCCAAAGTTCCGCCTGCTGAGTTTGTTTCTTTCTCCTGTTTGCAGGTATTTTTAACCATGTGGTGCCTTCTGCCTCCTCCTCCTCCTCTGCTCCCTCGCCTTCCCTTCCGTCTTTCTCCTCCTCTTCCTCCTCCCTCCACTTTGGCAGCAGCGCTGTCTCCAGCTGCGCCGCCGCCGTGCTGAGTCTGAACCCTCTGCAGGTGACTCCCACCTCCCCATCGTTCCACTCGCCCCCGGCCCCCTCTGGCGAGACGCAGCACCTCGCGCGAACCCCGGCGCACCCGCCCCGGCGCACCCCGCCTCCCAACGTCTCCTTGCCTCCGCCCCCTCCCCTCCTTGCCTCCAGCAGCGACCCCGTCCTCCTGCAGGCCTTCTCCTCCCTTCCGGGCTCCGAGGCTTTCTTGCCGCCCCCGTCCTCCTCTTCCCCCGCTAACTCCGCTTTGTCTATTAAGCTAGCTTCTCTCCAGCACAAATCCTCCCGCCCTTCCTTCACTGTCCACCACCCGCCTCTGCCCCGCTTGGCGCTAGCCCAGGCCGCGCCCGGGATCCCGCAGCCCAGCGCCGCTGCCTCCGCCGCGCCCGCTATGTGGGTCACGCTCGGCCTGCAGTCTCCTTACGCTTCGCACCTCCCCGGGGTTAAGCCGCGGTAATGGGCTCGGCTTGACCCTTTAAGTGTTCGTGCTCCGTAAGGTAAGGCTGGCCGGGAGGGGCGGGTGGGGTGGGGCAGGCAGCTTCTTCGGAGGCATGGAGCCACATGTCTGCCCTTGCGGCCGTGTGTAAGCTTTGTCCTCTTGCAAGTTGGTTGTGGGGTGGGTCGCGGCTAATGGATTGAGGTTGAATCTGGGAGAAAGGGGTCGGGCAGCTGTGGGGGAATCCCTGGTCCTGAATGGGGTAACTGTGACCCTGAAGGACCAGGTGCGCAGCCTGGGGGTCATTTTGGATTCAGTGCTGTCCATGGAGGCACAGGTCAATCCTGCGTCCAGGGTGGCTGTCTACCAGCTCCGTCTGAGACCCTCCCTTCCTGCGCCCTGTCTTGCCAGAGTGGTGCATGCCCTGCTTGGACTACTGCCATGCGCTCTCCGTGGGGCTACCTTTGAGAGTGACTCGGAAAATAAAGAATGTGGCAGCTAGACTGGTAACTGGTACCACATAACACCAGTCCTGCAAGACCTACATTGGCTCCCAGTACGTTTCCAAGAAAAATCCAAAGTGTTGGTGCTGACCTTTAAAGCCCTAAACGGCCTCGGCCCAGTAGACCTGAAGGAGCGTCTCCACCCCCATCGTTCAGCCCAGGCACTGAGGTCCAGTTCCAAGGGTCTTCTGGCGGTTCCCTTACTGCGAGAAGTGAGGTTGCAGGGAACCAGGCAGAGAGCCTTCTTGGTAACATTTGGAAGACAGGCAGCCCTGTATCGGGAGGTTTTTAATGTTTGATTTACTGTGTTTTGATTTGATGGAAGCTGCCCAGAGTGGCTGGGGTGACCTGATCAGATAGGCAGTATATAAATGATGTTGTTGTTGTTGTTCTTGGTTGATCTCACGGCCCTTTTCACTACCTTCCTTGGGGGGGTGGTCAGCAGTGCAGCTTCTGCCCTCGCATGCAGAATGGCGTCTCCGGACAGGGCTGGGAGAGGCTCCTGTTCTGGAGAGCTGAAGCTGCCAGCCAGTGTAGACATTACTGAGCTGGTTGGACCAGTGGCCTCACTCATCATAAAGCAGCTTCCTGACTAAATTGTTATTACCAGGCAGATGGCATCATGCCTGGACCTGAAAAATTAATAACTGGCGATGACTTGCAATAACTGTAACCCGAGTTTGGAGGGTCGAGGAAGAGAGGCCTTGTTTGCCCACAAAGAAATAAAACTCCTCCTTATCATCATTCTTGTATTCATATCCCACCTTTTCCTCCCAAGGGCTCAAGGTGTGGTGTACCTGGTTATTCCCAGGGCGTTTTCTTCAGCTGGAACTCGCCAGAACTCTTGTTCCAGCAGTTCTCGGGGGGGGGGGGCCCTTGCCATTGTAAGAGAACAAGGAAGGCGTTCATGGCACCTCTTTTTCTAGGATGTTGTTGAACTACAACTCCCATCACCCCTAGCTAGCAAGGCCAGAGCTCAGGGATGATGGGAGTTGTAGTCCAACAACATCTGGGGACCCACAGGTTGAGAACCGCTGGGTTAGGCTGAGAAAAGTCCGTGAGCTGCTCCCAAGGCTCACCCAGTGAATGCCGTGGCCGAGAGGGGGATTTGAACTCTGGGCTCTCCCACGTCCAGTCTGACGCTCCAACCCAGTGTTTCCCAAACGGGGGTCTCCGGCTGCTTTTGGACTACAACTCCCATCATCCCTAGCTTGCAAGGCCAGTGGTCAGGGATGATGGGATTTGTAGTCCGAAAACAGCCGGAGACCCAAGTTTGGGAAACAGCACTATGCCACACTGGCTCTGTCTTGCAGGTCAAGCGAGGTGAGAATTCTGAGGGCCAGGTAGTGGCTCTGGAGGGCCGCACTGGGTCAAACCTCCCCAGCCCTGCCCGCGCCATCCTTGATTCCTTGGTTTCGTGAACTGTCCATAATCCGCTGGCTTAAAGTGTGCTTCTCCTCTCCCCTCCCCTGTTCCCACAGGTAACTAAGGACCTTCTACCTCAACCCCCCACGTGACCTATGCAAGGCCAGCCTGGACCAACGCCTCTCCACTTCCACTTGAAGGTGCTGCCCTCAACCGCTGTAGAGAGGGGCTTCTGCTCCTCCACTCCCCCTCCTCCCCATCTCTCTTTACTACTGGACACACACAGGAAAACCAGACGAGGAAAGAGACAGGCAAACGGAATGGAACCCTTGAGTCCTAAGCCTAAAAGCCAGAAGAAAATGCTACTGTGAAATCTTAAGTGTATGTGTGTGTGTGTGTATATATATATATATATATGTATATTATATTATATAATATATATGTATATGTATATATCTCTCTAGATATAGTCAAACTGCAGAAGGCGACAACGGCCTCCGATTTGTATTGTTGATATAGTTTAGATATTTATATATTTTTTGAAGTTTGAGAACACGTGTTTTCACAAAAGGCACCCCCCCTCCCCCCCCCCGCTCTTGTGTGTGTTCGTTCCATGCAAAGTCTTGGAACTGGAAAAAAAACACGCCGGGGAAGGGGGAGGGGGGAAAGAAGAGGACTTTTAACAAACAAAATACTGCTAATAACAAAAGGACTGGCCAACACAAGCGGAGACACATCCAAAAGGTTCTCTTGGTGCTATCCATGCCCGACAGACGCTGTGCCTCTCTGGGCCGAGCTCCCCCGTGGTGCTTTCGTTTTTGTGTTTTTTTGCGGGGCGCAGAGGCCTGGTTGTTTGCGTGTTTGGGGGGGTGACCAATACCAAGCCACGTTCATATATAGAGCGAGTCTGACTGTTCTTAATTTATTCCACCCGCTCCCACCAGATGTCTGGTCCACTTCATCGTCCGTGTCTCTTCCGCTCTGTAGTGAAGCCAGGGAAATGAGGAATCCAGGGCTTGTCCTCCTCGGAGCTGGCTCCTTATAAGCAACCTTAGTTGGCCGTTGGGCAGTAGCTGGCGTTGAGCAGGAGCCAGGGAGGAACGGAGCCAGTCGTTTTGCATGGGCGTCCGGCTATCTGCCTCCCCCCATGCTGTAGATCTGACCATCAATGTCATGTGATGCTTATTTGAAGGTGGGGATACAGCCATCGCACTCCCCTCCCGGCTTCCCAGCAGAATTCAGATATGGTGCTCGTGGGGGATAAAACATAGCCTCTCCCACCCCAGAAACAGACACCCCCAGGTGCGTTTCCGAAGCGAGGGGAAGGGGATTCCTCTGCCTTAACTGTGAAACCCAAAAGGGTCGTGTTCGGAGTTCAAGGTGGGGTGGGGTGGGGACCCTGACCCACTGGCTTCTGGGCTGGGTGGCGATGAAAGCAACCCCTCCCTTCCCGGCAGAATGGCTCCCGCCAGGCAGCCAAGCACTGGCAGGCATTTTCTCACGCCACAGGCAGCTTCACCTGTATTTTGGGACTCCGCCTCAGGCTTGGGTACCTTTCTTGCTCGGGTCCAGGCTTTGTAGTCTTCTAGGTTTCCTTTAAAACAAAAAACCATTGCTTACAATTTTCTAATCATGCCATCTTTGGGGGCTCTGGCTTGCCCTCGGTGAGGATCTCTCCCAGTTTGTCCTCCCCTCGGAGGCAGCAGATTGGGTCCCCGGCTGTCTGGCTCGTTGCTTTGTTCCTTGGAAGAAGCAAGGATGCTCATCATCCTTGCTCGGTGCTCTTTCCTTCCTGTTTGTGTCCGTCTCCTGCTCTTGGAATATTCCCCCAGGGGTGATTTGTTTTGGGAGGCGATGGCCACGCAGAGGCATCCCACTGGTGTCGTTGGCCAGGCTGCTTGCACTGGAAAACTTGAGAAAGCAGGCTGCCAAGTCTTGCGCTGGGCCTGCTGCCAACTCTCTTTCTTGGGGTTCTGGCATCCTTTTTGTGTGTTGTCGGCGGCAAGATTTTTGATACTTGATCAAGACATGCAGCTTTGTACGTTCCGTCAGAGACACGTCCGCTCACGGCTTCTGTCCTTGTTGCTTCTCAGTGGGTCGTGTTTTAAAAATGTGATTTCACACCCCTGCATCAGAGATAAAACTCACACACACACACGTGCATACTGCAATCAAACTTAACTTTTTTTGTATCTCACCTGACAACACTGGTGCTTTGCTGATTTTTTTTATAACAATAAATTGTGACTTGGGTGATCAGTGCATAGGAATAATTCTTACGTTTTTTTTAAAGGCACACAGCTTTCTGGGAATGGTGAGATGTGTGGGGGGGGAATATATCTGTTTAAAAACACATACACACTCGTATGCTTTCTGCTAATTTTTTTTATCAGGTTGTGTCCGTAGTGTAATTTGAAGCGGGAGACAAATAGCAGTTTTGTTTCCTCAGGTGTGCCTAGAATCAGGGAGGAAATGGCAAGGGCATGAGGATAAGAAAGTGTGCGATGATCGCAGCAGAGGGTATCACTCTTGCTCCCCTCAATACCACAGCGGTCCCTAAAGTCTCACGTTTGCCTTCCTTACTTCCAAGATCCACCTTGTGGCTTTTATAGTCTCTTGCTGTTGCTTTTCCCTGAATCTGTCTTGCTTGCGCTCTCTCCCCTCCACTAAGGTCTTGGAGCAAACAGCTGACTTCTCATAAAGACTTTTCACCATTCTGCTTATTTTTCTTTGCCCCTGTCGGTCTGCTCAGCATCGGCAGAGAACTGAAACCTTCCTGTTTCCAGGTTTCTTAAAACTCATTGCAAGCCGAATGAATTCCTTTTGGCTCCGGTTCCCCCGCCCCAGAAGGAACAGGGAGGATACAGCTCATTACTCTGGCAACCCTTTTTTTCCTTCTGTTGCGCAGGACCAGCACGGAAATAACCCCCTAATGAATGTGGACTGGCTGCCAAAACCCTTTATCTTGTTTGGATAAATCTCCACTGCCTTCTGTCGCGTCACCAGCCAGGTTTCCAGCAGCTTCTCTTTCTTGCCCTCCTTCCACACTCGGGTATCTTTCCCCTGCAGGCCCCTGCAAATTTCCACTTCGTGGGAAAGTGTGGATACAGTTTGCGCTTTCTTTCCCTCTCCCTTCCCTTGACTTTAGTCTTAGCTTTCTTTTCTTTAAAAAGAAAAACAATCCCACTTGAAGGCCTGGTTCTTACAAGTCTTCAGTCAGCTGCAAATCTTTTCCTAGGTTTGAAACTAAAACGGATTCCTGCTTGTTCACCTTCCGCCCTGTGTTAAATTCGTAGGGTGGGAATTTCTCATACCTGACGCAGGAACAATGAGTTGAGCTCTCTCCAGCAACCGCTTTCTCTCCCCCTCTTAAAAAAAATTCCTCCATCTCCCCTCAACCCGTCTTCTCATCTTCAGTACTCTTGAGGTCGCAAGTATGTGTTTCATGAATCGATCTTCCGTTCAGAATATTGTCTTTAAAATGCCGGATGGGCCCCTCTCCATAGCAGTGTTGAGCCAAGCAGGCAATAGGGCAGTGGGCCCTTCTCCTCTGACCAGCCCAGGGTTTTGATTTTATAAAAGCACGGGAGAGCTGGCCAAAGATACAAAAACCAAGCTGCTTGTTTTTAACTAACCAGGCGGTTCAGACTTGGGGCAGTAGGCCCTGTGTCCACATCCGAAGCCTGCCTTACCCGACCCCTCGAGGACTCAGCTAGGTTTCTTGCTGGTGCTGTCTTGTTTGCAAGAACTCCACGCCGAAACACAAATCCACTTGGGTGATCCATTCGGCCGCTGGGGCGGGACTCCCCGCCTCTGGAAAGATCACCCCCAAAGGACAATTGTCATATTTGCCCTGCTGCTTCTGGTACAGAGATGGAATCTCAGGGGCTCCCCAGTCAACAACCCCCCAGGGCCGTGCATTGAAATCGAAACCCACACCACTTTGTCTTGTGATGCCGTTCTTGGGAGAAGCTTGTTGTAGTGAGCTGTTGGGACTTCCCCTGCCTTGTTTTAATTTATTTATTTTTCTGAGTGGGATTTGCTGCTGCTGCTGCTGCTTCCCTTCATTGGTGCTAGATGCTAAACAAAACCCTAAGGTGCTTGGCCGGGTTCTTTTTTACCGCCCCCCCCTGGGGGGGCATTCCTTTCACCCAGCCGACCTGGCAACGACAGGCCACAAGGAAAGGAGGAAGGCTGGGTATTCTATTTTATTCTTTGCCAGTAAAACCTGCTTTAAGATGCTTTTACTCTGCCCGCAAGCACACAGAGATTATGTTGTGTAAGGGGCGCAGAGGGAATTCGTCTTCTAACTTTATTTTTCAGGAGGGCAGAGTATTAGTTCAGCAGCAAACCTCTCTAAAGGCTTGACCCTGTTTCTGGGGCACAATATGGTGCTATTTGGGTGTCTTTGTGTTTCCCTAAGCCATCAGGGCTCCACCTTATCTGAGGTTATCCTATACCAGCCTCTGCCATTTTGGGGCCCCTCCCTCGGCAGTCCAAAGCAAACTTGGAGGGGCCTCACAATGGCAAACGGACTCTGCAGACCACAGGACAATGTCCTCATTTTCGCGGCATTCCATTTCCGAACACAACCTTTCTCCTAAACCGCTGGGCATGAGAACTCGTAGAGGTCTAGCGTGCTTGGCTTTGAAATCGTAAGAGTGATGCCTGCGGCATGAGCTCGGACGGCACCCTTTTTTTTTTTTGCGGGGAGCGCACACCCTCGCAGAAACTGAAACCCACACCCTGTGCTTTTCTGCTTCTCTCTCTCTCCCCCCCCCCGCAAACCCCTTCTTTGCAACTTGGATAAAGTGGTGAAGAAACTTTGGGATTTGTTGCAAATGACGGTGTGTCCTCACAAATTGGGTTTTGTTTGAGATGGTGTGCGTACTCTTTGTGAAAGCGTGCGAGGCATTGCAACAGCGATGGTGGGATTTGTTTGCACCCAGTGGAGTCGCTTGGTTCTTAAAAGTTGTAGAATTGCTTCAGAATCAGGGCAGGGCGGGGGGCTTCTGGGGTTGGGTGCTAATGGTGCTTCCCCCCACCCCTCCCAGAAACAGACCCACAGGGGGAAAAGCCTTTTGCAGGGTAAAAACTACTTTCCATACTTTAACAGACACACTGTAGTAGATGCAGTCCATTAAGCAGGCTGCCACAATCTCCTGTGAAGTTTGAAATCAGCCTTGCCGGATATCTTAATATCCAACAAGAACTTCCATAGAAACTGGCTTGCTTGTCTGTGTTTAACTAGCATAGGAATTTGTGGTACTCTGAAAGAAAGGTGGGTGCTGGGGAATCGATAGCAAGCATCCCATTTGCAAAATATCTTTTGTCTCGGTTGCAGGATGCTGTTTTTGCAAATCTGGTTCAAAACAGGTCTTCCTCCCTGCAGGTCTTGGCTGGACACCTGCTCAGCCCTTCATAATTCTGGATTTCCTCACCCACATGCACATTGGAACCTTAAAAAACAACACCTTAGCCCCCTCCCCCCTTCTAGCCTTGATGGGATGGAGATCTATTTAAAAAAAAAAATAGGAGAAAGAAATGTGGGGTAGATCAGCTCCTTCTTTCAGTGCTTTGCGTTTTTTTGAGCCTTTTGAGAAATGTGCTTTGCAGAAACAGCCCTTGGGGGGCTGGTTCAGGAATTGTCTGGATCCTCCCCCCCCCCCCACAATGAACTGAGGCTTTGCCTTGCCGAAACAGGGAGTTTGGATGTGGGCGGAGGGGGGGGGTATTCAGTCAGTGATGGAAATTGCTGTTGCTCAGGAATTAAATCTGTAAAATGTAAAATAAAAAGGAATCAGTTTGTAAATGGATTGAAGGGAGTACCCATAATATTCTTAGAGGTGGGATGTTCTTTCCCAGCAACTAGGAACTTGATTTGTATACATTAGCCCATGAAAATGAATTCTATTTAAATTTCAGTCTTTCATCCGATGTATCTTGGGGTTTGTTTGTTTGTTTGTTTGGCTTTGTTTTTGAGACTTTGCTCCATGAAATCTCGATCTGTCATTCTTCCATAGATCCATATGAACTACTTCTGGCGCTGTGTATATATGTACGTAATAATCTTTTATCTATATATTTCAGCCCCTTCCATTCCTTCTGATTCTCTGCACTGCAAAAAAAAAAAAGTTTTATCTTTCTGTTCTAACCTCCACTTCAGATCTCCCCCCGCACTTCACCCTGATTTGTAATTGAAAAAAAAAGAAAATGGCTTTGAAGTTTGTCTTTATATTAAAAAAAATGTATGTATTTTAATACACTGTATACCCTTGTGGTGGTGCTTCTATCCTTTCTGAAGTTGTCTCGTTTCTTTTGCAAGAGATGTCCAGGTTTCACAGCCAGAGAGGCCTGCGTTCCCCCCCTGGGGCCACATGCTAGAGGTCAGCTGAACGATAAATGCAGTTTTCACCTTTGTCGAATCATAGAAGTGTAATGTTGGAAGGGACCCCCCTGCAACGCAGGAATCTCAACTAAATCATCGGCGGCAGATGGCCATCCAACATCTGCTTCAAGGCCTGCAAGGAAGGAGAGTCTACCACCTCCTGAGGGAAACCATTCCACTGTCGAAAGTTTTTTTAATCTCTTTTCATGTCACTTGAAGCCATTTGTTCAAGTCCTACCCTCCCAAGCAGGAGAAAACAAGGTTGCTCCATGTGACAGCCTTTGAGATAATTGGAAAATTGAAATTGAAATACTTTATTGTCACTTGTACAGCTTGTATGCAGTGAGATTACATGAGCACCCGCCACTCAGCTCTCTTAGTCTTAATTCCCCTCGCTTACTGACGCACACCCACCAAACCCGAAAGCCAGTTGCCCTGTTGTGATCTTTTCATTCAGCAGCCTAACAGCCCATGGACAGAAGCTGTTCATTACCCTATTGGTGCGACTAATCATGCTTCTATATCTTCTGCCCGAGGGCAGGAGATCAAGAAAGTGCCGGCCAGGGTGTGAATCATCCCTGAGAATTTTCCTCACTCTCCTGAGGCAACGTTCTTCCATGATGTCATCCAGTGGATTCACAGGACAGCCCATAATACCTTGTGCTGTATTCACCACCCTCTGTAGGCACTGCCTATCAGTTGATATCAAACCAGTGTACCACACCGTGATGCAGTAGGAAAGGACACTTTCTATTGTAGAAGGAGATCATCATGGCTATCCTTTCTCCTCTCAGTCTCCTCTTTTCCAGCTCCTTCAACCATTCCTCATCAGGTCTGGTTTCCTGACCCTTGATTATCTTGGTCTCCCTCCTCTGCACACCTTCCAGCTTGTCAACATTACTCCTAAATTGTGGTGCCCAGAAGTGGACACTGGACTCTAGGTGTGGTCCGATCAAGGCAGATAGAACAGGACTGTGACTTCCCTTGATCTGAACATACTGGCTCATTGCAGTGATACCTCTCCCCACAATCCTCTGGCAAATAATTCTGGCAAATAAAATGCAACAGCAGAGTTCAAGTACACCTTTCCAGCAATTTAAGGATGGTGTGACTGGGGAGGAGACGTTGCCTGACCTCCTGCTGCTGCTGTCCCAATGCACTGGGGTAAAAATCCTCGCATGAATGCACTTTTGAACGCAGAACTGGTCCCAGCCTATTCCCACCTCTCTCACACAGAAAAGGCAAAAAGCCAACCAACAAGACAGTAGTTTCGTTTATTAGAGGGGCAAGAAAATCAGTGTGGACATAACAAAAGGGGATCTGGGCATGTCAACAAAACAGTAACATTTCTGGTTTAATGCACAGAAGTAATAAAACTGGCCAATTATCCAACAGGCAATGGTGTCTTGGGGCAGGAGGAGTACAGAAGATGAATGTAAACTGATAAAGTACATTTTACATTTCTACAGCCTCTTAAAAACCTCTAAATAACTAGCCACCCTTTGTGGCTGGTGATTTCTCTCTTCTCCCCCCACATTCGTCCCCCAAACTCTGCCCCTTTAGACAACGATGGATTTCACAAGCTCCCATCGTCCATGAGCAACTGGCCGAGGATCGCAGACTCCCTGGTCTTGTTTCCCCTGCCTCTTTGCAGAAGAGACATTCCTCTGCCTCACACATGCAGCAGTGAAATTCAGCAGGGTTGGAGAAAGCAGCAGCCCAGCGCCCCCCGGACAGAGTTTTAAGTCTGCTATCAGCCAGAGAACCACAGCTTTCAGTGAGTTTTTAAAACGCCTCTAAATTTCACAGCAGATTTTTATATATATAAAAAATTACATTCAGCTGCCAGTCCCAAAAGTTGGGCAGAGGAAAAAGAGGAAAGAAGAGAGCAAGGAGGGATGGAGAACAAGGTATTTTTTCTTTGAGGAAGGGAGATTTCTGCCACCCCAGCAAGCAAGGAACCTGCTCTGGAGTGAGCTTGGAACCGCGCAGAGTTTGGGCACTGAGCTTGGGAAAGTGGCGAGGGGCTCGTCTCGCTTCCCTGTGTTGCTAGGCGCAGAGAGCAGCTCTGACTTAGGGGGTGCCAGCAAGGCACAACAAAACGGTAAAAGATGGCCGAGCACCTTAGGGAGATAGTTGTGTTGCTGCTCCAGTAGTCTGGCATTCTTCTTTCCAACACCTTCTAGTTCAGGCTTTCCCAAATTTGGGTCCCCAGCTGTTTTTGGAACACAATTCCCATCCCTGATCACTGGTCCTAATGTGAGCTGTAGTACAAAAAACCCGCTGGCGACCCAAGTTTGGGAAACCTTGTACTAGGTGAATGCACATGCTTGCTTGGGGAATTAAAATGAGTGTGCTCCCACCACTCCTGTTGAAAATGTTTCCTTACAGAGTAAGTAAAGAGTTGCCCCCTCCTAGGTGAGGATTGCTGGGGGCGGGAGGGGCTCAGGATTGGGAGCAATGACTTCAGAGACACACACAGCCCATTTCACGGGGCGGGGGGGCGGTGCAGGGGGAGTAATTCAGCACCCCAGTATCCCTTGCAGGGACAGCATAGTGGCTCCCACCCAACCCAGGCAGCCGATGGGAAGGTGTGCAAAGCCAGAGCAGTTACTCAGTGGGGAAACTCTGCCGGGGGTGTTCTGGGTGCACCGCAGATCTCAAATCTCAGCATGAAAGTTGGGCGCAAACCCGATTTGGGATGTTAATGAAAATCAAGCACGATTCCAAGAAGCCCCCGCCCCTTCCTTCAGCTCCAGGAGACCCTTGCCAGTGTTGTTTGTGTGCACATTTACACACACGAGGAAGCGCGATTCTGAGCCGAATAGCAGGTTCTCTGCGCCCTGGAAGGAGAGAAAACCGGCAACCGCTGGAGTCAAATCTCCACTCTTTGTTTCAACCCCCCAAAGCTAGGAGGAAGCAGGTGGCTGGGTGGCGTCACCCTCTTGGCGGCACGAGGGAGATCCTGCAAGTTCGTGAAAGCAACTCACTCGGTCGGCGTACAGTCCTGACCCTGGAGTCTCGGGGAGCTGCCCAAGGGTCCTGGTGGTATGGTGAGGGGCCGGCCCAGATCCAAGTGCTCGGGGTTATACCTTCCGTGCGCCCAGCTGGAAGCGGGCTTCCCCCGAGATGCCGTACTGCTCCAGGGGGTCCTGTGGCGAAAGGAGAGGCTTTGAGGGCTGGATGTCTGGAGATGCTAAATTTAAAAGGGTGGGGGATACGAGTCCATAGCTCTGTGGCAGACCAGATGCCCTGCATGCAGAAGGTGTCGGGTTCAACCCCTGGCAAGGCTGGGAATTCCCCCCCCCTCCCTGCATCTGAAACCCTGGAGGAGCCACAGGCAAGTTGGCATCATATTTCTAGGAGCTTCGCAACATTTCATCTTGGGATCCCAATGGGATCACATCTTTTTTTAAAAACCATTTGTATATAGACATCTGCCTTATTGGGTTCTATGGGTCTTCTTGGAGGAAAATGTAACAAAACACAACTTCGAACCACAGTATCACAGGATGACCCAGGGCAGAAACTGTGCATCCTCGTCCCGGCCGTTACTTCCTGCTCTCTGGGTGAGCCCCCCACCTGCTTTCCGGCCCAGAAGCTACTCACCTTTCCTGTCATCTTCAGGATCTCGTTCCGATAGAAGACCAAGCTGCTCCTCATGAACTCGTAGCTGTTGGCAGAAGGAGAACGGATCCGACCGTGAAGGGCGGAGGCAGCAGAACCAGATTTCTAGCGAACATTCACGGCGAGGGTCTTGCCATTAACTCCACCCCAAAACAACCCCAGAGGAGCTGATCCTGTGGCACCCAACACTTCTGGGATTTGTGGTTCTGGTTTTGCGGCTAATAAGCCAACAGCTGTGAGTATGCAAAGGTGGTGGTGGTGGGGCACTTTAAGGTTCTGTCTCAGGGATGGGGAGCCTCTGGCCCTCCAAACCTCTTCGTGTGGCCCTTGGATGTTCTCCCCTGGCCATGCCCCTCACTGGCCTTCCTTGAGACCTTCATTTTGGACTCACCGCTATCCATGGAGGCACAGGTCAATTCTGCGTCCAGGGTGGCTGTCTACCAGCTCCATCTGAGACCCTCCCTGCCCGCGGACTGTCTCACCAGAGTGGTACATGCCTTGGTTATCTCCCGCTTGGACTACCACCATGCGCTCTCTGTGGGGCTACCTTAGGTGACTCGGAAATGACCACTAATCCAGAATGCAGCAGCTAAACTGGTGACTGGGAGCGGCCGTCGGGACCATATAACACCGGTCTTGAAAGACCTACATTGGCTCCCAGTACGTTTCCGAGCACAATTCAAAGTGTTGGTGCTGACCTTTAAGGCCGTAAGCGGCCTCAGCCCAGTATACCTGAAGGAGCGTCTCCACCCCCATCGTTCAGCCTGGACACTGAGGTCCAGCGCCGAGGGCCTTCTGGCAGTTCCCTCACTGCGAAAAGTTACAGGGAACCAGGCAGAGGATTTTCAAACACTGAAAATCCGGATAGAAAAGGTTTTTTTGCCCAAAGTTGTTGAGACAATTTTCCAAAAAAAGAGAAAAAGTTTTGGGGCTAATTTTAACGAAAATCGCCAAAAATGACACTGCCGACATGGGCTGTGATATATCTGGATTTCTGCCCAAACACTGCTTCCAACTGCAGTATTCTGGATATGTCCAGGGGGTTCTGGACGTATTGCAACTCTACGTCAAGGAGATAGAGTTAACTATCTGGCTTTTAGAAGACAGCCCTATATTGGGAAGTTTTAAATGTTTGATGTCTTACTGTGCTATCATTTGTTGGAAGCTGCCCAGAGTGGCCGGGGCAACCCAGCAAGATGGGCAGGGTGCATCACCAAACTCTGATTGTGCCTGGATGGAGGGGGGGGGGGGGGAGATGTTCAAACTAACCTGCACAGAGGGCAAACTTTACATGTGTAGCTCCACCCACTCTTGACTCTGTCCCCACCCACCACCGGCATGCGGTGCTCATGGGTCTCTGCTCTTACCTGCAGCGAGGATTCAAGTAGAATAATGGAATTGTAGGGTTGGAAGGGACCCTGAGCGTCATCCAGCCCCACCCCCTGCAATGCAGGAATCTCAGCTAAAGCAGCCATGGCAGATAATGCCATCCAAGCTCTGCTTAAAAACCTCCAAGGAAGGGGAGTAGGAAGGCCAGTTTCCTCTGGGCGCTGCGCAGTGATCCAAGCAGCCTGCGCTCTGTCCCTTCTGGCTGGCAGACACGGTCCCCACCCCCTTGAAAAAATGGGGAAGAAGGGGTCCCCAAACCCCGGCTGACCGGCAGGCCTCACCTCGCCCTCTGGAGAACCTCAACCCACTCCAAACACTGCTCCTCTGTATCACATTCGAAGAAGTACTTTCTCTCAGGTTCTTCGAGGAAACCTGCAAACAGAGACCCCGAGCCATCAGCCTTACGACTCACTATCTACTGAACTATAATAAAATTATGATTGTTGGACAAGGGTTATGGCAAAGCGTAAGGGCAGTACAGCTCGTGTGGGAAAACAGCTCAAACATGACCCTCCCAAGACAGAGGGGAGGCAAGTCAGGATCTCTTAGCCTAATTTAGCTCTCAGTGGGTTGTTGTTGTTTTACACAGGTAATGCAAAAATTAAAAAATTGTCCAGTAGCACCTTAAGGTAAAGGGACTCCTGACGATTAGGTCCAGTTGTGGCCGACTCTGGGGTTGCGGCGCTCATCCTGCTTTATTGGCCAATGGAGCCGGCTTACAGCTTCCAGGTCATGTGGCCAGCAGGACTAAGCCGCTTCTGGCGAACCAGAGCAGCACATGGAAACGCCGTTTACCTTCCCGCCGGAGCGGTGCCTATTTATCTACTTGCACTTTGAGGTGCTTTCGAACTGCTAGGTTGGCAGGAGCAGGGACTGAGCAACGGGAGCTCACTCCGTCGCGGGGATTCGAACCGCCGACCTTCTGATTGGCAAGTCCTAGGCTCTGTGGTTTAACCCACAGCGCCACCCACATCCTTAGAGACCGACTAAATTTGTTCTGGGTATAAGCTTTCGTGTGCTTATACCCAGAATAAACTTAGTTGGTCTCTAAGGTGCTACTGGACAATTTATTTATTTATTTATTTATTTATTTTGACTGTGTCAGACCAACACGGCTACCTACCTGAATCATAATGCAGGATTTATTCTGCCTCTGTTATTAGGCCTTTTCAAAATGCAATGCAGTAGGATTACATTTATGTTAACAAGCCCTATAGAGGGACTATTACTATTCCATTTATGAAATCTCCTCTTTCAGACACACGACTCTTCTTCCCCCGTCTACAACTGGATCACTTTAGCAATAGTTATTAACTCTAGTTGTTTTAACCTGCTGGTCAGCGACTCTTGTCTCCCTGCTCTTATTCTGGTTTGTTTTTATAACGATCGTATCTTGCTTTTACAATTTTGCATTTTAGCTCTTTTTAAAATGCTGGTCTACGACCGCAAGAAACTGAAACCGCATTTTAAGGATTGTTATAACAATGATTTGGAATGGTTTTTACTGATGATTTGTTCATTATTCTAATGGTGGTTTGTAATTGTTGTACTGGTGATTTGTTAATGATTCTATTTGATTTGTGCTCTGCTTGTGATGTTCTCTTGTGTTACTGTTATTTATGGTCTGTAAGCTGCTTTGCGATTCACTGGAATGAAAAGCAGCATTGAAACATATGAAATCGATTTTTCAGAGCTTGGAAGATCTTCTTGCACCGTATCTGCTTGGGACGCGAGCTTTTGGGCTCCCTGCCTTGCCTCCCAGCCTCCTTCAAACTGCTCATTATCCACCCCTCTTGATGCCTTCAGAGTCTGAAACGCTGGATTGCCCCAGCCAGTCCCTTGAGAGCAGTGGTTCCCAAAATGGGCAGTGTTTTCCCTGGGTGGGGGGTCCTAAGAGGGTGGCAAGGGGACCCTGGAAGTGCCAGTGACTATCAGACTTTGAAAAGCTGGTGTCACTGGATTAAGTTGATCACTTCAGCTGCTGTGAGGTACATATCCAATCCATACCTGTCAACTTACAGATTTGAAAATAAGGGACCAGCAGCCATGGAAAATAAGGGATCAGCAGCCAAAATAAGGGATTTTCCAAACACAGGTATGTTCAACTTCTGAGCTCCTCCAAGACAAAGGCAGAAAGCCCAGCCAGCAGCCAAACGAAGCCTCAAGCGGTGGGTCCCACAGTGCAGCAACCCGGAAAAGGGGATGCAGCAAGGAAAACCACTGTCACCTCTCCGCTGGGAAGCGCTGAGCAAAGGCGAGTCCCCAGGCAACGCGGCCGATTTGATCGGCACAAGGCATGCAAGCTCCACCCCCCAGTCGTTCTTAGACTCCTTATTGGGTGAGCAATACAGTTGGAGCCTCCCTCCTCCCTGGCCGGCAGGGAGGGAGGGAGAGGAGCTGCTTCCTTTGAAACCCGGGAAATTTAAGGGACATCATCAATAAGGGACAGCAGCGGGACACGGCACTGGGATAAGGGACTTTCCCGCCAAATAAGGGATGCTTGACAGCTATGATCCAATCCCTTTCGAAAGCTATCTTCAAAGAAAAACAAGTCTTGTTTTTTGCTGCCTGATTCAGAGAGGCATACATCCTTCATAATATCTGAATTTCTCGCTAAGGCTCTACAAATCCGTGCTAATAAACCTAAAAGGGGTAGAGGGTAAAGGTGAAGGGGCAGAAATGTCAGTCTCTTATTCTTATTATTCCTATTACCATTTTCATGTATCTAATGGGATGTCTGCTAAAACACAATAAACTGACTTGACTATCTTAAAACCGGCAGTCACCGCCCTGACCCACAGCAGCAAATTCCAAATTGCCCTGCGAATAATTTATTTTGGCTGTCCTGAAATCTAGTGCCAAGTACATTTGGCCAAGTGACCCTCTCTGAATACTGTGGGTGGAAAGGGGGTAGTTGTGAGCTGGGAATGTGTTCCGTCTCCTCCAAAAATGGGTACAGGCATCTCAGAGAGCAATTTAGAAAAATGTTAGATTTGTTCTGATTAGTGACCGATTTGTAAAAAATTGAATACCAATAAAAAAGAAAAAACAGAAAGAAAAAGCTCCCAGAAAAGTAAACCCCATTCTCCCCCCCACCCCCCGTCTGTCTCCTCAAAACCACAAAGACTCACAAATGGAAAATATTTTGCCTTCTTCTTGGCTGATACTGCAGTGTTCCAACAGCAAAGCACCGATAGGCTGGGGAGAGAGAAAGAGACAAACACACAGATTAATTAATCACTTTCCACATTAGCTCAAGCTTTTAAAAGTAACTACGTTGTGCATATTCCCAACCCTGCTTTTAATTGAAAGTTGCACAAGGATTTTTCTTTCTTAAAAAAGAAAGAAAAATAAATGAAGAGGGCTTAATATATTCTCAGATAAACCCTTGTAAAAAGCCTTCTTTTGTCTTGTCTTGAAGTAAGTTCCACTCAAGAGGAGACTCAATGAAATTAATGGACCCCCGGTGGTCCTATCTGTGCATTTCAGTAGTTTTACTCAGAGGGCGGCCAGCGTTGGAGACAACCCCTTTATATATTTTTCTAGATTTTTCTACATAGTCAAATGGTAAATGAATTTTATTAAATAAGTAAAACGAATAAGTAGACATATAAAAACACAGTTGTTTAGCGAGAGTTTGGGGAACATCTAGCTATTGCTAGACCCCCTCCTAAAAAATATCCTATTCTGGTTGCTCTCCAAGAACAGGACTAGATCCAGGAGCCAGACTCTTCTAACAAGATCAAGCTTTTTATTAGAATAATAACAAGAGTTTATTTTAGGCACTGCCTTCTCATCATGCTCCTACCACCCGCCGCAACTTGCCAGAGGACCTCATCACCTGAGGACTGGTAACCTGAGCAGGCTTCGCATCATTATTATATCTGGCAAAGTTGCTAGTGGGTAATGTCCCCTGCAAGTAGTGAGCAAAAATACCTCGGCCTCGTCTGTTCGGAAGTAGAAGAGAAAGTTGACGACCAGTTTCACCAAACGCTTCTTCAAGGCTGCGGAGAAAGACGAGATGGAGGGAGTTGTTTGAGAGCTCTTGTACACATACCGTATTTTTCGTTCTATAAGACACACTTTTCCCCTCCTAAAAAGTAAGTGTACATCTTATGGAGCGAATGCAGGCTTCGCGGGCTATTCCAGAAGCCAGAACAGCAAGAGGGATTGCTGCGCAGCGCTCCCTCTCGCTGTTCTAGCTTGTGGCTTAGCTGCGTGAAGCCTCTGCAGGGCAGCAGGGAACCTTCATCTCGCTGCCCTGCGGAGGCTTCGCATGGCTATCCCTGGCTTTTGTGGGAGGTGGGGGAAGGGACAGAGTGTGCGACTCTATCCCTTCCCCCACCTCCCAGAAAAGCCCCCAAGAGCCGCGCTCCCTTTAAAGAGAGTGCGGCTCTTGCGGGAGCATAGCTGTCAACTTACAGATTTGAAAATAAGGGACCAGCAGCCTCGGAAATAAGAGATCAGCAGCCAAAATAAGGGATTTTCCAAGCACAGGTACAGTGGTGCCCCGCAAGACAAATGCCTCGGAAGACGAAAAACTCGCAAGACGAAAGGGTTTTGCGGTTTTTGAGGTGCTCGTAAGACGAATTTCTCTATGGGCTTGCTTCGCAAGACGGAACGTCTTGCGAGTTTGTTTCCTTTTGAAGCGGGAACTGGGCTGGCAGGGAGCGAGGGAGGGAGCGACCTACCTTTTCCAGAGGGATCCTCTTCTGGAGAGGGCACAGAGGAGGCAGGTGAGCTGGGATCCAGCGGATCTGGCTGGGTCTCTGTGCCGCCTCTGCCTCTGCCTCTCTCTCTCTCTCCCCCTCCCCACGTGGCTGCTCCATTTTGCTCTAACTGCGCGAAGGCAGGAGGAGGCGGGACAAAGGAGGAGGAGGAGGAGGCATCCACTGTGCTTGGGCGGCCGCGAAGGCGCCTTTGCGGGGTGGGAAGAAGCCGGGAGCAGCTGCCGAGACTGTGGGAGCCCGGCGGCTTGGCGCAAGGTAACGGGGGAGCAAGGGAGAGTCCGCGCCGGGCGCTGCGTGCGTCCGCCTCGGTTCCTGGGCTCAAACTTCCTTTGGCACCTCATGGAGAGAGAGGGAGAGGAGCGGGCTGGGGCTTTGATGTGGGACGCGGTTTGGCGGAGCGAAGACGCGGCAAGGCTTGGCAACAGAGGAAGGGGGGCTGTTTTCATGGGGAGGTGGGAGGGGGTGTCTTTGCCTCTTCCAGGCAACAGATCCTCCAGGCTGGGGAAACGCCTCCTGCTGGGGAGCGACCCGCTTTGTGCTTTGCCCGCTATCCCATTATAATACAGTACCAGGGTGCATCTGTGCTTCGCAAGACAAAAAAATCCGCAAGACGAAGAAACTCGCAGAACGGATTAATTTCGTCTTGCGAGGCACCACTGTATGTTCAACTTCTGAGCCCCTCCGAGCCAAAGGCAGAAAGCCCAGCCAGCAGCCAAACAAAGCCTCAAGCCGTGGTTCCCACAGCGCAGCAACCCGGCAAAGGGGATGCAGCAAGGAAAACCACCATCACCTCTCCACTGGGAAGCGCTGAGCAAAGGCGAGTCCCCAGGCAACGCGGCCGGTTTGATCAGCACAAGGCATGCAAGCTCCACCCCCCAGTCGTTCTTAGACTCCTTATTGGGTGAGCAACGCAGCCAAGCAACACAGTTGGAGCCTCCCTCCTCCCTGGCCGGCAGGGAGGGAGGGAGGGAGAGGAGCTGCTTCCTTTGAAACCTGGGAAATTTAAGGGACGTCATCAATAAGGGACAGCAGCAGGACACGGCGCTGGGATAAGGGACTTTCCCGCCAAATAAGGGACGGTTGACAGCTATGTGCGGGAGGTGGGGGGAAAGCCAGGAGGCTTGCTTTCGCTGAAGCCAGGAGGGCAAAGCCTCCTGAGTGCAGGAGGCTTCTTATTTCTTGTTTTCCTCCCCTAAAAACTAGGTGTGTCTTATGGTCGGGTGCGTCTTATAGAGAGAAAAATACACCATTTTTGTAGCTCTGCGATTCTTGCATGGTGGAGGGTTAGACTAGATGACCCTTGGCATCCTTTCCAACTCTACAGTTCTACGATGTCCAAGTTTGGGAGAGCGAAGATGAGCTCCTGCGACCTCAAGGCAGATGTTCCCACAACTGGTGACTTTTACTAATTCAGCCCTCCGCCAAGGGTCATCAACCACCCGCAAGCAGTGGCGTAGCGTGGGGGGCGCAGGGGGGGCCGGCCGCACCGGGCGCAACATCTGGGGGGGCGCGCTCGCACTCGCAGCTCTCTGCCCCTACCTGGCTCACTCACTCTCTCTCACTGCAGTGCTGGCTGTGCGAATCCGATCCGAGCCGCTGGGTCGCCGCCCACTGTGGAGGGGGTGGGTGCCAGGCGTGCGGTGCGGAGAGAGAGCGAGGGACTATCTGGGGGAGGGACAGTGCAGCGGCCGCCCAGCGCAGCGCTGTGCGCGGGAGAGAACCTCACCAGACCAGCCCAGGCAGCAGCAAGAAGAAGCTGGCAGCGGCGGCAGGTTAGGGGTTAGGGGGCGCAAATTACTTGCCTTGCCCCGGGTGCTGACAACCCACGCTACGCCGCTGCCCGCAAGGCAGGAATCTGAGCGGATACATCCAAGACAGGACATCGCAATACGCTGATGACAGTAAGCGCAGAACACATGAGGGAATGGAAACACCTCTGGGCAAGCGAGCAAAATAAAAAACCGGAGTAACCGAAATCGTAGAACGGTAGAGTTCGAAGGGACCATGAGGGTCATCCAGATCAACCCCCTGGAACAGTAAAGGTGCTAGTCCTCAGTGAGGACGAGGTTGGGAGTTCTGCTACCCCCCCAACCCAATAAACTCTGATGACGCCACGGGAGCCGCCGCCTCTTCCTCCTCCCCGACCCCCTGGCAGGCGTGACGTCACGCAACCCGCCTGGTGACGTCACGCCGCGGCGTTCTCCTCTCGTGACGTCACCCCTTCCCCCCCTCGCCTCCTCCTCACCGCTTCCCTTCTTCGGGGCGCGCATGAGGACCTCGGCCGCCTTCTCGGCTGGCTGCCGGGAGAGAGACAGCAGCTCCCGCTCGTTGTACCGCATCGCCGCCGCCGCCTCCTCCCCGCCCTTCTGGCCCGCTCGGCTCTATGGCTCGCGCGCCTCCCACTTCCGCTCTACTTCCGCCCTTGCCTTCGGGAGGAGCCGGAAGTGCTTCCTTCCGCGCAGGCGCAGGCGCGGTTTCTTTCCCGTTCGCTTCCGGCCTGCCCCCCCCCGACATAGCTTCCGGGTGACGGCGGAGGGCTGACCCGGAAGTGCATTCCTTGTGGCGCGGCGGGCCGGCTCCGTTTGGCTTCCGAAGGAGGAAGGAGGGAAGAGCGAAGGCCGAGGAGGAGGAAGAGGAGGAGGAGGAAGGAGAAGCAGGTAGGGGGAGAGGGACGCCCCCCAATATTGGCAGAGCTGTCGGCTTCTCCCTTTTCTTGCGAGGAATCCTATTGGGAATAAGGGAATTTCCCTTAAAAAAAGGGAAGCGTTGGCAGCTATGAATATTGGCTAATTAGGGTTTCCAGCGTTGGCCGAGCTCAAGAGCCTCCAGCATTTCTCCGGTGAAAATAGGGACGTCCCATCCCATCATCATCATAAATTTATTATGGTTATATTTTGATAATAATAATAATACCCCGCCTATCTGTCTGGGTTGCCCCAGCCATCCTGAGAGACTTCCAACATATAAAAACATAAAACATGTTAATAGTTCGCTATGCAGGGCTGCCTTCAGATGTTTGCTAACGGTTGTCTAGTGACTTATCTCCTTGGCTCGGGGGTTGCAGAACTCCAGACCCTCCAACATTTCTCCAATGGAAATAGGGACGTGCTAAGCCGGGGAACTCCTGCCCACCTAGCAGTTCGAAAGCACGTCAAAGTGCAAGTAGATAAATAGGTACCACTCTGGCGGGAAGGTAAACGGCGTTTCCGTGCGCTGCTCTGGTTCGCCAGAAGCGGCTTAGTCCTGCTGGCCACATGACCCGGAAGCTGTACGCCGGCTCCCTCGGCCAATAAAGCGAGATGAGCGCCGCAACCCCAGAGTTGGTCACGACTGGACCTAATGGTCAGGGGTCCCTTTACCTTTTAAGCCGGGAAAGCCGGACATTCCAGGATCAAATCAGAAACCAGGATGGCTTCTGTAAATCTGGGGCTGTCCATGCAAAATAGGGACCCTTAGAGGGTCTGTGTGTCCCCATTTCATTGAGTCTACTCAGACCCGGAGTCTGTGACCCAGAATCTGTACAGTGCTTTATTTTTCAGTCATGAGGACTAAAAGTTTTTAAAAGCAAGGAAGAGAGAGACTTTTATACAGATGTTAGTTCTACCTGGAGTCGAAACCATTGAAGCGAATGGATACGAGTAACAGGCCCATTCATTCCCATGGCTGTCCTTGTCCGGGGGGGCGGTCTTAAAGCAGAGGTTGGGTGGCCCATATACCAGGGATTCTTAAGCTGCAGCTCCTGCATTGCAAGTGGGGTTGGACTAGATGACCCCTAAGGGGACCCTTTCGACTCCACAGTTCTACAATTCTGTGGCCTAACCCAGATGGGCCAGAGTTAGGAAACGATCACAGGAGTGAGAAGAAAGTTTGAGGGGAAGAAAGTTTTCATGCAAGGTGGCTGCTTTTCACGCTGGCAGGGGACTGGGCTTCAAGCTGGTAGTGAGCAACAAAGTGGCCGTCTCACTTCCCCCTGACCTGGTGCTCACCCTCAGACCTACAAAACAAACCCTGGATTGCCATGAATTGAAAGCAACCATCCTGGGAGCTAATAACTTGCATTCTCTCTCTATCTTTGACACCTTCACCTCCCCCCCCAGTTTTTTCTCCAGGATCTGTTTTGAAGCTCTGGATCGTCCACGATGGATTTCCAGCACCGTCCCGGAGGGAAGACGGGGAGCGGAGGCGTCGCTTCCGCCTCAGAGAGCAACAGGGACCGCCGGGAGCGGCTGAGGCAGCTGGCCTTGGAAACGATTGACATCAACAAGGTGGGATTACTTGTCCCTAAAACAGGAAGTGCCACCTACCAAAATGAGGAGTGTTTTGAGAGGAGAGCCAGTGTGGTGTAGTGGTTAAGAGCGGTAGTCTCGTAATCTGGGGAACCGGGTTCGCGTCTCCGCTCCTCCACATGCAGCTGCTGGGTGACCTTGGGCTAGTCACACTTCTCTGAAGTCTCTCAGCCCCACTCACCTCACAGAGTGTTTGTTGTGGGGGAGAAGGGAAAGGAGAATGTTAGCCGCTTTGAGACTCCTTAAAGGGAGTGAAAGGCGGGATATCAAATCCAAACTCTATTTCTTCTTCTTTGCGTGCGGGAAGGCGAGGACTGGGTGCCTGTGTGGGCTTACAAGGCCCTGCTACTTGATATATTAACGGGGTTAATATTAATGGAGTATATTAAATGAAGAGATAAATGTTTGGAATGTGCACTTGCCATGTATGGGTGTAGCTTCGAGTTCTCCCTGCTTACCGTCATTTCCCCCCTTTCCTCCAGGATCCCTACTTTATGAAAAACCACTTGGGCTCTTACGAATGCAAGCTTTGTCTTACGTTGCACAACAACGAGGTGAGTGTTCCCTGCCCCCCACTTTTTCTGTTCTCTTTTACGCTTTCACTTCCATCGTTGCCCCAAGAGCAACTGGAGGGCTTCATATCTTGCTGCTACCCGACGTAAAGGAGCTAGGTAGACCCAGAGGCCTGACTGACTCTGTGTAAGGTCAAGGTAAAGGGACCCCTGACTATTAGGTCCAGTCGTGACCGACTCTGGGGTTGCGGCGCTCATCTCACTTTATTGGCCGAGGGAGCCGGCGTACAGCTTCCGGGTCATGTGGCCAGCAGGACTAAGCCACTTCTGGCAAACCAGAGCAGTGCACATAAACGCCGGAGCGGTACCTATTTATCTACTTGCACTTTGACGTGCTTTTGAACTGCTAGGTGGGCAGGAGCAGGACTGAGCAATGGGAGCTCACCCCGTCGTGGGGATTCGAACCGCCGACCTTCTGATCAGCAAGCCCTAGGCTCTGTGGTTTAACCCACAGCGCCACCCGCGTCCCAACTGTGTAAGGCAGCTTCCTGCATTTCTGTTTAAATCAGCCATACATTCAAGGTCATGAGGACTGGAATCTTACGAGAGAGAGAGAGAGAGAGAAAGAGAGAGAGAGAGAGAGAGATTGAGGGACAAACCGAAGCTCATTGGCAGAGATCTGTTTTGCACACAGAAGATCCCGGTTCAGTCTTCAACATCAGTAGAGCTAGGGAAAGACTCCTGTCAGAGCGGCTGCCCGTCATTGTAGACTAGGGTTTCCCAAGACCAGCGATCAGGGATGGTGGGAATTGGAGTCCTAAAACAGCTGGAGGCCCAAGTTTGGGAAGCTCTGCTGTAGAGAGTAATGAGCTTGACCCAGTCTGTAAGGCAGCTTCCTCCATTCCTAAAACGCGAGGGCATCAGGCCTGTTAGACACCTTGTTTTTCTTATTTTACGTTTTGATTCTTCGGGTGGCTTCTATCCTTAATCTTAGTGCTGTCAGCCATGTTTGTATGGAACCATGAGGTCTGGTGCCTTGTTTTGCTTTTAAGGAGGGCTCTGTAGCTCCATGGTAGAGCAGCCAAGGGTCCCAGGTTCTGACCCCAGCGCCTCGAGGTGGGGCTGGGAAAAAGTCCCTGCCAGAAACAGAGAGCCACGGACAGTCAGTGTAGTCAGCAACAAGACAGTCGGTAGAGCGTGAGACCCTTAATCTCAGTGTTGTGGGTTCAGTGTTGACCATGTCGGTCAAAAGATTCCTGCATTGCAGGGGGTTGGAATGGATGACCCCCGTGGTCTCTTCCAACTCTACAATGCTATTATTCTATGACTCAATAGCCATTGGAGGCTCCATCTTGGCTGATGTAGTCAATCCTGAGCCCAAGACTTTGGCCCCCTCTTCCTAATCAATTTGTTTCTGCCTTTCCTTCCTACAGGGAAGTTACCTGGCACACACTCAGGGGAAGAAGCATCAGACCAATTTGTAAGTTGCTAACTCTGAGCATGTGCTCATCTTTGTCTTCTTTACGCTTACTTTTATTTAAATCTTCCCTTTCCCTGATATGAGAAGCAGAATTTCCTTACCCCCGCACTAGAGATGGAAGAATGCCTCCTGCTTAACATTCTGCTTAAGCATTCTCACCCATTCTTAGACCAGGGATGGGGAGCCTGTGGCCTTGCAGATACTGCTGGAAGAATGCCTCAGTTTATAAGAGGCATTCCCTCTCTTCTTCTTAGACCAGTCATGGGGAAACCAGAGGTTGCACTCCAGCCCCCAGCAGTCAGCACAGGCCAATGGGATTTGGAGTCCGGCATTATCTCGGGGCCTACAGGTGTTTCCCAAACACTGGCATAGATTTATTCTGTAGGGCTTCTGTGTCCATAGAAGGAGGGGGAATGTTCATTGCTCAAGTCGGCTTTTAAAGATAGCTGGAAGCAGCTGCAATGGTTTGAAAACTGGGCATTGGATTGGCTACTGTGAGAACAGAGTGTTGGGTTGAATGGGCCCCAGTTGGCCAAGACAGATAAACTATGGAACTCCCTGTTGCAGGAGCCAGTTTGGAAGGCTTTAAAAGAGAACAGGACTAATTCATGGAGAGTGGGCTGTCAATGGCTACTAGCCACAAGAGCCATGCTCTGCCTTCACAGTGAGGCGCAACAGTGCTTCTGAATCACAGTTACTGGAAGTCACAGGACTGGCAAGTGCTTTTGTGCTAGAATCTTGTTTGCGGGTTTCCCACTGGCCTGATCCACCAGTGCGCTCCTTAAATTCTCTTCTGGTGTTCTTCACTTGCTGTCACTGTGGGGTAAGGGACGTCCTGAGAAGCTGGAAATGCTCCTTGCTTGAAATGTGGCAAGGAAGGCCATGTGCCTCTTCTGGCAGACATGCAGCCTTTGGGGCAGCTGAGGAAGGTATCCTTTAGACAGCCCTCCTCCACACAATCATAAGCTTTCCTCCCATGGCAGTTCAGAGAAAGCGTCTGCCTTCTCTAAAAAGACAAGTGTGCTTTTGTTTCTTTGGTATACACAGTCACAGGGAAAAGAAAGCACAGCCTCTTTGAATTCTCTGGTTCTACATATCAAGGCGTAATAATCTTCTGCTCCTTAAGGTAAAGGTAAAGGGACCCCTGACCGTTAGGTCCAGTCACGGACAACTCTGGGGTTGCGGCGCTCATCTCGCTTTATTGGCTGAGGGAGCCAGCATACAGCTTCCAGGTCATGTGGCCAGCATGACTAAGCCGCTTCTGGCGAACCAGAGCAGCGCACGGAAACGCCGTTTACTTCCTGCCAGAGCGGTACCTATTTATCTACTTCCACTTTGATGTGCTTTCGAACTGCTAGTTTGGCAGGAGCTGGGACCAAGCAATGGGAGTTCACCCCGTCACAGGGATTCGAACCGCCAACCTTCTGATTGGCAAGTCCTAGGCTCTGTGGTTTAACCCACAGCGCCACCTGCGTACCTCCTTAGCAGGTCTTAAAATTAGGTAAATGCAACCTCAGATGAACAACAGCACATCACATATTACACCATGTCGTTTATTTAAGAGAAATAAACCCAAAATGGAGAAGCCACGTGTGAAAAACTGAGTACACTCTTACGGCTTCCATAGGAATTTAGAGGCTAAGTTGCTGACACGGGCTGCTAATGAAATGCCCTTTCTTAATTGATCACCTGCCAGTGCGCCCACCTCAAGAAAAGCCGAAGTTCTGGCAGTTTGATGGTCTGGAGCATTCAGGTGTGTTATGACACAAGGCCGAGGAAGAAAGATATCAGCAATGCTCTTAGAGAAACAGTTTCTAAACAGTAAGATAAACAGTAAGAGCTGTTCGACAGTGGAATTTGCTGCCAAGGAGTGTGGTGGAGTCTCCTTCTTTGGAGGTCTTTAAGCAGAGGCTTGACAACCATATGTCAGGAGTGCTCTGATGGTGTTTCCTGCACTGCAGGGGGTTGGACTCGATGGCCCTTGTGGTCTCTTCCAACTCTATGATTCTATGCTGCCGCCTATGAAACTGGGATGGGCTATAAGGCCATCTGCGACCAATTTAAAACCCATCATTCTACAGTGAGAAAGATTACTCAAAAGTGGGAAACATTCAAGACAGCTGCCAGTCTTCCCAGGAGTGGACGCCCCAGCAAATTCACCCCAAGGTCAGACCGTGCGGTGCTCAGAGGAATTGCAAGAAATCCAAGAGTTTCATCTACTACTAGCATGTTAAATGTTAAACATTCATGGCAGAACAAGTGTGGTTTGTCTGGAAGGGTTGCCAGGAGGAAAGCCTCTTTTCTCCAAAAAGAACATGGCAGCACGACTGAGGTTTGCAAAGTTGCGTTAAGACTTCTGGAACAAAAGTCGACTGGGGGAGGTTAGTGTGTCTGGCAGAAAAATAATTAAGCAAGTGTCAACGGTAGAGAGCTTCCTACGAAAACATCCTGCATCCCCCCTCTTCTTCCCCCTGGAGTTATTTAAAAGCTGTTTTCTCTCTCCCCCACTCCTCTTTCTTGTTTTAAAGAGCTCGCCGAGCAGCTAAGGAAGCCAAAGAGGCCCCCGCCCAACCCGCCCCTGAGAAGGTCAAAGTCGAGGTGAAGAAGTTTGTGAAAATCGGCCGGCCGGGTTACAAAGGTAGTGCCCCGCTCTCTCCTTGGGGCTCCGTTTTCCTCCCTTTCCAGATAAGGCTAACAGTGTCTGCTAGCCAGAGTGGCGAGGCAGCAGCGCTTTTGGGTATCAGCCGCTGGAAGCAGCAGGACAGGGAGAGGGCTACTGTGTTCAAATCCTGATCGTGTGTTTCCCAGAAGAGGCATCGGGCTGGCCTCTGTGAGGACAGGGTTCTGGGCTGGATAGCCCATTGGCCTGATCCTGCAGGCCTTTCTGATGTTCAGGTCCTGGCAGGCCACCTAGACCACTTTGTATCTGTTGTGATAAATTGGGGGGGCTGTGTTTGTGTGTGAACACACTTTAATGGCATTTCTGCCACCTGGCAGTCCTGATTCTGCAGCCAGGTTCCGTTACACAAACACTGTTCCTCTGCGTGTTTTTCTTTGTTATCATCCAAAACGGTTAGAAGTCCATATCGCTATATCAGTTTCATAATTTTGGGCCTGGCGATATATTACAAATTGTGATGTGTGTGCGAGTGTGTTTGATATGCAAAATCACAATGTGGGGAAAACTGTGAAGCCAGCCAATGCCTCTACATAGCTCCATCCTTATATCAGACATTGTGATGTATCAGTATAGCACAATGTTTAGCTAGTGATATATCACAATGTTAAAAGTTAGATCCCTCCCAGCCCTAGTTGGTGCTGACTTTAAAAGTCCTAAACGGCCTCGGCCCAGTATCCCTGAAGAAGCGTCTCCACCCCCACTGTGGTCTAGCTCCGAGGGCCTTCTGGCGGTTCCCTCCCTGTGAGAAGTGAGATTACAGATCACCAGGCAGAGGGCCTTCTTAGTAGTGGCACCCGCCCCGTGGAACGCCTTCCCGTTCGATGTCAAGGAGATAAACAACTGTGACTTTTAGGAGATACCGGGAGGCAGCCCGGTATCGTTTGATATTTTTAATTATGTTTTTAGATATGCTGTAAGCCACCCAGTCAGATGGGCAGGGTATAAATAATAAAATAATAATAATAATAGTTACTTATTCTGAGTAATGGGGACAGGCAAGGATCCTCAAGAAAGTCTGATGTCTCAGGTACGAGCAAGCAGTGCTGTGCACTTTCCGAAGTGCACTCATGAGGTCTAGAATCTTCACTGTCCATTTTTAAGGCGGAAGCTGGGTGCGCTCCTTTCAGGAACACACAGCCCCAAAGCCAATGCGCCCTGTGCTTCTTTACAAAGCCATACTAACCTCCACCTTGCCTGCTTTTTTTGTCCTTCAGTGACCAAACAGAGGGATCCAGAGATGGGTCAGCAGAGCCTCCTCTTCCAGGTATCTTCATCTACCTGTTACCTCGCAGTGACTTTGATGTCGCCAGGGCAAAACCATCCCCTGTTGCCTATGTGACTTAAGACAGCTTATTAATTCTGAAATATTTTTGTCCACCCCACTTCCCCTCCTCCCTCCTTGTCCCTGACTCTGGGAATAGCCAGTGTGGTGTAGTGATTAGAGCAGGGGTTCGCAAAGTGGGTGGGACTGCCCCCAGGTGGTTGTGGTGGGATTACCTGGGAGCTCGCTAAGGGGCGAGGGTGCTGCTGGAGGTGTAAATTACTATCAGACTTTGGAAAACTGGTATCGCTGGATCAAGCGGATCAATTTTGTTGAATTAACCTAAGTAGTTTTAATTGGATTTTTGAACAAACGGGCAATTAATGGTTACTGCTTTGAATTTTTTCGCCTTATTATCTTTCATAGTGGGTTTTGCGAACCACTATTCTGAAAAATAGGGACGTGGGTGGCGCTGTGGGTTAAACCACAGAGCCTAGGACTTGCCGATCAGAAGGTCGGCGGTTTGAATCCCCGCAACGGGGTGAGCTCCCGTTGCTCGGTCTCAGCTCCTGCCTACCTAGGAGTTCGAAAGCACGTCAAAGTGCAAGTAGATAAATAGGTAACGCTCCGGCGGGAAGTAAACGGCGTTTCCATGCGCTGCTCTGGTTCGCCAGAAGCGGCTTAGTCCTGCTGGCCACATGACCCGGAAGCTGTTCGCCGGCTCCCTCGGCCAATAAAGCGAGATGAGCACCGCAACTCCAGAGTTGTCCGTGACTGGACCTAATGGTCAGGGATCCCTTTACCTTTATTCTGAATAATGTTCTTTATATGGTGGGGATGAGTTGATGGATCCAAGGGGACAGTGCCCCCCCCAAAGAAAGTTTGTGAATCACTGGGTTAGAGTGTCAATCTTAAGACCAGGGGAGACACCAGGGTTCAAGTCCCCACACAAGCAAGAAGCCTACTGGGTAACCTTGTGGGGGAGGACCACCTCGCAGGATTGTTGTAGGGATTAAATGAGGAGGAAAACACTCTAGTATCGTTTATTCCATTTATTCCATTCATATGCAGGCCTTTATCAAAAGATCTCAGGGCGGTGTACAACCTTGGAAACACATTGCAAAATATAAATAAGAAAAACATAATTAAAACCTAGATAAAAAGCATAGTGACAGAAATCCTAATAACAAAATAGTCATCACAAAACAGCCCCCCCCCATACACATTTACAGGCTATGAATTATTTAATGGCCACAGGCCTGGGTAAAGAGAAATATTTTTGCTTGGCGTCTAAAGGCATGTGTAATAATTATAGGGGTTGCTCGTGCGTAAGTTGGTGCCACTCCTGGCTAGGTTGCCTGGTTAAACCTTTTCTGTCTGGACAGCCCTTCCCTTCGTGGCTGTTTCAGTCGCTAGCAGAATCCGTCAGTGGGCGTTTCTTAAACCTTTTCCAGCATAAAAGCTGTTTGACTCCAAGTCTCCTCCTACTCTCCCTGCGCAGAAGTCTTCTGCGCAGGGAGGGTGTGGGTAGCGGAGGACCCGTGCTCTCCCCTCTGGTCTCCGGCAAGGAGTCCTGGAGCCCCCTCGCCGATTCCCCCATCTGCCCCCCTTTATCCCTGGTGTTACGCTGATTTCCTTCCCCAGCTGATGAGCTGCCTCTCTCCCTGCTGGGCCCCTCTCCAGCATCACTTGGGAGCCTTGCCTCCGCCTCTGGCTCCGATGTCAGTTCCCTGACAGCATGTAATGATGGCACCAGGTGGGCTTCTCTGGGGAGAGCATGCCACAAAAGGGGAGCCACCACAGAAAAGGCCCCGTTCTTGTGTTGCCACATTTCAGCCCTCATGAGGAGGAGGCACAGGAAGAAGGGCCCCAGACGATGATTGCAGGGTCTGGCTGGTTCATATGGGGAGACGCAGTCCCCCGTATGTATAGGTGTGTGAGTGTATTTATGTGCAAAGATAAAGGTTTGGGGAGCCACCACAGAAAAGGCCCTGAGCCTTTTGGAGAAAAAGGTGGAATACGAGCACCATCTGTCGATAAATGCATATTCCTTGTTGACGTGGGGAGCAATTCCTAAATCCAGCAAACAAATTTAATGGCGCAGATCGATTACCCGGAGATCGCCGAGAGCATCATGCCCAGACATCGTTTTATGTCCGCATATGAGCAGAGGATTGAACCCCCCGACCGGCGCTGGCAGTATCTGCTGATGGCAGCAGAGCCCTACGAGACCATCGCTTTCAAGGTGATCGGTGCCTCTACTATCCTCTTTGTTTAGTAGGCCGTATACTGTATTTTTCGCGCCATAAGACACACCTTTTCCCTCCTAAAAAGTAAGGGGAAATGTCTGTGCGTCTTATGGAGCGAATGTGTGGTCGCTCGCTGGCTCCCTTTCCGGCCCCAGCCCCTTGCCCAGGACTCCATTGTAGAATATTCTGCAGACGGAGGTTGTTTGTTTCCCCAGCGACATGTGACTGGCTGATTAGATGATCTGTCTGGAAACTGTAGAAACTGCTCCCTTTCCTTTCCTAAAGAAGCTGCAGAACAGTGAGTTGAACCCCATAAAAACAGGATTTTTTCCCTTTGCAAAGTAAGCTCGACAACTTTGAGCTGATCCTCAAAAAAGGAGGCTTTTCCCCTTTGCAAAAGAAGCTGCACAACTGTGAGCTAATCCCCAAAAAACAGGGCTTTTCCCCTTTCCTCCTCTAAAAACTAGGCACGTCTTATGATCAGGTGCGTCTTATGGAGCGAAAAATACGGTATTTTAAAAAATAAAAAGTGGGGAAGACCTGGGTGCGAGAAACAAAATTCGACTTGGAATTTCAAAAGTGGAACTGGGTTTTTTATTCCGAGACTTGTGCGGAACCAGAGAGGGGCTGCTTTGCCCTGGGTGGAAGAAGCTTATACCTGACACGGAAGAAGCATTTAGTATATGACAGTTTCCGACATCCTGAAAGCCCCCCTGGCCGCAAACGTGCGAGGTTGGGCTGTTTGGCTGAGGGTGAGTGCCGAAACGAGGTTCTAGGAGGCAAGATGGGAAACCCTGGGGGACTTTTTCTAGCTTGGCAGTTGATTTATGTACGGTTGGTTAGAGCATGGTGCTGATAATGCCAAGGTTGCAGGATCGATCCCCGTACGGGACAGCGACATATTCCTGCATTGCAGGTGGGTGGACTAGAGAATTCTCTTTTTTAAAAAATAAATAAATTTTTATTAGTTTTTTTAACATACCATTTTCAACAGTAATTAAACATACTTTTACATCTTATTCAGGTTTTTTTTTTTTACTTCCATCAATCACATCTGAAAATTTTCCAATCTATTCACTTAATATACATTTTTTACTTTCACTTTCACATTTAAATCTCATAACTAATATCTCTATTCTTTCTCTAGTTGGCAATGTTTCATATATTTCCCCTTACAAAACTTCATGTAGTCCTACTAGCATAATTTGTTGATTACAGTTGCTTTCAGATAGTTCGTATATTTCTTCCAATCTTCTGTAAATCTCTGGTCGCGCAGGTTTCGAAATCTTCCTGTCATTTTATCTAATTCTGCGGACTAGAAAACTCTCAGGGTCCCTTCGAACTCTACAATGGCGTGATTCTAACTTCTACAGTTAAAATGGCTGATTAAATCAGATGTCCAAAACAAGTTTTAAAAACCTACCAGCGTGCAGATAGCGTTATATTCTGCTGTTCTATGCGCTTTGGCTAAGCGATAGACATTCTTACTAACGCTTTCCCTCTGCCCAGGTGCCAAGCAGGGAGATTGACAAAGCCGAGGGCAAGTTCTGGACCCACTGGAACCGGGAAACGAAGCAGGTAAGTGGGGTCTGGGGGGGGGGGGAGCAGGGCTGGGAGGGTCTGGAGCCACTGGCCACCACCATCCTAACCTGGGCATCCAAGCAGTGCTGCTCTGACTCTTCAGGATTTGGGATTTGCGGGAGAGAGAACCTTCCCTGGAGATGCAATAATCTGTAAACAGACCCCTGTGTTGCAACACAGTGGTACCTCGGGTTAAGTACTTAATTCGTTCCGGAGGCCCGTTCTTAACCTGAAACTTTTCTTAACCTGAAGCACCACTTTAGCTAATGGGGCCTCCCACTGCTGCGCGATTTCTGTTCTCATCCTGAAGCAAAGTTCTTAACCCGGGGTACTATTTCTGGGTTAGCGGAGTCTGTAACCTGAAGCGTATGTAACCCGAGGTACCACTGTATAGACAAGCTGAACAAAATAACACAACACGATGGCCAGTATCAATGGCACTAAACACTATTTATAGGCTAATACAAATGATCAGAATTTGCAACCAAAGTTTCTAAATCTTCTTCACCAGTTGCGGTAGAATAATTCAAAAGTTTGATATATGCATAATTTGTCACCAAATATCGCCGGAACAGAGTTTCCGGATAACCAATCTGTTTTGTTCAGCCAATCTTTATCAATTCTTCATCAGCCAGGCTTGTAAGAATTAATGTGAGAAGGATGCAATTCAATTTCTTAACAAGCTGAAATTACAATATACATGCGATAAAACCTGCGCCTGTATAAAATAGAATGCATAATATATACAACTAAGATGCATACCCGATCTTACATGTAAACATAAACACTGTAGAAAATATGCTCTGGATCATATGATACTGTAGTCACTGATGCTGGTAACAAATTGTAAAGAACATAATATAGTTAGCCACCGGTGAAACTAATATACTGTAAGGGAATTTAAAGACACAGCACAACATCTGACAACCAGATGAAAACAGTACCCCATCCAAGTCAGTGGATCATGGCAGATAATGCAATTAAATAAAACAATGAAAATCTAACTCAGAATTCAATCCCCCCAGATGAACATCTGCATGTTCAACTCTGTTCATCTGGGGGGATTGAATTGATAAAGATTGGCTGATGAAGCACTGAACGAAACAGACTGGTTATCCGGAAACTCTGTTCCGGTGATATTTGGTGACAGATTATGTATGTATCGAACTTTTGAATTATTCTACCCCGGCTGGTGAAGAAGATTTAGAGACTTTGGTTGCAATTTCTGATTGTTTGTATTAGTCTACAGGTGAAACTCGAAAAATTAGGATATCGTGGAAAAGTTCATTTATTTCAGTAATTCAACTTCAAAGGTAAACTAATATATGAGATAGACTCATGACATGCAACGCGAGATATGTCAAGCCTTTATTTGTTATCATTGTGATGATCATGGCGTACAGCTGATGAAAACCCCAAATTAACAGTCTCAGAAAATTAGAATATTAAATGAAATCAGCAAAACAAGGACTGCAAATAGAGCAGTATTGGACCTCTGAGAAGCAGAAGCATGCATATGTACTCAGTACTTGGTTTGGGCCCCTTTTGCATCAATTACTGCCTCAGTGCGGCGTGGCGTGGATGCTATCAGCCTGTGGCACTGCTGAGGTGTTATGGAAGACCAGGATGCTTCAACAGCAGCCTTCAGCTCTTCTGCATTATTCTTTTCCACAATATTCTAATTTTCCGAGTTTCACCTGTGTAAATAGTGTTTAGTGCCCTTGTTATTGGCCATCCTGTTGTGTTATTTTGCTTCCCTGGAGATGGAGCCTGGGACCACTAAGCGCCAGAGCCGTGTCCTCTTTGAACGTCCATCCGCTGGTACCCAGTGGCTCCTATATTCGTGGCGGAGAGGCTGCTGTCTCAGGCTTCTGATCTCAGTTGCTGGAAACCACGGGAGGGGGAGTTGCTCCTGCGTTCGAATTCTGCTGGTGGGCTTTGCAGAAGAGGCATCTGATTGGCCAGAACAGGATTCTGGACTAAGCCACGCTCTCCTACTCTTGATGGTAACTCTCTCTCTCTTCCTCTCTCCTCTCCCAGTTCTTCCTGCAGTTCCATTTCAAGATGGAGAAGCCCCCAGCCCCGCAGAGCATCCCTGCCGGGCCGGCCACCGTCAAGAGGCCCCCGCCGCCCCCGCTCATGAACGGCCTGCCCCCCCGCCCCCCGCTCCCGGACTCCCTCCCCCCGCCTCCCCCCGGAGGGATCGCCATGCCCCCCATGCCGCCCCCCACGGGGCCCGTCCCCATGCCCCCGGGCCCACCGCAGCTCCCGCCAGCTCCCGGCGTCCCTCCCCCCGCCCCCCTGCCCCCCATGCTGAGACCCCCGCTTCCCACAGAAGGGCCCGGCAGCATCCCCCCACCGCCCCCCACCAGCTGAAAAAGCCGTTCGGGGGTTTTGTCGCGGACTTCCTTCGTCTCCCGGTGCCTGCTTCCGACGCCTGTTTTTCTCGCTCTCCCCACCCCCTTTTTAGAATAAAAACACACACTGGTTTGGAATCCTGTATCTTCATTTAAAACAAGTTACTCCTTTTCTCTTAACATTTCTGGAATTGGCTTTCGTTGCGTCTAAGAAATCAAACGTTGGCTTCTAAACTTCTTTAGCAAAGGGCAGTATGGAGAGTCTCAAATTAATCCAGAAGGGGGGGTTTTAGGGTGTGGGTGTGTTTAGAACAGTTCTTAGATCAAGCCACGCAGGAGACAAACCAGTAAAATAATTAAAGGTCATTGGGGAAGCCCCAGAGTCCTTGACCCATGGGGGGGGGGGCTACCTGTTGCGTAATTTTATATACCTCTGCCATGTATTCCATTTCCCTTTATTTGTATTTTTAAGTATTGTGCCTGTTCGCCGTAGGGACGGTCCTCTTCTGCACTTTTAAAATAAAGAGTTTAGTTGGATACAACATGCGCACACACTGCAAAACCTGGGGAATTGGGAGTGAACTGGGACAGCTCATTTGGTGGAGCATAAGACTCGGTTGTGGGTTCAAATCCCACATCCGGCAAAGGATTCCTTCCTTGCAGGGATTTGGACAACACTCATGGTCCCTTCCAACCCTACAATTCTATAACTTAGAAGGTTTGGGGATCCCAGCCTAGGAATTTGGGGACCTGGTTTCCTCAGGGTTTGAATTAGAACCATCCGGACTTTTGCTTTGGGTTCCTGGTAAAACCTGGTACATTACGCAGCACGGCATGATAATTAAATTTAGGAGTCATCATGTCATCGTCCATTAGGTGGATGGCAGCTAACGGATTGAGGTTGAATCCCAATGAGATAGAAGTGCTGTTTCTGGAGGACAAGGGGTGGGTGGGTGTGGGGGACTCCCTGGTCCTGAAAGTGGTAAGTGTGCCCCGGAAGGACCAGGTGCGCAGCCTGGGGGTCATTTTGGACTCACCGCTGTCCATGGAGGTGCAGGTCAGTTCTGCTTCCAGGGCAGCTGTCTACCACCTCCATCTGAGACCCTCCCTGCTTGCGCCGTGTCTCACCAGAGTTGTCCAACCTCTGGTTATCTCCCACTTGGGACTACTGCTAGGCGCTCTACATGGGGCTACCTTGGAAGGTGACTTAGAAACTACAATTAATCCAGAATGAGGCAGCTAGACTGGTGACTGAGAGTGGCCGCTGAGACCATAGAACACCAGTCCTAAAGGATTTACACTGACTCCCAGTACGTTTCCAAGCACAATTCAAAGTCTTGCTGCTGAGCTTGAAAGCCCTAAACCCTGTATACCCAAAGGAGCATCTCTGCTCACATTGTTCAGCCCGGACACTGAGGTCCAGTTCCGAGGGCTTTCTGGTGGTTCCCTCCCTGTGAGATGTGAGGATACTGGGAACCAGGCAGAGGGCCTTCTCGGTAGTGGCACCCGCCCTGTAGAACGCACTCCCATCAGAAGTCGAGATAAACAACTATCTGATTATTAGAAGACATCTGAAGGCAGCCCTGTATCGGGAAGTTCTTAAAATTTGATGTTTTACTGTGTTGGAAGCAGCCCAGAGTGGCTGGGGAACCCAGTCAGATGGGTGGAATAAATAACTTGTTATTATTTCCCCTGGTTGGTCCAGCCTTTTGGGCCCTCCGGACGTCCTTAGACAGACATGCCCATCTTGGGACTGTTTCTGGGGGCGGGAGGGGGGACGCGTCTCGCTTGTTTTGCTCCGGTTTGGGGCTGCAGTAATAAAGAAGATTGCCAAGTCAAGGTTGCAACCATCTGGGTGGCTTGCGTTCTGTGAAAGCGTCCGGCCTTTGGAGATAACCAGCTGCTGAAAATAGAACAGAGAAGGATTCCTTTGAGTCAAACTTCTTTTCCTCCTCCTCCAATAATCTCTCCAGCGAACAACACTGTGCATTGTTGATTCAAGGACAGCCGGGTTGAAAGGAGAGAATTCGAGACACCTCTTCGCCGGCCGTTTCGCTCTCTCTCTGTGGACGCTTCCTCTACCCCCTATTTCAAAGGATGTCTCCATTTGCTGCTGGTCTCCGCCGGCTTTCCTAGAAGCATCCCGAGACAAACCATGCGCCCCGTTATCGGAGGAGCCGTCCTGAGCCTCCTGCTGATGATCAAGTCTATCCCTGCGCCTGGGAAGGAGATCCTAACAGGGGAAGGGCCTGAGCTTCCAAGCTCCAGGGAATCTGTGGGGCCCAATCCCCCAGAAGAGGACGAAGTCCTGGGCACGTCGGACTTTGCAGACCCCAGGATGATGGTGGAGGCCCTATATCCCACGGACGCAGACTGGGGCGGGCCCTTAGGTCTGTGGCCCCACAGGGCTAGCTTTCGGCCGAGGCCCCACGGAGACCCCCAGGGGCCTGTTTGTAGGGTCAAGGTGCGCCGGGGTGGCGAATTGAGCCGCCGTCCTCTGGAGGTTGTGGGTCTCCTCACCAGCTACGACAGCAGGTTCCTGAAGGCGCTGAGTGGGTCCATCTGGAGCGAGGAGGATATGGAGGTGTTTGGGGTCTGCCCCACAGATGTGTCCCGGGGTGTCCTGGCCTCTCTGCAGCGGGTTGGCGCTCACCTGGATGACCCGGGGGAAAACCGGCTTCTGTGGCTACACCTGGAAGAAGGTAGGAGTCCATTTGCGTGAGAGCTCTTAATTGGTGAGCACCAATTTGTTTCCACGCTTCAGATCATCAGGAAAGGGATTGCAAACAAAACTGCCAGGGTCACGAGGCCGTTCTGCAAATTGACGGTGCGGCCGCCTTTGGAAGGTGGTGAATGGTTCTGGGTGCCTCGCCTCAAAAGGGAGTTGGAAAAGGTTCAGAAGCGGGCAGCCCAAATGGCCAAGGGGATGTAGCAAGTTTCCTAGGATCCGCGTTTGGGGCTTTTTTGTTTAGAGGAAGAGACAACATGATAGATAAAACGATCCATGACGTTGAAAAAGTGGGATGTTGAAAAGTTTCCCTCCCGAATGCTAGAACTCACGGGAATCCCAGTGAAACTGAAGATTCAGGGCAGGTTTCCTAGCTGGCTTTGAAAGGGATTTGGACAAGTTTGGGGTGTTATAGATGGCTAGTAGCCATGCTGCTTTGCTCTTCCTCTATGACGGGAGGCAGCAGTGTTTCTGAATATCATAGAACCATAGAATCGTTGGAAGGGACCCAAGGGTCATCTAGTCCAACCCCCTGCAATGCTGGAATATCGGTTGCTGCAAACGACAGGAGGGGAGAGTGTTGCTCTGATGCTTGAACCCAGTTTCCCAGAAGAGGCATCAGACTGGCCACTGTGATGCTGAACCAGCAGCCAGGCTCTTATGTTTCTATGGAACCTCCCAGTCCAGAGGCAGTCTATCGCGATTCCTAGCTTCTTAGGGGTATTTGGCTGCCGCGGAACAGGATGCTGGACTAGCTAGGCCATTGGCCTCATCCTGCCACTGTGCTCTTCTTATTTGGCCTTGTAGGTGTGGGTTATAAGCAGGAGCTCTTAGCACCCTGGCGTCAAGATAACTTCCAGATTTTGGGGGACTTCCCTGCCTTTTTTCTGGCCCACGTAGGACCAGTCTGGATAGTTAGCCTTGGTGAAGACTTGACGTTTTCATCCCCCAAAAAGTTTTTGATTTGAGTTTCTCCTGAAATGAGGCTGCATTTTAATGTTGTATTTTAATCTTGTTTTTTAAGTTGTATTTCCATCAATTGTTTTTATACCTGGTGTTAGCTGCCGGGATTGGTGGCACCACCTCTGATCCCTGCCAGTGCTCTGCCCCTATGCAAAGTTTCCAGGCTGTATCCAAGGGCAGCCCCATTCCCGAGTGTGTTGCAGTAGTCTAGCTTGGGTTCAACTAGGTCACTCAGGCAAGGCCTGATCTCTATCTCTCCAGGTAGCGCCACTGCTGGCTGGTGCCCATTGGGGACTGGCGGGGCGGGAAGCAGGGACCCCAAAAAGTAGGCAGAGCCAGAGCCAATGAGAGACTGCGCTAGATTATTCTAGTCTAGCCCCCCCGCCCCGCTGGTTCCTGCTGGATCTAGTTAACGAAATTTTTTGATTTCTAGTATATGCAAAGAGTAAATAGTAATCTATGCAGCCAAAACAGAACCCCCCAATGCACAAGGGGGAAAGTGTTGGCAGGCTTGGGATGAACCCCAAATATTGCAGAAACCCCTCAAATTTAGTGCTCCAGGAAGCTTGCACCCCGCAATGTCTTCTGTAGGCTGAGGATGCAGACTGGAAACCCCAATGTGTGTTGGGGGCGGGGAATGGAGGAGGACGAGGAGGAGAGGGGGGTGGGATGGCATATTGTGAGAAAGGGCTTGGCTGCTGGGTTTGGGGTGGCCTGGCTGAGAAGCCCCACACACCCCACACTTTCTTACAGGTCTCATCCTATCTCCTTCTCTCAGGGCCAGCAGTGGGAATTTGATGGGAGAAGAATAGAATCTATTCAGTTCCCCAAAAAGAACAGAATATATTGAAGAACAGGGGATACCGGGCAGAAAGTGCTCCGTGCACTGCAACCTTTTATTGCAGTACTCACAGTGTCTTCCTCGCTCTCTCTCTGCCTCTGTTCAGGACCAACGGTGGCAATTTCGCCAGAAAAACGCACAACAACTTGCCATAATGCAAAGAGCCAAATAAGTCGGCCCGCTACAACGCATGCTGCCTGGTTCTTCAGGTGTGCGGTACTTCTCGGCTGGAGCTTAGTCTCAGGATGGCATCAGGGTTTGACTTGGGTGTTAGGTGGTTGGGTGCACTGCCAAGGCAGTGTGAATAGCATTGCCTGTTGCTTTTTTAAAATGCAGGCAGGCAGGCAAGCAAGCAAGGTTTTGTTACTATTTCGTTTTATAATCTATATGAAGTGGAGAGAACCATTAGTTTCTGGAGGTGAAATCTCAAAGGGTACTTTCACTGTATATGTATACGAAAGGAATGCAAAATCATATTAAAAGTGTCTGGAGGCGCTAGTCCTCATTGAGATCTCAAATGATGCCTGGTTTTCCCATAACGCAGAGCGAGCGATACCAAGTGTAAGATTTTTGGCTGTCCCCCCCTGGAGCGGCGTTTACTATTTAAGCTGGAGTTTGGCCCACCAGCAATGGCGGGAGTGAGGCTGGGGTCTCCCTTGTCCCAGGCTGAAGAAGCAGGTCCCTGTCTGATTCTCCGGTTTCCTTCTTGCAGTGAAATGGGAGGCGGAAACGAAACTCCTCTTCCAGCTGGCCTTCCACGAAGAGGATGTCGGGGGCTCTCTTAGGTCCCTGCAACTGGCCCTGCTGATATTTTACCAAGGCGGAAAGGAATCGGGGGGCGTCGGGACCCCGGAGAAATTCCTGGTGGGAGGGGAAGGTCTCCATCCTAAACAGGTATGCAAACGGGGATGGGGGGGCGGCCATCGTTGGAAAGATGATTATCATCATCATCAATTTTTATTACGGTCCAGAGACCCAACAAATCATTACAAAGCAATACACAATTCATACAGCCTACCTCCAGGTTAAGCAAGCATATTGTTCAGAATACAGACATCATTTGTTCTTGCAACCACTGATAAAAACTTGGCCACTGCTAATGTTCTAGCGTTTGTCCGCTCTTCCAATAGGAACCTGACATACTGTGCCTCTGATTTTCCTGGGAAAGGTACCAGCAAGGGTAGTATCAGATCAGCCCTGGCTTGCTCATATTTTGCACAGTGCAGCAAAATATGTTTTATGGAATCGATGTCTTGAGCACACGAGCAAAGTCTGTCCTGGTAGGGAACTCCTCTCAACCTGCCATCCAACTATAAGATGATGATGATTATTATTTTTTTTAATGATTTTTATTAAAGTTTGAATAAAAAGTTAAACAGAAAACATAAAAAAGAAATACACAAATACACAGTACATAATCCAAAAAAAGAAGAAAAACACAGAGAACAGAAAACAAAAAAAAGAAACAGAACAATTAAAAACAATATCGCCTTTTCATTTCCGTTTTTAAAATTACTTATTTTCTGGACCTCCTCATACCTCCCTCTTTTGTATCCCAGTCCAAATTGTTTATCCAGCAATTTCTTTTCCACTTTTTAAATCCCAATCTTTAATCTTAATATAATATAGCATTAAAATTTTACCTCTTAAGTACCAAATTCCCATTTCCTTCAACTTCTTTAATCCTAATCTTTAATCTTAATGTAATATCTATCTATAACTTTATCCTGTACAGCTGGAAACCACTTATTTTCAATCCATCATCACTCTAACATTCTTTAATTTTGCAGTGTTTCTGTAGATAATCTTTGAATTTCTTCCAATCTTCCTCCACCGACTCTTCTCCCTGGTCACGGATTCTGCCAGTCATTTCCGCCAGTTCCATATAGTCCATCAGTTTCATCTGCCATTCCTCCAGCGTGGGAAGTTCTTGTGTCTTCCAATACTTTGCGATGAGTATTCTTGCTGCTGTTGTTGCATACATAAAGAAAGTTCTATCCTTTTTTAACACCATTTGGCCGACTATGCCCAGGAGAAAGGCCTCTGGTTTCTTGGGAAAGGTACGACTATAAGATGATTATTTCATTCATGGCTCTGGACGCCCCTCTTTTCCTTCGGGTGAGACGTGCAGAGCTCCCCTTGCACTTTATCCTCGCACAACAATCCTGTGAAGTAGGCGAGGCGCAAGGTCACCAGGTGGGCATCATTGGGATTTGAACCCAAGGGTCTTCCTAGTCCTAAAGCAACATGCCCATTTCATGGACAGAGATAGTCCGTCAGCTGCCATTTATTTTTTTAAAATAATTTTTATTGAATGATTTTATATTACAAAAAACAATACAACCATACTACCACTAAATATAATTAAGAAATAAAAATTACATACATCAATATTTAGTTTATTTGTTATTTACCATCTTATTTCCTCCCAAACATTCCATACAAAGACACACATATGTGCAGACACCCACACACCCACACACAAAATGATAATAATGAAAGTACCGGTAAATATTTTTCCCCTTTTATCTTCCAAAATCTTTTCTTCAACTTTGACTTCCTGTCACGTCCCTTTGCATATATTTTATCTTACAATCGAATGTACACAAAACAATAGACTTTGCTCTGGTGGAATGAATACGCCAGATACGATATAGCGTATAATTTTGGAATTCCCTCTTTTCGACACTCTTAGGAGAGACCTACTGGCGACTCTCTTGAAGCTTAAAGTATCTACTTGCAAAGAATTTGGAATCCAATATCCGTTGTGGGATGATATACCCAGATCTACTGAGATTGTTTCAGGATATTCAGCCGAGATTTTTAAAGTCAAATTTGAAACTACTAAATTTTACTGAATGGTGGCTACTGATTCTTTTATACGTTTCACGTGTTTAACAGACCTTGATCACCAATATTTTATGCATGTTTTCCTCCCTCTCTCGTATGATTTTATTGTCTGAATTGTGCCAATAAAAGCTGAGTGAATGAATGAAATAGAGCCTCCATGTCCAGGACCACGCTACCAGAGAGCATAAAAGCTGACCTAAAGAGATTCCTGGGCCCTGTTTTTCCTAAACTGATACTTTAAGAAACATAAACGAGGGCAATGTTTTGACTCTCAGTTATTATTGTTGTTATTTCGTTGCTCTGCAAGCACAGCCCTGCGGAAATCCAACTGGTAAGGCCTTTCCCTGCCATCCGCAGCCTTGCCCAAACTTAGGTCTCCAGCTGTTTTGGGACTACGAGTCCCATCATCCTTGACTGCTGGTCCTGCTAGCTAGGGACGATGGGAGTTGTAGTCCCAATACAGCTGGAGACCCAAGTTTCAGCAACGCTGCGGATGGCAGGGGAAGCCATTGGCAGAGAGACATCACCCGTTGAACTTCTGCCTAGCGGAGGCAATGCTTAATGCGTGGGGTGCTGCTGCCTTTAGCCATTTTTGCAAATATTGGATGCTGTCCTATTTTCACCCCGCAGGTCGTCTGTCTCTCCAGCAGAACCCAGTACCTCGTCCTTCAGGGGTCGGCGATGTCAGGCAGACATTCACTGGGGCAGCTCAGCTTTGAAGTTTCCTTGGCAATCAGGCGCCAGAACAGCAACGGTAGGACCCCTATTGCATGAAATGGAACAGAAACAAACCTTTGACACGCAAGCCAAGCATTGCGGGGTGAGCTTTCATTCTGAGCACCACTCAGGATTGCACTTTCCATAACATGCAAGTACATGCAAAATAAATTCCCTTCCCAATATGTAATTTTACTGAATTTCCACATTTTTCCAAATTAACTTCAAATTCAATAGATATTTAATGTATTGGCTTTTCACTTCCAGCTCCATTGTGTTTTTGTTTTGCATTATATATCCAACTGTTATATATTACAAAAACCCCTGTAATGCAATTACTTTATCATTTTGAATTTTACTGTTATTCATGCTTTTATACTGTATTTTATGCTGCTTTTACAATTAAGTGTTTTAAATTTGTCGTTAGCCACCCTGAGCCCGGTTTTTGAACCAGGAAGGGCGGGGTACTATTATTATTATTATTATTATTATTATTATTATTTTCCTTCCAATGCTCCTCTCTCGGATCCTGCCTGCGGTTTCACTTGTTTGTAGTGCTTTTCCAAATAGCCCAGAAAAGGCCTCCATTCTTGCATAAAAAGTTCATCAAAATAAAGCCTTTAAAATGCATAACATGCTTTGACATCATCTGCACCTGAGAGCACTAAGGCCCAATCCTCACCACGTTGCCATCCTTACACGGGAGTAAAGCCTCTGTCGACCTTACATGGGGCTTAGAAGAGGAGTTCAGGGATATGTTTATTTTTTTTAAATAACTTTATAAATAGTTTTGTGCCTTTGCTTCCCAATTTTCATTGCACCGTGGATTTTATTGATTATAGTTCGGAAATTGTTTGTTGTGACCGTTAAGAGTGAAGTTCTGTTTAATTATTATCTGCCGATGTTTAATTTAACTGTGCGCTATTATATTCTAATGGATTATTTAATATTACTTTATTTGACATAGGTTGTTTATTTTCAAAGAATGGTGGACTCTCTCCTTTTTTGGAGGTTTTTAAGCAGAGATTTAAAAATCTCCCTAAATCTCTGTTTAGGGAAGCTTTTAATGTTTAATAGGTTATTGTATTTTAATATTCTGTTGGAAGCCGCTCAGAGTGGCTGGGGAAACCCAGCCAGATGGGTGGGGTATAAATAAATTATTATTGTTATTATTATTATTATTATTTGGCCCTCTGTCACGGATGCTTTAGCTGAGATTCCTGCCTTGCAGGGGGTTGGACTAGATGACCCACAAAGGTCCCTTCCAAACCTACAGTTTTTGATTCTACAAAGGTGAAAGTTGCATTTATGCTCAGTCCGCTTTTGCCTCTGTCCCTGCCCAGCTCTGGGTGTCCCTTCCAATTCTACAATTCTACAATTTCACCCTCCCCACCACAACAACCCTGTGAGGTAGGATAGGCAGAGAGACGGTGGCTGGCCCCCCAGGTCCCCCCCCCCACTAAGCTGCATGTGGCTGAGCGGGGGATTCGAACCCTGGTCTTCCAAGACTTATGCTCTAACCACTGCACCACACTGCCTCTCATTTGATAATGTTAAATAATAGCAGCAGAAAACAATAATAATAGCAGCAGCAGCCGTCTTTTCAGGAATTAGAGGAGGGGTCTTTATTAGCTACAACCGAGAGAGAGACCTTCCATTTGTTCTACTCTGCAGAAAGAAAACCTTTCCTCCTCCTCTTCCTCTTTGCCTCCCTTGCAGGCACCGGCCTCTCCCAACACGAAACCCAAAACCTCCTGTTCGGTTTCGACCCAAAGTGCTTCACCCGCATGACTCCGACTGTGCTGCTCCTGGCCAGGCTGAGACCCCGAGCTGCTCCAATCCTTCTTCCCTCCTCATCTTTCCTCGCTGCCGACGGCAAGTTGGACGTGGTCCCTTACCTGAACCCCAGGTGAGACCCCTTCCCTCCCTGCCGAGGGCTGTGCTTGATTTGCTCAAAGAGGAGGGCACTCTGTCCATGCTCAGGAGACCTTGGCTGATCTCCTTCCCTTGAAAACCAGCATTTCTCTCCCTCCTTTCTCTGGCTGAGCACATGATGCACATTCAAAGCGCATGGGAACGGCAGGAGTTGGCGGGTTCCCTTTGGAAACTGCGAGAACAGGACGGGGGACAAGATCCCTGATCCAGAAGGATCGTCCTTATGGAACCTCCAGGTCCAGAGGCACTCTATCTGGATCCCTATGTTCTATGGGGTATACCTGAAGGAGTGTCTCCACCTCCATCATTCTGCCCAGACACTGAGGTCCAGCGCCGAGGGCCTTCTGGCGGTTCCCTCCCTGTGAGAAGCAAAGCTACAGGGAACCAGGCAGAGGGACTTCTCGGTAGTGGCACCTGCCCTGTGGATGTCAAAGAGAAAAACAACTACAGTGGTACCTCGGGTTAAGTACTTAATTCGTTCCGGAGGTCCGTTCTTAACCTGAAACTGTTCTTAACCTGAAGCACCACTTTAGCTAATGGGGCCTCCTGCTGCCGCCGCGCTGCCGGAGCATGATTTCTGTTCTCATCCTGAAGCACTATTTCTGGGTTAGTGGAGTCTTTAACCTGAAGCGTATGTAACCCGAGGTACCACTGTACCAGACTTTTAGAAGACATCTGAAGGCAGCCCTGTTTAGGGAAGCTTTTCTTTATTTATTTATAATTTTTTATTAAATTTTCCAACATACATTTATAGTATCCAATCTAAATTTATCACATATTTTCTCTTTTAGACTTCCTTCAACCTCTCTGACAATCATCCATTATTCAAATTTTTAAATACGCATTTCCTAATTTTATATTGCATTTTATAAACCTTCACACACTTAGTTTTCATCAATACAATAGTCCTCTATCATTTACAGAACTTCTTGAAATCCCACTAGCGTTATTTGCTCATCACATACCCATTTCAGATAGTCTGAAAATTTTCCCCAGTCTTCAATGAACTTTTGATCTCGTATATATCTGATCTTTCCTGTTAGTTTGTCCAGTTCAGCATACTCCATCAGTTTCATTCTCCATTCTTCGAGCGTCGGCAGTTGTTCCTGTTTCCATTTTTGGGCCAATAATATTCTCGCTGCTGTTACTGCATATTGGAAAAGTTTACAGTCCATTCTATTTATTTCATTTCCTACTATTCCTAGAAGAAAAGCCTCTGGTTTCTTAACAAACATATATTTCAACATCTTTTTCATCTCATTATATATCATTTCCCAGAAGCCCTTCACCTTCTTACAATCACACCACATATGATAAAATGTTCCTTCTTTTTCTTTACATTTCCAACACTTATTACAGTGGTACCTCGCAAGACAAATGCCTCGCAAGACGAAAAACTCGCAAGACGAAAGAGTTTTGCGGTTTTTGAGTTGCTTCTCAAGACGAATTTCCCTATGGGCTTGCTTGGCAAGACGAAAAACGAAAACGTCTTGCAAGTTTGTTTCCTTTTTCTTAAAACCGTTAATACCCAGGGTGACTTCGAGGAGCAACTCATAGCACGCGGTGTGGTAGCCTTTTTTGAGGTTTTTGAAGACTTTGGTGATTTTGAAGACTTTGGGAAACCGTGCTTCGCAAGACGAAAAATTCGCAAGACGAAAAAACTCGCAGAACGAATTAATTTCGTCTTGCGAGGCACCACTGTACATGTTTTATACATTTTTGCCAGTTTCACAGGTGTGATGTACCATCTATAAATCATTTTCATAACATTTTCCTTTAACGCAGTACATGCCGTAAATTTTATATTTTCATTCCACAGTTTTATCCAATCATTAAACTGTATATTATAACCCAAATCTCTGGCCCAGTGTATCATAACCGATTTAACTTCCTCATCTTTTGTATACCATTCTAGCAAGATTTTATACATCTTGGACAAAATTTTATTTTCATTGTTTATTATTTCTATTTGAAATTTCGATTCTTTTACCTCATAACCTCTTTCTTTTAAGTCCTGTTTAAACATTTCATTAACCTGATAATAATGCAACCATTTAATGTTTAATAGGTTATTGTATTTTAATATTCTGTTGGAAGCCGCCCAGAGTGGCTGGGGAAACCCAGTCAGATGGGCGGGGTATAAATTATTATTATTATTATTATTATTATTATTATTATTAGGCCACGGTGAAGCCAATGGCCTAATGCAGCCGTCCTTCTCTCCGCAGTGTACCCCCAACGTCTGCCACGGCCGATGTGCAGCCCTCCCTGGCTCCCCAGGCGAACGCCACCTCCGCCCACCCAGCGCCCTCAAGCACTGGCCGTTTCCTCGCCGCTCTCTCCCAGTTCGTCAACAAGGTCCTCAGCCCTTCCGGAGAGCCCCTGCCGGCCCCTGGGCCGCAGCTGCGGCTGAACTTTGACACCATGGAAGCCCTCCCTCACCGGGTGCTCAACCTCTCGGAGAAGGTGGCGCTGGAGCGGCTGGTGCAGTCTGAAGACCCCCTGGTGGTCTTGTTCCCCGAAAACAGCCAGGCCTTGATGGAGAGCCACCTGGCGCACTGGGCGCTGGAGGGGAAACTGCTGCGGCAACTGCTGCAGAAATTGCGGGAGGTGATTCGGGAGCTGGCGGCCTCCCCGTCTTTCCGGGACCACGAGACCCTCTTCCACGGCCTCCTGGCGTTCTGCTACTACCCTCCCAGGGTCCCCGGTGGTGGCGATCCCGAGGGATCCGCAGAAGGATCTCCCGGGCGGCGGAAGATCCACAGCCTGCTGCTTCTCAAAGCCTTGCAGGCCCTGCGCGCCCGCTGGCGGGAGTCCCGGAAGGCGGCCCCCCGCGCCAACCGCAGCACCCCGGAGCGAGACGACTACTGCCGGCTGCGCAAGCTGCGGATCGAGCTGGTGTCCACGGGGTACATCATCTTCCCCGAGTGGTACGACGCCAACAACTGCGCTGGGCCCTGCCGCTTCCCGCTCTCGTCCCGCGTCCCCGACTACTACTCCCACACGCTCTTCCTGCTGCGGGTGCAGGAGCAGGGCCTGCCCCTGGAGAGAGCCCCCTGCTGCGTCCCCGTCAGCTACTCCAGGAGCATCATCGTCACCTTCACCAACGACCAAGGCATGAAGGTGAAGGCCTACCCCGACATGGTGGCCGAGGAGTGCGGCTGTCGGTAGAGAGAGGGCGGCTCGGCGGCGGCAGCTGAAGTGCTTTGCCCTCCTCCTCCCGCCGTTGAGCTCGCCTCTCCTTGCCCGGCTGTGCCCTGTTCTACTTTCCCATCAATTACTTCACCCTCCTCCCACCGCTGACATCACCCTCCTTCGCTCACCATTGACTTCACCCTCCTTCGCTCACCATTTTCAGTCTCCTCCCACTGTTGACATCACCCTCCTCCCACCGCTGACATCACCCTCCTTCGATCACCATTGATGTCCCCCTCCTCCCACTGTTGACATCACCCTCCTTCTCTCGCCATTGACTTCACCCTCCTCCCACTGCTGACATCATCCTCCTTCGCTCACCATTGACTTCACCCTCCTTCGATCACCATTGATGTCCCCCTCCTCCCACCATTGACATCACCCTCCTTCTCTCACCATTGACTTCACCCTCCTCCCACCGCTGACATCACCCTCCTTCGCTCACCATTGACTTCACCCTCCTCCCACCGTTGACATCACCCTCCTTCGCTCACCATTGACATCACCCTCCTCCCACCGTTGACTTCACCCTCCTCCCACCGTTGACATCACCCTCCTCCCACCGCTGACATCACCCTCCTTCGCTCACCATTGACTTCACCCTCCTTCGATCACCATTGATGTCCCCCTCCTCCCACCGTTGACATCACCCTCCTTCTCTCGCCATTGACTTCACCCTCCTCCCACCGCTGACATCACCCTCCTTCGCTCACCATTGACTTCACCCTCCTTCGATCACCATTGATGTCACCCTCCTCCCACCGTTGACATCACCCTCCTTCTCTCGCCATTGACTTCACCCTCCTCCCACCGCTGACATCACCCTCCTTCGCTCACCATTGACTTCACCCTCCTCCCACCGTTGACATCACCCTCCTTCGCTCACCAGTGACTTCACCCTCCTCCCACCGCTGACCAGGACTGCTGTATCTCCTCTTATTCCTTAGACCAAGCTAATAATTCTGGTCCCACGCCGATGACACCCTCTCATGCGTAGTCAGCCTACCTCCAGTTTCTCTTGCTTTGCATAATTTATTCTGCATTTGCATATATATCTGATGGTGCTGGGATGATTAAATCTGTTGGATATTGGGTTTTTTTAAAAAAAATTGACAGTGTGTGGCATTTCTTTTCCAGAAGTGGGCTGTGCTTGGTTTTGCTCTGTTCTTTAAATTGATGTAGTTTCTTTGCAGAGTAATCAAAGAATTGTGGAGTTGGAAGGGATCCCCCAAGGGTCATCTAGCCCAACCCCCCACAATGCAGGAGAGTGCTGCTTGCAGGTTTCCCAGAGGCATCCGGTTGCGTTGCTGCTGATAAAAGGATGCTGGACGGGATAGACCAAAGTCTAGTCCATCAGGGCTCTTCTGGACCCTACAAAATGTGACCAAGGCCATGCCTCTGAGCATATGCAGAGTGGTTTCCCTTTCCTGTGCTGCCACCACCAGAACCCCACCAGCAGCATCTAAGAAACGGCATTGCCTTTAAAGCCCTTAACGGCCTCGGCCCTGTATACCTGAAGAAACATCTCCACCCCCATCGTTCTGCCCGGACACTGAGGTCCAGCTCTGAGGGCCTTCTGGCGGTTCCCTCACTGCAAGAAGCAAAGCTACAGGGAACTAGGCAGAGGGCCTTCTCGGTGGTGGCACCCGCCCTGCAGCCCCAGAAGGCAGAATTTCCCAGTGGTCAGGGATCCTCAGGGGATCGTCGCTGCATGGAAGAAAAAGAAGAGTCCATCCTACATGTCTGAAACTTTTATTTAACAGATGTATTATAAACAGATTTAAGCCAAAAGGGTGGGGGGTGGGGAGAAAAGAGAAGAGTTCTTTTAAGGGGGAAAATTGAGAAAATTGACTGGAGAATAAAAGGTGGGGAGCTGAATTTAAGACTGCAAACACGATGGAGAGGAATCAGGATTCACACCACCTCTGAAAACTGCTTTGTGACAAAGGAGGAATGGATGGTTCAATCTGTCTTTTTTTCAGGCACTGATGTATGGGGTGTGGATGTGTGAGCCAACCCCACTGCTTATGGGGTGAGATCTCAAGGTTTGGGGGGGGGGTCTTCCATCTACCAAAGCAGCAGAGTCAAGCACAAAGGCCTCACTGTCCGTCACAAGCCGGTTTAGCAAACACTGCAACTTCTCCTTGCCGTTGCGGGGTGCCTCCCCCAGCCCCGTTATTTGGGGGGGAGGAGGCGTGAACACCCAAAAAAGAGAGAGAAGACAATAGGGATGGGGTGGGAGAGGCTTTCTTGAGGTCAGAGGTCAGAGGGATCTCCTGGGCTGAGCAGACAAGTCCTTGGCCGTGGCCCAAGATCCCTCTGCAGGTGGCAGGGCCTCGGTATTACGTGTCTGGGAAGTGGGACCAAGGGGAAGTTTGTGAGACACAAGCAAGCGGGTCTCGCACTGCTCCAGAGTCGCCTGGGCCCCTGCGCCCGCCTGTTCGAGGGGGCAGGGGGCATTTTGGAGCGCTGCTTCCCACGGCGGAGGGGTCTCAGTCGTGCCGCCTGGCAGGCTTCTGCAGGGGGAAGAGCGGGCGCTGCACCCGCAAGGGCTTCCGGCCTCTCTGCTCGTGGAGGTGGGCCTTATGGTCCCGCTCTTTCCCGCGGTCGCGCCCGTCCTTGGGGCGCCCCTTCCCTTCCTCTTGCTTGTGAGCCTTGGCTTCGGGTTTGGGCTGTCGGCTCCTCCTCTCCTCGCGCTGCTCTTTCCGCTTCCCCTCTCGCAGAGGCCGCTTGCTGCGAACAGGCTCCTCCTCCTCTTCCTCCTCCTCCTCTTCCTCTTCCTCTAGGTCCTTGCGACCTTTCTGGGTCTTCTCCTTGGAGACCCTCTCTCTTCGGGTCACTTTTTCTGGCCTTTTCCTCTGCTTGACTTTAGCTCCTCCCCCTCCCTCCTCTAGCTCCTCCTCCTCTGGCTCCTCCTCCTCTTCCTCTGGCTCCTCCTCCTCCTCTTCAGTGGGCTCCTCCTCTTCGACTTCAAGGCTTTCCTCTTCCTCCTCCTCCTCCTCCTCCTCCTCGATGTCAGGTGGTTCGTCCATGTCCGACCAGTTCAGCCACCTCTCGTAAAACCAGAGTTCTTCCTGGAATGGGAAGAAAACACAGAAACAAACACAAGGGGTGTCACCAAAAACAGCCTCCGGACATTGCGGGCCCACAACTCCCATCACTGGTGGGCGTCCAGCAATATTTGGAGGGAGACAAGTCTAAGAAAAAGCTATTATTCTGCCTTGAATACTGCTTTAGCGGCTTGAGGCCACACAGTAGTCTATACATTTGTTAAATAAATGCATTTGTTATATGAAGAGATGCGTAAATGCCTTGTGGGCCATCTTTGGGAGAGGAAAAGGGTCAGGAGTGAACCCTACACAAATCTTGAGGGGAGTCCCTAAGGCAGCTGGGTGATGCCTTGTCCGCCTACTTCCAGCAACTCCTGCAGCCAAGCTGGTGCCAAAGCTCTTGCTCTGATTTCCTTTGGATGCCATCAACGAGGCAAAGAGGGGGGGTCTTGTCGTCTGGGCAGCCCAGGACCCCCAGACACACTGCCCAGGATTGTGCCCCAGGGAGGGCACTTCAGTGCTGCTGTCACAGCAGTTTGACCACCCCCAGATGCCAGCAATTATTATTATTATTACTATTACTATTACTATTATTATTATTATTATTACCCCACTCATCTGGCTGGGTTTCCCCAGCCACTCTGGGCAGCTCCCAACAGAATTAAAAGCACAATAAAACATCAGAACAACAGCAGCAGCAACAAAATAAACTTAAATCTGGAGGGCATCAGCTTTTCGCACGCCCCGCTCCATGATGAAGCATTCTCCTTAGAAGTAGCAAGGTGGGGGCTGGCCGAGGGCAGATTGCAGTGGGTGGGGCCCAATTCAGCATCCTCCACCGTGGATGGACACAACCTACTTTGCTGGAATTGGGCATATTTTCCTGCTTTCCACCCACCCATTTGTCATCTCGACTCACCGCTTCCCCAACGCTGCCATCTTGAGATGTCCAAGCGCTGAGCTCGGCCTCGAGGATTTCCCCACCGTAGTCGACAATGTCTGTGGGAAAGGAGAGGCGACGTTCGATGTGCTCCAATACCAAAAAGTAGGTGCACTTTTTTTGCGAATGTTGCAAATCTAGGAATCATCCGCATCCTCCATCTCTGAGATCCTAGTCCGAGCTGCTTCACAGCTGAAGCAACAACTCCCTTTTAGCCCCAAGCACCAGTCTTCCTGAATTAGGGGGAAATGGAGACTGATCCTAGCCAGTGGCGGCTGGTGCACTTTGGGACTGGTTGGAGGGAAGGCAGGGAGCCTGACAGCAGGTGGCGCCAGAGACAACAGCAGGAAGAACCCACTGATTGTGGTTGGCAGGTGGAGCTGGGTGAGAGTTTGAGAGCTGCCACCCATGGGCCTGTGGGAAGCTACTCAGAGAAGGGTGTAGATCAGGCCTGCTTGGATCAGGGCCAGGCTGAGAGCCAGGAAGGAGTGATGCTTGCAGATCCTACTGTGAGTTGCTTCCTTGCTGAAGCAACATCTCCCACTGAGCTCCATGCTCCAGCCTTCATGGACCCAGAGGCAGTGTTAGAAACACAGATATAACCTAGGTGCCAAATGACTCCTTGAACCAGGGTTACAGTCGCCAAAACGGAATGTCTACTTGCCCTTTAGGGGCAAAGTCTTATTTTTCAAACGATGGACTGACTGTGATTGATTCTCAGTTCAGAGGACAACCTTGAGCTCAGTTAAGAGCTCTGAGAACTTAAAAGAAGAAAAGTCACTTTATCCAGTTCCCATATACCGTATTTTTCGCTCCATAGGGTGCACCGGACCATAGGGCGCACCTAGTTTTTAGAGGGGGAAATCAAGAAAAAAATCTTATTTCCCCCCCAGCCCCAAAGAGCAGCATACAGGCTGCGTGCAACCTCTCCCTGCCGGAGGGGTTGTGCACGGCTATGGCACAAGCCAAGACAGCGAGCGGGATGGATCCCGCTTGCTGTTTTGGCTTCCTCTTTAGCTGCGCAACCCCTCCAGCTGGGAGAGGCTGCGTGGGGCTAAAGAGGCCATAGCCGTGTGCAGCCTCTCCCTGCTGGAGGGGCTGCGCGGCTATCCCTGAAGCCTTCTGAGCACAGCGCAAGTTCCCGCTGCGCTCCTCAGGCTTCGGGTTCCTTTTGCTGAAGCCGGGAGAGCAAGACTCTCCTGGCTTCAGCGAAAGGAACCTGAAGCCTCCAGAACGCAGCGGGAATTCGCGCTGCGCTTGGAAGGCTTCAGGGGGCTCTCCCTGAAGCCTGGAGAGCGAGAGGGGTCGGTGCGCACCGACGCCTCTCGCTCTCCAGGCTTCAGCAAAAGCGACACGAAGCCTCCGGAGCGCGGAGGGAGCGCTCCCTCTGCGCTTCGGAGGCTTCGCGTTGCTATCGCTGAAGCCAAGGAGCCTGCATTCGCTCCATAAGACGCACACACATTTCCCCTTAATTTTTGGAGGGGAAAAGGTGCGTCCTATAGAGTGAAAAATACGGTATACTGGCCTATTCCAACCTCTTTTTCTTAATGGTGACACAGACCATTCATAACACAGGAATATTCTTCCCAACTCTCAGCAGGGCAGTGGGGGAAGCCAAGACAAGTGACAACAATTCACTATGATGTTGTTCACTGCTCCTGTTCAGGCTGCACTGAAAAAGCATTTTGGTTCCAGAAATTCGTTCTGATTGTGGGGATAAAATATAACGGATTGAATTCTACAGGAAGGGACCTTAGTGTGTGAAAACAGACCAGATCCAAGGATCCCCAGATGGTGGAGACGTCAGGCACCATCCTGGCACCCAGGAATCTTCACTTGGTCGCAAGTAGTTGATATCCAGGTGCAAAACGCGCCTGGCGCCTGGCTAATTTCGAACACTGCCTGGAGGGAATCCTCTGCAGAAGAAGAGCCTTCTGATTTTGACTGGCCAAGCAAGGCAGACACCTGGAACAAGTTCTACTCAGAGTAGCACCCCCTCCCTCCCGAAATTAATAGCTCTGAGACAGTGGTTCCCAAACCACTTCTTTGCCTCGAACAAAATTAATCCCCAGAGCCTGCTACCTTATACAATGGATGTTCGGGTTGCGAACGTGATCCGTGTGGGATGCATGTTCACAACCCGCAGTGTTCGCAAACTGCGCTATTTAGCACTTCTGTGCATGCGCGACCGCCGAAACCCGGAAGTAACCCGTTCCAGTACTTCTATGTTTCAGCGGTCCGTAACCCGAAAAAACGCAACCTGAAGCAGCTGTAACCCGAGGTATGACTGTAAAAGTGTTATTCGGAATGGATTTGTGTCCAGATTTTCACTTTCTGAAATATGGCAACGCTATCCAGTGCCCCCTTGATGTGCTTTCGCTTCTTAGCTCCCCCATAGGTAATCCCAACATCCCCCACCCAGGGGACAGTACCACCCACTCTGTGAACCACTGATCTGAGGTAGAATAGAATAATAGAATCATAGAGTTGGAAGGGACCCCTGAGGATCATCCAGTCCAACCCCCTGCAATGCAAGAATATGCAGCTGTCCCTTGCAGGGATCAAACCTGCAACCTAGGCATTATCAGCACCACACTCTAATCATACTCTGAATGTGACTAACATCAGGTACAAGGCAGAATTTGTGCAGTGCTTTTTTTTTTTTTGAACCACGAGGACTAGAAACTTGTGGTTTGGCTGCAACTTGGATAGGAACCCGAGCCCTTTTACTCCTGCGTCCCACTCAATAAATGTGGGGTTTTCCTAATTGCAAAAGGGGGGTCCCTGAACAGAAGGACCCCACTACCCAAGTGGATAGCTCAGCTGGTTGGAGCGTGGTGCTGATAACGCCAAGGCTGCAGGTTCGATCCCTGCCTGGAACAGCTGCCTATTCCTCCCTTGCAGGGGGTTGGACTAGAATTCAGGGGTCAGCAAACTTTTTCAGCAGGGGGCCAGTCCACCATCCCTCAGACCTTGTGGGGGGCCAGACTATATTTTGAAGAAAAAAAAGAAGGAACAAATTCCTATGCCCCACAAATAACCCAGAGGTGCATTTTGAATAAAAGCACACATTCTACTCACGTAAAAACACACTGATTCCCAAACCATACACGGGCGGGATTGAGAAGGCAATTGGGCCAGATCCAGCCCCTGGGCCTTAGTTTGCCTACCCATGGGCTAGATCAGGCTTTCTCAACCTGCGGGTCCCCATATGTTGTTGAACTACAACTCCCATCACCCCTAGCTAGCAAGGCCAGAGCTCAGGGATGATGGGAGTTGTAGTCCAACAACATCTGGGGACCCAAGGTTGAGAACTGCTGGACTAGATGATCCTCACAGTGCCTTCCAACTCTACAATTCCACGATTCTCTGTTCCAGTAAGCAGCTGGTCACATCCTGAAACATTCTTCTCCCTTACCTTGAACCACCTGGCAGCTGACGCTGAGGAGGGCGAGGCAGGAGGCGACCACGAGGCATTTGTTCAGGGTCAGGCCCTCCCAAGGGAGCGTGTCCTTTGTTGGCCCTGCAGTGCGGGCCTCTGCTTTCCTCTTAGCCGGGAGGGTCTTTGTGGCTTCCAGGAGAGAACAGAGAGAGGGAGAGAGTGGGGCACCTTGACCAGCCTGCTGGGACCCAAAGGCTGTTTTTGGTGGGTCCATCATGGGGGACATTCAGTATTAAGACACACATCATGATTTGCGATATTTTGCCAGGCGAACCAGAGCAGCACACGGAAACGCCGTTTACCTTCCCGCCAGAGCGGTACCTATTTATCTACTTGCACTTTGACGTGCTTTTGAACTGCTAGGTGGGCAGGAGCTGGGACTGAGCAACGGGAGCTCACCCCGTAGCGGGGATTCGAACCGCCAACCTTCTGATCGGCAAGTCCTAGGCTCTGTGGTTTAACCCACAGCGCCACCCACGTCCCTTATATTGATATATTACCCAGCCCTAATGAGCACAAGTGTCGCCTTGTTTGTGTTCCCTGTTGCTCATCTCCCTTGTTCCCCATCCCTCTTAGTTGTTCCCCGCCCTCCAAACCAAGAAAGCTGTCTGGACAGGCACACACACATGCTACAAGGAGGAAAGGACCTTGAGGACTAGCCCTTACTGTAGTTTTAAGAAAAAGGCCACAACGCAGGAGTAGAACAGCTGCTCTGAATGCAGAGTGTCCTGGGTTCAATCCTCAGTGTCTCCCAGTAAGGCTGGGAATGCCCCCTGTCTGATATCCTGGAGAGAGGCTTCCGAGTTTAAATCAGCTCAGGACCATGAAGGAAAGGACCATAAACCCATGCAGAAAGTCCCAAAATCTCCAGGTTGGGCTCAGAAAGATTCCATTGTCTGAAACCCAGGACAGCTGCTGCCAGTCCGTGTAGACAGCCCTGAGCTATATGGAATAATGGTCCGACTCGGTCTAAGGAAGCTGCTAAAGTGAAGGTTGGAAACCCACCCTCCTGCCCCCTGGCCTTGACCCAAATCCAGCCCCCAAATCCCTGCAATTTCTGCCTATACAAGTAGGAAGCAATGCTGTCGTCACGCGTGCATCCGGCCCCAAGGAAACCGCATACCTGCTGGAGCTGCAGGCCGCACTTTCTCTGCCGGCTTCTCTGCCCGTGCCGCCTTCTCAACACGGGGCGCCTTTTCCGCTCGGGGAACCTTCTCAGCCACCTTATCCATCCCGGAGGTTTTTTCTGCTCGGGGCGCCCTCTCCACCACCCTTTCAGCCCGCAGGACTTTTTCCGCCACTTGCTCGGCTCGGGGCTGTTTTGCGGGGACCTTCTCGGGAGCCGGGGGCTCCTCCACTTCCAGCGACGGCTCGGGAAGCGTGGAGGAAGCTGCTTCTCCGATGCTGTCCACGAACTCATCGAGGTCTTGCTCGACCACGTGAAGCCTGTCTACATCTTTCCTCTCTATACCCTGAAGTGGGAGGAATTCCAGTGGTTTATTTCATCTGAACACTGAAGACGTCCTCCAAGCAGTTTTCTAAAATAATACATACAATGGGCTCATAGAATCATAGAGTTGGAAGGGACCCCAAAGGTCATCCAGCCCAACCCCCTGCAATGCAGGAATCTCAGCTAAACCATCCATGGCAGATGGTCACCCAGCTTCTGCTTAAAAACCTCCAAGGAAAGATCTACCACCTCCTTTTCACTGCCAAACAGCTCTTACCGCCAGAAATTTTTGTTTAGTCAGAATCTCCTTTCTTGTAACTTGAAGCCATGGGTTCGAGTCCTACCCTCTGGAGCAGGAGAAAACAAGCTTGCTCCATCCTCCATGTTACAGCCCTTGAGATACTGGAAGATGGCTATCCTATCTCCTCTCAGTCTCCTCTTTTTCAGGCTGAACACACCCAGCTCCTTCAACCGTTCCTCACAAGGCTTGCTTTCATTAATCATCTTGGTCTCCCTCCTCTGCACACCTTTCGGCTTGGTCAACATCTTTTTTAAATTGTGATGCCCAGAATTGGACACAGCAGTAAGCTGCTTTCTTCCACAGAAATCAATGCGTATGACTCTTCATTATTTTCAATAGTTGCATCCCATGTTAGGCAACTGGGGGGGGGGCACAGGAGCCCCCCATTCCTGATCTAGGTAAAGGTTAAGGGGCCCCTGACCATTACGTCCAGTCATGGCCAACTCTGGGGTTGCAGCACTCATCTCGCTTTATTGGCCAAAGGAGCCTGCGTACAGCTTCCGGGTCATGTAGCCAGCATGACTAAGCCGCTTCTGGCGAACCAGAGCAGCGCACGGAAACGCCGTTTACCTTCCCGCCGGAGCGGTACCTATTTATCTACTTGCACTTTGACGTGCTTTCGAACTGCTAGGTTGGCAGGAGCTGGGACCGAGCAACGGGAGCTCACCTCGTTGCAGGGATTCGAACCGCCGACCTTCTGATCAGCAAGCCCTAGGCTCCGTGGTTTAACCCACAGCGCCACCTGCATCCCATCCATTCCTGATCTAGGAAGTAGCATTTCTCTGCTGCATGGAGGAAATGGAACAATGCCTCTATTCCAAAGAGGCCTTCTCTCCAGAGAGGGCAATGCTTCTTCTTCTTCCATCAGGGATGGGGAAACCTGTCTCCCTCCAGGCGTTGCTGTTTTCTGACTCCCACATGGTTCTCTCTCCCCCCCCCCATTTTATCTTCACAACGCCCCTGCAAGGTAGGTTAAGATGAGTGGCCCAAGGCCCACAAGCAAATGGATGAGCATGGGGGTGGTGGGATTCGAATCCTGCTCTCCCCATCTCTAAACCAACCACTGCATCTCAATACAGGGATAACAATTTCTGGCGCTTTGAAGTGTTTGTCGATGCCTCGTGCTGCTAAAAGGCAGAGAGAGATTTCCAGGCGGGACTTGGGGAGAAGATCCAGAGCAATCTCCTTTCAATTTCAAGGATGCTGTTATGAAGGTTCACGGCTCTGTAGAACAAATTACACAATAGCAGCCTTTGTGTGTGTGTGTCCGTTTGATTGGAATTTCAGGGTCCTTGGCTGCTGTTTTCAGCCTGCCTCAGATAAGATGATCTGCACTGTGGGTTGTGCAACTTGGGGAGCGGGAATTTGGTTGTCTTAACACACACACACACACACACACACACACACACACACACACACAGGAGAATGCTCTTCTGTTTGATTCTTGCTTTTGTCCCCCCCCCAATAATATTAATTTTTTCCAAATATCTTAAGCACAATACAGCTTAACAATATTATTCTCCTTTCAACCTATATCTTATCTGAATTAACTTCCCTCCACCCGTCTTCTGGCTTCTCTACATTGCTCTTTCTTAACCGTGATTACTATATATACATTCTATAAATGTCTCTAATTCCTTAATAAATTTTTGTATCATACTTTAGACATACATTCCTTATTATATTACAGCATTACATCTTGTGGTCTAACCAAATGTTTACAATAAACGTTACGAGTTTTATTTCAGTCCTGTGAGTGTCTTTATTTATGTACGGTTTTCTCTAAGCATACCATAAATTTGGACCATTCTTTTTGGAATCTCTCGGCATCATCCTGCTATCGGATTCTTGCAGTTAGGTAAAGGGTAAAGGGGCCCCTGACCATTAGGTCCAGTCATGACCAACTCTGGGGTTGTGGCGCTCATCTCGCTTTACTGGCCGAGGGAGCCGGCGTACAGCTTCCGGGTCATGTGGCCAGCATGACTAAGCCGCTTCTGGCGAACCAGAGCAGCGCACGGAAACACCGTTTACCTTCCCGCCAGAGCGGTACCTATTTATCTACTGGCACTTTGATGTGCTTTCAAACTGCTAGGTGGGCAGGAGCAGGGACCCAGCAATGGAAGCTCACCCCGTCGCAGGGATTCGAACCGCCAACCTTCTGATCGGCAAGCCCTAGGCTCTGTGGTTTAACCCACAGCGCCACCCGCGTCCCTCACAGTTTTCTCTAAGTATACCATAAATTAGGACCATTCTTTCTGGAATTTCTCCATCATCCTGCTGTCGGATTCTTGCAGTTAGCCTTGCTATTTCTGCATACTCTTGGTTCTTGCTTTTGGGCTTCCTAGGATGCTAGACTAGAGAGATCAGAGGCCTGCTCCACCAGGCTTCTGTGTGCGTTATACAGGGTTGACGAATGATATCACAGACTCATTGAGCAGGAAGGGACCCTGATGATCATCTAGTCCAACCCCGTAATGCAGCAATATTTTGCCTCATATGGGACTTGAACCCACCACCCGAAGATTAAGAGTTTCATGCTCTTATCAGCTGAGCTACCGAGAGTTTGGGGAAAGGGCTGTAGCTAATTGGGAATGCACATCATTTGCATTCAGAGCTGGCACAAGGCAGCTTTCTTGGTTTCGAAATAAAATAATTAAGGTCTTATATATCATAAATGTTCATAAATGTACCAAGCAAACATGTACATAAATATATAAACCACATGTCTGAAGCAGCACAGGGAAACAGCCCTGAAACCATTTTGACTCCCAAACTGACGAAATGACTTCTCTGCAAGGTCAAGGAAAATGGAAAAGCCTCCCCGTTGTCTTTTCCTTCACATATCCTGTCTTAAGGGTATGTCTGTGTTTGAATAGGGTGAGCCTATGACCTGGCTCAGGAACTAAGTATTTGTCATTATAAAAGCCTGGCCAGGCTCCCCAGGGTAACCAATCAAGTAAGCATTAACCTGCCAGACAGGAGGTAAACAACGCACTCAGATTTCTGCTGCAAACCGCCCTTTCTGTGATGCAGGTATGATGTGTCTGGGGGTGGTCTTGGACTCCAGGGTGGGCAATTTAAAATATCTATATAAGGGTGGACACACCTTTGTTCTGGGTCCTCCTCCTTTCCTGCGTGTGAAGGGGTCACCCTGTTGCAACAGATCAATAAAGACCAGGCTTACTAGCTGCTTTGCTTCTCAGTATTCTCTGGTTGGCCTCTGTTATTTTCTCCGACTGATGGAGAACCTGCAAAGGACTCTATAAGGGCTCTTGTGTCCCCCATAAGGGAATAAGGGCAGATTTTCGTTTATTAGTTTCCTACTTCAAGCCGGTTCCTTGAGGACTAGAATCTTACTGTATCCCAGGAACAGCTGCAAGGAGGGAGGAGGGAGGACAAAAATCAGCTCAGCCACAAACCGGCTGCCTGAGCTGCCCAGCAGGACAGCTTGTCCTTAGGCAGAGACTGGTGAGCTCACGCAGGAACGATGTTGGGACACGCTGCCAAGCGCCAGTCTCTCCTCTCGAGGGACAGGAGGGATTCTGTTTTCTCATTATTATCATCATTATTCCATCTATTAATTGCTTCCTGTGAAGTTGGTGCTGTGAATCTCTTTGAGGGGGTTCGTAGGAAGCAATTAATAAATGAAATGATGATGGTAACGAGAAAAAGAATCCCTTCCGTCCCCCGCAAGGAGAGATCATGCTTTAAAAAATAAACAAATTAACACCAAATTAATGGAAATTTAAAAGTTGACTTCCCGCCCCACTGCCTGATGTTTCACTATTGCTGCTCAATATTACAAACATTTCCAAATTACGTTTTAAAAAACCCTGAAGGTTTTTAAAAATTCATTTCAATGGGTCTTCTCTGAGCAGAACTCAGTTGGGACTAAGTTCTGTCCCAAGAGAGCCAGACCCAAGCACATATCTGGGCCACACATGACATTATTCTGCTGCTTTTAACAGTTGTGATGTCACCCAAAGAATTCTGGGAACTGTAGTTTGAAAAGGGTTCTGAGAGTTGTCAGGAGACTCCTATATCCCCACAACAGCTACAATTCCCAGAATTCCCTGGGAAGAGGGACTGATTGTTAAACCTCTCTGGGAATTGTAGCTCTCTGAGGGGAATAGCGGGCTAACCTAACAACTCTCAGCACCCGTAACAAAATATAGTTCCTAACTTTTGTAAAAAAACAACACCCAGAAGCCTTTTTATTAGGTATTTTAAGTCAAGATATACCAAAAGAAATGAGGACTTTATTTATGTATGCCACTACAGCAGCAAGAATGTTGATTGCACAAAATTGGAAGACTGGAGAAATCCCAACTAAAGAACAATGGCAAGAGAAGTTGATGAACTATGCAGAACTGGCAAAAAACGGCAGACAGACTAAGAGAAAAAGACAACAAAGACTTTGAAAAAGATTGGGAACCATTCCTATTATATTGGCAGAAACAAAGAAAGTCAATAGACTTGATGGCAGGATTTAAATAAACATCCACATTATCCGCATCAGAAAATGCTTAGAAGATAGTGAAATGGGATGGTGTGTTTAATTTTATTTTTTATGTTTTTAGGTTTGATGTTATGTTATTAACAACTTTTTCTGTTGAGAGATAGCAAAGTGGGTGAAAAGATAAACAAACCAGAAGCAGAAGATGGGGGAAGCACTGGAGCGGAGGGAGGGAGGAACATATAGTAAATGTTAAGAAGTTAAGATGTATGTAATGAATGAAAAAGAAAAATTAAAAACAAAAATTAAAAACAAAAAACAAAACTACAGTTCCCGGGATCCTTTGGGGGAATAATAATAATAATAATAAAATTTTATTTACGGTATATCCCGCCCTCCCCAGCCAAAGCCGGGCTCAGAGCAGCTAACAACATTAAAATGATACAACATTCTAAAGTAATAATAAAATTTTATTTAAGTCGCAACTGTTAAAGCGGCAGAAATGTGAGGTGTGGATGTGAGCCGAGAGAGGACTTGGGAAGCAAGGGTCTTAAAGCATTGCCACACACCGTCATACTTACATTTGGGGTGCTGTTGATCTCTTCTTTACTTACTGGTATTGCGGCATCTGTTAAAGAAACACACACCAATTAGCATCACTTCAGTTTAATTTTCAAAGTTCAGTTTAATTTTCAAGCCGACCCCATGATTCTAGTCCTTATGGTTTTGTTATCAAAATCTACCTTTTGCTTCTTGATCGTAAGTAAAACCTCCAAGTGGTGTGCAAATAATAATAATAATAATAATAATATTAGGGACGCGGGTGGCGCTGTGGGTTAAACCACAGAGCCTAGGACTTGCCGATCAGAAGGTCGGCGGTTCGAATCCCCGCAATGACGGGGTGAGCTCCCGTTGCTTGGTCCCTGCTCCTGCCCACCTAGCAGTTCGAAAGCACACAGTGCAAGTAGATAAATAGGTACCGCTCCAGTGGGAAGGTAAACGGCGTTTCCGTGCGCTGCTCTGGGCTTAGTCATGCTGGCCACATGACCCGGAAGCTGTACGCCGGCTCCCTCGGCCAATAAAGCGAGATGAGCGTCGCAACCCCAGAGTCGGCCACGACTGGACCTAATGGTCAGGGGTCCCTTTACCTTACTTAATGGTGGGACCAGTGCTGAGATGATGGGGGAGATGATGATCATGGCCAGGTGAAGAGAGACTGACCTGACTTTGGCTTTCTTCTTCCCTCCTCCTCTCTCCTTCCTTTTGTGTCATGTCCATGAGATTAAGAGCTTGGGGGCTGGCTTATCTTTTAATACCTGTACACAACAAAGCTCCTGAACACCAGGTGCTGGAAATCGCAGGAGGGGAGAGACTCTCGTGTCCAGATACTGCTTGTGGGTTTCCCACAATGGGCCCCTGAGAGAACAGGATGGTGGACAAAATGGGCCTTTGGCCACACTCAGCAGCCTCGTCTTCTGTTCTCATGGTGTTATGTACTGAGTTGAATAAGATCCAGAATGCAGCAGTCTGATTGGTCCTAGAACAGTAGGATCCAGAATGCAGCAGTCTGATTGGTCCTAGAACAATAGGATTCCGAATGCAGCAGTCTGATTGGTCCTAGAACAGTAGGATCCAGAATGCAGCAGTCTGATTGGTCCTAGAACAATAGGATTCCGAATGCAGCAGTCTGATTGGTCCTAGAACAATAGGATTCCAAATGCAGCAGTCTGATTGGTCCTAGAACAGTAGGATTCCGAATGCAGCAGTCTGATTGGTCCTAGAACAATAGGATTCAGAATGCAGCAGTCTGATTGGTCCTAGAACAGTAGGATTCAGAATGCAGCAGTCTGATTGGTCCTAAAACAATAGGATCCAGAATGCAGCAGTCTCATTGGTCCTAGAACAATAGGATCCAGAATGCAGCAGTCTCATTGGTCCTAGAACAATAGGATCCAGAATGCAGCAGTCTGATTGGTCCACAGGAGCCACCCAATCCAACTCCAGGTGGAAGTGAATCCGCAACCTGATTGGCTTACAGGAGAATCCCGGAATTAGCCAATCACGTGAGGCCCATTGTGTAAATAATGTATATAAAGCAGACATTCTGGGGGAACTTCCATTCCTCCTCACCACTATGAGCTGAATAAAGAGCATGAAATTCACTCTCGACTCCGAGTATATTTCACTGGCGACGAAGGTGGGATTCGAACCCACGCGTGCATAGTATATTTCACATGTTCTTCCGAAAGGGCGTGAGTTGCTTAGATTCCCTAAGCCATGCTCCTATCCCTGCATTGCAGGGTCCCTTCCAACTCTACAATTCTATCATTGAAATACCTTCTTTTATCTCCTCCTTCAATGGCTTCTGGACTGTAGGCTCTTTCAGAGAATCTGGAGACTCTTCGCTCCGCTCCAGGATCTCGCAGGGACCCGTCGCCATGTCGTCGCTGAGGAACCCTTGCTAAACGCAGCAGGAGGAACGAGGCAAAGATCTGTCGTCAGCATCCCGACCAGGTAAAGTCACGAAACAAGCAGAAGCGACCAGAACCGTGCGAATCCCAGTTGGACTGAAACTTTTGCTCGCGCTGTCTCTGAACAGCTCTCAGCACCCTTAAAATACAGGATTCATTGGGGCGGGGAATTGAAACATGGCTCTTTAAAGTGCTCCAAGGCTGCTTCCAATGCATAGTGCAAAGGGGGCCTTTATTGATCCACTCAAGCAGGGGTCAGCAAACGTTTTCAGCAGGGGGCCAGTCCACGGTCCCTCAGACCTTGTGGGGGGCCAGACTATATTTTTTTGGGGGGGGAAATGAATGAATTCCTATGCCCCACAAATAACCCATAGGTGCATTTTAAATAAAAGCACACATTCTACTCATGTAAAAACACGCTGATTCCCGGACCGTCCGCAGGCCGGATTTAGAAGGCGATTGGCCCGGATCTGGCCCCAGGGCCTTAGTTTGCCTACCCATGATCCACTGTGTGTGTGTCTGGAGGCGGATGGAGGATGGATGGTGGCTAATGGACTGAGGTTACTGTTTTGGGGGGACACAGGGTGGGCAGGTGTGGAGGACTGAATGGGATAACTGTGCCCCTGAAGGATCAGGTGTGCCGCCTGGGAGTCATTTTGGACTCACAGCTGTCCATGGAGGCGCAGGTCAATTCTGCGTCCAGGGCGGCTGTCTACCAGCTCCATCTGAGACCCTCCCTGCCCGCAGACTGTCTGGCCAGAGTGGTCCATGCTCTGGTTATCTCCCGCTTAGACTACTGCAATGTGCTCTCCGTGGGGCTACCTTTGAAAGTGACTCGGAAATTACAACTAATCCAGAATGTGGCAGCTAGACTGGTGACTGGGAGCGGCCACTCGGATCATATAACACCGGTCCTAAAGGTCCCTATTTTCATCCAAGAAATGTTGGAGAGTATGGGGTTATGCGACCCCCGAGCCAAGAAGATAAATAACTGCACAACCTTTAGGAGATGTCTGAAGGCAGCCCTGGATAGGGAAGGTTTTTTTTTTTTAAATGTTTAATGTTTTATTATGGTTTTGCATATTCTGGAAGCCACCCAGAGTGGCTGGGGCAAATAATAAAATTATTATTATTAAGGCTCCTGTCCCAAAAGTGGAGAATTGGTTCTAAGTCTAGGAGATTCCCTTTTTTAAAATACTGAATCCTGTTGGAGGGGTGGGGCAGCTGAAGGTGGGTGGGTGGTGGTGGTGTAAGTAATATCCTAGGGCCTTAAACGGCAGTCCAGTTTCGACCCCACCTCTCCTGGAAGATGCCACAGGCTTCATTCACACTCGGATATGTCAAACCAGAGCCTTGGCTGTGCAGTCATCGTCAAAAACCCCATGGCAGCCTTCTAAGAATAGGGATCTGAAACCCAGCACGCTGGACCCTGTCCAACCTGCAAAACGAGCAGCCCCATTTCCCCGTCCCGTTCACAGCCCAAGCAGGTGTTTGGAGACGCAAAAGGAGCCTCGCCGTGGGGAGGAGGTGCAGTGGGAAAGAGCGTGTCGGATTAATCACCTGGGAGACCCGGGTTCGAATCTTGACCCTGTCTCAGCCACAAACTCACTGGGTGTGCCTGCTTGTTCCTTTTTTAATAAACTGATTTACTAACAACAACAACAACAACGTGCAAAAAAAGACAAGCAATCAAAAGATTTTAAACCTTAAAGCGCCACAGCCCAGAAAGACAAAAGTACAAACATACAGCGCAGCTCCAAAGGGAGAATAAAGGATCAACTCATACAAATATAGAATTATAGAATTGTAGGGCTGGAAGGATAATTCAGTCCAACACCCCCCCCCCCCGCAATGCAATGCAGGAATATGCGGCTGTCTCATATGGGGATCGAACTGGCAACCTTGGTGTTATCATCACCACGCTCTAGCCCACTGAGCTGCCCTTTACAAATAATAAAGATTCATTAAAAAAATCAAAGCAATCTCCAGCTGCAGGCTTCATCGTTATTGAGAATAAAGGTTCTAATAAATATCTTAAGTAAGCCAGATGTTTGCATATACTGGTGGCATAAAATCGTGGCACATACAGTGGTACCTCGGGTTAAAAACTTAATTCGTTCCGCAGGTCCGTTCTTAACCTGAAACTGTTCTTAACCTGAGGTACCACTTTAGCTAATGGGCTCTCCCGCTGCCGCCGCCACACGATTTCTGTTCTCATCCTGAAGCAAAGTTCTTAACCCGAGGTACCATTTCTGGGTTAGCGGAGTCTGTAACCTGAAGCGTCTGTAACCCGAGGTACCACTGTATTACAAAAAAATACTTTGCTTTTACGAGATGTTTTTGGAGAAGGGCAATTCCCAAAAAACCCAACAACCCATTCCAACAATCCAAATGATTGATTTTCAATTATTATGATTACTGATTGCATTTATATGCCAGCTTTTTCTCCAATAATTTCAAGGTGGCGCACCTGGTTGTTCCCTTCACAACGGGGTAGGTTATTCTGGGAGGCAGTGACTGGCTCCCAAAGGATTCGAACTCAGGCCTCCCATGTCCTAGTCTGTTGTCTCTCTCAACTTAGCCTACTCCACAGGGTGGTTGTGTGAGAAGGAAACACGGAGGGGTGAAGATTCTGCATGGTGCTTTGAGCAGCCTGGCAAAAGGGCAATACAGTGGTACCTCGGGTTACATACGCTTCAGGTTACAGACTCCGCTAACCCAGAAATAGTGCTTCAGGTTAAGCACTTTGCTCCAGGATGAGAACAGAAATCGTGCTCCGGTGGCGCAGCAGCAGCAGGAGGCCCCATTAGCTTAAGTGGTGCTTCAGGTAAAGAACAGTTTCAGGTTAAGTACGGACCTCCGGAACGAAGTAAGTGCCGTATTTTTCGCTCTATAAGACGCACCAGACCACAAGACGCACCTAGTTTTTGGAGGAGGAAAACAAAACAAAAAATATTCTGAATCTCAGAAGCCAGAACAGCAAGAGGGATCGCTGCGCAGCGAAAGCAGCGATCCCTCTTGCTGTTCTGGCTTCTGGGATAGCTGCGCAGCCTGCATTCGCTCCATAAGACGCACACACATTTCCCCGTACTTTTTAGGAGGGAAAAAGGGAGTCTTATAGAGCAAAAAAATACGGTACTTAACCTGAGGTACCACTGTAAAGAAATTAAGAAAACCGGAGGTGGGAAGGCTTTCAGCTTGTGGGACGGACATAATTTCTGAGCTGCCTTCTGCTGAGTCCCATGGCTGCCCCATGGAACAGGGAGCAAACTTGCTTTCTGCTGTTCTGGAGGGTGGGACTCGAATCTTTGGCTTAAAGTTAGAAGAAATGAGATTCCGACTCTATGATTATATGACTCTGTAAGTCAGAGCGCTCTTCCAGTCTAGCTCAGCATCACCTACAGGGGCTCTCTGAGATTTCAAGGTGGGCACCCGTCCCCAGCTCTGCCGGGAGGTGCCGGGGCCTGAACCTGCCGCCTTCTGCATGCCAAGCAGGCGTCCAACAACTGCGTTATGGCCTTTCCTCTTAAAAAACAAAAAACGGCGCAAGACTCTAGTCCTCAATCAAACCACATTCTTATGCTACTTAATATTCATTTAATTGGATCTGTGCCAGATGTCAACAAAACACCTTTGATCATTTAGCAGAAGACGTTCCCTGTATACGCTCAATCTTGGATTCTGGCAGACTTTCAGCTGCAGGTGATTCCACAGTGAGAATCTCACTGTGCTCCTGACTGGGCCATGGAGCCCACTCTGTTATTATTATTATTATTATTACTATTATTATTATTACTATTGTTGTTGTTATCTGCCCATCTGACTGGCTTGCCCCAGCCACTCTGGGTGGCTTCCAGCAAAACATAAAAACACCACAAGACATCAAACATTAAAAACTTCCTTATTTATGTGTACAACGACAGCAGCAAGAATATTGTATGCCCAAAGATGGAAAGAAGAGGAGGTTCCAACAAAGGGAGACTGGCTTTTGAAAATGATGGCGTTTGCGGAGCTGGCAAGATTAACAGCAAAGATTAGAGACCAAAATGAGGATAAATTCCTTGACTGGAGAGCTGTTACTGAGTATTTAAAGAACTACAGTACCATGTGGAGATGAAAACGCAAGCAGGATTTGAAATATGAGCATCAGAATTAATTATTGGTTAGCATAAAGCAATTTATCCTATCTTTGTAGGAAAAATGTCCTGTTCACATCAACACACTTTTGCTAGACTATGTAAAGCACATTTCTACACACACACACCAATAATCCTGTTAACTGTAGCTTACTCCTCACAGAGGTGCTTAGGTTCCCAGCAAACTTACCGGTTTTCCCTGTGTATAAGACTAGGGGTTTTTTTACCAAAAAAATCTGTTTAAAATTGGGGCTCGTCTTATACACAGGTAGTGCTGAGGGGGTGTTTTCTTAATTTGGAGTACCCAAATTAAGGGGGCGTCTTATACACAGAAAAATACGGTAACTAATCAGAGTTCTCAAGATTCTTTGATCTGGGTGTGAGTGTGTATGCACACATGTGTGCATTAAATGTTCTTGGTGTCTGCGCAAGCTAAAAACTCCCTCCAAATCCTTCTTTTATATTATTACATGGTTTTTTAGGATCAAGCTTTTGAATGTTGTAAAACACCCTGACTCCCTCACCTTGAACCCGGCACCTCTCTTACCATTATAAGAGAACAAGGGCGAGTTCTGGTACCTCTCTCTAGAAGAACGCTACTGGCCATTATTATTATTATTATTATTATTATTCACCCTTCATCCTAAGGTCCCAGGAGCGTTACAGCAATTACAACGCAACTTTAAATATTAGAACACAACATTAAAAGCAATTGGAAACAATTCAACATTGCAGAAATAAGTCGGTCCCTAAAAATACACCGCTCAAGCAGGTTGGAGAGGTGCGCATTCCTCAACATTTGCCAAAAGCTGTATAACGAAGTTGCCAGATGTTCCTCAGCTGCAAATCACCTCAAGGCATAGGTAAAAGGTGATGGTCTTGATTAATCTATTGATTTCATTCATCAATAACCACTGGTTTGGCAGCGGGCAGAAGTTAATACACTCTTTGCCTGGATCTTCCCAATGTCGATGGTTACTGGGCCAGGAACATGTTGAGGTTAGCCTGCTTCAGAAAATGGAAATAATAATAACAGAGTGCAATCTATAGTTATAGATACCTTGCCAGCTTCATGCCTGCATTGATTTCTCAGATGGGGAGCAGCCTTCGCCGCAGCTCCCAGGGAGCTGGTGTGGGGCTTTTGCGTCGACGGCTGCTGACTCAACATCAAAGCGTCACCCAAAAATAGTTTCCTTCCCCATCCCGGGCGACCCGTGGAAGACGGCCCAGCTGGAATCTAGCCGGAGAGGCTGATCGCAAGCCAGCGAAAGGGGAAAATGAATCTCTGGGAGATCCAGGCAGGCTGGCCGAAAGTTCGTGGGAATGTTGCAAGCAGACAGACGCGGTTCAGAAACCAGAAGCTGGGAGTGCTAAGACGCAGACAGACAGACAGACGGCATGCAGTTCATACCCAGGTCCTTTAAATCCGGCCGTCTGGCCTTCAGATTGTCGCCTGGATCAATCCTGCCCTCTCTCTCTCTCTGTGTGTGTATGTCTCTCTCTGCACAGCTGAAATATACAGCGACAGGTGTCCTTCCCTTCCGAGGAAAATTCCAGCCAATGACGGGGACTTTGCTGCAGTTTCGTTTTTCGAAAGGCAAGGGGCTTTGCCCTGGTGGGTGGGGAAGACATGCCCTCCAACATTTCTCCAATGAAAATCGGGATGTCAAGAAGAAGAAGAAGAAGAAGAAGAAGAAGAAGAAGAAGAAGAAGAAGAAGAAGAAGAAGAAGAAGAAGAAGAAGAAGAAGAAGAAGAAGAAGAAGTCGTCAATCTGGGCTCCTTCCAACATATTCTAAAACATAATACATAAACATTAAAAAAATCTTCCTTCTACAGGGTTGCCTTCAGATGTCTTCTAAAGGTTGTCTAGTTACTTTTCTCCTTGGCTCAAGGGTCGAAGAACTCCCTACTCTCCAACAAATGAAAATAGGATCATCCTAAGGAAAAGCAAGGAGGGATGCAGGTGGTGCTGTGGGTTAAACCACAGAGCCTAGGGCTTGCCAATCAGAAGGTCGGCAGTTCGAATCCCTGTGATGGGGTGAGCTCCCGTTGCTCGGTCCCTGCTCCTGCCAACCTAGCAGTTCGAAAGCATGTCAAAAGTGCAAGTAGATAAATAGGTACCGCTCCGGCAGGAAGGTAAATGGTGTTTCCGTGCGCTGCTCTGGTTCGCCAGAAGCGGCTTGGTCATGCTGGCCACATGACCCAGAAGCTGGACGCCGGCTCTCTCAGCCAATAAAGTGAGATGAGCGCCGCAACCCCAGAGTCGGCCACGACTGGACCTAATGATCAGGGGTCCCTTTACCTTTAAGGAAAAGCAGGACATTCCAGGATCAAACCAGAAACCAAGACGGCTTCTATCAGGGTTGTCTTAAGCATATGTGGCGCCGGGGTGCAAAGATCTGCCCAGCGCCCCCCCCCCCCCGGTTGCCCAGTCCCAGGCACTCAGGACGTCTCGCTGGCTCAGTTGCCCCCAAACTGCTGGCACAGAGCTGTCCGCAGCAGAAGAGCCCAATGTGGCGCTCCGATCAACGGCCGGCTTTTCCCCGGACTCAACTCTCAGGCCTGGCGCCCGGGTGCCCTGCACCCCTAGCAGCTATGGGTAAGACGGCCCTGGCTTCTATAAATCTGGGACTTGGAGGGTCTGGGAAAAGTGACAGGGGGTGGCAAAGGACAAAGGCACAGGAGGGAGGGGTTTCTTTCGTATTGGAGCCGTTCATTCAACGTCTTGGCTTCTCGTTTTTGCTGTCTCAAATCCCCCATTTCCGTGGTTGTTTAAGAGCTGGTCCAGTGCAGCGGTTAGAGTTTTGAGCTGGGAGTGGATTCGAATCCCCCCCCCTCGTAGGGCCAGGAAGACTGGGTTTGTCCTCTGGGGGTGGTCACTGTCTCTCTCAGCCGCCCCCACCTCACAGGGCTGTTGCATAGCTGTCAACGTTTCCCTTTTTTAAAGGGAAATTCCCTTATTCTGAATAGGATTCCTCACAAGAAAAGGGAAAAGTTGACAGCTATGGGGTGTTGTCGTGGGGGGTTAAAGGAGAACCACATGCGACACCTGGAGCTCCTTGGGGAGGAAAATGTGGGATATGAATGCAATAAAAATAAAATATATATTGGGTTGTCACCCTCTACATTCCACTCAGAGCAGACCTGTTCAAATTAATGGACCTACATTAGTCAGGTCCATTAATTTAAATGGATCTACGGCAAAGTGTGACTGCCACTGGGTACGAACCCACTTTAAAAATAAAAATAAAATAAAAGCATCCTCGTGGTAATTTTGTCATAATTTTCGTGGAAATTTCTCATGTAGTACACAGATTTTGACTGATGCACACAGTTTTGCAAGCAAGGATAATGCATGTAAAGGTAAAGGGACCCCTGACCATTAGGTCCAGTCACGGACGACTCTGGGGTTGATGCGCTCATCTCGCTTTATTGGCCGAGGGAGCCGGTGTACAGCTTCCGGATCATGTGGCCGGCATGACTAAGCCGCTTCTGGCGAACCAGAGCAGCACACGGAAACGCCGTTTACCTTCCCGCCGGAGCGGTACCTATTTATCTACTTGCACTTTGACGTGCTTCCGAACTGCTAGGTGGGCAGGAGCAGGGACCGAGCAACGGGAGCTCACCCTGTCGCGGGGATTCGAACCGCCAACCTTCTGATTGGCAAGCCCTAGGCTCTGTGGTTTAACCCACAGCGCCACCCGCGTCCCGGGATAATGCATGTAGCTTTCACTAATGCAGGTATCTCTATGTGTACTCAGAGCTGATCCATCGAAATGAATGGACCCCAGATTGTAATATCCATCAGGTTCAATGGGTCTACCCTGAGTAGGAAGAGCATTGATTACAACCCACTTCCCCCCAAACAAATACATTTTGTACACACCGGTTGCAAAACTGCACAGGAAAATCAAGAGATCTGCAAATGTCAAATGATATTTGGCTTGTGTGCAACATTAGTCATACTCAGAGCAGGCTAAGTGAACTTAACTGGCTCAACTAGCTGTGAACCATTCGTTTCAATGGTCTGCTCTGAGAACAACCTGGTTGGTGGGTGGGTTTGAGAAGTCACTGGAGAGTTTCTCATGAAAACACAATTAAAATTCCCCCCCATCCGTTAACATTGCAAAATAAAAAAATGGATAAAACTTACACCTCTCTCTTTCTCTCCACACACACAAGATGGGAAATACATTCACATGAGTGATTGACAGCCTTCAAATTTATTTACTTATTTTAGTTTATTATATGCCCTTCATCCTAAGGTCCAAGGGTGACAACAATTTAAAATGCAACATTTAAAAGGAGTTCTTTAAAACGTAACCAGTGTTGACACAGCTGCTTATATTAAAATTCAATTTCCAGTCTTTCTGCAGGGTGTCAAAAAGCTAAAGCAAGGCTGTAGTCCTCATGATCCTGAATAAAGATCTGATTTAAATAGGAACAAGAAAATCTGCCATTATCTAGCTCAACGATGTATAACACTGACTGGCAGAGGTGCTCAGGCCGGGAACGTTCCCAGTCATGCCTAGAGATGTTCTGCCTGTGATTCCCCCAAGAGCCCATATAGTGTCCTTACGTAGGTTCCCTATTGGTAGGAGAAAATAACAGAGACCAACCAGAGAATACTGAGAAGCAAAGCAGCTAGTAAGCCTGATCTTTATTGATCTGTTGCAACAGGGTGCTCCCCTCACATGCAGGAGAAGGAGGAGGAACCCAGAACAATGGCGCACAAGGCCTTATATAGACATTTTAAAGTCCCTGCCCTGGAGCTACAGACCAGCCCTCCATACATCATACATACATCACAGAAGGGGTGTAACCCAAGACCACCACCCCAGATACATCATACCTACATCACAGAAAGGGCGGTCTACAACAGAAATCTGAGTGCATTGTTTACCTCCTGTCTGGCAGGTTACCTGTTAATGCTCACTTGATTGGATACCCTGGGGAGCCTGGCCAGTCTTTTGTAATGACAAATACTTAGTTCCTGAGCCAGGTCACAGGCTCACCCTATTCAAACACAGACAGACATACCCTTAAGACAGGATTTGTGAAGGAAAAGACAATGGGGAGGCTTTTCCATTTTCCTTTGACCTTGCAGAGAAAACATTTGGTCAGTTTGGGAATCAAAAATGGTTTCAGGTCGGTCTTCCTGTGCTGATCTATGTACGTGCTTGGTTGGTACATTGATGAACATTTATTATATATCTAAGACTTTAAAATTCTTATCAAACTTGCGACTCTTCAATTCTACAATTCTATGAGCTGCTGCTCTTCCCAAAGGCAACAAGCTGATCATAGGGTTAAGAAATGAACTCTAATTTTTCTACCCACCTACCCCTTTGTTCCACCACCCACTGGGTCATGCAACATCTTCCTTGATGGAGAGTTCTGCAGAATTTGAAACCGGTACCCCAAAGCAATGAATACATTAGAAATACATGTGCTACAGTTTCAGAATCAAGGTTCTCTGATCACGTCAAAGTTCCTGTTCGGATTGGAACGGGGGGAAATTTAAAAAGCAAATCAAGTGAAAAAACAACTCTGTCCTTCTTCAGATACCTGCATTGCAGGGGGTTGGACTAGATGACCCTTATGGCCCCTTCTAACAATAATTCCGTGGTTCTTTGATTCCAATTAAATAGGCAGACAGCACCCTCTAGTGTTGGCACCGGACGCTCTCATGTTCTGAGTAAATCACGCTGTTCTGTCAATTGAACAGAATTTGTCATGCGCAGTGGAAGTGGAGGGAAATTATCCAGATAGATCTGCTTATTTTGAATACGCCTACGCAATTTGCACACTACAATTTACCAGAATTGGGGTCTCCCCCCACCACATCAGAAGCTTAGCAATCATTAATATTCAGGACAGACAACAGGCTAAATAGGAAGGACCTCTTTGCACAGCACAGTTAATCTAACGTCTACTTTTTGTGTGAGCTGCTTATAGTTTCTATTTCTGACCCAGCGGCATGCGCTATGCTGCCACTCAGAATGCATGAAGGTGTCTTAGATGGAGTTGGGTGCCTGTTTCTGTTCAGGGAAAACCTTCACATCTCCTTTACTGGAGATGCTGGGGACTGAATCTGGGACTGCACACACCGCCTTCCCATCCCCAGGGAATCTGCCCTTTTTCTCTTCTGGGGTATCCAAGAGCCCGTAAAGAGTCCTTAAGTGGGTTCCCTATCAGTAGGAGAAAATAACAGAGGTCAACCAGAGAGTATTGAGAAGCAAAGCAGCTCGTAAGCCTGGTCTTTATTGATCTGTTGCAACAGGGTGCCCCCTTCACACGCAGGAAAGGAGGAGGACCCAGAATCAAGGTGTGTCCACCCTTATATAGACTTTGGAAACTGCCCACCCTGTAGCCCAAGACCACCCCCCTGAAACATCATACATACATCACAGAAGGAGGCAGTCTACAGCAGAAATCCTGCCTGCCAGGACACCTGATAATGGCCACTGATTGCTCTACCTGGGCAGCCTGGCCATTCTTTTGTGGTGGTTAATACTTTCATTCCTGAATCCAGGTCACAGGCTCACCCTATTCATACACAAATATGCCCTTAAGACAAGATTTGTAAGCCTGATCGTTATTAAACAGTTGCAAGAGGGTTCTCACTCACCACACGCAGGAGGGAGGAGGAACCCAGAACAATGGTGTGCCAAGCCCTTATATAGACTCCCCCCCCCACACACACTGTAGCTCAAGACCACCCCTCAATACATCATACATACATCACAGAAGGGGTGGTCTACAGCAGAAATCCTGTCTGGCAGGAAACCTGTTAATGGTCACTGATTGCATTACAGTGGTACCTCGGGTTACAGATGCTTCAGGTTACAGACTCCGCTAACCCAGAAATAATACCTCGGGTTAAGAACTTTGCTTCAGGATGAGAACAGAAATTGTGCTCCGGCGGCACGGCAGCAGCGGGAGGCCCCATTAGCTAAAGTGGTGCTTCAGGTTAAGAACAGTTTCAGGTTAAGAACGGACCTCCGGAACGAATTAAGTTCTTAACCTGAGGTACCACTGTACCTGGGCTCACCCTAAAGGTAAAGGTAAAGGACCCCTGACAGTTAAGTCCAGTCACAGACGACTCTGGGGTTGCAGCGCTCATCTCGCTTAACTGGCCGAGGGAGCCGGTGTTTCTCTGCATACAGTTTTTCTGGCCAGCATGACTAAGCTGCTTCTGGCAAACCAGAGCAGCGCACGGAAACGGCGTTTACCTTCCTGCCGGAATGGTACCTATTTATCTACTTGTGCTAGTGTGCTTTCGAACTGCTAAGTTGGCAGGAGCTGGGACTGAGCAACAAGCGCTCACCCCATCGCGGGGATTCGAACCGCCGACTTTCCAATCAGCAAGCCCAAGAGGCTCAGTGGTTCAGACCACAGCGCCACCTGCGTCCCTATTCATACCCTAATTCATACCCAAATGTGCCCTTAAGGCAGGATTTGTGAGCACAGAGACAATGAGGAGGCTTTTCCTATTTCCATCCAAACTGCAGAGGAATATTTGAGGTCACTGAAAGAGTCAAAATGGCTTTAGGACTGTTTTCATGTACAGACATGTGGTTTATATATCTATGTATGTGTTTGCCTTGTAAACTGATGAACGTTTAATTTATATACAGTCATACCTTGGAATAAATATGCTTCAGGTTAAGTATTTTTGGGTTGCGCTCTGCGGTGACCCGGAAGTAACAGAGCACGTTACTTCCGGGTTTCGCCTCTTGCGCATGTGCAGACAGTCAAAATGACATCACGTGCATGCGCGGAAGCAGTGAGATACGACCGGTGCACACACAGTCGCGTCTTATATTCTATTCAGGATGTGAACGAGGCTCCCGTTCGCATGCCGAGGTACCACTGTATTTGAGACCTTAAATGCATGAGAACAAACCACCCTTTAAAGGAGAGTGGGAGGGTTTGAGACCATTGTTGACACTGTCACGCGAGGCCGTCTCTTTTTCACAGAGCATTCAGCACGTCTGGAAGATCCGTCCCTGATATTCTCAGGCAATATGCTGCTCTGTGTTCTGAAAATGTGATTGTGGGTGCCATCTAGTTACGTAATTACAGGCCCTCCAAATGTCCCTATTTTCCAGGGACAGTCCCGGATTTACAGAAGCCATCCTGGTTTCTGATTTGATCCCAGAATGTCTCACTTTTCCTTAGGACAGGGGTCTGCAACCTTTAAGACAAAAAGAGCCACTTGGACCCGTTTCCGAAGAAAAAAAAACTGGGAGCCGCAAAACTCATCATTATAAAAATAACTTTTTTGTCACTTTTTATTATTTCTTTGTTTGACCCCTCAGAATTACTCCTCCTCATAGAAATAAACGTTAAATTAACAAGTTACCTTTTTGTGTGTGTGTGTTCTTCACTCCCCTTCAAAACAGTGACCAGCGTACATGCCCCTTACAATGTAGCGGGCGGGTGGGCGGGAAGGTGACGTCGGGACGGTGCGTGACTAACGCACGCACCGCCCCCATGCGACGTCACAGCCAGTACAGCGCCTGCCACAGTGGGGAGTGTCGGGGCGCACAATGCGCCTCCTCCCCTCGCTAGTATCCGCCCCGGAGCCGCGGCAAAGGTGTAAAAGAGCCACGTGCGGCTCCGGAGCTGCGGGTTGCTGACCCCTGCCTTAGGATGTCCCTATTTTCATCGGAGAAATGTTGGAGGGTACAGTAGTACCTTGGTTCTCAAACTTAATCCTTTCCGGAAGTCTGTTCCAAAACCAAAGTGTTCCAAAACCAAGGCACACTTTCCTATAGAAAGTAATGCAAAACGGATTAATCCGTTCCAGACTTTTAAAAACAACCCCTAAAACAGCAAATTACCATGATGAACTGATGATACTCACTGATGGGGGGCTTTTATCCATTTCCGCAGTCACACAATCAGTCAATCAGTACCTGAACTGGGTTCCACAAAGTCACAAAAACAAATTAACCAAAAAAGCCTCAAAAACAAAAATGCAAAATAAATAGCAAAAACAAAAGCGCCAAACTTAATCCATTCTGGAAGGCCGTTTGACTTCCGAAATGTTCAAAAACCATGGCGCAGCTTCTGATTGGTGCAGGCGCCCCGGAAACAATAGCCAACAGCCACATTGGACGTTTGGCTTCCGAAAAACATTCGAAAACCAAAACACTTACTTCCAGGGTTTCGGGGTTTGAGAACCAATGCGTCTGAGAACCAAGGTACCACTGGATTGAATATTCCTATTTTCAGTGGAGAAATGTTGGAGGGTAGGGAGTTATGCAACCCGAGCCAAGGATATAAGTAACTCCACAAGCCTTAGAAGACATATGAAGGCAGCCCTGTATAAGTAAGTTTTTATATGTTTGATGCTTTATTATGTTTTTATGTGTGTTCAGGCTTCGGAGAAATGGGTTCTTCCCCCGCTTTGGCCGTGCATCAGCAGAACAAAGCAATTAGAGTCCCTTAGCAGTTTAAGAGCATTTAATGATCACAGCAAAAGAACATAGCAGCCATTATTCTTGGAGCGCAGGTGCTCCCAATTAAGTTTTCCTCCTCCTTCCCCCCCTCCGAGTCATCGTCACTTCCCCTTCTTGCAACCTGATCTTGCAACCACTGAGCCTTCTGCATAGCAACTTTATCAGCTTTCCATGACTTTGGAGAGATAGGCTGGACACTATCAAGCGAAGGGGAGTCAGTTATCTCTCTCTTCCTGTTCTGCTTATCCTAGCTCAGGGGTCCCCAAACTAAGGTCCGCGGGCTGGATAAGGCCCGAGGGATTCGTTTATCCGGCCCGCAGCAACACCCGCTGCCACCGCCCGCTCTTACCGGTGCCGCGCTGCGTGACTGCCCCCTTCCAGGTCGGAGGAGCACTGGAAATAGCTTGTGTGCATGTGCATTATTTGAGCATGCACAAGTGTTCTTTCCGGTGCACATCCGGGTCGGAGGAGGCCCGTGCACATGCGCACAAGCTATTTCCAGTGTTCCTCCGACCCGGAAGTGCGCTGGAAATAGCGTGTGCGCACGCGTATGGGCACGCGCTCCCCCGCCCTCCATGCAATCAGCACTGGAGACACCGGCCCGAGGCGCAGTAAGTTTGCTGACCCCTGTCCTAGCTGTTCCCCACTCAGCTCTGCCCAGCTGTTGCTTTCTGAACTATGCCCCTCTGCAAACCAGTTCTCTAAATCTATGCTGCTCCATTGTTCCTGGGTAGCTTCAGGATCCTGGTCAAGAGCAGGGAGAAGGGGAGGTTTCCACCATTCCTCATCAGAGCTCTAATCCTGTCTGGTCTCTGACACCACCCAACCCAGTCAGATGGCGGGGTATTGTTGTTCTTCTTCTTATTATTATTATTATTGAGCCAGTGTGGTGTAGTGGTTAAGAGCGGTAGACTCGTAATCTGGGGAACCGGGTTCGCGTCTCCACTCCTCCACATGCAGCTGCTGGGTGACCTTGGGCTAGTCCCACTTCTCTGAAGTCTCTCAGCCCCACTCACCTCACAGAGTGTTTGTTGTGGGGGAGGAAGGGAAAGGAGAATGTTAGCCGCTTTGAGACTCCTTAAAGGGAGTGAAAGGCGGGATATCAAATCCAAACTCTTCTTCTTCTTCTATTGACAGGGTTTTTTTCAGCTTGAACTTGCCGGAACTCAGTTCCTGCACTTCTCAGGTGGGGGCCGTTGCCATCATAAGAGAACAAGGGAGGTGTACATGGTGAGTTCCGGCACCTTTTCTAGAAAAATAGCACTGATTATGGAATAGGATGTCCCTATTTGCATCCGAGAAATGCGGGAGGGTATGTAATTATACCTGCCTCTCCCTCATTTGGGGACGTCTCGGAAGACCTATGCATTCTGTGTGGTGCAGCAGCAGCGGCGGCAACTGAGAGATCACATGATGCTTTCATCAGCAGTGCATGATGGGAGCTGTAGGCATGAGCATGGGAAACTGAGGACCTTAGCCACAGTACTCCCAGCATGCACCGGGGCATTTGGAAGCCGCAGCTTCTTTCCATTTCACCCTTTTCTGGCCTTCCCATCTGGATCACAGCAAAAAGGGGAACAGCTCCCAGAAAAGGAGCCCTCTAACCATTTTATTTTGTACGTTTCTTTGGAACTGTCAATTTCAAGCTAGGTTCTGATAAATTTTACACCCAGTCCTTAGAAGTTTGATTTCATCGGTATTTTTCCTATGTATTTTTTATATTGTATACTGTAAAAAGCTCAGTGTGGGGTTTTTTTACCAATTAAGTGGCACTGTATTTACATTGTGATTAATAAACAAGGAAACAACTGAGTTAACTTTAACCATCTGCAAGATGAACTTTGCAAGATTTTCATTGCTCTGCTATGGTTAAGGGATCATGCATAGACAAGGTCGCATCCTGTTCAGGCCAGGAGAACTCCCTTCTGCTCCCAAGTTTCCCCACCCTGCTGCTCCCTGTCAACCAAGAAGCCTTGATTTCGCCCTCCTGATTTAGCAGCCGCCCAGGTGGCCGGTTCAGGTTTCCCCTGCCTGCTTTGCAATATGTTAAGTCACCATTTCCAATTGAAACCGGAGAGATTAGCTTTCTTTTCCTGGGCACCTGATTACCTAGATGGGCACCTGTCAGTCACTGTGCTTCCCTAGGCGAGGGATGCATTGAAACCCTCCACCAGCGAAACTTGCCAGCCGCAGGTCACCTGGGCGTCTTGCCTGTGTGTGGCTCCCAGTCTTGAAACTTTAAAGGTTCAAAAGAAAAATAAAACGGTCCAGAGGAAAGTTTGCTCGTTCTTGTTTTTTTAACAGATGTTTTGTAGAGCCAAAGTGTGCCTCCACGACGAGAGGTGAAATGGAAAACCGCTGTCAACTGAGGCAATTCCCCCCCCCCCCCCGCAAAGAAAACCCAGGCAGCCAGTAGAAATGTCGAAATGAACTCCACCCTACAGGGCGAAAAAAAACAACGAATAAATATGTAAACAGCAGGCTGCAGTTTTGTTATTTATTGACCAGATCACTTGGCTTGCTTAGATAGTTTTAGAAGGCTGGATTTATCAGTTTGCAAAAAGTGCAGGATCTCACCTCTCCCTGGAGAGAGCAAATGGCTCTGTAGGGATACAGGCCATTATTTATTGCTTATCAATTTATTTCTTTTTTTCTTTTATATACTTTATTGGAAGATGAAAATAATGTGTATGTAATTGTAAGTGCACACGGTAAAAAAAGATGTGGAAAAGGAGGGTAAGAAAAGAAAAATAACATCCAAATACAATATCAAAAGAAAAACCCACTGGAAAAAGAACGTATAAGCATTACCAGATTGTTATAGTTCAGTCTATCTATTTCTATATTCTTTATTGAAGATAAAAAGCAATGTGTATATATAATTTCAAGTGTACAGGTAAAATATGATGTGAAAAAGGGAATGAAAAAAAAGAAAAGAACACCATATACAATATAATTGAAACTTCAAAACAAAACAAAAGCCACCAAATTAAAATTATTCTAAAACCAGCTAACAACTCCTAAAAGCAATTAGCAGCAGCATCACCACCCAGGACAATGATCAGTCACACATTTGTTTTCATTGTGTTAAAACCAGGAATGGGGCAAAAATCCCAAGACCCCACCGCAGCCTCAAACTAAGGCCAGGACAATTGACAATGACACAGGCACCATAACATACACAACAGCAAAGAGGTTCAGAAAAGCAGTCCATAAAATTGTAGCAATAAGCGGATACCATGTACCGTATGGTTTCCTCTGACTATCCAATACAGAATCAAATAATCTCCAAAATTCTTTTGCTGACCAGAGGGACTCGTGGGGAGTGGCACCCCGACGAGCTGGGCAGAGGAGTAAATCCATACCCCAGGATTTTTCCTTATCAATTGTTTAATATAGAATTTACAGTTTGGGTAACAAACGCCTTTTAAAAACAGAGGAGGAGCTGCATGCTTCGAAGACGGTGCCTGGAATGAGAGGCCCGTTAGGCCAGGTGTGATTTCCTTGAACATCAGAGGGAATGTGCCCAGTTTAGGGTCCCACACTTTAAAGGAGGATAGGGACAAACTGGAACGGGTGGGGAACAGTCTAGGTTGGAAGGGAGTGGACATGTTTAGCCTGGCCGGGGTAAAAGATGCCCCGCTTGCGGGCAGAAGTCCTCCACCCATGCTACCCCCCAATCCACAAGGTTAACACAAGGCTGCCAGGGTGCCCAGTTGGTGGTGACCCAAGACGGCCACCAACATGACTCTGGCATGTCCCGTTTCCAGGAGGAACTGGGAGACCTGTTTGAAAACTGGATTGTTTACGTTCCAACCTCTCAAAGTAATCAGCGGGTCCCCCCCCTTCCTTTTGGCTTGGGAGTTCCAGTGAGTTGTGGCTACAAAAATCCCCAAGGGTCACTCCATACAAGTCTGCAGCTGTTTGACAGCGGCAGGGGTGGAGCCCAGGTGGGGTGGACCAGAAGCAGCGTATGAAAGGGCCTCAGTCCTTCCGGGAGCAAGTTGCTTGCTTGGAGCAATCTGTGGCACTGCAGTCTCTGGCCTGCTTTTCCTTGAGGGCTCCTCCTCTGGCCAAGACACCTGTCAAGGAGCTGTCAGGTGAGCACAGGCCATTCATGGGGCAGGAAAGAACGTGAGGCATGAAATGAGCTTTGATGCACAGGAGAGTTCTTCTGGCTCGACTTGCTCTAGCTGGAGACTCGAGTTCCCCTGCTCTAGTTCCCCTGTCACTAGCTCTCCGGGTGCCTCCAGGACAAAGAGAGTTCGGATTCAGGGAGGTGCCCAGCAGGGCTCATGGTAGTGGCTTGGAAGGGCAGGAGGTAAACAAAAATACAGTCTAGTGGTGATACAATTGAATGAGTGGTGTTTTTTTTTTAAAAAATGATATTTCTTAGGTTGCTTTTGGTTCAGTATTTATTTTGTAAGTTGTCTGTTTGTATGTGTTTCCAGGTGGACAGGAAGATTACCCCTCCCGCAGATGGGCAGGGACCCCACGGCAGCCCTCTGGCACCAGTGGCCAACACAAGCGGGAACTGTCTCCAGAAGAGGGAGCACCAAGGGGGCTCGGAGCAGGAGCAGGCCAGGCACAAGGGGGTCGTACCAGGGACTGGGCTTTACGCTACCAAATGCCTGGTTTAAACAAGGATGCTTTTAAATTTCTCCTGGAAACTAATAGCGAGGGAGATGGATGCACCTCATGAGTGAGGGTGGTTCACAAACAGGAAGCCGCCACCAAAGAGGCCCTGTCTAGGGGCACCACCAATTGGGCACCCTGGCAGCCTTAGATTAACGTTGGGGGTGGGTTGGGCAGAGGACTTCTGTCTGCAAGCGGGGCATCTTTTACCCTGGCCAGGCTAAACATGTCCACTCCCTTCCAACCTAGACTGTGCCCCACCCGTTCCAGTTTGTCCCTATCCTCCTTTAAAGTGTGGCACCCTAAACTGGGCACATTCCCACTGAAGTTCAAGGAAATCACACCTGGCCTAACAGGCCTCTCATTCCAGGCACCGTCTTTGAAGCATGCAGCTCCTCCTCTGTTTTTTAAAAGGCATTTGTTACCAACAGACAGCTATGGTCCCCGTCCCATCCGCGGCTCCCAAGCTGCCGAAAAGAAGGGGCAAGGGGCAAGGTGGTGCAGCTCACCCCCTCTGTATTTTAATGTTTGAAATGGTTTTGTTTCATATATATAATTTTTTTCAAAAACTTAATTAAAAAATTAAATATAGAGACAAAGTTGGAAAAAGAGTCCGCAGTGGAGGTCATCTGCTCGGAGTTGCACCTCAGTAAAGGCACCATCAGTAAAGCCCCTCCTCTGTTTTTTAAAAGGCTGTATTGTATTGGCCAGTACTGGCCGGCTACCCTCCCGCTTCTTTCAGCGGCTTGAGAGCCGCAGTCTCGGGAGGGGTGCCATTGTCCCGCACACCCAATGGCCCTTGTGGCAGCATCCTGGGCGCTCTCCATTCTGGGCTTAGAAGGCAAGGCCAATTTTTGTAAGGTCGCAAATATAAGCCACACTTTTAACTTTTCCCGGGCAGAATTTGGGGGGAAAGTGTGTCTTATATTCGGGCCAATAGGGTAATTTCTACATTAAACAATGAAAACCCATGTGTGACCGATCGTGCGTCACAACTTCTTTCTGCAGGTTCCTGGGTGGTGGTGGTGGTGCTGCTTATATCTCCTTTTTTGATATACAGGCCGGCCAGTTCCTCCTGGAAGCAACGACATGCCAGGGACACATTGGCTGTGGGTGGACGCAACTGCAGTGCTGGCCAATTCACCGTCTCAGCCACCTGGCCAGAGGCCTGCTCCCCACTTGCGCCCCACTGCTGGCTGGGTTGCACCAATGCCGATGGGGCGGTGCTTTCCTGAAGACCTTCCGGACCTAGGAGACGAGGGAACAGAGACTGAGGTGTGAGGGGTCGTGTGGGGCTCTGATGGAGTGCCAGGAGTCTCCTTGACTGAGGTGCGGCTCCGAGCAGATGACTCCCGCTGGGGACTCTTTATTCCGCTTTCCGTCTCTAGCCCGATCTGCGAGAAAAGCAAACAAGTCACATCCAGATTCTGGGAAACTGCCATGATCATTACGAATTAATTAATTAATTGGGGGAACCAGCTGGGGAATGCCAAAGAGAAGAAAAATCAGAGCCCAGGGAGTGGGGGTGGGATGGCAGCCAGTAGTCAGAGGGAGAAGACTGGGAAGAGGAGGTGTCTTAAGCTGGAGAGGTAACAGGGCTTAGTGAGCAGGGAGAGTCTGTGGCAGAGAGAAATCCACAATAGAGGCAGAAGCTGCAGCGGGAGAGTGGGATGAGGGAGGCCAAGAGGCAGAGATGAGTCCGGCTGGGGAAGACTCGCGATTGTCTCTCCCTCATGCTGCAACAAGCTTGCCTCCCTCCTGTCTCCCAGAATAAGGAGAGGCATGAAAAGGGCGGAGCAGAGGTTGACTGCACGCAGGTGCAGACTCCAATTGCTTGAGAAAAAGCCCTGGGGGGGCCCCTGGGGGGCAGTGGACTTTCAGCCTCGGCAGCCGATTTTCACAGAGTAAGACGGAGGAATAAGCTGCTCTAGGCCTGACACTCCACAGGTCTGTGGAGATTGTGTTTTTTGCTAATAAAGAGTTAACTCCGTCTTTGAACTTTGTGATTAGTGACCGGCACTCTGCTGCAACACATATGTACACACGTAGGCGCCTTGTTCTAGGTCAACACCTATTGTCCATCTAGACCAGCTATGCCTACTCTGATTGGCCGTGGCTCTCCAGGGTCTGAAGTTAAGAGAGTCCTTTCCTGATCCCTTTAACTAGAGATCCTGGGGAATCAAACGTGAGACCTCCTGCCCTTCAATGCCATTGTGCTACGAGCCCTGCTGGGCACCTCCCAGAATCCGAACTCACATTGCACCCTACCTGTTTCGCATCTCCAGCAGCCTCCATGCTGTCAGAGCAAACATTGACAGCTCCCGCCTCCTTCTCTAGGCTGGGCAGAGTGCGGGTCCTGCTCATCTGACCATCGAAGAGGTTTCTTCTTCTTTTGCACTTCCATGCTTTGATTGGCGATGGAGGGCTGCTGTGGGGTCCCTGCCCATCTGCAGGAGGGGTAATCTTCCTGTCCACCTGGAAACACATACAAACAGACAACTTACAAAATAAATACTGAACCAAAAGCAACCTAAGAGAAATATCTTTTTTTTAAAAAACCACTCACTCAATTGTATCACCACTAGACTGTATTTTTGTTTACCTCCTGCCCTTCCAAGCCATTACCATTGCCTCCTTGATATTGCAGCACACATTGAGGGCTCCTGCCTCCTCCTCTGGGCTGGGGGGCAGAGAGCACTGGTTTTGCAGCCACGGCTGCAGCTCCACTGCTGTGGCCTGCTCATGCTCCTTCTCTGAGTCCCCTCCATGCTTCCTCTTCTGGGGACACCTCCTGCTCCCATTGGCCGGTGGCAGAGGCGACAGAGGGCTGTTGTGGGGTCCCTGCCCTTCTGCGAGGGGGATACTCTTCCTGCCCAGCCTGAGGCCCCCACCCTCTTTGTCCTGGAGGCACCAAGAGGGTTCAGGTTGTACTTGTGCAAATAAAACCATGTACCCTGAAGACACCACAGTCTCCGCTGACCTTCAGTCCAAAGAAACCGAACCTACGTAAGCACCTGGAACCCTGGGAGATTGGGGCATGCACAACCACACCTCTGTATTTATTTGTGGATGGGTGGAAACCATAATTGTTAAGCAAGAAATGAAATCATTCTCCTTTTTTTGATCTAATAAGTAACAACCTTGTATTAGTTCTCAGTCCTCCTTAATGTGGAGCGATGGGTTGTGTTTCTATTTAAATTTCAGTCCTTATTCCTAAACGTATTGGGAGCTTGGATCCTGCTTGGGGGTTCCCCCTTTGGGCATCTGGCTGGACACAGTGAGAACAGGATTCCGGACTAGGGGCACCATTGGCATGGGTGTCCGTTTTTTCCCTTCTTGAAATATAGCAACCCTAGTTAAGGGGCCACCGCCTCCAGCTTATGAGCGTCTTCCGCCCCTTTTAAGGCCACCCAAGCCTGCCCACTCACCACTTCTAGTGGTAGGGAGTTCCTAGGACTGAATCCCTATGCACTTCTGGCGTTATTCACTCTTGGCTGCAGGTGTTCTTCTGTGTTGCCTCCAGGTGGAAGTCACAGCCCCTCCACAGCATCCCTGGCCGAATTATTGTGGGGTGGCCCTTATCTGCTAATATCTTCCGGGGTGATGCCTTGTCTGCTAATATCTTCTGGGGTGATGCCAGATGGGTCCTGGAAGGACGCCTCTTCCTTATCCTGAAGCTGTGGGACAAAAACAATGCAAAAATAGCAACGTGAAGAAGTTTGAAGGACAGAGCAGGCCAAGATGTCCTCAGAGGGTCTCTATTTCCTAAATAACTCATAGGAAAGATCTGCCTAGTCCAGCCTCATTTTTCTCACATTGTATAGCCAGATATTTCAACTGGATATTGGCCACCAGAGACTTGCCACGTACCCCCTTGAGGTGTCCAGAGCCCCCCAAGGTGTCGCTCTCGTAGGCTTCGTAGTCTAAGCTCAGGGGGCTGTCCGGGCCTGCGTCTCTCTGGGGGGCGAGGGGATTCTTCCCATTTGGGGTCCTCCTGCACACAACCTCAGAGTCGCCAATATCTATTTCGGGGAACTGCGGAGGAAGAGGGAAAAGCTCTGAGCAGTGCTAGGAAGAGGGGAGGGAACTTCTGCCTGCAAGCGGGCATCTTTTACCCAGGTCAGGTTAACATATCCTCTCCCTTCCGACCTTTCCTCGTCGGATTGTTCCCCACCCATTCCAGTTTCTCCCTATCCTTCTTTAAAGTGTGGGACCCTCAACTGGGCACATTCCCACTGATGTGCAAGGAAATCACACCTGGCCTAACGGGCCTCTCACTCCAGGCACCGTCTTTGAAGGATGCTCCTCCTCCTGTTTTTTAAAAGGCGTTTGTTACCCAAACTGTAATTTCTGTATCAGACACGTCCAACCCACCAATCCTGATTGATCAGTTGATCAGGGGGTTGATCTTGGTTGATCCCGGGCCCAAGGCAGCCCAAGCACAGCACGTTCCTCAATAGCCAGAAAGACAATGACTCCAAAGCCAGGCACGAAAGAGCTCCCCACCCCAGCTGGTTTGGAGAGAGAGAGAGATGTGCTGGGGAGGAGAAAGAAGATGGAGGTAAGAAGGAGCTGGGTCTCTGACAAGGGAAGGTAGGATCAAGACCAGCAACAGCATTGCCTCTGCAGGGGTGGAGGGAGAGAGAGGGAGAAGGCAGGATCGGCATTGCCCACCCACCCTGCACTCATCCCTGCCTCCTTGAGGGAAGCAGCCAGCGCCCACCAGCCCACCCTTCACCCATCATGCATTGTCTCCCCCTCATGCTACGACAAGCTTGCCTCCCTCCTGTCTCCCAGAATAAGGAGAGGCATGAAAAGGGCAGAGCAGAGGTTGACTGCACGCAGGTTCAGACTCCGATTGCTTGAGAAAAAGCTCTGGGGGGCAGTGGACTTTCAGCCTCGGCAGCTGATTTTAACGGAGTAGGACGGAGGAATAAGCTGCTCTGCTCATTAGGCCTGACACTCCACAGGTCTGTGGAGATCATGTTTTTGTAAACTCCGTCTTTGAACTTTGTGATTAGTGACCGGCACTCTGCTGCAACACATATGTATATACGTAGGCGCCTTGTTCTGGTTCAACACCTATTGTCCATCTAGACCAGCTATGCCTACTCTGATTGGCCGTGGCTCTCCAGGGTCTGAAGTTAAGAGAGTCCTTTCCTGATCCCTTTAACTAGAGATCCTGGGGAATCAAACGTGAGACCTCCTGCCCTTCAATGCCATTGCGCTACGAGCCCTGCTGGGCACCTCCCAGAATCCGAACTCACATCGCACCCTACCTGTTTTGCATCTCCAGCAGCCTCCATGCTGTCAGAGCAAACATTGATGGCTCCTGCCTCCTTCTCTAGGCTGAGCAGAGTGCTGGTCCTGCTCATCTGACCATCGAAGAGGTTTCTTCTTTTTTTTGCACTTCCATGCTTTGATTGGCGATGGAGGGCTGCTGTGGGGTCCCCGGCCCGCAGGAGGGGTACTCCTCATTGTTCACTTGGAAATGCATGCAAACAGATAACTTACAAGATAAATACTGAACCAAAAACAACCTAAGAGAAATATCTTTTCTTTTTAATGACTGGATAAACCACTCATTCAATTGTATCACCACTTGACTGTATTTGTGCTTACCTCCTGCCCTTCCAAGCCACTACAATTGCCCTACGAGCCCTGCTGGGCACCTCTCAGAATCCGAACTCAAACTGCTACCTGCTTCGCATCTCCAGCAGCCTCCAAGCTGTCAGAACAAATATTGACGGCTCCCGCCTCCTCCTCTGGGCTGGGCAGAGAGCGCTGGTCCTTATAAGTAACAACCTTGTATTAGTTCTCAGTCCTCCTTAATGTGGAGTGATGGGTTGTGTTTCTATTGAAATTCCAGTCCTCATTCCTAAATCTATTGGGAGCTTGGGTACTGCTTGGGAGTTTCCCCTTTGGGTATTTGGCAAGCCAGAGTGAAAACAGTCAAGCCAGAGGCTCCTCCCAGCTCTGCCTTGCCCCGCCCAGTGGGCTGGACCACTCACCACTAAACCCCGCCCTGCCTCTACCCACATTCCACCGCCCCCCTTCACAACCTATTGTCTTCTCCCCGCCTCCTTTCACAATGGCTCACCTGGATTGGCACAGGTGGCCAAAACTCTCACGAATGCCAGTGCTCGCCCCTCCCCTCCCCCTTACCTCACGCTGATTGGCCGAGACAGGGCATAAGGGGCGTGGCTTGGCAGGACCAGCCTGGGGGGAGGCAAGGCGAAACAGGTGCAAAACGCCGGCACCCTGTCTACAACCTTATTAATATCCATCTACAACTTCACTAGCATCTCTTAGTATTGTGAACAACATCAAACTTACCTTTTGTTGGTATCTTCATGAACTTACCTAAAAAGATAAAGAAAACAAAAGACTGAGCTAAGCACTTGAAAAATGCATTGAAATCAGGCATTATAAGTTCATCTTAGGTTGGGTAGTTTGGAAGTCTCTGGCTTTGCATAAGTTTTTATATTTTTCTCAGAAGATTGATAAAGAATGCATAATCATTTTGGTAATTATTGTGAGTTAACTGTTTACTGGCAGGGAAAAAAACCACACACACTCAGTGACTCAACCTGCTCAGTAAACAAACTTTTCCGTCACACGTCCCACCCCTGAAAATCATTGTGTGGGCGAGGTTGCATATACCAGCCTCGATGCAGCAATGGGCAGGAATGGTAAACAAGTATTTTGGGGTTCCTGTTTCAATATGCAAATATACATGCATCGTGCACACGATACCTTATATACTGTAATTTTCTGTCTATAAGTCACCCCAATGTATAAGACGCCCCCTATTTTTGTGGCAACAACCAATTGCCAGTCCACCCTTGGCACTATCCGTGTATAAGATGCCCCCTAATTTTTGACATTATTTTTTAGGAAAAAACCTAGTCTTATACACGGAGAAATACGGTACTTTATAATACTATTAAGCTATAAACACTATAAAGTTCCAAATGTAACTATATAGCATAACACTTAACTCTATATTCTTTTACATCTATAGATAAGCATTGTACTCTGAAAATACAGGATCCAAATACATCTGGTTGGAGCCAAGGTTGCAGGTTTGATTCCCATATGGGACAACTTGCAGGGGGTTGGAATAGATGACCCTCAGAGTCCCTTCCAACACTAAATTCTGTTTCTAAAATTCTGTTTCTTGATGGGCTGTTGGCTGGATCCAGCAGACTGTGTTTATGTTGCACAATGAGCCCACCCACAGAAAAACCACACCAGTCTGGAGCTAGATTTCTCCCCACCCACCACCCCCACTCTTTGCAAAGATGCATTGCTTTCACCTGTGTATATACTGTATTTTTGCTCTATAAGACTCACTTTTTCCCTCCTAAAAAGTAAGGGGAAATGTGTGTAGGTCTTATGGAGCGAATGCAGCCTGCACAGCTATCCAAGAAGCCAGAACAGCAAGAGGGATCGCTGCTTTCACTGCGCAGCGATCCCTCTTGCTGTTCTGGCTTCTGAGATTCAGAATATTTTTTTTCTTGTTTTCCTCCTCCAAAAACTAGGTGTGTCTTGTGGTCTGGTGCGTCTTATAGAGTGAAAAATACGGTAGATTGAGCCTGACCGTGCTGGTACCGCCAGATGTGAGTTGGAGCCCAAACATCTGGATGGCACCAGGTTGACAAAGGATGGTCCGCACCCAAACCTGTAGATTTTGAACTACAAATCCCATCCCTAGGTAGCATGCCCAGTGGTCAGGGATGATGGGAATTGTAGTCCAAAAAAAGGTCCTCTCCTCCATGAATTCATCCAAATCTCCTTAAAGTCATCAAAGTTGGTTGCCCCACTGTCTCCTGTAGGAGGGAGTTCCAGAGTTTAGCTATGCACTGTGCGCCTTTTGAGGCTAACTTCCTTACTGGTCATGATCATTCATAACATCTCAACGTCCGCTCGTTTTGCATCACAGGGATTAGCTGTACTCAGGCCGGCAGAATGGTGCTTCCGTGTTTCGAGGGCAGATCTCTCCCTTGCCCTGTTCTCTTTTCTTCTTCCAGGAAGGGACGCCCTGTAGAGTTAGCTGATCCCACTTAATCTCTCTGTTATAGTGGAGCTGATCCACATTATGAAGGACTGAGTGCACCACACTGGCCTGTTATTGCAACCCACAGTGTCTCCGGGAAATGCGTTGTCCAAGCAAGCAGATGCCTGCGTTGTATGCGCTTTGTCAGGAATGCATCGGGGCTCGCATTCCGCGTGCCTAAACACTTCTCTTCCAAATGGGCACATTAGGCAGTTCATGTACAGAAAGCACTGATGCTGGTTTTTAATTATTCCATTTCTCCATCAAGTAGCTGAGCAATAGGCTGGTTCGTTGTACGATTATTTAATATATATTTTATTTTAAATTTTTCAAACCCTTAGTACATATTTGATACCATTCTTTCTAATACATATGAACTTACCCTCCATCCCATGGTTTCCTTATTTCTCCTTACAGTCATACCTTGGGTTAAATGTGCTTCAGGCTGAGCATTTTCAGGTTACGCTCTGCGGCGACCCGGAAGTAACAGAGAGCGTTACTTCCGGGTTTCGCTGCTCGCGCATGCGCAGATGCTCAAAATGACGTCACGTGCATGTGCGGAAGCGGCGAATCGTGACCCACGCAGACATGGGTTCCGTTCGCTTCAGGATGCGAATGGGGCTCCGGAACGGATCCCGTTCGCATCCAGAGGTATCACTGTATCTTGCTGCATATCATACTTAACAGCCCTCTTCAACTTAGCTTAATATCTAAATTGTTTTTCACGGCTGTTCACAGTTTGAATCCTACTTGCAAATTTATCTATTATATTTCTGCAAATATTCTATGAGAGGCTTCCCCTCCTCCCTTAACACTGACTCCTCCTGGTCTCTAATTTTTGTTGCCAGACTTGCCAACTCCACATATAACTCAGCCGTAGAGCATCTCTTTTGTAGGCATGGAATCCTGAGTTCAAACTTTGAGCTCCCCTGCGAAGCGGAGCCGCTGCCAGCCAGTGTAGGAAATACTGAATGAGATGCACCAATAATCTGACTCAGCATTAAGCAGCTGAATAAACTGGCCAAGATGTACAAGACTGTATCAAGTAAATTTTGGAAACGCTGAAGGGTCATTTTTTCATTTGTGGCGGACTTGTAAAAAAGTGGCAGGCTTTTGGGAAATGATAAACAATGAATTGAAGAAGATGTTTGAAATAGTCACCCCCCCCCCAAAAGCCTGAAGCAATTCTTTTTGGGAATAATAGGGGAAGAGGTCCCAAAATTTGGTTATATTGTTTATGTTTCCACTGCAGCCAGAAATGGAAAGAAGAAGTAGTTCCGACAAAAGAGGAGTGGACGTTAAAACGACTGTACTGTATGGAGATGGTGAAATTGATGGCAAAAATAAGAGACCTAAAAGACAAAATGTTTGTGGAAGAGTGGAGATCCTTTTTGGACTATCTGAGAAAATATTATACTCAAATGAAATCGCAGGCATGGCTGGAAATATGAGAAAAAGGAATGAGAATGATAAAGGAATATAATGTACGATATGAGCTGCATCAATGATCTGACCCAACATTAAGCAGCTAAATTGTGTTTAAGAGGTCCTTATTCCCCTCGGTGAGCTATAGTTCCCGGAGTTTTCCTAAGAAGAGGGATTGATAGTTAAATCTTCTGGGAGCTGTAGCTCTGTGCAAATAGAGAGTTGCATGGCAACTCCCAGCAGTCCTTGTTATTTAGTCGTTGAGTCATGTCCGACTCTGGACCAGAGGACACCAGGCACTCCTGTTTTCCACTGCCTCCCGCAGTTTGGTCAGACTCATGCTTGTCGCTTCGAGAACACTGTCCCACCATCTCTTCCTCTGTCGTCCCCTTCTCCTTGCGCCCTCCATCTTTCCCAACATCAGGGTCTTTTCCAGGGAGTCTTCTCTTCTCATGAGGTGGCCAAAGTCTTGGAGCCTCAACTTCAGGATCTGTCCTACCAGTGAGCACTCAGGGCTGATTTCCTTCAGAATGGAGAGGTTTGATCTTCTTGCAGTCCATGGGACTCTCAAGAGTCTCCTCCAGCACCAGAATTCAAAAGCATCCATTCTTTGGCGATCAGCCTTCTTTATGGTCCAGCTCTCACTTCCATACATCACTACTGGGAAAACTATAGCTTTAACTATACGGACCTTGGTTGGCAAGGTGATGTCTCTACTTTTTAAGATGCTGTCTAGGTTTGTCTTTGCTTTTCTCCCAAGAAGCAGGCGTCTTTTAATTTCGTGGCTGCTGTCACCATCTGCAGTGATCATGGAGCCCAAGAAAGTAAAATCTCTCCCTGCCTCCATTTCTTCCCCTTCTGTTTGCCAGGAGATGATGGGACAGTGGCCATGATCCTAGTTTGAGCAATCCTTAGCAAACTATAGTTCCCAGGATCCTTTGCCGGAGGGAGGAGGCCATGGCTGTTTAAAGTGGTATGATAATGCTTTTAAATGTGCAGTGCAGACGGGGCCAAAGATTAAAATATGTTGACGTCTGGATGGCCCTGCCTAACCAAAAGTGATTCAAGCAGGCACCAGAAAAAGCTCACCCATGGTATCAAGAGGCAGGGAGTTCCAAAGCCTAGGTGCCTCCACACTGAAAGATTTATTTCCTATGACTGATGTGCACAATGATGGCAGAATACGGCCACAAAGAAAAAAACAACCCCATACCACTATGGAGGCACCCTTTATTTAATTCAGTGTTGGTCGTTCTTTTTTTTCTTCCTTTTTTTTGTATGTTATGATTTTATGATTTTGCAATGTTTAAATGTCTTCATCGTACACCAACCTGAGTGTTTCCTGCCCCCACAATAATTAGTTTGATGGCTGATAAATATAAATGTATGGTTAAGGGTCAAGGGATTTTTAAATCTGAAAAAGGTTCGGGGTGTGTGTTGTGTGTGTTCTATATGGGTTTCTCAATGTAACCACAGGGAATTTAATAATAATAATAATAATAATAATAATAAAATAATAATTCTATACATGGTCGAGGTAACTGGGGCTGCATCCAGTGAAGTCTTCCAAAGAGGAAACCCACTGAAATGAATGGAGCTTACTTCTGACTAAACATGTTTAGGATTTTGCTGTTAAGTTGTATACAACCATCATCATCATCATCATCATCATCATTAACCGGCCTTCATCAAGAGATCCCCAGGGCAGTTCACATAATAAAATACAAGTTAAAACACAAGTGAATAATTAAACCAAAACAATGAAACAATAACTCCCCCCCTTCCCACAGATACATTTAAAAGGCTGTAGGATATTAATCAGCAAATATAACATAATCTGTTACAGAAAATGTGATAAAAGGGGGATAAAACGAAGGATTTTCTGTTCGTGCCTTGAGGAGCTATTCTATGAGGTAAAGAGAAAAGAGGGGGGGAAATCCACATTTTAAGAAATTATCTGTGGAAAATTATTCTTCATGAGAAATATTTGTTTTATGGAAATCCTGTGGATTAAATGGGTCTCTCAGCGTTCATGTGTGATTATTTCAAAAGTATGCATTTTATGTATTTCAGCTGAGGCAATTTATGAGCGTCTGAGGAGAATGTTTTCTAGGAAGGAGTTTATGGATACTTAATATTTATTTATATTTGATTTACCTAATGAATATAACTTTATATTATTCAATAACGAGGCATTTATTTATGAGGGAATAGTAATGAGCCCCCCCTCGCGCTTCCACATCTGCGCATGCGCAACTTTACCTCACCTCACCGAGACGCTGCCCCCTCCATCTCTCTCTCATTTTCAACTAACTTCAAGAATGCCACCTTCTCAGCCAATCGAATCGCCAAGATCATCTCCCTCGGCCAATTAGAGAAGTCCTCTTCAGCATAGCTCCGCCTTCTCTCTTTTATGCGCGTTTGTGTGAAAGTATTCTGCGAGCTGCCAATCATCTTAACCCGCCTCCTTCCTTTTCTGCGCCGCGGCCCCTCAGCCAATCAGGAAAGCCCTTCACGGTGAGTGGGGGAGGGGAAAGAAAATATTGTTTACCTCAGAGAGGAAAAACGGTAAAGATGAAAAAAGAGGTGGAACAGGGAGGGGGGAGAAGTGGGCGTGGCCTTGCCCTTATTTGCGGAGGAGTGGGCGGGACAACCGGCCTTATGCTAGAAGGTAGACGCGGCCTTTGCTCCCATAGGCGTAAAACGCGCGAGGTGGGCGGGGCCATAAGCCCTCCGGGCTCCGCCCACCACTACATAAAGGCGGCTGTCGGAACGTTCCGGTCCGCCATTTTGTGCAGCCGAAGGGAGAAGAAGGAAGGGGAGCAGCTGCCGCGAGGGGGAGCCGAGAAGGAGGAGGAGGAGGAGGAGGCGGCGGGGGGAAAGACCCGACCGGGGGTTCGGCGACCAGGGGGCGGCCCGGATGGTGAAATCCTCCCTGCAGCGGATCCTCAACAGTCACTGCTTCGCCCGCGAGAAGGAAGGAAATAAAAAGACCCACGTCCCCGCCGACATGCCCGCCCTGCCCGCCAGCGCCGCTTTGAGGAGGTGAGGAGGCGGAGGAAAAGAGAGAGGAACGGGGAGAGCAACCCCAACCCCCCCCCCAGCAGGCGCCTCGCTTCGCCTGACGGGCCGCGGCCTTGTCGCGCAGGCCACGCCCTATAAGCCACGCCCCTCGCACGAAGGGCCCGAGAGGGCTGGGCTTGCTTTGGCCACGCCCCTCCCTTTTTCCCCCACTAGCACCTCATACATATAAAGAAATACCTGTGTGTATGTATACGTGTGTGCGTATAGGGAGAGGATAGAGATAAAGTAGGACATGTAGGGGGACTAGAGATGAAACTATACTTTGAAAAAGGGAGGGAGCTCTAGAGCTTTTTTTTTTTAAGAAAGGGGGAAGATATTCAAGTATTTTTGAAAAAGGAAGGGGCTGTAAATGTAAAAGTACTTCAAAAAGGAAGGAAAACCCGTGTTTTCCCCTCCCCCTTTTCTCTCTGCCGCCCCCCAGCACCCCATTTTTAAAGAAATATTTAGCGGGGGCTTTATCTGGCGTAGGGATGGAGGGGAACTACAGAGAAAAATGTTTAATGGGGGCATGATACTAAAGGTTTAAAACGCAGAGAGGGCTAGAGATTTTTTTTAATGGGAGGGGAATTGGAGATGACCAAACTTTTGAATAGACAATAAGAGATGTTTTTAAAGCGATGTGATTTAGTAAGGGAGCAACAGTTTTAAAAAGTAGGAGCAACCTAAAGATATATAAAATGCCCTGAACATAATTTAGCTATAAGGCACCATTTGTGTTTGTTTAGGGACATATTCGGGTTTCAGCTTCTGCCTGGTTAGGTTCTGTGCATACAGATAGTGTGTGGGTGATCTTTTCCCTAACACCTCCCAAAGTTCTCTATTCAGTAGAGCCTTGTGGTTTGCTTAGGTGCCTCATAGCTAAATTATGTTCAGAGTTAGGGTGGAGGGGGAAAAGTGCTAGGTTTAAGACAGGGGTTCTTTTTAAAAAATAATTGTGCATGGTGGTGAAGTGTCTCTTTGGTGCCTTACACTGCCAACTATACCTCGTTGACAACCACTACTCAGAAACTGAGTGTGGGGAGAGAGGAGAGTGAGTGTCCCCTTTGTTCTTTACAGAACTCAAAATTCTGTATCCGTAGGGAGGAAGGGCAGAGTGAGGCCCACTTCTGTTAATTAAGAAACGAAACAAATTGATGCTCTTTCACACACAACCCAACACATACTTCTAGCACCAACGTTTAGGAAGAAAGGGGCCAATTTTAAAGGGGGAAGGGGAAGAATGTGAGCCTCATCCTTGTTCTTTTGGGAAGCTCAAGTTTGTCCTTCCACTTTCCGCTGCCCGTACACCTACTTGGCAGCCAACACTTAGAGGAAAGTTGCTACCTGTATATGTTTGCAGGGAATGAGACTATTTGATCACACGGGACAAAATAGAATTTTATCAAACACGTGCCTTTGTGTAAAATGACAATTGGCCACCGGCACTGAACACTCCACAAAGGAGGAGGTACTATTTTAAATATGTATGTATGTATATGCTAGGATGAGGGAAAGTAAGGTGCACTTTTATATTCTGTAGTGAGAAACACTTCCCTCTCGTCCTTCATTTGGTACTCACTCCCCAGAGAAGTCTCTTCCTAAATAGTATGAAGGGACAGATGAAGCAAAACCCATATCTGATCATTGTGGGGAAGGATATGGGGTCTTCCGTCTCCACTGCCTGCCCCAGACTGAGGCAGAAGCATCTGTTCCCTAGGAAAGAATGAGCTTCTGCTCTCATTTGTTGCAGACGAGGTCATTGGTTACATGAGAGACCTTCCCCTAATCCAGACAAAATACAAATCCGCTTTTTATCATTTGGGGAAAGGCTTCATCCCTCCCTTGAGATGCAAGACATTTTTAGACACCTTATTCAGTATAAGTTTCAGGGAAATGAGTGACATCATAAAGGAAAAATGGGCACCAACTTCCACTCTTCCCTATCAAAACCTTGGGAGCCTTTTGTGAAAAACAGTTCCTGTGCAGGGATACATAAAAGTGGAGCACCTGCCTAATCCTTGTGGAGAGATATTTACGACCCCTTTGTCAATCACGGGGAAGGCAGTGGTTCTACCTTTATTTAGGGAAATCTACATTAATGAATGAAGGGGATGCAGGTGGCGCTGTGGGTTAAACCACAGAGCCTAGGACTTGCCGATCAGAAGGTCGGCGATTCGAATCCCCGCGATGGGGTGAGCTCCCATTGCTTGATCCCTGCTCCTGCCAACCTAGCAGTTTGAAAACACATCAAGTGCAAGTAGATAAATAGGTACCGCTCCGGCGGGAAGGTAAACGGCATTTCCATGCGCTGCTCTGGTTTGCCAGAAGCAGCTTAGTCATGCTGGCCACATGACCCGGAAGCTGTACGCCGGCTCCCTCGGCCAATAAAGCGAGATGAGCGCCACAACCCGAGTCGGCCACGACTGGACCTAATGGTCAGGGTTCCTTTACCTTTACATTAATGAAACACACAGGAATTGTAGAGTTGGAAGGGATCGCTAAAGTCTTCCAGTCCAACCTCCTGCCTAATGTGGGGCTCAAACCCACTACCCTGAGATTAAAGAATCTTGTGCTGTAGCAACTTGAGCTTTCACACATATACCCATCTGACTTTTTTTTTTTTTTTTGCAGAATATCCTATGTATTCATACAGCAAAGGCAAATCTTCAGCAGTGCATATTTTCTCACTGATGTGCATTGTTAAAATAACCACATTTAAACAATTCTTAAGTGGATACGTATAACACTAGGGTCCCAAGTAGAGGGAAGCCCCGTTCGATACATAGAGAGTGTGTGTAAAAAGAAAACAGTGTCTTTACTACATAATCCAAATCAGATTTCACCAACCTAGTACCCTCCAAATCTTTTGGGCTGCAATGACCAGTGGCAGTCCTGGCTGGCGCTTATGGGAGATGGAAGTTCAAAACCTGTGGAGGGCACCAGGTTTAGTAAAAGCCGCCTCTAGGTTTCCCATGTCACTGAATTCAGAAATGGGACCACATTTTAGAAAAGGGGTGGGGGCTTTAAACAATATTTGAGGTGGGGACAAATTCACAAGGCAAGCACTTAATTCACTCTTGCCAGGAGTAGGGCTTAATAATGTCTTTTCCTCCACTTTTGATCATGTTAGAAGAAGCACCTCAAACTGAGCATTATTGAGATGTAACTCCGCCTCCGGGAGAGTGGGGAGTTTCCTAGCTGTTGTCCTCTGGGTGTGGCTTGCCCTGAACTTCCTTTCTTAGTGCCATTAGAGCGGACATGGGGCCTTGGCCAACTGCACCTTCCCAGAACAGGCAGAGGACCCACTTCCCCTTCCCCCAAACCTGTCGCCTTGTCTCTTGTCTGCTAAAATCTGCAGGTGCACACTTTATTGGCACTATCTAGGAAGGGATGTTCCTTCGAGAGTGAGAAATGGGGGTGGAAGTGTCGGGTGCAAGAGAATGCTGGAGACATCTTGGGTGGCACTTGCATCTTTTTGCCCTCTAATAGCCCTTCCTCAGTTGCCTTGCCATTCTTCATGAGCTCAGAAGAGATGGTTGTAGCCCCTGCCAGAAGCATTGTAAAGAAGCTTCTCTGTAGTTGCTCATGCCTCAGCTCCCTTTTCTCAAATCTCAGTGCAAAAGTAGCAGCTGATCCAAGAATGGTGTTTTTTTTTAAAGAAAAGAAATCTGTTTCTCTGAGAAAGACATCTTGTTTTGACCAAGCCAGGGGTGGGAAATTGGATGTCTGACCTGCTTTAAGCAAGGTCCGGGCTTTTTTTTACATGTATTACTTTACACTGTGGCCTGTTCCCTACATAATTAAGAGGTACAGGCCATATTCCTTTCCTGCTCTGGGATTTGGATCTCTGAAGCATAGTGTACAAGGCATATACAGTGGTACCTCTACGCACGCCTCTGGTTACGTATCCTTCAGGATACGCATGCGGCAAACCCGGAAGTATTTTTCCGGGTTTCGTCGCATGCACAGAACAGGCACCTCTGGTTGCAAAAAAACTCTGGATCCGACCGGAGCTCCGGAATGGATCCCACCCACAACCGGAGGTACCACTGTAACTGAATTCTGTGGCAATGGTTGCCTTCATGTTCTTCCTAACACCACTTGCCTAAAATCCTGTTGCAGAGAGCCCTGTTTAGACTAACCTGCCCCCAACATGGTGTCTTCCTTGTCCCTAATCATTGGCCAGGCTGGGTTAAGTATGCAGTAGCACTTGGTAGTGTAAACTTGAGTCATCCCCTGCTTGGGATGTTGGTGGGGTGAGCAGCTTGGGTCAGCTCTTCTCCCAGAGATTGAGTTTGTCCCTTGATGTGCTCTAGGTGTTGATCAGCTAGGTTTGGATAGAGCAGGGTCCTCATAGAAGGGACCCCTTGGGTCATTTAGTCCACCCCACTGCAGCGCAGGAATGAATGCCCTCCTCCTGTCAACTATCCTTCGGGGGTGGGGCTTGAATCAGACCACTATTTCTCAGAACAGCCCTGGCAGCGCTGTTGAAATGACCTCAGAACACAATGCAGGGGGGTTTGAGTTAAAGGCAAATGCTTTTGCAGGGAGCTGAGGCTGGAACTGGGTTGAATCCAGTGTGGAATAGTCTCCCTTCTTGCTTTGAATCCTCTTGGTTCAACTGGGGGTGTTGAATTTACAAAGCAAGAGTGCATAATTTGGATCCGCAGACTGGTGAGACACAGCCAGCCTATGTTTCAAGTGATTCTCCTACTCAAGAGCACCCAAGACATCCATGCTTGCTCAGATCCAGACTCGCAGGAGCCTGCCTTAGTTAGGTGATCGATGGGGAACTGGCGATTGGTCCCCCACCTGTGGATTGCAGTCTTCGTTACACTGAATAGAAACAGTTGTCTTTAGATAAGCAGCTTGGGCTTCCTGCGTAACAGGGCCAATTCCTTGGCGGACTGCAAGGATAGAGGGGTGTTGAACCCTGGGCGTAATGGCTACTTAAGCAGAGAGCTGAGTTCATGATGGAAAACACTAAGGGTGGTAGATCTTGAACACTAGAATGGACCTTTTTCTGTGGTGGCTCCCTGTTTCTGGAATGCTCTCCCCAGAGAAGTTCTCTTGGCGCAATCCTTTATCTTTAGGCACCAGGTAAAAACTGTCCACTGTAACCAGGCCTTTAACTATCTGTGGCTTTTTAGAAGTGGGTGGGGTGTTTTTAATGTATTGTGGAGTTGGGAGGGATCCCCAAGGGTCATCTAGCCCAACCCCCTGCAATGCAGGAATCTCAGCTAAAGCACTCATGACAGATGGGCATCTAACCTCTCCTCAAAAACCTCCAAGGAAGGAGATTTGATTTTAATGTACCGATGAGGTGTTTATTATTTGTCCGTTTGGTTGTATGCCATTTTGAGTTGCCCTGAGCAAGATAAAGCAACTGCCAAATTTAATTAAAAAAATAAAACATTCCCTGTGGTTTCCTGCCTGGAACCATTCTCCCACTTATCCAAACTGAAACAGCACAGAGCATTGTAAGACGATGGAGTTAGTAACTGGATGTTGGGCCTGTGGCATCAAACCAGAAATTACAATAGCAAATGTACATGGGAAAGGCGCCCTTAATGAGTAGATACTGCCTGTCAGAAGTCCTTAAAATAAGTCACAAACCATTGTAACCCGGAGCAGCATTTTTCTGCGCCTCAGATGACTCAGTCATTCCCCCCCCCCCCACATTGAGCAACCTTGAGCCCAGCTTGTGTGGCTGAAGGGGGAATAAAATAAATCGGATTGTTGTGCAATCCTTTGAGCAAAGCACTGCGTATCGCGTTAAGGGATTAGTGGGGCGGTTGTTTCTTTTTTGGCTGTTCAAAATGGTGGATGACAGGGCTTCCTCCCCACCCCTTGTTTATACTGTTTTGCAAATGGCTGCTGGCAGGATGGTTGTGAGAATTTCCCCGAGGGGAACCTTGATCTGCTTCATCTGCTGAGGTGACGCATCCAGTGAGAGCCTGCAGGGTGAAGGATGGTGCAGAGGGAGGGGCTAAGTGGGACAGCGATTATCATCACCCGCTGTTGATGTTAAAAAGGAGACGGAGCCCATTCAATTCAGCTGGCTTGCTGTTGACATAGCACTGTACGTGAATGCTGCACGGCTAGCTTGCTTCAGCTGTGCGGGACATTTATATGGCAGCTTAGAAATTCAGAAATAGGGGTTGGTATTTTGCGGCTGCAAGTTCCATTCTTAACGTGTGGATGCATGCACTTTTTTGTTTCTGTTTTTAAATGGCAGTTCTCCAATTTAGCTTGCAGGCTTGCTGCTCCCAGTATTAAATTCTCATTAAATTCCCAGTAGAAAGAAGCAAAACATATTATGGATTAATGAAGTTTTATGTATTTTATTGCAACCAGTAAAGGGGAAAGGAAAGGGCTTCCAGTTCTATAGAATGTGAGTGCGGCAAGAGTCTAATAGGGAATGAACATGTTTGTGGGCTGATGGGGCAATAGAGTGCTAGTTAAACAACTAGAATGGGAGCCTTTTAGTCCTCTCCCCGGCCCCCGCCTGCTTCATGGGTTGGAGCTCCCGTTAACTCTGAAAACTTAAGCAACTCCCCAGAGAATAGCAGATAGCAAAACAGCAGGCTTGAATATCAGTGGAGTGCATCCAGATTGTTTTGTGTGTTAGCATTCAACAGACACAAGTGTGACATTTGCATGATTCTTGGAGTTTGACGCAATTTGGGGGGGGGGGTGTTAGTTTTTGGTAGGCTTATTCAAACTTGGAGCTCATGGTACTAGTCCATAAGAAATTCTGATGGCCTCCCTAGTTGTGCAACCCTGACCACTTTCCCCCTCTCTTTTTCTCAGTTCCAGAGTGTCCTTCAGTTGCTGTAGTAACCTGGGTCCGGGGCCTCGGTGGTGCTCCTGATGCCCCTCACCCACCCCTGAAGATCCCAGGTGGGCGAGGGAATTGTCAGAGGGATCACAATCTTTCAGCTAACTTATTTTATTCCGTAAGTATGCTTGTACTCTGCACGTGGGGTTAATCCCTGCATATTTTAAGGGTTTTAGAGATTAGGCTGAGATGTGCCCTTTAACTTCAGTGGGTCTACTCTGAGCGGGACTCACAGTAGATTCAGCCTAACGTTTTCCCCACAGCCATAAGCAGATTAAAAAAAACACCTTTCTGTTTCCTTTAGGATAATCGGCTGAATGTAACAGAAGAGATAACATCTAATAACAGGACGAGAATCCTGAATGTCCAGTCCAGGCTTACGGATGCCAAACACATCAGCTGGAAAGCTGTGTTGAACAATAACAACTTGTACATCGAAATTCCCAATGGCGCTCTGCCTGAAGGGAGCAAGGACAGGTAAAGGGCGGAAGGAGTTCAGGTGTGCCTCGGTTGTTGTCATGGTCGGAGTGGGGTGAGGGAGGCCACCAGCAAATTTAGAGCTATGGTCAAGTCTCGTTCTTGAATCTGTGGCTTTTACAGAACTGCCCTCAGGGTCTATCCTTGATAAACTTCTTGGTGTTGTGTTGTGCGGTGTGCTTTACACACTGATTAGGCAGGTTCACAGCGGATGAGTAGTCTATCTGCTGACAATTGGCTGCTATGGCTAAGTGGACCCTCCGTGTTTGCAGACAGTGTGCTGCTGCGGGGGGGGGGGGTTTGATGTCTTTCAGACTGTGCTGCTGGGCTTCCCAGAGGCATCTAATTGGCCACTGGGGATCAGGTGGTGCTGGTGGCGCAACAGGGATTGGCTGATGCTCTTCAAATACTAGGTGCCCCCCCTTCCCTTTACAGGAGAATGGAGGAATTTCTCGTTAAATTGGTCCTGGGGAACCTGTGCTATTCTACTTTTGTACCTATTAAGTACATACATGTTTCCTGCTTTTCCACAGAGGTGGTGTGGGGCTTCAAAAAAGAGAGGCCTGTGTTTAACGGGAAAGGAATGCAGTCCAGGTTCTTCAAAGTTCCCACATGTGCATCTTAATTCCTAAAACCAGCTCTTGACAGTAGCATTGCGGGGCAGAGGCCATCCTGGGTAATTTCTGTAGTCCGTTCAGCCCCAGGAGATTATTAAGCTATAAATGGCAGCTGCTGGCTCCTTAAGGAGCTTCTGCTGCTTTTCCTCTGCCCAAATCAAAACCACAGTTGCATAAAATACTTCTTGAGCAGGGAAGTGGAAAACAAGAGTTTTCACTTGCTTCCTGTTCTTTCTCCCCACCTCCAGTTTTGCAGTTCTTCTTGAGTTTGCTGAAGAACAACTTCAAGTGGACCATGTCTTCATTTGCTTCCACAAGAATCGAGACGACAGAGGTAAGAGTGGCTGGGTGTGTGTGCGAGGAACCCGTGTCACCTCCCCGGTGGCATGGGTGGGAGATGGGGGGCAAATGGGGTGTTTAATTTCGTCTGGGGAACTCACCCTACATCTCTTCTCTCCCCGGCAGCCTCGCTGCTCCGTACTTTCAGCTTCTTGGGCTTTGAGATTGTGAGACCCGGGCATGCCCTTGTCCCCAAGAGACCCGATGCTTGCTTCATGGCGTACACCTTCGAACGAGACTCTTCCGAAGAAGACTAGATTGCAGTGTTTGCCTTGTTAGAGCTTTTCTCTCTCTTGTTTTCTCTTTGTCAAAGATGAATCTGTAGAAATTTTGTCAACATCTTTAAATGACGCGTAGCGCACAAGCGCCGGAAAAAAAGAAAGAAAGATGACTTGTTCCTTTGTACGAATTATTTGTGACAGGCTGCTCTGGTGGTGGTGGTGTGGGGGAAAAGATGTTGAAAATTTCCACCTTTTTGTCATCTGTTTTTTTTCTCTCTCCTGGATTTGTCCGCATGTTGTGATTGTGCAAAGAAAAAAAATAAATGCTCACTCCAAATTAGCAGTATATTTCTTGGAAGTTTAATATTGTGTGTTTGTGATACTGAAGTATTTGCTTTTAATTCTAAATAAAAGTTTATATTTTACTTTATTGCTAGTTTTAATGTTTAATAACAGTTGGTATGTTCGGCTAGGAAGGGGTTTTTTAGCCTGGACTTGTAGAGCAGTAGTCAGGTATGTTGGGTTCTCGGCTCCTCTCATTCCTAGCTAGTGTGGTGGAGGCAGATGGCATTTGTAGTTCAGCAACATCGAGAAAAGCGGTGGGTGTTCCCTAGCTTTGCTGACAAGATCATGACGTTGGTCCTACTGTGAAGGTTTAGTTTCTTCAGGGAATAGTTTTTCACTCAAATCAGGGTCCTTTCAAGCAACACAGTTGCATATTCCACAACATCACCTGGCCTTGTTGGGGGTCCTCTTCTCAATAACGTAATTTGGTGCCGATTCTGAGCCTTTCCAGGGTTGTGGCTCATTTGTGTTATTGTCAGTATTGCTTCAAGATAGATGGGATTCTAGGGTGCTGAGTGGGCCTCTTAAGATTACTTTCCTGTGTCCTGCAAGCAGGGACTTGGCTGTTTCCTAGGTGCCTAGTAGGGCTGGGCGATAGCTGGTGTTCAACATCACAATATATCACCAGCTAAACATCGCGATAATGTATCACACTGATTGAGAAGGATGGAGCTATGTAGAGTCATTGGCTGGCTTCGTGGTTTTTCCCACATTCTGATTTTTGCATAGCACACACAGACACCATGATTTGCAGTATATTGCCAGGTCAAAAATTATGAAACCGATAGCGTGATACGAACTTATATCATCCAAAGCAGGTTTTATCAAGATATCGCCCAGCCCTAGTGCCTGGTAATCTTAAACTGGGACTGGTGTTTGAGTTGTTGCAGCAGTCCAGACAAGCAGCTGTAGGAAATGTGCACGTCTCTGCATTCTTACTTCTCTACCACGTCCCCTCGCCTCAGTTGAGCTTGTTGCTATGAGAAGTCCCAACCCGTGGCTTCTCAACTCCGTTCCTTTAATCCTAGGTGGCGGCTGGTTTTATACCCTGTAATGCAGCCCCTTGCCAGAGTCTTTGTTTAAAAAAAACCCCATCCTGTGTTCCCATCTCGAGACAGTCTACTTTTGCCAGTTACACTGCAGCAAACCATGAATCCACCTAGCTAAGCATTGTCTACACAGACAAATCGGACACCAAGGCAAAATGCTTGCTGCTGTGATCTTTACCCGAGGGTCACGTACGTACACTGCTCACAAGATAGGTATTGAAGCGACTTTGTAGCATAAGTAAGTAAACAGAATTGTAGAGTTGGGACACTGCAGTTGTCCCATAAGATGATCAAACCTGCAACCTTGGCATTGTCGGCACCACAACTAAACTTAGGATAGGTCCCCCAGACCTGCTGGAAACCTTAAGGCAGGTGCTAAAAAATAACAGGTGGAGAAACTTTTTCAACCTTAGAGCTACCTTTTAGGGAATTGCTGACTGTGGTGGGTGGGGCCAAAAATTAAAAAGTTACCTGACCAGCGGGATAACACTATTCTATACCGCAGGGGTCAGCAACCTTTTTCAGCAGGGGGCTGGTCCACTGTCCCTCAGGCCTTGTAGGGGGGCCGGACTATATTTTTTTGGGGGGGGGGATTAATTCCTATGCCCCACAAATAACCCAGAGATGCATTTTGAATAAAAGAGCACATTCTACTCATGTAAAAAAACACTGATTCCTGGACCGTTTGAAGGCGATTGGGCCGGATCCAGCCCCCGGGCCTTAGTTTGCCTACCCATGCTAGTCTACTGAGTCTACCCAGACCAGCAAGAGGTGTTGCCGCAGTTCATTGGCACATTCTGTCAAAGCTAAAAGCACTCAAGGAAAGTGAGGCAGGGCAGGGCTGGGGAGAGTGTCCAGGGCCAGAGAGGAAGGTCTGCAGGACCTCAGTTGTCCCCAACGCCTGAGGTGCCCCATCTCTGAGCCAGAAGGGGAAAGAGGGAAATGTTTTGGACACATCTTGCCTAAGCCGAAAATTAAAGGGATGTACATGTTTTTAAGCAGAGTTTGCATGGCCATCTGTCATGGATGCTTTAGTTGAGATTCCTGCATTGCAGGGGGTTGGACTAGATGACCCTTGGTGGTCCTTTCCAGCTCTACGATTCTATGCTAAAGCTCTCAGTCTGATGCGAGCAAGATGCTGGCTCCAACCCCAATGAATCATAATCACAGAAATAAAGGCCAATGCAAACCTGAACCTCTAGGTTAGAATGACACTGGTCGAACGATTCCACGATTCTAAGTCCCATTTGTTGAATTAATTCAACTAAATAGTTCCAATTAGATTTTAAATAAATTGCGATGGATGTTTACCGTTTTGAATCTTGATTGCCTCGTGATCTTCCTTGGCGGGCTTTGCAAACCGCTATTCTGAACCATGCTTTTTGTAGGGGGTGCTGGTCCCCAAAGGTTTGGCAACTGCTGTTGTGGATAAAACAGCCTGCTGGCCTGGCTCAAAATAAAGGATCTTCCTATTTTCCTACGTGTTCTCCCCCACCTTGGAACGATCCGTGGTCATGAGCCCAATCCGCTTTACACAACTGGGGAAGTTAAACTGCAAACAGGCACACCCTTGATTTTTAGCAAATCAAAATGGGCCAAGGCTTCACCTCCGATGGGCGTAGCCAGATTTAGTTTAGGGGGCTGCAGGCCACCCACCTATCCCCATCCTCTGCCTGGCTTTGTTTAGCAGATTCGGAATAAAATGTCTCAGCAACAGTTGTTTTAAATTACTTCCTTTTAAATTACTTGCTTTTGAACTCAGCGAGGATTTCAGTTCCCAATATTCTCATTATTTCTACTTTTAGATTAGTATTTTTATTTACTTGATGGGGGGTGCACCTGCTCCCTTGGCTATGCCCACGTCCCCTCCTTCAAATGAGCGTGCTTGTATCCTAAACTGACATTACGAGGAAGACAATGTGCATTTCGAAACGGCGTTTTTAATTCCTTCCTGGGCCTCCCTGCCTCTCCCACTCACCCCCCCTCCCGCCCAAAAAAGCATTGCAACATTGTGCAGAGAACACATCAAGGCGGCCGTTGTGCAATGCCTCTGCCAGCATGCCTCGATAACTCATCCCTTTTAAAAAATCCCTACTTGCCGTACCCCTTTAGATAGCACCAGAACAGCAAAAAATATCAACACAGTGAGTGCTGGGGTGCAAAGGTTGCCTTTGCTGAAAAAAACCCACACGCCAAAGTGTTTGCAATTTGGAAACAGCAGTCAAGGAGGCAGCGTTCCTGACTCCCATGTGCTTTGCAACGCATGTGGTGGGGGTTCCTTGCGCATGGTGCAAGCTCTCTGTTTCAAGAGCTTGTTTTGTATGATCTGGCCTGTTTACTGCCTGCTTGGGCTCTGGGCCACAGGATGGAGAGTTGCTCAGATCTTCTGAACATAATTCCCGGGGAAGAGGCCTTCTCTCCCATGAAGCCGGCCTTTCCACCATCCGGAGGGGTCTGCGAAAACAATATAATAATATATGACAAGGTGTTCGTGTTGCTTGTCAACCCCACGTGCCGCCCTCCATCCCTGCTTTATTGAAACAGCTGCATCTCTTGAAAACTAGCCTTTTTTGGTCTCCTCCCCTGCCCTAGCTACGTGCATACCCTCCAACATTTCTCTGATGAAAACAGGATCATTCTACAGTCCTTGCAAGTGTCCCTATTTTCCAGGGACAGTCCTGGATTTTCAGAAGCTGTCCCGGTTTTGATTTGATCCCAGAATGTTCGGCTTTTCCTTAGGAGGTCCCTATTTTCATTGGAGAAATATACAACCTTTAGAAGACATCTGAAGGCAGCCCTGGATCCGGTAGTTAGTTAATGTTTAATGTTTTATTAAGGGACGCGGGTGGCGCTGTGGGTTAAACCACTGAGCCTAGAACTTGCCGATCAGAAGGTTGGCGGTTCGAATCCCCGCGACGGGGTGAGCTCCCATTGCTCGGTCCCTGCTCCTGCCAACCTAGCAGTTCGAAAGCATGTCAAAGTGCAAGTAGATAAATAGGTACCACTCTGGCGGGAAGGTAAACGGCGTTTCCGTGCGCTGCTCTGGTTCACCAGAAGCGGCTTAGTCATGCTGGTCACATGACCCGGAAGCTGTACGCCGGCTCCCTCGGCCAATAAAGCAAGATGAGCGCCGCAACCCTAGAGTTGGTCACGACTGGACCTAATGGTTAGGGGTCCCTTTACCTTTACCTTAATGTTTTATTATGTTTTTATATGTGCTGGAAGCTGCCCAGAGTGGCTGGGGCAACCCAGTAAGATGGACAGGGAATAACAACAACAACAACAACAACAACAACAACAACAACAATAATAATAATAATAATAGTGCAGGAATAGGATGTCCCTACTTTCATCAGGGAAAAGTTGGAGGGTATGAAAGTGGCAGAGAGAGCGGAAAGGGTGTCTGGTGGGGAGATAGCTTCAGAAGAAGGGGGCAGCCTGCAGACCTCTGCCACTGCCCGCCTGCCCTGTGGCTGACCTCAGACCCACCTGTACCTCCCCCAAGAAAAATGTGCATTTCTGCAGTGCAAAACCACAGCTTCCTCAGCCCTTGCTTGCGTGAGTCACAGACCGCATTGCAGACCTACCTTCCATCAATATATCTATCACGTCGCCCGCGTTGAAGCTGATCTCATCCACATCCTGCCCTACATACTGGTACAGAGCGCGGCATCGTGGCCCGGAAGCCTTGGCCTGCGGCTTGGGCCTCCCCACGGCCGGAGGGGGTTTTTGGCTGATGCTCCGCTTCCTCTGCGTCCTGTTAAAAAGAGGCGGAAATGAGTCGGCAAGGGGTGCTTGAAGCTCTGGGTTCGAATTCTGCAGGGCACCAGAGATGTTTCCACCTGCAGGGCTCATCCCATCTGCAGGATGACACAGGGGAACAGAATGCAACATTGGGCACAGAATCCTGCTTTTCCGACGGGTGCCCAATTGAATAAAATATTGGGGGGCCCCGGTAAGCCCTGTCCTACGTAATTAATCACATGATGCGGCACACTGCAAACAATTTGGATAGCAATGGTCATCAGCTTTTTTGGGACCCCCAAATATTTGGCAGGGCAGGAGCGGATATAAAAGGAGGAACAACATGAAATTTAAAGAATATTTAGCTAAATATTATAATATAAGATAAATAGAAAATTTGGAAGTAACAAATAGGCTTAGGGGTAGAATAAGGATACAGGGTAGTAAATATTAAGCATTAGAATATTAATAAAGGAGAAGAGGTTAGTAAATGAAAGGAGTTAATATTATTAGAAATATGAACTTGGAGAACTGTTATAAAGGTGATATAATGAAATTCAGTTAGCGGGGAATCGAAGTCAGTTATCAATGTTAAGAGAATTAGGTATTTGAAGAAATAATTTTTCTCTGTGTTTAATTTTATTGTATCGTAGTATGTTTTTTGTTGTTGTGTGTTTTGTTATGTATGTCATTTTGTGATAAATGTGGAAAATCAATAAAAAAAAATTGGGGGAAAAAATAAAAGGAGGAACGGCAGACGAAAAGACAGATCCAGATAATCACACAAGCAAGATGAAAAGAAAAACATAATATAGAAATAATAATAATAATTATATTTATACCCTGCCCATCTGGGTATATACAAGTAATGTTTTAAGGTGGAGAGGCAAGCAGCAGAGTAACCTCATTTGTTTTCTTTCTGTTTTTCTTTTTAAGGAAATAAGTAATTATACAAGCAGGGACTGATAAATAGACGGCTGAGGGGGAAGGGGGAAGGGAGGGGGGAAATAAATTTTAAAATCTGGAATTGAAGATTAAGTATAAGGAACGGAATGTGAATTAGAAATCAATGGCTGATATAAAGCAGTAATTAGAGGAAAGATGAAACACATAGACAATGAAGAGTGGAAAAACTGCATTAAATTTGATGTAATTGGGTATTGATTTGTTAAAATGAATAAAAATTATTTGGCAAAATAAAAACAAAAATGTGGAGGGGCCAAGGGACCTCAGACCCTAGGAGTTGATTCCTATGGTTCCCAATAAGTTCAGTTTAATTTTCAAGCCGACCCCATGATTCTAGTCCTTATGGTTTTGTTATCAAAATCTACCTTTTGCTTCTTGATCGTAAGTAAAACCTCCAAGTGGTTTGCAAATAATAATAATAATAATAATAATAATAATAATAATAATATTAGGGACGCAGGTGGCGCTGTGGGTTAAACCACAGAGCCTAGGACTTGCCGATCAGAAGGTCAGCAGTTCGAATCCCTGCGACGGGGTGAGCTCCCGTGGCTTGGTCCCTGCTCCTGCCAACCTAGCAGTTCGAAAGCACGTCAAAGTGCAAGTAGATAAATAGGTACCACTCCAGCGGGAAGGTAAATGGCGTTTCCGTGCGCTGCTCTGGTTCTCCAGAAGTGGCTTAGTCACGCTGACCACATGACCTGGAAGCTGTACGCCGGCTCCCTCAGCCAATAAAGCGAGATGAGCGCCGCAACCCCAGAGTTGTCCGTGACTGGACCTAATGGTCAGGGGTCCCTTTACCTTTTAATAATAATATTGCCAGCAAAGGGGGATGGAAACAGCTTTCCTCACATAGGGCACCCTGGGGCAGGTGATAGGTTTCAAAATCAACTCATACCCTGCCATTCCCTGGTCTGGAACGTTGAGGAACTCCATGTTGTGGTCCGAGGGCGTCCTCGCCTTTGCCCGCCGCGTCATGCCCTGTCTGGGGAGAGCACTGGCCGGGGGCACTTGTCCAGGCCTCTTGGGGGCGCTGTAGGTCTGTTCCTGGGACCTGGTGCTGCGTGCAAATTGTGGCGCTCCGTTCCTGCATGTACCTTGAGGGGGCGCCCCTAAACCGGAGGCGTTACAGAAGCCTTAGCAAATAAACTCTGCAGAGATTCGTGCTGGTTTTGCTCAGCTACGTACAACCTGAGCCATTTGTTGCCTGGTCGCCTGGAGCAAACTGTCAGCTCACCACAGGTGAGTTAGATTGTGATGAATGCCCCAATTATTAGTAATAATATTGTTGTTATTAAAATTTGTGTACCACCTATACCTGCAGGTCTCAGGGCAGTTACAACATAAAATCACAATATAAAAGCACAAATTACATAATAAAAACAACCAAATTTTTTTTACCCATCCTTCACTAACAGGCCCCCAGGGTGGGTCACAGCGATTTAAACTTCAGTATTGAAAACAGCTTAAAGAAAACATGACGAGCGAATCTGAGCTTTCATCCAGGCCAATAAAAAATAGAGGGCAGGTTACTAGACCTCATGGAGGAAGAATGCAGGTTGAAATTCCCAGCTAGTCTATGTGAGACAAGGTAACCCCGCAAAACGGGTTAGCTGGGCATACTGAAACTGGCTCAAGGTCTGCAAATGAGCAAGTGGATCTTCTGGGATCCTTGCCTGGCACAGTACTTTATCCTCTACCTTTAGGTCAGAAATGGGCAATTCTGTGGTTTCCTGGATGTTCCAGGACTCCACTTTGCAGAACCCCCTGGACCATTGACCATGCTGGCTGCTGGGACTCCAACAGGACATGCCATGTTGAATGTGCATTTTTCTCCCTTCCTCCAAGAAGCACCGTTGGCCAGGCTTACCTCTGGGGGCTGATGGGGCGGCTCGCGACGGCGTTGCCTGCTTGTGGCGGCCTCTGCTTTGAAGGGCCCCTTTCCGTGTTGGCTCTGGAGGAAGAGAGGAAGAGATTTCACATTCACCTTGGCCTGGAATTGGGATAAAATTCTGCAAAAGGGTGCACCTTTCATGCGGATTATACCCAGCTCTACCTCTCGTTTAAATCGGAACCAGTGAAGGAAGTGAAGGTCCTGTGTGAGCGGCTGGAGGATGGATAGTGGCCAATGAATTGAGGTTGAATCCCGACAATACAGAAGTGCTGTTTTGGGGGGACAAGGGACGGGCAGGTGTGGGGGACTCCCTGGTCCTGAATGGGGTAATTGTGTCCCTAAAGGACCAGGTGGGCAGCCTGGGAGTCATTCTGGACTCACAGCTGTCCATGGAGGTGCAGGTCAATTCTGCCTCCAAGGCAGCTGTCTACCAGCTCCATCTGGTGTGCTGGATGAGACCCTCCCTGCCTGTTCCCTGTCTCACCAGAGTGGTCCATGATCTGGTTATCTCCTGCTGGGGCTACCGCAATGTGTTCTCCATGGGGCTACCTTTGTAGGTGATTCAGAAAGTGAAACTAATCCAGAATGGGGCTGCCAGACTGGGGACTGGGAGAAGCTGATGGGACCATATAATACCAGTCCTGAAAGATCTACACTGCCTCCCAGTACGTTTCTGGGCACAATTCAGTGTTGGTGCTGACTTCTAAAGTCCTAAACAGCCTTGGCTCTCTATAAGGAGTGTCTCCACCCCCATCGTTCAGCCCGGACACCAAGGTCCAGTTCCGAGGGCCTTCTGGTGGTTCCCTCACTGCAAGAACTGAAGTTACAGGGAACGACAACCAACCCAGAACGCTGGTGACTGGGAGTGACCGCTGAGAACATATAAGACCTGCTCCCAGTACGTTTCTGAGCATCATTCAAAGTGTTGGTGCTGGACTTTGAAGCCCTAAACGGAATTGGCCCTGAAGGAGCATCTCCAATCCCATCGTCCATCTCCAAGGGCCTTCTGGTGGTTCCCTCCCTGCGAGAAGTGAGGTTACAGGGAACCAGGCAGAGGGCCTTCTCGGTGGTGGCACCCTCCCTGTGAAACACAGATGCCAAGGAGATAAACAGCTATCTGACTTTTAGAAGACATCTGAAGGCAGCTCTGTATAAGGGAATCCCCCACTCAGCCCCTGCTTACTGGAGTTCTTGGGGAGGCCGCTCCCAATGGATATGGTCAGTGTCTTGCCGCTTGCTTTGAGGGCTGCCACATCGCCCTGTCCACTCACGAACGACACCGTCCGGGTGCCCCCTCCTCCCCACCCTTCTTTCTTCACACGGAACTGTAGTCTGAGGGACGGAGAGAAGGAGAGGCAGGGGAAACGATTAGATCCACAAAAACCTTATTTGTTCATTGTTTCTCTCACATCCAAAGTGACTTGCAGTTTGAACCATTTAAGGACATCCAATAAAAATATTAAAGACAGCTAAACAGATAGCTCAGGACATGCTGACCCCATCCCACTAAAAGAAGGCCACAATTGCAGACCCTCCCAGTGACCCTGTTTTCCCGGGATAGTCCCAGATTTACAGAAGCCATTCCAGTTTCTGACTTGATCCTGGAATGTCCCACTTTCCCTTAAAGGTAAAGGGACCCCTGACCATTAGGTCCAGTCGTGGCTGACTCTGGGGTTGCGGTGCTCATCTCACTTTATTGGCTGAGGGAGCCGGCAAGGGAGCTTCTGGGTCATGTCGCCAGCATGACTAAGCCGCTTCTGGCGAACCAGAGCAGCGCATGGAAACGCCATTTACCTTCCCGCCGGAGTGGTACCTATTTATCTACTTGCACCTTGATGTGCTTTCGAACTGCTAGGTTGGCAGGAGCAGGGACCGAGCAACGGGAGCTCACCCCGTCGCAGGGATTCGAACCGCCGACCTTCTGATCGGCAAGCCCTAGGCTCTGTGGTTTAACCCACAGCGCCACCCGCATCCCGCATAATATCATACTTTTCACCTAATACATATTGCGGAAAGTGCTACTGCTGTTTTAGAGGGGTTCTGAGTTGGAACGGCAGGGCTGAGGAGGGGAACCGGGTCTATTTCCCAGCGACACTTTGGGAAAGGGGCGGTTTGTGTGCTTGTGTGTCGCTGGCCGTCCTGCTTACGTGTCGTTGAAGTTCAGGAGGAGTTTGCTGCGGGTCGCCTCTTCGTAGCGCTTGCAGAGCAGGCTGATGAGCTCCGTCTTGAAGATGGATTCCAGGAACGTGTCGGCCTCGGCTTCGTGGAGGACAAAGAAATCGTCTTGCCTCGTGCTGTGGTCACCGGAAAAACAAAACAAAACAGGAAACAGCCAGAGAAAAGAAGGCGTTAGTTCTCTTGGGAGAGGGATGAAGTGGGTGGGTCGAGAGGGAGAGTGGCAGGGAGTCCCTCTGACCCCGAGATGGCCAAGCGCGGAGCAGAGGACCATTCCATTTCAATTCTCTGAATTGGAGGGTTGTGGGTTCGAGCCCCACATTGGGCAAAAGATTACTGCGTTTCCAGGGGTTGTGCTAGATGACTCTTGGGGTCCCTCCAAGTTCTACAACTCAGCTTCCTGTTTAAACCAACCCTTTGTTCAAAACAATGAGGACTAGAATCTTGCTTCAGTTTTCAGGGAAGAAGCTTAGAGGTGGCTTAGAGGGAAAGTAACTCATCATGCGAAAGGCTGGGCTGGATGAATCCCAAGCCGGAATTAAGATTGCCGGAAGAAATATCAACATCCTCATATATGCAGATGACACAACCTTGATGGCAGAAAGTAAGGAGGAATTAAAGAACCTTTTAATGAGGGTGAAAGAGGAGAGCGCAAAATATGGTCTGAAGCTCAACATCAAAAAAAGGAAGATCATGGCCACTGGCAATGACCCATCACCTCCTGGCAAATAGAAGGGGAAGAAATGGAGGCAGGGAGAGATTTTACTTTCTTGGGCTCCATGATCACTGCAGATGGTGACAGCAGTCACCAAATTAAAAGACGCCTGCTTCTTGGGAGAAAAGCAATGACAAACCTAGACAGCATCTTAAAAAGCAGAGACATCACCTTGCCAACAAAGGTTCTGTATAGTTCAAGCTATAGTTTTCCCAGTAGTGATGTATGGAAGTGAGAGCTGGACTATAAAGAAGGCTGATCGCCGAAGAATGGATGCTTTTGAATTCTGGCGCTGGAGGAGACTCTTGAGAGTCCCATGGACTGCAAGAAGACCAAACCTCTCCATTCTGAAGGAAATCAGCCCTGAGTGCTCACTGGAAGGACAGATCCTGAAGCTGAAGCTGAGGCTCCAAGACTTTGGCCACCTCATGAGAAGAGAAGACTCCCTGGAAAAGACCCTGATGTTGGGAAAGATGGAGGGCGCAAGGAGAAGGGGACGACGGAGGACGAGATGGTGGGACAGTGTTCTCGAAGCGACCAGCATGAGTCTGACCAAACTGCGGGAGGCAGTGGAAGACAGGAGTGCCTGGCGTGCTCTGGTCCAGGGGGTCACGAAGAGTCGGACACGACCAAACGACTAAACAACAACAAAGAGGGAAAGTGGCCCAAACGAAGAATGTGGCATCTCACCTGAGGGACACTCTGTTGACAGCCTGGACCTCCACTTTCTTTTTCAGGACCTCTCGGATCTGACCTTTCTCAGGACCCTTTTTCACCTTCTCCCGGCCGATCATGTAGAGGTATTTGGGAGTCAGGATAAAGTCCCTCTTGATGGGCTGATGATGAGGAGGAGAAGTTGGTTGCCACGACCTCTCGAAGGGAGCGTGTCCCATCCACCCTTACTCACCTTCCCCCTAAACTCAAAAACCAATATGTACTGGGCAAAAATTTCAGCTACGAACAAGGAAGTCCTGAGTTCGAATCTCACGTGAAACTGACTGAGTGGCTCTTAGGCATCCCATTCTCCCTCGATCTTCCCCATCTGTGAAATGGGGATTAAACGCTCCGATCTACCTTGCACAGAACACTGGCAAGGTAAAACAGAGGCGGTGTTTGTGAACATTTCAGTGCTAATGGAAGGGTAGGACTCTGGATAAAGGATTTGGAAGGGGAAATCTCCCCCTTACCTTAAACCGCCTGTCATATTTGGTGACGGAGTCGGCAAAATCGACCCGCTCTCTCCTGGCCAAGAACTGGCGCAGCTCAGGCTTGTCTTCCATGCCCAAATAGTCCCCCACGAAGTTCCGGTTGATGCTGTTGCGCCGCCTCTCTTTGAAGTTATACAGGATGTGAGATGCTTTGCGGTTGGGAGGAAAAGAAGAGGCCGGTTTGAAAAGCGGCCAGGCAGACCTGGCCTTGGTCAAAATGAAAAATGCAAGGAGCTAGTCCTTAAGACTGCATACCCTTGTACGTGTTTCTGACCAGTTTTAAAACCACATGGACAAAATTTGAAATGCAAGGCGTTAGTCCTTAAGGCTGCATACTGTGCTTGTGCTTCTGACCAGCTTTAAAAGCACACAGGCAAAATTGAAAAGCCAAGGTGCTAGCCCTTAAGACTGCACACTCTGCTCATGTTTCCGACCAGTTCTACAAACACACAGGCAAAGTTAAAACCACGAGGGGCTAGTCTCTTAAGCTTACATAATGTGCTTGTCTTTCTGACCAGATGATGATGATGATGATGATGATGATGATTAATGGCCTCAGCCCTGTATACCTGAAGGAGTGTCTCCACCCCCATCGTTCTGCCAGACACTGAAGTCCAGCACGGAGGGCCTCCTGGTGGTTCCCTCCCTGCGAGAAGTGAGGTTACAGGGAGCCAGGCAGAGGGCCTTCTCGGTAGTGGCACCTGCCCTGTGGAAAGCCCTCCCGGCAGATGTCAAGGAAATAAGCAACAAACCTACTTTTAAAAAACATCTGAAGGCCTGTTTAGGGAAGTTTTTAATGTTTAATGCTGTATTGTGTTTTTAATATTCAATTGGGAGCTGCCCAGATGGGCAGGGTATAAATTATTATTATTGTTATTATTATTATTATTACTTCCTCCCTTCCACCACTCCCACTTGGATGAAATGTAATTAGATTGTAATGTCCTTGGGGCAGAGACCTTGTTAAAATGGCTATAAACTGCTTTAAAGGCCTTCTTCAGGGTGGTGGGAAAGGGAGATAAATGACCTCCCCCCCCCTCTCTCATCATCATCACCACCCTGCTTCTCTCTCCACCCTCCCTGAAACATTGGAGTGTTTGTGCACACACCTTACCTTCTTCCCGCATCTGCTCGTATTTCCGGATCGCGATGTGGCGTCGCCAAGCTTTCTGGATTACCCGGGCGTATCCGTCAAACTTCCGTTCTCGCATCTCCTCTAGCAGAAAGAGCTGAGTGGCGATGAAGGTGGGAGGGAGAGAGAAACAGAACTAAAGGATTGTATCAGAAGGCGATCTATCCAAAACTAACGGGGGGTGGGGAGGAACCCATTTCCCCTTCCCATTGAACTTCCCCCATGCTCCACCCAAATCCTCTTTAAAGGGTACAAGAAGATGTCTTCCACTTAGATGTGGCTGATGCCCAGATTTATTTCTGTTGGTGTTGTGAGTCCTGGGAATCGGCAGGGCTCCCGGCGCCAGCAAAATATGCTAGGGTTCTCTCAGGGATGAGTTGGATGCAGATAAAGGGTGGGAGGAACCAGCCGGGGGACCCCCAAGGGAGGGAGGCTCAGAGCCCGGGGAGAGGGGTGGGTGGGATGACAATGAGGGAGAAGACTTGGATGGGGAGGTGTCAAAAGTGGAAGAAATAACAAGGCTTAGTGAGCAGGGAGAGTCTGTGGCAGAGAGCAGTCCAGAATCAAAGGCTGCAGCAGGAGAGGAAGGAGGCCAAGAGACAGAGATGGTGAAGAGTCTCCTGCTGCGAGAAGCTCCCCTCCCTGCTGGTCTCCCAGAACCAGGAGAGGCATGAAAAGGGCAGAGGAGAGGTTGGCTTCACACAGGCAGAGTCTCTGATTGCTCAAAAATAGCCCCAGAGAAGAGGGGATTTAGCTGCATCTGGTATGCAGGCTGAGACCCTCCCTGCCTGCAGACTGTCTCACCAGAGTGGTCCATGCTCTGGTTATCTCCCGCTTGGACTACTGCAATGCGCTCTGTGAGGGGCTACCTTGGAAGGTGATTCAGAAACTGAAACTAATCCAGAATGCGGCTGCCAGACTGGGGACTGGGAGCGGCTGATGGGACCATATAACACCAGTCCTGAAAGATCTACACTGCCTCCCAGTACATTTCTGGGCACAATTCAGAGTGTTGGTGCTAAAGTCCTAAACAGCCTTGGTCCTCTATACCTGGAGCATCTCCATCCCCATCGTTTACCCCGGATACCGAGGCCCAGCTCTGAGGGCCTTCTGGCGGTTCCCTCACTGCAAGAAGTGAAGTTACAGGGAACCAAGCAGAGGGCCTTCTCGGTGGTGACACCCGCCCTGTGGAACACCCTCCCACCACATGTCAAGGAAATAAACAACTATTTGACTTTTAGAAGACATCTGAAGGCAGCCCTGTATTGGGAAGTTTTTAAAGTTGGATATCTTACTGTGTTTTAATTTATTGGAAGCTGCCCAGAGTGGCTGGGGAACCCAGTCAGATGGGTGGCATATAAATGAAATTATTATTGTTATTATTAGAAGGTTGGGAAGCAGCTTCACTTGCCTGGGCTGCCTCTTCCTCCAGACTCCAGCTCCCAGCCAGGATGGCCACAGACTAGAGCAGAGTGGGCACAGGGGGAGTGTAGCCTAGTGGGTTCAGGCGAAACGGAGGAGTAGCAAAAAAAGCAAGGCCGTCCGGATCGTGCAACCTGGCTTACACAACAGCCAAACCTGAACCCAAGTCCCAGATCCTCCGACACCAGAGCGTTCTGCTTACCGACTCGGGGTTCTTGACGAAAACCTTGGAGCGGCCCATCTGGTACTGATCCGCGTCCATGTTGACGGACCGCAGCAAGTGCTGGACCCCCTGGCGCTCATCTCCCTGCCACCTGGGCCACGTCTCTGGGGTCAGGATGGCGTACCTGCCGGAGGGGGCAAACACACTCAGGGCGCCGCAAAGGCACCTGGAGATATTGGGGAATCCCAGCAGGAATGGGAAAGTAGGGGGGCGTCGTTGGTGGGGGGGGCTGGGAGGGACCTGGCTTTTAACATAAGGTTACCAGATTTTTTTCAATGAATCCAGGGACTAAATAAATAAATAAATACTACACGTTCGGGACATTGATGATGCAGCGATGGCGGTGGCAGAGGGGCGGCTGCCGCCTTGACCTCAACCGCCACGTTTCCCCTTCCTCTGAGGCATCTATCTCCTTTCTCCATGAGCTTGGGCAGCCCCTGAGGTGTTGGTTCTTTGGTGGTGGGGAAGCGGTGTGCGGTGGGTCAGGCATGGAAGGCGGAGAAGGAGGGTTGAGAGCAGCGGTGGTGGCTAGGCCAGCGCGATGCCTCCCTTCCCATTGGAGCAGCCCCAATCCCATTCCTACTTGCGTGCAAGCAGGAGGGGGCGGGGATCCCTCAGCTGAGAAGGGAGGCTTCCCTTTGCCTACCTGAGAGATCCCTGCCCCCTCCTGCTTGCGCAAGTAGGAGTTGGGAGGCTGCTCCGATAGGCAGCGTGAAGCCTCCCTTCACAGCTTAGTTGCTGGGGTCAGGGAAGGCGGAGGCAGCCCGGAAGCTGCGTCTTAGAGCCCCTGCACCACCATCAGATGGGGACTTCCGAGCAGCTCCTGAAGCCAGCCAGAGCCAACTGCTCCGGGCTGCTGAGACTGCCACTGCTGCGTTTCCCGGGGACATTAGATGAAATCCGGGGACATTCCGGGGATGCAATTTGTCCAGGGACTTAGTCGCAAATCCGGGGACTGTCCCCGGGAAACGGGGAAATCTGATAACCCTATTTAACACCAGCTAAACATCGCAATATACTGATATATCACCATGTCTGAAATAAGGGTGGAGCCAGGTAGAGGCTTCACGGTTTCCCCCCGCATCGTAAATTTTGCACAAGTAAGGAAGATAGGTTATGGAACATTATTGTGTTTTTAACTGTTTTATTTTGTATGTTTTTTCTTATTTTCTACTTTTTTGCTGTACTTTATACTTTTTTCTTTGTTTTGTATAATTTTGTGAAACTTTAATAAATATCATTATAAAAAAAAATAATAATTCTGAAACCAATACTGTCTTCTAATATGGACTTGAAACTGGTTTTTGGTTATATATATCGCTCAGCCCTAGCGGTGGGTAGTCTAGAGGGCTCTGAAACCTGCTGCCTTCTCCTCCCCCCATAATATTCTGCTAAAACTGTGCTTTTGGGGTGCCCTGCGTATCACCTTGCTAGCGAAACGCAGCCGCCTGCCATCTTAATTTGCCCAGAGGTGTGTATATGTGCCTAGATCACCATATGCAAATGATAAGCAGATTTGTGCGCTGGGCGTGTACCCTGAGGCTTTTGCTAGGAGGCTCTAACCTGGGGGGGGGGTCGGAGTGGGGGCTTTTTTCCAGCCTGGGAGAGTAGAACCAAAGGCAAAGAGGGGGATTGTAACATGAGATGGGGACTGTTATGGATTGAAGTTCTCCCCCTGGCCACCAGGGGTATTGTGTACAGTGGTACCTCTGGTTGCGAACGGGATCCGTTCTGGAGCCTCGTTTGCAACATGAGCAGAACGCAACCCAGTTCCAGCTTACTTATAAAGAACTACAGTGGTACCTCGCAAGACGAATGCCTCGCAAGACGGAAAACTCGCAAAACGAAAGGGTTTTTGGTTTTTTGAGTTGCTTCGCAAGACGATTTTCCCTATGGGCTTGCTTCGCAAGACGGAAACGTCTTGCAAGTTTGTTTCCTTTTTCTTAAAACCGTTAATACAGTTGCGACTTGACTTCGAGGAGCAACGCATAGCACGCGGTGTGGTAGCCTTTTTTGACGTTTTTGAAGACTTTGGTGATTTTTGAAGCTTTTGCAAAACTTTTCTGACACCATGCTTCGCAAGACGAAAAGAACCGCAAGACGAAAAAACTCGCGGAACGAATTAATTTCGTCTTGCGAGGCACCACTGTACTTGGAGAAATCTCTGTGACATCTGCTATGTCCACCCACTACTTAACAGGGGTGTAGTGGGGGTCTGCAGAACCCACCTTCTGTTATAAAGGTGAAAAAGCATGGAAGCCCAGCCCGGCAGCCCCTCCCCGCTTCCGACCCCCAGGAAGTAATAATAAAATAATAATAATAATTGATTATTTATACCCCGCCCATCTGGCTGAGTTTTCCCCGCCACTCTGGTCTCTGCCTACCTCTGCAGGAATTTGTGGAAGAGCCTGCGATAGGCGAAGCCCGCTCTGCGGACTCGGATGTTCTCCTTCAGCCCCAGATACTCCACCTGGTGTTTCACCCTGAAAGAGAGGAAGAGCTGCCTTGGTTCTTTGTTTTCAAGAGAGTGCTGTAAATGTCTTATTATTATTATTTTTAATGATATTTATTAAAGTTTCCAATTAAAAAAACACACATCAGTAAAAAAAAGAATTTAAAAGTAAAAAGAAAAATACACAATACAAAAATAGACAATACAAAATGCAAAAAACAAAACAAAAAAAGAAAAGACAAAACAGTTAAAAACAATACCATCTTTTCATCACCACTTTTGAATTTACTTATTTTCTGGACCTCCTCATACCTCCCTCTTTTGTATTCCAGTTCAATATGTTTGTCCAGCAATTTCTTTCCCTCTTTTTTTAATCCCAATCCTTAATCTTAATATGGTATAACATTAAATTCTTATCTATTAATAACCAATTTTCCGTTCTTTTAACCTTTTTATGCCTAATCCTTAATCTTAGTCTGTATATAACTTTAACGCCTGTGCAGCTAGAAACCACTTAATTTCAATCCATCATCACTCTAACATTCTTTAATTTTGCAATGTTTCTGTAGGTAATCTTTAAATTTCTTCCAATTAGAGTGCTGTAAATGTCTTAGAAGAGGCATTCCAATCTCCCTCCTGTAGGATACCCTGTGTGCCTTTTTGTCTGACCCAGAAGGTAACGTCTCTTAAGATATATGCATTTGTGAAATTCTTTCTTTGCCTCTCTGACATTGTAGGAGATGATATAAATAGACAGGATTGTAAGTTGTTTTTATATGCGATAACGGCAGCAATAATATTATTGGCACAAAAATGGAAACAAGAAGAACTACTGACAAAAGAAGAATGGAGGATGAAATTGATGGACAATGCAGAACTAGATAAATTAACAGGAAGGATTCTAAACCTGCGGGACCAGAGATTCTTAGAGGACTGGAGCAAATATATGAACTATTTGAAAAGTAATTGTGATGAACAGATTACGCTAGTAGGACTGCAAGAAGTTTTGTAAGGTGGACTATTTGAAATATTGCAAGAAAGATTATGAGGAGAATTATTGGTTAATGATAATTAAGTGTAATAGAGAAATTAAGAAATGCAGAATAAGTGATAAAAACGGAAAATCATCAGAGGCGTTGACGGAAGTTAAAAATAATGTATAAGATAAGAAATTATGTTATATAAATGTTGGAAATGATATGTTAAAAAAACATATATATATATATGAGAAGGGAATGCCTCTCTTAAGGGAATCTCTGCTCCCCTCTTGTCATCCTCTTCTAAGACACAGCTTGCCTTTCTCATTCCTCATCCTCCCACCGAAGAGAGAATGGTTTTTCTAAGACAGGGTTTTGCAATCCACATTCTCCCTCTCTCAACCAGAATAGAATGCCTCTTCTGAGATGAGACATTCAATAATAATAATAATAATAATAATAATAATAATTCATTATTTGTACCCTGCCCATCTGGCTGGGTTTCCCCAGCCACTCTGGGCGGCTTCCAACAAAGATTAAAAATACATTAAAATGTCACACAGCAGGATTCTCCTCATGTTCTCAGTTCTCAGTTCTCAGATCTGGGTCTCCCACCATCCTTTCTTACCTGCTCTCCTCCCAGTCTCTTGGTCTCTTGGTCTCGTTGGGCTTGATGCAGCGGATGTAGTGGGGGGTGCACTTCATCAAGGTGTTCACCAGATCATTGGCCTGCCTCTTTTAGGGAAATAATAATTATAATAATAATAATAATAATAATAATAATAATAATAATAATTATATTATTATTTATACCCAGCCCGTCTGGCATTGTTGCCCCAGCCACACATATAAAAACATAATGAAACATCAAACATTCACCATAACAATTTGATCCAATACAAATAAAGTCACAATAACTTTTAAATAAACAGGTAAAGGTAAAGGGACCCCTGACCGTTAGGTCCAGTCTTGGCCGACTCTGGGGTTGCGGCGCTCATCTCGCTTTACTGGCTGAGAGAGCCGGCGTACAGCTTCCAGGTCATGTGGCCAGCATGACTAAGCCGCTTCTGGCGAACCAGAGCAGCGCACGGAAACGCCATTTACCTTCCCGCCAGAGCAGTACCTATTTATCTACTTGCACTTTGACGTGCTTTCAAACTGCTAGGTTGGCAGGAGCTGGGACCGAGCAACGGGAGCTCACCCCGTCGCAGGGATTCGAACTGCCAACCTTCTGATCAGCAAGCCCTAGGCTCTGTGGTTTAGACCACAGCGCCATCCGTGTCCCTTAAAATAAACAACTTATATCAAATAAAGCTATATTCAATAATCAATTAGAATGCAATAATAAACAATAAAATTAAATCAACAGATTATAATTAAACAGTTTACACTTATCAGTTACAAGAAAGAATAGCTAAACTATAAAAAGTAAAAATAATGGCAAGTCACAATGCACTCTTCCCAGCTGCTTTTGCTGTTCTCAAAGTCTGGGAAAGGCTCCCAGGGCTTGATCAGGATTGCCCAAACTTGGGTGGCTAGCTGTTGTTGGACTACAATTCCCATCATCCCTGACCACTGGTCCTGCTAGCTAGGGATGATGGCACTTGAAGTCCAACAACAGCTGGAGATCCAAGTCTGGGAAATCCTGGGCTGGACGGTGGAGCAAGGCAGGTGGGAAAAGCCATTGCCTGATGGACAGCAGAAGACACAAGTTTTTTGGTGTTACCCAGCCCAGGGGGCAAATGACAGGAATGAGCCGGAAGTCAATCGCAGGAAGCAAGCGGGGTTAACTCTTTATTAGGAAAAGCAGGATCTGAACAGCAGCACCAGCAACTCTTCTTCAGTGGGTCTTGAAGGTCCCTGCCTCCCCACAACCATCTAAGATCCCTTCTGTCTGGGACTTTCCCCAAGCAATCGGAGACTATGCCTTCATGCAGCCAACCTCTCCTCCGCCCCTTTCATGCCTCTCCTGGTTCTGGGAGACCAGAGGGAGGGGAGTTGGTTGCAGCAGGAGGGGGAGAAATCCGTGACTCTTCACCAGACGAACTTCCTCTCTGCCTCTTGGTCTCCCTCCTCTCCCGCTTCTGCCTCCGATTCTGGACTTCATAATACATGGATAGTTTTATCCCACGCAAATGCTTCCTACCTTCAGCTATGAAACGGATCAGGCCAAACAAAGACTCACCTTAATTTTGGATCCCGCTGTGGTGGGTCTCCCTTTCTTATCCGCGTCGAGTTTTTCTGGGAAGAGTCCCCGGATGAACCCGCTGGGAGGCGAAAGGTTTGGGGGCCTGGTTATGTCAAGCCAATAAACCCCACCCCACGTTCCCCGAAAGAGAGAACTGAGGTAGCAGATAAGGCAGTCAGACCAAGGGAGTTGGTATTATTATTACTATTACTATTACTATTATTACTATTATTATTATTATTATTATTATTAGCAATCAGTGCCATGTACTTTCCCAAGTGCACTCATGAGGTCTAGAAACTTCATGCTCCATTTTTAAGGCAGAAGCTGGGTGAGAGTGTGAGAGTACACACATAGCCCCAAAGCCAACCCACCCTCGCCTGCTTTTTCTCAGTGATCAAACAGAGGGATCTGGCAATAATAATAGTTGTTGTTGTTGTTGTTAGTACCCCGCCCATCTGACTGGGCTACCCCAGCCACTTTGGGTGGCTTCCAACATATATGAAAACATAATAAAACATTAAACCTTAAAAAGCTTCCCTATGCAGGGCTGAAGAGCTTCCTTTTCCATGTAGGGTTTACCTTCCTCAAACCACGGTGACTTTGATGCCACCAGGGCAAAACAGTCCCCTGTTGTCAACACGACTCAGGACAGCTGGTTAATTCTGAAATATTTTTGTCCATCCCACTTCCCCTCCTCCCTGCTTGTCCCTGACCCTGGGCATAGCCAGTGTGGTGTAGTGGTTAGAGCAGGGGTTCGCAAAGTGGGTGGTACTGCCCCCAGGTGGTTGTGGTGGGATTAACTATTCTAAATAATAATAATAATAATAATAATAATAATAATAATAATAATAATTTATTTATACCCAGCCCATCTGGCTGGGTTTCCCCAGCCACCCTGGGCAGCTTCCAACAGAACACTAAAATACAATAACCTATTAAATATTAAAAGCTTCCCTAAACAGGGCTGCCTTCAGATGTCTTCTAAAAGTCTGGTAGTTGTTTTTCTCTTTGACATCTGGTGGGAGGGCGTCCCACAGGGCGGGTGCCACTACCAAGAAGGTCCTCTGCCTGGTTCCCTGTAGCTTTGCTTCTCACAGGGAGGGAACCGCCAGAAGGCCCTCGGTGCTGGACCTCAGTGTCCGGGCAGAACGATGGGGGTGGAGACGCTCCTTCAGGTCTACTGGACCGAGGCCGTTTAGGGCTTTCAAGGTCAGCACCAACACTTTGAATTGTGCTCGGAAACGTATTGGGAGCCAATGTAGGTCTTTCAAGACCGGTGTTATGTGGTCTCAGCGGCCGCTCCCAGTCCCCAGTCTAGCTGCCGCATTCTGTGTCAGTTGTAGTTTCCGGGTCACCTTCAAAGGTAGCCCCCCATAGAGCGCATGGCAGTAGTCCAAGTGGGAGATAACTAGAGCATGGACCACTCTGGAAGACAATCTGCGGGCAGGGAGGGTCTCCGCCTGCGTACCAGATGGAGCTGATAAACAGCTGCCCTGGACTCACTCACACCTGAGGAGAGAATGCCTCTTCTGAACAGATAATCTCTATGTAGCTCAGGACTGAGTGCCTCTTCTAAACAGACGTGTCTCTCCATCTCTTGCATACTGCAGGGACTGAATCTTATTCTGTCAAGGATAGGGGAACCTGCAGCCCCTCCAGAAGCCACTGAATTTCACCTCCCAGAAGTGTTGCTGGTTTCCCATCCTGGATCTAGCAAATTCCCAGAGCCTGTTTCTAACTGCCAGATGTTTCTGGGGAAACTCACAACCGCAGGGATCCCGGCAACTCACAATTCGCTGCTTTGCATCAACTCGATCAAGTCGGTGAAGAGCACGTCCCGGTTGCGTTCGCAGAAGCCGCTCACGTCGTAGGACACCTGGAAACGAGCGCCATGGAATCTTAGGACGGCGGAGTTGGAAGAGGGTCCCCCAAGGGTCATCCAGTCTAACCCCCTGCAATGCAGGAGTCACAAACAGAGAATCCCCAGCAGATGCCGCTTGTGCAGAAATGAAATGAAGGGGGGAAGGATCCGCAAGAGTTTGATTTAAAAATGGGCTTTAAAAGTAAAATAATATGAGGATAGCAAATTAGCTAATTGGGAACCACTGATGTAGATAAGAATAGCGCCCCACAGAGCTCCAGAGACCTTGCCAGCATAATGGTGGATGATGAATCCCATGTTGGACCCATTGAAATGTTCGTGGTTCCCCACAGCCGACTGCAGCTTCTGAAGGAGTGTCTGGTCAGCTCCGTCGCCCTTGGCGTACACAGTGGCGCAGACGTCGTCCAAGACGCTCATAATGCCTGGAGGATTCTGGGAGTTGGAAGAAAAGAGTGGAGGGGGGCTAATTACGTCCTGCTTCAACCTTGCTGGAGGTCTTGTTCCACCCAACCTCCTTGTGTTTTGCCTGTTCTCTATGTTAGAATTCCTGCTCCATGATTGCAGTCATGGGATTGCTGTCTATCACATGACGGTGTATGTTTTCATTCCACAGAGTGGGAAGTGACAGAGACAGGATGTTTGTGTTCCTGTGTTCCGTGAAGTGGGACTATTGTCCTTTGTTCTTTTTCTCTTTGCTGTCTGATGCTAGAGAGAGAGGGAGCCATGTTGCAGTGCTCCGTGTGTGTTTATATGTAAAGTAGATTAGCCAAAATGCTGAGTTGCTGAGGTCTGTTACACAACTGCACAAACTGCGGATCTCTGTGTGCCGGTGTCTGTTGGCATCAGTCGCTGTGATGTTCGGGCTGAAGAAAGCTTTTGAAGCTTCCGAACGATCGACCAGGAGGGAGGGAACATGGGCATGTGTCTCTGCCAGGGTCCTACTCGAGTGTAGGCTGACCTCCTGACACTCTATGCACACATTTTGGGTCGCACCCAATTAAATTCTACTCAGAGCAGATGTGTTAAAACGAATGGAATTAAGGTACGCATGCCCTTAAGTCTGAACGGGCGTCCTCTGAGTACGGCTGTGTACACACCACCCATCGCAAGCCCATGAATGCCAAAGAACCACGGGAAATGTCGTTGGTTCAGGGTGCTGGGAATCATAGCTCTCTGAGGGGTGAACTACAGTTCCCAGGATTCTTTTTTTGGAGGAAGTCATGTGATTTAAATGTACAGGGTATAGCAGTCTATGCTCAACTATTCCTTTACACTTTTTTTATGTAAAAGGGGACTTTTTTGGGGGGGGGCCTCTCTTACCAGCTTGTTTTCGATGAGGTCACACACCACTTTGTTGTTGAAATATTCGATTGGGGTCCATTTGATCCCTTCTTGCACATACTCTTCCTAAGGCAAAGAGAACGAGCTGGAAATGCGAGGTTTTTTTATTTTTAAAGAAACCATAATATATCAAGAATTGAGGAGTTAACTCTTGATGTCACCCTGATTGATGTGTGGGATGGGCACACTTGTTGATTTTGTTTTTAGAAAACCCCCTCTTTTCACCTTGAAAGGGGATGGGGGAGGAAACCCTTTCCAAACTCCGGGTTTTTTGTTTCTTGCTATATAATACAGTTGTAAGGCTGTCATCACTCTGCAGTTGATGGCTGCAGTAGCTCCAGCATTACAGCAGAATATTGGGCAGGCAAGCCAGCAGGGTATGTTTATTCATTTCATTTAGACTCTGCATATCTATATTAAAATACATTCAAGGTGACATGCATAGATATCAGCAACAAACCGGTTAAAGGCGTTTAAATGTTTAATGACTTGTCTATTGCAGGTGGGAAGAGCCAGAAGAAAATGCAAGGGAAGAGTAAAGGTAAAGGGGCCCCTGACCGTTAGGTCCAGTCGTGGCCGACTCTGGGGCTGTGGCGCTCATCTCGCTTTATTGGCCGAGGGAGCCGGCGTACAGCTTCCGGGTCATGTGGCCAGCATGACTAAGCCGCTTCTGGCAAACCAGAGCAGCGCACGGAAACGCCGTTTACCTTCCCACCGGAGTGGTACCTATTGATCTACTTGCACTTTGACGTGCTTTCGAACTGCTAGGTTGGCAGGAGCAGGGACTGAGCAACGGGAGCTCACCCAGTCAAGGGGATTCGAACTGCCGACCTTCTGATCGGCAAGTCCTAGGCTCTGTGTATAAAGTGGTCTGGAGCGTTGCATTGGCCCTTCTGAACCCTGGCGTAGACCTCACCTGCTCTGCTTTCAGGGTCAGCTCAATGAAGATCTGCTGCAGCTTTTCATTCACAAAGTTGATGCAGAATTGCTCAAAACCATTTCTCTGATGGGAGGAGAGAGATTAAAAGGCATTACCCCTGACCTAGCCACTGTGATCCATGCAACGGTCACCTCCAGACTTGATTATTGTAACTCGCTCTATGTGGGGCTGCCCTTGAGACTGACTCAGAAACTCCAGCAGGTGCAGAATGCCGTGGCGAGGCTCCTTACGGGGTCCTCGCCGCAGGATCACATTCACCCGGTGCTATACCAGCTGCACTGGCTCACGGTGGGGTACAGGATCAGGTTTAAGGTGCTGGTTTTAACCTTTAAAGCCCTATACGGCCTAGGACCCTTGTACCTACGGGGCCGCCTCTCCTGGTATGTCCCACAGAGGACCCTACGATCTTCAAACAAAAACATCTTGGAGGTCCCGGGCCACAGGAAGGTTAGGCTGGCCTCAACCAGAGCCAGGGCTTTTTCGGCTGTGGCCCCGATCTGGTGGAACGCTCTGTCACAAGAGACTAGGGCCCTGCGGGACTTGACATCTTTCCGCAGGGCCTGCAAGACGGAGCTGTTCAGCCAGGGCACAGTCTGACCCCCTCCTTTGGTAATCCCCGCAGAACTGTAGCCCAATGATTGCCATTAATTTGATTCTGAATTGATTTTAGAATGAATTGAATTTAGAATGCTGTGTTACTTTTATTGTTGTTAGCCGCTCTGAGCCCTGCTTTGGCTGGGGAGGGCGGGATATAAATTATTCTTATTATTATTAATATCACAGGGAACAGAGACATGCCCAGTTCAGGTCGCAAACTGTGGCGATCGGTGTATTGTGGTTTCTGGAGATGGCGAGAGAATTAAACCCCCACATCTATCTTCTAAACCTGGGGTGGTTTTTCAAAGTGTGATCCGTTTTCCCCTTGGGCGAAGATTCCGGGGGCCACATGGCAGTGGTGGGTGGGGCCAGAGGTCAAAGTGGGCGGGGCAGTGCATGCAAATGTCACTCCTGCACCCCCCCACAGAGACACCACCCTTGACCCTTCACCCCAGCAAGCGAGAGGCATTATCAGAGTTCAAGGACCCATTTCCAGCCGCGTGAAAAGGCTCACGGAGGTGTGGAGCAGGGCCTTGAGAGGGGGTGTGGCTTGGGGGAACAAAGACACCTACCTGGAATATTTCAAACCCATAAATGTCCAGAACGCCAACGCTGTACTCTTCGTGCGGCTTCTGAATGGCTCTATTGATGGACTTGAGGCAAAGGAGAGAGGATTGGTTACCATCCAAACATGGCGGAAGGATGACAAGAAGGTTGCACAAATGCAGAGCGGACAACCGAGGAACCGGCAGCAAAGCAGGCTGCCATCTTGCCCAACCCGCTAATCCTAAAGGCAAAGGGTTGCTTCCCGCTAAGTTCCACTCAGAGTCAACCCATTGGACTTAATGTGCCCAAGTAAACCCTTTCCATGGTTTTCAAGGGATATCATGTAGGATCAATGGTGGATCCTGCCGAATAGTCCCCCCACCCCTCTATTTCAAAGAACCATAGAGCTGGAAGCGACAAACAGGCGGCTCTCCAATAACTCTCGTCTTTTCACGTTCGGTTTTTAAAGGATCATAGAGCTGGAAGGAAGAAATGGGCCGCCATCTTGTTCCAACACTCTCAGGCTATTCCTCCCTTCCATATTTGGTGTTCAAAGAACCACAGAGTTGGAAGCAAGAAACAGGCTGCTCTCCAAACAAGTCTCATCCTTCCATTAATGATTTTGAAGGAACCATAGAACTGGAAGTGATGAATGGCTCACTCTCACACTTCCATATTTGCTTTCCAAGGTACCATAGAGTCAGAAGAGGGAAGCAGACCAGTCTCACCCTTCCATATTTGATTATGGCGGCTAATGAATTGAGGTTCAATTCTGACAAGACAGAAGTGCTGTTCTTGGGGGACAGGGGGTGGGCAGGTGTGGAGGACTCCCTGGTCCTGAATGGGGCAACTGTGCCCCTGAAGGACCAGGTGCGCAGCCTAGGAGTCATTTTGGACTCACAGCTGTCCATGGAGACACAGGTTAATTCTGTGTCCAGGGCAGCTGTCTACCAGCTCCACCTGGTACGCAGGATGAGACCCTACCTGCCCACGGACTGTCTCACCAGAGTGGTGCATGCTCTGGTTATCTCCTGCTTGGACTACTACAATGCGCTCTACGTGGGGCTACCTTTGAAGGTGACCCGGAAACTACAACTAATCCAGAATGCGGCAGCTAGACTGGGGACTGGGAGCGGCCGCTGAGACCACATAACACCGGTCTTGAAAGACCTACATTGGCTCCCAGTACGTTTCCGAGCACAATTCAAAGTGTTGGTGCTGACCTTGAAAGCCCTAAACGGCCTCGGTCCAGTAGACCTGAAGGAGCGTCTCCACCCCCATCGTTCTGCCCAGACACTGAGGTCCAGCTCTGATGGCCTTCTGGTGGTTCCCTCGCTGCGAGAAGTGAGGTTACAGGGAACCAGGCAGAGGGCCTTCTCGGTGGTGGCACCCTCCCACCAGATGTCAAAGAGAACAACAACTACCTGACATTTAGAAGACATCTGAAGGCAGCCCTGTTCGGGGAAGTTTTTAATGTGTGACATTTTAATGTATTTTTAATCTTTGTTGGAAGCCGCCCAGAGTGGCTGGGGATACAAATAAAAAATTATTATAATACTTTAATAATAATAATAATAATAATAATAATAACAACAACCACCACCATCCAGTTGGAAGCTATGAAGGGGCTGCCATCTTGTCCCAACACTTTTGGGATCCAAAGAACCACAGAGTTGGAAGCGATAGACAAGACTCCCTGTTGCCCCAGTGGCCCCAGCCTCCCCTAACACCCTGGACCAGGATGAGGCCAGTCCTCACCTCCACAAGGAAGTCAAAGACTCGGGAGTACAGCCCCTTGGCTAGGGCGTCGCGGGTGTAGGAAGCTTGCTCGACGTTGAGGGTCACGTTGATGGACTCCTTCCGGTTCCCCCATTTGCTGTCCATTTTCCGGCTGGTCAGCTTGTCGTTCAGCCGGTTCTTGTCGATCCCCAGGAGGTAGGCAGGAAAGGCCAGTACTGGAGTTGGGAGGGAGAGGCAGTTGAGCATCTCTAGAGAGGCCTGTGGAACTCACGGCCACTGCATAACCCTGAACTTCAGGGCTAGGGAATGATCTTCACAACAACCTTGTAAGGTAGTTCGGTTCGCACACCCTTGCTGGGCCACAAAGGTTGCCTGATGAACATGGGGGCCAGTTGCCATTTTCCCTCAGCCTAACCCCTGGGTAGGCAAACTAAAACCCGCGGGCCAGATCAGGCCCAATTGCCTTCTGGATCTGGCCCACAGACGGTCCAGGAATCGCCATTTGGATCACCAGCGCGTGCATTCTTTCCCTCTCCCTCCGTCTCCCTCCCATGGCGGCACTGGTGGCACCTCCTCCCTCCCTCCCTCCTCCCGGCTTCTCCCTGCCCTGCCTAGAGGAGGAAGGGGGCTGGGCTTTGATGGTGCCAGCAGCAGCAGCGCTTGAGCGGCCACCATTTTAAGCAGCCCCTGCCATTCGCAAGACACAGGTAAGCAGCCACTCGTGCTCGTGGGACACTCCCAGATTTACAGAAGCCGTCCCGGTTCCTGATTTTTATGTAATTAAAATTCCAGTTATGTCTTAAGGATGCCTCATATCTATGATTAAAGGGGGGAGGGAATGAAGGTTTTATGGTCTTTTTTTGGGGGGGGTCATACTATTGTATATTTTGCTCTAAGACATGGATAGGCAAACTAAAGCCCAGGGGCCGGATCTGGCCCACTCACCTTCTCAATCCAGCCTGTGGACAGTCCGGGAATCAGTGTGTTTTTACATGAGTAGAATGTGTCCTTTTATTTAAAATGCATCTCTGGGTTATTTGTGGGGCATAGGAATTCGTTCATATTTTTTCCCTCAAAATATAGTCTGGCCCCCCACAAGGTCTGAGGGACAGTGGACCGGCCCCCTGCTGAAAAAGTTTGCTGACCCCTGCTGTCCTAATCTTCTATCCATGGTAATCATTAATCGATTTTAAAACATTTATCTCCGATACCTCTTGAATGACACTTTGCATGAGAAAAACACATCCTGCTCCCTCCCAGGCTAGGGCTATTTTCTTACACACACACACACACACACACACACACACACACACACCCTACTCTCCAGCTGTGAAGCAGGGCTGGTGAGGGGCGTGGTTTAGATATAAGGGGCGTGGTTTAAATATAAGGGGCGTGGCCATGGAGTCCCGAAAGGCCATGTTTTCTCCCCCTCTGGGCCTGAGGTTCCCCAGGCCCTTTGCACCGCTTCATTTGGAGCAATATTTCATAGGGTCATAGAACTGTGGCATTGGAGGGGAACCCAAGGCTCATCTAGTCCAGCCCCCCTGCAATGCAGGTTGGCAAGCAACTCACAATCTGGGCTCTCCACCTGGGCGTAGTTGCCCTGCTCCTGGAATCCAATGTTGCCGAGGTGAAGGATGCCGGCTGTGATCTGTAGGATGAGCTGTTTGTCTTGGCCAGAGATCCCGATGACGTCCATGGCGTTCTGGGGTGGTGTGGGGAAGCCCAGGAAAGAGAGAGAGAGAAAGAAAGAGGGAGAGAGAGAGAGAGAGGAAGTCCATGTTATAGCTGACTGCGAATAACAGCCAGTGGTTAAAAAGGTAAAGGGACCCCTGACCATTAGGTCCAGTCGTGGCCGACTCTGGGGTCGCGGCTCTCATCTCGCTTTATTGGCCGAGGGAGCCGGCATCCAGCTTCCGGGTCATGTGGCCAGCAGGACTAAGCCGCTTCTGGCGAACCAGAGCAGCGCACAGAAACGCCGTTTACCTTCCCGCCAGAGTGGTACCTATTTATCTACTTGCACTTTGACGTGCTTTCGAACTGCTAGGTTGGCAGGAGCAGAGACCGAGCAAGGGGAGCTCACTCCGTTGCAGGGATTTGAACCGCCGACCTTCTGATCGACAAGTCCTAGGCTCTGTGGTTTAACCCACAGCGCCACCCGCGTCCCCAACAGCCAGTGGTTGCTGGTGCCCATTGGAGCTGATAGAGAGGCAGGTGTGTATAAGGGTGTTACAGATTTGGGAACATGGAAATTAATAAATGGCAGGGTTTTGATGATTCGGGATGCGAAGGGAAAAATATGACCACACCATTGTCTCGTGGAATTCGCTCCGGTCGTCCGTTCCGTCCACTTTGTACGTTTCTGACTGGGACAGGTAGTAGTAGTAATCTGGGCTCATGATCCCCAAATTGTGCTTCTGGTCTTGGGAGGCTCCCTCGATGAGCTGAAAAACGAGACACGTGGGGGAGAAAAAATACGCAACACAAACACAGATGGCAGGACTACCGAAGATTTCTGCGGTGAGAGAATGTATGGAGGAGGCAATATTCTTTGTGCATGGACTGGCAGCAGGGATGGTATAATGCTCAAGGTTTGGGAGTTGCACTTTTAACAGATCTTGGGCATGGAAAAGTGCTTGACCATGCCTACTTCTGGCCGGGCAGTCAGTGCACAGTGGTGCATGTTGTGAGCTCATCCCTGTGCCTCCTTGCACAAGAACTTTTCTTTAATTTCTCACTAGTTACAGGTAGGTAGCCGTGTTGGTCTGCCGTAGTCGAAACAAAAGAAAAAAATTCCTTCCAGTAGCACCTTAGAGACCAACTAAGTTTGTTATTGGTATGAGCTTTCCTGTGGTATCTGAAGAAGTGTGCATGCACACAAAAGCTCATACCAGTAACAAACCTAGCTGGTCTCTAAGGTGCTACTGGAAGGAATATATATACATATATGTATATATATATATTAAACAAAGAAAAACAAAGAACAGTACATAACACTGTAAACACAATTATATACAGAATTTCCAAAATGAAAATAAAAATAAAAAGAAAGAAAAGGAAAAATAAAAGATATAAAGAAAAAAAGAAAAAATACTTTTCATAACCTGAAATATTACCAAATTCTTGCTTCAAATACAGTGGTGCCCTGCAAGACGAATGCCTCGCAAGACGAAAAACCCGCTAGACGAAAGGGTTTTCCGTTTTTCGATGTGCTTCGCAAGACGAATTTCCCTATGGGCTTGCTTCGCAAGACGAAAACGTCTTGCGAGTCTTGCGATTTTTTTCGCTCCCCCCCCTTTTTCTAAGCTGCTAAGCCGCTAAGCCTTTAATAGCCGCTAAACCGCTAATAGCGCTAATCCGCTAAGCCGCTAATAGGGTTGCTTCGCAAGACGAAAAAACCACTAGACGAAGAGACTCACGGAAAGGATTATTTTCGTCTTGCGAGGCACCACTGTACTGCAATATATAAATCTTAGTTTAAATATTATAAAAGACTTCCACTGCATTCACCACACGTCTCTTAATTGTCTTACTCGCATTTACATCTGTTCTTCAATCATTTCCCTTCCTTAGATTCTTTCATAATCCATCAAATCTTTATGTTCTCTGTATTCTTCACAAGGTTAGTCTAGACACAACCAAACCTTCATATTTGAGCCCTGCTTGTATAAATAATCATTTAAACATTTCCATTGTTTCTGAATTAATTTTTTTGACTTATGCCTTATTAAATCCGTCAATTTTATTTAATTTTGTACCTTACAATAAAATTGCAAGGCTGTCACCATGCTGTACTTCACCTAGCCACCAGTAGGTGGCCAGGGCCACTCCAGCATGGTTGCAGAACGGCAGGCAGGCAAGCAAGCAACAATACATTAGATGTGCTTCTTAGGCAGATGCACATCTAGACACTTAACTGACCCAGCCCTGCTTCGTCAGCTCCTACCTGGTAATAGATATGGAAGTTCCTCTCGCTTTCGTTCTGGCTCACCACACGGGATTTTTCCAGCAGGAAGTTGGAGATCTTCCCTCCATCGGGCTCCCCTCCACGACTGAACTGGATCTCAAAGTACTTCCCCTGGCAGGGCGAGACGGAGACACAGGCTCGTGCTGAATGTTCGCCCTACTCAGAGTAGCCCCACTGAAACCAATGGGCATGAGTCACCAAGGCCCATTTGTTTCAAGTGCTCTCTGAGTAGAACTTAGCAGGAGACAACCCACAGCAGGTCATTTTGCAAATCCAGTTTTTCAGTGTAGGAATCTCAACTAAAAAACCCCCCAGCATGTATTTTGGCTGCGTTTGGTCCCCTGCCTTGAGGTCCCCCATCCTGCCCTATTGGCAGCAGCAGCAACCAAAGCTGGAGCTCCAAGTCTTCACTCCCCAAACAACGACCCTGCAGAGACTTACGAATCGACTGGAGTTGTTGTTCCGGACAGTCTTGGCATTGCCAAACGCTTCCAGCAGTGGGTTGGACTGGAGAATGATATCTTTAACGTGCTGGAAGGAAGAGAAACCAACATCAGTGGATTTGAGCAAGAGAGAGCAAGGCAAAATGGAAATGAGTTGTCCTAAACCCTCACAGCATTTCTGAATCTAGTTTTCCCCTCCTTTTGCAGAGCAAATAACTCTGAATTCAACCCAGGATCCTGACCTGGGGAACCCCCAACCTGACCTGTACCAATTCAGGGGCAAGGCGAATGTTCAGTTCAGGTTTTATTATTTATTTGTGTTTCATTAGCCTTGCCGGCTGGTGAGCAGAGGGTTCGATCCTGCAGGGCGCCGCATCCCCAGCAGCTTCCCTGCGGGGAGCACGCCAGCGAAGGAAGACCTGGCAGCCCCTCTGACCCATCTAACAGCCCCAGATTGCTCTGGAGACGGCCGGACTTGAGCAGGGGCGATCTAAGGCTGCTTTGAACCTGACTCAACCCACAGCCAGATCCTAAATCGGCCCGAATCAGTGTGTCATCCAGCCAGATGTGGAGCCCAGACCTAGCCCATGGGACAGGAAGCAAGACTTCAGAACTGAAACAAAACACAGACTTGGGATAGGGTCAAAGGGCGAAACGACCTACCTGCACCTTTTCGCCACCTCCGGAAACTTTGGAAATGTACCCCATGATGTATTTGGCGGCCACCGTCTTCCCTGCACCACTCTCGCCGCTGAAACACACACGTCAAAATGTCAGAAGCTGCCTTGTATACAGAGTCAGACCAACATGGCCTACCTAGTTCAGCATTGTTGACTGCCGTCTGTATCGAGAGACAGCGTGCTTTTTGGGGTGAAGTCAAACCGCTGCGTGAGCGGCACAGAAATGACCTCCCCGGGGCCCAAGCTTGGTCAGTGCGTCTGGAGGTCCTGGGCTGCCCAGATGACAAGACCCGCCTTTCAGCCTTGCTGGTGTCCAAAGGAAAGCAGAGCAAGACATTTGGCACCATGTTTGGCATGCAAAACACCCTCCAACCGCCAGGGCCGTCTTATCCATAGAGGCTAGTGGCACGGGAGCCAGGGCACCAGGTTCTGGAGGGCGCCAGGGAAAAGGCGGAGGCTGGATGTGGCACCTCCTGGCATCAGCTCACCGCCCTCGCCCGCATCTGCCATGCCGCGCTGAAGCAGCACTGCGCCCAGAGCCTTTGTCTGCCGTGGCCACCGCACCACAAAGTGGCCAGCTGAGCTGGGAGGCGCCACGTCCAGCCTCCGCCTCTTCCCTGCCGGAGGAGCCGCCCTCTAGCCACTGCCCACATCCTCCAGCCCCACTGGCAGCGCTGTCCTCCCTAAAAAATTCTGGGAAACGTAGGGAGCTTTGCACCACGGCGGCGGATATGCTTAAGACAGCCCTGCCTGCCTTAGGGACTTCGCTCTGGATTTGTGTAGGGTTCACTCCTGAGCCCTTTAGTCTCCCAAATATATCCTGTAAAGGCAGCAGAGATTTGAGACCCCCGTTTTCCTTCTCCTAGACAGGAGACAAGCCCCACCGGCCCCTCACTTCTGAAATAAAAAAATTAAGGTCTTATATATATAATAAATGTTCATAAATGTACCAAGCAAACACGTACATAAATATATAAACCACATGCCTGAAGCAGCACAGGAAGACAGCCCTGGAACCAATATTGTCCCTCCCAAATTGACCTCAAATGTTTCTCTGCAAGGTCGAAGGAAATGGAAAAGCCTCCCCATTGTCTTTTCCTTCACAAACCCTGTCTTAAGGGTATGTCTGTGTATGAATAGGGTGAGCCTGTGACCTGGCTCAGGAACTAAGTGTTTGTCATTACAAAAGACTGGCCAGGCTCCCCAGGGTATCCAATCAAGTGAGCGTTAACAGGTAACCTGCCAGACAGGAGGTAAACAAAGCACTCAGATTTCTGTTGTAGGCCGCCCTTTCTGTGATGTAGGTATGATGTATATGGGGGTGCTCTTGGACTCCAGGGTGGGCAATTTAAAATGTCTATATAAGGGCGGACACACCTTGATTCTGGGTCCTCCTCCTTTCCTGCGTGTGAGGGGAGCACCCTGTTGCAACAGATCAATAAAGATCAGTCTTACTAGCTGCTTTGCTTCTCAATATTCTCTGGTTGGCCTCTGTTATTTTCTCCGACCGATGGAGAACCTGCAAAGGACTCTATGAGGGCTCTTGTGTCCCCCATAAGGGAATAAGGGCAGATTTTCGTTTATTACACTTCCCTCTACAGCACGGGCAGAAACCGCCTTCTTGACCATGGGGCCCAGTCTTGGTCTCGTCCATTTTGTCCGCCGGAGTCTGTCTTTACCTGGAGGGGAAGCCCCTAACTCACCGAGGGTTTGAGACCCACCGGCTCCCCTCGAAGCCCAGGGTTTGGGAAATCACCAAAGTTAAGGGGACCCCAGGATGCCCTCTTTGGTTATAATGGAAGCACCCCTTTGCCCCATGAAACTTGGCTTGCAATGCAAACCGTCTGCTAGAACGCCGCAGACTTCAATGGGGAAGTTGCTCAACATTTTGCAACAAATCTGTTGCAATGATCTCATCAGGGAAAAACAAACAAAACCCCCAAGCCCTAAATTTATACAGTATATATATTTTCCTTTTCCTTTTCCTTTAACAGCAGGCCTCTTCCTAAGTCACTGCAGCCGTGGTAAAAAAACAAAACCCCACGCCTGCCCCAGGAGTTCTGCTTGAAGGGCAACGGCAGAACTTCTGCTAGAGGAAGAAGTGTGTATGTTTGTATGTTAGTGTCTGCGTAACCTTCGTGCTGAGTTTGGATTTGCTCAATCATCCCAGATGGTCCACAGATGTTTCATCAGGGGAGGGCTGAAGTGGTCTCCTGATTGCTGGGTTTCTCTTTCTTGCCATTCGAATGAGACACCCATTTGAATTCAGAGAAGGTTGATAGACTGGGCAGATAAGCTCGTTCTTGACAGGCAGAACTATGCCACTGTGATGACCATTTATAAAAAAAGAGGCTCAGGCGAGTCAGGAGTCCTCCTTCTATCTGCCAGAGCTGGGATGAGGAAACTGGTCCTCCAGATATCACTCCCAAATGGCTAATAATCAAAGATATTGGGCGTTTTGACCTAGAAAGCCTTAAACGGCTCAGGGCCACAATATCTCAAGGACTGCCTCTCTCCATAGGAACTGACCCAGACCCTGAGATCATCTTCTGAGGCCCTCCTTCGTGTGCCTCCTCCTCGAGAGGTCCAGAGGGTGGCAACACAAGAACATGGCCTTTTCTGTGGTGGCTCCTCAATTGTGGGAAGCTCTCCCCAGGAAAGTTTGCCTGGCGCCTTCATTATACACAGATGTTCCCTGAGCTAAGAAGAAGCAAAATCTACGGCATGCAAGAGACGGGAGAACGCATCTATTCAGGAACAGGGAATGCCTCTTTTCAGAACAGAATAATGAAGGTGCCAGGTGAGCCTCCCTTGGGAGAACATTCCACAAACGGGGAGCCATCACAGAAAAGGCCCTGTTCTTGTGTTGCTACCCTCCGGACCTCACATGGAGGAAGCACATGAAAAAGGGCGTCAGAGGATGATCTCAGGGTCCGGGTCAGTTTATATGGAGAGAGGCAGTCCTGGAGGGATTGCAATCCTGAGCTGTTTAAGGCTTTAGAGCAGGGGTCAGCAAACCTTTTCAGCAGGGGGCCGGTCCACTGTCCTCCAGACCTTTTGGTGGGCTGGACTATATTTTTTGGGGGGGAAATGAACGAATTCCTATGCCCCACAAATAACCCAGAGATGCATTTTAAATAAAAGGACACATTCAGCTCATGTAAAAACACGCTGATTCCTGGACCGTCCAGGGGCCGGATTGAGAAGGGGATTGGGCTGGATCTGGCCCCCGGGCCTTAGGTTGCCTACCCATGCTTTAGAGGACAAAAACAGCACTTTGGTTTGGGCCTGGAAACTGATTGGCAGTTGGACCAGAATATGCTCAACCTGTTTTGCCCCAATAAGCAACCTGGACCCTGAATCCTGCGCTAGCTGGAGTTTCCTAACTGTCTTCAGTGGCACCCCGAGGTGAGATTAGATGGCGGATAAAAACATGAGGAGTTGTCGCTCCCACTACCACATCCCCTGAAGCAAACCAGGGAAGCCCTGATGCATCCAGGTTTCACCCTCGTGACAACCCCAAACCTGGGAGAGGCCGTGACGTGTGGGCAAGTGACCGAGTGGGGATTAAACCCCACGGTCTCTCTACCTTGCCAGGACATGAGGCTTCCTAGCTGCCAAGGACCCAGATCATGATTCAATATATAATGACTTATATACAGTGGACGCTCGGGTTGCGAACGTGATCTGTGCGGGAAGCATGTTTGCAACCTGCAGCGCCGTGTCTGCACATGCGCGGGTCGCAATTCAGTGCTTCTGCGCATGCGCAAAGCGCGATTTAGCACTTCTGTGCATGCACAAGCGCTGAAACCTGGAAGTAACCCGTTCCAGTACAGTCATTCCTCATGTTACGTCCGCTTCATGTTATGTTCTTTCAGGTTACGTCCCGGGTTTTGCCGCTCACGCATGCGCAGAAGTGCACAATGACATAACGCGCATGTGCAGAAGTGGCGAATCAAAACCCGTGCATGCGCAGACGTGCAGCTGCGGGTTGCGTTCTTTTCATGTTGCAGACCGGCCTCCGGAACGGATCCCGTTCGCAACCAGAGGTACCACTGTACTTCCGGGTTTGGCACGATGCACAACCCGAAATCGCGCAACCCGAAGCGTCTATAACCCGGGGTATGATTGTATTTCAAAAGAGCTTAACACAACTTTTTCCAATTAACAATCAATTCACTTTGGACTTCCCCTCTGCCCTCCTCCACGCTTTCCCTAATTTTCCAAATAATGTTGCCTGTTACAGTCCTTCTGTGCCTTCTCTTCTCCACAATATTTTCAAATACAGGTTTTACTCTAAGGCTACTTGCGCCTCAACACATTTTACAGTATTTTTTAAAATGATGGCCTAAGCTGAAATGGCAAAGCTACCTGGAAGACTTAGAGTTAAGGACAACAGAGACTTTAAAAAAGACTGGGAGCCGTTTATGTTGTATTTACAGAAGCATTGTAAAGAAGTGGACTCACTAGCAGGGTTTGAGCAGACACTTACAACAAAACAAACATAGAGATCAAGATGTAATAACAGGGAAATAACAAAGTGTAAGAGGCAAATTGAAAACAATTATGGTGTAAAAATGCTAAGAATATAGCAATATTCAGCTTAAAGAATGCAATATTAAGGTATAATATTGCGGGACTTGAGATCTTTCTGCAGGGCCTGCAAGACAGAGCTGTTCCGCCTGGCCTTTGGTTTGGACTCAGTCTGACCCTTATGCTTCCCTCCCCTTACGGTTTTGATCTATGGGACACTTTTCAAATGAGGCTGCATTTTAAATTGCGTTTTAACCTGTATTTTAAATTGGTTTTTTTCCTTTTCCGATTATGTTTTTACTGTGATTTTACTGGTATTAGCCGCCCTGAGCCTGGCTCTGGCTGGGGAGGGCGGGGTAGAACTAAAATTTATTTATAACAATAATAATAAAATAAGAAGTAGAAGTTAATGTGTAAAGAACCAGAAGAGGTAGTTGAGGGAAGTTGGGTGTGTCTGTTAGGAATTGTATTTCTTCTTCTTCTTGGCATAATGTTATTGTGATGAATATAAAATTGTAAAATTTAATAAAAAAATTTTAAAGCATATTTTTTAAAAAATAACCGACCAACCTTTCCCAATGCTCCTTCAATCCTGCCTCCTAATTTCACTAGCTGGACTTGCTGATTTGGCAGGTTCTGTCAATTTCAGCTGCAAATCCTCTTTAGCATGGATAGCGATTCCATTCTGTTTTACCCTCCGTTTCCTTACCTGATGATGACGCACTGGTTCTCCCCGTCGATGAGCATGTTTCGGTACATGTTGTCGGTCAAGGCGTAGATGTGGGGCGGGTTTTCGTACTGCGCCTAGGACAGAACACCAGAGAGGCGTGAATCCGGGGCTCCTGCTGTTGCCAGACCCGTGTCAGAGGGCAGGGAGGGGCTCGGCCACCTTAAGAAATTGGGGTGCCCACTGGCGGCCCCCCGACCCATTCCCCCAGCCCCACAACTCCAGGGCCTTACTGCTCCTTGGTAGAGTTCCACTTCCCGGTCCGTGAAATAGGGCATTTGCTTGAAGGGGTTGACAGAGATGAGGACGGGTCCAATATAGGTCTGAGAGCCATCTGTTAAGGAATAATCTGCCTGTCTGTCTGTCTCAATATATTTTGTCTCTCTCTATAGAGAAATATCAACAACCTCAGATATGCAGATGACACAACCTTGATGGCAGAAAGTGAGGAGGAATTAAAGAACCTTTTAATGAGGGTGAAAGAGGAGAGCGCAAAATATGGTCTGAAGCTCAGCATCAAAAAAACCAAGATCATGGCCACTGGGGCCTTCACCTCCTGGCAAATAGAAGGGGAAGAAATGGAGGCAGTGAGAGATTTTACTTTCTTGGGCTCCATGATCACTGCAGATGGTGACAGCAGCCACGAAATTAAAAGACGCCTGCTCCTTGGGAGAAAGGCGATGGCAAACCTGGACAGCATCTTAAAAAGCAGAGACATCACCTTGCCGACAAAGGTCCGTATAGTTAAAGCTATGGTTTCCCCAGTAGTGATGTATGGAAGTGAGAGCTGGACCATAAAGAAGGCTGATTGTCGAAGAATGGATGGTTTTGAATTCTGGTGCTGGAGGAGACTCTTGAGGGTCCCATGGACTGCAAGAAGATCAAACCTCTCCATTCTGAAGGAAATCAGCCCTGAGTGCTCACTGGAAGGACAGATCCTGAAGCTGAGGCTCCAAGACTTTGGCCACCTCATGAGAAGAGAAGACTCCCTGGAAAAGACCCTGATGCTGGGAAAGATGGAGGGCACAAGGAGAAGGGGACGACGGAGGACGAGATGGTGGGACAGTGTTCTCAAAGCTACCAGAATGAGTTTGACCAAACTGTGGGAGGCAGTGGAAGACAGAAGTGCCTGGCGTGCTCTGGTCCAGGGGGTCACGAAGAGGCGGACACGACTAAATGACTAAACAACAACATAGGTAACCTTGCCTGAAATGCACCTCCCCATCCCAGCTTCAGAAGCCAGTATTCAAGCATGGACCTAAAACCTGGGAAGATGTGGCTTTCTTGTTTTCTCCAGCTAGGGAGGGTAGGACTCGAACCTGTGGCTTCAGGTTACAAGTGTAATGAATGAAAATCTGCCCTTATTCCCTAATGGGGAACACAAGAGCCCTTCTAGAGTCCTTTGCAGGTTCTCCATCGGTTAGAGAAAATAACAGAGGCCAACCAGAGAATATTGAGAAGCAAAGCATCTAGTAAGCCTGATCTTTATTGAACAGTTGCAACAGGGTGCCCCCTTCACACGCAGGAGAAGGAGGAGGACCCCGAACCAAGGTGTGCCTGCCCTTATATAGACATTATAAAATTGCCTGCCCTGGAGTCCAAGACCACCCCCAGAAACTTCATACCTACATCACAGAAAAGGCAGTCTACAACAGAAATCTGAGTGCGTTGTTTATCTCGTCTGACAGGTTACCTGTTAATGCTCACTTGATTGGATACCTTGGGGAGCCTGGCCAGTCTTTTGTAATGACAAATACTTAGTTCCTGAGCCAGGTCACAGGCTCACCCTATTCATACATAGACAGACATACCCTTAAAACAGGAATTGTGAACAAAAAGACAACGGGGAGGCTTTTCCATTTTCCTTCGACCTTGCAGAGAAATATTTGAGATCAATTTGGGAGGGACAAAATGGTTTCAGGACTTTTTCTGTGGGGTTTCAGACATGTGGTTTATATATGCAGTTATATATATAACCTTAAATTTTTTATTTCACAAGAAAAGCGATTCCGACTCAAAATCAGGAAGAACATTCTGACAGTAAGAGCTGTTCGGCCATGGGATGGAAGGTGGCAGAGTCTCCTTCTTGGGACGTTTATAAGCAGTGGCTGGGTGGCCCTCTGTCAGGGATGCTTTATCTGTGATTCACGCATTGCGGGGGGGTTGGACTAGATGACCATTGGGGTCCCTTCCAACTTTACGATTTTATGATTCTATGAAATCAGAAGCCGGGGTGGCTTCTGTAAATCCGGGACCATTCCTGGAAAATCAGGACACTTGGGTTGATCCTTGCTGAATTCTGCAAGAAGCTCAGCTCCCAGGTTGGTTGTAAGTAGTATAGCAAGCAAATGAGGGCTGGGTCATGGCTGACCGAGGTGAGGGGGGCAGCGCCCCATGGACCCCAATGCGCCATGGCATGTACAACTGGCCCAAGGTGCGGCTGCGCCTGCAAACTCGGCCGCCCTGCAAGCTAGAACCATCTGGCCATTCTCTCTGGCGCCACCTACTGTTGGGCTCCCGGGCTCCCACCCTCCCAGCAACCGTCACCACCAATTGCGCTTGCAGCGTTGAGAGGCAGTGTCTGTGGTTCTGCTCTGCATGGTCCCTAAGCATCCGAGGCGGACCCAGGTTCGGATCCAGCCCTCAGGGGGCGAACCTGACCTTTTAGCATCACCCTGAGCACCTGACTTATGTGGGCTGTGGCGATTCTGGATGACTCAGGCCACAGTACGGAAGTCCTTTCCACAACAGCTGCTGTGGGCGGCGCTATTTTTAAGCAGGAAGATGAAAGCGAGACAACTTTTCAGTTTCGGTGTGTGTGCGTTTATCCCACATAGCTAAAGAGTCCCGTGACTTTGACTAAGCCCATCTCCATCTCTATTGCATGCTAATTCTTAGAACTTCTGTGGACCTTCAGATTATATAGTGGTACCTCTGGCTAAGATCTTAATTCATTCCGGAGGTCCGTTCTTAACCTGAAACTGTTCTTAACCTGAAGCACCACTTTAGCTAATGGGGCCTCCCACTGCCGTCGGAGCATGATTTCTGTTCCCATCCTGAAGCAAAGTTCTTAACCTGAGGTACTATTTCTGGGTTAGTGGAGTCTGTAACCTGAAGCATCTGTAACCTGAAGCATCTGTAACCCGAGGTACCACTATATTATTATTATTACTATACTATTTACAGTGGTACCTTGGGTTAAGTACTTAATTCGTTCCGGAGGTCCATTCTTAACCTGAAACTGTTCTTAACCTGAAGCACCACTTTAGCTAATGGGGCCTCCCGCTGCTGCCGTGCAATTTCTGTTCTCATCCTGAAGTAAAGTTCTTAACCCGAGGTATTATTTTTGGGTTAGCGGAGTCTGTAACCTGAAGCATCTGTAACCTGAAGTGTCTGTAACCCGAGGTACTACTGTAATAGTAGTAGTAATAGTAGTAGTGGTAGTAGTAATAATAATAATTGTGTGGCACCTATACCCACAGGACTCAGGGTGGTTCACAATATAAAATCACAATTTTAAAAAACCATAAAGCGCATAATCAAAATTAAAATAAAAGCAACCCAACTGTTGCCTGACCGCAGCTTCTTTGTACAGCGCAGGCTTAAATTGCGGAACTCCCTCGCACAAGGACAGGCAACAACTTGGGTAGGTTTAAAAGAGGATTTAGAAGGAACAGGCTTTCGATGGCTACTAGCCACAGTTGGAGAAAGTGATGCTTGTGAATCCCAGTTGGTGGAAATCTCAGGAAGACGGAGAGCTGCCCTTGTGGTCGGATCCTGCTTCCAGGATTCCCATAGGCATCTGGCTGGCCGCTGTGAGAACAGGACCCTGGACTAGACGCATCACTGGCCTCATCCAACAGGCTCTCCTTATGCGCTTTGTTGTTGTTGTTTAGTCATTTAGCGGTGTCCGCCTCTTCGTGACTCCCTGGAGCAGAGCACGCCAGGCCCTCCTGTCTTCCACTGCCTCCCGCAGTTGGGTCAAACTCATGCTTGTCGCTTCGAGAACACTGTCCCACCATCTCGTCCTCTGTCGTCCCCTTCTCCTTGCGCCCTCCATCTTTCCCAACATCAGGATCTTTTCCAGGGAGTCTTCTCTTCTCATGAGGTGGCCAAAGTCTTGGAGCCTCAGCTTCAGCTTCAGGATCTGTCCTTCCAGTGAGCACTCAGGGCTGATTTCCTTCAGAATGGAGAGGTTTGATCTTCTTGCAGTCCATGGGACTCTCAAGAGTCTCCTCCAGCACCAGAATTCAAAAGCATCCATTCTTCGGCGATCAGCCTTCTTTCTGGTCCAGCTCTCACTTCCATACATCACGACTGGGAAAACCAGAGCTTGAACTATACGGACCTTTGTTGGCAAGGTGATGTCTCTGCTTTTTAAGATGCTGTCTAGGTGCTGTCTAGGTTTGTCATTGCCAAACCCCATAATCATCCACTGGCCATACGGCCTGTTTATTCTTGTTCAACATCATCTGGCATTCTGAGACAGGCTGAAAGAGGAGACAGAAGAGCCGCCTTCCAATATCTCCAGAGCTGCCCCCTGGAAGAGGGAACGCCTTGCTTTCTCCTGCTCTGGAGGATAGGACTCGAACCCATGGCCTCAAGTGACAATAAAGGAGATTCCGACTCAACATCAGTAAGAGCTGTTTGACTGGGGGATGGAAGGTGGGGGCCTCCCTCGGAGGTTTTTAGACAGAGGTTCCTGGAGGGCCACCTTCCAAGAGTTCTTGAGCTGAGATTCCTGCATTGCAGGGGGTTGGACTGGATGACCCCTGGGGTTCCCTTTCAACTCTACCGTTCTATGATTCTTTGATTCTATGACTGCCCCCGAACAGGAAGGCCCAATTTATCCTCCTTAGCTAACAGCTGCCAGTAGATCTCATCTCCATGGGTTCATTCTAACCCAGCCTTTCTCAACCTGTAGGTCCCCAGATGTTGTTGAACTACAACTCCCATCACCCCTAGCTAGCAAGGCCAGAGCTCAGGGGTGATGGGAGTTGTAGTCCAACAACATCTGGGGACCCACAGGTTGAGAACCGCTGTAGGCAAACTAAGGCCTGGGGGCTGGATCCGGCCCAGTCGCCTTCTCAATCCGGCCCGCAGACGGTCCAGGAATCAGCGTGTTTTTACAAGAGTAGAACGTGTCCTTTTATTTAAAATGCATCTCTGGGTTATTTGTGGGGCGTAGGAATTCGTTCATTCCTCCCCCCAAAATATAGTCCGCCCCCCCCAAGGTCTGAGGGACGGTGGACCAGCCCCCTGCTGAAAAAGTTTGCTGACCCCTGATCTAAACCATTTTGCTTATTAAACAGAGCTGCTGGATCAGACCACGAAGACCCACCAGGGGCAGGGGCATCTCTCCCCTCCAGATGTTGCCGGACTTCAGATACATCGTCCCTAACAACTGCCATGCTGCCTCGAGTTGGAATCCAACAACATCTGGGTGTGTGTGTTACAGGTTTCCCCCTCCCTGACCCCCAAAATGGGGCACCCCCTTCTCTAGGGAGGGAATGCCTCTTTTTAAAAGAGGCATCTTCCCATTTCTTGCAGGAGTTAGGGCAGACTGCTTCTCAGAGCAGCACCAGGGGATTTCGCAGAACTGTGGAGTTGGAAGGGACCCCCGGGGGTCATCTAGTCCACCCCCCCCCCGCAATGCAGGAACTCACACTGGGAAAAGAGTCCCTCAATGGGAGCATCAAAACATTTGGGAAATGGGCAGAGAAATGGGCTTGTGGAGCGAAGAGGAGGCTTTCAGAGCTCTGCCGGGACTGCCAAATTTGGAGAGGATGACGGGAGAGGAAGAGCAGGGGGAGGAACGTACTTGCCACAAACCACAGGGACATCTGAACGGAAGTGACACAGGGGAACAGCAGCACAGGCAAGAGCAAAACTATAAATTTAAGAAGGATGTCGACAAGCTGGAAGGTGTGCAGAGGAGAGCGTCCAAAATGATCAGGGATCTGGAAACCAGACCTGATGAGGAATGGTTGAAGGAGCTGGAAAAGAGGCGATAGGAGAGCCATCTTCGAATATCTGAAGGGCTGCCACATGGAAGAGGGAGCAAGCTTGCTTTCTCCCGCTCTGGACACCAGGACTCGAACCCATGACTTCCAGTGACAAAGAAAGGCGATTGTGACTAAACATCGCGTAGAACTTTCTGACTATAAGAGCTGTTCGACCGTGGGATGGAAAGTGGCGGACTCTCCTTCCTTGGAGGTTTTGAAGCAGAGGTCGGGTGGCCTTCTGTCATGGATGCTTCAATTGCATTGCAGGGGGCTGGACTGGATGACCTTTGGGGGTCCCTCGCAACCCAACAATTCTATGATTCTAATTCACTGCCCAAAATGAAAACTTGGCTCAGTCAGATGCCTCGACTCTGATCACGACGGGCACATGTGGCACCAAACACCTAGAAGGGAACGCAAGAAAGAACGACAGAAAGGACGAAAAGGATACGAAGATATAGTCATCCATGAACCGCTTCTTGAGATTTTCGACGATGGCGTCTTCGTTGATCTTGCTGAGGAGGACCATGTCGTCCACCCCGCTCTGCTTGACATTGTGGCTTTGCCAATGGAACCGCTCTTTGCTGCCCTGGAAAGATTTGAGAGAGAGAGAAGAAAGCGGAGTCAGGCCGGCAGAATGGATCTGGAGTTCGGATGGATGGATCTGTCCATTTACACTTTCATTCAGCCTCTGATTCCCTCCTCCTCCCCCCCCCCCCAGTTTCAACTATTTTGTTATTTATTACCATGGAATCGTCGAATTGTGGAGTTGGAAGGGGACCCCTGAAGGTCATCCAGCCCAACCCCCCCCCCCACAATGCAGGAATCTCCACTGAAGCATCCATGACAGATAATAACCCCATCCAACCTCTGCTTAAAAACCTCTAACCCTTAAAAAAACCCTTCACTGGAATATCACAGGGCGGTCCGCAACACAAAAACGCAAAACGAAAACACAAAATACAAAATAAGCAAAAACAAAACAAGAGCAAAGCAACAACCCCCCTCCCACAAACACAGACCCCACCCCCAATATTCCTCAGGTGAAAATAAGGACATTTCTCACTCCCATCAAGTGACCCTCCTTGACCCCCCCCCCATTTTTGGCACACAACCCCGCCCCCCGGCAGAGGATTTCCACCACTTCACCAACGGGACACGGCACACACAAACCCCGAGAAAACTCCTTAACCCCTCGCAACTGCCATAGGGCCATTCTGGGATACAGCACAAGATATTATGGGCTGTCCTGTGAATCTGCTGGATGAAAGAGCAGAAGAACGTTGCCTCGGGAGAGTGAGGAAAATTCTCAGGGATGATTCACACTTTCTTGATCTCTGTTAAGTTGTGGGTGAACATATCAGACGACACAGCGATTCTTCAAACAGCTCTTGTTTATTCACAGGCCAGAACAGAACTGAACTGAAAGGTTCAGTCAGCCTGCTTATATATAGAGCTCCAGTGCAACGTTACTGTAACAATTTTCTAAAACTATCCAATCAGTGAACGTCACTTTCGATCCCTTATTTGCATAACTATCTACAGTATCCCCCTGCTGGCCCAGGGTGAGAACTTCAGTACATAACACTCTCCTGCCCTCGGGCAGAAGATATAGAAGCACGATTAGTCGCACCAACAGGGTAAAGAACAGCTTCTATCCATAAAAGATAACAACAGGGCAACGGACTTTGGGGCTTGGTGGGTGTGCGTCAGTAAACGAGGGGAATTAAGACTAAGAGAGCTGAGTGGGGGGTGCTCTGTAATCTCACTGTATACAAGTTGGACAAGTGACAATAAAGTATTTCAGTTTCAATAAATCAGAAGCTGGAGTGGCTTTTGTAATTCCAGACTGTCTGCAGACCCCCTGAGTGTCCCAACTTTTCCAGGGACAACCCTGGATTTACAGAAGCCGTCACGGTTTCCGATTTGATAACGGAACGTCCCACTTTTCCTTGGGGTGTCCCTATTTTCATCGGAGAAATGTTGGGGCGTAGGTAACCAAACAACCTTTAGAAGACATCGGGAGGCAGCCCTGTAGAGGGAAGTTTTTTTAATGTTTTACAGTGGTACCTCAAGTTACAAATGCCTCAGGTTACAAACGCTTCAGGTTACAAACTCCACTAACCTGGAAGAGTTACCTCAAGTTGAGAACTTTGCCCCAGAATGAGAATGGAAATCGTGTGCCAGCGGCGCAGCAAAAGCACACCTCTAGTTAAGAACGGACCTCCGGAACGAATTAAGTTCGTAACTAGAGGTACCACTGTATTATGTTTTTATATATGCGCGATTGCCAAAACCCAGAAGTAACCTATTCCAGTACTTCAGGGTTTCAGCAGACTGCAACCCGAAAAAACACAACCTGAAGCGGACGCAACATGAGGTATGACTGTATGCCATGGGGGAGAGCATTCCAGCAACGGGGAGCCACCGCAGAAAAGGCCCTGTTCTCGTGTTGCCATCCTCCAGACCTCATGGGGAGGAGGCACACAAAGAAGGGCCTCAGAGGATGATCTCAGAGTCCGGGGCAGTTTATTTGGGGAGAGGCGGTCCTGGAGGTATTGCTCCGTGCAGTGGGCTCATTGCTCAACATGCATCTCTTGATCCTCCATTTGGTCAAGCAAAAATTACAGTCAGAGCTGAAGGGCACATTTTGCAGAGGCAAAAACGCTCTCCAGGAGGGCGTGCAGAGCCAATGAGGGCCATGGGTTGGGACAAGGCTTGCGGGGAGTTATGAGGGCCAGGCAGAGAGGTCCCAGGGGCCGCATTCGGTGTCTTCTCCACCCCCCACTGTAGTCACCGACAGAAGTATTTCCGAAGGGGAAGTTTTAACTGCTCTTACATGCTGCTGATTGCTTAAGAGGTGGTTTAGCTGCAGTGGGGCAATTTTGGAGATCTCGGCCTGTCGAGTCGTTCCAGTGCTTTTAAGATCGAGGGCTGAGATCCGACAAAGTCAGGCTCAGAACAGACCCACTGGCTTCAATGGAACGAGGCAGGCCTGAAGATTTCAACAATCTATTAATAAATTAATAAACAAACATTGCCCCCCCTTGCCTATTTAAGTATGTATTGTTGCCGGGCTGAAAATAAGATGGAGAACTTCCAGGGACAGGCTGAGACCAGAGAATTTGGGACTATTTTCGATCGAGAGGGAGGTAGGAAGAATTCACCTCTACCTCCTCCAGGATTCCCAAAACACAACTACCCTCTGAAATCTGCGCGTCTCTGAGTTTTAGGACCCGGTTCTCCAGCCTCTCCCCATCTGCAAATGTGTTCAGCAATACGCATTGTTTTTTGGGGGTGGGGGTCAGTCTGGATGATGTCCGGGGTCCCTTCCAGTTCTTGAGATCCTATAACTGTTTTGGGTGGGATGCACAAATTTCTGTTTAGGTAGAAATCTGTGATGTAGGTATGATGTATCTGGGGGGTGGTCTTAGGTTACACCCCTTCTGTGATGTATGTATGATGTTTCTGGGGGGTGGTCTTGATCTACAGGGTGGCAAAGTCTTTATAAGGCCTTGCGTGCCATTTTTCTGGGTTCCTCCTCCTTCTCCTGCGTGTGAGGGGAGCACCCTGTTGCAATAGATCAATAAAGATCAAGCTTACTAGCTGCTTTGCTTCTCAATATTCTCTCCTACCAATAGGGAACCTATGTAAGGACTCTATATGGGCCCTTGGATACCCTATAAGGGAAAAGGGCAATTTTTGTTTACAACACACGAGAGCAAGCTCTTTGGCTTTTATGCCTCTGCAGGGCTTTTCTGATTTCCATATATGCCTTGGGGGCGGGGGGGGGGGGGGGCCGAATGCACATAGGCCAATTTGCTGATGTTTAGGGATTTTTATAGAAAAAAGAATTTGCAAATGGGCGAGGAAATGCGGTGGGGTTGAGATGAAGAAAAAACAGGAAGCCAAGAGAAAGCGAAGTGAGGGCAGACCACCACAAATGGGGAGGGATTTCTGGAGATCCTCAGATCTGGCTGCTAAACTCAAAGGCCTCTCCTGCCTTCACTGAAACCCTCGTCTGCCCACAAGGAATTTATTTTGGACGTAGTGGTTTTTGATTTATTGTGGATTGCTAACTTGTTGATTAACCTCACTTGCAGATATTGGAAATGTCAGAATATTATACGTTCAGGAACTGATGAGCGGCTAGCCAATGCTTCAGGATAATAAACAACAACAAAATATTGCAATAAGGTGAATTGCAAGGAATGTGAATTAGATATAACTGGGAAACCAATGCAGCAACAAGAGGAAATGATGGACACATCGAGAACGGAACCAATTTTTGGAAAAGCTGTATAGAAATTGCTTTCATCTGTGGTTGATTTTCAATTTGGCAAAAAAAGGGGGGGCAGGGGAGAAACCATAGTCTGCCCTTTTCTTGGTGTGGTCACTGTTTGCAAAAGCACCCGGCATCCACATCCTCCAGATCGTATGCAGAACACAAGAAGGTCTCTTCCTCTGTGGTTTGGTTGCTGCGGCTTGGAGAGCTTCGGTTTAAAGGAAAGGGGAACTGAGGTAGCTGTGTTGTGAGTGTGTTTGTGTGTGTTGTGAAACCTGTCTCTGCGTTTCCCAGGACATGGTTTCGAAAAGGCGGCCAGAGAGAGAGGGGCCCACAATCAGCCCCAAAGCAGTGAGTTTCCCCCCAACATGGCATGTCTCCTGCTGCAACTCTGTATGAGTCTCCGTTCCAGGCCTGGCCTCCTCTAAATCAGCAAGCGCACCACCCCGGGCAAGACCGCTGCCGCCCATTGGTTTCCTGTGTAACACGCGAGCTTCAGAGGCAGCAAGGAGGCACACTTCCTGTGGTTAAAGTTAGAGGAGCGATCAAGGGCCTAGTCCTCAGCGAGATGGCAAACTCGGCTCTGGGGAGTGCCGCTTCAGAGTGTTGCAGGAATTTATGTATAGGTTGGGGGGGTTGCCCCTCCAGCAGATATCAGGCACATGCAGCCCACTACCAAAACCAGCACAATCACTTTTGTGACTTTTGTGATTTGTCCCTACAAAACACTTCGTCACAGTTTCTTCCTATCTATTCAAAGGGCCTTTGCTGCACGATACCAAATGTAAGAATTCACTGACAAATGTATCTATGTACTGGCTCACTGGGAAAACTTCAGAAATTCATACAGACATGTGAGCTCAGCTCCTCAGCAGCCCCTCTGCCTGAGTGATAATCCCTGGCCTCCTGATACCTGAGTGCCAGACAGGTAGCCATTCCAGAAAGAACAAACCCAGAGGAAGACCAAAGGGTGTAATTAACTTGGCTGGGAAACAGGGAAATGTAAATATCTTCTTTTGTTACACTTGATGGGTGTTTGGGGGAGGACAAGGGGAACCATGGGGCAGGGTCCAGGATGCTCAGATTGCCACCAGACCTCCCCTTTCATGATGTAACCATGACGCATTAGTAATGTAGTTTGGTGGGGGGGATGTAACATGGGGATTAGCAGCTAATAAAAGTTTGGGTTCTCTTTTGTTCGGGGCTTCCATCTTGTTCCACCTGGTGGCAGGTAGGAGTCCTGTCGCAACAGTCTTCAATCAAGACCAAGCCTACTGGCTGCTGTTTTGCTCTGGTATTCCTGGCTGGTGTCCTTGTTTTTTGTCCAAGGGAGCCCTCAGATTTCTCCGTTAACAAGAGGCAGAACCTCCAAGTGTCCCTATTTTCCAGGGACAGTCGTGCACTTACAGAAGCCGTTCCAATTTCTGATCTGATCCTGGAATGTCCTGCTTTTGCTTAGGACGTCCCAGTACACATCAGAAATATCTGGCAGTGCATTCTTGAGCCTGTGACGGAGGGAGGTGGATAAAACTAAAGTTGGCATCCAAACCTCTGACCCTCACAGAACCATTGAGTTGGACGGGGTCCCAGGGGTCATCTAGCCCAACCCCCTGACATCCAGGGATCTTTTGCCCAACGTCGAACCCACAACCCTGAGAGTCTCATGCTCTACTGACTGAGCAGTAGGTAGCTCATATCAGCTGCATTGATTTATCTATTCGTGTTTAGTTTTAAATGTATTAATGATTATTCTGGGCAACTTACAAACATTGCCTTCCAGGGTGGGCGGGGCCAGAGGGAAAAGTGGGCGGAGCAAACAGAAACATTAAAAGAATGTTTTAGCAGGTCCCAAAAAAGGGATAGACACCTGTTGTCAATAGGCAGGGAGTTCCAAAGATCGATTTCTTACAAATGAAGAATGGGTATTATGTGGCAGCTGTTGACAGGCCCAGTTCTGCAGATAGAAGAGGTCAAGGGGGCGCGTATGGGGTATGGCAATCCCACAGGTTGGGGTTGGCTTAGTTTTAGGGATGGACATGATCAATATTTCTTTCTCTGAGTTTCTTATCTGTCCAGATTTAAATTCTCCACCTTTCCGCATCAATGTGGATCCTCGTGAAAATACCCGTGCAAATTCACCAGAGCTTTAGTTTCAATTTCTCCAAATATGCACGTTTTCTGTAAGCTGTTTTCCCCATGCTATTTCCACTATTATAGATATCTGTGTGCACATCCGTAATTATACAGATTTTGGGAGCTGGATCACCGCATTGCAAAATTCAGAAATGTGCAAATTTCGAAAGATCGCTGCAAATTTCGGTCTTGCAAAGTGTAGGTCTGCATTAAGCGAACCAAATTCCTCCTCTTCCTCTTTCCTCCTTTGGGTGCCGTGCTCTTTTCAGTCCTCATTTAAAAATGCACACATTTAAAAATATGAGCGCGAGAAGAGACGCTGGATCGGGGCCCTAACCTCTCCAAATGATGTTTTTCCCTACCTACCCTCCCGCACTGATGGGTCTCTATCCTCCTCTTCTCACCTCTCCATTCTGTTTTCACACCTCCCACCACTGTCACTTTTCTTCCAGCCTCTCATACTGTCCACACCCCATGCTGTTAAGCTATTATGGGATTGGTTTGGTGTTTCTGGCGCCTCCCACCCCCCCTTAAGATCTTTTGCCTATCTGCAAACCTCAGGGGTTACTCACAGTTTACTGATATTCCTGTCTTAGAATCATGAAATCGCAAAGTTGGGATCTCCAAAGGTCATCCAGTCCAACCCCCTGCAATCCTGCCCACAGCCCTGCCTGGGTGGGCTGGAACCCCCAACCTGGTTCACAGCCAGACGCACTGACCCATTTGAGACGTTTTCTCCCCATAAAGAATGTGCTGCAACCCTGGCACAGGAACCGCCATTTGCCGCAGAATTCACAAAGAATGCAAAATTAATAAGAAATAAAATTCTCCCCTCCTGCTGAACCCCCTTATGGTTTTGTCAGATCTTTGGACAGTTAAGTAATAAATCTGATCCTCTCTCTGCAGATCTCAGTTTCTGCTGTCCTCGGGTGCGAGGTGGTTCTTTCTGTTACGCTTTCAGATCCGACTAAACGTCAGGAACTTCCTAAATATCAGGAAGAACTTTCTGACAGTCAGAGCAGTGGACAGTGGAACTAGGAATGTGGCGGACTCTCCTTCCCATTTCCAAACAGACGTTGGATGGGCAGGGATTCTGTATCTGCATTTCCTGCGTTGCAGGGGGTTGGTCTGGATGACCCTTGGGGTTCCCTTACAACTCTACACTTCTATGCTTCTATAACCTGGAGCTTTCAAGCAAGTCAGTGCTGGTTTAATTGTTATGTTGGCATTAGAACCTTAAACAAAGCATGGACTATATGGAATTGGCGGAAATGACTGGCAGAATCCGTGACCAGGGAGAAGAGTCGATGGAGGAAGACTGGAAGAAATTCAAAGACTATCTTCAGAAACACTGCAAAATTAAGGAATGTTAGAGTGATGTTGGACTGAAAATAAGTGGTTTCCAGCTGTACAGGTTAAAGTTAAGGATAGATTAAGATTAAAGATCAAGATTAAAGATGTTTAAAGAAATGGAAATTTAATAATAAAAGGGAAAAATTTAAAGGTATATGACATTAAGAACAAGGATTATGTTTAAAAAGTTGAAGTTATATATTTTAATATTCTATTAAATTAAAGATTGGGTTTAAAAAAGTGGAAAAGAAACTGCTGGACAAATAATGCAAATTGGAATACAAAAGAGGGAGGTATGAGGAAGTCCAGAAAATAAGTAATTTAAAATTGGGAATGGAAAAGAGAGTTTGTTTTTAACTGTTATGTTTTGTGTTTTTATTGTTAAATTTTGTAATGTTTTTCTTTGTGTGTGTTGTTTTTCTTTTTTCTTTGTGTAAAATCTTAATAAAAAATTATTAAAAAAAAAAAAGAACCTTAAACAAAGCATTGCTTGGCATAGAAACTGGTTTTTTATGACAGAATGGTAGTGTAAAAAAATGGAAGTGTAAAAATTCCAGAAGGCTGTCAAAGCCACTACTTCTCAATTTTTGCAATGTATGGATCATTTTGTAAGTAGAAAAATGAAACCTTCATAAGCACAGGAATAGCACCTCATCTAACCTATGGGAATGGGGGCGTTATTCCGCTACTTTTCTTTTTCTTTTGATTATGTATTTTGTGTTTTTATATTGTGATTTTGTGTTGCAACTGCCCTGAGACCTGCGGGTATAGGGACGTATAATAATAATAATAATAATAATAATAGCATATAAAATTTTATTTCTTAATTGAATTATTAATTATTATTATTATTTTGTGGATAGCTGTTCAGTGGAAAAAGCAGGACAGGAAAACTTCAACTCACAACCTAAATACCTACATAGAGATCTTTCACTTCCTGTTGTTTTGAAGCTGCAAAGCTCAGCCCCCTGCGTGCTTACTCAGAAGTAAACGCTGCTGTGCCCACTGTGGCTTACTCCCAGATAAATATGCGGAGCAGCACCGAGCGGCGAACTTTCTTCCAACGCGAGGGCCGCATCTCCTCCTACGAAACTTTCTGGGGGCCAGCAATCAGAGGTGGGCGGGGCAAGAAGTAAAAGTGGGCGGGGCACCAGAGGTAAACCCCGCCTCCTCGCCATAGCCAAGTTTCCACACACCCCTCTCTGTCTGTCCTCCATCCAGGCGAGTGAAAGACAAGATTGGGGTATGAAGACACATTCCCGGCTGTGGGAAAATGCTCAGGGGAGGGAGCACGACCTGGAGAGAGAGGGTGTGCGGCCTCAGCACATTTCTGAGGGCCAGACAGAGATGCGTGGAGGGCCACTCCCAAGGGGTCTAAATTGAAGCTAAATTGAAGCAGGTGTTACTTAGAGAGGTTTAAAAAAAGCAAAGCAAAATGTGAAAACAGTGTGTTTGTCGGCTGTTGAGGGATTGACAGCAATCACTTCCCCCCAACATTTCTTGGGTGAAAATAGGAACTCCCTATTCCGTAACCACACAGCCTAGGGCTTGCCGATCAGAAGGTCGGCGGTTTGAATCCCCGTGACGGGGTGAGCTCCCGTTGCTCAGTCCCTGCTCCTGCCAACCTAGCAGTTCGAAAGCACGTCAAAGTGCAAGTAGATAAATAGGTACCGCTCCGGCGGGAAGGTAAACGGCGTTTCCATGCGCTGCTCTGGTTCGCCAGAAGCGGCTTAGTCATGCTGGCCACATGACCTGGAAGCTGTACGCCGGCTCCCTCAGCCAATAAAGCGAGATGAGCGCCACAACCCCAGAGTCGGTCACGACTGGACCTAATGGTCAGGGGTCCCTTTACCTTATTCCGTAACAACAACAAGGCGTCTGTGACATTGCTCTGTCAGAGAGGAGCATCACTGAATCACAGATGTGGAAGGGACCACAAGTGTCATCTCGTCCAACCCCCTGCAAGGCAGGAACCTTTTTGCCTAACGTAGCACTCGAATCTGTGACCCTGAGACGCATACCCTCCAACATTTCTCTCATGAAAATAGAGACTCTGGGCGGCTTCCAACACATGTAAAAACATAATAAAAACATGAAACGTTTAAAAACTGCCTTCAAGGTGTCTTCTAACGGTTGCATAGCTACTTATCTCCTGGGCTTGGGGATGGCACAACTCCAGACCCTCTAACATTTCTCCGATGAAAACAGGGACGTCCTAAGGAAAAGCGGGACATTCTGGGATCAAATCAAAAACTGCGACAGCTTCTGTAAATCCCTGGAAAATAGGGGCACTTGGAGGGTGAATGCCTGGATAGCTCCGTGCTGACAATGCCAAGGTCGCAGGTTCAATCCCTGTATGGGACAGCTGCATTGCAAGGGGGTTGGGCTGGATGATCTTCAAGGTCCCTTCCAACTCTACGGTTCTATGGTCTGACTTCATTTCCTGGTGATGCTAACCTTCCACAGCAATTAACGCCACCCAAAGTGGCCTGGGGGGCGGCAAAGGTGCTGAGATTCCTCTCGGATGCCTGTGACAAGAACTACAATCCCCATTTCCCAGCCTGGAAAGAGAGAGCGGTTGCTAAACCCCGCAGGCTCCAGGAAGTTCTCAAAGAGGACACAAAGGCAGCAACCAACCCCTTGTTTATAGTTACCAGAATCTAGTACTCCAAGGCAGACTGCCTTTGCATTGAGAGCTCTGCTGGGTCAGAGCAAAAGCCTGCCAATTCCAGTGGCCAATCAGACTCATGGGATCCTAGAATCGTAGGACTGTAGATTCGGAAGGGACCTCCAAGGATCATCTAATCCAACCACGTGCAATGCAGGAATCTCAGCCAAAGAGATTCTCTCCCTCAAGCCCACAAGCAGGGTATGAAACGAATGAGGTTAATCCCGAAACGCGGTGGTTGCTACCTCTCCTGCTCCCTCTGGTTTGGGTTCTTTGAGGTAGACTTCCTTAGATCATGGAGGCTCCATTACACCAATAGCGATCGAGAGATCAGCTTTCCTTCCCCAAATCTGTGGAACGCCCTCCCACCAGATGTCAAAGAGAAAAATAACTCCCAAACTTTTAGAAGACATCTGAAGGCAGCCCTGTTTAGGGAAGCTTTTAATGTTTAATAGGTTATTGTATTTTAGTGTTTAGCCAGATGGGGGGGTATAAATAAATTATTATTATTATTATTATTATTATTATTATTATTATCTCTGCAGTCTAGTGGACATTACCACATCTTCTGGCAGGGAATCCTGTCAGTTAGAGGAACAGGATTCCCGCCCCCCCCAGCCTGTGGACCGGCATGTGGGTCCCTCGTGGGCACTTTGGGGTCATGAGGCAGGGCTGGTGACGATCCCGGCTTGTGGGGAGAGTCACAAGGCCTGGAGGACTCCATTCAAATCTTCAGATTATCCACTCACTGTCTGCTTTCACAGTGGGTACGGTACACAATGCAGAACTTGCACGACTGGTCTGAGATTCTGGCCTGAATCTACTGCTGCGTTTGTTCATTCTGAATCGATTGTTCTGAATCTCCTGATGGGTAGGGATGCCCCAGGGTCCAAGGATCACGGGAGAGGGAGAACAAAACGTCATTTCATGCCACTTTCCCCCTACTAATTTTAAACTCTGTTCTAGTTTCAGTGTGGCTATTCCCCAGAAATACATCTGAACATGGACCCAACTGTTAAGCGCGTAAGGACAAAAGAAGCAATTATAATTTAACAGTTTTCATGTAACTCTATTTTATCAAAGCAACTAGAAAAAAAATTATGATGGGAAGATCTCACACAGGTGAAGGGAAGCAGTGGGGAGGAGGGGGGGTTAGGTTGAATTTTGGGGGGGGGGAAATAATATATGGATATAATAGATTCTTGTAGAATAGTAATATATTGTAACCAGAAAAGAAGTTTAAAAGGGGAAGTAAATGTACTTTTAGTATTTTCATTATTGTAATAGTTATTATTATTTCTTATCGGTGGAAGGCAATGTTAATTTAGGCTTCTTTGTTTTGCTGTCTGTATAAATTATTTAAAGCCAATAATAATAATAAAAAGAAGTACATCTGCACCTGGACCCAAATATGTGCCATCTGGGAGCGGAATGTGGGATTTACTCTGTCTTTAATTAGCACAACAGAACGTCAGGATAAAGGCAGGTCTCGGTGGGAGTTGGAAGGACCCTCAGGGATCATCTAGTCCAACCCCCCTGCAACGCAGGAATATGCAGCTGTACCATAACAACATACAGTGAAAACAGCATCAAACAGAATCTGCCCCTTCAGTGGCATGAAACAGGGCTTTTACCTCAGATCATTCCAAGGGTTGGTTTTGTATTCACCGTTAGCCAGAGTAGACCCTCTGAAGTGAGTGGACATGACTAACTTAAGCCTGTGACTCTGAAAGTGTCTACTCTGAGTAAAAACCCAGCGGGATGCAACTGATGGATGCTAGTCAGAGTGGCAGGGGAGTGAAAAAGAGCAGAAACCACATCATGGACCTCACAAGGACTAGCCACTTGAGCTGCCCAGGCACCTTCTTGCGCCGAAACACATACAACTGAGGTCATAGCCCAGCACTTCTGCAAGTTGCTTTTGGGAAGAAGGCTGCAAGCGAGGCCTGCCGGGTTAGGCGTCTCCTCTGGACAGGGAAGCTTAATTTTGCCTTTTTTATTTTTAGCAAACCAGCTGAAGAACACCACCCACCCTGGAATGAATCAGGAGGACCGAAATACACATGTGTCTGAATTGCACATCCTTGCACCAAAAAACAGAAGCAAAGCACCAGACACAGAAATGGCAAAATTCCTTTTGGCCTGGGTAAGTACAACTTAATCCATCACCTCTGAATACACACACACATATATAATGGTGCCGCCTTATTTTATCTGAAATAAGTCCCCATCGATTGAGTTTTTGAGTAAGCATACTGAGGACTAGAACTTTTGTTTCCCTCCCCAAATTCTCATGCCAGGCGGATGCCAAGCGGTAACTTTCCTTCAAGTAACCCTAGCAGTTTAAGCAACAAGTGGCAAGCAATTTGTCAGGGAATTTGGGGTGTGTGGGGGACTTACCCTACCGAACCCCACTCTCTGACGCCAGACACCTCTGGAACTTGGTCCATTTTGAGCAGTGCAAGCTGGGTGGCAAACTGGTTCCCAAAACAGGAACCACCTTGCCACCCTGAAGCACAGACTTACCATGATCTCTGCTGTGCCCACTCCCCAGGTTGGTGCTGAGACCCCCGAGATGGGTCACTGAGGTTTTCTGTGGGTCATAGATGCATTCCTGGCGCAGGGCAAGGAGCAAGCGGGGAGAGATCTCTCAGCGGTGAGCTTCAGAGCTGTGCAGGCAGCAAGAGAGAAGTGGAAGCTCACCAGAGTCACAGCAAGTTCCTCTATCCGGCCCTCACCACCCTCCCCGCCTTAATCTCCCCCTTACTTCCTCCTTCAGAGTTGTGCAGAGTTGTGCAGGTAATAGGCCTCTGAGAAGAGGAGTCAGCGCAAAACTTGCACTTTTTCAGAATGACACTCTCGAACCCAGTGCCGGAATAGAATCGTAGAATTGGGACCCAAGGGCCATCTAGTCCAACCCCCTGCAATGCAGGAATCTCGGCTGAGTTAATAGTTAATTGATCCCCCTCCTCCAAGTTTCCTGTTCTGGAGGGGGATTTAATTTTTAAAGAAAACGACACACACAGACACAGGCCTGGAAATGAGGCCAGATAAGGAACGATTGAGGGAACATGAGTTTGACCAACATGAGTTTGACCAAACTGCGGGAGGCAGTGGAAGACAGGAGTGCCTGGCGTGCTGTGGTCCGTGGGGTCATGAAGAGGCGGACACGACTAAACAACAACAACAGCCTGGAAAAGAGGAGACTGAGAGGAAACATGATAGCCATCTCCAGCCCTAGGAGTCCTCATAAGGGAGCTGTTCCTGAAGGAAGAACTGTGAGGGGAGGGACTCCATCAGGCAAGGCCTCCTTCCACCTGCCTTGCTCCACCCTCTAGTCCCTGCTTTGCAATGTGTATTGTATTATTTTATGTACTGTGGCTTGCTGTGGTTTTATTGATTATAGTTTAGATATTTTTTATTGTAACTGTTAAGTGGACTTCTGTTTAACTTTTATATGTTGATATTATTATTTTATACTATTCTAATGATTGCTGAAGGGACGCGGGTGGTGCTGTGGGTTAAACCACAGAGCCTAGGACTTGCTGATCAGAAGGTCGGCGGTTCGAATCCCCATGACGGGGTGAGCTCCCGTTGCTCGGTCCCTGCTCCTGCCAACCTAGCAGTTCGAAAGCACGTCAAAGTGCAAGTAGATAAATAGGTACCGCTCCAGAGGGAAGGTAAACAGCGTTTCCATGCGCTGCTCTGGTTCGCCAGAAGCGGCTTAGTCCTGCTGGCCACATGACCCGGAAGCTGTACGCCGGCTCCCTTGGCCAGTAAAACGAGATGAACACCGCAACTCCAGAGTCGGTCACGACTAGACCTAATGGTCAGGGGTCCCTTTACCTTTACTAATGATTGCTGAATGTTACTTTTTTGATGTAGGTTGCCTATTTTAAAATTGTTTTATTATCACATTTTTGTATTGCATTAGATTGATATAAGATGTACATTTTTTTGTTTCTTGAGCTTGTTAACCGCCTTGAGTATTGTAAGATAGAAAGACGGTATACAAATTAAAAATGATGATCATGATCTTCAAGTATCTGAAGGGCTGTCACATGGAAGAGAGAGCCAGCTTGTTTCCTCCTGCTCTGGAGGAGCAGGAGACTCGAACCCATGGCTTCAAGGAGATTCCAACTAAACACCAGGAAGAGCTTTTTGACAGCAAGAGACATTTGACAGTGGAAGTCTCCCTCGGGAGATGGTGGATTCTCTTCCTTGGAGGTTGTGAAGCAGAGGTTGAGTGGCCATCTTTCATGGATGCTTGAGCTGAGATTCCTGCATTGCAGGGGGTTGGACTAGATCAGTGTTCCCCAACCTTGGGCCTCCAGCTGTTTTTGGACTACAACTCCCATCATCCCTCGCTAGCAAGACCAGTGGTCAAGGATGATGGGAATTGTAGTCCAAAAACAGCAGGAGGCCCAAGGTTGGGGAACACTGGACTAGATGACCCTCGGGGGTCCCTCCCAACTGCACAGTTGTATGACTCTATGATTCTGTGAAAAAGCTCTTTCCCTTGTGATGGAGTGAGATGGTGGCTCCAACCGCAATGAATCAAAATCATAAAAATAAGGGCCAATGCAAACCTGAACCTCTAGGTTAGAATGACTCTTGTCAAACCGGGTTCTGAAAGTTAATTAGTGCCCCCGCACCAAATTACCAGCTCAGAATGTGGCTCATTTCCTTTTTTAAAATAAACATTAAAAAAATTGCTAATGTGACAGTGCAATGGCATGGTTTGAACAACAGTGAATTGAGACAATGTGCAAATAATTACATGAAAATAAGGGTCAGAATGACTCTGTTTGGGAAAAGTTACCAGCGCAGAAAACAAACAAACTGCCTAAACAACTAACAGTGATGTGATGGAAAGTTGGGGTCTTCAAGCCCAGTAAATTATAAGAACATAAGTTTGTTTGTGTGTGCCTAAAACTTCTGTCCTCTTAAAAAACTGATGGCAAAATAAGGGTGGACGAAGGGTTAAGGATGCAATCTGCTCCAGTTAAATTTTGCATTTTAAAACACCACCACCCCGCTGCTCCCCCAATTAGAAATCAGTCTCTTGTTGCACCAGAGTTGCACCAGATTTGGTGGCTCTCACTGGTGGATCCACTGTGTGGATGTGACACGGAATGTACTGCTACCAGTGGGATTCCTGCCGTCCAGGCTCTGTGAGGGAAAGGAAAGTTGTCAGTTTGGCTGGGAATGAAACTTTACAGGGGTGCTGCCTGAGGAATGGGAAGAGGTCCCAGGAAGTCAAAGGGACAAAGGGACAAGGAGCCCAGAGGCCAGGGTGAGAGAAAGACAGGCTTGCCAGCTGACATGAGGTACCAATTACTAGGTTTAAAATCCAGGGTTGTACCCAACTCAGCACAGAACAAACCTCAGCTTCCCCTTGCCCATGAATGCCAATGGGTCTGTTTCGGGTGGAACTAAAATAGGATAAAACCGTATGTTTTTACATCTCCCCAACACCAGATATAGATGCCAATTCATAATAACTCAGAACCGGGGGTGGTAGGTAGTTTTTTTTATTGTAAAAATCATGCTGTAATTTCTCTCTCTCTCTTTCTCTCTCTCTCTCTCGCTCACTCTCATCGTGGAAACAGGATTTTAAACAACTTCTATAATAACAATATTATTAATACAATATATCTGTATATATTTATATATGAAATGGTGAAATCTGACCCTGCCCACCAGAGGGCGCTCTGAGCAGATTAAGAAAACCAGCACCCGACTATCAGCTAGGAAGGTTCCTTTGGCGAAATGACGGATCTTCGTCTGCTTGTGTCTGGGACCCAAAGGAGAGCAAGTGACCAAGATTTTGCTGGCGGCAAATATCCAAAACTGTTGCTAGGTATCACTGAAGCTGAAATTTGAACTGGATTCAGTGAAATTTTGAGGGAATGGGAAACAGTTTATGAGTAATACATTGCCCAAATCCTGCAGGTCCCTTAGACTTACCAGCGGGTTGCAGGGTACTTTGTGGGGTGAGGGCGATCTCTAACCAGATGGGAGAGGGAGAGAGTTTGCCATGTGAGATCCACAAAAGGGGCAAAGGTGAACCAACCAGTCTCCCAGTGGCATAGCAAGGGTTGCCAGTGCCCAGGGCAACCTGTGGAACATTAGCACTCCCCGAGTCCCTTCCGCCAGTCCCGTATTGAATAAAGTCAACAAAAGACTCTGCCATGTTGACCTCTGTCTCTTTGATGTGCGCATCTCGAATCACTTGAGACCAGCACGGGGACAGCGGGACAGGGAATTGGTCAGGAGAGGGTATCTTTTGAAAGCTTGTGCAGAGGGCACCCTAGCAACCAGTTGCCACCCAAATCCATAGCTGTCAACTTTTCCCTTTTTTAAAGGGAAATTCCCTTATTCTGAATAGGATTCCTCGCAAGAAAAGGGAAAAGTTGACAGCTATGCCAAATCCGCCCATGCAAACATTGGGAGATTTTCTGTGTAAGCTGTTACTATTATTATTATTATTTTTGAAATTGTGCACACCTAAGAATTTTGTGCCACTGCAACTCCCCCACCCCACTGTCTGATTTTGAATTTCTAATTTTGATTGCTCTGGAATTTGGCAAGCTACCCTACACCTCCTTAAAAAGATAATTCTGGAATTGAAACGTACTGTAGGTTCGAGTCTCCCAGGACAGGAGGGACTCCACCAGGTTTGTGAGAAACCAAGTGAGGTGAAAAAGTTCCCCCCTCAAAGCACCAATTTATCGTTCACGTCCGCAAATTCAAAGGGAAGACCATGGAAGCATGTGATCCCCAAATTCAGTGGGACATAAACAGTTCTAAAAAATATCCTAGGATCTTCCCTCACTCGCAGGCTCTGATTTGGCCGCAAACCCCTGGGCTCTGAAAACAAGAGGTTTGTGTCCAAATTCCTGGATCTTCCTCCTTTGCAGCTTTGGACAACCCCAGACCTGGAGATGAACAGGTCAGATCCTGTCTCCGCTTGTTTCTTTTAAGCGAGCCTCAAGCATGTGTGATCCCTTCCCTGAGGCCTTGCTGTATCCTTTTCTTGGCCATTCACCTGCAGCTCGGGATCCCTGCCCGACTCCCAGACCCAGACACCTGTGCTATGCCTCCTCTGTGGGGCTCGCAACAGCCAACCCACTGAGTAGGGGAGAATTCTGGGACTGGAAAAATGGGGGGGATGGGATGCTGATGGGGCACTAGTGACTCGGGCGGGCTACTCCCACACCGTCGGGTGGGCAGGGCAATGGCGGCACCCAGCTGTGATACTAAAATAAATAATAATGTCAGAGTTTCAAGTAATGCACTCCACAGCGCCTCGCCCAGGTCCTCTGGCACAGCGGCCCCTCGCACCGCGCTCTGCTGCGCCCCCCACGGAGATTCTTGCCTGCTCGTTGGCGGTCCTGGGGGAAGGGATGGGCGGTGGGGGGGGGGGAAGGGCACAGCCACCCCTTGACCCGAGCCTTCCCGGTTTCCTTGAGGCGCCGAGAGCTGCCCCCCCCCAGCCACCGCTGCCAGTTTAACGCCCCTGGCAGGTTTTGCAGCACATCTGTCGGAAGTAAGGCCGGCTACAGAACTTGAACTTTAGCACCAAAGGGCAGTAGGCGACCTTGTTCACATCTTTGCATTCTGGAGAGGAAGAAAACAGAGGGGGGGAAGAGAATGTGTGATGTTAGTGGGTCAAGAGTAAGAGGGGACATGAAGAAGTTTACGAACTCATGTGCGGCGTGGAGAAAGTGAAGTTTAGCTCCCTCTCTTGTCACACTAGGATGTGTGGACGTCAGATGAAGCTGAATGCCGGAAGATTCGGGGCAGATGAAAGAAAGGAATTCTTCAAGCAGCACAGAGTTGATGTGTGGAACTCACTGCCTGGTAGGCCAGGGGCTTGGGATGGCTGGGCTAGGTATTTGTTGACTAGAGACCCCAGCCCCTTCCAGGCCCTAAGGGTTCTAGCTCTGGGGATGTCTCCTCCGGGCTCTCCTGATCCTTTGAGGAGCCTGGCAGCTAAGGACGGTCTTTTTTGGGTTCAAGAGACGGGTGACAAGGCATCTGCATAAAGTGGACCACGGAGCAGGTCCATCTCCTCCTTGTCGCTGCCATCGTCAGAGGACTCCGCTCCCAAGCATTCCTCGTCTGGGACTAAGGCAGTTTAGGCCTAGGACCCTTGTACCTACGGGACTGCCTCTCCTGGCATGCCCCATGGAGGACCTTAAGGTCCATATATAGCAACACCCTAGAGGTCCCGGGCCCTAAGGAAGTTAGATTAGCCTCAACCAGAGCCAGGGCCTTCTCAACACTGGCCCCGGCCTGGTGGAACACTCTGTCTCATGAGACCAGGGCCCTGCAGGATCTGATTTCTTTCCGCAGGGCCTGTAAGACAGAGTTGTTCCACCTGGCCTTTGGCTTAGAATCAGTTTGATTCCCTCCCCCCCTCTCTTTTTCCTTTCTCCTCCTATGAAGAGACTGCATCCTAATGTTTTAATGTTGTATCTTAATCTTTTAAATTGTATTTTAATCAACTTGTTTTTATTATTGGTTGTTAGCCGCCCTGAGCCCAGTCTTGGCTGGGGAGGGCGGGGTATAAATAAAATTTTATTATTATTATTTTATTTTATTTTATTTTATTATTATTATTATTATTATTATTATTATTATTATTTTATTATTATTATTTAGGTGAGACCCAAGCCAACCCCTCCCCTGCCCGGCTGGCCTTCTGTGGTCTACACGTTCTGGCCCATGCCACGGGTGTAAGCCCCAATTGGCTCCAAGACAGCCCAAGGTCCTGAGTTAGGTCACAATAGTTTTGTCTCATGGGGAACAAAGTTTTTTGCCACCCTGACCCCTGGGTGCTTGATACAAATGTTGGAGCAGCATGCAGGTACCTTCGGGGTTCTCTGTGGGTCCCGAGTCACACTTGCTCTCGCACTGCTGTGCCGCTGCAGGCTTGAGGGCTTCTACGCACTCCCCGGAGGGCTGCCCCGTGTGGGTCATGCACTGGACCGAACGGCGTTGCTGGCCAAAACTGCACTGCCCAGAGCACTTTGGGGAAGAAGAAGGAAGATGCAGGAGGGTTAGGGTGGGCTAAACAGTACAAAGTAAGATCGTAGTCCTCATGATGTAAATAGAAACACACGAAGCACATAGAGGGACAGAAGGATAGAAAATTTTGGACTTGCAAAACTCTGATTGTACTCTTATTTCCCCCTAAATGAAATAAAGATAAAATAAATAAGTACTACATAACATTTAGGAATTGCCTGAGGACATTCCCGTTTATCTGCTGGATTATCTATTGACTCCCCAAGCCATCACCCTTGGTTTGTCCCAACCAATATGGCTCCCCAGTGCTTTCACCATTGGTCTGACCCACTCAGTATGACTCCCCATCCCCTTCACCATTGGTCTGACCCAACCAAGATGGCGGAGCAGCTCTATTGACCTCCATTGACTCCCCGCAGTGGCTTGGCCTAGTGGAGCAGTCCTTGCCAGCTCTCAAAAGTGAAAGAGAGCAGCAGTTCCATACCTCTCCCCACTCGCCAGTGACCCACCGCGGGGGTGGACAACGCCGAAGGCTGCACCTTATACTGGTTGGGGGCTTGGCATCTTCGGGACACTGGGAGGTGGGCAAGGTGGAGGTGTGGTCGCCGCTCTTGCAGAGGACGATTCGGTGGCGGAAGCCGGGCCCGCAGTTTGGGGTGCACTGTAGAGAGAGCATGCTGTTATGGACTGGGGCAGAGAGAGAGAAAGAGAGAGAGGGAGGATAGCTGAGCTGAGCTGAGCTGAGCTGAACTGAGCGGCTCATCTGGTACATGACCCAAATGTTTCGTCGTGACAGGGGGTAGTGTGATAAGAATTTTAAAGTCTTAGAAATATAATAAATGTTCATAAATGTACCAACCAAGCATGTACATTGATCAGCACAGGAAGACTGACCTGAAACAATTTTTTATTCCCAAACTGACCAAATGTTTTCTCTGCAAGGTCAAAGGAAAATGGAAAAGCCTCCCTATCATCTTTTCATTCACAAATTCTGTCTTAAGGGCATGTCTGTCTGTGTTTGAATGGGGTGAGCCTGTGACCTGGCTCAGGAACTAAGTATTTGTCATTACAAAAGATTGGCCAGGCTCCCCAGGGTATCCAATCAAGTGAGCATTAACAGGTAACCTGTCAGACGAGATAAACAACGCACTCAGATTTCTGCTGTAGACCGCCTTTTCTGTGATGTAGGTATGATGTATCTGAGGGGATGGTCTGGGGTTACACCCCTTCTGTGATGTATGTATGATGTATGGACGGGTGGTCTGGAGCTCCAGGGCAGGGAATTTAAAATTTCTATCTAAGGGCTTGGCAAACCATTGTTCTGGGTTCCTCCTCCTCCTCCTGCGTGTGAAGGGGGCACCCTGTTGCAACAGATCAATAAAGATCAGGCTTACTAGCTGCTTTGCTGCTCAATATTCTCTGGTTGGCCTCTATTATTTTCTCCTACCAGTAGGGAACCTACGTAAGGACTCTATATGGGCTCTTGGATACCCCACAAGGGGAAAAGGGCAGATTTTTTTACTGTTTATAACAGTAGCTACTTGTTTAATCGGTGCGTGTGCTTGTGTGCCATGCTCAGTACATATTAGACATTTAAAAAGACACAGAGGCTCTTACTTCAGACCAGTCGAGGGCGGCCCATTCTGGGGGGCAGGTCTGGTTACCGCAGGGCTCCAGCACACGGGGGCGTGGGGAGTTGCAGGCGGTGTCGTCCAGGATCTTCTCCTCCGTGGTGGAGATTTTGCGCCGGCAGGTCACGCTCCGGGTGCGGACGCCTTGGTTGCAGCTGCGGCTGCACTCGGACCAATTCCCGATCACCCAGCTGACGGAGGCGAGAGGCAGAAAGGATAAGCTTGCTTCCCCTGTGTGCTGGGAAGGGTGTGGGGAGAAGGGGCAGCTACAGGCCCTGGCGGTGCAAACGCCCAGAGGAGGGAAATTTCAGGGTTTAAATGAGAGAAGTAAATTCTCTCATGGGCATGTTGCAAAATCTCCAGAGCTTCCAAGGGGAGGAAGTGACTCCTCTATGAGCAAAGGCTGCAAAGTTTGGGACATTTTAGAGAAAAGGCGAGGAAGAGGTGAAATGACGGGAGTTTATAAAGTTACGTGTGGCATGGAGAAAGTTTTTCTCCTGACACTAGGACTTGTGAACATCCAGTGAAGCTGAACATTGGAAGATTCAGGGTGGATAAAAGAAAGTCCTTTTCCACACTGCGCACGGTGAAACTGTGGAACTCCCTCTCATCGCAGGGATGGCTGCCAGCTTTAAAGGATGATATTTTTAAAAGACCAGTTCATGGAGGGGAGGGCTATTGATGGCTAGGGCTGGGCAATATATTGATATATCACCCCAAACCAGTTTGAAGTCCGAATGATGATATCAGTTTCATAGTTTTCGACCTGGCAATATATCGTGAATCATGATGTGTGTGTGTGTTTGTGCGTGTCATGCAAAAATCACAATGTGGGGGAAACCGTGCAGCCGGTCAATGCCTCTACCTAGCTCCATCCTTTGCGGTAAATTGTGATGTTTATTTATCTGGTGATATATTGTGATGTTGAAAACCAGATACAGTGGTACCTCGGGTTAAGTACTTAATTCGTTCCAGAGGTCCGTTCTTAACCTGAAACTGTTCTTAACCTGAAGCACCACTTTAGCTAATGGGGCCTCCTGCTGCCGCCACACGATTTCTGTCCTCATCCTGAAGCAAAGTTCTTAACCCGAGGTAATATTTCTGGGTTAGCGGAGTCTGTAACCTGAAGCGTATGTAACCTGAAGCGTATGTAACACGAGGTACCACTGTACAGTCATACCTCGGGTTACAGATGCTTCAGATTGTGTTTTTTCATGTTACAGATCGCCGAAAAAGAGCGTCCACTATATTGCCCAGCCCTAGCTATTAGTCACAACGGCTGTGCTCTGCCTTCACAGCTGGAGACGGTAATGTTTCTGGACACCATTCGCTCTAAACCGCAGGAAGGGAGAGGGCTCTTGTGCTTGGATCCTGCTTTCACACAGGCAACCTGCTTAGCCACTGTGAGAACAGAATCCTGGACTACGTGGGCTGATCCAGCCGGCTCTTATGATGTTCTTATGAGCTTCTGTTACTGAATCAGGGCTTGGTGGATAAACCACTAACTGGATTTCTATCAATGGCTGCATGGATGGTTATAGCCGCATTCTGGAAGGATTCAGTTCAAAAAAAAGGATGGCGTATTCCTTACGGGGTGGGGAAGGGGACTGACTCACAAGACTGGCAAGAGGAATGAAGGACCCAGGACACCTTTCTGGGGAAATGGTGGAGCTTTCACCCATTCAAAAATCATCCAAGAAACCAAAAACCAAAGGTTTATGCTGGCTTGCAGATGACTTAAGATGCATTCTGCTCTAAGTTGTGGCGTACGTAGGGCAATACAGGTTTTCACAATGTATTTCGGGGGGGAGAAGATAAATAAATATTTCAAAAAGAAAGGGAAAGGGATGCACAGGTGTGTAAAAACTAAGAGACCCTCAAATGTTTTCTTGGAGGAGGGGAGAGTTGATATTTTCCCTGTCTCAATTGGATTGTTGTTGTTATTTAAATTTTTATACTGCCCTGTACCTGCAGGCCTCAGGGAAGTTACAACGTAAGATTACAAAATAAAAACACAGAATACATAAAAAATGCAAACAAAAAAACCCAATAAACGCTCCAACACATTTTAAAAGGCCATCGGATGTCAATCAGTCATGCCTGGGAGAAGAGGAACATTTTTGCCTGGCACCTAAAGGTGTCTAATGAATGCGCTAGGTAGCCATCCCTGGGGAGAGTGTTTCCACAAATAGGGAGCCACTGCAGAAAAGGCCCTGTTCTCGTGTTGCCACCTTCTGGACTTCTTGCTGAGGAGGCACGTGAAGAAGAGCCTCAGATGATGAATGCAGAGTCTGGGATGGTTTATATGGGGAGAGGCGATCCTAGAGGTATTGCGACCCTGAGCTGTTTTAGAGGTCAAAACCAGCACTTTGGATTGGGCCTGGAAACTAATTGGCAGCCAGTGCAGTTGGACCAGAATATTCTCAAAGCATTTTGCCCGGATGATCAACCAGGATGCTGAATTCTGCACTAGCTGAAGTTTCTGAACCATCTTCAGATACAGCCCTACGTATAATGCATTGCAGTAATCTAACCTCGAGGTTACCAGAGCATAAAAAGTAGTTAGGCTTTGTTTGCCTGTTGGATAAAAGAGTCTGGGCACTGGGCCTCTTTTGGGGTGCCCCTCCCCCTGGGATGCAGCCCCCCCAAAAAACATCTAACTTACGCTGGTGGGCAGGGCTCAGTGTTGCACAATCTCTGTCTCTCGGGCAGCTTAGTGTCGGGGCTGCAGAGGTGGTTGAAGACCGTGGAGCTGTCGGCTTGGTTGCGGCAGACGACGGGCTGGACCTGGCTGCCTGTAAGGATGGCGCTGAGTGAGGATGCTGAGGTCTGAGCAGCGAGAAACAGCAGCAGCTTCTCACTCACTCCCCACACCCTAGGTGCCAACTCTCTGGGGCCCTGGGTGCTTGAGCATCCACAAAATTCCCCTTGAAGGGATTTTCAATGCCAGGGCATAGCACCCAGGGTCCCAGGCGCCCACTGTCGCGGGGCCAAGTTGGCACTCCTGCCCCCCACACCCCCAGGTTCCATAACACCCCCTAGCCAAACAGTCTGCTTTTCAGTGGTAGGAACTGCCTGCCCTCATCCCCATAAAATGTGTTTTCAAAAAGATGTGTGGACAGAAGCAAGGGTTTATCTAGCTCAGAGCTGGCTACAATGACTTGGGAGATTGAAACCTGGAACCTTTCCCATCTAAAGCAGCTGCTCCACCACTGAGCTACTGAAGTAATTTTCAAGTGTTCCCAAAACAGGGACAGGATTTTTCCTTCTACTGAGTCAGGCTGCTGGTTTGTCTAGCTCACTGATTGGCAGCGGTTCTCTAGGGGTTCAGGTGAGGTTTGCTCCCAGCCGCACCTGAGGTGCTGTTGGGGATTCGAACCCAGGACCTACTGCGTGCAAAGCAGATGCTCTGCAGTTGAGCGATGGCCTTTCTCCTATAAATAAAGCAAGATTCTAGTCCTCACAGTTCTGTATGGCTTAAACTGGAACATGGGGATCTGCCTTGGAGCAAGTCTTCCCAAAGGTCTGCTGAACTTAGCAGAGTCTCTACACCGCTGTTGACACAAAAATGGCAGGGTCTCTCTAGGGGTTCAGACAGGAGCCCTACCCGGGTTCGAAGTGGGCAGTGCTGGATTACCAAACAGGCAGAGTAGGCAGCAGCCTATGGGCCCCACATTTTTTAGGGGCCCCACGACAACAGATCAATATAAGATTGATTTGATATTGAAATAAAATTGGTTTATTGAAATTGTTGGTTGGTAAAATCAACAACATATTAGGAGATAATTTGCACAGCCCCCCCCCCCCCGAGATTTCGAATACCCAGTGGCCTCCTCAGGGTTTAATCCAGGACTGGAAACAGGGGACCTCCTGCAAGCATACCGCTGCAGCACCTCTGAGTTGGGCTCTTCCAATAAAGAGTCTTACCTCCGCCACAGAGGGCCGAGCATTTTGTCCACGAGACATACTGCCACAAGTACTGGGTGACGGAACCACGGACGATGGGTGCATTGAACTTGTAGCGGATTCTCTGCAGTTCTTCCCTGACGAGCACCTAGGGGTGGAAGGGAGAGGGAATAGGGAGGCACGGCCATGGTTGGTGGAGAACCCCACACTTTCCCAAAAGGACCTTGGAAGCAGAATTCTCTGCTGGAAAATAAAAAAGCCACCCCCACTCCCCATAGCTGTTCTGTTGCATGACTTGCGGGACGTTATTGCAATCCATCCAACAACTCATGTTTTGCCAGATGGGCACACGAAGGGGCAAAGGTTCACAGAGGTTTCCTACAAAATTTGCTAGAGGGAACTCTTCCTGAGATCACTTCCTTTGTCTGTCTTGGCAGGAAGCTGTAGTACTAAATCCTTCCTTCCCGTCTCAGCATCTCTCTCTTACTTCGTCGTGCCTCCATGCTGGCCACACATGCATGCCTAGTTCAGGTACCATTTTTGAACTCAAGATTTCGTACTTTTGTAACTTAGATAGTGGTTATAAGTCTGCTTTCATTTTGCTATTGTACCCCCTTCTTCAAGACCAAGCTTATGTAAGTAAATACTACTTTTACTTCTTCACAAAGCAATGTCATCATCATTATTATATCATTACATTGAAAAGTTGGAAGGGATCTTGAGGGTCATCTAGTCCAACCCCCTGCAACGCAGGAATCTTTTGCGCAACACAGGATTCGAACCCACAACCCCAAGATTAAGAGTTAAATGCTCTACCAAATGAGCTATCCCAGGTCCGTGGGACTGTTATTTTTAAGGGGGAGAAAAGGGGTACTGCCGGGGAAAACCCAGTCTGCCTTAAAGCACCCCAGATTATTGTTTCTAGAAGATTAAATCACCCTTGTTTTAGCTTCCAAGTTTAAAGCTACAGAGTATGGTAGTCTGCTGATCTCACGCACGTGAGCAAGGAAAGATAACAACTAAATAATATATGCTCTCCTAAGGCTTGAGGTCTACATTACATGACCCCCGCTCCTACAAGGATCACACGACATCCCAATTATATGGCCAATCAGCTTTAGCTGTGTGCTGAGGTCAAACAAGGGCAAATGGAGTCTGTTAGTGAGCATGACCATAGCTGTCAACTTTTCCCTTTTCTTGCAAGGAATCCTATTCAGAATAAGGGAATTTCCCTTAAAAAAAGGAAAACGTTGACAGCTATGGGCATGGCGTCCTTTACTGGTCGCAGGGAGAATCTTGGCTTATCAGGGATCACCCTAAAGCAGCGGTTCCCCAACTTTTTCGTGCCCCACCACAAAAAGCAATCTTCAGTAGAGCACTGGTACCTGCTTTACAAAGACTGATAGTCTTAGATACCGCATTTAGTAACCCCTGTTCAGTCAACGAACCATGACGATGAGGGTGACGTTGGTGGGGCCCAGGGATTCCAGGGACTCCAGCTCGTCTTGAGCGCGTCTGTAGTGGAAGGTGGTCCCGGCGATGTCAAAGCGCCGGGGTGGGTCAATGGAGAGCTTTCCGTTGACGAAGTACTCGTCGTTCTCCCCTCTCAGAGCTGGAAAGAGAATCCGGGGTGTGTGGGGTGTGACCAAGTCAGGGGTGGGCTGAAGCACTTGCATCCCATCCCCCAAAGAATACAGGGATATTTTTCATAAAAATCATAATTGTATTACAGTGGTGCCTCGCAAGACGAAATTAATTCGTTCCGCGAGTTTTGTCATCTTGCGATTTTTTTCGTCTTGTGAAGCACGGTGTCGAGAAAGTTTTGGAAAAGCTTCAAAAATCACCAAAGTCTTTACAAACCTCAAAAAAGGCTACCACACCGTGTGCTATGAGTTGCTCCTCGAAGTCAAGTCGCAACTGTATTAACGGTGTTAAGAAAAAGGAAACAAACTTGCAAGACGTTTCCGTCTTGCGAAGCAAGCCCATAGGGAAAATCGTCTTGCGAAGCAGCTCAAAAAACAAAAAACCCTTTCGTCTAGCGAGTTTTTTGTCTTGCGAGGCATTCGTCTGGCGAGGTACCACTGTATTTGTTCCCCACCCATCTGACTAGGTTGCTCCAGCCACTCTGGGCAGCTTGCAACAAAATATTAAAAGCACAATAAAACATCAGCCATTAAAAACTTCCCTATATGGGGCTGCCTTCAAATGTCTTCTAAACATCAGATAGTTGTTTATTTGCTTGACATATGACCACTGAGAAGGCCCTCTGCCTTGTTCCCTGCAACCTCACTTTTCGCAGGGAGGGAACCGCCAGAAGGCCCTCAGAGGTGGACCTCAGTGTCTGGGCTGAATGATGGGGGTGGAGATGCTCCTTCAGGTATACAGGGCTGAGGCCATTTAGGGCTTTAAAGGTCACAACCAACACTTTGAATTGTACTGGGAGCCACTGTAGGTCTTTCGGGACCAGTGTTATATGGTCCTGCCAATGGCTCCCAGTCACCAGTCCAGCAGCCGCATTCTAGATTAGTTGTGGTTTCCGAGTCACTTTTGAAGGTAGCTCCACGGAAAGCACATGGCAGTAGTCCAAGCGGGAGATAACCCACATGCAAAACCAGAGGTTGGAGGTCACCTCAAGGACAACCTGTCTGGGGTATCCCTCCTTAGCTAAGGTTTCTCACCAAGGTAGTTCAAGGAAAGGTTGAGCTCCCGGATGTCGATATGCACCGATCCTTTGGGGATCCATATCACCTCTTCGTAGCCTGTGCGGCAGATGGACATAATAAACGAAGGTAAGTTCTAAGGGGGTGCTCAATGTTCAAAAAGCCAAGAGAGAAAATTTGGTGCAGGGAATTGCAAAGCACATGAAGAACTGTGTTGATGCTGTCTTCTACTAAGTCAGTACTGGGATGGGAACCTGGGAGACCAGGCTTCAAATTAACGTTTTTTAAGGGCACTGGGCAATAGGCATTACAGGCATTGGGCAATAGGTGCTATGCACAGCTGGGAACCTCCCCAATCAAGTTCCACCTGTGCAATTTATTTTTGAAAGCACCTGCCTTGGAATAGAAAAACATTTGCCTACAACATGTCAGAACCGTCTTGGCCACTCTCTGAGCTGTACATTTGTCCACCCATTGGGTCACCAGGCAACCCTCACCTCCGTCCGGCAGCGAGTGGTTGAAAAGTCCTTCAATGGTCTCGCAGGAGCTCCCGTCCCCTCCGCAGACCCGGCACTTGTCCTCCTTGGTGTCCGAGCCCAGGATGCGGTCGCAGCCCACGTGCTTATAGGAAACAAAAGGAGAGGTTTGACGGAGGAAGTTCTTGGAAGAGTTAGGGATGGGTGATATCGGGTTTTCAACATTGTGATATATCACCAGCTAAATGCTGCGATATACTGATATATCACGATGCCTGAAATAAGGATGGAGCTATGTAGCGCGCCAGTGTGGTGTAGTGATTAAGAGCGGTAGACTCGTAATCTGGGGAACCGGGTTCGTGTCTCCGCTCCTTCACATGCAGCTGCTGGGCTAGTCACACTTCTCTGAAGTCTCTCAGCCCCACTCTCCTCACGGAGTGTTTGTTGTGGGGGAGGAAGGGAAAGGAGAATGTGAGCCGCTTTGAGACTCCTAAGGGTAGTGATAAAGCGGGATATCAAATCCAAACTCCTCCTCCTCCTCCTCTTCTTCTTCTTCTTCTTCTTGGATTTCCCCCGCATCAATATTTTTGCATAGCACATACACACATCATGATTCGCGATATATTGCCAAGGTCAAAAATTAAGAAACTGATATCAGGGTATGATCTTCAAACCGGTTTTGGACGATATATTGATATATCGCCCAGCCCTAATGAGCACCAACTGGGATAGCCTTAAAAGAAAGCAGGCCTTTCTAAAGAGGAATGGTAGAAGACAAGAGCCTGGTTTTGGTTTGGCCAATGGCCCGTTTGGTCCAGCATCCTCTTCTCACAGTGGCCAGCCAGATTCCTCCAGGATGCCCGCAGGCAGGCGATAAAGGAGCAAGCCCTGTGCCTCTCACTGTGATTCATAAAAAAACTAAGAAGAACCTGCAGCTGGGACTCATCTAGTCCAGCCTCCTGTCCTCGCAGTGTCCAATCAAATGCCCCCCTAAGAAGCCCAAGCAGGATGTGAGAGTAATAGCCTTCTCTTGCTCTCCACCATTCTAAGGTAGACTGTCTCTGCCTATGAAGGCTCTATTTGTGAATCGCCAGAAACTAAGTGCCAACCAGATGCCCATGTTGGGAAGCCTGCAAGCAGAAGCTGACCATCACAGCAAACCTCCCTCCTGTGGCACCCAGCAACTGGGATTCAGAGGTAGACTGCCCCAGTCCAGGAGGTGATACGCAGCCATCATGCCTAGCAGCCACTGATAGCCTTATAGTCCCTGAATTTGTCTAATCCCCTCAGTTAGCCTGATCCAGTAGGCTCTTCTTATGGCCTTAAATCATGGCCATCTAAATGGAAAAGCCCCCCAATGCATAAATCTTTCCTTGTAGAGAAAGTGGACCAACCTCCCCCTCCAGACGGTCCCAGAAGCTGCCCATTAAACCTCAGTCATTCGGAGGCCTACGGGCAGCGAGGAGGAGTGGTTACAGCGCTGGAAAATCACCTTGCACTCTCCATTGACACAGATGTCGTTGGAGTCCTGGCGGCAGGGTGTTCCATCCACCACGGCTGCCGCCCTCTCTGTGTAGAAGTTGAAACCTTCCGCCAGGCAGTTGAGCGAACAGGACTTGACGCCTCCTGCGGAGAGATGGCAATTTCAAACCACTAGATCAGAGAGGCTGGATTGGGAATGGGTGAAAGTTGCCCCCCCCCCGGGTGTGTGTGTGGAAACGGCCTTACCTCCTCGGTACGTCTTCCAGGTGTAATACTTTCCTCGGAAGGGGATATTATCAAACTCGGCGCACTGCAGTTCTCGGAAGTCTTGCGAGCCCGGTAGGCAGTCCTGGGGTGGGGGCACAGAAAGATCGCCAAATTTATTATCTGCTCTCTGGGGCTGAGGGGTGCTGCTTCTTTTAATGCCTGGAAGCAGAGGTGGTGCATTCTGGACCCCACAGCTGAAAGACTTTGCTGGGAGGTGCAAGTCAGACACTCCATGACTGAGCTATAAGGTTGGGAGTTGCTGTCACTTCTCACATCTGCCTCCCAAGGCATGTGACTCCTCTGCCTTATCATTATTAATATTTATTAAATTTGTATACCTCCCTTCACCCGAAGATCACAGGCAGCTCATGACATAAACATTCAAAACAAGAACCCAAAATACAGTTATTGATTGTGTGTGTGTGGGGGGGAGACACTCCTAAACCCTAGAAATTGACAAATGGTAAGGTAAAGGTAAAGGGACTCCTGACCATTAGGTCCAGCAATGGCTGACTCTGGGGTTGCAGCGCTCATCTCGCTTTGTTGGCCGAGGGAGCCGGCGTACAGCTTCTGGGTCATGTGGCCAGCAGGACTAAGCCGCTTCTGGCGAACCAGAGCAGCACACGCAAACGCCGTTTACCTTCCCGCCGGAGCGGTACCTATTTATCTACCTGCACTTTGACGTGCTTTCAAACTGCTAGGTTGGCAGGAGACAAATGGTAGGATTTCGATTAATTGGGATGTGGATGAAAGTACAATCTGCAGAGCTGTGCCAGACAGGGAATCCCTGGGCTGGCTTCTGCAAACCAGCCTGGCTGGCCTAGCAAACAGCAAATCTGTCAATAGTGGCGCTGGCTTGGGCCCTAGATTATGGGTGCCCAGTGGCAAGCAGCTCAGGACAAAGAGCAAATCTGTTAACATGACAAAAGGTGTTGATGTGCCATCCGAGAGGAATTCTGTGGCCTGGGGAAGCAGACGGTGCCAAGGTGATGGGTGTGTGTGTTTGAGGTGACAGGAAAAGAGTCTTTTCAGCAAGGTGTGCTGGGAAGAAGAAAGGGAGAGAAGAAAGGCTGGGATCCATCTTGGGCAGGCTGGCTGAAGGCTGGCTGGGAGAGATGCCTTGGACACCAGGGCTGCACAAGCCCCTCTTGAAATGACCATGCTGTAAGATCTGGACTCCCTCCAGGCAGACTGAAGGTGTAAACAGGGGAATAAACCACATTTCTTAAAGCTATGTCAGTCTCTGCCATGTCTCAATTCTCCAAAGGACCCCAGACCCCGGGTGAACACTCAGAACCCCTTGGGATCTTGCTGCCTCTCAGCAGAGAGTGGGGGTGGCGATCAACTTTCGTAACAATCCATTCCTTTGCCCCCACCGTCCTCCCATCCCAGAATCCCTTGCTACTCACATCAGTGTTACAAGACCGGTAACGCTTCCGTTCCCCGAGACAGTATTTCCCACCGATCGTCGGCCTTCGGAAGAGAGAAAAGGAGGAAGACGTGGAAAATGGTGTCCCAGGGAGCATGGGGGATGTTTCGGGTGTTTATGCATGTGTCCACTTACCGTGGGCTGTCGCAGTGGCGGATGGATGAGGAGACGCCTCCCCCACAAGTCCGGCTGCACTCTCCCCATGGCGACCACGTCCCCCAGGCTCCGTCCACACCCTCTGGCCGTGTGCCGAAAGGAACACATTCCCGTTTGTAGCACCACTGGCGGTGGATACAGAGGATGGAGGGAAGAAGAGAGACCCACCGGTCAGCAACAACACCCCCCACCTCGCTGGCGTCCATGCGTCTGACCTCAGCAGGACTGCGTGATTATGGGTAAACTGGCCATATGGAAGGGATCCCAAAGGCCATCTAGTCCAACCCTCTTGCAAGGCAGGAATCGCTGCTGCGGGTTAGGGTACAGCAAGGGTGACCCTGCCTCTTACCCCCCTCTCGATGGTGTTAGTCTGGCAGATGGTCCCCTCGGCCGCCGGGATGCTGTTGGTGATGCATCGGTTGCTCTTGCTAAGGCACCAGAGCTCGTTGCAGACTTCCTGGAGGAGGAGGAGAAGAAGGACCAGTGGGTGGGTGGGGGCGCAGGCGGAGCTGGGAGGAGGGGCGCACGGCCGCAGAGGTTGGTGGTGCTACATGACGTCTTGGACTAAGGAAGGAGTGGCAACTGATGACTGGAGACTGAAGGAAGGATTAAAGAAACACAATAGGTCTCTGTGGAGACTAGGTCTGGGAGATACCTGGTTTTCAACACCGTGATACATCACCAGCTAAACATCACAATATATCACAAGGTCTGAAATACAGTGGTGCCCCGCAAGACGAATGCCTCGCAAGACGAAAAACTCGCTAGACGAAAGGGTTTTGCGGTTTTTGAGCTGCTTCGCAAGACGAATTTCCCTATGGGCTCGCTTTGCAAGACGAAAACGTCTTGCGTTTTTTGCAAGTTTGTTTCCTTTTTCTTAACACCGTTAATACAGTTGTGACTTGACTTCGAGGAGCAACTCATAGAACGTGGTGTGGTAGCCTTTTTTGAGGTTTTTGGTGATTTTTGAAGCTTTTCCAAAACTTTTCCGACACCGTGCTTCGCAAGACGAAAAATTCGCTAGACGAAAAAACTCGCGGAACGAATTAATTTCGTCTTGCGAGGCACCACTGTAAGGAGCTATGTAAAGGCATTGGCTGGTTTCATGGTTTCCCCTGCATCATGATTTTTGCATAGCACACGTACCCAGGCTGGGAGCCTCAATGTCTCTCCTCTGGAGGCTTCAACCAGGGCAAAAAACTTGACACCCCTGCCCCCTGCAGCTACGGCTCTGCATTAAAGTAAATGGATTGTAGCAAACTGCACCAAACTCAGTAGACCCATTAACATCAATGGATCTGTCAAATGATGCTTTTACTCAGTGGAGTCATTTAAGTCAGTGGGTTGCCTCGAATTATATCATGCTGTGAGGAGCCCCTTGGGGTATAGGAAGGGCTACAAAGGAAGAAGGTTGTGATTCCATTTTCCCACTCCACCCCCTCACCATTCCCCATCCATTAATAAGCAAAAATACTGCTTTTGAAAATCATCAAAGTGGAGAGAAAAAATTGGTGGAATTCTCATGGGTGGAGTGCAGGGGTTAATATACAGTCGTACCTTGGAAGTCAGAATTCATTCCAGAAGTTTGTTCGACTTCCAAATGTTTGAAAACCAAATCCTGGCTTCTGACTGGCTGCAGCAACCTCCTGCAGCCAATCAGAAGCCGCGGAAGCCACATTGGACGTTCGGGTTCCAAAAGAACATTCGCAAACCGGAACACTCACTTTCGGGTTTGTGGGGTTTGGGAGCCAAAATGTCCAAGTTCCAGGGCGTTTGGGATCCAAGGTACGACTGTATTCCTTTTGAGGTGGTCAAGGGGTGAGGATGATGATGATAATAATAGTAATAATAATAATAATAATAATAATAATATAATTATATGCTACCCATCTGACTGTGTTACCCCAGCTACTCTGGGCAGCTTCCAACAAATTGAAATACACTTGGAAGCATCCTTCCATTCATTCTGCAGAGAGCTCTGCAGTCTTCCCAGGTGCCCACAGTGCAATCAAATCACAGCTCAGTCACAGAATCATAGAATGGTAGAGTTGGAAAGGGACCCCAAAGGTCATTTAATCCAACTCCCTGCAATGAAGGAACCACATGTAAAGAACTGTATTGGTAGTGCTTCCCACGAAGCAGCTTTTTCTACATCAGGAAGTGTGGTCACCCAGGAAGGCTGTGGGGCACAGAGGACATATTGCCTGGGGAAAATGTTTATTGGGAACGAAACATACACCTGCCTAAAAATGTCCAGAAGTCTCTCCAGAAACTCCCAACTGCCCTGTGAACAAGGCAGAAAAGGTGGAAGCCTCTTTCGCAGAAGGAGAGTGGTTTTTAAAAACAACAACCCGAAGGGCAGATTTCAGCCCCGCACTCCTGATTACTGCAAGAGTGGACCTTGGCTGACGCTGGTGCTGCAGCTGAGGGTTGTGGCTGGTTTAAAGGCTGGCCAGTGGGCGCAAAATGCCTTGCCCATCCCTCCACCCCTCCACGTTGGGAATCAAGAGTAAAAGCAGGAAGGCTCTCTACCCCATATTTACACTGGCGAGATTTGACTCCGTACTGAAAGCGGCACTGCTCATCTGCATCGTAAGCCTGTCCTGGGGCCACCGTCGGGTAGACGAAATCCTGCTTGGGTGGAGCATTGTTCAGGCAGAGGCCCATCCCAGAGCTGGAGCAGCAGAGAGAAACAAAGGAGAAAGACATCAAGGGTTGATGGTGTGAGTGCAAGAAGAGTTTTATTTATAAAGAGCTGCAATCCCACATCAACGTAGAATTTTTTTTGAAAATTATGCAAGCACAGACTAAGTAACTGGCTTCATTCTTCAGCTGGTAGAGCATGAAGCTCTTAATCTCAGGTCATTTCAAGTCCCATGTTGGACAAAAAGATTCCTGCATTGCAGTGGGTTGGACTAGATGACCCTTGTGGTCCCTTCCACCTCCATGATTCTGTGATTCCGTCAGACACCTAAAGTAGAATTTGGAGTGGTAGCATTAAACCACCACATATTTTAATCTATAGTTTTAAAGATTGAAGCAATGGAACAAAACACACTGAATAGCCATTTCTAGTTACAGACGCTCAGTAGAAGAGTCATATTAATCCCTTTGAACATGATCCGACTCAGCTGTTTCCTTGATTTTGTCTTGGAGTGAATCTCCTCAGCATCATTCAGAATCAAGTTCAAATCCAATAACACAGCCTTCTATCCTTGTGTTCACCTGTTCATACAGTCCTACCTGAATTCTGAACCTGTTTTGTAGGTATCTGAAGATGAGGTTGATGGGCTGCGCCATTGCTTTCTGCATCTTCTGGCCTTGCCCGCCATGGCCGACACCTGGGCTTGGAATGACCCCCCCCACAAGACAATCCTAAGGGATGGGGGCCCCTTCTAAGAAGACGCGTGGAATCATAGAATTGTAGAGTTGGACTGAGGATCATCTAGTCCAACCCCCTGCAATGAAGGAATCTTTTGCCTGACATGGGGCTCGAACCCATGAACCTGAGATTAAGAGTCTCATGCTCCACCAGCTGATCGTTGGAAAGAAATGGCCACCAACCTAGATGGCCTTAAAAAAGGATTGGACTATATGGAACTTGCCGAACTGACTGGGAGACTCTGGGACCAGAGAGAAGAGACGGTGGAAGAAGATTGGAAGAAGTTTAAAAAATATTTGAAAAAATATGTTACTATTTAAATCTTAGAAAAGCTTTGGAAGTGGATATAGGCTGTAGGGTTAGAAGATAGCATATTTTAAAATAGTATTATTTGTAAGGGATAATATGTGAAGATTTTAATGGTAAAAGGGAGATAAAAAATGGTTTAAAAGTATGATATATGTAAACTGCTAAAGATGAGGTAAAATGAAAATCAGATAGGGGGGAAGCTCACTAAACAATGTTTAGAAAAAATAAGGATAAGACAAGAATTTGTTTGTATTGTTTGTTTTTCTATTTGTGTTGGTTATTAGTGATATAAAATGAATAAAAAAAATTGGGGGGGGGGGGAAGAATTGGACAGAATCATGCAAGGAAGGGCTATCGATGGCTACTGCCCACAATGGTTGCGCTCTCCTTCCACAGTTGGAGGAAGCAAATGCTTCTGAATACCAGTTGCTGGAAACCGCAGGAGGGAAGATTGTTCTTTTGCTCAAATCCTGCTTGCTGGTTCCCCACAGGCATCGATCACTGGGTGAACAGAATACTGGACCAGATGGGCCACTGGACTCATCCAGCAGGACTCTTCATATTCTTATGCACAACAATACTAAGTATGGAAAGCAGGACCCCAAATAATAAATACAGTGGTACCTCAGGTTACATACGCTTCAGGTGACATACGCTTCAGGTTACAGACTCCACTAACCCAGAAATAGTGCTTCAAGTTAAGAACTTTGCTTCAGGATGAGAACAGAAATTGTGCTCCGGCGGCGCGGCAGCAGCAGGAGGCCCCATTAGCTAAAGTAGTGCTTCAGGTTAAGAACAGTTTCAGGTTAAGTACAGACCTTCGGAACGAATTAAGTACTTAACCCGAGGTACCACTGTAAACCCAGAAGACCCCCAGCATGCAAAAGGAGCCCATTGTGTCATTTTTGTGTCCACCACTTAAAGGCCAGTTATGGAAAACTTTTGGAACAAAGAGACAGGGGAAATGGAAGTAATGAGGTGGTGTGTGTGATGCTTTGGAGACGCACAGCGGAAAACAGGCAGCCCCTTACTCGAGAAAGCTGGTTATATAGTCCCTACTGCACGTGGACCACACAAAAGGGTTGGTTTTCATGGTGATGTGAGCCGCCATCAGCTTGGCTGTCTCCTGCCCCCGGGAACCACAGCTGTTTCCGACGCCGTCGTGGTTCATGCCAAACCTGGAAGGAGAAGCGTGAAGCCAGAGAAAGAAGGAGCCAGTGTGGTGTAGTGGTTAGGAGCGGTAGTCTCGTAATCTGGGGAACCGGGTTCGCGTCTCCGCTCCTCCACATGCAGCTGCTGGATGACCTTGGGCTAGTCACACTTCTGTGAAGTCTCTCAGCCTCACTCACCTCACAGAGTGTTTGTTGTGGGGGAGGAAGGGAAAGGAGACTGTTAGCCGCTTTGAGACTCCTTCGGGGAGTGATAAAGAGGGATATCAAATCCAAACATGCCAAACAGGATTATTTGCTGCCTGCTTGGGAGTAAACAGAGCTGCAAGTAGGGGAGTCTATTCTGGAATAAACTGGCTGGCAAGTGGGGGAGTCTATCCTGGAATAAATCGATCAGCAAGAAGGGGAATGTATCCCTGAGAAAACTGACCAACAAGTAAGAGAGCCTAACCTGGCCATTCGGATGTCTTTGACATCTTTGGTACCCCTGCACCCAACCCCTCCCACAAGCCCTCTTTCAGGCCTGCGGTTCAGAACACTGCAACATAGCAGAAGTGGCCCTAAGCATTAAGCAAAACATTAACCAGACACAAGACCAAACAATTTCCACATCAACCCCACAACCAGATCTGAACTCTGCTCACGTGTGGCCGATCTCGTGGGCGATAGTGAAAGCTGTCGCCAGGCCGAGGTCTTCGTTGATGGAGCAACTCCGTTCCCGCTCACACATCCCACCCACGGGCGCCAGTCCTGGGAGAAGCAGAGCATTGTCACAGGGAGACATTATGTCAAAGCAGATTCCGCCACGAGATCCAAAATCCTGATCTGTACATGGCTCTGGAAGGGTAGTTTGTAGCGAAGTCCACCCTCTCCCCAACTGGAATCTGTCCTAGGTTGCGTCACAAACTGATATTGAAATGATGCCTCCCACTCTGCTCTAAAGCTGGGGGGGGGGGTGATGACAGAAGCAGAGCGTTTGAAATGCATTTAGTGGGAAAAGCTTCCTACCTACCTAGAGTCCCGCACGGTTTGTTTTTGTAGATGCAGATATCGTATCTAAAAAGCAGGTGCGAGAAGAAGGGAGATACAATTAAGGCACATTCCACCCTGCCAACTGAGCACAGCAAATAAACGAGGGGCAGGTGGGGATCGTCCACCTGGGAAAGGAGCCCACCCAGGAGAAGGAAAACTCTGACCCTAAACCTCCACTGTCTTGTGGCCGGGACATCTTTGGGAGACGAAAAGACTCAGGAGTAGACCCTCCACAAAAACGGACCGGAGTCCCTAAGACAGTTGGATGGTGCCTTGTACGCCTGTTTCTGGCAACTCCTGCAGCCAAGCTGGTGCCAAACGTCTTGTTCTGCTTTCCTTTGGGCCACACCAGTGAGGCCACAATGGGGGTCTTGTCATCTGGGCAGCCCAGGACCTCCAGACACACTGCCCAGGCTTGTGCCCCGGGGAGGTCACTTGGGTGCTGTTAGTGCAGCAGTTTGACTTCACCCTCGGAGGCAGACTCCATTGTCTCTCATGACAGACAGATGCCAACAACAACAGCTATTATGGAAATTCCAGTTCTGGTGTTCTGTAGCTCTTATTTTGGAAAAAAAGTGATGTTTGCTGCTCTTATTCTTAAAAATGGAATAAAAATTATTTAATTACGTTAAACAAACAAACACAAAGACAGAGAAACTTCTGGGTTGCGAGAGAATCTCAGCTTGCAAGGGTTTCAAACATGGACATAGCCATGGGTGTGCAGGGGGGGCAGCTGCCCACCCCCAATCAAGTAAATAAATAGAAATACCTGATTAACCAATTGCTTTGCAGAAAACTTGGTTCTGCCCCCCCCCATAATGCCTGCTACCCCTAAAATAATTCCAACGTGGCCCACGAGACCATCTCCCCAGCCCCGCCCACCTGTCAGCCCTGGGTGACATCAACTGATGGGCAGCATTCAATCCTGCTGGAGTCCGCTTGGCCAATGCATTCCCTGGGGCTGGGAGGATTGAACCGCCCTCTCAACAGTGGGCGAGTGGAGGGTTTGATGTCCGGGGGGCAGTCTGAGGTTGGTGTGCCAGTAGCATGCCCCGCCCCCGCACAATCAGGATGAAACAAGATGTTTCAACTTTGGAGCCAACTGTTCTTTTACCACCAACATGGTTCTGGTATACCTGGTGATCAAAACGGCAGTGTCGTGATTGGCGATGCCGTTGTCCGGGATGGCGTTCCCGTTCCCATTGCGATTCACAATGGATTTCTGCCACTTGCAGAAGCTGTCGAGAGACTTTCCGGCATGATGGTTGATCTCCAGGGTGGGCTGGAGGAAGAGGGAGAATCGAAAAGGTTTCAGAGAGTGTAAACGTATCAAATTCTCCCACTCTTTGAGACCTCCTGGACAGTATCGTTGGGGCATTTCTGTGGCTGCACCAAGACCAGGGAGACAAAGCCCCGTGGCACATGGGGTTTCAGGCACTTACCCAGCGTCTATTTCCTTTGGAGGGTTGAGACATGGCAGAGACCGTCGCAGCTTTAAGAAATATGGTTTACTCGCCTGTTTACACCTTCAGTCTGTGTGGCAGGAGTCCAGAACTTACAGCATGGTTATTTCAAGAGGGGCTTGTCCCCCACAGCAGTGCAGCCACGGAGTCCAAGATATCTCCCCCAGCCAGCCTTCCTGCCCAATATGAATCCCAGCCTTTCTTCTCCCCCTTTCTTCTTCCCAGCACATCTTGCTAAAAAAAACCACCCCACTTTTCCTGTCACGTCAAGCACACACTGCATCACCTTTGTAACACCTGTCTCCGCAGGCCAAAGAATTCCTCTATCCACACCTTTCGTTATGTTAACAGCCAGGCTGGTTTGCAGAAGCCAGCTCAGAGATTCCCTACCTGGCACAGCTCCATACCCCAATTAATCAAAATCCTACCATCTATTAATTTCTAGGGTTTAGGGGGGGTCCCCCCAAAACCTATAGCACATCTCTTATCACCTCCTCTGCAAATATGCTCCTCTTCCCCCACTTTATTGCCAGGCAGAGGACGCAGCAAGCAAGGAACCACCGCCATTTTCTGTTCCCACTTTTTGCCACCATCATTGTCTGGGGAAGCTTCTCAGTGATACCAGCCCCGGTCCCTCTTTCTTTCTCTTGGGGCACCCCCTCACCTGGTCCTCTGTCAGTAGGATGAGCCGGGTCACCAGTATGTTGACAATATTGCCCAGACTTGAGTCTTGGAAAAGTTTAGCAACCTGACCTCCAGGAAACAAGGAAAGACCAGTGTTAAAAAACAAGACGGTTGGGGGAGGCTGAACGATGATGGGCACTTGTATCTTTCTCAATGGGACAAAGGAAGCTGCCTTAAACCAAGACAGACCATCGGTCAGTGTAGCTCAGTAAAGTCAGCACTGACTGGCAGCAACACTCCAGGGTTTCTATCTATCTGGAGATGCCAGGGATTAAACCTTTCGCACGCAATGCAGATACTCTATAGTGAGCTAAAATATTTCTTAAAAATAAAGCAAGGTCCTAGTGCTCAATATTTATTAATATATTTGCATTTGTTTTTGTACATGAAGTTGCAAACCGTACAAGTGTCCCTATTTTCCAGCATCATTTCTGCATTTACAGAAGCCGTCCTGGTTTCCAAGTATCTCAGAATGTCCTGCTTTTCCTTAGGACATCCCTATTTTAATCGGAGAAATGTTGGAGGTATAACTGCTTTATAACTGTAATAGTTAATTGAGTATGCTATTTGTATAGTATGTATATATATATATATATGTACATATATGCATATGTGTGTACGTACACACGTGCATGTAGCTGTGTGTAGTGTGTGTGTGTGTGTGTGTGTGTGTGTGTGTGTGTAGTGTGTGTATAACTTAAAAGATGCTTCATAGGAAGCAATTAAATTAATGAAATATATTACACACAAATATACACACGGGGCTGCTTCCCCTACTTCTGTTGCTCAGCTACCCCCACCAACCTCATGCTAACCCCAGCACCCCTCTTGTCAACTCTCTTTACATCTTACACAAACCCCATCCTCTCACAACTCCTTCAAGCTTTATTCAAACCTCTGCTTTCATTTATAGCCACCATTTTGCTCTCCTCCCTCGCCCTGAATTCATGCAAATCCAGGATTGTGTTGAGGCAATTTGTAGCTGCGTGACGACAGCCTTACGTTTCTATGTATATAGGAAGATCCATTTCCCAAATGAAAACAAACAGCTAAACAAAGGCAGACCTTTGGTGAATTGGAGTCAGCCTCCAATAATCGGAGTTAATAATTATCCAAACTGGATTTAGTTGATGTGTGTAAATGGACTTCAGGAAGCACTAAGGTACCATTGGCTGGGTGCTTGGTTATAACACTTACAATATTCATGATGGCCAGGATGTACTGCTCGATGTCCCGCCGGCCGTGGTACCCCACCATCATTTTGTCGGCCACCACGAGGGTCTCCACGTAGCGCTCCGTGCTGACCGACCTCTTCAGCGGAAGCTGCCCCCGTTGGGTGAAGTTGCTCAGCGTCTTCGCTGGGGAGGGTTTCAAGGCCCGCAGCCACCACGGGCGGCCCTTCCACGGCTTCTCGTCTGAAGGGGAAACGGCTGTGAGGCAGACTTTCTTTCTCCTCTGTCCCCCCACAGCGCTTTTTGGGGCAAACCACTCACAATCCCGAAAACCTGCTAGGCCTGACAAATCCAGATGCCGGCTAGGTCTGGCTAGTCTCTAAAACATACTAGGCCTGGTCAATCCCTGAGGCTTAGTAGGCCAGGTCAACCAGCCAGCTAATCTTTAAGATGGAGTACTAGGCCCTATCAGACTCTAAGGCCTACTAGGCCCGGCCAGTCCATGGTTTGGCCTGGTCAGTCTCTAAATCAGCATTTCCCAACCTTGGGCCTCCAGCTGTTTTTGGACTACAACTCCCATAATCCTCAGCTAGCAAGACCAGTGGTCAGGGATGATGGGAATTGTAGTTCGAAAACAGCTGGAGGCCCAAGGTTGGGAAACACTGCTCTAAATCATACTAGGCTTGGCCAATACCTGAGGCCTTCTAGGCCCAGAAAATCCCAGAGACCTACTAGGCCCAGCCAATCTCCAAGGCCTAGTAGGCCTGGAAAATCCCTGAGGCCTACTTGGCTCAGCCACTTCCTGAGGCCTAGTAGTCACTCCTCAAGGCCTTCTAAGCCTGGAAAATCCTCAAGACCAATCCTCAAGACTACTTCAGGAAAAATCCCTGAAGCCTACTGGGCCCAGCCAATCCTTGGCCAATTCCTGGGGCCTACTAGGCCCAGCCAATCCCCAAGGCCTAGTAGGCCTGGAAAATCCCTTAGGCCTACTAGGCCCGGCCAATCCTCAAGGCCAACTAGGCCTGAAAAATCCCTGAAGCCTACTAGGCCCAGCCAATCCTTGGCCAATTCCTGGGGCCTACTAGGCCCAGCCAATCCCCAAGGCCTAGTAGGCCTGGAAAATCCCTTAGGCCTACTAGGCCCGGCCAATCCTCAAGGCCAACCAGGCCTGAAAAATCTCTGAAGCCTACTAGGCCCAGCCAATCCTTGGCCAATTCCTGGGGCCTACTAACCCAGCCGATCTCCAAGGCCTAGTAGGCCTGGAAAATCCCTGAGGCCTACTAGGCTCAGTCATTCCCTGAGGCCTACTAGGCTCCCCCAATCCTCAGAACCTACTAGGCGCGAAGGTAAATGGTGCGCTCTGGTTTCCGTCACGGTGTCCCGTTGCGCCAGAAGCGGTTTAGCCCTGCTCGCCACATGAGCCGGAAAGCTGTCTGCGGACAAACGCCGGCTCCCTCGGCCTGTAAAGTGACGGGACTTTGACGGGACTTAACCATCCAGGGGTCCTTTACCTTTCCTTTACTAGGCCTGAAAAATCCCCGAGGCCTACTAGGCCAGCCAGTCCTCAAGGCCTCCTAAGCCTGGACATTCTCTTAAGACCACCTAGGCCTGGACAATCGCCCATTTTAAGGGCCATGTTATGTACTGAGTTGAATAGGATCCACAATACAGCAGTCTGATTGGTCCTAGAACAATAGGATCCAGAATGCAGCAGTCTGATTGGTCCTAGAACAATAGGATTCCGAATGCAGCAGTCTGATTGGTCCTAGAACAATAGGATTCCGAATGCAGCAGTCTGATTGGCCCTAGAACAATAGGATCCAGAATGCAGCAGTCTGATTGGCCCTAGAACAATAGGATCCAGAATACAGCAGTCTGATTGGCCCTAGAACAATAGGATCCAGAATGGAGCAGTCTGATTGGCCCTAGAACAATAGGATCCAGAATGCAGCAGTTGGATTGGTCCACAGGAGCCACCCAATCCAACTCCAGGTGGAAGTGAATCCGCAACCTGATTGGCCTACAGGAGAATCCCGGAATTAGCCAATCACGTGGGGCCCATTGTGTAAATAATGTATATAAAGCAGACATTCTGGGGGAACTTCCCTTCCTCCTCACCACTATGAGCTGAATAAAGAGCATGAAATCCACTCTCGACTCTGAGTATATTTCAGGCCCCTTCCAGATTTTAGGAACAGTAATGGGAACTAAACCGTCCGAGATCAGGAGGCAGAGCAGCATTTGAAAGAGTCCGGAACGCGGAGCGCCAGTTGCTTGTTTTGGGGATTGTTATCTCTCCAAGAAACAAATTGGAAGCAGATTCGTTCCTGCCCAGAGAGCGCAGGGAATGACCAGAGTGCTTGAAGAGGGCAGCAGAAGGCCGCTTGGCGGCATTCAATGCAAAATGGCTTTGACAGTGTCCTCTTCTTTACTCCTTCTGGTATCTGGGAATCCGATCCTTTGGATTCCAGCTCCCAAGTTAGCGGGAGGCGTGTGTCTCCCCCACAAAGGCAAACCGGAATCCAAAACCACATCCTTGAACCAAGCGTCTGTTAGGTCAAAATGCATTCCTCACTGAGCCTCCCAGATGGCTTTCAAAATTACTACCGCCAAGCAGATTTCTGGCCTGTTTCGGCTCGAGGGCCACATTCCTCTATGTGCGACCACTCAGGGGCCACACGCCAGCCCCGGGAGGACCAGAGGCAAAAGCGGGCAGAAAGTGTCGGACTCTCCCTTGGAGATTTCTAAGCAGAGGTTGAGTGGCCATCTGCCAGGGAATCTTTAGCTGCGATTCCTGTCTTGCAGGGGGTTGGACTGGATGACCCTTGGGGGTCCCTTCCAATTCTACAAATGGGTGCTTTCCAAAAAATACGTTGATGGTTGCTCGGTTGTTATAAATCATATTTCGCAGTTGAAATCAGCTTACATCAATCAGTCAAGACTCCTAGCTTGACGCTATTCTCTTTTTTTGTGGCTGGATGCTCCGTGGAAAAAAATCAGGACAGGAATACTTTAAATAAACACCCAAATACTTACATAAGGGTGTTTCACTTCCTGTTGCTTTGAAGCTGCAAAGCCCAACCCAATGCGTGTTTACTCAGAAATAAACCCCGCTACGTTCAGTTGGGGCTTACTCCCAGATAAATATGCAGAGCAGAGTGGGGGCCACATTTCATCCTTGGAAACCTTCCAGGGGCCAGGTGGGTCGAAAGGCAAAAGCAGGCAAGTTTCTACACTCAGAAATACCCATAGCTGTCAACTTACAGATTTGAAAATAAGGAACCAGCAGCCTTGGAAATAAGGGATCAACAAACAAAATAAGGGATTTTCCAAGCACAGGTATGTTCAACTTCTGAGCCCCTCCACGACAACGGCAGAAAGCCCAGCCAGCAGCCAAACGAAGCCTCAAGCCATGGCTCCCACAGTGCAGCAACCCGGCAAAGGGGATGCAGCAAGGAAAACCACCGTCACCTCTCCGCTGGGAAGCGCTGAGCAAAGGCAAGTCCCCAGGCAACGTGGGCGATTTGATCGGCACAAGGCATGCAAGCTCCACCCCCCAGTTGTTCTTAGACTCCTTATTGGGTGAGCAGCGCAGCCAAGCAACACAGTTGGAGCCTCCCTCCTCCCTGGCCAGCAGGGAGGGAGGGAGGGAGAGGAGCTGCTTCCTTTGAAACCCGGGAAATTTAAGGGACGTCATCAATAAGGGACAGCAGCGGGACATGGCGCTGGGATAAGGGACTTTCCAGCCAAATAAGGGACGGTTGACAGCTATGGAAACACCCCTTCTCTTTACCCTCCATCCCAGCAAGAGAGGCAAGTAAGGACTGCATCCCAGCCATACGAACGCCATAGCTCAGCTGAGAGAGCAGGAAACTCTCAGGGAGGTGGGTTCGAGCCCCATGTTGGTTGGAAGGTTCCTGCATTGCAAGGGGTTGAACTAGACGACCCTCGTGCCCCCTTCCAATGTCTGTAGTGTTTATCCACCCAGATCTGGCCCACGGCGTACCTAGCACCCCACAGGCGGCGTCCATGTGTGGGTGCTGGAGAGACGATCTCTTGTAGACCACATGGGGACTCCCTTCGCTCTCGTGCCCCCCACTGATATTGGTGCCGGGGCTCAGGGGCTCAATGAAGTATTCCTCGCCGTCTGCGATGATCACACCATGCTGGAACGAGAAGCGGAGAGGAACATGCAATGCGTTTATACGTGGGTCTGCCTCTGAAGACGGTCCAAAAACTTCAGCGGCCAGATCACTCACCAGAACAAGGCGGTTTGAGCACAGAACACCAATAGTGGCACAACCGCACTGGCTGCCCATTGGTTTCCAGGCCCAATTCAAAGTGCTGGTGCCAACCTTATAAAACCTGGCACAGCTCCGGACCTCAATACCTTAAGGATAGCCTCTCCCAGTATGAACCAACCCCACGCTTGTCACCGGAGTCCCTTCTCTATGCCCCCCATGCCAGTGGCAGCAAGAGAACAGCGTCTTTTCTGTGGTGGCTCCCCGATTGTGGGATGCTCTTCCCAGAGAGGCTCGCCTGGCAGCATCACCACATGTGGCAGGCAAAAATATTCCTCTTTGCCCAGGCCGATGGCTATTAAATAATCTATGGCCTGTGAACGTGTGGCAGAGAAGACCGTTATGACGACTGCTTTCTAATTAGGCTGTCAGTATGCTTTTTATTTATATGCTTTTTTGGGACGCGGGTGGCGCTGTGGGTAAAACCTCAGTGCCTAGGACTTGCCGATCGTATGGTCGGCGGTTCGAATCCCCACGGTGGGGTGAGCTCCCATCTTTCGGTCCCAGATCTTGCCCACCTAGCAGTTCGAAAGCACCCTTAAGTGCAAGTAGATAAATAAGTACCGCTTTATAGCGGGAAGGTAAACGGCATTTCCGTGTGCTGCGCTGGTGCTGGCTCGCCAGACCAGCTTCGTCATGCTGGCCATGTGACCCGGAGGTGTCTGCGGACAGCGCTGGCTCCCGGCCTCTTAAGTGAGATGGGCGCACAACCCTAGAGTCGGACACGACTGGCCCGTACGGTCAGGGGTACCTTTACCTTTACCTTTATGCTTTTTATTATGTTTGTATCACTGATGTTCTGAAATGTGTTTTTAATGTTGTACACTGCCTTGGGATCTCCTGATAAAGAGTGGTATATAAATTGGAATTAATAATAATAATAACAATAATGGCTACTAGCCATTAACGGCTGTGGTTTGCAGGCAACAAATGTTTTTGAATACCAGTTGCTGGAAAACACAGGAAGGGAAAGAGCTTTTGATTGGGTCCTGCTTGCCCACAGGAAACCTGCACTGCAGCTTGTTGGACTAGAGGACCTCTGGGGGTCCCTTCCAACTCCACAATTCTATGATTCCATGATCTGGACAGCCACTGTGAGAGCAGGATCCTAGGCTACATGGGCCGCTGTCCTGACCCAGCAGGCTGCTCTTACGTCCTTATGTTTTGCACCCCAGAGTGACCCTGCCCGCAAGCCACGAGGCGACCCCCCCTCCTTCCCGGCTGCTCTCTCTCCGGCTGACGCTCGAGTTTTCGGCCGGACTCCTTGCCAGCCTAGCCTCACACTACCCCGCTTGTCCTCGGAAGCGTGGCTTGCAGCCAAGAGCAACAAAGCTTTCGTCCGGAAAGGAAATCCAAAGCAAGGCCATCAACACCGCCCCTTTCTAGGGCTGGGAAACCAGAAACTTTTCATTACACGCACACAGAAGTGATTCAACTCTGGTTCTTTGTGGAGGGGGCTTGGAGGGAGAGAGAAAAAGTTGGGGGACCCACAGACCAACTGATAACCAGGCTAGCAGATTTCCAAATGCTTTAAAAGAGAGAGAGAGCAGGGGAAACTCTTATTTTTTTAAGAGTTAAAAGTGCCCTGGGAGGAGGGCTTCCCTTCCCATCTTATCCCGCGCTGCTCGACAATATTCCTTTTCATTCCGCTGCAGAGACGGGAGAGAAATTCGGCCTGTGTTAGGAGTCGCATCAGAAAGGTTGCAGTGCCTGGGGCTTTCGAGTTTATGGAAATCGTGGGCATGCGATGAAGCTGAACGTTGGAAGATTCAAGACAGATAAAAGGGAATCCTTCTTTATCCAGTGCAGAGTTAAACGATGGAACTCCTTGCCCCAGGAGGCTGTGATGGTCATCAACTTGGATGGCGTTAAAAGAGAATTAGACAGATTCATGGAGGAGAGGGCCATCAGCGGCTACTAGCCAAGGGTTGGCCACTGTGAGAAAGGGATGCTGTGCTAGATGATTCTGCAGGCTCTTCCCAGCTTCTTAAAATGGTGTCCGGTGGCATTTAGGTAAAGGGTAAAGGGACCCCTGACCATTAGGTCCAGTTGTGGCCGACTCTGGGGTTGCAGCGCTCATCTCGCTTTACTGGCCGAGGGAAGCGGCGTACAGCTTCCGGATCATGTGGCCAGCAGGACTAAGCCACTTCTGGAGAACCAGAGCAGCGCACGGAAACGCCGTTTATCTTCCCGCCAGAGTGGTACCTATTTATCTACTTGCACTTTGACATGCTTTCGAACTGCTAGGTGGGCAGGAGCAGGGACCGAGCAACGGGAGCTCACCCCGTTGCAGGGATTCAAACCGCCGACCTTCTGATCGGCAAGTCCTAGGCTCTGTGGTTTAACCCACAGCACCACCCGCATTTAAACATTGACAAAAACCTGCACCTAGATCTCAGGAACAATCCAGCCAAATCTGGTTGGTATCGTTGCAGTTTTGAAAGTTTTAGTCCACCATCTTGATTCAGAATGGCACCTGGCAGTATTCAAATACAGTCATACCTCGGGTTACAGACGCTTCAGGTTGCGTTTTTTCAGGTTACGGACCCGCTGAAACCCGGAAGTACCAGAACGGGTTACTTCCGGGTTTCGGGGGCTGCGCATGCGCAGAAGCGCTAAAACGCGTTTTGCACATGCACAGAAGTGCCAAATTGCAACCCATGTGTGCGCAGATGCACCACTGCAGGTTGCGAACGCTGCAGGTTGTGAACGTGCATCCCACACGGATCACAGTCGCAACCCGAGCGTTCACTGTATAAATGAAAACCTGCACCTTGATCCCAGGTACCGTCTTGCAGACCTCCAAGTGTCCCAATTTCCCAGGGACAGTTCTAGATTTACAGAAGCCGTCCCGGTTTCTGATTTGATCCCGGAATGTCCCGCTTTCCCTTTGGACATCTCCATTTTCGTCAGAGAAATGTGGGGGGGTATGCAGTGATGCAACCCCTGAGCCAAGGAGATCCAGTAACTAGACAACTTTTAGAAGATATCTTAAGGCAGCCCTGCATAGGGAAGTTGTTGTTCTTGTTCTTGTCGTTGTTGAATAGGATGTCCCTATTTTCCCTGGAGAAATGTTGGAGGCTGTGATCTTGCAAAATCTGGCAGCGAGGTCTTAAGAGGTGTCTGAAGGCATCGTGAACAGGCAAACTACTTTCCAAAATCAGTGGGGAGAGTTCCTGCCATGCTCACGTCCTGTTTGTGGGCTGGCAGCAGGATGCCGGACTGGATTTTAACATGATCCAGCAGCCAGGATCATCTTAATTTCTTACTCCAGAATCCCTTCTGGGATCTTGCATGGTTGGGAAACTGTCTGGGGGTGCGTGTCGGGGGCGTTTACTGAGTTACCGCCATGTCCTCAGGCTGGGAGCCAAAGAGACAGTGACAACAGGAGGAGGCATTGCAAAATTTTCCTCCTTGAATTGTAAAGAGGGAAAGAATGAGTCTCGGGTTGAGAAACCAAGGAGGATCTTCCAAAGTGAAGAGTGGAAGGAGTCGCCCACGGAAGGTCTGCAGAACCTTTTCCCCGAAGTGCAAACCTTTTCCACTCGGAAGGAATAGCGTAAATCTCTCTTTGGGAGTGATAATAATAATGATTTTATTTTTTATGTGCCACCCATCTGACTGGGTTTACTCAACCACTCTGGGCGGCTCCCAACAAAATATTAAAAACACAATAAAACATTAACCATTAAAAACAGTGTTCGACAGTGGAATTTGCTGCCAAGGAGTGTGGTGGAGTCTCCTTCTTTGGAGGTCTTTAAGCAGAGGCTTGACAACCATATGTCAGGAGTGCTCTGATGGTGTTCCTGCTTGGCAGGGGGTTGGACTTGATGGCCCTTGTGGTCTCTTCCAACTCTATGATTCTATGATTCTATGAAAAACTTCCCAATACAGAGCTGCCTTCAGATGCCTTCTAAAAGTTGTGTATGTGTTTTTTCCCCTTCTCTTTGACATCTGACAGGAGGGTGTTCCTCGGGGAGGGTGCCGCTGCTGAGAAGGCCCTCTGCCTACTTCCCTGTGACTTCACTAGAATCTTACATTGTTTTTAGGGAGCAATGAGGACTAGAACGTTGCCCTGTTGTTGTTGGGTTTTTTTAGGGGAGGGTCCCAGGCCTAGCACAGACGAGGCTGAGCCGGGGGACAGCTTACCAGCCCGTTGCAGTTGCTGATGGCGACTTTGGAGTTGAGGTACTCGTCTTGCAGGTGGCCAGAGTAGTGGCAGTCCTCGTGGAACTCGTGCTTCCGGTCCACCCCGTCGTGCCGCCAGTACTCCACCCGGAACCGCTCCGCCAGCAGGTTCGTGTGCAGCGTCAAGTTGAGGAGGAACTGCGCCCGGTGGGCTGAGACCCTGTAGAAGACCTGCTGCTCCCGGGGGGACTCGTGGGAGGGGGCCCCCGTCCCGCGCCGGGCCCGCCGCTTTCGCGGGCTCTTCACGTCAAACGTCAGGAAGTCCCCATTCTGGTCCACCTGCACGGGGAAGGCGATCTCATAGTGGTCGAGGCTTGAGAGGAACTCCTCTGGAGCAGGGGAAGGAAATGCAGAGAGAAAAAAGAAATGCACATGGGTGAATCGGGACCTGGGTTCAGTGCCCTGGCCATTCTCAGGGTTTTGCTCGGCGTGGCAATCCATGTTCATTCCGCAAGAGAGAAATGGGGTGCCCCTGGGGCCTTCTAGATGCTGTTGGGGTCGAGTTCCCACATCCCCTCTGACCAATGGTCACACTGGGTGCTGGGAGACGGGAATCCAGCTGCTTCAGCAGCACTAAGTGGACCACAGTTTTTGCCTAAGAAGAGGCATTCCCTGCTCTCATGTGAACACCCCTTCTAAGTAGAGGCGTTCCTCCGACTATACAGTGGTGCCCCGCAAGACAAATGCCTCGCAAGACGAAAAACTCGCTAGACGAAAGGGTTTTGCAGTTTTTGAGCTGCTTCACAAGACGAATTTCCCTATGGGCTTGCTTCGCAAGACGGAAACGTCTTGCGAGTTCTTGCGAGTTTGTTTCCTTTTTCTTAACACCGTTAATACAGTTGCGACTTGACTTCGAGGAGCAACTCATAGAACGCGGTGTGGTAGCCTTTTTTGAGGTTTTTGGCGATTTTTGAAGCTTTTCCAAAACTTTTCCGACACCGTGCTTCGCAAGACGAAAAATTCGCTAGACGAAAAAACTCGCGGAAAGAATTAATTTCGTCTTGCGAGGCACCACTGTATCTGGATGGATAAAGGCCTAGTGAGCAAAGCAAATCATCTCTGGCAGGTCTTGCCCCCATGAAGCAGCTGCCTCGGTCCCTTTCTTTCCAGGATTTTCCCCAAGCAATCGGAGGCTGTGCCTGCACACAGGCAACCTCTCCTCTGCCCTCTTCACGCCTCTCCTGGTTCTAGGGGACAATAAAAGAAGGGAGCTTGTCACAGCAAGCGGGGGAGACACCCGTGACGCTTCACCATCTCTGCCTCTTGGCCTCCTTCCTCTCCTGCTGCAGCCTTTGATTCTGGACTGCTCTCTGGCACAGACTCTCCCTGCTCACTAAGCCCTGTTACCCTTTCAGCTTCCAACATCTCCTCCTCCCAGTCCTCCCTTTTCTCCTTCTGCCCACTAATGACCGTACAGGCTCTGAGACGTCTTCCCTTGAGGGTCCCCCAGCTGGTTCCTCACACTGTTCCTCTGTGTCCATCTAGTATGTGACATCCCAGAAGAGGCAGTCTCCCATCTCCCCCACCCAATTTGGCCTCTTCCTCGCCACTGGAAGGCTGTCCAGAAGTAAATGCAGCCCCCAGGTCAAGAAAGCTTCCTTTCCCCTGCCTTGAGGTCTAGTAAGTAAGTCGTTATATTACGGTCAATGACCAGTATCAAAACATAGAACACCAACTGCAAAATTAAAAAACGCATAACAAAGTAAAATAATGTAAAATCACATATACATAAAAATAATTTTGGGGGGGGGGACCTTTCTGACCTAGGAATGTTCATCGGACAATGTGTTATAATCCTGGGTAATAATAATACCTGACCCATCTGGCTGGCTTCCAGAAAATATGGAAAATAATAAAATGTCAAACATTCTAAAGTTCCCTATACAGGGCTGCCTTCAGGTGTCTTCTAAATGTTGTGTAGTTTTTCATCTCCTTGACATCTGCTAGGAGTTGTGTTCCACAGGGTGGGTGCCACCACCGAGAAGGCCCTCTGCCCAGTTCCCTGCAACCTCACTTCTCACAACGAGGGAACCGCCAGAAGACCCTCAGAGCTGAACCTCAGTGTCTGGGATGGACGATGGGGGTGGAGACGCTCCTTCAGGTATACAGGGCCGAGGCTGTTTAGGGCTTTAAAGGTCAGACCAAAACTTTGAATTGTGCTCGGAAATGTACTAATGATTGCATGTCGTTTTTTAATTGCTACTGCCCAAAATTTGGCCACCTTGTGTGTCACACCAGGATTGTTATCTAGGAGCGACAGAGTGGCAAGAAACTGTTCAGTATACAATCATACCTCGGGTTACAGCCGCTTCAGGTTGCGGTTTTTCGGATTGTGGACTGCCGAAACCCGGAAGTACCGGAACGAGCTACTTCCAGGTTTCGGCAGTTGCGCATGCTCAGAAGTGCTAAATCACAACATGCATGTGTGCAGGTGCAGGTTGCGAACGTTTCAGGTTGCACGGATCATGTTCACAATCCAAGCGTCCACTGTATTTCAGCATATTGGCAGAATAAGGTTAGAGTGTAACTCCCTATAAAACAAGCACTGAGGACTAGCAGCTTGGGGCTCAACCTGCGCTCCCTTGGCCCGCCGCCCCCCCCACCGTACCTTGCGACTGGAAGGCGTAGCCTGGGAGGTTGCCCACGGACACGGCCGAGACGAGGGTCCAGGTCAGAAGCCTCCAGGCCGTCGCCATAGTGGGCTAGGATGCTTGCTGCGATGGGGGCTGCGTTGGACCAGGCCGAGGGGGTCTGCCCCAACATTGCTTTCGCTGAGCCGCCACGCTTGCTTAGACAGGGGTCCCCCGTTCCTGGGTGGCCATCCTCGGCCGCTGGGTGCTCTGCTGGAGGCGGCAAGGGCGGGGCGGGCGTCACGGCGGGGAGGGGCTGGTCCTTGGCTCTCAGCATGTGCCAGGAGTCTGCGGCATCGCTCTGTCGGAGAGGAGCATCACAGGAGAGTTGGAAGGGACCACAAGGATCATTGTTCAAGCCCCTCCAATGCAGGAACCTTTTGGCCTAGCGTGGGGCCCTGAGATGCATACCCTCCAACATTTCTCCGATGAAAGTAATAATAATAATAATTTATTATTTGTACCCCACCCATCTGGCACTTGGGGCAGCTTCCAACAAAGATTAAAAATACATTAAAATGTCACACGTTAAAAACTTCCCTGAACAGGGCTGCCTTCAGATGTCTTCTAAATGTCAGGAATGGTGGTACCTCAGGTTACAGATGCTTCAGGTTACACACGCTTCAGGTTACAGACTCCACTAACCCAGAAATAGTACCTCGGGTTAAGAACTTTGCTTCAGGATGAGAACAGAAATTGCGCGGCGGCAGCGGGAGGCCCCATTAGCTAAAGTGGTATCTCAGGTTAAGAACAGTTTCAGGTTAAGTACGGACCTCTGGAACGAATTAAGTTCTTAACCTGAGGTACCACTGTAGTTGTTTATTTCCTTGACATCTGGTGGGAGGGTGTTCCACAGGGCGGGCGCCTCCACTGAGAAGGCCCTCTGCCTGGTTCCCTGTAACTTCACTTCTTGCAGTGAGGGAACCGCCAGAAGGCCCTCAGTGCTGGACCTCAGTGTCCGGGCTGGACGATGGGGGTGGAGACGCTCCTTCAGGTCTACAGGGCTGAGGCCGTTTGGGGCTTTCAAGGTCAGCACCAACACTTTGAATTGTGCTCGGAAACGTACTGGGAGCCAATGTAGATCTTTCAAGACCGGTGTTATGTGGTCTCCCAGTCCCCAGTCTAGCTGCCACATTCTGGATTAGTTGCAGTTTCTGGGTCACCCAAGGTAGCCCCACGGAGAGCGCATTGCAGTACTCCAAGCGGGAGATAACCAGAGCATGTCCTATTCAATAACAACAGCAGCAGCAATTGTTTGTTTTATTGTTTATATCCCTCCCATCTTGCTAGGTTTCCCCAGCCACTCTGGGCGGCTTCCAACATATGTGAAAACATAATACAGTAAAACATTGAACACCAACAGCTTCCCTATCCAGGGCTGCCTTCAGATGTCTTCTAAAGGTTGTCTAGTTACTGCGGGAGTCACATGAAGCATCTCCGCCTCTGCCATGGAGGCAGAGCTGTTGTGGCTCATAGAAGAGATTTTGTGGCTCAAGAGAGAGAAAGATAGTGGGGGAAGGAAAAAAGGAGGACAGAAACTGAGAGGTGCTTGTGGCACAAAAACAGTGGGGAGAGTGGCAAGGGAGAAGGACACAGAGAGGATTAGTTTACATCTTAATTCTCCCCCCCCCAAAAAAAAATCCAGATTGTTGTTGAAGGGAAGGAGAGAGCGAGAGAGAGCGCGTCTGTTCCCAATTTTGCCACTGGGTCTGCAGACAGCTCGGCCGCGCTGGCTTTGGATCCAACTGCAGAGGAGAGTAATGGGAAGCAGATGTGCTGGAGGGGTCCCTCTCCGCCTGCGAAGAAGCGAGGAAGCATTTTTGCAAGGAAGGCAACGGGACCCGTGGACCTTGAGCTCTTGTTTTGAAGACCAGGAGCTCGGAAATGTGGTTATTTCATCACCGGGTGATTGCTGACCCAGGGTAGGCCCATCCCAAGTTGACGGCTTTAAATTCAGTGGGTCTACTCTGAGTAGGACTCGGCTGGGGGATTTTGGCATAACCGACTCTCCGCAACTGGGAGCCAGTAGTGGCATAATGGTTAGAGTGTTGTACTAGGACCTGTGTGTCCTGGGTTCAAATCCCCCCCCACGTGGCCACAAAGCTCACCAGATGCCCTTTGGGGGGCCAGTCTCCCTCTCTCTCAGCCTATCCTCCCCCAGGGCCAGGGCCTTCTCAGTGATGGCTCCGACCTGGTGGAATGCTCTGTCCCATGAGACCAGGGCCCTGCAGGATTTAACCTCCTTCCGTCAGGCCTGTAAGACAGAGCTATTCCACTTGGCCTTTAATTTGAATTCAGACTGATTTCCTTTCTCTTCCTTCCCCCTCTCCTTTTATGAAAATCACCCACTCTGAGACCCCACAGCTAATTCTCCCCTGGCCTCCTCGCTGGCCCAAGTAGGACCAATTCAGCCAGCTAGCCCTGGGGATTATCTAATGCTTATATCCCCTAAACTGATTTTTGAATTTTACTGTTATTCATGTTTTTATACTGTATTTTATGCTGCTTTTATAAGTGTGTGTTTTAAATTTGTTTTTAGCTACCCTGAGCCCGGTTTTGAACCAGGAAGAGCGGGGTATAAATAAATATTATTATTATTATTATTTATTATCCTACCTCGCAGGGTTGATGTTGGGGGGTTAAGTGAGGAGGGGGAGTACTGTGTATGCCACCCCGAGCTCTGCAGAGAAAAGGTGGGATCTAAACGCAATAAATAGATAGTTTTCAAGAGCAACAACCACAAAAGTCTCAAGGAAACTGATCAGAGAGGTAAAGGCATGAGAGTGAAATAAAACCACAGCATCATAGAACTGTAGAGTTGGAAGGGGGCCCCCAAAGGTCATCCAGTCCAACCCCCTGCAATGCAGCCGAAGCATCCATGACAGATGGCCACCCAACTTCTGCTCAAAAACTTCCAAGGAAGGAGAGTCCACAACCTCTGTTCCGTTGTCAAGAAGCTCTTACTGCCAGAAAGTTTTTTCCTCCTGATGTTTAGTCAGAATCTGCTTTCTTGTAACATGAAGCCATGGGTTCGAGTCTTACCCTCCAGAGCATGAGATAACAAGCTGGCTCCATCTTCCATGTGACAGCCCTTGAGATATATGAAGATGGCATTGTATCTCCTCTTTTCCAGGCTAAACATACCCAGCTCCTTCAACCGTTCCTCATAAGGCTTGGCTTCCAGAATGTAGCAAAACCTACATACTGCTTGATTGTGGTAAAACCTCTGAGCACATACATAATTTTATTTGTATGCTGCCTCTGAGTAGGACAACTCTATGATTTGAAGACGAGTGAGGAGTCCCACAAGCATGTGAAGAGTGCAAGGACAGACCAATCTATCCATTTTGGTTCCTCTCAGCTCCTTGTCCTTCCATTCTTAAAGTTCAAATTCTGCATGCTGACACATCAGTTGGTGCCTTGTTTTTTGAAGGTCCTCACGAAAGTTCACTCGCCCTTTCCTGCAGATTTCTGCAGGCTTGACTAATAGACCAATTCTGGTTTTGCAAAGCAATTTCTTCCGAAAGAGCACCTTATTTTCTCTTCCATCACCCAGGTCAGCCATTTTTGCACATTACCTGGCCAGAGAACCATTTTACAGAATTGGGAAAAGTGCAAATTTCAACGAACAGCTCCTTTTGTTTTGTTTGTGTGCCATTTCAGAAAATGCAGTTTGCCTCGGTGCAAACTGAATAGATTTTTTCCCCTCTCCCCATACCTAGATATAACAACAACAACAACAACAACAACAATTTATTATTTATACCCTGCCCATTTGGCTGGGCTTCCCCAGCTACTCTGGGTGGCTTCCAAAAAAAATTAAAATACTGTAATACATCAAACATTAAAAGCTTCCCTAAACAGGGCTGCCTTCAGATGTCTTAAAGTCTGGTAGTTCTTCCCTTTGACATCTGGTAGGAGAGCGTTCCACAGGGCGGGCGCCACCACCGAGAAGGCCCTCTGCCTGGTTCCCTGTAACTTAGCTTCTCGCAGGGAGGGAACCGCCAGAAGGCCCTCGGCGCTGGACCTCAGTGTCCAGCAGAACGATGGAGGTGGATACGCTCCTTCAGGTATACTGGGCCGAGGCCATTTAGGGCTTTCAAGGTCAGTACCAACACTTTGAATTGTGCTTGGAAACGTACTGGGAACCAATGTAGGTCTTTCAAGACCGGTGTTATGTGGTCTCGGCGGCCGCTCCCAGTTACCAGTCTAGCTGCCGCATTCTGGATTAGTTGTAGTTTCCGGGTCACCTTCAAAGGTAGCCCCACGTAGAGCGCATTGCAGTAGTCCAAGCGGGATACAAGATATCCCTTTCAGAGAAGGTCGCTACCTGATCAGAAATTCAACTGCCATGTCTCTGAGTGCCTTCATGCTAAAAAGGGCACCACGGGGTGAACTGCATGCCCGTCAGGCAGCTATTAAAGGCTCCAAATATAAAAAGAGGCCATTGAACTTAGCTTTGAAACATCTGAAATGGAGGTAAAAAGAGAATGCTCACCTCCAGCCTCCTCCTAACCCCGGCTCTCATTTTTAATTATTACTAAGCCCAATTATTTACACTCTCAACCCACCAGACGTCACTGAGCGAATGGCTTAGCTTTTCAACTCAAGTTTGCTCAGATGATTAAAACAACAGGTTGCGAGGGATTAATTGAATTGAGCCTGTGGTGCATTGGAGTGTGGGTTTTAAAAAAAAATAAAATTGGACGGAAGGGAATGCTTTTAAGGATCCAATCAGAGCATATGACCCAGAGCTCCGAGCCAGATACCCAGCTTGAAGAAGAAGAAAAAAACCACACAGCTATTGACTTATTTTTCGTGGGCACCTGAAGGGCAGCTGAGACAAGAAAGCACGTTTAAGCTTGTTGGGAAGGTAGACATGTAATCCCGCAATGCCCAATTAGCAGATGCAGGTAATTAAAAGGTTGTCAGAAAGTTGGGAGGAAAACACACACACAGGGGTGCCAACTTAAATAAAATATTGGGGGGGGGAGAGCAGGTAAGCCCCACCCTCCATAATTGATCACATGATGCAGTGAACTCATGCCATTTGAATGGCAATGCCAATCGATACCTCCATTGCTGCCTCTCCCCATATGAACTGACCCAGACTCTGAGGCCCTTTTTCATGTGCTTCTTCTATGAGAACAGGGCCTTCTCTGCAGTGGCTCCCCGCTTGTGGGATGCTCTCCCCAGGGAGGCTTGCCTGGCGCCTTCATTAAACCCCTTTAGGCGCCAGGCCTTTGGCTGGCTGATATCCAATGCCCATTTAAAATGTGTTTTTTTGGGGGGTGGAGTGATTGGGTTGTTCTTGTTTATGTTTTTATTATGTATTTTATACTGTGGTTTTATGTTGTAACCACCCTGAAACCTGCTAGTATAGGGCGGTACGCAAATTTAATTAGTAAAAATAATAATAATTTGGGAAGGGGCTGGCTCTCGCACACAAACCCCACACCCAAAGCCACCATATAAAGGGAGACTGATGTTGGAACACTGGCCAGGCCCAAGGAGATAGTCAGGGGTGGGCATACATTTTGGGGGCTGGCTGGGGGGGACTAGACTTTATTTCACCCAGGTCAAAGACCCAGTTTGACACCCCCTACACACACACACACACAGGCTCCATGGCACTCCATGGCACCCCTTTGGAGGCCCAAAACCTGGCAGCCCCCCCACTTCATAGCTACGGCTCTGTGGGGCTGTTATGGGGTTCCCTTTGCAACCAGCAACCTGGGCAGTCCCTGTCCCTGGCATTGCCCTACAACAGATCACCACACTTAAAAATAAAATAAAATAACTACTACATCTCAGATTTTGATGAACATGTCAAAGCCGCTGGTGGAAATAAATATTTCCTATGCCTTATAGTTTCCAAGAAGTGCGGGGTACCAGTTAGGGAAATGCTATACTGTATAAATGCATGAATTCAGCCGCTTTTAGGACCCCTGGGTGATGGGGGACCCCGAAAGTCATGCTTCCTTCCTTTCCTAGTCCACCCGCCACTGCAGATGGTCGAGATCAGCCCTGGAGATTTTTGCATACGTGTAGAATTTTGGGAACGCGAGGCGAACATACTTGGCATCTTGCAGCAATGTTTTCCCACCCACCCAGAAGGCAGCAAGCCCTTCCCATTCTCCGGAACAGAGAGAGAGAGACAGAAAGCCCCAAGCAAGACATCTTTTCGGGTGGGGGGCCGGGGAGAGACCGCGTCCCCGGCCTCATCCCCCAAACCAGCCGTTTTTGCGCACGGTTTCTGCAACTCCGTCCCTGGAGCGCTTCATCACATCCCCCCCCCTCCAGCTTTGCAAAACCAGAAAGTTCCCAAAGGAAGAAAAAAATATTAAATAAATTCCCCTTCGCATACCTTTCTCTAATTTTGTTTTTTTTTATTTTTCTTCTCCCCGCCCCGGGTTTCTTGCCGGAAATTTCGGTTGGTCCGATGAGAGAGGTTATCCAAGCGCGGGGCGCAAAGTTTTTTCCCCAAGCAACAGCTGGAAAGAGAAGAAGGAGAGAGAGAGGGAGAGAGAAGCGGCAGAGGGGGGAATTCAGGGGAAACGCTCCTCCTGCAAAAAGTCTTGAGCTAACGGATTCGTTGCAAGAAGGAGAAGAAAAAACAGAAAGAGGGAGAGGAAGAGAGAGCCTTTTTTTCAGGAAGCAAATGGAGGTTGCATGAGGCAGACCGGGTTGTTTAGCAAAAGAAGAAGGGGGATTTTGCCAGGCTAATTAAGAAAAATAAAAGCCACCACAGTGCTTCCCCCCACCTTCACCCAAGGAAAAAAGAGAGGGAGAGAGAGCAAGAGAGAGAGACCTCCTTCTCTGGTGACGCCATTGAAAGGCAGGTCTCTTTCTGTGACAGATGTAAGGCACCGCTGGGTTGCTAAACCTCAGCGGGAAAGGGAGGGGGAGACAGATGCCCACCCTCCAGCATTTCACCGGTGGAAATCATCACCATCAGACCTTTTATTGCCATCGCATACAAACATCCATAACATATCAGTACCAGGGCCTTGCAGAGGCCCAGGCCAGGTAGATAATGTGCCCCCCCTTTTTTTTACCCTGGGGATAACCAAAGTCTTATAAATAAGTGAGTATATAAATAATTTCCACAAAAGTTGTGCTGACAAATAAGTTTATTTCAAGGCTTGAACCGTATCTGCATATAAAGACAAAATGGAAAATATGGATATACAATAGTGCTTTTTAAAAATAAAAGCACTTTGGAATCGGAGGCCCGGGCCAAGTGGCCCTCTGTCTGGGCCTGATCAGTACAGAGTTACCGCTTCCCCCGTGGCACAAAACATTTACCAAAAAAAGGAGAGGCAGAACAGACTATTGCCACAACCGGTGTAAATAGTAATGTCTTATTCAATAATAATAGTAATAATAATACCCCCCCAATCTGACTGGGTTGCTCCAGCCACTCTGGGCGGCTTCCAACATATAGAAAAACATAATGTAACATTAAACACTGAAAAACTTCCCTATCCAGGGCTGCCTTCAGATGTCCTCAAAATGTTGTATAGTGACTTATCATCTTGGCTGAGGGGCTGCATAACTCTAGATCCACCAACATTTCTCCAATGAAAATAGGGACGTCTTAAGGAATAGTGGAAATGGGATGCGGGTGGCGCTGTGGGTTAAACCACAGAGCCTAGGGCTTGCCAATCAGAAGGTCGGCGGTTCAAATCCCCGCAATGACGGGGTGAGCTCCCATTGCTCGGTCCCTGCTCCTGCCAACCTAGCAGTTCGAAAGCACGTCAGAGTGCAAGTAGATAAATAGGTACCGCTCCGGCGGGAAGGTAAACAGCGTTTCCGTGCGCTGCTCTGGTTCGCCAGAAGCGGCTTAGTCATGCTGGCCACATGACCCGGAAGCTGGACGCCGGCTCCCTCGGCCAATAAAGCGAGATGAGTGCTGCAACCCCAGAATCGGCCACGACTGGACCGACTAGTCAGGGGTCCCTTTAACTTTAAGGAATAGTGGGACATTCCAGGATCAAATCAGAAAACGGGAGGCTTCTGTAAATCCGGGACTGTCCCGGGAAAACAGGGACACTGGGAGGGTCTACTGATGGGAGGATAACAGCACATCTAAGGTCGGGGGTGGGGGATGTAATATTTAGAGCAGGGGTCCCCAAACTAAGGTTCACGGGCCAGATAAGGCCCGAGGGACTCGTTTATCCAGCCCGCCGCCTGCTGCCGCCACCCACTCTTACCGGTGCTGCACTGCGCAGCTGCCCACTTCCGGGTCGGAGGAGCACCGGAAATACCTTGTGCTCATGCGCAAGCGTTATTTCCAGTGCAAATCTGGGTTGGAGGAGGCCCGTGCACACGCGCACAAGCTATTTCCGGTGCTCTTCCGACCCGGAAGTGCGCCGGAAATAGCATGTGCGCACACGTATGGGCACGTGCTCCCCTGCCCTCTCGCCCGCTACACGATCTGGCCCGAGGCGCAGTAAGTTTGTTGACCCCTGATTTAGAGAGCCCGCTGGATCAGGCCAATGGTCCATCTAGTCCAGCATCCTGTTCTCACAGGGGCCAACCAGATGTCCCCAACGAGGGACCTGCCAGCAGGATCCAAGCGCAGGAGCAACTCTCCCCTCTTGTGGTTTCCAGCAACTGGGATTCAGACGGTCTTGTAGCTCCCTCATCGGAAGCCCACATCCTCGCCAAAACAGCCCTGCCCACACCCTGTACCCCAGCCTATGCATGAGACGCAGGTGGCACTGTGGTCTAGACCACTGAGCCTAGGGCTTGCCGATCGGAAGGTCGGCGGTTCGAATCCCTACGACGGGGTGAGCTCCCGTTGCTCTGTCCCTGCTCCTGCCAACCTAGCAGTCTGAATGCACACCAGTGCAAGTAGATAAATAGGTACCACTGCGGTGGGAAGATAAACAGCGTTTCTGTGCACTCTGGTTTCCGTCACGGTGTCCCGTTGCGCCAGAAGTGGTTTAGGGATGCTGACCACATGACTCAGAAAGCTGTCTGCAGACAAATGCCGGTTCCCTCGGCCTGGGGTCAGCAACCCCAGAGTCACCTTTGACTGGAGATATATATAGATATAGATGATATAGATATAGATATATAGATATAGATATATGTTTTTTAACATATCATTTTCAACAATTATTAAACATACTTTTGTATCTTATACAATATTTTTTTACTTCCATTAATCACATCTGAAAATTTTCCAATCTTTTCACTTAATTTACATTTCTTACTTTCACTATTACATTTAAATCTCATAACTAATGTCTCTCTTCTTTCTCTTCTTTGCAATATTTCATATATTTCTCCTTACAAAACTTCTCGTAGTCCAACGAGCGTAATTTGTTGATTACACTTGCTCTTCAAATAGTTCGTATATTTCTTCCAATCTTCTGTAAATCTCTGGTCCCGCAGGTTTCGAATCCTTCCTGTCATTTTATCCAATTCTGCGTAGTCCATTATTTTCATCTGCCATTCTTCTTTCGTCACGCCTCTGACTGGACTTAACCGTCCAGGAGTCCTTTACCTTACCTTGACATTTACCTTTACATTTTCCCTTACCCCAGCCTGTATTTGAAGCTGTTCTTTCCCTCTCACTGACTGTCTCACTTACCCAATTCTGGGTAGGAAAACAGGGTGTGTTTTTAATCCATTCATCCCTTATTGGCATAATACTTTTTAAAATGTAACTTCAAAATGCAGAGCATCTCAGTTTGATCTCTTCCACAGAAGCCTGCGATGGGTGATGCAACTATGATGGGCCTTGTCAGGCAAAGGGGTCCTACTTTGCGGGAGCCATAGAAGCGGGCCTACGGAACTCCTTGCCACAAGGCATGGCAATCTGTGCTGGCTTGGGTGGTTTTTAAAGAGGGCCCCTAATGGGTTTGCCTCCACAGGACCTTTTCCCTATGTTCCTAACTCAAACCAGATCTTTATTCAGGATCATGAGGACTACATCCTTAGTTTACATTTAGAGGGAAACGTCACTACGGAAGACAGAGGGCGGGGAATGGATTGGGGAGTCTGCTTCCCATTTTTGAAAAAAAAGCGCTGTGCAAGAGTAAAAAAACAGATAATGTACATTTCTCATAATGCCACAGGGTGACATCACTTATTAAAAGCTGACTCCCCTTGCAAAATGGTGCAGAGGCACAGGGTGGGAATGCATTTAAATAACATTAATGACAATAAATAGATATATTTATAAGGGGCCCTTTATAGGATGGGACGTGTGTTAGTGTTCACTTTCAAAGTGCCCTCTGGTGGACAAAGAAGGGAAAGCTTTCCTTTTTTCAGATATATTTTATTGTTATTGCTTTTTTAAAGAAATATTTTAAAGGAAAAATCTCAAACTGATTTGCAACACATGAAAACATCAAACAAAACACTCCAGATTAGTATTTCAGATCCTTCTCTAAGTGACGTTTTGCTTTCCCCTTATTTATTAGACTGGCTTAATTTATAGATTGCCCTATAGCAGAAGGACTCTAGAAATTTCACATATACATTCCAACACACAATAGATTTTTCTTTTGGTTTGTCGACTTCCCATCACACATTTTCCAGGGTTGTTTTTTATTTCTCCCCCTATCTTCTCTCTCTCATATCATAAAAATAATGAAATAATCTCCATAGTTCAAACCTTGCTTGCGAATGCATCATACTAAAATAAGAAACGCGCCCTTCTTTCTGGAGGTTTCCTCACCCCTGAAAGCATTTAAAGACCTGCTCTCACTCAGATAAATTGTCCCTCCCTCACTGAACAACTCACTTTACCCATAGGTTTCTTTTCCTTTCCTCTTCAAATTCTAGCCCAGAGTATCCTCACATTTGTGGGGGGATAACTAGTAAGTTGGAGTCTCAGACAGGTTTCCTTTAAACAAACAATAAAGATTTATTTAAGGCAAGATAGTATATAACACACATGGATTAAACTTAGGTAACTTCAAGAATACAGTGCAATTTCTCTTTAATTCGACCTCAGTTGTTTTTGCATTATAGGTTTGGTTCCTTTATACCAGGGGTCAGCAGCGGGGGCCGGTCCACTCTCTCTCAGACCTTGTGGGGGGCCGGACTATTTTTTTGGGGGGGAAATGAACAAATTCCTATGCCCCACAAATTACCCAGAGATGCATTTTAAATAAAAGCACACATTCTACTCATGTGAAAACACGCTGATTCCCGGACCGTCCGCAGGCCGGATTTAGGAGGCGATTGGGTCGGATCCGGCCCCCGGGCTTTAGTTTGCCTATCCATGTTTTATACAGTGATACTTTATTTCAGTTATCCCCCCCCCCATTTTTAAAAATCGTTTTATTGATTTTCCAATAATAACATCAACTTAATATATCCAATCATAATACTCCAATTAAAATAAAAAACTAAAATAAAAAAGACCAAATTATAGTCCAGATTATAGTTATTAATTTTTCGGAGCTCCCCACGGTCTGGATCTCTGAAGCAGATCTCCACACCTCAGTCCTGCCTCTCCTCGTTGTTTCCATATTTTCCACATCTCGATTTTGACGCTTACCCTCTTTAACAATCCTGCTCCTGAGGTCCTTTAAGTAATAGACCCAAGGGCTCTCCACACCTGCTCCCTTCACTGGGTCTGGAGAGTTCTTCTTTTCCTTGGAAGCCTCTCTCCCCTCCAGACTAGATTTGAGTCCCAAGGAGGCTGCTCCTTCCCAGCTCCTACTTCTCCTGGCTCAACCTCTGCCTCCCAATAAAAAAGGACTTGCCGATAAGAAGGTTGGCGGTTCGAATCCCTGCAACGGGGTGAGCTCCCGTTGCTCAGTCCCTGCTCCTGCCAACCTAGCAGTTCGAAAGCACGTCAAAGTGCAAGTAGATAAATAGGTACCACTCTGGCGGGAAGGTAAACGGCATTTCCGTGCGCTGCTCTGGTTCGCCAGAAGCGGCTTAGTCCTGCTGGCCACATGATCCAGAAGCTGTACGCCGGCTCCCTCGGCCAATAAAGTGAGATGAGCGCCGCAACCCCAGAGTCATCCACGACTGGACATAATGGTCAGGGGTCCCTTTACCTTTACCTTTTAAGCTAAGGTTACCAGATTTCCACATTTCCTGGGGACAGTCCACGGATTTACAAATCTGTCCCCAAGTTGAAAAGTGTCCCTGGATTCATTGAAAAATAAATATGTAACCTTACTCTAAGTTTGATTAGAGTGACATTAACTTGCACTTCTAAAGCCCAGTCTTTTTTTCTGGGGGAGGCGGCGCAGTCTTCATGTAGTTATATTGGCTTTAAATGACTGCCCCTTTGTTAGAAAACTGTTACAGTGGTACCTCGGGTTACAGACGCTTCAGGTTACAGACACTTCAGGTTACAAAGTCCGCTAACCCAGAAATAGTACCTTGGGTTAAGAACTTTGCCTCAGGATGAGAACAGAAATTGCGCGGCACCAGTGGGAGGCCCCATTAGCTAAAGTGGTACCTCAGGATAAGAACAGTTTCAGGTTAAGAAACGACCACCAGAACAAATTAAGTTCTTAACCTGAGGTACCACTGTATTATTATTATTATTATTATTATTATTATTATTATTAACAACTCACCCTCTTTCATTAATTGAAAACAAACCCTTTCCCCCAGACTTGAAAATGAATGCAAATTAGATAAACATATGTCAAAAGTTATCGATTGAATCAAAAGAGGAAATGTGGAGTTCTTGTCCCTTGTTGCAATGGTCTTCTGGTAAGGATACGGTTTTAGAGTATCACCTCAATCCGTAGAGCATGAGACTCGGAATCTCAGGGCTGTGGGTTCGAGTCCCATGTTGGGCATTAAGATTCCTTCATTGTAGGGAGTTGTACTAGATCACCCTTGGGATCCCTTCCAGCCCTATAATTCTTTGATTCAATATGCCAAAACCCAATTGGACATTTTCATTTGTATCAAAATCATTATTTCTCCTTCCTGCGCTGCTGGCAATCCGTCAAATTCTTTGACCTGAGGCTTCCAATTTTCCTTTGGAATTTCCACATGCGATGATTCCAACCACTAGGTAGTGTTGTTCCCCCTGACCCCAGGCAAGATGCCTTACCTACCAGGCAGGGAATCGAGACCTGCAGGTTTCCCATAAGAGTCCGGGAGGAGAGTTATGGCTCTACCGGTTGAGTTACTGTCTGCGGCACAATACTCACACAGCGCAGGAGCTCTCTGTGAGAAAGGAAGTGGAGAATGTGAGTCTTCCAGGCCTAACTTGTGCTCTTTACACCTTCTCAAAACCAGAAGCCTTTCTTCAAAAGCACTTTTTCAACCTTCCTGCTTACGCAGTACGGAAATTGGGTCAAAACTTCAAAGACACCCCCACCTTACCCTGTCAACGTCTGCAGAGCAAACTCAGCCACTTCACTGCCAGAGACCAGACCTCTCTCTTTCTCTCTCTCTTTCGTTCCCTTTACACCCCTAAAAACTATCATTTTGCTTTGGAATGGACATCTGACTCCATTAATTTCCGCTTAAAAAGAAAGATTCAGACAGAAACATTTACGGAAGTGTCCATTGTCTTCCCTGCCCTCTGATTCAGGTAAGGATCTTGAGATATTTGATGCACAGATAACCATTTTTCTCCCCATTTAGTGCTGAACTGGCGCTGGTCCACATTGGTAAGAAATTGATGTTTCATTGTGGTGGCATCTGCCCTCTGGAACTCCCTGCTTATTGACATCAACAGAAGTCTAGTGTCCACATCAAGGGAAGTAATGGTACCACTCTATTCTACCTTGGTCAGGCCACAACTGGAATACTGTGTTCAGTTCTGGGCACCAAAATTTGAGAAGGGTGTTGACAAGCTGGAAGGTGTGCAGAGGAGGGCGACCAAGATGATCAAGGGTCTGGAAACCAGACCATATGAGGAACGGTTGAAGGAGCTGGGTAGGTTTAGCCGGGGAAAGAGGAGACTGAGAGGAGATAGGAGAGCCATCTTCAAATATCTCAAAGGCTGCCACACAGAAAATGGAGCATCTTGTTTTCTCCTGCTCTGGAGGGTAGGACTCAAACCCGTGGCTTCAAGTTACAACGAAGGAGATTCTGACTAAATGTCAGGAATAACTTTCTGACAGTAAGAGCTGTTCGACAGTGGAACAATCTCCCTCAGGAGGTGGTGGGCTCTCCTTCCTTGGAGGTTTTTAAGCAGAGGTTGGATGGCCATCTGTCCTGGATGCTTTAGCTGAGATTTCTGCATTGCAGGGGGTTGGACTAGATGTCCCTTGGGGTCCCATCCAACTCTACAATTCTGTGATCAGGGGACACCTTCTTCACTGTACTCTTTCCTGTGCCCTAAATACATTTTCGTTGCTGTTTAGACAAGCCTTTCCAAACATGTGGAATCGTAGAGTTGGAAAGAATCACAAGGGCCATCTATTCCCACCCCGTGCCGTGCAGGAATGTTGACATACTTTTTAATCTGTTTTCATTTTGTCACAGGTTTTATCTTTGGAAAGTTTTAAAGAATTGTTTCCCCCAATACTTTTAATGGCCTTAATTCTATTGAGAAACACCACTTTGAGATTGTTGTTGTTCTATGAACAAGTGGTATAGACATTTTATGGAAAAAGCACACAACAACAAAAAATTGGGGGGTTCAAGGTGGGGTTTCAGGGATTGAACTTCAAGGGGGTCCTTGGTTCTTAAAGGTTGTTTAGGGTGGGCTGGCGTTGGGTTTAGATAGACCGGTGGTGTGATTTCGTGTAAGACAGCGTCCTATTTAAATCAGCCGCTTATCCAAAACCACAGGACTAGAAACATCTTCGCAGGCAGAAGGTCCTGGGTTCAGTCCCCTGCCTGAAAGCCTGGAGACCCACCTTCAATCATTGCAAATAGTCCTGAGCTTGATTGACTTGGTATATATAGCCAGAGTTTTTGTTAGGGGGGCAGACCTTTTGTTGAGTGGGGCAAAACCTCAGTTTGCTATGTATTTTTATTGATTTTTATTCATTGGGGGGCAGCTGCCCCTCCCTGCCCCCTTGGCTACACCCATGTATATGTCCCTATCTAAATCAGAATCATGAGGACCAGAAACTAACTTTAGATTTACAGGGGAGGCCACAGCTCAGTTGCAGGGGAATCTGCTGAAAGGCAGCTGTCTACATTCCCAGTCAACCCTGTCAAATGCTTTCTCCAGAACCGCCAGGACTTAGCAAACTTAGTTTTACTTTCAGGGCAAGGCAGGAGCTCCCTGGCTACTTTGCCTGCAGAAGGTCCCATGTTCAAGCTGCCAACCAGTGTAAACAATACTGAGCTCGATGGCCCAGGGGTCTGACACAGTGCAATGGAGTTTCTTTTTAAAAAATAAAACAAAATGTCCAAAAATTCCACATAAAATTCCAGTGCAAATTTTAAAAGATTTATTTCATATTGTTGACGTCACATCCCATTTTCTGTTATGTTTTTCTTATCCCCCCCCTTTGCTGTATTCTGCCTTCCCTCTGTATTATCATAGTCATAACACAATGATATTTAATTATTTCTGTTGCTCATAGTTCGAAACCTGATCACAGATTCTTCATGTTCTGTGTCCTGCTCAGAGCAAAATCATTGCAGGCTGTTTTATTTAGTTCCTTTGATTTCAGTCAGTTCCTCTGTGCTTAACTTAGCCAGACACTACTCACAGTCCTATTCAGAGTAGTCCCCGTTGGACTCGCTTTGGCCCATCAGTTTCCAACGGGTCTTCTCTGAGCTAAAAATTTTCAATGTTTGCAGAGGAAGTGGAGTCTTGCGATTGACATCTATAGTGTGACTTGGGGTTGATTTCGGTTTCTCTCAAGTTTTCCACCCTTCCAGTTTTCAGTTTCTCATGTTTCCACATCCGTTTGCAAACTTTAATAAAATAATTTTAAAAACCCTGATGGAAGTTCATTAGCACTTTTGCCTCCCATCGACGGGTTTCTGTGTGGAGTTTCCCTAATATGATGCATCCCCACGTGTTATTTTTGCAAATTTGTGCACGATTGCCGACACACATTTCCACCGAGTGTCTGCACATTTTGAGCTGTGCTTCATTTGCGGGGGCTGCATCATTCGAGTTCGGAGGCTTGTAAAATGAAATTTTACAAGCTGGCTGGCAGACATGAATGCCACATTGGTGGTGAACGACAGGCCAATGTGATTTAGGGACAAGTATTGACTGCTTGGGTCTTGCATACTCAATAGGGTTATAACTTTCTGACTCCCCCCCACCAAATACCTGATTTCCTGTGTCATAAAGGGACGAACTTTTGCTTAGAAACACTGAAAAAGGGACTAATTGTTCTCAGTTGTGAAAAAAGGTCACCCCGAAAGTTGGAGTCACCATATATGTACTTTGAAAATGGCTTCAAGAACTTGTCACAAAAATGCTTACAAAAAAGCATTGCAGGTGTTGGAGAATCACTGGAAGCAGGAGCCATCCGTACTCCAGACACCAAGAACGGATCCATGCGCAGAACGCGCAATCCAAGTGATGTGGGAATGTTATGGTTCTCGCAGCAGAAACAAAGACCAGCTGCAACCTTGATTTATTCTAGGTGATTAAGAAGAGATGTACAATGTACAAAACATTGTACAAGTATTAAAAAATTTGCAAGCTCTATTTCCCCCCATATTATAATACATGCTATGCATATTACATAATATGTTAAAAAGGTAAAGGACCCCTGACAGTTAAGTCCAGTTGCGAACGACTCTGGGGTTGCGGCGCTCATCTCGCTTTATTGACTGAGGGAGCCAGTGTTTGTCCGCAGACAGTTTTTCCGGGTCATGTGGCCAGCAGGACTAAGCCGCTTCTGGCGAACCAGAGCAGTGCACGGAAATGCCATTTACCTTCCCGCCGGAGCGGTACCTATTTATCTACTTGCACTTTGACGTGCTTTCGAACTGCTAGGTTGGCAGGAGCAGGGACCGAGCAACAGGAGCTCACCCCGTCGTGGGGATTCGAACCGCCGACCTTCTGATCGGCAAGTCCTAGGCTCTGTGGTTTAGACCACAGCACCACCCATGTCCCTACATAATATGTTATACAGCTACAAATACAAAAATGGATGTATTGATTTCAGGGTGACTTTTTTTTCCAAAATATTTGGAAATGATAGCTCATTCCTTTGTTTTTAGGCAAAAATTCATGAGGCTGTAAAAAAGTTATAACCCTAATGCTCATCCTGTATAGAAATGGGTGTTTGGTTTTGTCCCCCCCCCCCCCCCGCAGAAGAGAAAAGGCTCAGGACAGGTTGAGAGGGGGGGATCCAAGCACGTGCACAGTCCCAAAGCAAGACCCTTGGGCAAACTTTTCCAACAAACTATTTTGGGGTGGGGGGACTTACCCATTCAACCTATAAACATAAATTGCCTTGGGCTTCATTTGCGGGGGCTGCATCATTCGAGTTCGGAGGCTTGTAAAATGAAATTTTACAAGCTGGCTGGCAGATATGAATGCCACATTGGTGGTGAACGACAGGCCAATGTGATTTAGGGACAAGTATTGACTGCTTGGGTCTTGCATGCTCAATAGGGTTATAACTTTCTGACTCCCCCCCACCAAATACCTGATTTCCTGTGTCATAAAGGGACAAACTTTTGCTTAGAAACACTGAAAAAGGGACTAATTGTTCTCAGTTGTGAAAAAAGGTCACCCCGAAAGTTGGAGTCACCATATATGTACTTTGAAAATGGCTTCAAGAACTTGTCACAAAAATGCTTACAAAAAAGCATTGCAGGTGTTGGAGAATCACTGGAAGCAGGAGTGCTCAAAAAAGGTTGAGCCTCAAAGAAGGTTGAGCAATTGTACATTTCCGAGCACAATTCAGTGTTGGTGCTGACCTTTAAAGCCCTAAACGGCCTCGGTCCAGTATACCTGAAGGAGCGTCTCCACCCCCATCGTTCTGCTCAGACACTGAGGTCCAGCTCCGAGGGCCTTCTGGCGGTTCCCTCACTGCAAGAAGTGAGGTTACAGGGAACCAGGCAGAGGGCCTTCTTGGTGGTGGCACCCACCCTGTGGAACGCCCTCCCATCAGATGTCAAAGAAATAAACAACTATCTGACTTTTAGAAGACATCTGAAGGCAGCCTTGTTTAGGGAAGCTTTTAATGTTTGATGCATTACTGTATTTTAATATTTTGTTGGAGGCTGCCCAGAGTGGCTAGGGTGGCCCGGCCAGATGGGCGGGGTATAAAATAATAATAATAATAATAATAATAATAATAATAAGGACGCAAACATGTGCACGGTGAGCTTTGCTCCGAAAGCAACATCCAAACCTTTCCGTGTTTTCCCGAACCATCTTTTCCAGCAAACTTTCTTATTGCATTTTATATTCTTTATTGCCAAATAAAAAGTACAAAATGCACAGAGTAAGATAAGATACAAAAAAAAGAATAGGAAAAAGCAAGAAATAGTACCCATGTAGAAAACAAAACAGAAAAAACATTGTGTACATTACAAAAAAAGGCGGAAAAATGTTATTGTAGTTAACCAGACCTTAATCTAATGTGGCATTTATAAAAATGAATTCCAAATACTGTTAAACCTGTCCATGGCATGTGGACATCTTTTCCAGCAAACTTTGCGTGGAGGGAAACCTGTAAAAAAAGAAAAAAGACCAAATCAATTTCTCTCCAGGAAAAGGCAGCAGAAAACGTGGGAAATGTTGAGCACGTGGGACCCAAACATCCACAAAGTTTAGTTAAACTTGAGCATTATTTTCCAGGAAACACCAACTTTCTTAATGGTAAAAATTAGTAATAATCTGGCCTGCTTTCAAAAGTGCAAACATATCTTCCCCGAGGACCAGGCCACATTTAGCCAGCACTTTCTGGAGGCCGGACACATCGGCTGCCTGCTGAGCAGGCAACTGCAGCTTGCCTGCCTCTTCACACCCACCAGCCACAGCGATGCGCAGAAATTTCCAACCACAAACATGCAGTTGCATGGAGGCTGGGTGGCTGTTGTGATCGCACACCTTTTAAAGATAATGTATGCTAATCAGAGACAAACACAGAAGGTGTTTTTTTGTTTTACTGGTTTTTCCACCTTCCTCGGTTTCCCCTGCAGGCAGAACAGATGCTCTCCCACTTAGGACCCACCTACCTATGGGACCGCCTCTCCTGGTCTGCCCCACAGAGGACCTTAAGGTCCACAAATGACAAAACTTTGGAGGTCCCAAGTCGCAAGGTGGTTAGACTGGTCTCAACTAGGGCCAGGGCCTTTTCAGTACTGGCCCCGACTTGGTGGAACGCTCTGTCCCAAGAGACCAGGGCCCTGCGGGACTTGACATCTTTCCGCAGGGCCTGCAAGACAGAGCTGTTCCACCTGGCCTTTGGTTTGGACTCAGTCTGACCCTTACGTTTCCCTCCCCTTACGGTTTTGATTTATGGGCTACTTTTAAAATGAGGCTGCATTTTAAATTGCATTTTAACCTGTATTTTAAATTGGGGTGTGTGTGTTTGGCCCCCCCCCTGATTATGTTTCCATTGTAATTTTACTGGTGTAAGCCGCCCTGCCCATCTAACTGGGTTTTCCACTGTGCTTGGAAACATACTGGGAGCCATCATAGATCCTTTAGGATGGGTGTTATACAGTCCTGGCGGCCACTCCCAGTCACCAATCTGGCTGCTGCCTTCTGGATTAGTTGCAATTTCTGAGTCACCTTCCAAGGTAGCCCCATGGAGAGCACATGGCAGTAGTCCAAGCAGGAGATAACCAGAGCATGGACCACTCTGGTGAGACAGTCTACAGGCAGGTAGGGTCTCAGCCTGCATACCAGATGGAGCTGATAACAGCTGCCCTGGACGCAGAATTAACCTGCACCTCCATGGACAGCTGTGAGCCCAAAATGACCCCCAGGCTGTGCATCTGGTCCTTCAGGGGCACAGTTACCCCATAGAGGACCAGGGAGTCCCCCATACCCAACTGCCTCCTGTGCCCCCAGAAACAGAACTTCTGTCTTGTCAGGTTTCAACCTCAACCCGCTGACCGTAAACCACTGCAAATCCTGTGTGCCATTGTACAGTGGTGGTTGTTGTTTAGTTGTTTAGCCGTGTCCGACTCTTCGTGACCCCATGGACCAGAGCACTCCACTCTCTTCCACTGCCTCATTGTACAGTGGTACCTCGGGTTAAGAACTTAATTTTTTTTGGAGGTCCATTCTTAACCTGAAACTGTTATTAACCTGAAGCACCACTTTAGCTAATGGGGCCTCCTGCTGCCGCTGTGCTGCCGGAGCACGATTTCTGTTCTCATCCTGAAGCAAAGTTCTTGACCTGAAGCACTATTTCTGGGTTAGCGGAGTGTGTAACCTGAAGTGTCTGTAACCCGAGGTACCACTGTAATGGATTGTTTGAAGTCATTTCTGCAACAGGGAAATAAAATTTTAGCCTCCCCATTCCCCACCCTGACTTGTCCCGTATTTTGCCCGACCAAAGGGGGCGACAAGGGTCATCAAGTCCAACCCTCCGCAATGCGGGAATCTTTTGCCCATTGTGGGGGTCGAAGCCACGGCCTCGCCGACTGCTCTGTCCCGGAAGGCTTGAGAGCAGCCTGGTGTCAGAGGCTTCATCTCGTAGCTACATTTGCACAGCAAGCCCCCGGCACAAACACAGAGCGACCATCTGCCTGCTCTTAAGTCACGCCTCTTGACGGCTGAGCTTCCTGCAGCAACTTCCTTCCCCCCAAATGACATACGAGCGGCTTCTGATTCTTCAAAAGCCTCCCAGGATCAGAAGAGGAGTGCGAACACATGGATGCCATAAATTGCAAAATCTATCAAGCATGTAGAAGAGACTCCCCAGAGGGAACCTTTTCCAGTGTATAGGACCTTTTAGCTTAGAGAAAAGCCGAAGAAGAAGAGACACGATACTAGAAATGTACGAAATTAGTCATGGCATGGAGAAAAAAAGCAGAGACATCACCTTGCTGACAAAGGTCCGTAAAGTTCAAGCTATGGTTTTCCCAGTAGTGATGTATGGAAGTGAGAGCTGGACCATAAAGAAGGCTGATCGCCGAAGAATGGATGCTTTTGAATTCTGGTGCTGGAGGAGACTCTTGAGAGTCCCATGGACTGCAAGAAGATCAAAGATTCTTAAGGAAATCAGCCCCGAGTGCTCACTGGAAGGACAGATCCTGAAGCTGAGGCTCCAGTACGTTGGCCACCTCATGAGAAGATAAGACTTCCTGGAAAAGACCCTGATGTTGGGAAAGATGGAGGGCGCAAGGAGAAGGGGACGAGTTTGACCAAACTGCAGGAGGCAGTGGAAGACAGGAGTGCCTGACGTGCTCTGGTCCAGGGGGTCACGAAGAGGCGGACGACTAAACAACAACAACAACAATGGAGAAAACGGATAGGGAAAAGTTGTCCTCCCTCTCTCCCCACGCTAGAACTCAAGGTTGGAAGATTCAGGACAGACCGAAGAAATGACTTTTTCACGCAGTTAGACTTCCCAAGAAGATAAAACAATAAAATTACACAGTCACCATTCCGGCAGCCGCATTTTGGATTAGTTGTAGTTTCCAAGGTGTTATGTGTTCAGTGCTCTGTGTTTGCCTGAGCTTGAGTCTGGACTAAGGCTTGTGAGCTTATGTGTTCTGATTCAATGCATGATGTCCAATCACATAACATTTCGGGATTTGGACCTCTGCCATTGGCCCTTGAACTCTGAGTCGTGATTTGCAGCTTGGAAGTTTAGACAGCCAATCACGTTGGGAGTGGGAGTGGCCCAGGCTTTCAGAAATGTATATAAGCAGTTGCTTTGCCCGTTTCCCAGTTATGTAGTTCAATAAAGGTTCTTGCTGTTATCACTGGGTCTTGCCTTGTGGGAACCCACCTCCACTTCAAAAGTCACCTTCAAAGGTAGTTCCAGTGAGAGCTCATGACAGTAGTCCAAGCTGGAGATAACCAGAGCATGGACCACTCTGGTGAGACAGTCCGCGGGCAGGGAGGGTCTCAGATGGAGCTGGTAGGCAGCCGCCCTGGACGCAGAATTGACCTGCGCCTCCATGGACAGATGTGAGTCCAAAATGACCCTAATAGTAATAACACATGCTAGAATAAGCTAGGATTCTTTATGCACAAAAATGGAAGGAAGAAGAAGTTCCCACCAAAGAAGACGTAAAATGATTCACTACATGGAATTGGCAAAGCCAAAAGCAAAAATGGAAGCCGTTTTCGGAATATTTAAATAAATGTCATGGTATGATGAATTCGCGAGCAGGATATGAACTACAGTGGTACCTTGGGTTACAGACGCTTCAGGTTACAGACTCCGCTAACCCAGAAATAGTACCTCGGGTTAAGAACTTTACCTCAGGATGAGAACAGAAATCGTGTGGCGGCAGCGGGAGGTCCCATTAGCTAAAGTGGTGCTTCAGGTTAAAAACAGTTTCAGGTTAAGAACAGACCTCTAGAACGAATTAAGTTCTTAACCCGAGGTACCACTGTACGGGCGACAGAAGGAATTAGAGAATATTGTACGATGAAAAACATCATGGAAAATGGGGTGAGAAGTTGCCAAAGCAAAAGAAAAATCTACTATGTATTGGAATGGGTATGTGAATTTTTGGGAAATTTAATAAAATATATATTTTTAAAGGATTTGGGGTTGTTTTTTTAAAGATTGCTCTAGTCCTATTTGGGCACCTGCCTCAGTGCAGCCTACACTGACTAGGCAGTGGGTCTCCAGGGAGGGGAAGTAAAAAAAAACAAAGAAAAATGTATTATGTTTTGGAGTGCATAGAGTTTGCGACTGCCACTTCTATTGCAAGTGCCAATGGAAGACGTAACCCATGTGCTCCTTGAATGCCCTTTTTATAATCATCTTAGAAACAATTGGGTCCGTCCATGGTGAAGATCGCAGAAGGGAAGATCATCTCTTGCAAAGACCTTTTTTCCTGTTGTCTGATGTAGAGAAGTTTATCTCTTCTAGAACATCCACATTTCTCACTCATGCTCTACAAATTCGTGTAACGAAAAGGGGGTATGGGAAATCATTTATCCTCTAAAATTCAGGGAGCAGAAATGTAAAGCACTATTAGCAGCAGAATTATTGTTACAGTATTATTATTTTTACGTGTGAAGTGGCTGTTTGGTAGAACACAATAAACCGAACCAAGCTGCCCTGAACTGCATGTGTAATTTTGTTGTTGCTGAAATTTAATAAATTTTTTTAAAAATAAATTTAAATTTAAATATTAAATTTAAATAATAAAAAAAATATTAAATTTAATTTAATAATAAAAAAATATTAAATTTAATTTAATAAATTTAATTATATATTTAAGGAATATATAAGATTATATTGTAAAAACAATACCATCTTAGCAGAACTTGAATGATACTTGTGAACAAAAACGAATGAAGCGAATACTTTAGTGGATTGTATGAAAAAGGATGCAAAGTAAAGCTGCGTGACAAAACCATGACAACTGAAACAGTATAATGAGAACGATTGGAAGTTTTATGCAGGAATTTTTATTTGATAGATATGATTTTTTATAAATTTTTGGTTTTTTCTTTTTCTTTTTCTTTTCTTGTCTTTAATTTTTTTTCTTACTTTTATGTCTTGATGTTTCCTTCTTTTGTATTTAACTTTTCTACATTTACCTTCGTTGTACGTTTGTATTTTAAACCACTAAAGATTTACCATAAAAAAAAAAGAAATTTAATAAAACACAATACAGTGGTATCTCTGGATGCGTACGGGATCTGTTCCGAAGCCCCGTTCGCATCCTGAAGCAAACGCAACCCGTGTCTGTGCGGGTCGCAATTCGCCGCTTCTGCGCATGAGCGTGACGCCATATTGAGCGTCTGCGCATGCGCGAGTGGCAAAACCTGGAAGTAACGCACTCCGTTACTTCTGGGTCGCCGTGGAGTGTAACCTGAAAACGCACAACCTGAAGCACATTTAACCCGAGGTATGACTGTACGCAATACAGTGGTACCTCGGGTTACATACACTTCAGGTTACATATGCTTCAGGTTACAGGACTCCGCTAACCCAGAAATAGTACCTCAGGTTAAGAACTTTGCTTCAGGATGAGGACAGAAGTTGTGCTCCGGCGGCGCGGCAGCAGCGGGAGGCCCCATTAGCTAAAGTGGTGCTTCAGGTTAAGAACAGTTTCAGGTTAAGAACGGACCTCCGGAACGAGTTAAGTACTTAACCCGAGGTACCACTGTAGTAATAATATATATATATCCTTTATTAGGCATAGCAAATCACACATTATCAAACAGACACCGTATAAAAATTGTGCAAAATACGAGCTCAACATAACAAGGTTTGTCCCAGTCAGATTTTTAACTCCAGAGAAAATCAATTTGCATAAATAATACAATACAACACCACCGCATCACCGATCAATTAAGAACCACTGAATCTCTTTATAACGGCCCAGTCTTTCTACACAGACAGCACTCAAAAATTCAGCCACTATTAAAGTAATTTGATCATTCCTGTCCGAGAGCAGGTCTTGAACCATTGGTGGCATAGAATTGAGCCTGTTGAGTTGTAAGGCCTCTAATAATTGTCTTCTGGCATAAATGCCAAAATCACAAGAAAAGAAAATATGTTCCAAAGTATCAGGTTCCTGGGACGCGGGTGGGGCTATGGGTTAAACCACTGAGCCGAGGGCTTGCCGATCAGAAGGTTGGTGGTTCGAATCCCCGCGATGGGGTGAGCTCCCGTTGCTCAGTCCCAGCTCCTGCCAACCTAGCAGTTCGAAAGCACACCAGTGCAAGTAGATAAATAGGTACCGCTCCAGCAGGAAGGTAAACGGCGTTTCCGTGCGCTGCTCTGGTTCACCAGAAGCGGCTTAGTCATGCCAGCCACATGACCCGGAAGCTGGACGCCGGCTCCCTTGGCCAATAAAGTGAGATGAGCGCTGCAACCCCAGAGTCGGCCACGACTGGACCTAATGGTCAGGGGTCCCTTTACCTTTATCAGGTTCCTGTTTACTACATTTGCAGAGACGCTCTGATTCTGGGAGAGCTAAATATCTTCCTTTTAAATAGTAATAATAATTCCTGCCTGCTCCTGTTTCCCAGGTGTTTCCCTGAGCATCCTATGACCCCCGCTTGGGCAGCCCCACGACCTGCCGCGTGATGCCCAACCCGGCTGCCCACCTGCCCTTTTACTATGGCAGCATCTCCCGTTCAGACGCCGAAGAGCATCTCAAGCTGGGCGGGATGATGGACGGCCTCTTCCTGCTCCGCCAGTGCCTTCGCAGCCTGGGCGGCTACGTTCTGTCGGTCACCCACAACCTCCGGTTCCACCACTACCCCATCGAGCGGCTGATGAACGGCACCTTTGCCATCGCGGGTGGCAAGGCGCACTGCGGCCCCGAGGAGCTCTGCGAGTTCTACTCCAAGGACGCCGATGGGCTCTGCTGCCCGCTCAAGAGGCCGTGCAACCGTCCCGGCGGCCTCGAACCCCAGCCGGGCATCTTTGACTCCATCCGAGAGAACATGGTGCGGGAATATATACGGCAGACGTGGCAGCTGGAGGTACGGGCAGGATCGGGGCCTTTCCTGTGGTTTGGGGGCAGCAGAGGGGAAACAGAATATGGAGCGGCACCCAAGATTAAGGGCAAAATGTCAAAAGTTGATTTTTATTCATTTTCAAATTTATAACACATCCAAATCGAATGAAAAGTGATTTAAAACACACACCCCTCAAAACAACAACAACTGATTTTCCACTTTCTCAGGTATATTCCAATTCATCCCCTTTTAGATGCTGCTTATTTTACAGATTTATTTCTGCTTCACATCCAAAATTCTCATCCCTCAGCTGTCCCTTTACAGACTCTTGCATACGGATTAAACACAGTTACATCAAATAAAAACAAGTGAGCGGTTATAGTAATTTAAACATTTTGTTTTTCTTTCCAACTTGCGTGTAGTTCATTCTCTTATCCCTGATAGTTTTCAGCCTCTGCCTGTTTGCGCAAACCCTTTTCCTTTCCTTAGGCAAACCAGATTATCTCCTTTCAATGTTCAGTCTTCGTTATTGAGTTAAAGGTAAAGGGACCCCTGACCATTAGGTCCAGTCGCGGACGACTCTGGGGTTGCGTGCTCATCTCGCTCTATAGGCCAAGGGAGCCGGCGTTTGTCTGCAGACAGTTTTTCCAGGTCATGTGGCCACTTCTGGCGAACCAGAGCAGCGCAAGGAAACGCCGTTTACCTTCCCGCCAGAGCGGTACCTATTTATCTACTTGCACTTTGACGTGCTTTCGAACTGCTAGGTTGGCAGGACCAGGGGCCGAGCAATGGGAGCTCACCCCATCGCGGGGATTCGAACCGCCAACCTTCTGATGTGGCTGTGTCATGCTGGCCACATGACCCGGAAGCTGTACGCCGGTTCCCTTGGCCAGTAAAGCGAGATGAGTGCCCCAACCCCAGAGTCGGCCACGACTGGACCTAATGGTCAGGGGTCCCTTTACCTTTACCTTACAATTCAATGTCACTAGATAGTCATTACATTTACATTTCCAGCACCCCCTTTCCTTTGAGGTAATCCCACTGCCCTCCAGGGGACCATAACACCCACTTCGAGAACCCCTAGTTTAGAACAACGTAGAATTACAAAAGCAGTTCCTTCCATCTCCAACATATAGGTGTTGAGTGCTGCTCTTATGTAGGAACCAACTGGGGTTAAGTGGGAGGCTGATAATTTCCCCCACCAGGCACAGCTTGTCTCGGAAGTTTAAATAATTCCCAGAAAGGCAATAGAGTCTCTGTTCTCTCCTCTTCCTTCTTCGTAGGGGGACACCCTTGAACAGGCCATCATCAGCCAGGCCCCCCAGGTGGAGAAGCTCCTGGCCACCACAGCCCACGAGAAGATGCCCTGGTACCACGGCCCCATCACTCGAGCGCAAGCGGAAAGCAGACTCTACTCAGGCTCACAGCCTGATGGGAAATTCTTGTAAGCACGTTATCAGGGCAAAGCTTCTTGTCTGTCTTCTTCTTCTTCTTCTTCTTCTTCTTCTTCTTCTTCTTCTTCTTCTTCTTCTTCCAAATGATTTTTATTCATTTTCCAAATTTTAATGAATCAACCACAAATTAAAACACATTCAATACAATCTTCCCCCAAAATGGCTTCCTGCACTCTGTCCTCGATGCGTCCATCATTTCCTCTCGTTGCTGCATTGTTTTCCCAACCTGTCTGTCGTCTTTCTGCGTTGCTGCCATTATGCAGTTGGCGCACCCATCTGCCTCGCTTTGCAGATCCGGGGCATCTATCAACCAGGGTGAAGGAGTTGGAATGGCCGAGTCCAGGAACTGCCGTCCTAATGTCCCACAAGAGGGGTGAGGAGCCCCCAGTCTCCTCATTTGGCCTGCGAGGCCATTTCAGCCAAGCCCACCTCCCCATAAGGATGTCAGAAAGAATCCACTTCCATTCCGACCCAGCGTTGCCACTGTTGGCTCTGCTGCAGTTCAGTTTCTGCCCGGTACTAACAGATCCTCCAAGGGTCCCTATTTTCCAGGGACAGACCCAGATTTACAGAAGCCATTCCGGTTTCTTATTTGATCCCGGAATGTCCCGCTTTGCCTTAGGACGTCCCTATTTTCATTGCAGAAATGTTGGAGCGTATGATTAGTTATGAGACCCCCCCCCCCAAGCCAAGGAGATAAGTAACTAGACAACCGCTAGAAGACATGTTTTATTATGTTTTTATATATGTTGGAAGCTACCCAGAGTTTGCTCCGCTTTCAGAACCGCTTATGGTTCTTGTTAATTGCTACCTGTAACTAATGGAGCCAATTGGGCTGGACTTAATGACCCTTAATGGACGCGGGTGGCACTGTGGGTTAAACCACCAAGCCTACGGCTTGCTGATCAGAAGGTCGGTGGTTCGAATCCCCACGACAGGGTGAGCTCCTGTTGCAGTATGTCAAAGTGCAAGTAGATAAATAGGTGGGAAGGTAAACGGCGTTTCCGTGCGCTGCTCTGGTTTGCCAGAAGCGGCTTAATCATGCTGGTCACATGACCCAGAAGCTGTATGCCGGCTCCCTCGGCCTGTAAACCGTTAGGTCCAGTCGCAGACGACTCTGGGGTTGCGGTGCTCATCTTGCTTTATTGGCTGAGGGAGCCAGTGTACAGCTTCTGGATCATGTGGCCAGCATGACTAAGCCACTTCTGGTGAACCAGAGCAGCACACGGAAACACTGTTGACCTTCCTGCCGGAGTGGTACCTATTTATCTACTTGCACTTTGACGTGCTTTCAAACTGCTAGGTTGGCAGGAGCAGGGACCAAGCAACGGGAGCTCACCCTGTTGTGGGGATTCGAACCGCCAACCTTCTAATCAGCAAGCCCAAGAGGCTCAGTGGTTTAGACCACAGTGCCACTTGCCCATAAAAAGACACACATTCGTGCAAATATCAGACAAAATTGCACTATCTCAGGGGACGCTGCTTTGCATAGGGAAGCTGAGATTGATCGAATGAGAAACAGAAAATGGACGCATTTGCCAGGCCCCTTAGAGAAAAACTAGGTGCCCCTTAGTAGGAACAGAACTGATCCTGACAACTTCCATGCCATTTCCCTCCAGGCTGAGAGAGAAAAAGGAGAAGGGCTCTTACGCTCTGTCCCTCGTCTACGGAAAGACCGTTTATCACTACCGGATCGGACATGACAAAGCAGGAAAATATTCGGTGGAAGACGGAACCAAGTTTGATACGCTGTGGCAGGTGGGTTGTGTGAGTGCGTGGGGCTGGAGACCCTCCTCCTTCTGGGATTGCCTGCACTGCAATGAAGAGAAGAGAATCATCGAATTGCAGAGTTGGAAGGGACCCTGAGGGTCATCTAGCCCAACCCCCTGCAATAGTTTTTTGTTTTTTTTAAGGCAAGATGGCACTGCCACCCAAGAAGGTGTCAGCAAACAAGGGCAAACCACAAGGTTTCCAGGGGTACAACCTTTGTTGGGGGATGGGATGGGTGGACACCTAAAGGGAGGGGGAGCCCCCAAAGCAGACCCATTTGGACTGAGTACTTTGATAAAACTTTATTCGCATTAGCCAATGGCCATAGCAACAGTAAAACATTACAGTATACGCAGGAAAGGAAATTTGATATAAGAGCACAATTTAAAGTCCTGAGTCAGCTGTCAGTTAGTGGCCCTTATTCTGATGGCCCCTGCTAGCAACCTTTCCTGTTATCTGCTCATTTTGATCTGATAGAAGAAAGGCCATTGTGGCTGTGGTTGAGCGCCCTGGGATGGTTAGTACAAGTGGGGTGAGGATCTCGTTCCTCAGGTCTTTGTAGAGAGTGCAAGACAGGAGGACATGTGCCGCTGTTTCGGTGCTACCGTCTCCACAGGGGCAAAGACGTTTCTCAGACGGGATCTTTAGGAATCGACCCTCAAGCACCGCAGATGGCAAAACATCCAGTCTTGCAAGTGTAAAAGCACGTCTGTATTTTGGGATAATAAGTTTGTGCAGATATGGGGCCAGAGAATCAAAATGGAGGGGTGGAAACTGAACATACCAAAGGCAGAATTTCCTTATAGTGGCCAGGTTGTTCTGATGCTCAATATCTTTTAGACGTTGACCAATTAGACTGTTTGCTTTAGTGGGGATCGGCCACAAGAGTGGAGGTTTTGATAGATGGTTTGAAGCCAGGCATTTGGACTGAGTATGTGTGGCGGCTGTCGAGGGAGACAAGCAGAAAACCAGATGGGCAGCGGAACCCAATGGAGTGTCATGGAAGTGGACCATTAATTGCAACTTCCACTCATCAGCATGACTAATAGCCATGCAGAGACTTGGGGGGGAAAGCAGCAACAAGACTGAATAGAGCCAGTGGAAGTTTTCTTGATGGCTCTGCGGATTGGAGGGGCTTTAGAGGCACGTCGGTGACAGCCAAACATCAATCACCATGCGGCCCTCTAGAGGACTTTGTGTGGACCTTGGAAACCTCCCCAGGACACACTCCTCCCCGGCTTTGCTTCGCCCCTTCCGTCTAATATTATATTTTATTGAAATAATTTTGATTATATATAAATAAAGCGATACAGAGGGGGGAAAGTGGGGAAAGTGAGGGGTGGGGAAGAAGAAAGATGTGTATATTCCCAGCTGGGAGTGAATGGAGGACAGTGGGGTGTTGTGTGTTAATTTCCTAAAGTTATATTCTGCTTGGTTGTGCAAATAAAACCTCAAAGCAGTCTGAGCGTGGGAGGAAATTATCCTGCTATACTCAGATATAGCCTGTGGCTCTGTGGCTCCACCCACTTTTCCCACTGGCTCCACCCACTGCTGGCAGGCGGCCCCTAAGAGGCTGCCAAGAAAGGAATCTGGCCCTTGCATTCATGAAATCTGCTCTCGTTGTGGAGGAACCCTTCCCCTGGACCATCCCTAGCTGGGCTTATGATTTCGCCTCCCATATTTCGTCTTGCGATATCCAGGGAGATCTTGGGATTCGAGCAAAAGGAGAATGTGGAATAGGCAAAGTTGAGCCCTTTAAAAAAATTACAAAAATAAAATATTCTCTCTCTGTTTCTGGGCTTCTCCTCCCTTCCCAACTGCAGCTCGTGGAATATCTCAAATTGAAACCGGATGGTCTGATCTATTATTTGAGAGAAAGCACACCGAATCCCGATATGCCAACAGGTGAGAACACAATATTTGCCACCTGGAAAATATTGGAACTACTTTCAGGGGCAATTCAAGAGTTGTTGGTTTTCGTTTTAACATTTAGTGGACTTTGTTAAATAGGGCCTACTTTCTTTAAGAAACAGATATGAATTTTTCATTTTTATTTATTTATTTTTCAAGTTTTGATTTTATTGGGTAAATTCGAAAAGTGACATATCACAGAATTTACATTGAATATTGAAAAGACCAGAGAAGGTCACAAAAAACAAAACGAAAACAGTAATAATTTTCCATTTTGATAAAATATTGATCATCTTCTGTTCTATTATTCTACATCTGTATCTTTATACATGACGTCCCATCTGCACCCAATGTATATACCTTTTTAGAACAATGATTGTACTAAAATAAATTTCATATTTCAATAAAGTTCTTCATATACCTAAAGTCTTTTTTAAAAAAACTAAACCTTACGTCTTAGAATCATAGAATCATAGAATCCTAGAGTTGGAAGAGACCACAAGGGCCATCGAGTCCAACCCCCTGCCAAGCAGGAAACACCATCAGAGCACTCCTGACATATGGTTGTCAAGCCTCTGCTTAAAGACCTCCAAAGAAGGAGACTCCACCACACTCCTTGGCAGCAAATTCCACTGTCGAACAGCTCTTACTGTCAGGAAGTTCTTCCTAATGTTTAGGTGGAATCTTCTTTCTTGTAGTTTGGATCCATTGCTCCGTGTCCGCTTCTCTGGAGCAGCAGAAAACAACCTTTCTCCCTCCTCTATGTGACATCCTTTTATCTATTTGAACATGGCTATCATATCACCCCTTAACCTCCTCTTCTCCAGGCTAAACATGCCCAGCTCCCTTAGCCGTTCCTCATAAGGCATCGTTTCCAGGCCTTTGACCATTTTGGTTGCCCTCCTCTGGACACGTTCCAGTTTGTCAGTGTCCTTCTTGAACTGTGGTGCCCAGAACTGGACACAGTACTCCAGGTGAGGTCTGACCAGAGCACAATACAGTGGCACTATTACTTCCCTTGATCTAGATGCTATACTCCTATTGATGCAGCCCAGAAATGCATTGGCTTTTTTAGCTGCCGCGTCACACTGTTGGCTCATGTCAAGTTTGTGGTCAACCAAGACTCCTAGATCCTTTTCACATGTACTGCTCTCAAGCCAGGTGTCCCCCATCTTGTATTTGTGCCTCTCATTTTTTTTGCCCAAGTGCAATACTTTACATTTCTCCCTGTTAAAATTTATCCTGTTTGTTTTGGCCCAGTTCTCTAATCTGTCAAGGTCATTTTGAAGTGTGATCCTGTCCTCTGGGGTGTTAGCCACCCCTCCCAGTTTGGTGTCATCTGCAAATTTGATCAGGATGCCCTTGAGTCCATCATCCAAGTCGTTGATAAAGATGTTGAATAAGACCGGGCCCAAGACAGAATCCTGTGGCACCCCACTAGTCACTCTTCTCCAGGATGAAGAGGAACCATTGATGAGCACCCTTTGGTGCTTGTTTTATTCCCCACATATTATATTATTTACACAGAAATCATTCCAACGCAACCATAGCTGCCACACTGTGATTGTAATTCTGTAAATATTTTTTAAACATGTCCCATTTTGGAGTAAAGCATTGATTGAAATTGCCTCTCCGTCTGGTCATCTATTGTGCCATCTCAGCATCGTCCAGGAGTTTATTTAACCACTCTGATTTAGATGGCACCTGATCCCCCTTCCAATTCATTGCAATCAGGGTCCTTGCGGCCGCAGTGGCATACGGAAATATTTCCTTTAGGCCTTTTGGTATTTCTTTGTCTAGAATGCCAAGACAGAAGGCCTCTGGTTTCTTTGGAAAGGATACTTTCAAACTTTTTTTTCCCCAATTCGTCGTATATGATATTCCAGAATTCTTTAATTTTTTTACAGAGCCACCACATGTGGTTTGAATTTTTCAATTTTTACAAGCATCAGTTAAAAAGCAAAGCCCATATCCAATTCTTACTTGTAACCAGGGCCGTCTTAAGCATATCTGGTGCCGTGGTGCAAAGATCCCTCTGGCACCCCCCCACCTTCCCCAGAGTTGTCAACCTTTTTTTAGGGCTGGAGGAGGCGGGCAGCGGCTGGAGGGTGGCTACTCCGGCGGGGAAGAGGTGGAGGCTGGACGCCTCCTGGTTCAGCTGGCCGCTTCGTGCCACGGTGGCCACAGCAGGCGGCACACCGAGTGAGCGGCCTGCGTCGAGCGAGCGAGGGCACATGCGCCACTCCTGCCGAGCGCCGGCTCAGTTTTTTCCCTTTTAGCCTTCTGGCGCCTTGCAGAACTCGGCGCCTGCAGGCTAAAAGGGAAAAAACTGAGCGGACGCTTCGCAGGAGCGCGCACCCCCCCTCGCTCACTCAGCGCACTTGTTGGGTGTTCCCCAGATTCCCACTGGGTGCCCTCCAGAACTTGGCACCCTGCGCCACTAGCCTCTATGGGTAAGACGGGCCTGCTTGTAACTAGCCTTTATTGGCATAAGTTAAAACAGTAAAATCATACAAAGTCATCCAAATACACTGATAATCCAAATATATAAAAGACTAGATAATTCAATTTTTTTACTAAATCCTTATTTCCCATTTTTGACTACAAGTTTTACTAATGTGTTTAGTTTCCCCCCAACAGTTTTTCCATTCTTTATTAAAAGTTACTTCTCCCTGGTTTCTAATTCTTCCCGTACGTTTTGCCATTTTGGCATAGTCCATTAATTTTATATGTTTGGGACTGTCTCTTCTTTCCACCTGATTCCTTCCAGGAACTCAGCCAGATGGGCGGGGTATAAATAAATAATAATAATAATAATAATAATTCATGAGGTCTGGAAGCTTGGCTTTGTTTGTTTGTGCATGGGAGAGCTAGAAGGACCATAGCTCAGGCTTGTCATTTGCAGATGTCACCTAAGCAAACTCTTTCTTCCTGTTTCCAGAAACCGCGACACCTGCCCCACCGGCTCACCCGTCTGCGTTCGTAAGTATTTCCTTTTTTGCTTCCTCTCAAATTGTTGCAGTCTTTCAGGGTTGGTTTAAGGACCGGGGGACACGCATGTCCTGGGTGAGAGATCAGCGGCCAGAGAAATCCCATTGAACCGATCTCTGCATGGAAGCAAATCCTACATCTGCAAGGGGTGGAGTAGGTGGCCCCAGTGTCCCTTCCAACTCTGCAATTCTATGATTCTATGTTTCCTTGCCAGGCTCAACGGAGACTCGTATCACAAAACTCCGATGGTTATACACCTGACCCCATTGGTGAGTAGAGGGCAAGGGAACTGTTGTGTTTTTATAGATAGAGAGACCAGCTTAGTAAACACACTTGGGGGTACAATCCCGAAAGGAAAACAAACATTTAAAACAATGTACAACAGTAAATTCAAAATTTATAAATGCGATAAGCGTATAGACACCTAAAACTTTAAGATAAGCTACCGCAGAGAGATGGCCCAGAGTCACCCACGGAAGTGAGTTTGGGGATTATCTTAACGAACTAGTTTGAGCCAGGGGATGGTCTGCGCCTACAGATCTGTACACAGAATCTGGCGACCATCCGGGTCGTCTTATGATCTTTGCCTAACAGGAAAAGGTCAATTTTTGCTTTCCCGGGAGGTCAGCGAGCCTCACCAGCAGTGGTCTCACTCCGTGCCTCTTCCTAAAAGGGACATCTAAAGAGCAAGTGCTCTGGGCTTCCTGTCTCCCCCAATGAACAGGCGCAAAGTCTCTGAGCATATGGGACTTTTTAAAAGGATCCTTCCAGGACCGGCGAGGGCAGAGCCGAGCTTCTGGTGAATGTAAAAGCCCTTCTTGCATTTTTGGATACGAGAAAGAAGAGATATGCTGCCGGTGCGGCTAAATCTCTCTCGATTTCTCCAATTTTATAGTGGGGGCACCTTGAGCAGTCCTGTTGTCTCTCGGTGTCTATGATTCTTTGCCTGACCGTAGCTTTTGCCTGGCCCAACCCCAGACTTAGAAGGGCTTGAGGGGCAAAACCCAGTTTCTGAAGGGTGTTCAGGACTGCTGTCTGCCAGCCTGACTGGAATTGGTCGCAGAGGATCAGTGGGGCTATTCCTCGGGGGAGCAGATTCAGTGTCAGCCATTTGTAGATTGATGTTAGGCAGATATAAGCCTCCACTCTCATCATCCCTGTTTCTAGTCTGACCCATGCATTTGAAACACATCTGGGGCTTGTAGGAGAGCTCTAAGGAGTTTGGATTGCACTCTCTCAAGGGGGGAGAAAGTGTTTTTATATGTTCTTGGTAAATAACTGGTCCAAATTTTAGGCATTTCTCCTCTCTCTCTACATACACACATAATTTTTTTTTCATGTGCTGCCTTCCCACAGTTGTGGACTCTCCTTCCTTGGAGGTTTTTAAGCAGAGCTTGGATGGCCAACTGTCCTGGATGCTTTAGCTGAGATTCCTGCATTGCAGGGGGTTGGGCTGGATGACCCCTGGGGTTCCCTCCCTACCTTACAATTCCAGGATTCCAGGATTCTATGAAACCATGCTCAATGCAGCTTAGAACATGAAGAAAATGCATAACTACAAGATAACAAAAGTAGTCATGACTAATAAATGAAGTGTTAAAAAACACACAACCAAACCAAACGATTTCCGCATAAATCACAACAAAATCTAAAAGAATCCAACAGCAGCAGCAGCGCCACCCTGTGGCCACTGGTGGCACTACAACAAAGGCACCCCCAGCACTGTTGGAAAAGGGAAGTTTTTAACTTTGCACGGGCATCTAAGAAATAATTCACTCTACTAATTGTTTGTTTAAGTGCAAAAAAGAAGGAAAAGGTGGAAATCACACCAAGTTCATCTCCTGCAATCATTTTATCATCCCCCCCCCACTGCTTTCATCTTGAATCCTGCCATGATTTCATTTTACTAAAATATTTTTAAATAATCCACAGAAGGCCTCCAGTCAGCTTTGCCATTTCCACAACATCTGTTGCTTTCAAAAGCCAATCCTCCTTTGACGTTATTATTATTATTATTACCTTCTTTTTGCATTCTGTGGATATAATATTCTAGCTGCTGTTGTCATATACATAAATAATTTGGTCTTCTTCTTTGAAACCTCCGTCCCTATTATTCCTATAAGAAAATCTTCTGGTCTTAAAGGCCCATTTAAAATTTTTCTTCATTTCATTATATATCATTTCCTAAAAGCCTTTAGCTTTTGTGCATGCCCACCACATATGGAGGAATGACCCTTCTGTCTGCTGGCATTTCCAACATTTACTTGACACATTTCTATGCATTTTGAGCAGTTTATTTGGTGTTAAATACCACCTGCACATTGTTTCAAGATTAATACTCACTATCAGCGCTCCATGACCGTCTCCTTGATCTCTTGGGGGAGGGGAATCAGATAACTGCTGGGAATGCAAAGAGACAGAAGGTACATTCTGCCATATGTGGTGGACATGTAAACTGGGCTTCTCAGTGATGACATAAAGTCATACCTTGGGTTACAGACGCTTCAGGTTGCGCGTTTTTGGGATATGGACCCGCCAAAACCCGGAAGTACCGGAATGGGTTGCTTCCGGGTTTCGTGCTCACGCATGCGCAGAAGTGCTAAATTGTGCTTTGTGCATGCGCAGAAGCGCAGAATCGCAACCCGCTTGTGCGCAGACATGGTGCTGCAGGTTGCGGGCACTGCGGGTTGTGAACATGCCTCCCGCACGGATCATGTTTGCAACCCGAGCGTCCACTGTACACTGATATGAAAAAAATATATTTAAAAGGTCTTTTATTTAAAAAGACCAAAACTCTTTCTCTTAGGAATAACTGAGTCAGATGTCTCCAGAGATTGAAATAATCTGTTTCTTTACGCAACTATGGCAACCTGAATGGGATATGTGGTTCGAATCCCCACGACGGGGTGAGCTCCCGTTGTTCAGTCCCTGCTCCTGCCAACCTAGCAGTTCAAAAGCACGTCAAAGTGCAAGTAGATAAATAGGTACCGCTCCGGCGGGAAGGTAAACGGCGTTTCCGTGCGCTGCTCTGGTTCACCAGAAGTGGCTTAGTCATGCTGGCCACATGACCCGCAAGCTGTACGTCGGCTCCCTCGGCCAATAAAGCGAGATGAGCGCCGCAACCCCAGAGTCGTCCGCAACTGGACCTAATGGTCAGGGGTCCCTTTACCTTTAACTGTTAGAATAAGAGAACCGGAAGAAGGATACCTTAAGGAAGATTGGAAAATGTTTGTGGAATATTTGAAGAATCATTGTAAACAGGTTAGAACGTTAGCAGGACTAGAGTAATTTCAGCAGTAAAAAACACGTCGAGATAAGATGGGAAAGGGGAAACACAGGGTAAATATTAGTACCTGCAGCTGCAAGGAGTCACCAGAAGGAACAATGGAAGGGGGAGAAGGGAAGTCAATGTTCAATTTAATATAACGCTTTGCTTTTTTTATGTGACTATGAAAATTATAAAATTCATTTTTTAAAAAAAAATCTCTTGGGGATGGGCACAGGCCGCGGGAAAAAGGGCCGGATCCTGCCCATGGACACGTCCTGCTACGAAAGCCCTTACAGTGACCCCGAGGAGCTGAAGGAGAAGAAGCTATTCTTGAAGAGGAACAACCTGATTGTCGAGGACATGGAGCTGGGGGCAGGCAATTTCGGCTCCGTCCGGAAAGGCGTTTACAAGATGAAGAAGTAAGTTTGCCTCATGGTGAGCGAGAGCAATGATCCGGCTACCTCAGTGTGGCCTGCACTGACTGGCAGCAGCTCTCCAGAGAGTCAGGCAGGGATCGTCCCAACTGCACCTGGAGATGCTGGGGATTGATTTTATATACAGAACTGGGGTAAGATTCCAGTCCTCATGGGGCTAACAACCCCCCATCCCCATTTTAAAACTGATGATGCCATATAATGGATTGAGGTTGAATCTAAACAAGAGATAAGTACTGTTCTTGGGGGACAGGAGGCAGGCGGGTGTGGGGGACTCCTTGGTCCTGAATAAGGCAACTGTACCCCGAAGGACCAGGTGCGCAGCCTGGGAGTCATTTTGGACTCACAGCTGTCCATGGAGGCACAGGTCAATTCTGCATCCAGGGCAGCTGTCTACCAGCTCCATCTGAAACCCTCCCTGCCCTGTCTCACCAGATTGTCCCATGCTCTGGTTGGACTACTGCAATGCACTCTCTGTGGGGCTACCTTTGAAGGTGACCCGGAAACAACAGCTAATCCAGAATACTGGTGACTGGGAGCGACTGCCGAGAACATATAACACCAGTCCTGAAAAACCATCTCCCAGTACATTTCTGAGCACAATTCAAAGGGTTGGTGCTGACCCTTAAACCCCTAAACGGCCTCAGCCCAGTATACCTGAAGGAGCGTCTCCACCCCCATCATTTTGCCCGGACACTGAGGTCCAGCTCTGAGGGTCTTCTGGTGGTTCCCTCCCTGTGAGAAGTGAGGTTACAGGAAACAAGGCAGAGGGCCTTCTCAGTGATGGCACCCTCCCTGTGGAATGTCCTACCATCAGACGAGGAGATAAAAAAAACCTATGGAAGACTTATGGAAAGCAACCCAGCCAGATAGTTGGTGATGGTGGTGGTTATTCCCCATTTGGGGAATGCCTCTTCTTAGAGCAGAATAAATAACAACAACAACATCAATAATAGAATATTTGTATGAGATTGTATGGGAAAAATATGGAATAACAGATAAAATTTTGCTTAAAATGTATATAGGAAGTGCAGTGTAAGCGATGGAAGTCAATCAATGAAATTTTATTATTGAGATATTTGTAGAATAAATTTGGAAGAAATTCTTCCAATTTTTCTTCTTCTTCCAAATTTTCTTCTTATTTTTTCTTTTTCTTTTTCTTTTTCTTTTTTCTTTTCTTCCTTTTTTCTTTTTTGTTCTTTTTTATATCTGTGTGCTTATCTGAAATATATATGTATATATTTGCAGTATTTTGCTTGTATTTTGTAACAGTTATGTTAAATAATTTTAATAATAATAATAATAATAATAATAATAATAATAATAATTCCTCCACATATTGTTCCCTACACTGGGGAAAGCCTCTTCTTAGAGCAGGAAAGTATTACTATTACTACTACTACTATTACTATTATTATTACTATTACTATTACTATTATTATTGCTGGTGCTGACCTTGAAAGCCCTAAACGGCCTCGGTCCAGTATACCTGAAGGAGCATCTCCACCCCCATCGTTCTGCCCGGACACTGAGGTCCAGCTCTGAGGGCCTTCTGGCGGTTCCCTCACTGTGAGAAGTGAGATTATGGAGAACCAGGCAGAGGGCCTTCTTGGTAGTGGCACCCGCCCTGTGGAACTCCCTCCCACCAGATGTCAAAGAGAACAACAACTACCAGACTTTTAGAAGACATCAGAAGGCAGCCCTGTTTAGGGAAGCTTTTAATGTTTGATGTATTACAGTATTTTAATATTTTGTTGGAAGCCGCCCAGAGTGGCTGGGGAAACCCAGCCAGATGGGCAGGGTATAAATAAATTATTATTATTATTATTATTATTATTATTATTATTATTATTATTCCAGTTTGGTGATGCCTCTTTCAAATAGTCTTCCAAAGAGTCCTTTAAGAGCCCAGCCTCCTTTCCCTACTTCTTCTGAAAGGCCAATGCCAACTGCCACCCATCGCCATAACCTCTGCTCCCCTCCTCCCTAGGAAGCACATCGACGTGGCCATCAAGATCCTGAAAAGCGGGAACGAGAAAGCCGAGAGGGACGACATGATGAAGGAGGCGCAGCTCATGCACCAGCTGGACAACCCTCACATCGTCCGCATGATCGGCGTCTGTGAGGCAGAGGCACTCATGCTGGTGATGGAGATGGCCTCCGGGGGATCCCTCAACAAATTCCTCTCCTCTAAGAAGTGAGTCGATCCCACCGCAGATTGGATCTGCAGGTCCCGGGCGGAACTGCAAATCCGGTTCCTTATTTCCAAGGTTTATGGACAACTCTTCTTCTCCAAAGAAGGTCAGAAAGTGGGTGGCAGATCGATGAAGCAATTCATCCGTTGAATAAAAGGGGCTACAAATAAGCCTAATGCGACTTCCTTTAGAATTGTAGGTTTGGAAGGGACCCTGAGGGTCATCCAGTCCAACCCCCTTTCTGGAATAGAAATGTCTTTGTCAAGTTCAGCAAGGGAGGGGCCTGTCTCATCTCAGCTGGGAGGGGGTTTTACGATATTGGGATCACACTATAGAACGCTTGGCTCCTGAGAGATGTGAGCCACGGGTCTGAGCCACGGGACACCACTAACCATAGAAGCATAGAAATGTAGGGCTGGGAGGGACACCTTCTGCAATGCAGAACTCACACCTCACAAATCCTTGACAGGTGGGCCCCCAGCCCCTGTTTAGAAACTTCCATTGAAGGAGAGTTCACCACCTTCTGAATGTTAGAATTCCTGCTCCCTGATTGCAGTCATAGGGATTGCTGTCTATCACATGACGGTGTATGTTTTCATTCCACAGAGTGGGAAGTGACGGAGACAGGATGTTTGTGTTACTGTGTTCCACGAAGTGAGATTATTGTCCTTTGTTCTTTTTATCTTTGCTGTCTGATGCTAGAGAGAGAGGGAGCCATGTTGCAGTGCTCCGTGTGTGCTTATATGTAAATAAAGTAGATTAGCCAAAATGCTGAGTTCTGTTACGCGAACTGCGCAAACTCTGCGGATCCCTGAGTGTGCCGATGTCTGTTGGCATTGGTTTCTGTGATGTTCGGGCTCCCGAACGACCAACCAGGGGGGAGAGAACATGCCAGTCGGGCATGTGTCTCTGCCAGGGTCCTACTCGAGAGTAGGACAAGCTCCTCATACTGAGGTCATAGAATTGTCAAGCTGGAAGGGACCCTGAGGGGTTGGACTAGATGACCCTCGAGGTCCCTCCCAAATCTGATTCTACCAAACAAAATACAAGTAAGACCTCCCTGGAAGTCTTCAGGCTAAGAAACTTTCTCCATTTTGGACTTTTTGAGTGACAAAAGAGGAAGGCTGGGCCTGGGACGGAAATGTAACAAAATGCCATTTAGCAGAATAGTATGAAAACTGTAATTTTAATTCCAGCCAGAAATTTTCATGGAGTGTTTATATTAAATAATATAATAATGGTAGTACTAACAATTGACAGAGAGGGTTGTGGAGGTAAGTTTCTTCTATCTCTATCTCTCTCTCCCCCCCCCATCTTGCTTTTTCTCTTTTCTTATTCTCTTGATATGTTGGTTTTTATCATTCTTTCATACATGAGTTCGGATTTTATTGTTTAATATCTTAAACACACACACACACACAAGTTTCCTCTTCCCTGTTCTAAAGCAATTGGGTTCTCCAGCTCAGGAACCCTCATTAAGTCAATGCCTTAACCGTGGAAGAACTTTCTTTCCCACCCCTAGGGATGAAGTCCCCGTGAATAATGTGGTCGAGTTGATGCACCAGGTGGCCATTGGCATGAAATATTTGGAAGAGAAGAACTTTGTCCACCGAGACCTGGCTGCCCGGAATGTTCTGCTGGTCAACCAACACTACGCCAAGATCAGTGATTTTGGGCTGTCCAAAGCTCTGGCCGCTGATGACAGTTACTATCTGGTGAGAAATGAAAAACGGGCTAGGGATCCATTGAAGGTCAGAGAGTGATCTGCTGGGATGCAAGAATGGTTTAGATTAGGGCTGGGCGATATCTGGTTTTCAACACTGTGATATATCACCAGCTAAACATTGTCATACACGGATATATCACGATGTCTGAAATAAGGAAGGAGCTGGTTTTCAAATTTGTGATATATCATGAGCTAAATACCAAGAGATATATCTCAATGTCTGAAATAAGGATGGAGCTATGTAGAGGCATTGGCTGGCTTCACTGTTTCCCCCACATTGTGATTTTTGCAGAGCACACACACACACACACACACACACACCCCATGATTTGCAATATATCACCAGGTCAAGAATTATGGAACCAATATCATGATATGGACCTGAAACTGGCTTTGGATGATATATTGCCCAGCCCTAACACACATCATGATTCGCAATATATTTATTGCCGGGTCAAAAACTATGAAATCAATATCACAATATGGACTTCAAACTAGTTTTGGACGATATATTGATATATCGTCCAGCCCTAGAGATATCTAAGGGAGGGGGGCAGAGACTGCTCAATTAGATCCTGAGAAAACAAGAAGGCATTTGATTATATCGAGGTGACTCCATCTTCAGCATGGTTAAAGTGTAAGCAATAAGTTGTTGGTGGTGGTGGTGATGGTGGTGATGATGGTGTTATGAACTAGGACCTGAGCGAACAGGGTTCAAACCCTCAGTCAGGCTCACCTGGCAACTTTGGGGTGAGCCACAGTCTCTTAATTTTCCTCAGAATAATAAAAATGTGCCAAAGGAGACTCATGCATGCCATCTTGAGTTCCTGGGAAGAAATCTGGGATAGAAATGGAATAAAAAACAGGTCTTGCCCATTGAAATGAATTTCTAATGACTTACCTCTGGATCTGAGCTGTTGGGAATCACAACTGGGGAGAGTTGCTGCCGTTGCATTCAGAGGTCAGGGCATATTGTCAGACGCCATGAAGATAGGAGGGTGGACTGGATGGGCCCCCCTTGTCCAGATACAGCAGCCAGGCTCCTCTGAGTTTCTTACGACTGCTAAATAGAGCTTCCATGGGCAGAGGCAGTCTACTTTAGAATGACGGTTAACAAAGGAGGGAGGAAGCCTTTGGTTGGCCCCTGTGAGGAGAGCATGCTGGGCTAAGGTGGGGCCTGCTTGGGGAGAGCGAGTCGTCCACCCAAGTCTTCTCCTTCTGCATCACGCACATTACCTGGCGATTCTTCACTGCCCCTCTTCTGTGCCTTTCGATGCAGGCCAAGACAACAGGGAAGTGGCCGTTGAAGTGGTACGCCCCAGAGTGCATCCTCTTCCGAAAGTTCTCCAGCAAGAGTGACGTCTGGAGTTACGGCGTCACAATGTGGGAGGCGTTTAGCTACGGACAGAAACCCTACAAGGTGAACACCCCTAAGCTGAGTAGCTCGGGAGCCCCACACCCTGCAACATTCCACCAGCCTCATAAAAACTGCTAGCACATTCGCAAACGAAGCAGAGTCTACTTTGGTTTCTAATTGGACAGGGGACTGCATGCTTCTGCACCGCAGGGGGTTGGACTAGATGACCCTCGGGGGTCCCTTCCAACTCTACAGCTCTATGATTCCATGAGAATCCATCTATCTGTCCATAAGAATCTATCTAAAGTAAAGGTAAAGGGACCCCTGACCGTTAGGTCCAGTCGCAGACGACTCTGGGGTTGCAGTGCTCATCTCGCTTTACTGGCCATGGGAGCCGGCGTACAGCTTCCTGGTCATCTGGCAAACCAGAGCGGCACACGGAAACACCGTTTACCTTCCCGCCGGAGCGGTACCTACTTATCTACTTGCACTTTGATGTGCTTTCGAACTGCTAGGTTGGCAGGAGCAGGGACCGAGCAACGGGAGCTCACTCGAATCATTGCAGGGATTCGAACCGCCGACCTTCTGATCGGCAAGCCCTACCTAGGCTCTGTGGTTTAACCCACAGCGCCACCTGCGTCCCAAGAATCTATCTACCTATATGTTTATTCTTATTTAATAAAATTTATATATATATATTATTATATTTATTATTTACCATGCAGTTGTTGTTGTTGTTGTTAGAGCACGAGACTCTTAATCATATGCATTGCTGTGGGTTGGACTAGATGCATAGCTGTCAACGTTTCCCCCTTTTTAAAGGGAAATTCCCTTATTCCGAATGGGATTCCTTGCAAGAAAAGGGGAAAGTTGACAGCTATGACTAGGTGACCCAGCTCTATGATTCTATTATACTCTGCTCTTAAGACAAACCAGTCAACCAGTTTCTCTGCCACCATTCCACTAGAAAATGAAAGGACCAGAGGTGATAACGTTCCTGGAGGAAGGGAAGAGGATGGATTGCCCCCCCAAATGCCCCCCGGAGATGTACAAGCTGATGGAGCAGTGCTGGACTTTCAAGTAAGACCCTTCTGCAGTGCTCTAAATTAGCCGAGCCCTCTCAAAAACCATACAGGGATGGCAGGCCAATATCTGGGATTCTTTTAGTTAAAAAAACATTTATTCAAAAGTTACAGTGCAACTTTCCCCTTGCCATAATATCACTCTGTTAGCCAAGAAATACCCACACCTGATATCTGAGACAGGGAATGCTTCTTTGTGCAGAACAAAGTTAAGTTGTGGAACTCCCTGCTGCAGGGTTGGGAGAGGCCAGTGCAAGTACGAGCCTCCAGGATGCCGGCGCCTTTTGCAACCTTCAAATCTCGTTGACAAATATGCAGATTCCCCCGCTTAATTTTCTCCCTTCCGTTTCCCTCCCTTCCCAGGTGGGAAGACCGGCCGGACTTTTCCACGGTGGAGACGCTCATCCGCACCTATTACTACAGCATCGCTGCCCGGACGGAGGAAAGGCAAGGGGAAAAAGTGAAAACTACGTCTGATTGAGCTCCGGACACCTGCCCAAATCCCTCTGCAGCCAAGACATCTTTCCGCCTTTGGGAAGGGATGCCTTGCAGGCTGCGCTGTTTCTCTGCGGCTGCAAAACCAGAGTTGGTGGCGACAAAGCTCAGTCTGCCCTCGCCCAGGCCCACAACTGCCTGCCTTCTTGTGTGCAACCAGCCCTCCTGCCTATCAGCTCCCTCCCTCATCCTTGGTCTTGAACAGCTTCTCTGCCTCTCGTTGACTCTGGTGCCCCCTACTGGTGGTCCTCCTCTTGTACACTGCACACTGTTGATCCAAATTCGGTAGCAGCTCCAGGTATCCCTGTCCCTTCCCCCTCCCTCAGCGAATATGAACATGAGAGCCTGCCGGATCAAGCCAATGGCCCATCCAGTCCAGCATCCTATTTTCACAGTGGCCACCATGCAAGCAGGATCCGTGCGCAAGAGTTTCCGGCAACTGTTGTTCAGAAGCATCGCTGCCTCTGATTGTGGCAGCAGAGCCTAGAGATTGTGGCTAGTAGCCTTCATAGAATACAATTCATTGGAAGGGACCCCCAAAGGCCATCAAGTTCAAGAGTTATCTGTTTTGTTATACATAATGTACTTTTTATTGACTTTCCTAATTTTTCCAAATGGACTTCAATTTAAATAGTTGCATTGTTTCATGTATTGACTCCCCACTTCCAAATTGTTTCTGTTTATACCCTTTTCTACTGCATTATAAATCAAACTCAAATGTCTAATACAATTACTTTATCATTTTACTTTCGCTGCTCCGATTTTGAATCCTGCCTGCCATTTCTTTCATTCTTTTAAATATACAGTGGACACTCAGGTTGCGAACATGATCCGTGCGGGAAGCACGTTCGCAACTCACAGCGTTCACAAACCACAGCACCATGTCTGCACACACCCCGGCTGTGATTCGGGGCTTCTGCACATGCACAAAGCACAATTTAGCGCTTCTGCACATGCGCAAGCGCTGAAACCCGGAAGTAACCCATTCCGGTACTTCCAGGTTCGGCGTGGTGCGCAACCCGAAAAAATGCAACCTGAAGCGGCTGTAACCCGAGATATGACTGTACTCCATTCTTCTATAAAAAGTTCACCATTTTTACCTCTTAATATTCGTGCCATCTTTGCATAGCCACAGAATCGTAGGGTCAGAAGGGATCCCAAAGGATCATCTAGTTCAACCCTCTGCAATGCAGGAATCTTTTTGCCCAGCATGGGACTCAAACCCCCAGCCCTGAGAGCCTCAAACTCTACCGACTGTGCTATACCAGTCCATTGAGTAATCTCTTCACTGCGAAACCCTGCAAAGGAAAACCCTCTAAAGGAAATATAAAGGAGGATGAAAGCATTAAGATTATTTGTGTGCATAGTTATGGATCTCTCTCACATTAATAACTCACCTCTTGGATATTTAATTTTCATTTGTATCTTCAAAGATGTTTCATCAAGGCGTTTTTTTAACGGCTGAGGTCACTCGGCCCTTTTCTTTCTCCCTGCGGGGTCTGTGAAGGCCAGCCAGCCCTCACCTCTGATCAAAGCAAGAGGCAAGCACAACACTTCTGAAAGGACAGGCAGCCATCCTCTGCTAAAAGGTGACCAGCCCTGGAGAGATAGAGATCTGATGTATTGTAGTTACAGGTGAATGCTTTAGGTTCTGACTGTAATGTTATGTTCTTGTTTGTTTAATTCGGGGATAGGGGGTGGGGTGGCGATTGTGGCAATGCTCATTTATGGTTTTGTAAGAACGCTCGTGGAGACGCGGGTGGCACTGCGGGTTAAACCACAAGAGCCTAGGACTTGCCAATCAGAAGGCTGGCAGTTTGAATCCCCGCGATGGGATGAGCTCCCGTTGCTCGGTCCCTGCTCCTGCCAACCCAGCAGTTCGAAAACACGTCAAAGTGCAAGTAGATAAATAGGTACCGCTCCGGCGGGAAGGTAAACAGCGTTTCCGTGCGCTGCTCTGGTTTGCCAGAAGCGGCTTAGTTCTGCTGGCCACATGACCCGGAAGCTGGACGCTGGCTCCCTCAGCCAATGAAGCGAGATGAGCGCCGCAACCCCAGAGTTGGCCACGACTGGACCTGGTGTTTCCTGCTTGGCAGGGGTTGGACTTGATAGCCCTTGAGGTCTCTTCCAACTCTATGATTCTATGATTTTAATGGTCAGGGGTCCCTTTACCTTTAAGCACGATCGAACATTATAAATCACAGAATGTGCATATTTGGAAGGCACGCCAAAGGTCATCTAGTCCAATCCCCTGCAAAGGAAGGACCACAGCCAAAAAGGTATTTTTAAAAGGCAAATCTGAATAAGTTGCCAGTCTAGGGATGGGGGGAAAGATTGATTCAGTTCACATCCAAAGAGAAATCTGTCAAATTTGCAGTTTTGGAAGCAACCTGAGACCCAGAACACACCAATCTTTCAAAATTCACAGGTATCTAAATTTTGCGGCGTGGCTTGCTGACACACCACCATTGACAGAAATGGCATACAGTAGTACCTCAGGTTAAGTACTTAATTCGTTCCAGAAGTCCGTTCTTAACCTGAAACTGTTCTTAACCTGAAGCACCTCTTTAGCTAATGGGGCCTCCTGCTGCCGCCGCGTGATTTCTGTTCTCATCCTGAAGCAAAGTTCTAAACCTGAAGCATTATTTCTGGGTTAGCGGAGTCTGTAACCTGAAGCGTATGTAACCCGAGGTACCACTGTATTAGGGGAATATGTGCACAAAAAATAATACATTGTGGAAAATAACATCCGCAAATTCATTATAAAAGGCTCAGGACTGCAATAATCCAGAATGCTGCAACCAAACTGGTGACTGGGAGTGACTGTTGGGGCCATATGACAACGGTCCCACATTGACTCTCAGTACATTTCTGAGCACAATTCAAAGTCCTAAACAGCCTCGGCCCTGTATACCTGAAGGAGCGACTCCACCCCTATTGCTCAGCCCAGACACTGAGGTCCAGCTCCGAGGGCCTTCTGGCGGTTCCCTCTTTGCAAAATGTGAAGCTACAGGGAACCAGGCAGAGGGCCTTCTCGGTGGTGGCGCCCTCCCTGTGGAACGCCCTCCCGTCAGATGTCAAGGAGATAAAAAAACCCTATAGAACTTTTAAAAGGCATCTGAAGGCAGCCATGTATCGGGACATTTTTAATGTTTGACATTTTATTATTTTTTTATATTTTGCTGGAAGCCTGCCAGATGGGCGGGGTATAAATAATAAAACTATTATTTACCATAGAACTGTAGAGTTGGAAGGGACTCCAGTGGTCATCTAGTCCAACCCCCTGCAATGCAGGAATCTCAGGTAAAACACCCATGACAGATGGCCATCTCAGGTTCTATTGCATTTTTAATATTTTGTTGGGAGCCGCCCAGAGTGGCTGCGGCAACCCAGTCAGATGGGTGGCACATAAATATAAATATAATAATAACAACAGCATTAATAATAACAATAGCCCAACGATCTCATCTAGGACTTGTCCACACTTCCAGACGTTGCATGCCTAGGAAGCATGGCTCCAAACAGTTTTGCCCCTCTTTCCCCCTAGGGAACCAGAGAAAACCCGATGGACACTTGATCTGATTCACCAGCAAACAGACAGTGGGGACTTCGATGTCCACCTTACGTCTTGTTTCTCTTTCTTCCATTTCAGAAGCCAGTGCAACTTTGTGGAATTTGTGTGTATTCCCCTCCCACCCCGCTTCTTTTCCATTTCATTCTGAAACTACTCCTCTGTCTTCCCCAGAAATTACTTTTCCATTCCGGAAAGCCCCCAGAAACTCCTGTGACGTAAAAGTTTCGAATTCAGCCATTGCTAAATAGAACGCCCATGAATGAATGAATGGAATCTGCATACCCTTGTTATAGGAATTATAAGGTTTTATATATAAAAAAATAAAAGTTCATAAACGTACAAGGAAAACACATACATAAGTATATAAACCACGTGTCTGAAATAGTACAGGAGAACAATCCCGAAGCCATTTTGACTCTCCCAAATTGACCTCAAATATTTCTCTGCAAGGAGGAAGGAATTGGGAAAAGCTTTCCAATTGTCTTTGGCCTGTAGGGGCTGCTTACAGCTCCCTGCAAATACAGTCTGGCAAGTATCTGTTAAGCTGAGCACACGATCAATATGTGTAAGAGATTCAGGAAGTATTTACCATCTCCAAGGAATGGCCAGGCTACCCAGAAAAGGCAATTGATAAGGCATGATCAGGTATCCTGGCAGACAGGAGAGAAGCAACACGCTCAAATTTCTGCTGGAGACCACCTCCTTCTGTGATGTATGTATGATGTTTTAGGGGGTGGTCTTGGGCTCCAGGGGGACAATTTCAAAAGTCTATATAAGGGCTTGGCACACCATTGTTCTGGGTTCCTCCTCCCTCCTGCGTGTGGTGAGTGAGGACCCTGTTGCAAGAGATTAATAAAGATCAGATTTACTAGCTGCTTTGCTTCTCAATATTCTCTGGTTGGCCTCTGTTCTTTTTCTCCTTCTGAGAAGTAAGGACTCTATACTGGCTCTTGGGTGCTCCATAAGGGAAAGGGGGCAGTCCCCCCCCCTTATAACACCCTCCAATATTTCTCCAATGAAAATAGGGACGCCCTATTCCATGTGGTCCAGGAGCAAAGGTTGGGTTGAAAAGTTTGCAACCTGCGTGGCTGCCTCTCTCATCTGATCGTTGGCGCTCTCTCTTTCTCTCTTTCTCACAAACAACTTCCCCGGTGACTCATTTCCCACCCTCTGATCTTAGAAATAAACCTGCTGCCCTGTGGATCAGCCACTTTGACCCGGCCTTTCCATCTGGGGAGTCGGGTTCAAAAGGGAAATGAGATCTCCACCTGCGCCCCTTTTTTACTGCCTCCCTTCCTTCCCTCCCTCCCTCCCTCCCTCCCTCTCCTTCACATAATTGTGAGATGCTCACCCGTTTTTCTTAGACTGGAGACAGACAGACAGACAGACAGAGTTGAGACCTTTAGACGTCCCCAACCCACTGCCCTGGTTCATCTTAGAAAGATTGCGGGAACCCTGTTCTCATCTTCCAAATGTTGGCAGGTAAGTTGGACTTCCTCCTCATAGGGATGAGCTAGAAATCAAATTCAGTTCGCCCTCAGCGGCGGACCTATCAACATTTTCCTATATAACTTTTAATTATTTCCCCCCAAAACATTTTTACCATAACCTTCAAATCAAATGCAGTTTCATAATTGACTTCCTCCACTCTACAATTACTCAAACCTTTTCCACTGCGTTATATCTTTATCTCTTACAAAAAAAGTTTCTCTATTACAATTATTTTTCTTCCGCTGCTTTCATCTCGAATCCTGCCCACAATTTCATTTGACTGTAATGTTTTTTAAAAAAATAGTCCATGAGAGGCTTCCATTCTTCTATGAAAAGTTCATCATTTTGATCTCTTAATTTCGTGGTCAGTTGTGCCATTTCTGATAGTCCATTGCTTTCAAAAGCCGCTATATTATTATTATTATTATTATTATTATTATTATTATTATTATTATTATTTACCTTCTCTTCTTTCCATTCCTGCACATACAATATTCTAGCTGCTGTCATCATATATATAAATAATTTGGTCGTTTTCTTTACCTATTGACATTTTCCAATGAACGAACCGAAACTCGGCCATCTTCCAAAATTCACACGGCACAAATGTCGAAGGATGGCATACGATTCACAGGATTGTACAGTTGGATGGGGACTCCCAAAGGTCATCTAGTCCAACCCCCCATTATATACATTGCTTTGGTATTTTTATACCTTCGTTTATATTAAATCTGCAAATAGAGAGATAGATGCCTCAAGTCACAGCCGAGATTAGTCCTGCTCAGGGTAGGCCTATCAAAATATTTTATTTTTTATGATCATTGCATGCCAAAGGATGGTCCTTTCTCTCTTGTTCTATATATTCCTTTGGTTCTATACAGAAATATTTATATTCAATCTGTAAATTAACGCAAATAACTCCCTTGCTAACAGCTACCTGCTTAGTTACCGCTCAAGTCTGGGAGGAGGCTTCTATGTACTCTATTACAAATCGGTTTTTAAAAGCCATACTTAGAGTAATTGACCCACAGACTCCAGGTTCTCAGAGGGAAAGCAGATCTGTCGGACTTTGCAGCTGTCTGATGGGTTTGGGGCAGCCAATTTAATGACAATTGCCACCCAAATACAATTTTGCCTGGTGCTGGTTTTTATTACATGAGTTTTAAATATATATATTATATATATAATTCTTTTTCCATATAGAAAGTTACATTTGCTATTCAACAGTTTTTTTAATATAAATGTTTATTAGTTTTTTAACATACCATTTTCAACAACAATTAAACATACTTTTACATCCTATTCAGTTTTTTTGACTTCCATCAGTCCTGTCTGAAAATTTTCCAATCTAATCTCTTAGTATGCATTTCTTATTTTCCCTATTCAATTTCAAACATAACCAATATCTCTATCTTTTTCCATGCTATTCAACAGTTCTGTTCCAATTCAACAAAACTAGTGACTTCCCGCTCACCCAACATCAATGCTTTTAACTCAAATTGCACACAATTGCATTTTAAGGTTCCAGTCCTCAGTGTCTTATCTGATTTCATCCTCTCTAGCAGGTTTCTTAATATGTTCTGCTGTTTTCTTGCTCTTCGAACCCTGCTGTGGTCTTTGCGTATGGGAAATAATGTTTCATATAGACTAGGAATGGGTCCCACTCTACTTTAAAAGATTCTAAATCTGGGTTTAGTACTGTCAGTTTTGCCATCTCCAAGTATTTCAATTTTTTGAGATTTCACTATTATTCCCAGAAGGAAGGATTCTGGCCCCTTGGGAGAAATCACTTTAATTTTTTTCTTAATTTCATTATATAGCATATCCAATAAGTGTTTTTGATCCACTGTTTAGGTCTTTTATTGGAATAGTGTTGTATTGCTTACTTTCTACAAGTTTCTTCTTCTACGCATTTTTCCATCTCCTTATCTTATACCTGGTCTTGCTCAACAGTTTCTTCTCATTCTTTCTTTGTCAAATTATTGGAATACTTCAGACTTGCTTGTTATACATTTAAGAAAATAATAAAAAAATGTTTAAAAAACCAACCAACCTGTAAATAAAGAGATAATTAGGTTGGGTCATAGCCAAGGGTAATTTCCCCCAGGTTAGACTGACAGAAATATGTTATTATTTTCATTTATGGAAGCAAACCAAGGATGGTTCTGTGCATATATGTCTATAAAAATCACACACACACACACACTCCTTTGGTTCCATGCTGTACAAATATTTTTTATATTAAATCTTTAAAGAAAGAGATAACTAGGTCAGGTTTTAGCCAAGTTTTGTCCTACTCAGGGTAGACCAACTGAAAGGAACAGAGACTGCAAATTTAGGTTTATTGCTCTCAAGGGATCTCCTCTGAGTATAAATTTCAGCAGCGTTTAGTGAATTCTGTTTTAAAAAATTCTCACAAGACTTCTTCAGAATTATAGTGTGGATTTTTCCTAACACACATTTTTCTAGGCAGTTTTGACTAATGTACCCATTTTGTGCAAGTGATTTCCCCTAACACAATGCGTTCTTGTATGCTATTTTCACTAACAAGTTAATTTAAAAACACACTCCCCCCGCCTGAACATATGCATTTCTGGAAATGCAGATATGTGCAAATTTCTGATAAAATTCAGATAAGTACAAATTTCAGATAAAATTCAGATAAGTGCAAATTTCAGATAAAATTCAGATTAGTGCAAATTTCAAAAGGCAGCCCACTTTTGGTTCTTGTATTGCTTCAGAAAGTACGAATTTGATAGTGTTCAGATGCAAACTGAATCCAATTTCTTTCCCCATAGAAATCAAAAAGTTTCCTCTCAGGACAGCTTAGTTCATGGGTAGGCAAGCTAAGGTCCAGGGGCCGGATCCGGCCCAATCGCCTTCTCAATCCGCCCCGCGGACAGTCCGGGAATCAGTGTGTTTTTACATGAGTAGAATGTGTGCTTTTATTTAAAATGCATCTCTGGGTTATTTGTGGGGCATAGGAATTCGTTCATTATTTTTTACCAAAATATAGTCCGGCCCCCCACAAGGTCTGAGGGACAGTGGACCAGCCCCCTGCTGAAATGGTTTGCTGACCCCTGGCCTTAGCTGAATACAGTGGTACCTCGGGTTAAGAACTTAATTCGTTCCGGAGGTCCATTCTTAACCTGAAACTGATCTTAACCTGAAGCACCACTTTAGCTAATGGGGCCTCCCCACGCCGCCGGAGCATGATTTCTGTTCCCATCCTGAAGCAACGTTCTTAACCTGAGGTACTATTTCTGGGTTAGCGGAGTCTGTAACCTGAAGCGTCTGTAACCCGAGGTACCACTGTAATAGTTTTCTAACAAAGGGGCAGTCATTTAAAGCCAATATAACTACATGAAGACTGCGCCGCCTCCCCCAGAAAAAAAACTGGGTTTTAAGAGTGCGAGTTAATGTCACTCTAAGCATGCTTAGAGTAAGGTTACCAGATTTTTTTCAATGAATCCGGGGACACTTTTCAGCTTCAGTGGATTTTGTATGGGGACAGATTTGTAAATCCGGGGACTTCCCTGGGAAACAGGGACATCTGGTAACCTTAGCTTAGAGGCACCCTTATTTCAAATCTGATTTTTCAAAGGAATAGTGCAGCCTAAGGAGGTTGGCACATTAAACTGGGTTTGGTCAGAGAAAGGGCATCTCTGTGGCACCAGAATCAAGAACCCAGGGCATTGTGGGAGCCAAAATATTGGATGCCCACCGAGGTGGGCGGAGCCTCTCACCCTGGTCCCTCTCGCGCAAGTGATGCCCGGTTGGGTCTCCGGGTGATTGGTTAACAAAGAGCCGTGTGATTAGCCACAGCCAGAAAGAGGCAGGTGTGACGAAAAAGTTGGTTTGGCTGGACCGTTTGGAAGCAAAGTTCTTAACCTGAGGTACTGTTTCTGGGTTAGCAGAGTCTGTAACCTGAAGCATCTGTAACCTGAGGTACCACTGTACAGCCCAGTCTAATTCATCTTAACAGTTCATTATCTCAGCAGTGAAAAGGTGTCCAAACTAAACTCTTGCTTCCTATTGCTAACAGAAGGGAATTGGGTCTTTTCAAATTGTTCTGCATCAGATAAATCCCTCTTTGTTTTTCATATAAATGCATATTTATTTATTTATTTATTTATTTATTGCATTTATAGCCTACCTTTCTCCTCAAGGAGCTCAAGGTGGTTCTCCCCTCACCTCATTTAATCCCCACAGCAACCCTGAGAGGCAGGTGAGGCTGAGAGGCCCCCCCTCCCCCAAGGTCCCCCAGGGAGGGTCAGAACTGAGTGGGGATTCGAACCCTGCCCTTCCAGGCGCCCTTCCTCTTGGGGTCCCCTGCTACTCTACAGTTCTACGATTCTATTACCTGCCTTTCACCCTAAGGT